GTGTTTTATCCCTACACTTTGAAAAAATCTAATGCGCTCTCAAATCCAGTGGGCCTCGCATTGCGTGGGTCACAATATGCTCTAAAACTAATGGAGTCCATAACGGCTGCTCGCGCTTTCAATTCCCAAGCTCTTAGTCTGCTGCTATCTCAGCTACCAGCACTCCCAATGTGGCGAGCAGCGGGCTTCCCTGCTCACCTCCACGAAGTCGGGGTTGTGTTGCTGCCCAATCCAGTCATTGTGGAGGCCGACGAGCCCAGTGACTGGTTTATGGCAGATTATGCAGTGGATCGACGACATCTGAGTTCGCATACTTGGACTGTCCCCTCAGACTTTCCTCGTTGATTTACCAACTGCACGACGCGTTTTCGGGCAAGGCCATCACTTCATGGCAATATTATCAGCATGCCATCAAGGTATCGGAACTCTTCGGAAGAGCGGAACTCGCTATGGTCCATATAATCAGGCAGACCGAGCGCCTACGTTATAGAACTTATCGTCTCAACCGAATCGCCCACTTCAAACATGACGCCTAGCGTTGCTTCATATCCCACACCCGCAACGAATAAAACTTTAGCAGTGGTCGACATCCTTGAGGTCATCTTCGGAGCCTGTCTTGCTTTGGATATTTCGGTGGAATGGCGGAGCCACGTTCGGCAAAAGATGGTCCTTGGGACGATTTGCACGTGCTGGAAATTCGCCTTAGAGTCACTTCCCGCCTTGTGGTCGCACATAATTCTGGTCCCGCGAATGCCTCAGTATTACATCGACAAGGTTTTTCGACTTGCCAAGGCTGCTCCGAAACGTTTGCGCATCGACCTTGACCTGGACTCGGAATTGGATACCATGTTTTTGTCTTCGATTGCCGCTCTGCTGGTTGTCAAAGCGGAGACAGTCACTCATATCTCCGTTCAATATATTTCCTATTCCGCCTGGAACACATTTGTCGACCACCTATCAGCGGCCAGTCCTCAACCCCGCTTTCTCTCGCTCAGATCCTTCTATGTGACTTCTCCTACCGCCCTGCACAACCAACTCGGAGATGCCGTCCCACATTCGTTTCCGGATCTCGCAGCAAACCTCCAAGACCTTTATCTCGACGGATTGCCTCCGTCGTCGTTTGTCGTTGGTCCCAACCTGATATCGATGGCCCTAACAAACCTTTGCTTGGCCGAGGACGATACGGCTTCTTTCACTTTCGCTACGACTTTGCTGGACTCTCTTCGTCAAACTCCCCATCTCGAAACGCTTTTCATTGCTGTGGATGAGTCCTTCACATACCAGCCTGCGCCCCACCAACCAGTCGTTCTGCCTTGCCTACACACCCTATCCTTTCTTTGCAACATGCCCTTTCCACATCACTGCGGTTCCCTGACTTCCCTCATCCATCTTCCGAGACTACACAGTCTCTCATTGCATCTGGCCAGTGTGCATAATACCAACAGGTTCATCTCGGTCAACGGGACCCACCTTTCGAACATTGTTGTGCTGCGTCTCATCGGCGATATTTCGGTCTATATTGAGCTAGCTGATGGTCCAGCAAAGCTCTTGTCCTCGTTGACAGGGAGCAGGCTTCGTCATTTGGACTTCCTTGGGACAGACAGGCTCTTTTCCTTCGACATTGAACAAAAAATTTTTGTTCAAACGCAATTCCTTGAAATTCTCGCGCATACACTTTCTCTTCCGAATGTTCGCCTTGTGGTCATACCGCCATTATTCTGGCCCCCACGTCCAGCCTCGCATGCAAGCTTGATCAGGTCCTTGCTGGAGCCTGTTGCAATGCAGGCCGAACCAAACGCATCCTCGAGGAACATGCATTATGCCTTAGCATGGACAACGATCATTCGAATTGTGGTCGTATGTGGTCCTGGGACGACTGTGGACTTGCATGCGTAAACCAAACCAGTCATTATTGAGATGCTTTACTTTTGATTGTCCAAGTTTACTTAAATGATGTAATATCTACAAACACGCTACACGCCGATATGGTCTCCCTGAGCTTGTAGAAATGTATCTTCTGCTTGAATGTTGGATGGGATAACTTCGTGAGCCCTTCTCAGGCCAAATGAGATGGCGAGAGGAAAGAGACGGTCTCCTGTGGCCATAACGTTACAGTGCAGTTCAGACTTTTTCCGTTGCACAGTCGACTTTCCGCCGGTGACTGTCTTTTGGATTTGCTTTTAGAATGTTTACTCGATGTTCTTATGAGAATAGGTTGAAAACTTCTAGTTATGTACTTGTAGGAAATTTATCCAACGCGTCCACTTCACGTTATGTCTCATTGTCTGGGACTTGACGAAAACCCATATGAATTGCATGAACTATGACTACTTTGACACATCAAATCATTTTTCTCATTTCTAAGAAATTTGTCAATGGCAAAAACCCTCTAAGTAAAATGCAACACACCTATATACATATCATTTCTTCAGTCGGAGTTTCTTTTGATCAAATCACCAATATCAACTTTGGTAAAGAGGACTGCCGAAGGCGCCCGAACCCCATGTGCCACTTGCTCATCCAGAACGGTGAAGCTCACAAGCCCAAGCCATTGCAACGCATCGAGATCCTCATTTTGCTGGGGCGACATCTCCGCCGGATCCATGAGGGAGAGGCGGTCGTGGGCTTCCACCACACCCTTGTGCAACGTCACCAAGTTTTTGAAGCTCACAGCACTGCCAAACCCGGAGATCTGAGATGCCAGCCACTCAATGAATTGACGTAACTCGATCTCTCGCCCCTTGAGTTCAGTTGTTGCCACCACACCCTTCACTGGCCACTGAAAGCCTATCGAGGTGGCCAACAATTTGACAGCCATGACAGTCTGACACTGTTTATAGCCCGTGCCGCATGCTTTCTCGGTGATCGCTTCGAGAGGATGCAAGTCGAGCAACAAAGAATTGAAAAAGCGGCCAATGAGTCATTCGATGGAGTACTCGAACGAGTATTCGGAGTATAGCGCCCAGGATCAATGTATCGGCTTCTTTCGTCAAGAGCGAAAAAATTGTTCGAATTTGTGTCTGAGTAGTTCCAGTCGCCATCCAAGTCCGAGTCGCCATCCAAGTCCAAGTCGCCATCCAAGTCCACATCCAAGTGGAGTTTGAAATCCGAGTTTGGGACTTCCAAGTTGGGGACTGGACTTGACGGAAGTTCAGCAAGGCCATTTGCATTTGGGATCGTCCAGTCATCTTCCTGAGAGCGTAGGTGTATCAGTACGGGAGTAAAGACAGAGCGCAATGGATATTACCTTCAGATGAACTATGAAGCCCGCGTCGTTTGACCACGCAAGAGGTATACATGTCAATTTGCTTGTTTCGGGAAATGGAGGAGAATGCTGAGTCAAGCTTTGAGAATGCCCAAGGACACGAAGGTACGGCGTATCGTTCGTGAAATCCTGTAATCGATCTGAGGTTCCTATGATATAACCCCAGGGGGTATGCCAAGTCCGCGTCAGTTCCTCTCTCTCTAGAAGAATCTGGTCCAAGAGGTCTTCAACGAAAACAGAGTTGAGATCAGGAAAGGGGTTGGGGCTAACTTCGAGAATAAGATCTTCTTGATGACCATTCTTTCGCGTTACATATACGAGCACAACAAAAGTGGATCGAAGCAGGGGCACCCCACGAGCCTCTCTCTTGGTCCAATGGGCTTGGTAGTCGATAGGACTCGAAAATCCCACTTTGAAGTTGGGTGTAACGCGAAGCTGCTCGAGAAGCGAAGATAAAGTTGCTGTAGTATGATCTGTTACGATCGGGCTGACTTGCCCTGCAGGGAGACGGGAGACGTGGGTGCTGAGGTTAAGGCCATCGCGAATCGAAGTATCAGTGGTTGGTGGGGAAATGTGAATAGGATACGCTGATGCCCTGTTCGAGATAGGTATGAAGTCGGGTCTAGCCAAAGGATCTTGGGATGCGTGGTTGAAATCCGTAGCATGCATCCAGCCGATAGGCATCCGTGCGAGATGAGTACTATGCTGTCTATTGTAGACATGGCCTAAATCACCTTTAAGTGAGCTTCTTGAAGTCAAATAAAGGAAATGGCACGAACCGTCGTCGCCATTTGCGGAACCTGATGGTACAGCAACTTGCGCTAGGATCTCGAGAGAGGTAGAGGGTTCTGGCATCGGAAGCTAAGTTGGCACATATAAAAATGCAGGAAATGGACCAACCTTGATGTTCACTGCCAGAGGCGGAGTCCATACGCCGACGCTTGGTAGGCTTCGAGGAAAGCCCGCGATTTCCAGTTTGTTTTCCAGCATTTGTTTGTGATTCACTTTTATCGGGAGGTGCAGGGGACTCAGGGTCTAGTAAACCAGAAGTACACACGGAAAGAAACGCAAAAGATGAACGAACCTTGCTGCTGATTGGTCGAGTTTTTACCTCGACGACTCGAATTCCGTGACTTGGAGGGAGGAAGCACAGGTGGATATCGAATTATTGGTCGGGGTGGTCTTTCACTGCGTCGAACAGTCATATGTGAGTTTTCGAGCGGGTAGTTGCAACAGGTCGGCGTCTTGAACAACAGTCGAGTTTCGAGTATTGGATAAGTCACATCACAGAATTTGTATTCCCACGTAAATTTCCCCTCGGCTAACAGCTCCGACTCATCATCGGACCATTTCTTGGGCTCTTATCTTTTTCGCAATACTTGTGATTCGACCTCTATCTCGCACTTGTGTTGTCTTAGGTGGCTCCTGCACAGAAGTGGCTACACTTTCTGGTAACAACGAGATAGAACCCAGAATGAGAAACAGTGGTCAATCAATGGCGTGAGCGAGCTGTCAAACCTCGAAGTTGTGTGAGAGTGTGACAGTCACACCAGCCTGGTCACACATCCAGACCAAGCATACTTGTTCAGCGTGAATGATGCTGATACAACGGCCCAAGCACCTCTTCCTCGACGACTCACGACAAGTACGTGAAAGGGACCTAAGAACGAGATAGATAACACAGTGGGGAAGGAATCATGGAAAAGGATGCACAAATTTTTGCATTGGAAAGCGATTATACACAACTGTGGTGCGGTTAGCAATGGACACTTAACATCTAGAAACAACGAGCCTCGATGCGAACATGGAGTCTTCCGCCCATGGGCCGCTCGCCCCCGCATATACGTCCTCCTCTGACCCAGGCCACCATCCATCCTGGCTTTTGACAGCTTTCATGATAAACTCGCGACCCCGCGCCATATCCATATCAAGCCCCTCGAGCAACACACTCTGTGTTTGTGCAGAAGGCAACACGGAGTCGACTTCTTCCCTTGAAAAGCAGAGGCGGGTCGGAGAATGTAACAGTGCCCGAAGCGGAAATTTGCGCAAAAGCTTCGGTCTAGACGACACGTTCTATCGTTGAGAGCCCTAAGAGACAAGGCACACACCATGCTCAAAAGCAACGATCGCACATCGTCCCCACCAGCCGAGCAATCTCCGCCAAACCCAGAGCAACATAGGTTGCTGTCAATTTCCGCAACGTCCACCTAGGAGCACGCTCGATCGCCTGAGCGCCAAATTTTTGTCTGCAAAGAACAGCGGCTTCTCCTTGTCCACGAGCCCATGCAACGTTTCGATGTTTTGCGGGTAAGCATTGATGAGCTCGGTGTTAACTGAGTTTTTGAACATGCGAGGCAAGCTTGAATGCGCATATTTGGGAAGCGAGGTCGTCTCTCCGCGAGATGAGTTGGATAAGTCGAAGCTTCTTTAGTGTCTCAAGCTGGAGTGCCAGGCGCTGATCCCGGCACAGTCACACAAATCTCCAAGTATTCCTCCGCCTCCGCCCATCTTTTCAGCATTGCAAGCACGCCACCGAGATAATGATCGACGAGGTTGTCGTTATAAGTGAGGTCGGACAGGAGAGTTGAGACGTTTGCAATGGGAGTGGCGAGAATTGGGAGGGCAGGCAGCACTAGGCTGGCTAGCGACAACGCAGCCTTCGAACAGTATTAGCGGTAGCTATAAAACGCGTTGCAAGCACTAACTTGCAGGAAAACAGGATGGATTGTGGTGACATATGATGTGTCGGGTGGGTAGCGGGTGACAAGATTGAATAGCGGCTGGACAGCCCATGATGCCTATGGAAAGTGATATTAACAGCAACATACGAGCGAAAAGGAGAACACGCGGCCATTGGAGAGCCCATATCGATAGATTCCCTTCGCTAACGCCGTCACTAAAGAAATCAATCAACTTGTCATAGGCTTAACGCGATGGCTATTTCTGCAAACCTCGTTCTGGGGCGAGACGGGCTTATTCAGGTAGGAATGTAGTTATGACCTGGGGATGCACCGAAATCTTGGTAACGCTCAGTCGAACTGCCTTGAAAGCGTGATGAGCAATGGACCAAAACATTTGAAAGAGCACGCACAGGATATACAATTGTTTTGCGTGAGGTCCAGTATTTTCAAAGGATCTTGACCACTCGCAAGTGGACTTGAAAGAAGAGTGTCCCTCGACTCCTTGGGAAGACTGGTTTCCAATGTTTGGTGCAAGGTATTGAGATTAGTTGTGGTGGTAATCTCCTGCAGGATGCGGTCGAGCGACATGTCGGGGCCATGCCAGGCGCTAATGAGTCAAATGTGGTCAAATGGCGGTCGATTGCGGCTTATTAAGACTCACCAAGGAGATCCTAGCCGGTTACAAGTTTGAGGTTGTTGAACGTGAGTTTCTTTTCACGCGAAAGATGATCGTTTCGTCGATCTGGAGAGGTGAAGGAAAAGTGACACGTGACGTGTTACATTTTTTCGCTCGCTGAACTTATCAACTAGGTGGCCCTTTTGGACAGTCGGTTTCGCTGGCATACTTTCGATATGGGCTTGCTTTGTAAGTTCGTTTCCACTCGCCCCGCTCGCTGATGGTTCCCTAGTTTTTGATTTTTGATTTTTTTCGCCGCTCAATGTCTGAACTAGGTGCCTCTTTTTGGAGAGTCGTTTTCGCTGGGGTTTTGCGCTGCTCGTTTCGACATGGGCTTGATCGTACGTCTTCTTCGTTTCCCTCCGGCGCCTGCTGATATCTTATAGTTTTGATTTTCGTCTTCTCCAAAGCTTATCGTATCAACTAGGTCTTCCTCACCATTCCTTTTCTTCGCCTTCGACGCTGCCACTCCTTTCGACAACGCGTTTCGCCATCGGGAATCGGGATCCGGCGCCGGGAATGTGTTTTCGTTTCTCGGGCTTGCGGATGCATACTCGGGCGGCGTTGTCGGAATGGGCTTGGGTGGGTGATACGGATGTGTCTTTGCAACCCACTGTCCACGCTGGCCAGCTATCACTCAATTAGACCTTCCGGCACGCATCTGGGGCGGGGCTGTCGCGGCAAGGGATTCGGGGCACAGGACCGAAACCGTCCCGTCCTCCCCCTCGGCTGCGCGCTCCCCCCTTTGTGCGTCGCTCGCTCTTTCCCGGCCTGATCACAACTGGCAGATTCGACCTTTCGACACGGCCACCGCCAACACGTTCTACGACCCCGCCAGAAACCGTCCGTGCAGTCAGTGTTCGCTGGGGACTGGCAGGGCAAACACTCGTCCAGCGTCGGTCGGCGGCGCGCCTCCCTATCACGTAGTTTGCGGGCATTCGCGCATTGCGCGCTTTACTGCTGCACGCTTCGGGCATTCGGCGTGGAAGGGATCCCTTGCAAATGTCCGCCACGTCCAACTCGTGTGGGGTCCTCAACATTGGCCATCAACTTTCGTCGGCGACGCGTTTTGGTATGTCCCTTTTCCTGCTATGCCCTTACTTCACGCGCTGACCGACTGCAAGCTCCGGCCCTGCGCTCTTGTTATCCATTCGGCACCTGCGTTGTTCTGGCATGCTTTTTCCCGGCTTGGTTTCCCACGTGGTTTTACATGCCCGGGTTTTGATGCCGCCAGACGCGCTGGGGATGTCAATGTACTTGTAGTTGGTAGTTGGAATTCAAAGATTGCTTGTTTTGTATCCCTTGTCTGAGTTGCGTGTCTAATTGTCTGGAAGAGCTCTTTCTTTCTTAACTTGTCGGATTTTGGCTTCCAACGTCGAGTTCTTTCTTTCGTTCACATTTGCTTTTTTTTGGAAGAGGAACGATCACGTGCAAGAGTGCCAACTTTTCCGAGGCAAGTTTCCAACGCGTTTTCAAAGCACAAACAGGATTTTTTCTCATTGCAGGTCTACACTATTCGAAATACAAAGCAAGCACGAGACAAAGCAAACACACATACCAAGCAGTTCGTTCATTTTTCAGCAAGGCACAAACACAATTTCTTCAAACAAACGCGACCACCAGCACTAACATTCAAGTTTTTCGCGCCCGGGCGGTGACCTCGAGCCACGTGAGCCCCGTGCTTCTTTCTCTTGCCCGTTCGTCTGCCTCGTCGTCGGCTGCGCGGTGCCACGGGTCCCAGAATATGCGCCGGAGCGCCTGCCGCCGATCATTGGGCGCGAACTTGTACAGATGGCGCACGGCAGCGAGGGAGGTCAAGTCGTATTCTGCGAAAAGTGCTGTGTGTGGGGAGAGGTCGAGGGAGAGCTGGGAGAGGAAGGCGGTCAGGTCGGGGAGACTGGGCCCTGCGGTGGCGCGGGGATGGGAGATTCGTTTGCCATTGTGGGTGCGTTGGGGGGCTGGACTAGAGTTGAAGCCGCTGATGCCAATAACATCTGGTTGGCGCCTGCGAAGAAGGTCGATGAAGTCGTCGCGAAACTTGCCGACAGTGAGATTGTCCAATTGGGTCTGTTCTCGCATGCGGCCGCGTGGATCGAGATAGACAACGGTAATGACGGGTCGCCTTTGCCCTAAGAGATGGCCAAAACCGAGGGTCGATCGTCTTTCATCTTCACGGTGGGGGTGAGTTTGTAGCCGTTGTTGAAGTCGTCTTGAACAAGTGTCGCTGGCGACAAACGAGGGAGCGACAATGCGAGGTTGTGTTAGTAGTCTTGAATGGCGCCAAGTTGCTGTCGCGTATGAGGCTGCTGCTGCCGGTTGAGACGACATACTCAGTGAGTTTGTAGCCGTGTCGTTGTGGAATCCGCGGATTGATTTTGCCGACGCAGTCCGCAACGAGTTTGCTGCAGAGTTTGAGTCGGTGAGGCCGGGGGGGGGGGGTTACTTCAAGTTGTTTTAGCCGGGAGTGGTGCGGTTACTATAGATGGGGGGCTGTAGTTTTCGTTATTGCCGTTCGAGGGCCATTCGGGGCAGAATCCCAAGCGTTGTCGTCGTTTCCAGACTGCGACAGCCGTCTCGCAGGCCTGCTCGGCGCTGGACCACCGGTGTCGTTTGCTTTCGCCGACATCACTACAAAGGCAGCGCGGACTAGTCTACTAGCTAGGTCAGTCGCTGCCGTTGCCGTTTCAGACCCCAAACTCACCAAACCAGACCGCCAATCAGCACCGCCAAACTCGTCCCGCCAATCGGCCCCGTCTTTGAAAATCTTGTCGCCGTTTGGCAACCGCGACCTCGGTGTCGATGGCAGCGTGGAACAATCTCAGGCCCGATAGCCCTGGGCTGACGACAGCTTCACGTTGTCGCTGTATTCCGCCCCACTCGTTTGTCACACGCCAAAAGCACAACCCCCGGGCAAGAACAACGCTGAAAGGCTCGTTCAAGACGCCTTTAACAACGGCGACAAACTCACCAGCTTCAAATTCTGACAGCCGTCTTACGTCTTGCCAGCAAGAAGGCGGCGCTGCCAGTGGCCTGCTGTTCTGCTCGTTGCTGGCGACAGCGACAGTACCGTTCGGTGTCGTGGACATGACCGCGAAGGCAGCGCGGCCAATCTCCAAGCTTCGTTAGTCGTTGTCCTTGCTGTTCTAGACCCCAAACTCACCAATCCCAACTTAACCTAGTCCCGCTAGTCAACCCATTTTCACTTCCAACGCAATCGCAACCGATACCTCCATTCAAGCTCGTTGTCGAGAGCGGCGGGGACAAGTCTTGAATCAGGTTAGTTGTCGTTGTCAATGCCGTGGACAACAGCACTCACTAAGCATTTCTGAAGCCGACAGCGAAAACAATAATGTTCACTAACCCGCCTTTTTCTGACATAACCAAGGCCAATCTCAAAGGTAGGTTAGTCATTGCCGTTGCCGTTCTAGACCACAAACTCACCAACGCAGACCTCAGATCCTCGGCAATCACCATCGCAAAGTGTCGGGCCTGCCAGTCGGGACTTGTGCGAACAAGTCGCTGCTCTTGTCGTTGTAGGCAATATCTTCCAGCGAGAGTCAGTCATCGTGTTTAGAGTTGTAGACATTAGACTCACCAAGCCCCACTCCAGACTGAGGATACTCCGATTCCAGCTCGTTGTCGACGGCTCGGGCGGGGACGAGTCTTGAATAAGGTTTGTCGTCGTTGTCAATATCGTGGACAACAGCACTAAGCTGCCAAATTGAAACTGGAGACAGCGAAGACAACAGTGTTCGCTAACCCGCCCTTTTCCGACATAATTGCCAAGGCCAATCTAAAAGGTAGGTTAATCGTTGCCGTTGCCGTTTTATACCGCAAACTCACCAACCCAGACCTCAAATCCCCTAGACTCGAGCCAGTCGTTATTGGTGTGACCTCTGGCGGTGATCGTGCTTGCCCTTTCATCCGCCGTTGGGTGCTGGCATAAGCGAGCCTACAAATCCCCCCGTCAATCACCAAGTCCAAGCCAGCCCAGTCCCGCCAGTCGGGACTTCTGTCGGTTGTCGGCAATATCTTCAAGTACTGCGAGTCAAGCTTGTCGTCGAGAGCAACGAGGACAAGTCTTCAAGGAGGTTAGTCTTCATCGTCAATGTCTTGGACAGTAGCGCTCACTCAAGGTGCCAACTTGAAGGAGAATATGTCCAAATAGACATCGGCGCTGACGTCCTTGACAGTGTTATGGGTGAACGAAACGAAGTAATGAACCACATACCGAGGACAACGACCTCAAAGTCGTCAGGCGGGGTGCGGGTGTAGGCGCGAGGGGGGAACTAGATACGCGCTGTCAGTATATTAACAGTATGCCGGTAACAATGACTGGGGTGACATCGACTCGCTATGGTTGAAAGTTGGTCAGTACATGCGTCGAGGAAGAGACAAAAAACGAGCCTTTCGTAGTTCATCGGCACACCGCTGGGCAAGAGCATCTTCAACCTCATCGCGGCAATGTTCTCTGATCCATTTAGCGCCCATGGGTAACAAATGCTGCTCCAGAACTTCTCGAACGACCAAACTCCCCTGTTCGTTCCATGCTCGTGCCGATTCACTGAAACTGTCTGATTCGAATGCGGTCGTCAACCTTCGTTCGAATCTCCCTTTGGCTTCGTCCGCTAAGGAAATAGATATCGTGATTAAATTCTTCTCTTCGGCTTTGAGCATATGCAGGAATGTTTTCGAGATATTTGAAGTCAGTTAAAACACACATTGTTTGAATTGGTAGCTCACCAGACAAAGAGAGATGTTTGGGGCAATCTGAGAAGAAGAAATCCCCAGGAGCAAATAGCACAGAGCATATTTTTCTGAGCGACCAGATGGAACAGCGGAAAATCGGAGAGTTTTGTTTCAGGGTTACAATTGGTTGCTACCACTAACACTGAGTACAGCAGGGAATCCCTCTGCATACCATCGAGGGAAGTGTATGGACAGGTACTGTAGAAGATAAGTCAGTGATTTATATGAGTTGGTAGCTCCCCAAGCAGAGAGAGAGTGTGTGTGTGACGGCGGTCATTGACCTGTTTCAGCACATCAATACTGATTGGGTTATCATATGTACTTGAATTATCTAAGCGAGCACTTCATGAACTTGGGCGCAGCCAGTTCACCAAGGCAGTTTTGTTCAAAAGGTTATATGTAGTTAAGAATGTTAGAAGGTATCGAATGTTTGTAAGAGTTGTTACTTGTCAAGAATGTTGAGTATAGTATATGAGATCGATCATCAGATTTGGCGCGGAGCATGGGTACTTTCGACTTTCGAAGTTTCAAGGCAAACGTAGGGATGGATCGGGACAGACGACAAGTTCAAAAAGCATGATAAGCCCAGTTGGATGATCCAGTGCCCCAGTTATTTTCCTCAGATGTGAATCGCTGAGAAGGGAAGGGCTCTGGCAATGGCACCATCGCAGACCCGGAGACAATTTCGTGTCCGTTGAACGATCCAACGGCCCAGTTGTTTCCGTCGAGGGTGTATGACTGAGAGGAAGGGAAGGGCTCTGCCGATGGCACCATCGCAGAGGCATGGTCCTGGGACATTTCGTATCCGTTGAACGATCCCGCAGCCCAGTTGTTTCCGTCGAAGGTGTATGACTGAGAGGAAGGGAAGGGCTCTGCCGATGGCACCATCGCAGAGGCATGGTCCTGGGACATTTCATATCCGTTGAACGATCCAGCAGCCCAGTTGTTTCCGTCGAAGGTGTATGACTGAGAGGAAGGGAAGGGCTCTGCCGATGGCACCATTGCGTGTGCTTGGAGTGGCGGAACAGAGGTGGTGCCGACAGGTCGTGGCGCAGCCATAGGCTCAGAGCAGGGGACAGTGACGAGCATTGGTGCATAGGGGGCGGAAACTGGTGGGAACCCAGCCAGATCTTCCCGGGAGGGGTCTGGCAAGATGGTCTGCGTGGAGGTCGCATTGTTCGCGACAGTGATATGTTGGGACTGGACGCTTGCTTTAGAACGCTTGGGGACACCAGGGGCTTGAGCGTTACTGGGGGTCTTCTTGCGCTTGAATTGGGACCTCCAGCCAGGTGGACGCACACAAAATTGTCCGTTTCTCATCTCGTTGCACCTGACACAGACTTGATCAGGACGAGAGCGGCTGCAGGGTCGGTGAGCATCCGAACAGCTGGTGCAAGCCATCCCTGACGGGGCCATTTTTCGTGGGGCCATTTTTCGCGTGGCCATTTGTCGCATGGCTGAGTTGGACGAGGGTGCTGACAGTTTGGCTGGGGGTTATATATGAGGCCCAAATAAATGGGAAAGTGAGCGGCGGGAGGGCGCACTTGATTGATTAAGTGATGGAAACCGGACATCGAGGCGGCAGAAGTCGATGCCATTGGCCAGGATTAAGCTCTCAGGGTTCGGATTCCGCTCGAGTTCCGTTCTTTCTCTTTACCATCAGACAGGCAACGGCAAGGAATGGAGGCAGACGCGAATCGATAATCAATTCAAGGGTCGATGCTTGCGTGGAATTCTCCCGACTTGAAGGTGAGCAGGGAAGCCCGCTGCTCGCCACATTGGGAGTGCTGGTAGCTGAGATAGCAGCAGACTAAGAGCTTGGGAATTGAAAGCGCGAGCAGCCGTATGGGCTCCATTAGTTTAGAGCATATTGTGATCCACGCAATGCGATGCCCACTGGATTTAAGAGCGCGCATTAGATTTTTTCAAAGTGTAGGAATAAAACACGCACGAATTGTCCTTGGTGGAGACGAACAGGGAAACGCCTGGACGGCGCGAAAAAAGATTTGAAGCAGCATTTAGAGCGTCTGTAGCAGCCAACGTGGCGGTAAACTGAGGCGTTGCGAGCTTGCATGAAATTCTAGGCCGGAATTAGCCACAACGGATATTCTCAAGGACAACTCTTGTGGGAGAATTGGGCGTCAGGGTTGGAGGACGAAGACTTGCTGCCCAACCGTGACGAACCAAAGGTGGGTTCGCTCTTGGCTAGTCCAACGACAACCGCTGGAGGGTCGTACTCTGGACTTGAGCAAAGAGACCCGTGGTGTGAAGAATTGGATGTTAAAAGCGAGAGTATTGTCGGTCGATATGGACTCCGTTAGTTCAGAGCACATTGAATGTTTGTTCAACGCGAGGCCCACTGGATTTGAGAGCGCGATTAGATATTTAAAAGTGGAGAATTAAGCACGCACGAAGTATTGTCCTTGGTGGGGGTGAACAGGGAAACCCGCCGTTCGTCGCATGGGGAGAGCTGCTGGCCGAGATATCAGCAGACGATGTGGCAGTAGACTGAGGCGTTGCGAGAACGTCTAGGCCAGAATTAGCGACGGATGATATTCAACAAGGACAACTCTTACTTGTGGGAGAATTTAGCGTCAGGATTAAAGGACGAAGCCTTGCTGCGCAACCGTGACGAACCAAACGTGGGTTCGCTCTTGGTTCGTCCAACGACAACCGCTGGAGGGTCGCGCTCTGGACCTTGGGCGTTTGCACGAAGCCTTGGAATTGTGATGTCACGACTCGGATATGATCATGTGACAGGCCGCCTTCCGACATCCGCTCAATGTTGAACAGTGGGTTTCCCTGCTCACTTTCGGGCAGGCTGGACGGATTTGCCACCTCTTGGCCGTTTACCGCAACTAGGCAAGATGATGGGGTCTCGGCGAAAGAAAACAAGTGCGCAATCACGAACCAAAGCCATGGCTAGAGGTCCAGAAATTCACTTTGAATCGCAACGAATAGGATCGTAGCTGGGTCAAGCAAAACCTCGGAAGTGTTTTTCGCTTGCCTTGAGGAAGCCGAGCGGGTCCCGCGTCTCCTTCAAATTAAACATAATCTCTTGTCTCAACTTGCTTGCGACCACCACCACTATCTACTCCAGATGCCATCCCCAGTCTGCCAAAAACCTCCTCCCGGCTATCGTACGTGAACTCGCATCGCCCGTCTATTACGCATAACTAGTTTGGGCTGGGTGAGTGCTAACTCAATGAACGACGACAACATCTGACTTCACATAGACTGTCCCTCGTAATTTGCTCACTGATTTACCGACTATCCGACGCGTCTTCGGGCCTCTATGGCAAATTGCATGATCATGCTATTCGGAACTCTCCAGACAGCGGAACTCTTCGAAGACCGGAAGTTTTCGAAGCGGAAACTCGCTCTGGTCCATATAAACAGGCAGATCGAATGTCGAGAGCGCCTACATTATAAAACTTATCGTCCCAACCGACCGCCGCACTTCAAACATGGCGCCTTGCGTCAATTCACCTCCCACACCCGCAACGAATAAAGCTTTGGCAACGTTCGACATCCTTGGGGTCATCTTCGAAGCCTGCCTCGCCTTGGATATCTCCATCACATGGCAGAACGACGTTCGGCAAAAGATGGCTCTTGGAGCGGTGTGCGGGTGTTGGAAACTCGCCTTGGAGTCTATTGCCACCTTATGGTCGCACATAATTCTGGTCCCGCGAATGCCTCAGTACTACATCAACAAGGTTTTTTGGCTTGCCCGGGCAGCTCCAAACGATTGCGCATCGACCTTGACCTGGACTCGGAATTGGATATCATGTTTTTGTCTTCGATTGCCGCTCTGCTGGGTGCCAAAGCGGAGACAGTCACACATATCTCCCTGCAGTATTGCTCCCACTCCGCCTGGGACATCTTTGTTGACCACTTATTGGCCGTCAAACCTCAACCAACCTTCGCCTCGCTCGAGGAATTCTCCGCCACTCCGATCTCTTTGGGTGAATGTGAATTTGACATCGAGCCCCCTCCGTTGTTGGGTCTTGCCGTTGGATTTTGCCATCTCAATGAGTCATCTCCTCGCCCATTTTTAGTTGCCCCTCATATCACATCATTGGCCTTGACACATGTCAATGGCCCCGTCGCTCCGATTTTGCTATGGACCTACTCGACTGCCTTCGCCAGACTCCCAGCCTCGAAACCCTTGCTCTCGATATCAATGAGCCCCTCGTTGCCAAGTCTACTTCCCACCATCCAATCATTCTTCTTCGCCTGAACCACTTGACATTTCTTTGCAACACGCTCTACCCTCACGCTTGCGGATCGTTGATCTCCCCGATGTACACCCCCAACTACGGGCCCTTTCATTGCGACTTGCTAGCGTGCACAATACGGACGACTTTCTCTCGCTAAATAAAACTCGCCTTCATAGCGTCACTTTCTTGCGTCTAATTGGGGATATTTCCGCATATATGGAGTTTATTGGCGGTCAAGTAAGGCTTTTGCCTTCCTTGATGGGGACTCGACTCCGACATTTGGATCTCCTTGATCTGGGGATCCAGGTTTTGGTTGGCGACCAATTTGTCGAAATTCTTGCACACGCCCTTTCCTTTCAGGCCATTCGCCTTATAGTCATACGGCAGTTGAATTTGCCGCAACGGCCGGACCAGATTGGCATCCTGTGGTCCTTGCTCAAACCTGCTTCAATCGATGCCCCAACAAAAATCATTGTCATGGAACACGTTCTGTGCCAAGGCCTGGCGGATGAGGAACATTCGGCTTGCGCTTCCATGTGGTCTTGGGAACATGGACTTCGTTCAACATGGCGAGCCAGCCACTCCAAGCTTTCCTAAGTCCATGACTAGACCAAGTACGAGCGTGTTGTACACTTCCACTGGAATAAACCTCGATGTACATAGTAGCTTTCCGCCTCACCCGCAATTTTTTTTCTGCTGTGTCATAAGTTCGGTTCGGAACAAGGGCTTGGAAGTAGCCTAAGCCAAGAGATAAAAGAGGCGTTTGAGCTGTTTGACACAGACAAGGATGGGGCCATCGACTACCACGAGCTTAAAGTCGCGATGCGGGCGTTGGGATTCGACATGAAGAAGGCCGAGGTGTTCAAGCTGTTGAGGGACCACCACAAGAACGGCCAGGGCGTGATGGAGTTTGAAGATTTTGCGAGAATAAGTGCGTTGTTCCTTCTCTTGTTGTTCTCCTAGATTGACTGGCTCAGTGGCGGACCGCATACTTGCGCGTGACCCTATGGATGAAATACGACAAGCATTCCAGCCGTTTGACGACGACAACACTGGGAAGATATCGTCGAGGAATTTGCGTCGAGTGGCGAAGGAAATTGGAGACAGATTGGAGGATGACGAGCTGTACGTTTGCCTGCTTTTATTTCTTCGCGCGTCTGACTTGTTTCAGACAAGCGATGATAGATGAATTTGACCTCGACCAGGACGGCGAGATCAGCGAGCAAGAGTTCTTTGCGAGACGATTTGACTTGCGTCTCACTTGCCAGAGTTTTTTATTCACATTTACAATAGGTATTGTATTGCTGTCTGTACCACTTTCCACTGTATACTAGACAATTTACTTGGTCTGAACAACCTGCCACTCAGCATTTGCTCAGCATCCTTACCCTCTCCACGGTTTCCCATCCTTCAGCAGCTCTAAAAGCTGGTTTTCGCGGTCTTGGCGGTGGGCTATATAGGTCTCTATAAGCTCCTTTCCATGGCCAGGGTACAACTTGTCGGCACCCTGCTCCCTCGCAAACGTTAACATTCGCTGGACACTTGAGAGCGAAGGCCTGTCAAAGCACGTGCCAACCAACTCTTTACGCCTCGACGCGTAGACACAAACGACCATGGAGGCTAGTCCCTCCAGTACCCACATTTTTCGGTCTACTAACTCTTATTAGGCCTTTGCGCCTGGCAACTCCTCGACGGCAGCCGCGTCACATTCATTACCTTCGTCCAGAACCTGAAGAAGAAGACCAAAACATAAGCACCCATTATAGACCTCTGTGAAAGTGGGGAGAAGACACTACACCGGTTCAGATATCAGTTCCCGGATGACTGGCTGTACAGCGACCAACTGCGTGGGGAGTGGAGCGCCTACAATGAGATATTGAAGAGAAAGAACGACTCCATTCAGGAGCAACTCGGTGCGTCCCCAATTGTCCCTCCCACTCGTCTACTCATGCTGTAATAGCCGGCCTGCAACTCAAGATCGTCGCCGAGGACAAAATCGTCGAGAACAAGATCAACGACATTATTTCAGAGTGGGAGCAAACTCGTCCTGTCCAGGGCAACATGCGCGCAGACATCGCCATGAACACAATCAAATCAATGTCTTCGAGGGAAAGCTTAATCGAGTACAGGACGACTACGACCTCCTTTGTCGGGCGAAAGAAGCCCTTGACCTTGAATTTGTCCGCCACACGGTCTCGAGCCTGTCTTCGAAGAGTTACGTGACCTCACAAGTGTTTGGACCGCCCTCTCCGGCGTGTGGAGCCAGATTTCTGAGCTTCGGGAGATGCTTTGGTCGACCCGTCCAGCCAAGAAAATTGCGACAACAAATCGACGGGCTGATTCAGTCAACGGGCAAGATGCCAACGCGGATGCGTCAATATGCAGCCTTCGAATATGTCCGGGACGTATTGAAGGGGCTCCTCAAGTCTAACTCTGTCGTTTCAGAGCTGCAATCAGAGGCTATGAAGGACAGACACTGGAAGTAGCTTTTCAAAGCACTCCGGATGCCTGCTGCTATTCCAATGCCAATGTTCGCTCATCGTTATGCTCGTCCGTAGCTTCTCTTACCGAGATTCTGTAGCATGACCCTTGGCCACCGTCTACGATATGGACCTCAAGAAGAACGAAAAGCGTCATCAAGGAAGTTATCATTCAAGCGCAGGGAGAGGTAGATTTCTCCAACCTTTCGCTTGATATATGCTCAAGTCTTTTCCAGATGGCTCTCGAGGAATACATCAAGCAAGTCAAGGAGACCTAGACCAGCTACACGCTAGACTTGGTCAACTATCAAACAAAGTGTCGCCTGATCAGGTATGTGTATCATCTTCCGGTCAACATGTACATTTTCTGAAACACTCCTTAGAGGTTGGGACGATCTTTTCACCAAGTGTAGCGAGAACCTCAACTCGCTTACCGCCATGAAACTTTCTCCCTATTATAAAGGTCATTTTATTTCCCCGTCCCAGTCCAATTAAATAATGGTACTGCAGTTTTTGAGGAGGAGGCTGCGTCTTGGGAAGAGAAGCTCAACCGAATCCATGTCTTGTTCGGTACTTTGTTCATCGCATGATGCTATGTTCGCTACTGATTCGATTTTTAGATGTGTGGATTGACGTTCAGCGCCAGTGGGTATATCTCGAGGGCATTTTCTCTGGAAGTACCGATATCAAGCATCTGCTTCCGGTTGAGAGCGGTCGCTTTCAAACATCAACGCGGAGTTCCTCACCGTCATGAAGAAAGTCTACAAGTCCCCCTTCGTGCTGGATGTCTTGAACATTCAGGGAGTTCAGAAGAGTTTGGAGCGACTCGCAGACCTGTTGAACAAGATTCAAAAGGCACTGGGAGAATACCTCGAACGAGAGCGGTCTTCGTTCCCCGGTTTTACTTTGTTGGTGACGAGGATTTGCTGGAGATGATTGGTAACAGCAAGGATATCCTCCGCATCATGAAGCATCTGAAAAAGATGTTTGCCGGAATCTCAACGGTTATGTTGGACGAAGACCTGACCCAAATCCAAGGCATGGCTTCGAGAGAGGGGCGAAAAGGTGCCGTTTACGACACCCATTCTGCTGAAAGATTTCCCCAAGATCAATGACTGGCTGGCTCGCAAAAATCGAATCCATGATGCGCCTTTCCTTGGCGGACCTGCTCACAGACGCTGTTGGCGAGTTACAATCGTTTTACGGCACCGGATCGTCTCTTCCAATGGATCAATTTATGGCTTGGATGGAGAAATACCCAGCGCAGTTGGTGACTCTTGCCATTCAAGTTGCCTGGACGGCTGCTGTCCAGTCATCGCTCGAATCGAGGACTGCACCAGATGCCGCGCTGCAAACTGTTACGCAGGCTCTTGATTTGCTCGCCGACATCGTCTTGCAAGAGCTTATACCTGTCACTCGTCGCAAGTGCGAGCACCTTATCACAGAATTGGTCCATCAACGAGAGTCACTCGAACACTGATTGCTGATAAAGTGCTTGACCCAGCTGGTTTTACATGGTTATCCCAAATGCGATTTTACCTGGATCGCTCCGTGGAGAATCCTCTCGAACGTTTGGCTATCAAGGTGGCGGACGCTTCCTTCCCTTATGGTTGGGAATACCTTAGTGTCCCAGATCGGCTCGTCCAGACACCACTCACGGACCGTGTCTACCTAACACTCACGCAAGCACTCGACAATCAACTTGGTGGCGCTCCATTCGGTCCTGCTGGCACAGGTGAGCCCATTTTTTACATCCTTCACTTTCATCTGACATTTTTTTAGGTAAAACCGAGTCCGTCAAAGCTCTTGGTGTCCAACTTGGGCGTTTTGTGCTCGTATTCTGTTGCGATGAAACATTTGACTTCCAGGCAATGGGTCGTATTTTCATCGGTCTGTGTCAAGTCGGTGCCTGGGGATGTTTCGACGAGTTCAATCGACTCAAAGAGCGTATTCTCAGCGCAGTTTCACAACAAGTCCACAGCATTCAGCAAGGTCTTGCCTCGCTCGTCAGGAACCCCGACACGGAGATCGAGTTGGTCGGCAAGAAGTTGAAGATTAACAAGAACATGGGTTTGTTTCCACTCTTGTGTCGTAAATGGTAACCCATTTGTGTAGGCATCTTCATTACCACCATTCCCAACTATGCAGGTCGTTCTCAACTGCCTCCCAATTTGATCAAACTCTTCCGGCCGTGAGTATCCCCTATTCGCTCGAAATTTGTCTCATGGAACCGCAGAATGGCTATGACACGCCCCGATCGCGAGCTTATTGCTCAAGTCATGTTATTCTCGCAAGGTTTCCGTACTGCGGAGTCCCTCGCATCGAAAATTGTTCCCTTCTTCAACCTTTGCGACGAACAGTTATCACCGCAACCTCATTACGACTTCGGTTTGCGAGCCCTGAAGGTTGTGTTAGCTAGTGCTGTTATTCTCAAACGTGAACGTTTGCTCAGCGCACGAGCCGATGCGGGGAATGATGACACCGTTGTTGAGCTATCGGATGGGATTTGGGAGCAAATCATCCAAAGTGTCACCGAAACGATTGTCCCCAAGTTGGTCGCAGGCGATGTTCCCCTTCTTACTAAGTGAGTCTTGTTTGGCTTGTCTTGTTATCACGAATCTAATCCGATTTTAGCCTTTTAGCTGACGTTTTCCCTGGCGTCGATTACCTACCAGTCGATCTCGATAAGCTACGCGAACAAATTCTCTTAGTGTGTGCAGAGCGCCGTCTCACACCTAGCGACAAATGGATCGCGAAGATTCTGCAACTATATCAGATCCAGAAAACTCAGCATGGTCTGATGATGGTGGGGCCATCGGGAACTGGCAAGACGAACGCATGGCAGGTCTTACTGGCTGCTCTCGAACGACTGGATGGGGTTGAAGGTGTACCCTATGTCATCGATCCCAAGGCCATGGATAAGGAAGCGCTCTATGGTACTCTGGATGCAACGACACGTGAATGGAATGATGGTCTGTTTAGGCATATTCTGCGTAAAATCGTGGACGACGTACGTGGCGAAAGTGGCAAACGCCATTGGATCATCTTCGATGGAGATGTTGACCCAGAATGGGTAGAGAATCTGAACAGGTCGGTTTTGAAGTTGATTTTCTTTCTCGTCTGACGTCTTCTGGTCAGTGTCCTCGACGACAACAAGCTTCTAACGCTTCCCAATGGTGAACGTCTGAATTTGCCTCCTAACGTGCGCATTATGTTCGAAGTTGAGCATCTCAAGTATGCGACCTTGGCCACCGTCAGTCGTTGCGGTATGATTTGGTTCAGCGAAGACGTCATCGATCCTCAAATGGTCTATCGACACTATCTCGAGACACTCGCCGCCCCTCGACGCTGACGACGAAGACGCGGGTGATATAATTGAGCGCAGGGTCGATCCATCAGCAAGCGAAGCCGACAACCTGGCGACACAAAAGGAAGTCGCGTCCATCTTAGAGCAATACTTCGAGGATGGAGAACTGGTCAGCAACGCTTTGACATTTGCAGACTCCATCGAACATATCATGGACTTCACTGTGACTCGTGCTCTCAGCACTCTCTTCTCGCTTCTCAACAAGACAGTTCGCAATATCATCGAGTACAACATCCAGCACCCTGACTTCCCGTTGTCACATGACCGCGTCGAGCAATACGTGACCAAGCGACTCTTAGTCAGCATCATTTGGGCATTCTCTGGCGATGCCAAACTCGACCTGCGCGCTGAAATGGGCGAATTCCTGCGTAAGCAAACCAGCATCGACCTTCCGCCTCTTTAACAGGGTAGCTCGCTCATTGGCTTCGATGTCCAAATCTCCAATGGCGAGTGGATTGCCTGGCAATCCAAAGTTCCTGTTATCGACATTGAACCCTATGCGGTCACCGCGTCTGACGTGGTCATTCCAACGATGGACACTGTGCGTCACGAGGAGGTTTTATACTCGTGGCTGTCGGAGCACAAGCCACTGATGCTTTGCGGTCCTCCTGGTTCTGGAAAGACCATGACCCTGTTCAGCGCTCTTCGCAAGTTACCCGATATGGAGGTTGCTGGCCTCAACTTTTCCAGTGCGACAACCCCTGAACTCATACTCAAGACATTCGAGCAATATTGTGAATACCGCAAGACTCCCAATGGTGTGATTCTCGCCCGGTTCAGATTGGCCGCTGGCTTGTAGTGTTTTGCGATGAGATCAACTTGCCCGCGCCGGACAAGTATGGGACCCAGCGCGTTATTTCTTTCATCCGTCGATTGGTTGAAAGTGGTGGTTATTGGCGAACTTCCGATATGGCTTGGATCAAGCTGAAGCGTATCCAGTTTGTTGGGGCTTGTAACCCACCCACTGATCCTGGTCGAGTTCCGCTCACCCATCGTTTCCTCCGTCATGCGCCACTGGTCATGGTCGACTATCCTGGAGAAGTTTCCCTCAAACAAATCTACGGGACCTACAACCGCGGGTTCTCAAAGTTGTTCCCAATCTACGGGCTTACGCGGAGCCTCTCACCGATGCCATGGTCGCATTCTATCTCGCGTCGCAGAAACGCTTCACTACAGACGTGCAAGCCCATTACGTCTACAGTCCACGTGAACTGACTCGTTGGGTTCGTGGTATTTACGAGGCAATCCGGCCTCTGGAAATCCTGGCAGTCGAAGGGCTTGTTCGTGTCTGGCTCATGAAGCACTTCGATTGTTCCAAGATCGACTTGTAACGGAAGAAGAGAAATTGTGGACCGACGAGAACATCGATTCGAATGCGATGGAAAACTTCCCAACGATCAATCGCGAAGAGGCTCTGGGGCGGCCCATTCTGTTCTCCAATTGGACGTCCAAGAACTATATATATCGTATTGACCGTGTCTTCCGACAAGTTCAAGGCCATCTTTTGTTGATTGGTGTCAGTGGAAGCGGAAAGGTTTGTCGGTCTGTTTGTGCGATATTCGTGCTTACTTTCTACCTAGACTACATTGTCCCGCTTTGTTGCCTAGAAGGTCTCCAACAAATATACCGGACCTGTCGCTTTGACGTTCTCCCTGTCCTCCAATACCTCTATTTTGATTCCAAGACAAACCCGGGACCATGGAATGCCCTTGGAGCTCGGGCGAGTACATCAATTGGGTTCTTTTCTCTGGCTCATCTCTTTTTTCATAGCTCGCGAAGGCTGCACATGACGCACGAACTCAAGACACGAATACTTTCAAGAATAATCTCCGCATTTTACTGCCCGTCCACAATTCTGACTTCTTCTATCCCCCCATCGAAGTCGGACTAAGCAAATCACGGCGGGGTTTGGCCCATCCACAACTTCGCATGCTGATCATGCCATGGAAGGATCGCATTCATTTTCCCGCTCTCGTCTATGGCCAACCTACGTTGTAAGCAGTCTCTTCTTCTGCACACTTCTTTCTCAAGTGCTATAGGTCACCGGTTCCTCTCTCGTAAATTTTCCTCCTCTCTTTCGTGCAGTTTCGCTCAAACCATTTCAGAACCGAAGCCCAAATGTATCTCTGCTGGTGTTTCTAGCAAACACATGACGCTCGGTATCCCTCGTCTAGAGGAAATTATCAATGACGCCTTCTCACTGTCTACCTCCAACCGCATCTCTCGGTCAACCGCAATCTTGCGTTGACTGTCGCTCACGAACGTCCTTGCGAACCATCGATCCCGGCTCGACAATCATTGAGGAGGTCGAGTTCAAGTTACATTTACTGTCTCCATGGATCCTTCGTCCTGAATTAAACCTCAATAAGATGGTCGGCAAACTCATAATGCAACATATCGCGAGGAAGCTTCAAGACGGATCTGTTCGCCATCTGGATAAACGGCCCGGGTGTGAAGGGCATTCGTCAAGTGTTTTTTGGTTGAGCACGACAAGGTCGTGACAGAGGACGACGGCGAGATTGCTCTTCTCAAATGAGAGGCATGGCTTTTGGAGACCGCCCTCAAGAAGAGAATCCCTGCATCAAAAACTAAAATCAGTCACGTGGACCGGTCCGCAGGACTCCGCTCACGCAGCGAGCGATTCTCGAAAGAACGTCGGGTACGAGACTAAGAGCGGCGCCGATTTACCGATGACTCGTCAGAATGCATCACCCTCTTCCATCAACTCTCCCATCAACTAACACAACCATATAAATGGGTGCGTCCGCCGGGCGTCAGGGTCGCCACAAACCGTGCACCTCAGAGTCCGCGCTCGGTTTATAAGCCCTTAACGTGGGTGAAGCTTTGAAGGACCAACGCTGCTTGTCACTACCATTTTTCCTCGCTTCAGTTTGAAGTGCGTCTCGATAGTGCATCATCAATGACCACTGCTGACCCTGGCGCCCAGCTCGTTATAATCCGTAATTCTCTCCAAACCCCGCTATGGAAGCTCCAATGTCCGACCTCAGCCCCCGCTCTCTTACATTCACATTCACACTCATTCACGGTAACGAAGCCGACGACTTGTACTCTAGCTTTCTCAAACGTACTATGGAGTCGAGAAGACGGTTAATTTGGAAGAAACCGACCCGCCTATGAACGACCACAGAACCTTGGTGCTTGGTTTCGATGGGACTGGTGATCAGTTTGACGACGATGTGCGTTAACTTGACCCACTCTTTCAACGCGGTGCTGACTGAAGGACGAATTAGAACTCCAATGTGGTCAATGTCTTTTCCCTTCTCAAGAAATACGACCCCAGCAAACAGCTTGTGGACCATCAGGTACCGGCACAAATTATATCCACGAATCGCTGTTTGACTACAATATTCCCTAAGTTACTCGTCCCTGGATGGCCAAACTTCATCGCGGGTCCATGCGATGTTGGGAAGCCACCTCAACTCACATGTTATGGCGGGCTACGAGTTCTTGATGCAGAATTGTGCGTTCTTGTCCCTATCAACGTCGGTAACTGACCTGGCAGATGGATGAGCACGGAGACAAGATTTGTATGTTTAAGTTTTCTCGCGGCGCCTACGTATGTCCTCCCACGGCAAGACACTCCGTTTTCCTGATTATTTTAGACTGTGGGCGCTTACCGGAATGTACGTGGTCTTTTTCGGCACTCTGCTGATATTCAATCATCTTCGTAGACTGCACCAAGTCAGTCCTAGCTCTGCTAACCCGAAGTGCCCGTCTAACCATCGACAGATCGGTCTGCTACCCAAATGCAACCACCAGCAAGTTCCCTTCGCCTACAACCCGCAGGAGAAAAGTGATGCCCGACTCGTCCTGGTTGATCGATATCGAGTCGTGCAGTTTGTGTTGTTGCCCCGTAAACTTGGTAGTCTTCAGGTAATCACAGGCGGTTTTCGCGTTTCCTTTACTTATATTCCGACTCAGGCTTGACAAAATGATAAATCTCTGAATTTCGGTGTCACGCGACGTGACAGTCACATGTACAGCAAATTCGTGACTGTGACGGTGACTGCCTCTCTCTCTCCCTGCTTTGTGAGCACGATGCCAACTCAGACAGATTACTGGCTTATCTTCTACAGTGCATGTACATACACTTCCCCCAGACCTGCTGCACCTGTCCTAGTGATAGCACCGAATTCTGAATCTCTGAAACAAACTCTCTGATTTCCCCATCTGGTTGCTCAGAAAAATATGCTCTGTGCTATTTGCTCCTGGAGCTTTCCTTCTCAGATTGTCCAGAAAGCATCTCTTTCTTTCTGGTGAGCTACCAATCCAAACAGTGTGTTTTAACTGACTATCTTCTACAGTACATGTCCACACAGTTCCCCAGAGGGTATGCAGAGGGATGCCCTGCTGTAAATTGTGTTAGTGGTAGCAATCAATTGTAACCTTCGAACACGCTCTCCGATTTCCCGCTACTCCATCTTGTCCAGAAAACATCTCTCTCTGTCTGGTGAGCTACCAATCCAAACAGTGTGCGTTTTAACTGACTATCTTCTACAGTACATGTCCACACAGTTCCCCAGAGGGTATGCAGAGGGATGCCCTGCTGTAAATTGTGTTAGTGGTAGCAATCAATTGTAACCTTCGAACACGCTCTCCGATTTCCCGCTACTCCATCTTGTCCAGAAAACATCTCTCTCTGTCTGGTGAGCTACCAATCCAAACAGTGTGTGTTTTAACTGACTATTTTCTACAGTACATGTCCACACAGTTCCCCAGAGGGTATGCAGAGGGATGCCCTGCTGTAAATTGTGTTAGTGGTAGCAATCAATTGTAACCTTCGAACACGCTCTCCGATTTCCCGCTACTCCATCTTGTCCAGAAAACATCTCTCTCTGTCTGGTGAGCTACCAATCCAAACAGTGTGTGTTTTAACTGACTATTTTCTACAGTACATGTCCACACAGTTCCCCAGAGGGTATGCAGAGGGATGCCCTGCTGTAAATTGTGTTAGTGGTAGCAATCAATTGTAACCTTCGAACACGCTCTCCGATTTCCCGCTACTCCATCTTGTCCAGAAAACATCTCTCTCTGTCTGGTGAGCTACCAATCCAAACAGTGTGTGTTTTAACTGACTATTTTCTACAGTACATGTCCACACAGTTCCCCAGAGGGTATGCAGAGGGATGCCCTGCTGTACTTTGTGTTAGTGGTAGCAATTCATTGTAACCTTCGAACACGCTCTCCGATTTCCCGCCATCTCATCAATTTCGTGATTGAGAAAGATCTACTCTACACTCATGCAACTGGGCAGTTGAACTACACGACTTACGATCTTTGGCGAGACCAAGATCTATTGAACCGGACGCGAAGGTTTGTTCTTGTTCATGCCCAAGATCATGTCGACCCTCATCGTTACTGGTATGGGCATATTCCATGCCTATGTGTCCCTGACGGATGGGGCCGCAAAACCCCGAACCGCCTCGAATCCTCAAAACATCGTTCGGGGCTGCCATTTGATTCCTGCATTATAACACGGTCGGACTGACGCCTATCTGCCCAAGTTTATTGCTCGACGTGAAGGTTTGGATGACTGGCAATCCTACTATAAATATGTGCGTTGATCATCGACACAACATATTTGTACGTGGTCTGGTCTATGTTCCTCATTACCACTGAGATCTCATCTAGTGTGTAACTTGTTTGTAGTAGTCCCAAAGCAAGATAGTCACCGTCACTCGCCATCGTCACCGCCCTGCCCGCCATCGCATTACCCACCATCGATGTCAACTCACATCCACTCCCTCACCCTACGGACCACTTGGCCAGCACACTCCCAAGACGGTTCGGGCGCTGTTTATGCTTTGGCCGTCCCTAATGAAGCAACGGGCCGCTGGATGCTCAAATTCGGCCACTCAGTTGACCATCTGCGACGTCTCCGCCAACATCGTACAAACTGCAAGGGACAGCAGTTCCATCTTCTACTGGCATATCGAGTCCCAGTGAGAATCTACTTCGGTAAGCGGCTTGAACAATCTCCAAGTTCTTATACTGAGACTTTTGTAGAACGCGTCGTGCATGACTTCTTCGACTTTCAGCACCATGCATGGCAGGGGGCTGTATACTGCTCCTTCTGTGGTCGGTTCCACGTCGAATATTTCGACGCCTGGCGTTGTGGGAGCATAAATGAAGTGGGACACATAATCGAAAGATTGATTCTTTTGCAAGGATGGGACGTGGACAGGCTTGTATAAAAGGAATATACTCTTATGTTGACTGCAAATTCGGGCCGCCGGGACGATCGCCAGCAGCGGCGAAGCCGCCTGAGTCACAGTTCATCTGCTGTGAGGAAGCCAGGACCCATTGGAGAGCCGGAGGAAGAAGGGTTGACGGCTGTTCTCTACCCTCATCGGAGTTGTCATTAGCGAGCTCCACAAGCCTGGTTTAGCCCCACTCGAACCGGCTCTAGAGGACCCGCAAAGCGCTGCCGCCCCGAGAATTCTTCTCTCCCAGCCGAAACGCCGGAAGCTGGCCCAGTGCAAACGTCGTTTCTTCACAATCACCCCATCTCCCTTGCCTCCATCACCAACTTGTCGATATTGCCGTTCGCAAAAGACGCCCCGACTATCCGTGCTCTTACCGGCGAGCCCATCGACGTTTACAAAGACGTTGCGCAACTTAATCCCGCGAGATTGCGAAGAAGGTGTTCGAGGAGGAGTTGAACAAGCTTGCGGGTCATTTCAGCTCTGGCCCGCCATATGGATGCTTCCCGTCGACAGCAAATATGGACCATGGCCTGCTTCGGGCGAAATCGATCTGGTCGAAAGTCGCGGCAATGGTCTGAAGTACACAAATCGTGGGGCCAACTATGTGCAAGGCTCCCTCAACTGGGGCCCAATCCCAGTCCTCAACAGTGTCGGAAAGTCGTATTCGTGGTGGACAGAGAAGCGCAAGATCTTTAGCAGCGACTTCCACACATATACCATGGAATGGACCGACAAATGGATTCGTATTTCTGTCGATACACGCCTCCATACCCTCCTCGACCTCCAATTCAAGGAACCGTTTTTCAAGCGTGGAGACTACCCGCCCACTGCGATCGATACCAATGGTCACCCAGTACCAGTCACAAATCCATGGGTCAATGGCACAAACGCGACTCTGTTCGACCAAGACTTTTACCTGATCATGAATGTCGCTGTCGGTGGGACGAATGGGTGGTTTCCGGATGGTCAAGGAGATAAGCCGTGGCTAAATCACGCCGGCAGTACGTTGTTTCCCGTATTGTTACTTTTTGCTAACTTGATATTACAGAGCCCATGTCCGACTTCATCAACAACAAGCAACAGTGGCTACCGACTTGGCCGGAGAACCTCGAGGAACGTGCCTTGGCGGTGGACTACGTGCGAATGTGGAAACATTGCGGAGACCCATAAACTGGATCCTGGACACGCTCTTTTTAGGTTACTTATTGTACGCATCACGCATCTCTTTTGTCGCTCTTCCAGCCACCTCTGTCGCTACTGTGCGTGTAATATCTTTAACTCGGGTTGTAATGCTTGCTTTGGTAGAAGGAATGACATCGTCGTCACAGCCACCGCTTTCTTTCTTGAACCATGTCAAACGACGTCGACGAGACGTGAACTCATCATCGCGTACTTAGATTGCTGGCTAACGCTGTACCAGGCTCAGTGTTGAGACCACCGATTTTGATTATACCGACGAGGAGTTCACCGTGTCAGATACTTCCGATTCCTCTGCGGGAGATCCAACAGATGCTATTATCGCGCTTCCTCCCCCAACGACTCGTATCAAAGTCTCAGTCAAGCCCGCCGCTGTGTCAGAGTCGCCTGGTGCTCTTGTGTCTCGAGGATTGGTTGCGGGTGCTCCGAGCAATCACGATGTGCGTCCCTCTGTTATCAACCGCCAGTACATCCTAACAGTGCGCCTGTTTTTCAGCTGGCAGACGCGAAAGTGAGTATTGGCTATAACTGCGTAGTTGAACACCACGACTTAGCGTGGAAAACGCCTCCAGCTGAAATCGGTGCCTTGGACGAAGAAGCAACCACTGCTGTTGCCCCCACTACGCCAATCCAACCGCTAGCAATCACAGCAGTGAACAATACGGTGCGTGTACTATATCCACTGGGCTCAATCCTCAATAAATTTCAAAGGTAACCTCACCTGATCCGGAGGCCCAGCCAGAAGCTACGAATAACGTGTCCTCGTCTCCCGTCATCCCAAACGAGCATCTTCGCGGTGTTGTAGCGAATCAAGAAGCTGAAGCGGTAGCCTCCCATCTTGTTAGCCATGACAACTTGAACAACGAGGACGAGGACGAGGGACGTTGTGAGTGCCACTTATTATATATAGTATCATGGTGCTATTTGTCGCGAATGCTAGTAGCTGAAGCTTCTCAGGCCGGGTTTTCCCTCGTCGCGTCTTCGTCTGTACCAAGTCTGTCGTATCTGTTGAATCCGGATCCAAGTAGCCCAGGTTCGGCGATCAGCCCTATCTCTGTCGACTGAAAATCTCACCATGCAACAGACAAGCAAACCGACGACAACATGCGATCTGTGCTCAGAAACTGTCTCGAAAGGGAACGAAAAGATTTGCGCGGATACGCCAGCCTCAGGCTGACCCGGGCAACAGCGTGAGACGTTGGAGGATCACCAGAGCGTATCGCAGCTCACTTCTTTCTCCCTTCTGCCGAGCTACCGGAGAGCGAAGACGCAGGCAACGACCGACAGTTGTATCAGACATTTCAGTTTCTGGGATCAGCACCCTAGCTTTGTAGCAACTACACCAGTTGGAACGGCTCTGATAACTTGATCCTTGACTACCAGTATTGTACAAATCAACTATGTGGCACATCGAACTATCGGATGGGTACCCGTCGACTTGTAAATCCAATTCCGGGAATGATTTGAGTGTGTAGTCTCACGAAACAAGTTAGCTTGCCGTGTTGAAGAAATGCCTGGCAGTGCAATACCTGTAGACGTCGGCGCTGGCCATTCCCCAGCGCTGCATCAGCAACAGTGGAAGTCGCTCGTGCTGTTTCAGCTTCAGCGCGAATAAGACGTTGTACATCAACCTGTCAGCATTCTCAGCAACCAGCCACGTTCGTAATCAAGTAAAACAACGACGGACCCTTGTTGGCGATTCGGCGACGAGATTACACCCAACTTCTTTACGTTCAATCTACTCTGAATCAGCATTCGTAGTTGAGGCGGCAAATTTTGCAGTCGCGAGTTCATCAGTGATGGCAGTACTGTCGTCGTTTGTTGAACTTGGTCCTCTTGCCTAGATTAGAAGTTGGCATCAGATGATACCGTGAACAACGGCGCCCTCACCAATACGAGAGTATCGTTTACGTCTTCGTTCGTTGTTTGCTCAAACAATATTTCCGTATCGGGCGTGGGTAGCGGTCGCGATTGCTCTGGTTCAGCAGTAGCCGTGGGTTTGAGATGGATGGATTCAGAGTCTTCACTAGTCGGAGCCGTCTTTGCAAGTTCGGTTGTGTGTGACGAGCACACCTTCGTAGGACTTGCGTGGTCGTAAAAAGTCAGCAATAGTCGTATCTCCAGAAACGTCAACTGCGGGCCAGCGGGGAGGTAACAAAAGTTGCCTTTTTACTTGGAGATGCCGCTTCTGTCGAAACCGGACTGAGATCTTGTTTGGGTTCAGAGGTAGGGAGTCGCGATCGTTTGCGTGGCTGATATTAATATAAGCACGTATCATAGGACATAGACGGCAGACGTCGAACCGTGCGAGTTGGCGGTGTTGCACCGTCGTCTTGGGTGCTCTCCACCGAGCTTGAAGATGGTAACATGTGTTTCTGAGCCTGAAGAAGAATGAAAAGGCAGGACAGTACGACGACTAGACTTTACCGGCTCGTCTGAGCTTGAAAGCGAGATCATTCTTGTTGTAGATAGTGTGGCATCCTGGGTAGCAGTTGCGCGTAGCCGACAGGGCCGCGATGAAGATTTTATTCGACAATGCGTTGTTGTGGAAATCAGTGACAAACTGGAAACCTCATTGAGCGGGTGTTGATTGTTGCAACAAGTATACTTACTTGACGGCGAGCTTGAACGCGAGCTTTGTGAGCTTGACGGCGAGGAGCTTTGTCGGGTGCCCGAGGTTCTGGGACCGTTTCTACTGATGCGCCTGGCAGTGTTGCTCTGTCAAGGACTTCAGCCTAAACAAGAATGAAAAGGCGAGATAATGGGATGAATAGCTGTTACCGGTTCGTCTGAACTTGCAAGTGTTGTTGTCGGCAGAGTATACTCTCTAGCAGTGTCGTGGGCAGGAGGTGCCCACGTAGCCATTCCAGCTTTGACAAATAGGTTGTTTGATAGATCGCTGTTGTGGAATACGGAAGGATTCAAAGGAAACTGGAAACGGCGAGGTAGATTAGCAATTGTGCGTTTTGCATGGCAGCTACACTCACTTGAGCATGAGAAGCTAGTAGCAATGTGAAGGCTGATTGTGGAACCGTTGTTATTACCGGGACATCAGGCGGAGTTCTAAGGCTTTTGTGTCGGCTGCGACGGGGACGAGCACTAGTACCAGAGACATTGAGCGCGTTAAGTAGCAAGAAAACCAATGACCGAACGGGGTATGTGGCGCAGCCAGTAGCAAAACTCTGCCTGCATCGCTACTGACCTCGCCTTGGTCTGGTGCGCTGAGGTTCACGGCCAAGTCTTTCTCGCCGGACTTGTCGTCGTTGAGGAGCATATGTTTCGAAGAAAACGCGCTGGATTTGACGGTGTCAGTCCGCGTATCGAACAAGTAGGCCACAACTCACCGAGGAAGTGGGAATTGTGCGGCATCGCGAGAATTGCCAGGTTCGTCCTTTCGTGGGCTACATATCTCATCAGCTGGTCTGGCCGTAATAAGAACGAGAGAACATACGATGAAGGTCGCGACATGGCGAGAAGGAGGAGAGGGAGGCGCGGATCACAGCTTCACCTCAGACGCGTTTCTCATATCCTGACGAGCACCAAAGACAGAAGTACGCGATAAGTCCTCATGACGAATAAGGATCATATCTGAATTGGAAAACAAAGCTCTACTCACTTGCTTGAATGCTCCGAGTCGCGGTATTTATCGTCCCCGATAGAACTCTCTCCCATTCATGGTGCTGAATATACGTCTGGTCCAGAGCTGCCGTCTGTAGCCTATCTTGGTGGAAGCAGAGCGCTTGGCTGTAGGTTGCTCGCCGGATGGTAGGAAAAGGCAAGGAAAGGATGATACTGACTGATGACGTGACTTTGATCAGATTTTTTGGGTTCGTAACGTTCGTTGCTTCTACTAGGATAACCAAAGTATAACAAGAAGACGGCTGAGTGATGTCTTTTCCAATTCTTCTCCCGAGTTGTTCATACTATGGATTTTTACGCTCAACGGCCCGCCCTAGGACCACTGCCCTCTAACATCATCTCTCTCTCAACGGTCAAGGATCCATCTCTTTTACTGTGCAGTAAACGCGCCAACACTATCCCAAAATCTTGAAACATAACCTCAGTTCAGGTAGACTTTGCACGGGAATCAAGGTCACTTACGCGCAGCGTTGCAGCAAGGCTTGCCCGGTTTCGATGGTGTGAACCACGGGCTCATTCGTTTCCGTCTTGTTGAACAACATCTCAGTCTCCCCCAAGCCCTGTAACCACACTTTCCACTGCGGAGTAATAGTCGGATTTGCAGGGTCCACGTCCACGTTGGGGTTCAAAGAGATCGCGAAAGATGTGAAGATTTGCGCGAAAGCGTTGATGAACGCTTGGTTCTGGAAGGTAGGGGTGGAAAGTGTGGGGTAATAGTAGGCGACGCCGGCACCGTGCTGGCCTCTGCGGGACTGCGAATTCGGCTTTGTAAGAGCGGCCCCGGAATGCGTTGAGCATGTAATAGGTGGGACATATGAAGATAGCTAACGTGCTTTAGTTAGTAATCAACGACTGAGTGTTTCCCTCACATTCTGCTTGAATTGCATTCTCCTGGAGAATTGGCGCCCCAAGCTCGCTATATAGCTGACCAGCTTTTTCGGCTTGGGCTGGCTTGATTTCTGGGAAGAGATTGAGAGCATATTGGGTTGCGTTGGCAATTGCTGCCGAGTTTTGATCAACGAAAACATCGCCTTCAAAGGTATTGGTGATGGAAAGTAACACTTTCTGGGTAAAAAGTCAGGAAAGGAAGATAACCTTGGAGCCGAGACGCACACCGTTGACTTTCCCTTGAGCTAGAGACAATGTCGGTCGTTGTCGGATGAATGTCCCGTCAATAACTGGCACAAGGAGGAACGTTCCCCAGAAAGCACCATGATTGAGATTATTATTCACGGTTTCCAATGCGTTTGCATCGGCAGCGCGGAGACAAGCCATAATAACAGACACAGTAGTGCAGCTGAACGGATATGAGTACTATTGAAAGGAGCAAGATAAAGATAAATCCAACTGACTTTAGTTGCGAGACGACTTGGCTGAAAATGAGCTGAAATTTGTTGAGCTATTTGTTTCATTCGAACAACATTCTTCACGGACCTCCGGAATCCGGTCATTGTACTTGTATTGTGAGGGAAGGAAAGTCGAACTGGTGATAGCTCCTCGGAAGAGCTGCGGTTTAGTCTGACCGTTGTTGGCCACAACTTGTTGCAGTACAGAGCCTGCGCCTGCGAAACTTGGTGAACACAATTTATGAAGCAAATTCAAAACTGACCGGCGGACTCTCCCCATATAGTAACCTTGGCCGGGTCTCCTCCGAATTTTGTGATCTACGTCATATAAGAGCAAGATATAAGAGCAGGTTGGGATATATATGGCGATTGACCCATCGGAGCGCTGCATCTTGGTCAACTGAAAAACAATATCAGGACGGGACATCTACTTCAAGAGAAGAGTGAAAAACATACGAAGGCCAGCATTCAAGGCGCCATTCTGCTTTCCTTTAGATCCTGGTAGGAAACCTGACAATCGTCAGTCAAAATAGGCACCCAAAACCAATGCTGTCCCGCACCAAATACCCCCAAGCGATATTGAATGATGACGAGAACCAAGTTGCGGTTACTCTGTTTGAGAATGTCGTCGCCATTGTAAGCACTAGCTTGACCGCCGAGGTAGCCCTGAAAAATTGGTTGGTGGCTTGTCGGGAAAAATGAAGATGATATACTCCGCCATGTATCCAAACGAGAACAGGTAAATCTTTTGGAGGTAAACCAGCTGTATCGCTGGGATAGTAAACACTTGAGACCGTGTTAGCGAAACTTCAAAGATCCTAGACGACGCTCACTTGAGAAACAAACAATCCTCGTCAGCAACAACAGCCCTCGTGGCCAGCGGATTGGTTGGCGACAATCCGCTTGAGCTTTGGAAGCATTGGTTGGGTTGGGTTGTGGCATCTTGAACACCGGAAATATTTACAGGTGGTTGAGGTCCCCGGAAGCGGAGGTCACCTTTTGAAAAGATTATTAGGTGTTGACATAAACATTTGATTCTGACCTATCGGTGCAGCGGCGTAACGAATGCCCAAAAAGTGTGCAAAGTTGGCCGATGACACCGCACCACGGTACTGTGCATACCCCAGGTCGACAACCGGGCTTTGCGCATATGAACCGACAGCGGCCAGAATCGCGAGTAAGAGAACTCGTGGTTGTATGCTGTCTCGTCGAGAACTGCAAAGGATGTGAGCTTTATATAGCTCCACGATTGGCGGGGCGGACATACCTATCGCTTGGCGTCGGCTTCGCGACAGGTCATGAGGGCGGACATTGGTCATGAGTATAGCCCGCATGCAAAAAAAGTCTATAGCATGGGTTGGCGGAGAGGAATTGTGCGCCTTCGACCGGGCCGCGCAAGGGGTCTGGATCCGATGAAGATGCGTTGGCGACGAAGAAAGGGTATGAAGTGGGGGAATGTCATGGTCAGTATGACGCAACAATCTCCAACCAAAATGAGTTTTTCGTGCAGAAAGACATTGAACCACGCACTAGGACTCAGGAGAAACCAGGCTCCCAAAATCCAACTTCAAAGAAGCGTCCTCCACCACCATTGGGTTCTCGATTGACAGACATGACAGGGAATGTAGAAGGAAGATGTGATGTGACGAGAATTTGTTCTCGTTCCTGAACTCGAATAATGGTCTGCGACAAGAAATGCAACGCATGTGCAGTAGTGTGCGGGCAGTTTTCAGCTCTCCATCTGTATGCCATCGAACAACAAGATTCGGATGGTGAAAAATGATTCAGGAAGTATCCAGCTTCAAGTTCAAGTTGCATCTACAAATATTTCGACCCACCAATTCCAGTTTATGTAACGAGGTCCTCCTAGTTTCATCGCGCAAGCAAGTTCTAGTCGCACCAACAACCTGAACAAGGAAGTCTAAAGGAAGTTCGCATGACATGATGGCGTTCAATCCACTTGTCTTGCGCCATCATGAGCGATAACATTGCAGGGACTTTGTGGTCGAGCCGGCCGCGAGCGAGGCGAATGCGACGAGGAACTACTTGGACTGGATAACAGGTATGTTTTCGTTTAGAGTGGGTCTCAATGGCTTCCAATGATGCAATACGTAGATTCCTTGGGGCTCGCATACACCAGAGAACCTGTCGCTCGCGGCTCAAGCATGTCCAAGGAGTTCTTGACGCAGACCACTACGGATTGTCAAGGACCGCATGCTCGAGCTTTTGGCTGTTGGCAAGTCATGAGGAACTTTGGGGTCAACGACTACAACGTCTTCTGGCGGTATGTCATTGTCTTTTACCTCCATTACTCGGAAATAATGAGCTTTAGACACTACCACGCCCTGCTCCAAATCACCCGAAAGTCCAAGGCAAAATTCTTCTACTTACTGGTCCGCCTGGTGTCAGCAAAACCTCCATTGACAAATCGATCGCGCGCTTGGGACGACAATTCTTCTGATTCAGCTGAGCGTTAGCGGCTTGAGCGATATCGCAGACATCAAGGGACACCGAAGGACCCACGTTGAGTCTGTGATATGTTGGACACTAAACTTAAGGCTGACGAACAACATAGTGCGCTTCCTGGCAAAATTATCCAAACCCCTTGAAATGCGTCGGAACGTCTAACCCACTCGTTCTCATTGACGAGGTCGACAAGATTGGGAGGGGCATCAATGGTGACTCTGCGAGTGCGCTGCTGGAAATGCTGGACCCCGAGCAGAACAACGTGTTTTTTGGACCACTACTTGGTGCGTTTATTTCCTGTCTTAGTTATTTCGTCGTTTTCAAACCGCTCATGGACATACCCCTCGACCTTTCCTCCATCCTTTTCGTCTGTACCGTCAACACCCTCTCCGCTATCACAGCCCCCCCTCCTCGACCGTTTGGAGGTGATTGAGGTGTCAGAGGGAAACTCCGCGAGCCGGTATCTTGTACCGCAAGCCAAGGAGTCGTCTGGTCGACGTCTTAGCAGACGACGGCGACAAGGCGCGCCGAGCGAGTCTGACAACGATAGCAATACTACAGCTGTCTCACCTAAACACGACGTGGAGGTCCGACCAACCACAAGCTCCTAGCGAAACGACTCCAACGCTAGTGATGACGCAAGAGCGCAAACTTCTTTCTATTCCCAATACGGTCCATGTCCTCATTACTCCGGAGAACCTGAAGGAGTATATGGGTCCGCCTCTTTACCAGAAGGACCGCATGTATGACGACGCGCGAAGCGGAGCCGCCGCCGGGCGTTGGCATGGGCTGAGGTACTTGGGCAACGGGAGCGGAGGTTATGCCGATCTTATTACAATCTTATTACAAACAAACACCCAGAAAGCGGACTCCTCGTTCGTGGCAGTACTTGAAATATGTATACTACAGACTGTATCCACATCGAGCACCGTTGCGTAACCTCCGCCCGGCAGTTTAGCATGCTGTTCGATGGCCTGAAATATTCCCCAAGCATGGTCACGGTACTTGGGGTTACCCGTAAGACGAAGACGCCAAGCAAGGAAAAGTGATTCAGTGGTCTCAGGTCGGAGCATACAACGGGCATCGGAATGGTCCAGAAGAGAGTATAACGACGGCTCCGATATGAGTAACAGTAACCGACACAAAAAAGGGGTACCGGCACACACTCTTTGTCTGATTCCGCCCACAGTTACCCTGCTCTACACAGTCGAAAAGTCCCTTAGCATCCTCTCGTTCTCCGCAAATAGGGAATGGTCGTCCGCGCCCGCTCGCTGGGAAAGAGGATGCGCGAAAGCCGCCACGTTAATCGGCTCTGCACCATCCGACTCCCCATCTAACAAGACGATATCTTGTGGGTATTGCGAGAAGTTGGTGGTATAGACGGATAGCTGTGGTGACAGTCGCCTTGCCCAACGCGTGATTGTCGTTTCTTGAAGAAACAACAACGCCAGGAGGCCAACCATGCAGGCAAGCAGGGCAGTCGTGCGTGGGGATTCACACAATGTGGAAGCAAGGTATGAAGCGAGGTGAGTCTCCGAATGTATGCAATGGTGGATGGCGCACTTGTCGAAGCAGGAGCCCATTGGGGAAGTTGGGCAGCCAGCGCGCTCGCAAAAGCCACCGCGGCCTTTCTGTAGCTGTAGCTGTAGCTGTATATGCACACCAAGTTCTTGTCATGATATCTCACCTTTGGTCGGTGACCAGCACTGTTCCTTGACACCATTTGACAAGCCATAATTGGCTTGATCACACTTTATCTTGAATGCGGTGATTGATGTGCCGGTAATTGACGAAAAGCCGATATCATGAGTGCTGGCATCATCCGTCATTGCTTAAACGACGTATCATCGCATGTTCTTGGTTATGTCCAGAACGGACCGTCATAGGTGCATGCAGATTGTCGTCTTTCCAGGTCATCGCTAACTTCGATTCAGGAGTGTCAAAATTTTGATTGGGGAGCGAAAAGATAGCCAACGACGGCTTGACTCCACGGCTGCTCCAGTCTTGTATTGAAATCGATATGACGCGGGTGCCAGACTGGCTTGTTCTCAAACGAATGAATGGGGAGTCTCGCTTATATGGAGGAAACTTCGCGATTAATCTTCTGGCAGCACTAAGCACTGTATCATGATTGTCCCGCCGAACAGTCAAAAGTTGGAGGTGACGATCCGTGAGGACGGCCAACTGCAAGTACGAGGGGTCGCAATGCTTGAAAACCGTGACTTCCTGGACATCATCCACGAATAAGAGCCGACGGAACGAAAATCCATCGCCTTCACAGTGGTAAAATTCGAGTGCATCGAGACGGACGATAACAAGAGTATCCTCGGTCCACATGGTCATCAGGTGGGGTACACTCTGCGAGGGCATGAGTAAGATGGCTGGTAAAGCCGATACGACTCACACGACGACTAGGAATGTCTAGACCACCAAGGCGGAGGTTCGATATCGAGGATGGCTCCCGTTTTCCAGTTGACTATATGTGGCTCATTCAATGCTTCACGAATTGCACACCCAACAAAAGCATCGTGAAGCATAAGAACATGTGATGAACCGATGAGACTATATTCGTGGACAAAGACAACGCGGTCAGATTTTCTCTTCAGGGAAACAACGTAGAGGGCTGTGGACCTAGTAATTGTCAGAAAACTTTGATTTAGGCCCGGTGGACCTCACGGATTCATCAAGCCAAGAGCTAGGATGATTCCCGACCGCTGAACCTCTAACTTGGCAGTCTTCACTTGAGCAGGGAGGTAGATCTGAGCGACAGGATGATCGTCCCCATTGAAGGCGCGGGTCAGATCCCAGCATTGCAGCGTGCTAATTTGGCGGTCGGATGAAGCGACAATAAGCCACCTCGAAGCTGCGATTCCAGTCCAATGGATACTCCGAGGAAGTTGTGTCCGCCAAGCATGCGAAACAATTGGAGGCAAGTCTTCAAGTTCGTGACGAGATAGGGTCGACATCCTGCGAGCAAGTGTCTCAAGCATTGCAGCATCGGAAGAGGTGTAGTTTATAAGCGGAGGCGGTATAGGGCCGTCGTGGAAACGCTCAAATAATCCAATCCACAAAGCTTTGGTATGGCCATGCACTCGCAAAAGGCGACATGTCTGGAATATTGTTGGTCTACCATAACATCTCGGTGGACCCCTTACCTGACGGAGAGATAGAATGTCAGGGATGTCAAGTTCGACGTAGATGAAGAAGTAGAGCTCCGGGGGCAAGGTTAGGAGCATCGCGGCGCAGCTCATATAGCTGTATCTTTGCAAAAGATGAGGGCTGAGCTGCAAGGCTGTAATGCAAAAGATGAGGGCAAGTGCCCAAAGAAAAACTTACAAGCAATAAAATAATTACTTATAAGCCCTCTGGCGGGTTTTGATTGATGGGATCAGTACATTTAGATAATATTACCTAATGTGGAACGATTTTTGATTGCCATCACTAGATCTAATGACCAGGTGATGCCACATCAGTCTTACTTAATCTCTGAATTTATTTTCTTATTTCTGCCACATAAGTCCAAAGTATTACCCTACGAGTATTCGGCCTGAAGAAAAGGTGATTTATATGACTATATCAATTTTTAGCTTAGTCATATCTTTCAATTCCATTGAGAAATTCAATAATTAAACCCTGTTTCACATCTTTTGCATTAGAGTCTTGCAGCTCAGCCCACATCTTTTGCAAAGAATGAGCTATATAGGGTGCGCGGCGGGACTCAGAAAGAAACAAAAACATTGTCGCGGTTGTCTCGATTAGATGGCGTGACACATGTGAACTCTGCAAAGCTCTCGGCAACCAACGTCAACGGTATAGCGGTTAGACAACTTTGTCGTCTTGGCTAGTAGGCACTTGCTCACTTGCTGGGTGTAATGATTTTTCCAGAACGAGCATTGGTCAAAAGCACATTCCAGGCCTCTAATCATTCTAAAACTACTAGTAACAAAATCTCAACTCCCAGCAAGTAGTAAGAGAGCTTACCACCCCACATCCCCACCATTGAAAGGTTCCACCACGACACCAGGATCTCCTGCTCGTTTTCGCAAGACGTATCTTTCCAGGTTGTAGACTTCGTATGATTGAGAAGCTAGTCGCATGGCTACTATGTGGTGTGGCCGCGAGTTCGCCGCTATGGCGTGCTTTCTGCTCTGCCAAATACACGTCGCGAGATTCATGCCGGAAGCGGGGTCGGGGACGCCATACCAGTATAGCAGAAGCTGCAGTCAAATAAGATGTGGGCCTTCAGAATAATCAGCAATACCAACTCCGCCGTTTCGGACAGCCTCCTCGTGAGCGTTTTTGTCGGCATCGTAGAGAGCTGGAATGATTTGAGCCGGTGGAAGGATTAGGAGCACCCCCTCACCTCCGCCGTCGCTGCCCGCTTTTCTTCTACCTGGGGACCTTCAATTACCGTCTAGAGAAGCGGAAGAGGGAAAGGCACTTCGAAAAACAACAATGTACCACTCGCGTTCTTGATGTTCCGGCAGCATCAGCTCATCCCAGTTGAATGCTTCATGATATGGAGTAGCTGAGACCCGTCTCAGGAGAAGGACCTGAGCGGGATTGGCATACTTACAGGCATAGTGCGGCGTGATTGGCTTGAAGTGGTGAAGGGCTTTGTGCAATGATAACGACGTGGGATCTATGTCGGGCAGCCGCGTCTGAGTAACGACCGGCGGGTACTCATTTGGCAGGGGTGCTGGTGGCAGCGTTTCAGGAAGCGAAGATATTAATGGCGGGAGGTAGAGCACTGGGTAGTTGCGTGAAGCATCGAAAGCCGGAAGTTCATGTGGGGGGTGCGCGAAAGCCATGGTTGTTCCATGCCAGCCGGGGCTGCGTCGTTAAATAGGGACACATTATTTTCGCCCTGTATTGCGACAACGACGTGCTTGAACGCGATCGTTGCGTCGAGCTTGGGTGTGACGCATGTCACGTGGTGACGCATTGTCACAATTCATCTGGAACTCTGCAGCGATGAGCAACGTCGCCAAGGCTGCAGAGTCGACACTATACCATCTCAGTCCAAAGGGCTTTTGGAAGAAATTCCGTGCGTCCGAGTGTTGCGGCTTCGCGTATAATTTTTGACGGAACAACCAGGAGCGGTGGCGGCCGTTAACTCGGAGATCTCGACTGGGCTGCCCTTGCCATCCATACATCGTTTCCCGCCCCCCGCCTCGCGGCCAGAGAAATACTCAACCCCAGCAACGAAAGGTGAATTATGGTCCCCTCAACTCCCACAATAGCCAGCCAACACTGCCGATTTCAGCTTCTGACCCCGCCCAAAACCCGTACTGGAAACGCGATGTCCGACGCGCCTACCCCCAGCTTTCTGTTGTGACGCAGTCCGAGCTCTCCGCCCTCCTCATTGAGCACTCCGCGGCCCAAGCGTATGTGGTGGGATAGCCTCAGCAATCTCCGTCCTGATCTGTCTACAGCGTTGCCGCGCCTTCTTCAGAGAAGAAGGATGTCCCAGCAGAGCCGCCAGCCGCTGTAGACCTCTCTGTTGCGATTTCTTCAATCACCCAGAGCCGCAAACTCTACACACCAACGAGTCTTCCTCCAACGCTTCCTACCTCACGGACTCTCTGGACACCGCAGGTGACCGTTGAGGCAGTAGATGGTCTGCCAATGGTGTTGTACAAGTAGAGCAAGTGGCATTGTCTGTTATTAGTCGTAGTCACAAACATTCATCTCATGTCCGCGCCACCATCTTACGCGGCGGGCCTGTCGGCTGCAGCACTGGCGGAAGCCTTTGGGAAAGACGAAAGGTATGCTGAACAAATAGCGTCTGGTCTAGTGGTTCAACCAAGCTGCAGAATTTATTTGGAACGAACTACCAATACCTGGCGGTACGAGGAAGCGGATGGCACTGAGATGGAGTACGATGCGGCCAAAGGGAAATGGCTCCCACTAGTGCGTGGCGACAGCCCTTCTCAGTGTCATCCATTCTAACTTGTCCAGGTCGACGAAGATTTGCTGAAGCGCCAACAAGCAGCATACTCCGTGTCTGGCGTTGACGAAGAGGTTTGTTGCATTCACAAAAGGTCTATACTGACTTTATAAAACAGACACCCGCTGCCCCAGTTCTCGCTCGCGAGAACAAAAAGCGCAAAGAACCCGAGGACTACACTTCCGCCACACCCCAAGCAGGGCCTTCCACCAAACGCGGCAAGAAGGAGACCGAGCGCAAGTCGAAGAACACGGCAGTCTATGTCACTGGCCTTCCTGTAGATGCTGACCTGGAGGAGATTGTTGACCGCTTCTCCAAGTGTGGGGTGCTTGAGGAAGACGACGATGGGGAGCCCAAAGTGAAGATGTATGCCCAAGACGACGGCTCATTCAGCGGCGAGGCCCTCGTTGTGTACTTCAAGGAAGACTCGGTATTTCTCGCTGAACGAATGCTCGATGACGCCGAATTACGAATCGGTGACCCATCTACAGTCATGCGTGTCGCCAAAGCTGATTTCACGCACAAAACTACGGGTGGAAACGGCCAGGGAGGAGAATCCAAGCCACGGAAAACAGTGGATAAGAAGAAAACCTCGAGACGTATCGTCAAGATGCAAAAGCACGCGTTTTATTTTCTCTCGAGGTCGAAATGCTAACTTTCAGGGCAGGAAACTTGCAGAATGGGACGAGGAAGATGGATTCGGGCCAAGCTTAGACGACGATGAGTTGGCAGCAGCAGCAGCAGCCAAGAACAGCCGCGTAGTGGTTTTAAAGCACATGTTCACACTCAAGGCCCTGGAAGAAGACGCGTCTCTATTGCTGGATCTCAAAGAGGATGTTCGCGAAGAGTGTTCCACACTAGGCGAAGTCACAAACGTTGTGTTATACGATGTGCGTTGCTTTCCATTCGATGTTCGATGCACTGCGCTCATTTTGTGGCAATAGAAAGAACCTGACGGAATCATGACGGTGAAATTCCGGGACCCTCTGGGTGCTCAAGCATGTGTTGTGGTATGTTGGTTGATTCTGTTGGACTTGTTTGTTAACAGTCTTGGTCAGAAAATGAATGGACGATTCTTCGACGGGCTGCGAGTTGAGGCGTCTTTGTACAGCGGCAAGCAACGATTCAAACGAAGCGGGGCGGGAGATGAAGGGGACGGCGATGAACGCGAGCGGTTGGATAGTTTCGCTGCATGGCTGCTCTCCGAGAACGATTAACGAAAGTATCTCAATCTAAGTAAATCTAATCCCATCACCAGCATGAGCACATTGGTTTGGTCGTGACGCTCTCCAGTCGCTGAAGTGAGGAGATTAAGCATAGTATATGGCGAGTGTGAAAAAGCATACCTCGACAATGACTGTTCTTGTTGGGGTGGGGGAAAGGAATGGGGAAGTGGGGGCGGCAGTGTGACTTGCCCATCTTGAATGGTGGCCTGGTGCGCCTTCTACGTGAGACACAGATTTCGAGAGCATCGCGACGTCCTCCTCTTCTGCATCTGAGCTGGTAGCGGAAGGGACTTCGATGACTGTGGCTAATGGTGGACTGGAAGGCGGTGAGAATGGCGAAGTAGGAGGGGAACTGGCCCGTCGGTTGGGCACTGGTATTGGCTTTGACGAAGAAGACTCCCCAACGTCAACTTCTTCATCATCTTCATCGTATTCGTCGTCAGCCCCTAGCCGCTGCAAGCTTGCCTCCACAGCATCCAGTCGCTCCAGATGTTCCAACACATCAATGCCCTTAGTGCCAGGATGCACACGCTTGAACTTGGCAGCGAAGGGGACTGGCCGCTCGCTCGAAACACGCGTAAGTGGAGGAGGGAAGTCACTGCCGTTGCTCCGACTGCGTGCCCGCCGCGGTAATGGTCCACTTCTCACAGACATTCGTGAAGAGACGACAGGTTCATCGCCGTCTTCCTCGGAAATCTCAACCTCGTCGTCCCAAACAAGTACCTTACTCCGCCTCGTTAGTTCTAAGGGACCTGCCGAATTGTTAACATTTTTTCGGTCGAAAAAAATACAACCTTCATCCTAACAAATGTAAGCAGGGACTGTAATAAGAAGGGCACACACACTTCGTGCTGGAGCGACTGAACAATGTTCCAAGCTTGCCCTACAGACCATTCGATCAATGGACTACTGACTATCGAAGGAACGCACCCTTGACCACCGCAAGTTGGCGCTGTGAACACAAATGAACACCCTAACTTGCTACACAAACCGACCACTCACCGCAAACATCTTTGGATGCTAGCACAAAGTTAAGACTGAGAATAGGGAACATAGTGATATACGCACAAAGTCCGGGTCCACTCTAAACAGCTTCTCCAGTTCATAAGTAGTCTCTTCCCACCATTCCTGCGCAGGGTCAGAATCATCCAGACAATGAATCCTTCTACCTTTGACGTCAACAGGGGCAAGAAGTGATTTCGTGTCTTGTCGCTGAAGGGTCTGCCAATCAGACTAACCGGCAGATACACTAATGAACTCAGTTTAGTGAATTGTCAGTCATCCAATATTTGACTCACGCCAGCCGTAGGTATATGTCCGCCATCCCTGCGGATGCTCGTGTGGCCAGGACAAACTATTGTCAATAGCTGCGCTACAATGTCAGTCACAGATTAACGAACACAAAAAAAATTGAACCAGCAACATGCACATGAGGTCTACGTGTATACTCGTCCCCTGGACCATGGAAACTGTTTGAAGTCGACATGGAAGGAACCATAGCCGGTGTTGAGGACGAGGCGCTCATTTGAGTGTCGGACTTGCTCAATGACGGTAGAGTCGACGGTGACGGAGCTACGTCGATGAGCGACTTCTCGTGTTCTCCGTCGCAGTATTTGATCATGTAGTTGTCTGCGCCTCGATCCGTATTGAGCATCTGCGGTGTAAGTATCAGCCTGCGGGTTCTGCTTCTGGCAACATTGTGACTCGCCAGATAATCCAGAATAACAAGCCTATCAAAATGTCAGACTAGGACAATTCTTTGAAAGAAAATATCGTGCTTTTCGAGCTCTTCTCGAAAGCTTTCTTGGAGAGTTTGACTCCAGTAGAATGGCCTTGAATCAGTTGTTTCTGTGGCATCATATAGAACACGCTCTTCTTCGTAATCCACCTCGTCGTATACGTCTTCGTCCGCCTCTCCTGTCCTCCCACAAACCACGTTGAAAGCTGAAGCAAATCGCTTGGAGATGCTCCCTTGTCGATGCGAGGAGTCGTCCCATGTGTCCGAAATCGCCCTGCCTGGCCATGGGTGTTTGCGCAGGAATTCGGAGGCATCTATCAAAGACCTGAGCAAACGCCTTAAATCAAGAACAATACCCCCACCTTGATAGCCAGACAAGAAGAACTGCATACTCCCAATCTTCTCTGGTAACGGCTTTCCTTTCTTTGCAGCATTACGGTCAAGCCAGTCGTAGAAGAAGGACTACGAAAGTCAGCTGGGTTATGGCAGCTGAGATAGACGCACTGGCGAAGATAAAGAAACGAGTTCTGTTGGAGGAACGATATAGAGTTGTAATCGCGTGTCCAGAAGAGAGGCGGCAGCTTCAAGTTACTCTAGCGACGCTCTGCACAGACGCAAAAGAAATCACCTTCACTGTACAGATAATTTAGCGCGAGGGTAAAGGAGGGCCTGCAACGTGCCTAACGTAGGACAGATTGGGAATTAAGCAGGCCCTTCCGAACGGTATCAGCCAGCGGAGTTGACGGTGGACCCTGGCAACCATGAGCGCCATATTAAGGAGGGGATTTTTCCACAGCACCATTTGGTTGTCTGAGATTGCGTCAAAAATCGCGAAATGAACGCGGAGCTCAAACACGCACTTTGGGATTTAGTCTACCGTAAGGCTCCTTCAAAGCACGTGAGTGAATGAGAGGCAAATCCATTGAAATACGCGCCTCGTCTTTGGGTTTGAAGACTGCAACAGTGTGCACACGTCCTTGGTCGTTTCTTGCTCGCGCAAAATATGAACCAGAGCTTCCTACAGATAGTTATATCAAGGCCTGAACAAGCAGTGGATATGCTCACCCTTCGTTATCATCTTTGGATGAACACCTTCCTCTATAGCGCTCTGCACCGAGCTCGCTAGTGATCTGAACTCCTCCCGCGACATTGGCGGTTTGTGGTCTAATGTCTTGGGGTTGGATATCACGAGTGGGGACCCCACAGGATCGAATACGCTTCTATATATTTCGCGCTTTCCAGTGGCCTTTGGCTTGGGAGTAGAAAACTTCGCCGCCAAAGTCTGAGTCCAATTCTTGAATGCGGCGTCTATGCTTGAAAGGTCCAAAGAGCCCATTCGTGGTCGACGAGGCCGGCCTCTACGACGTGAGGGGGTTGTCGGCTGCTCTACATCGTCACTGGAGGCAAGCGGTTGGTATCCAGAGCGGTCGGGCATGAATCTGGACAACAGGCGGGAGGTGCAAGGTTACGCGAAGTCGTGTCGTGGCACGTGATGCTCTGCTCTCCCTCACTTCAGTGAGTTCTTCCCAGTTCTCGTCTTCCAGTTCGACGCACTCACGCTCACTCGAAGATCTGCTTCTTCAACACTTCAAGACTGGTCTCAACTCTGGCCTTTACCGATGGACTCAATGGGCTGATGGTCTGCTGTCATCGCATTCCGAATTGCTGCTATCCCCGAATACGATTTCCGAATTGACTCGACATATAAGGCCATCCCGACTAGCCCCGCCGTCCTCTCAATGCTCCAGAACTCTCTTCGCAAGCTTCCCCGAATCGGTGCTCGTTATTTTGCAAAAGAATGCCACCCGAGCCTGGCGTCTACTTCTCCTCTCGTTTGTCCATTCTTTGAATCTCGCACCTCCACATGGCATGACAACCGTGGTTATTGTCGAACTTATCTAACATTGTTTCCAGGCAGTACATCGTCTCTGACCCAGTCAGTCGAGATGCTGCTCTCATCGATACGGTGCTTGACTTCGAACCAACTTCTGGCGCAATCTCTACCCACACTGCAGACAAGATTTTGTCCTTCATTGATGCTCATAGCCTCAACGTGAAATATATTTTGTGAACATTGTCTTCCTTCCTCTCCTGGTTCTCACCTCGATTCAGGGAAACCCATGCACATGCCGACCATCTTACTGCGGCCCAGTATTTCCGTCACAAATTGCCAGGTGTTCCTGTAGGCATTGGCGCTCGCATTTCACAAGTCCAGAACACCTTCGCACCAGTGTATGGGCTGGATTCCAAGCCTGATGTTTTCAACGGCGTCTTCGATCTTTTATTCAAAGATGACGAAGAAATCAAGCTTGGTTCACTCATTTGCCGTGTCTTGCACCTCCCGGGACATACGCCAGACCATATAGCGTACCTTATTGGTGATGCAGTGTTCGTTGGAGACTCTATCTTCCAGCCAGACGTTGGTAGCGCTCGCGCCGACTTCCCCGGGGGTGACCCCAAAGCTTTATATTCGGTATGTCATGATTGCCCTGTTGAAAAAAATCTAAGAAACGCTGTAGTCTATGCAACGTCTCATGAATTTGCCTGCCACTTTCCGACTGTTTGTCGGTCATGATTACCCTGTTGACCGCGCGGAGCTTTGTGTCAGCACCGTCGCTCAGCAACGGGCATCCAACAAGCACGCTAAAGTCGGCGTATCTCAAGAGGAGTTTGTGCAGCTCCGCGCGGAAAGGGACGCGATTCTGGGTGCCCCGCGACTGCTCCATCCGTCATTGCAGACTAATATTCTCGGTGGGCGTTTCCCGCGAGATGAAAATGGCAAACCGTCGTTCAAGTTACCTATTTCCACACCTATATCGCTGTAAGGGAATTTTGTAGCTCCACTATAACTGGAAGGAATTTTTCACATCTGGATTCAAGTACACAACTGAGCGAGATAGACGACTCCTTCGCCAGTGTTCAAGTGGCCACTACAGATCAGATTGCCTCGTTTGCCAGTGGATGTTATGGATCCAGAGCCAGCCTTATCTGCGCACAACCTTTTGTCATTTCCTCGTAGAGAGATGCTTCAGTATTATTGAGGACTCTGTTACAGAGGGTGGTGCCCCTAACACATTGACATTTTACAGGGTTCTCACGCCCAGGCCTAAGAGATCGTCCCCAAAGCGGCGTTTTGACGCTCTCCTCCATCCACCACTGTGCGAATGGGTGTCTTCAGCTTATCCTCCAAGAATGCGTCCGTCGTAAAGCTTAACGAACCGTCAGCTGCGGCAACATCTACCCCAACTAATACCAGTCCCAAAGCCGACGAGAAGCAAGCGGAAACACCGGCAAAGCCAACAACCGCTCGACGACTCTCGCTTCGCCCATTCTCCTCCAGTTCAAAACACAAGGCCGCTCTGACTGAAAGCCAGGAACACAAGGAGAAAGTGGATGCAGCGAACGCACTCTCCAAACGCCTCGTAAAGAATTCCAATTCGGAGAAACGGGCGAAGGAGTCGGCTTTGATTGTGAGGACGCTCATTGTGGGGACAGCAGACGACTATGGTGCCCCAAAGCTTTCGAAAGCAGTGGCCCGACCACAACTGAGCAAGGTCAAATCAGAGGTAGGTGGTCTTTTTTCGGTCTTGGCCCCCGAATTCAATCCTTTTCGAAGCTGTTGAAGCCTAAGTCCGCAAACAAAGTCATTGCACAACTCCGTGCCCTCCCTGTCATTAACGAGGAAAGCAAAGCTCAAGCGGATGCCCCGATCCACGCGGTCTGCCTTGCCCATACGGATGCAGAAGAACAGAAGATTCATTTTGCGAAGCTTGCAGAGGAGTCAGAATCCAAAGATGTTCAGGATAAACCTGTTCGTAAGAACCCATTGGAGAAGCTCGCGAATGCTTTCAGCGAAATGCACGTCGTCGATTTGGTGACGGCTCCTGATCTTGGCCTTGGCCAACCTGGTGATGGAGAGGGCCTTCTTGCTGGCGCTGTCCCAACGGCAGAATCTGTACTCAAAGGTTTCGAGCAAATAACACCACAGTTGATGGCTCTGGGCTATGCTACTGGCAAGGCCATTTACCCAGACCACAAAGGTATGTCGACTGCATATTGATTTGGACCATTACTAAGAAGCAGCGCAGGCGTGCATCCCCCCACCGACAGAATGTCTGTCTTGACATGTGCGTGAAAGAATGAGATCATCATGGCCTTCTCTTATCATCGACAGATTGGTGGGGACTGGAAGTCGTTTTGCCGCCTCCAACTCTGGAGTACCTCAGCGTTTGTCGCTTGTTGCCCTCGCGCTTCAACTCACAACCGCTTCTCAGAACACTCAATCTATCTCGGGAACCTTAGTCAACTTTCTGACGGCATTGTCTCTCGTTAACAATGGAGTGCGGGAAATTCTACCATTTGTGCGTCCAAAATTGCGTCATTCAACACCCAGACTGAACTCTGAACCAGGTTCGATATATCTCGCAGTTTATTGACTTCGAGTTCAACATGATCAAGTCGCAAGACCAAGGACTTGGGGTGGTCTGTGCTTCTACATGGTAAGTTGAAAGTATCAACAGCGACAACTGATTCTGATTTATCGCCCAGGATAATGCCTGCTGCCTTGGTAATGAAATTCCGTTATAAACAGCTAAGCTCAACATTTTGCAAGGTTCCCCGGCCCTGGGATTTCCCGCCACCAGATTCGAGTAGCAAAAAGGATGCAGTGAACCCGGATCCTGGCGCTATAATGGTGATGCCAGTCATACCAGAAGGGCCGAATGGTCCGGCGACTGTATCGCCTTTGCCCAAGTCGCCAGCGAGCCCCGCCATTACGCAGCCCTCTCGAATTGTACCCCCCGTTGTCATCAACAACACCCAACCCGTGTTGAGACCCGGCATATCGCTGTCTTGACCATTTCACGACTAACTTTATCCTTATTTTACTGACGACCTTGATGACGATACCCTTGCATTGACACTTGTAAACGTTCTCTCATTTACACCTACTAGGAATACATGTACTTGAATTCAAGCATCTATTGGGTGGTGACTATACCATCGGGCTCTGGAACGAGTTGAAGGAGTCAGCGGTTCGTTTCAGTGAGGACTTGCCAATTGTGTCGATGATGCTGTCAGGTTCAGCTTGGAACGAGCTGAATTGTTGGAACGTCGCTTGATCCAAAGAAGCGGCGAATCCCTAATGTCGTTGGGGTTGGCTTCATACCAGCTAAAGAGTTACGGACCTTGAATATATCGTAGCTGTGGGTGACCTCTCCACCCGCAGCAGCTTTCTTCTTGTACGCCTCGATCTGCTCGTCTGTCGCACTGTCCTTGAAGATAATAATGTATTCTGAGAGGTATGAGGTTGAGGGCACAAGAAACGACGAGCGATGGCTTACTGCCAGTTGAGGATGACATCGTTCGAAGAGTACCTTAGGCCGGTCACACCCGTCACACCATCTAATCTTGCTGACCACGACAATGTTTTTGTTTCTTTCCGAGTCGCAACGCGATGCTCCTAACCTTGCCCCCGGAGCTCTACTTCTTCATCTACATCGAACTTGAAATCACCGACACTTTAGCTCTTCGTCAGGCAAGTGGTGGTCCACCGAACCATGCCCAGATTTGAACCAACAATTCTCTCAGACATGTCGCCTTTTACAAGGGCATGGTCGCACCAAAGCCTTGTGGATTCGATTATTGGATCGTTCATTCCACGGCGGCCCTATACCGCCTTCGCTTATAAACTACACCTCTTTCGATGCCGCAACGCTCGAGACACTTGCTCGCAGGATATCGACCCTATCTCGTCGCGAAGACTTGCCTCCAATTGTTTCGCATGCTTGGCGGACACAACTGCCTCGGGGAATTCAATGGGTTGGGCTTGCAGCTTCGAGATGGCTTATTGTCGCTTCATCCGACCGCCAAATTAGCACGCTGCAATGCTGGGATCTGACCTGCGCCTTCAATGGGGACGATCATCCTGTCGCTCAAATCTACCTCCCTGCCCAAGTGAAGACCGCAAAGTTGGAGGTGCAACGGTCAGGAATAATCCTGGCCCTTGGCTTAATGAATCCGTGAGTTCGGCTGGCGCTAAATCAAAGTTTTCTGACAATTACTAGGTCCACGGCATTATATGTTGTTTCCCTGAAAAGAAAATCCGACCGCGTTGTCTTCGTCCACGAATACAGTCTCATCGGTTCATCGCATGTTCTTATGCTTCACGATGCTCTTGTTGGGTGTGCAATCCGTGAAGCATTGAATGAGCCCCATGTAGTCAACTGGAAAACTGGAACCATTCTTGATATCGAACCCCCTCCTGGTGGTCTGGACATTCTTAGCCGTCGTGTGAGTCGTATCGGCCTTACCAGTTATCTTACTCATGCCCTCGCAGAGTGTACCACACTTCATGACAATGTGGACCGAAGATACTCTTCTTATCGTCCGTCTCGATGGACTCGAATTTTACCACCGTGAAGGCGATAGATTTTTCTTCCGTCAGCTCTTAATCGTGGATGATGTCCAGGAAGTCACAGTTTGCAAGCATTGCGACCCCTCGCACTTGCAGTTGGCTGTCCTCACGCAATGTGACATTCAGATTTGGACTCTTCGTCAGGACAATCATGACATAGTCCTGAACGGTATCAAAATTGAATATTTTAACCCATACACTCTTGGAGGTTGTCCAATTTTCCGCTTGAGAACGAGCCAGTCTGGCACCCGCGTCATATGGATTTCAACAGTTCGCTGGGTCAGGTCTAGAGATCGGCCCTCGTTGGCCATCTTTCGGCTCTCCAAACAACCTCCTAACCCTTCTGACTCGACATCAGCTCTGACCTGGAAAGACGACGATGTTCACGCACCAGCGTTGTGGGCATTTTGCAATGTCGACTATGACGATATACTGGGCTTAACTGTGATTGGAAACCACTTTGGGGAGCTGGCTGTGTATGACCATGTGGGCGGCTACGCAAGACTCGTTGGCAGTTCTTTCGGGGCGGCCCCTGTTCTTGCAGCTCACAACACTGTCATTTCTGAGGCACTAAACGAATGCGTGATTTCTAGTGTTTGTTCGTTTCGTTTTTCGCTAACCTGTACTAATCTCTTATCAGTCACCTTTCTATCTCAACATCCCATTACCCGTCACTCGAGTGATGACCCATGCAGAGCTCATGTCTTCCCGTGCAGCCAAATGGGCCAAAGACAAACTTGATCTCAACCCACAGTGTTGGATGCGCACAGATTTCACCCCCGACAAAGTGCTCGACGAGACCGATCGATTCCCTAAATACGACGCATGGGAAGGTCAACCCAGTGACAATGCTTGGATACTATCGCACCTGTATGGGTTTCCTGGCGAAGTGTTACCCCAAGCTTCCAGAATTATTGAGGGCCCACATGATTCAGAGGACGACGCCATTCTTTTCCGCCTTTGCCCTAATGGATCCAATGTTTCCCCAAACTCCTGGTCGTCGCGGTCAATAGGGCGGTATATTTTTGCTGCCCCAGTACCTGGCTCATACTATGGGTTCTTTTTCTTGCCTCAAGACTTCCGTCCCTCAGGCAATCTTTCGGTACGTGAAGCTTCTTGGTTGGGGGAGCAACTTCCTGTCAAGGTAGCTGCATTCGGAGAAAGTAATGCCTATGGTCGAGGCCTGAAAGAAGATCCAAAATATCAAAGTGTCAGTTGTTGGCATGAAATCTCGTGGAACTGACTCCAAGTACTCACCTCCTCACCTTATATAATGTCCAGTCGTTGGCAATGCGTAGACTACTTAGAACAACTGATGCTTCACTCCTTACTCCAAAAAAATAGAATAATAAACTAGGTGTGTCGAAAGTACATATATGCGTTGCAATGGATGGATGGATGGTATGAGAAGAGAGAGAGATCCGTGAGTAGGTAGGTCGTCAACAACAACAAATCAAGGTCCCTGCATCCGCCAGTCAACATCTGCCGCCACCAACACGCTCTGCGTCCAGTCCTCCTCGTCCTCTACAATCCCTAACGGATTCGACCCATTCGACGACGCAACCGAGGCCTTGGACTGTTTCCGTGTCGGATGCGGGCGCAAGTGGTTAACTGCCAACGAAGAGCTGGCAGGAGTGCGGTACATGTCGGCAATGGGCGTTTGCCCAACAACCGGAAGAGGTATATCCTCCTCTTCGCTTTCTTCTGACTCGTCTGGTTCAGGGCTGTCCACGGTTATACCCAGACCAGCCCGCAGCGAAGACGAGTCGATGGGGGTATCCAACACTGGCGGCATACCCAGAGGACTGCCTGACGGGGCGGTGACCGCAGAAATGGGGGTGGACAATGATGACTCAGATGCCGCCCGTGGAGCTTGCAAATAGGGACCAGAGATGTTGGGGAATCCACCAGTAGGAGAAGGGGTCAATGGCGAAGCAGAGCGTTTCGAAAACAAGAGATGCAGAGATGTCTTTTTTAGACGACGAAAGGGCGACGGCGGCGTCGATCCAGCAGAGTTAGAGTCGCTTTTGGGCGACGACGATAAACTAGGAAGTGATAAGGTAGGTGGTGAAGGAATGGGCACGTCTGACGAGTTGTTGCTAGTAGGGAATTGAACTTGTTCCTCCGCTTCCTTCTCGAGCGGGATGTGAGCAATAGAGGGACTGCTGGATGGAGTAGCCAAAGATTCTGACGAAGACGAGAGCATGGGAGAAGACGCATCAAATCTGGGAATAATCGAAATGTCTTCGGATGTTGAGACAGACGAGACATCAGAGGCTGCTTGCATCTGTGTCAGCGGCGAATCTTCCGCGTTATCGTCATCAACATAGACAGCGACAGGATTCGCGCGTTTGCTGCGGGCCCCAGGTGACCGCAGTCGTGTCGGGGACACGGGCGACTCGGGCTCTTCCTTGCCCTCTGGTTTTATATCCAAAACGCCAAGACTCTCTCGTTTGATATCGACGACTGGTTCTTCTCCCCAAACAGCTTCTGCCTCGCACAAAACACGTAGCATCGGTGGGCTCATGTTCAAGCTAGGGCAGAAAATCAACAAGAGATTGCTGAGGGGCATCTTGGTCTCCTTGTTATGCTCGGCTGTGGCACGGATAAGGTCTATCACCGTCCGCAAAAGGTCTCGGTTTTCGCGAGGAAGTTGTTTGACCAAGTTTCGCACAGCCTGAACTAGAGTCGGAGATGGCGCACGAAGAGTATTGAGATTGGGTGGGGCAAGTGTGGATAGCGATGGTGGCTTTCGCATCATGTGTCCAGCGCGAGGACCAGAGGGCAATGTGGGCCCAGTAGGGGCCGCTCTTGGACGCGGAGCTTGCTCTTGCTCAGTGTTCTGTTCTTGCGCAAGTGCAGCATCAAAGTACGGCGTCAGTGCTTGTGTCAGAATTGGTTCTGGCACTGGAAAGCATCATCAGATAGTCATTGCGAGAGATCTCGAAGACACTCACGCTCGCGAAGATACGCCTTGAATACGGACCCTACTGCATGAGGATCAAGGTCACCCAGAGAACACTCCCGAATATCATAGTCGGCACCTATTTCAATTGTTAGTCGCTCAATTACCTGCACGAAAAAAGAAACAATTACCAGTGTCGAATTCGGCGCGCAGTTTCGAGGTATGAGATGGTCGGCCAGGTACCCTATTGTAACAATTGAGAAGAGAACAATAACGGGATCACGCTCAAGCTCACCGAAATAGGCCTTCTTCTTGCACTCCCCAAATGAGTATGTGCTGGGCACAACGGACGACCAGAGCGGGGAGGAGTCTCTGCTCTAGACGAGCGGAGAGGGGCAAGGAAATATCTTCGACCTCAACACATGTGTAACCGCTCACAGCGGTCTCAGCAACAGCAACCTGCAATGAGGCCCCAAATACGACGCCACCAACACCCGCACCCGTATTGGACTTTTTGAGCGGGCCGCGAATGCACTTGCCGAGATAAGCTTCGGGAGGTGGTGCGAAAGCATTGAGGTCAGAGACAGAGGAAGACATGTTGGAGGAGTTGACACTCCAGGCACTGGACACCGAGTTGGGTGTTCTCCTGTGTGCCTTACCTCCTCCAGATTGGTTCGAATTGGTACGAACTAGACCATGTTCATGACCAAATGACGATGGAGGAGTGCTGGAGGACGACGAGTACCCTGAGTTGTTGTTGTTTGAGCCAAACCCCCATCGACCCATTTTTTCAACGGCCCGTTTGGCTAAACCGGCGGCAGGGGCAAGGCTGGCAGTCAAACTGACGGCTGGCTTCCGAGATTGTGCTTGGATCTCCGTGTGTGAGTTGATGGTCGGTGTTGAGTTGGTGGTCGCTGTCCATGCAGCGAGTCGACCACGAATGTTGTTACCTGTGGACTGGAGACCCGAGCTTGAGGGGGAGATGATACCATTTGCCGCAGCTCGGGTGAGCGTCGGCGTTTCACGAACCATCGAGGGCGTCAAGGGGGGCACCGATTCTGACGACAGTTTGGGAGAAGCCATGGTGGGTTGAAAGGGCTCAGTTGGACCGATATTAAGAGACATAGACCGCGGCTTGTTTCGGATAGAGGCGGAAGGCGATGACCTAGAATCCTTGTACTCCTCATCATCCTCCTCAGCTAAATAATCCTCATCATTTATAACCGCACTAAGTCGCTTGTTCACTGGAGTGACCGTGTGTGTTGACTCGGCGGTCGAAACTGGCCGCGAAGAACGGGTTACAGTTGGTGCCCTTGTAATGGTGGCATCACTTCGCCGCCAGGCCTCCTTAGAATCGCTTTCCGGCTCAACCTCAGGAATCGCATTCTTCGCCCTCTCCTGAGAAATCAGCCAGTTAACCGCAGGCGACACGCCAGGTGTAACTGGAATGATTGAGCCTCTGTTGGCTGGAGTGATAGTAGGTTCTGGTGGAATTGGCGGCAACGGTATAGGCGGCAATGGGATTGGTTTCGCGACCTGGAGGATTGTCGGTTTGGGAGGAAGTGGTGGGGCGGTGGGTTTTTTGACGAAGGGAAGTTGTCGTTTCGGCTGCTGAGGTTCAGTCAACACCACGGCTGGGTCCTCCGACTTCTTCCTGCGGGCAAACGCGCGCTTTAGTTTTGAGCCAGTGGAGGCAGCCACATAAAAGCTCTTCTGGGAAGAGGGGGATGTTGGGAGAGCCTGCTTGCTCTCGTTTTGGCCCATGAGAGCAGCCGGCAAGGTGGTGGAAGCGTGTTGGTCTGGCGTGTCGGGCCGTGTGGAATTACTCTCTGACGATGACCAGGACGATATAGAAGAGGTTGGAGTGGAGGGCAGGGGTCCTCCCTGAATCGGCCGCCCCGCCATATTGCTGGCAGCAACAAGCAAACCGCCGTTTCGCATCAATGATGCAGCACAAAACAGCGATCCCGGATTTGTCGTTAACATTCCTCTCTCTACTGAATAAACTAGACTAGTACTCGATTATTATTGTCCCTTCTTCTTCTTCCAATTACCATTATTGTCCCAGCAACCATTCCTTGACCTAAAAAAAAACAAGCTCAATAAATTTTACTTGTAAACCTAGAACTTACCAGTTCATACGTGAAAAACGACGTTGCGATGCTTGGCGCAACCTTGAGCAGATTTGGCCACAACCCGCGGTACAGCCCGATAAAACCTTGGATAGAATTAAAAACTTGCTTTTTGCATAAGCTACAAACACCTCACCTTCGGACCGGACGATTCCTTGAAGAGCATCAAGCGCTCCAGTATATTGTATGCCCAATCCAGACGACTTCATGCCAGTGACTTGCATTTTCCGCCGCAAAACGTCGAATGGGTATGTCAAGGTCTGAGAGATGGATCCTGACGCCATTCAGCCCAGGGTATCAACCATTCCAGCAACAACATACCTGCCAAAGCACCACATGCGAGCTTTCTTGGGACTGAGGTTTTGCCTGGTGGCGTGATGACGCCGCGCAAAAACTCATAGGCCGCGAAATTGATGCCCACATATGGCGCTACGCCAAATGCTGTCGTTACCAGACCTCTGTAGAGCCCCCGGACGCCACCTTCCTCCCGAACGATCTTGCGTGTCATTCCAATAATAGTCAATTCTGATGCTGCATAGGATGATGTGTGGTAGGCGGCAGAGAGTCCAATCTTGGCAGTACTTGATGAAGCAGGTTTGGATGAAATCGATATCGGTATTGATGCAGTTGCGATCGAGAGACGGGCTCTGACAAGGTCCAAAGGGTAGGTCGAACCTGTTTCAGCCATATAAATAGGTGCCGGAATTGTTGGGAATGCGACGAACAGACAGAGCAGATGCCAGCTAGCGCCCCAGCAGCTAATCTTCGGGGTGTGTCGAGTTCTTTATTGCCAAAAGACGCGAACCACTGAAGGACAGGTCAACGAAGGCATCTTTCTCTAGCGGCGAAGGGTGACAGTACTTTCTTGAGGCTTTCATATGCGGTGAATTGCACTGCAAGTGACGCTTTGGGCACGCGGCATCGGGAAAGAAAACGTTTACTCACCCGCACTGTACGGAACTATCCTCACGCAGTTGATCCCATTCCCCCCGCATGAAGCTGACCATCGAGTCATGTTAACACAAAAAAAATAAAACAAACCGACGCACCCTCGGAACCCTTCCTCTCGCCACATTCGACACAGAGATCGCCATACGCCTTCACAAATCGTGTTCACTTCCCAACCAGTTAAGATCCGAATGAGCAACTGACCTTTATATTGGTTTGAAGAGGACCGCGGTTGGACTTGTCTGGGGAAACGCGTGAACTAGACAGTTTTTAGAGTAGGGAGAGCATACTGTATAATCTTCAGTCTTTCTAATGGCGAGACTACCGTGCGGCTTGCGGCACCGGCTAGTGGATAAAAGGTTCAGGAAGAGTATAGAGTCGGAGAAATGTAGGCTCCAACCTGCCCCTCCAGCAATAAAGTAGGATGCAACTTGAGGAGAAAGGAAAAAAAGTTGTTGTGGGGTAGATTGTGTTGTAGATGACGATGAAGAGGTGTTTGAAGCCATGGGGAGTTCAAAGGCGGGCTCGCCTTTTCGCAGTTAATTCGGAGTCGAGACGGGGGCAAGGTAGAGCTATAGCGTCATAGGAGAGGCGCGTTTGGGAAGCTTGATCCGGAAGCCGCGGCAAAAAAAAAAGTCCAAAATTGACTGAAGTCTGATGGTCATTGTTCAATACGGTACAGTTCAACTACAACAAGTACAAGGAAAATACACCCATGTAGTGGTAGTATTACACCATTCCATATGCAGGCGGAGCAGAAGACCCGAAGTCTTGCGGTCGACTAGCGACCCCCAATGCTGAGGGTTGGCCCTTGTTTGGCATATTGCTGTTACTAGGGCCTGCAAGGCCCTGAAAACTACGGTGAGCCACGAATAATGACGAAATGTAGCCTACGTTGTGACCATGGGATGTTGGCGAATCTGGTTCTGAGCCAGCTTGTGACCGTGTCTCGACGACATAATCACGGTTGGGCTCGTTGGCGTAGTAGTTGACGATTGTGGAAGGATACCTAGTTGATGGAGCAGGCCGTCGCTGTGGCTGTGGAGGCGGATTATAAACATAAGATGGAGCTACGATGTCCGCATTTGCGCGGCTCATGCTCATCGGAGGTTGAGGAATGGGAGTGGGCATCGCTTGACTTTTTCGCTTTCTTCGTCGTTGCAACAAAAAGAGAAGTGCCGCCACTACGAAGAGAACAAATAATACCGCGATAATGATAGCAGCAATGCCACCGCCAGATATTCCACTTCTCCTACTTGGATTGTCAGACACTGAATGTGAAAGAGACAACCAGTTCTCTCACAGTGAACTGCTACCACTGCTATCACTGTTCAGATTGGAGGTTCCGCCCAGTGAGCTCGTTGTGTAAACATTGGCGTAATCAATGGCGAGAATTTGGCCGGGCTGGGAAGGCTCGTATGTTACCTTTATTTGATGCTGCCCACGACCAAGATTAGTCGCCGAATAGAGTAGTACTTGAGATTTGTACGACTGTTTAACTGCCGAGTAGTTCTCCGGTGCACCGCCATCCAACGAGACAGAAAATGGAGCGGAGGTAGGACCTATATCACAATAAGAGGCTTCGCGTTGTTGTCGTTGCGCTGAGATTACACACCGACAGGTCCGTATAGGTAGACAGCATCACCTGTGCTAAATTAGAGGGAGAAACTAGGTGATACATCTGGTCGCTTGCCCTAGTAAATGATGAGAATGGATCAGAACGGGGAATAGCAACAACTAACTTGGAATGTGTATGTCATAAAAGCACCTGGAGTTGCTGTGCCGCTGTGGCCAAGTCAACAACCACTCACAGTCAACGCGCCATTCACATACTGTCCCGAGCTGCCAGAATACGTCCCGACGAAGGGGACGTTTGTGCCCCACACATTCGCAGGTTGCCATACAAACGCCGGGTCGCTGTCTTGCACCGTGTTCACAATCAGCGGCTCCTCTGATTGACCCACAGTATTCTGCACAGTTACAAAGTCGATATCGACGAAAGTTGATCCTTGATTCGTGAAAGTCACAGAGTGTTGTCTGAGAATAATGGGTATTGCATGTAGCGTAATGTGTTCAACCCACCCTTGGCTTAACACTGGACTTTCGAAGAGTGGGACTTGGAAGTGACCAGGATCTGCGGCCTTCCCAGATATCGGTGGGAAAGTGTTTCCGTCAATCGTGACTTGGTAAAAGCCTTTGGAAGTCAAGGATGAGTTGAAGAAAGAACGACGGAGAACGCACCATGGTTCGCTCGTTGCGAGCCAAAGATCGTGACCGCAGTGCCATTAAATGTGAACGAAGCTGTGCCGCCATCCTTCTGGGTGAGTGTAAAACTGGCATCGGAGTAAAGGCTTGCTGCAGAATCGCCATTGCTTGACCCTACGAGCATAAGCTTTCAACGTAAAATCGGACAACTTCATGCCTTACCGGCACGCCAGTCCGGTGAATAATTGATCAAAGGACTGTAGTCCTCGAATGTGGTGTTGTAAATCGGCATGAGGGAATGTGGTCTTGGGCCACACAAGGACCCGCAGGGTCAGACGTGCACTGAAGGCACGCGTGAAAGCGAAGGAAACTGGAGGGAAGAGAAGGAGAAGGGAGGCATTGATTGTTGTGCGTCGACTGTTAATGGTTCATCAGATGTCAAGATTATTTATATTCACGACAGCCGAACAGGCCATGGATCATGATCCCATGAGTCGTTTTGTCGTTTACCCCCAAGTGAGAACCAACGAGCTTGTAAGTGAGCAACTGCAGTCGACGATCACACATCGCGAATCACCCCCCCCAAAGTTCTACGACTACGTAAAGTAATAAGCAAGCGCACAGAGCCCAATAAGGCTGATTGAGTTGCATTTTTTTTTTAAGTCGCCTGCGGAAGCCGACTTCAACACCATGATATGCAGTCTGTTGCTAGCAACCAGAGAAGTTTATGCCAGCTATCAAGTTGACCAGTCGAGGTAGGAAGTAGCGACAGCTTTATGATTAAGAGATACTAGATTAGATGTTTGAAGTGCGACGAAAGCTGAAGGCAATTTCAGTTCATTCCAAGTCATGTTTCTGCCGACATGCCCAAGATTTTTTCACCCCCAGATTGTCTTAGAGAGACTTTCCACTTCAGATGAAGTTGTGATGACCACAGCTGGCACCGAGACAGCCTCTTCCATGTGAGCCTCGTCAGTTGTCCCGCACAAAGGTGTCACGCCACCAAGAACGGCGAGTTTGAATAGAGCCTGAGGAGCGGTGCATTTGGAAGCAAGTGAGACTGAGGCCAGCTCTGGAGACGCCAGTAGTTTTGGTGAGCCCGACAACGGCCAGAAGGACCTGATATTCAGGTTTCACTTTCAAGAAGAAGAGGCTGATAATTGGGCTCACTGGTACTGAATGTTGTGATCTTTGCAGTAACGGCAGACATCTCTGTCCCAGGAGTTCCTTTCATGCCATCGATTTTGCACAACTTGGACTGGTCGAATGGTGGCGAGTGATTCGAGAATGGAGACCTCATAGGTGTTGCTGACCCCAATTGCACGAACTTTGCCGGAGTCCTGGAGGGCTCCGAGGGCTTCCCATGCCTCAATAGTCTCTTCAAGGGTAGGAAGTGGCGAATGAAGGATGTAACTATCGAGATAGGTCGTGTACAAGTTGGAGAGCGACTTGGCAAAAGAAGCGTTGATTTGTGTGGTTATACTTGTAGAAGGATCGTATGGGAGGGGTTTTGAGGTCGAGTGGCCGCCGATTGGGGTGTATCTGCGCCGATTCAGTCAGAATTTGCGTGCGAGATGGGCCAAACTTGGTTTGAAGGAAGAGATCCTCGCGTTTGATACCGTGTCGGCTTTGGAGAGTGAGCAGAGCTTCACCCACGAGATCTTCGCTGAAGTCATAGTGAGAGAGAGAGAGAGTTCAATACAGGTTGGGTAGTACCGATAATGCTTGGGTTGACAAGCGGTGTCGATGGCACGAAAACCTTTCAGGACTGCAGCGACTACAAGAGAGGCAGTCCTGTTCTCCTTCCTAGCACATATTGTCAGATATAAGCCAGCGGTTCGTTCAGTGAACGCGCCAGGCCGTTCCGTAGATGATGGATGGAGCCATTCACGTGGAGTCACGGGACTTTAGCGTGATCACTTTTGGCGCGTTGAAGTCACGGATGTGACACTCTCGTTTGGATCCAGATTCCTCTCTCTCGACCACCACCACCACCCTCGGCTTCGGCTTTTCGCGCCTCGCCGCTTCCTCAAGCCTGCACGATGTCGACCTACAACACCCGCAGCTCCGTGCTAGGAAAACGACCCTACACCGAGCCAACGACTCCCGAAGCCAAGCTCCAATTGCAGACCCCCGACAACACTCCCCTCCCAAAACGACCCAGAATATCCAGCACCGTCGTGGACCCAAATGCGAACAAGGAAAACATCCCTCCGTTCAACACAGAGCCTATCTCGTCCCCATCTCCCCGAACGACGCGTGCGTTGAGGCGTTCAACGACCTTAGATGGCTCTCCAACGCGTGCTAGAATAGGTATTTGGTCAATTCTCTTGTGTAGAACCCCTCCCAACTCTTGTCTATAGCAATCACCAGACGCGCATCGACCTCAACAATTGTCCCTCCAACACCAACCGTTGAGATTGCTGAACTTTCTCTTGCTACTCCACCACCTACTCCGCCCAGCTCCCTCCTCCCCATTCATGTTCAGGCTCGCGCCTTGCTTCGTGCGACTTGTAATAGTCCTGCCACCGACATGGCCGCTCGCGAAGAAGAGCGTGCTGTAGTCACCCAGTTCTTCACGTCTCTTGTTGACGAAAACGAAGTTGAACACACGAGCTTATACATCTCTGGCTCACCTGGGACTGGGAAGACGGCCCTTGTTAACTCCGTTCTCCGCGCCTTGTCTCCCGATCAAGTGAAGGTCATCATCATCAACTGCATGGCGTTGAGCACGGTTGAGATCTTGTGGGAACGTATCGTGGAAGAACTAGGTGGCAATACCGACAAGAAGCGAAAAACAGCCGGTCGCCTGACGAAATTGAAGGGACAGGAACTCGTCGCGTCTTTGCTGGACGCCCATCGTACTAAATGGTTTGTCGATTGATCAATTGCCGCATTTAGAAATCTTAGTTCCCTTTTAGTATCATCGTTCTCGACGAGCTCGATCACATTGCTCCTACGCCACAAGTTCTATCGTCGCTTTTCTCGCTTTCCGCCACCCGCCAGAAGACGGCACGCATAATTGGAATTGCCAACACCCACACCCTAACTGCTTCCTCTTCTGTTGTTCCAGTTGCTGGCAATGTCCGCACACTGCATTTTGCTCCCTATACTCCTACTCAGCTGCTCCAAATTATCGAAAGTAGACTGGCTCCCATGTACAACTCGATCTCCTCGGATGGCGATGAGGCTTCGGATGCCGCAAAGCAAGCAGCGAAAAAGTTTCTTTCGCCACCGGCATTGACTTTGCTGACCAAGAAAATCGCGGCCCTTACTGGAGATGTTCGCAGCTTATTTGAAGTTTTGCGTGGTGCTATCGACCTCGCTGTTTCATCGGCCGCAACACAGTCACCCACTCGTCCAAGCGAGAACCCTCTTAATCCCACTGTGACTATCGCAGTCTCTCCTTCCCATATTCTCTCGGCGCTCAAAGCCCATGCACCCTCCCAACCACGCAATGCTGTCTCCGCAGCTCCGATAGCTGCCAGCAGTGAAGTTGTGTCAAAAGTGTCCTCGCTTGGACTCCATGCACGACTTGTTCTTCTTGCGCTTTTGGTCTCCACCAAACGGCTTGAAGCCGGCCTGTCGCTCTCCTCTTCGTATTCTGGCCCATCGTCACCCGTAAAACGAACGACATCGATGGCCGTGCTTGGCGCTATTGACCCAACGCAGCTTCATGCCTTCTATTCGGCCATACTTGCGCGTTCGGGCGAAGGCGTGTTCTCTGCTGTTTCGCGGAGCGAATTCTCCGATCTCGTGTGCATGCTTGAGGGTGTTGGGCTGGTCGCTTGTGGGCCTTCAAATGGCTTACCTTCCGGTGGCCCAACGACTCCCAAAACCAAGCGCACTTTCTCGAGGTCGGCGTCGTTTGGTCAGGGGGGCAACAAGGCGGGGTCAGGTGACATCCAGTTGGCGCAGGCGGTCCGCACAGACGAAGTTCTTCGCGGACTCGGTGTTGGCGCTGTGGATGCCAACCCAGACGTTGCAGCGGAGGAAGTCAACGCGATCTGGCTGAAAGAAAACGCCAGGCTTACGCGTGATATCGCTGCTCGGGAAACCAAGTCTCAAAAGGAGAAGGAGAAGGCAGTCGCCAGTTTTGACGATGCAATGGAGCATTAAAGGACCTATGCCAACAGTGGATAGGACAGCATACACCTCATTCTAGAGCAGTCAGTGCCATGGAAGGATTTTTTGGTTCAGCATGCAGTTGTTGTCAAATTATGGTTTATGTAAAACTTATATGTAGCATGTACTCTTACCACAGCAAAATTCGATTCAGCATTTCTACTAGCCATGTTTCCAAAGGGTCATGCGAGCAAACTAGGTAGCGCAAAAATTCAACTTGTTTTCTATTCTCTCAGACGGGATTCCTGGCGACTCCATGTCGTGGCAGTTAACGGCCGTGGTCGTGGTCGGTTCGTAAGTCTTTCCTGACGCTGCTCGTTGTGACCACAGCATCCGGCGGCCCTTCAGGCAAGGCCGATATGACTGTGGGTGCTCCTGTTGGCTACAGGAAATACTCAGGCAACTAATTCGAACGATCAGCAAAATCCAACGGAAGAGATAGTTAGATGCCAACTTTTCCATTAGCGTTCTGTGCCGCTTGCTGGCTGGGCCCGTCGCGGTCGTTTTCTGGCGCTGCTTCAAACACGTTGAAGTACATGCTGCCGCCAGGCCCAACTTCGAGTATACTGGCGGAGTTGCCGCAACGGTAGCCTGGTAAGTTGGTAAGAGGTTTGGTGAAAAGGAAGAAAAGACGCACAATAATTGGGGGCCGACCAGACGGTGGAAAGATGGCGGTCGAAGAGGGAAGTATAACCCTCCATGCAGAGCTGGTGGGCGCGGAGGATATGCGACATGTTGTTGATTTCGAGGAACTTGTGGACGACACCCGAGCCGAATGTGTAGCCCGCCCCCCTGGTGTCAAGTCAGTTCGGCTTGGGTGAGGAAGAAATAATGGCATACCGGGGAGAAATAGCAAAGTCCTCCTTCTCCGCATCTGGGTCAGACCAGACAAGGTCAGCGATTGGCCCGTCTGGCGGTATTTCACGGAATCGGTCGAGGACTTTGATTTGGTCAATCGAGTGGATGGAAGGAGAGAGTCCTGAGTCAGGTATGAGCAGCTGTCTCTCTCGCTCGTTGGTATAGAGCAAACCCACCGCCATGGACACAAAATACTCGGTCGTCAATAACCGCAGAAAGTGTGAGGAAGTCGAACATGTCGGTGAAATACGTCCACGCATGGCTCGAGCCATATTTCCTCATGCATTCGGTATAGAAACCATAGTTCTGCAAAAGCATATTTAGTCGCCAAAATCAAGTCCAGGCAGTAGCGGCGCACCTGAGTAACCGCCCGCGACTCGTGGTTTCCGCGGATAAGCTGCACTCTGTCTGGATACCGCAACTTGAGGCACGTCAGAAGCGATATTGTCTCAACACTGAACAGTCCACGGTCGACGTAGTCGCCTACGCGTGAAAATTAACTCTTGCAAAGAGTGCAGCCCAAATCTGACTCACCCAGGAACAGATAGTTGGTATTTGGCGCATATCCGCCTATTCTGAATATCTCTATCAGGTCGTAGAACTGCCTGTAGATAGCACTCGGTTAACAAAGCGCGGAAGTAAGGCTTGAGAAAGAGCGGTACCCGTGAATGTCGCCAACGACGGTCACCGGAGCGCTGACGTGCACAACATTTGACTCCCTCATGAGCACCTCCTTCGTCTTGGTGCATATTTCGCGTAAGAGTGCTTCGTGCAAGAGTTGCTTGCGCAGTACTTGCTGAATACAGGCATCGAGGTCGAAGGGTGCCATTAAGTTAAAATTTGATCCGTTGATTGCATCCAGCTCGATTTTGATCCGTTTATGCTAATATACAATGCCGAAATCGTGTTTATCTACAAAGTCCTTTATATCAAGCATCCCATCCCCCAGCCCAGTCTTCGTCTGGCGGATTTCTCGTAGCCTCTACCACCCCCCGTTCGTCCATAACCGCTCCTTCGTCACTAGCATCAACTCCTGCTCGATGTAAATTATCAACAAGCAACCGACTCAGTCCAAGCCGATCTTTGGGCACCCAAATCCACCGCTGTGCCTGGTAAGTTGAAGGGTGGTCAAATGCGTTCTCATCCGTCTCCTCTTCTTCATCAGTAGACACGTCTTCTTCGGAAAGGTCTACATCCGCCATTGGGTTGCTTCTCTGTTTTTTGACCGGAGGTCTCCTGCGAGCAGAAGAGGCTTTCGATTCCCGCGACGACGAACTCGACTTGCGATAGAGCTCTGGGGCGTCACCATTCTTTAAATCCGACATCACAGCTTTCTCTGCCTCTTTTTGGGTCTCTGTCTTTCCGCTCACTGGCTCTTTCGAGGTTGACGGCCGACCAATTTCAGCATCAGCCTCTGCTTTCGCGTGCCTCCGCTCATCATCAGCAAGCTTCTCGCGCGCGGCTTTTGGAAGGGCAAGATGTTCGCCCTCTTCCTTGACCTTGGCTTTAATGGCGAGAAGAGTGTGGTCTATTGCATGTGGTAGATGTTTGATGCGCCGCACGCTTCGCAATGCTGCAAATGGTAAGCGTGATTTTTTTTTTCGAATTGTTAATGAAGACGCACCTTGTCTCTTGAACAAGTCTAGCTCCTCATCTTCGGGTGTGACCGGTATTCCCTGTTTGTGCTGGTGTTTCTCATACCGCTTTGCCATTTTCTTTGTTGCCAAGGACATGGGCAAGAACGCTGCGGAGGGTCCAAACATGCGGTCAAACATGATATGCGCGCCAATCGTTATGGCCAGTAAAACGAGCATCATTGCACCTTCTGCCACGGATGATTTTGGCGCAACAGAGGCTTTGAGGAAAAACAGGCATGCCAAAGAGATCTGCTCGATGTAGAGCCCAACAACTAGGATCCTCGTAAGTGGTAATTTGGGAGGAATTTGCCAACTCACAAAGGTTTGAAACCGCCATGGGGAAGTACATCCCGCCCGTTTCACTCTCATCCGGTTGGTCGTACACTTGCGTTAACACTGACCAGGGAAAATTAGTTGGCGAAGCATATATCAAAGTCAAACGTACAAAACTTGAACGCCAGGTAGAACATAAAGTAGCCTGAATCTGTGTCAGAGACGATGAGAGCAAAACAATAAGCACAAACTCAGGAGTGCAAACAGATTGATCAACGGATTCAGAAGACTGTAGACGAAGCCAATGGTGGCGAGCAGTGACAAGCGAGGCAAGATGAGGCTGAAGTCGGCCTGAACATTATGTCAGTATGGTTGCTACTTTCACCAAGTTGAGAGTGTACTGCAGGCATTTTGAAGGTGACCTTGGAAGGCATCAGAAAGAAGGAAAAAAAGTAACCCATCAAGACCATACATTGAACGCCTGCCTTGGAGTTCGCCCCAAAAACCACTTCTTTACAAAATGAAGGATGATGGGGAATAACTGCGCCATCGCCGCACCAGCGCCAGCAAGTCCTTGCGCGACTGGCAGAAAGGAGGGAATGAGCATCACATCCAGCCTCCAAGTATCAACACATACCCATATATGTTAGGAAGAATATCGACACTTTAGGAAGCTTATAGGCCAGTTGTTGTACGGTCTGGGTTGGTCGGTCGATGATGTCCGAGATGAGGGTCGCAACTCCGCTCGAAAGAGTGACAATAAGGAACCCGTGTCTAGATTTGTCAAGCAAGAATTTCGGGTGGTTCTGATGGCACGTACACCAGGAGGAAGAGGAAGAAACGACGATAAACGCTGACTGCAATCAGCGAATACCGTGGGATACATTCAAACCACGCCAAGGCTACAAAAAGTCCAGTTGAACGGGCCAGTCGAGTTTAAGGGTAAATTACGAACCCCACAAAAGGATCGGTAATAAGGCAAAGAGGATGGCTAGGAAAGCCGGAGGTAGAACACCCTGAATAATGCCAGGAATTGGAGTTGGTGCTAAACGTCAGTTAGAGACAATAGGGTAAGCCAAATTCAAGATCTTACCCTTGCATACCCAAGCTAACCAGCTATTTGTCTGTTAGCATATGTGCGCCGATGTGAACCAACACGCACTGGACCTTGCTGCATAAATCGTCGACACTGCTCAAGGTTCCAATGAAAATAACGGGAAAGCCGTAAGCGATAATTAACCCGACAGTGGCGAGCCATGAAACAACATATCGCCAAGTCATCTCCAAGGCCCCGTCGTCGAGACTAAAATGCGTCAGAGATAGCTCCCTACTGAAAGGAAAGAAGGTAGGCTTTTACTTATTCCACACAATATCTTTCGGGCTATTTCATTTTTTCAGCAACCAAAACAGTAACGCAAGGTCGACGAACCTGGTCTCCATCCATCGATCGCTCATGGCAAGCGGCTAGCAACTAGATAAGGTCTGGGACATCATCGTCATCCAGAAAGACGCACTTGATGGTGGCTGACACATTGAGCGAGAACATGGGCCCCAAGTTGCAGATTACAGCGAATGAAGACGCTGCCGAGGAATTTCCCTTTGACAATGTGCTGACGAGCCTCTTCAATTTCAGTGTTAAGTCGAGCAATTTCTTCCTTCGAAAAAGTCAGGACGGCCCCGTTGGACGACAATAAAGAAGCATACTGTACACCACGAAATGGTATCAACCTTGCGACCGAAGATCCCGAATAAGCCGATACGGTGTTTGGGTCGCACTTTCTCGGGCACAAGTTCATCGAGTAACTCTTGAGAAGGTTCTGCAGGTATTGCCAGCTCCAGCGGCATGTCTCCGCGCTCTTGATCAGTTTTTCTCCTCATGAGTTTGCGATGGGCCAACTCTTTAATACGCCATTGATCTGTCGCGTGCTTCAAGAGTTTGCTCTCAGCATTTTCCAGCTTGGAGCAGGCAGATTGGCGTTCTTCGAAGAGTTTGTTCAAAGCTTTCGTGTCTCTGTAGATCCAGACTCGATCGATTCCTCCGGGCACGAAGGATGCAAAAAGGCGCAGATCGTGTTCGTTCCCCAGCTCGGGCGGAACGGAAGTAATAAGCACGGTTTTCGCTTGGGCGAGACGAGAATGACTCTTGCTGACGAGGAATTTGTGGCGCATGTCTGAAGGGCGGTTGGCAGGTCACCGAAGTTATTCCAACACACTCACCGAGGAAATGTAGCATCTCTCGACGAATGAGATAAATAACAAAGACTGCATATTCTCGAGTCAGCAACCACAGAGTATATGAGAGAGGTGCGAACAAGTCAAGAGATAGGCCATAATTATGTGCGCTGCAAATCGTTTCTGGTCGTCGGTAGGAATGCTAAAAGCATATCAACATGCGTCCTTGTCCGCGGGAAACGGTCGACGCACTTGGTCCAGGTGATTCGGTTGATGGGGTCATTGCCTTCCGGTATGCCCACAATGTCGACCGGGACGATGACAAGGAATGTGGATAGTGTGAAGGTGGCGAATATAATTATTAAGAGTCGTATAAAGCGAAGGACCATATATGCGTCGAGGCCATTCTTCGCTATCTGGGGACATGTTGGCTTGCATATACTCCGTGGCGAGAACACTCACGATGTCTGTCGCGTCTTCAACCAACAATGCTGGAAACCACCTCCACACGCCCGCAGGTAGCTTGTGCGCTCGTTTCCTGCAGAAAAAATTACCGGAGTATGAACTATGCAGTCAATACCACTCACGCTGGAGGCGGCAGGTAAGTGCGAGGACTATATATCCTGCCTAGTCGATTCTTGAGAATCACGAAGGCTGCTATCTCAGCAGCGAGAAGGGCTCCATTGGCAACAAGGGCTGTAACGAATGTCTTGGTGCTGTTGGACGTGGAGGAGGTGGCTTGCGATGACGATACAGCCGACATCAAGGAAGGAAAGAAATGTGAGTGGATGATGGCACGTTTTTGTAGGGGCGTAAGTACGCTGGCTGGTGTGTCAAAGATTTCAACTCAATACGTCAGCGAAAAGAGCTGGGTCAGACGGTTCCTGAGGCGGTTCCCATGGTACAAGTAGCATCTCGTCAAAGACGTCAGAATGCGAGTCGGTGGAGCCAGTCCCAACCCAGAATGGAAATTTTGTCAGGTGGTCACGTCGATTATTATCTTATCTTATCGTTTGTACACTAACTCAGTCGTCAATGGCAAGGCCCATGACAGTTCTTGCGGTTTCTGCAATCATACCCAGCGCAAAATTGGAGGAACGTGGGTCGGGGCCTCGTTGAAGTTGCAGTCCATGACGAGACGCGGTTTTCTCTTTGTAAATACTATCCGGCAGTGGTTTGCCCATCCTATAATCATGAGAAAACAGCTTAATCTTACCGATGTCCAGCACAATCACAAGTCTACGCACCGGCAAAAATCGCAAGTGCATGGCTTTTTCCCAGTCCCATGATGGTCACAACCATAGTCCATGTCTGCACTCATACCACAGCAAGTCCACCGGAAACCTTGTGGCCAGAATTCATGAAACTTCTCGCAATCGCCGCCATACTTCGTTTGGAAATCTTTCTTCAAGTCGTCCGACTCCTCTTTGAAGCAAGCGCCCCAGCCAAGGCCTTCTGCAGGACAATCCCATGTGATGAGTTCCATTCGTCCTTCGTGAAGAGATCCATCCCGATTTTTTCGATGCTTGTCATACCACTTGGGCATTTGAGCGCAGGCGACTTTATGAGTTTTCCAGTCTGCCCGTTGGCACTCAGGACCTGGTGAAGCCGGTGAAAAAATGGTTGAGCAAGAAGAAATTAGGTCCATACCACAATAATATGTTGTTCGACAGTCCGAGCATCGGGAGACACCTGGTTTATCGCAAACAGTGCAATTCACTCCAGCCGAAGACATGGTCAAAGGAAAAACGGGTCGTCACGTCTCGTGATACAACCGCGTTGCGACGCGTCCAACTTCACGGTATACGCGCCATACTATAAATAACTTCATAAAATAGCAACAGCTTATCTACCGAGGTATAGCTCTAAGCGAATCTCGCAGTCCACTCATCTGATATTCTATTGTTTTTGTCAGACTCAGAATGGTTCTGATATCATGAAATTCCGCACCGAGTAGCACACATCCTGCACTAAACGCCTCTATAGTGCCCATGATATTGGTAAGACATCCTTGTAATGCAGGAATGTCTGCAGGAGTTACAGTCGCCACCCATCCGGGAGTGGACCTATTGGGCACTCTGGCTGCTACCAGCGCTCGAATGAATAGTTGGGCTACAGAGACCCATAATGTCTGGTTCCATGGAAGTAAACAGCTCAAGGCCGAGTAAAATGCTCACCCCCATGATTCCATCGATAACTTTCCATTCCTGAATGTTCGGAATAGCCTGGTTTGCGGCAACCACAGCTTGCGCAGCATTCAGACATTTGACATTGGCCTCTCGTGTGTCCAATCGAGTGAGAAGTTGGATAAGCGCAACTTGGCATAGTGTAAAAGTAACGAGACGATGGCGGATGATGTCTTTCGAAGCTGGTGTCTGTCCAGGCATCAGCGTCTGGATGAACTGGGTCAATCCATGTTCGAATAGCAAAAAGTCTGCGTATTCTTGGGCATCGTTGAGATCTGTTAACAGTCGCTTATTGATACGAATGAAGGCTTAGATGTGGGTCTCACTGTAATTCTGGCCAATATGATGCGCTGACTCGAATAGTGCGGCCGCTTTAGCTCGTTGTGCCAGAGAAGAGTCCTTCCCTTCCCCACCAGAGTTGGAGGGATTATATAAGAAGGCTTTCAGTGTCTGCGTTCGTTGTAGATTGGATGGAACGAAGCCCTGTTAACCCCGGATCAGTCGAGGTGGTGATATGAACTGGAAGACAAATACCGATTCGTAAACTTCCATTTCAAAGGGCCAAGGTGCGTCTATTTGTTCGTCGAGAATATTTGACATACTCGAAGGCCAGCGCATAATCACGCCGAAGATCTTGTGGAACATCATCACAGTCCAAAAGGCATCGATACGCTCTCCTTGTTCCACCGCATCCCTGGTGGGGGGTAACGAGTTCGAATTATTTGACCCATCGAGTCTATGAAGCCCATACCCAATTGAGAGCGATACGGCAGTGTTGATCCGGTGCATCGATTCAAGAAACCGGCCTTGTCGCAGAAAATAATGCGCCAAAAGTGTTTCTGCTTGGATATTCTGAATAGCCTGGATTGGCGACACCGGGCTCGACGGCTGAAGAGCGCGTTCAAGAAAAACAGCTTCCCGGTCCTTCAAGACTTGAATGTTGGAAAGGTGAATGCCGAACAAAAGCATCGCATTGAGAAGACTGGTGGACAATGGTCGACGCGGATCAGGCGGGAAGAAGGTTAAGAGACGTCTTCCGCTGAGAAAGAAACCCAATTGAGATGCATGACTGGAGAAGACGTCGATCCTGCAAGGTATTCTGATCAACTCCCGAGTTCCACGAATTTGATCCCCGAACTTACAACATCTTGGTCACTTGTGGCGGTGGTATGGCACTCCGCCACCAACCATCGGGCAGCGGTACTCGGAGGGGTACCGTTGGTTGCATATTATTCTGTCTGTGATTATTCCACACGGAGAATGAGCTTCCGGATTGCATCGACTCCAGATGCGGCTCATGAAGGATCACTTCGGGTGCTGTCGGCAATGTCCCACCGAGCTGAATAATCCGTGCCTCCAAGCGTGCAATACTGGCTTCAAGCCGCTGGGTTTCCGCCTGGCCGAGTTCATCGTCATACTCACAACTACTTCCTCGTCCCAAACTGACACATTTTCCGCAAGATGGACGCGCGCCATCGCATCGCGCTTTACGTTTCCTGCAAAGCTTGAATTTGCATGCGAACAAAACGTAAAAATGATTGACGAACCTGCATGTCAAGCAGGCACCTCTGGGTGAGTTTCTTTGCGATGGAGCCATGATTTATTGTTCAAGCAAGCCCCCTCCATTCCTCGTTTTAAAGTGTACACCAAATACATTGGAATTCGAGGGGACTTTACTGCTACAAATTCACCAAATGAGGCGATGTTCGTCGAGGTTGAATTCGGGTTCTATCAGTGTTAGAAGAACATAGCAGAGATCTCGTTAGAGACAGTCATATACCCTGGGGAGAGCTCGGAGAGACTGGATGGTGGTATCAGTCGGAAGGCAGCTCAAAGGTCCATATTGACGGCGAACAAGGGCAACGGACGAAGTCATTGAAGAAAATGAAGACAATTAGACGAGCAGTCGAAGTCGCGCCCACTCTGAGCAGTCTAATGCTACTGACTGAACAGAAGATAAACTTGAATTTGGGTTGAAGGGAGGTAGCGGCACTGCAACTTCGAGCAAGTTGAATGGCGATCATCCAGGCCAAACCGGGTCAAGCGCATGGAGCGTTTACTTTCGAGCGCTGGGCGTTTGTTGCAGAGTCGTTTCATTAGATCATCAAGTCACGGGATCAAAAAAGGACCCACATCCAATAGGATACAAATATACGCTACATAGCAATACACCTCAGACTTCACCTAGAATACGTACGAGGATCTCCTTTATCGTACTCCGGCTCTCTAACTGGTCATTTGAATCAGACCCAGCCGCAGGAAACAACGCGCTTCCCAGAACCTCATCATATGGGCCATTCCGCACCCGTAAACGATGGGTCATGACACGGGGAGCGATACGCGCAATGTCTGCTTCACTAAGTTCCAAGACCGGGAGTTTAGGAGCTCCGTCTTGCACTGGTGGTGTCGTCGCCCCGTCTTCCTCTTCTACAACCACTTCAATTGATTGGTAGTGATGAGCAAGATCATTCTCATTGGGAGAATCTTCACTCTCGCCGCCTTCAGTCTTGCTGTGACCGTCGCCTGACCTGGCTGAGATGTAGGCCGCGTCATCCCGCACCAGCTCGATTCCTGTCAAGTCCCCCCCAATAACACGCCCAGCTCGCGCCAGGTCAAGCACATCTTTGACCGATTTCGCCGTCAATAACAAGGCGTCCAGCTGAGGATGATGTCGGGCAGCTGAAAAGAGGTCCAGAGCATAGATATTCAGTGCTGGTGAAAGATAAGTACGATGATAAGTTGAGCGTAAATCATGGAGAAGGGCGCTTGGGACAAGTGGATGTTGTAGCAATGGTTGATGAAGATGATGGTGATGGCCAATCGGAAGTGATATTGTGTGGCTATGGTGCGGTTGAGGATGACTTGGAGGTAAAGGACTAGAATGGAGAGCTGGAGAATTGCGATGAGACGTGGAGTTGCGAGAAGAAGCTGAAAGGAGAGCTCTAGCACTGGGATGCGGGGTGATGGTCGCGCTCATAGCGAATTTATCGAGCTAACGGCGGAAAACAATCAGACCATCACAACAATAGGCAACTCTGAGTGCTGACCAGTGTTTTATCGATCGGCGGGCGTTCATGTGCATCAAACGCGCACACATAAACAATGATGAAGCCATCAGCAAGATTCCAAACTTCATCGTATGTCTCATCGCCATCTTCGTCTTCCAAGACTACCCGTCGTTCCGCCAATGCCCGAGAAAGCGCTCGCTGAGAGGTAAGAGTTGCATTCTCCAGGCCTGAAATGACAACCGCTCGTGGTTGCAATGCAGATGATCTGTCTGCTTTCGGTCGTATGGGCGTTGGATCTGAGAAAGCGTGGGGAAGCGGAGTTCGGATCCTCGGAGGACGTGGCACAGTCGAGAAAGGGTTTCCACTTGAACTTGTCGTAGAGGGTAAAGCTTCATGGCTGTCGCCAAACGGATTTGCCCCCATCAGTTCGTTGGAGCTCGAGACTGACTGCCGCCTCGGGCGTTGTAAGGGACGGTTGTATGCCGAGTTACTTCGATTCCGCTTATGGGCCGCTTTCGTCGACAATGGCTCATCTTGTGCTTCTATCGGGCTACTCCAAGGTAGAAACAAAGAACGTAGAAATGGCGCCCCCGATGCATTAGATGGATTAGTTGACCGAGGTCGTACTTTGAGCTTGTGAGTAGCCAACCCAAAAACAGTGGAAAGGGTCTAGAATCCGGTGAGTATATATCGACCGAACACGTTCCAACTCCAAGCGGCCGCGAATGACAGCGCCACGGTGGGTGGCTGCTGGGCTCGGTCAGTTGTAGTGGTGGTTTGATAGGCAGGGCAAACGCAAAAGTTGACTCAGTTTGCATCGAAGACGGCATTAATACGCCCTCGATTCGTCAAACAGGCCTAACTTTTGCCTAACTGCGTAACCATACACAGAGTGATAGGCAAACCCGCGAGGGAATCAAGGGCAGTGCTACCGATCTTGATATGAAGACTTACCAGAAATGTGAGTTTGGACACGAGACGCACATCTCGGTCGGGAGCACGAAGTAATAAATGTTTTTCGCCTGCAACGAGACACAGCAGGAGAGATTGAAAGAGAACAGGGTCAATCGGGACAGAGGGTGACGCCCGCTCCCGTATATGAGCAATGAGTTGGGGGACAAAGGTAGGTGCGCCAGGGACAAGCTCGAAGTCGATGTCAAACATTGAAGAGCTGTCAATCAGTTGTCATCAAAAATGTGATCAGCCGCTTGCGATTGGCTTGCACGGCGCGGGCCTTCCGACCTATATTACTTGACGACACACCTCCGCAATTGCTTGTCGAGCCGTGTCGTGACCTCCCTCGATGCGGTAGATGGCAGTAGTCCAGTTCAATGTGAACGACACGAGCCCGACCTTCTCTTTCTTTCCCCGTGCCGATACTTTCTCTCCTCCCAACATTTCTGCTGGTTGGGAGCCGTTCTGGACCCAGCCAGGCTTTTCCGCCAGTCCAGAGACGATTGGCTCGGGCCAGAGTTCACATATTACTTCTCTCGATGGAGCATCTTTTATCCTTCACTGGAAAGGTTTGTGAATCAATCTAAACTCGTTTGTTGTTCACCAGGTTCTCCCGTAGGAACGGGGATTCAACTCTTTGGCAATGTTACACGCTCATCCTTCTCCATTTCGATCGACGGTCAACCCACGCATAGCCCAACTGCCGACCTCGACAGCAACCTACTTTTCAATCTCCAGAACCTTCCCAACTTACCCCACACGTTGTCCTTCGTCGTCCAGGCCACGGGTCAGGTTCCCATCGTCCAGCTCATCTCGGCCGTCATTTCCGCTCCCCCTTCCCCCGCCAACATCTCGATGTGCGTTCTTAACTTGGCTGACGAACAGTTGCGTTTAATTTTGGTCTTTAGCGCCAACTTCACTGAAGTTGTACTCAACGAAACGGCCTGGTCCTACCAGGGCCGTTGGTCTTTCTTGAACGACTCGGACTCTTCACAACGATCCGCAACTGCTGGCGATAAAGCGACTTTGCACTTCCAGGGAACATCATTTCTGTTACGGGGGTCAACCTCCCCCGACGCGGGCAAGTAAGCATCGTCTTCCGTACTCCAATTCAAAAGTCTAACGGTTCCACAAAGCTACTCGGTCACCCTCGACAACGTTACGACAACATATAATGCTCGGTCTTCCTTTGCCCAGTCCGACTCCCTTCTCTTTTTTGCCTCTGGATTAGACGCCAACACCCTACATCATGTCGAGATCGACAACACTGAGGGGGCCACCCTCATTCTGCCTATTCGAGGGGCGTCTGTGTTTTCTCTTCCTGACAAGTGCGTGTTATATTACCTGATGTCCATGTTGCTGATAGATCACAGTGCTACCAACAGCACATCTGGGACTTCCGCCGCCGCCTCGGCTGCCGTAAGTCCTAGTAATGGCGGCGGGTTGTCTAGTGGGACAATCGCAGCCCTCGTCCTTGCTGGTGTTTTGATATTCTTCATCGTCGTCTGTGTGCTGGTCTACTTCCTTGTTTATCGTCCATATAAGCGACGGCAACGCCTACTTCAGCAACCACAGAAGGAAGAAGATTTACAGGATACTGGGAGTGTCTTAGTAGTCGACATTGCGCCAGATGCGGTCACCAAGTCTTACTACGACCACCATTCCGGACCCTCGCAAGCCCCAGCTAACCAGCGAAGTGGTTTCGCTCGATGGAAGGAGGAGGTTGAGGGCGGCCGGCTGGGCAGTTGGAGTCGCGGGGCCTTGGGTATTGCATTCCGGCATTCGGATTCCTCTGGCCGGAGAGGCACGTCAGGATCGTCGGTCGAGTATTATGACCTTGATGGATCATCCAACGGCTACAAGAGCTCGTCTTCTGAGGGATACACCAACCAACGGAAAGGGAAAGGGAAAGAGCGTGGCAGTCGCTGGTCACTGAAGGGTAAGAGGGAAAAATCGGCCTCTCCACAATTCAAGCTGGAGTTCCCCATCGACGATCCTCCGCCAGCAGCTGGCTCGCATCTCACCGTCCCCACGGAAATATCTTCTTTGTCATACATGTCGTCTCCTTCCATTCACCCTACCACTATCCCCTCTGAACCCCCAACGCCGCCTCCTTTCCCCAACACTCACTCTCGAGTCAACAGCAACAACCCGCTACTTGTTTCGGAAGATCCCACCCCAACCTCCCGCCCACGACTAGACGACCGTGGTAGTGTTCGTGAATACGACGCTGTTGACGACGGACAAAGTATCATTGGTGATGGTGCTGTGCGAATAGCGCTACGCAGTCTGAGTCCACGGACTAGCGAGAACGAGCAGTCGCCGAGACAGAGCACCAAACGCCGGAAAGAAAAGCGTGTGAAACGGGAGAAAACCCCTTCTCCACTGGCTGCTGATGCTGGCGGGCTGACTTTGCGGGCCACGAGTCCGTTCCAGGTGGACTTTAATGGTGCGCGCCTTTCTGGGCAGTCTCGTGTCCGGTTTGAAGGCGATTCGGGAGGGAAGGCCAAGCCACCAAAGTCTTCCGGCCACCTCAAGGACATATCTTTCCTTGATTTCACCAGCTCGTCTGAAGCGTCGGTGATGACCCGTTCTCGTGACTACTCTGTGTCTTCTCACTCCTTTGGGCCACAATCACACTGGAGTGCTGAGGCCAACTCCAGTAATGAACGTAAATCCCGATCCAACTCCAGCAATCTACCTCTTGGTGAACCCAAATCTCGATGGAGCGCTACGACTGCGCCGAGCTCAGATGCCCATCACCAAGATGCCTCAAATGGCTCTTCCGACTCCAATTTCCCCTTCCCTGTTTCCCTCCCGACATCACCCCATCATCCAGCTGGAACCTTCATTCCTCCGTCCCACCATCCAGCTGAAAGCACAATGAGCAGCCTAAACTCCCACCCCCTCAGCGACGACAACCTCACCTCCCCAACAGACAGCTATCCGCTGTCGGTCTCGGACATCCATTTCCGCCACAGCGATTCCGAAGAGCCGTCTACGTCACGTGCGACGAGTGGTATCCCCGGCCACCCGCCATTGCCGTCTGCCCCTCCTGAAGAGGAGGAGCAACAGCAGTCGTATATTGTCCAGCGCGTTGCTGGAATCAGCACACCCTCGCCGAGTATCGGCACGACCATGCTGGCCACAACCCCAACACCGACTGCAACCCGCTTTACCTCGAGTCCGGGGACACGGCCCGCGGGCCATACCACTCGTTAACTTATTCGTGGATGGATTTCTGTTGTAACGGACTCTAGGGTTTACTGGTTGTGTATTTGTACTTACTATCTGCTTTTAATCGAGTCAGCGATGATTGTTCACGAACTGAAACCCATGAGATAAGATAGCTCAATCAAACACGGTGTTACGCGTATGTGACACGCTTATGTCTGCACCACCACCACCTGCCTTGGAGATCTTCGCGGAGAACCCATACGCGGGGAATCCGGCGCTGTCCCCCATCGAGGGAGAGGTCCTCTGGGAGTACGCCAAGCTAGCGCAAAACCTGAAGCTGGTGGGCAATACTGGCCGTGCCGCAATAAGTGTCTGATCTTTGTTATAGCTCAAACAGAAGACGCAGACGCTTACTGAACAGCCTGATACTATACTTCTGGAGCGACTGCGCGCGGTGGAAAACAAGATGGGCCTGATTCTAACGCTTGTTCGTGATATTTGTCCTATTGGAGTTCAACCTGACTGTTTGGCCAGTTCAAAGCCTCAGTGTGGGGTGTTATCAATGAACAGAATGTTGCTAATTCCTTCGATCTTAATGATGATACAATTCGTTAGTTCTACACGCGCAGTCCGCCGACACGACCCGCTAGAGCATTCACACTGTCCGTGTCCCAGATGACAAGATTGCCATCCACACCGCTAGTGCTGACCTTGGTAACGCGTCCACCCTTGGTCTCAAAGGGACGGATGCTGGTGATCGTATTCTGGTGGACAGTCAAGAGTTTAGCGTCGCTCGAAGCTTTCGCAGAAGTGTGACCGCGACTATCGGCATCGCGGAAGGTGGAAAAGGCAGCAGAGTTGAGACGGCCAACGGGAGAATTAGACCCAGGGCCAGCAGGTTTTCCGGATGTACTATCGTCGAGACTTCCCACTCCTTGCCAGCCTCCTTCTGAACCGGAAAAGACAACAGGTTGGCAGTCATGACCAGCGGCAACCACCGTGTCCTCCGCAGTCCACGTGAGCGTGACGAAGGGCAGTGATGAGATGCGGATGGTGCAGATAGTTGGTCCTCCAGGGTAGACAATGCTGATCGAGCTGTCGTGACCTGTGCGTCAAATAATAATAAGAAATCAGACTTTAGGTTGAAGTAGCACTCACTCGCAAACGCTAGAACATCTCCAGATGGCGAGAAACTGACAGCATGGACCCAGCCACCAGAAGGACTCGCATATTCCCCACAAACGGTGTTGAAAGGTAACTTGGAGCCCCAAACAGTGGGAGCGGGTCTGGAGAGTTGAGTGGCAATTAAATCCCCTTATCAAGAGACGTACTTGTCATCGACCTCCTTGATATACGCTGAAAATACACGAGCTTTCATGTCTGCACTCCCTGACGCGAGCAACACGTTGTTCGGGTGCCAGTCAACGGAAAGAACGGTGGAGCGGAGAGGTTTCTTGAGTAGCTTCGAGACCCACCAGTTGTTTTCTGGGTCAAACGAGCAGATGGCGATTGCGCTAAGCGTCAGGGTAAGTAAATGATAAGCGAAGCTGGAATTAATGCTCGCCGTGCACCGCTGGCAACCGCAAACTTGTCCTCCTTGGGGCTCCATCGCACATGTGTCGCAGCACGGTTAATTCTGAGCAACACGAGGGTTGGCTTCCAGATCAGCTTCCCCGTGGATGGGTCCTGTGTTTGCTGCCAGACGTAGGCATTGCGGTCCTGAGAGGATGTCACGATGCGGTTCGAGTTGGGGGCCCAGTCAATGGAGGTGATGAGTTTGTCGTGCTGCGCAAGTACGATTATTGACGTTCAAGTTACAGCAGACCTGTTCATACCTCGGAAAGTATCTCTGTTGGCACCCAGGCAGCGCCCTGACGCGCAAATATCTGGACATCGTTGGAGTTGAAGCTAGTCGCGAGCTCTGGACGCAATATGGTCAAACGAAGAAAGGGATGGGGCTTGTGTTGATGAGAACTAACGGGCGTTGTCCGCGCTGAACGCATGGGCGGTAACAGGGGTCTGCGATAAGTTGAAGACTTGAGGCATTTCTAGCAGGACTCTAGCAGTCGACTGCCAATGTGTTCGTCAAAAGTAAAGATTGTGTGGATTATGTAAGACGTGACCGAACAAGTAGAATGACGAAAAATAATTAGGCAAAAAAAAATAATGTCCCCAGTATTGACCGAGAGAAGAAAAAGGACGTAAAGACAAGTCTTGGAAGTTTACACTTTGAAGACCTTGACGTCATCGACGAAGGTCCAGGCAGGAGCTGCGCCACCAACAAATGAGAGCACATCTTTGCCCGTTCCAACGACGGTATCGGATTGGGAGAATGTATACGAGCCAACAAAGCCGCTCGTGCCTCCAACGCGTTTGCCATTCCATAAAATGTCGACCTTGGCCGGGCCTTCTAGTGCTTGGCTCGAGAAGGACGAAATGAAGAAGACCTGGACAACGTAGTTTGCTCCTTTGTCGGTAGCCAATGGTTTGGCGGGGGTGAGAGTTCCACTCAAGCTATCATCGCCGAATGCTGCGCCAAGAAGTGCTACCCCACTGCCAAAATGGGCATAAGGCTGGAAGTGGAAAATGCTCGCATCAAGGCTACCACCCTTGGAGGACGTTCCGATCCAGTTGGAGTAGGACTCGGTGAAGCAGAAGTCGTCGCAAGCGGTGTATCCCTCGAAACCTCCATCAATGACCAAGTTTTTGCGAGCATATCCACGAGACATGGTCACGACAAGATCACCCTGCCCGTAGTTGACGGCAGTAGACTCGTCAGCAACGAGGTAATACTAAAAAAACGATTTTAAAATCACCTCCAGAAGGAAGAGACAACTTCACTTACCATCGCGCAGCTGTAAGTTGTTGGCACACCCTTGACAACAGCGCGCCAGATGTTGAAATAAGAGCATCCACCGCCGAGTGGGTCGACGCCACGGCCATTGCAAAGCTGAGCACAGGCATTCACATCGTACTTGTCAAGGAACGCGAAACCCATGTACTATCTTCAAGGTCAGAAAAACCAGACATATAAAAAAAACGGTGCTGACGCCAGGAGCATTGTTCGCGCCTCCAGTTGGCCCGAAAACGAGATCATAGCCATCAGGAGTATCAGGGTCGACGAGGGAGTCAGCGGCGTAACCGCTGCTCTGCGTGATATACGTCAGGGGAACGGGTTCACTGCCGACTTGGGGATACGATGACTGGCCACCAAAGTTGAGCTTTTCGGTGGCATTGTGGACGTCGCCATAGGCCGCGCATTTGAGGTTGGACTTCTCGGAGAAGACAAAGTCAAGCAGATAGTTGTTGTACTCGTAAAAAAGGTTCACGAAGACTATGAAAAATATCAGTGCGCGTTTATTGCGAAGAAATAAATCAACTTACCACAGCCGTCGACACGCTGGGTGCACCAGTCTAAGCACGCTTGTACATTGTAAGTGCTGTTGGGAACGACAGTGTAGGTGAGGTAAGCAGTTCCCTGAATAGACGCGTCGTGTTGGCCGGCCGGAAGGCCATCAAACACTTTCTTGAAGCCGGAAGTGCGTTTGCCGAGACGGCCGAGATTGCGACGCTTCCGAGTGGAGGGGGTCGTGTCAGAGCTAGAGCCAGCGACAGTCGAGACAGTCGCATTGGTGAGAGAGCCGTCAATTGCGGTAACAGTCGTGGGCGGGACATCAGCGCTTGGGGGCGCATCATGGGGCGGACTACTTTTCTGATCGACTTGCCCTAAAGTCTGGACAATGGCGTTGCTGTCGGTCGTCGGGGCGTCAGCTTCAGATACATCAACTGGCTGATTGGGGGAGCCCTGGTGTCCAGGTGGAACGAGTGCAGCACGAGCAGCTGAGAGTTGAATGAGTTCAAGTCTAGTAACCAATGGTATGCAGGAGACGAACAAACAAAAAGAGCAGCAAGTGCAAGAAAACGTGCTGGAGAAGGCATAATCGTTTATTTGGGTGAAGGAGCGTGGAGAAGGAGTGTAAGGAAAGAGAAGCAAACAAACCGAGTGCAGATAGATACAGACACCAGCCGCTTGCTTCAGTTTATATACTGTTAAGCCCAAGCATGACATCAGGTTGACTAGACTAGCGGAACACGGGCCATGAAGCGGCGGCGGGGAGAAAAGCTAAAGATGGCACGCTTGTTCGTACCTGTGGAAGAACTTGATTTCAACTGTGGCCTTGTAACGCTTGCTGCCACTTGTCGATGCTGTCTATTTGCCCCGAATTGATTCCCAGCACGAAGATAAGCATTAGACGTTTAGAGCGGCCGTGTGTATGAGATCGCATTGCTTCCAGACTCGGAGGTACGCGTGTTGAAAATTTGCTGTAGAGAGAAGCCTCTTGATGGCTGCAACCAAAGAGGGTCACAAATCGTGATGCCAACGTCACACACACACGGTTTGCCAACACCCATTCGTTGTCAACGTCCCACCATCTCTATCACAGCGTGCTACGTCGCTACTGCTGCCAGATTCGATGTCGACTTCGGTGTTTTAGCTGTCTGTCGCTCACCAGAAGTTCAACTATCTAAGTAGTCCGATATCAATACTTGCAACGTTCTTCTCCAAGGCTTCCGATTTCACCCGCAGTTTCAGTCCATTCCATTTCTTTGGGGACTAGGCTATTCCTAATAGGTGGTGCTTATCTAAGTTACTTAATATGGTTCTTTTTTCATTTCAGACGATGCTTTCAGCTACAATCGCCGTCAATTCCCGAATGGACCAGAGCGGAAGCCACAGAAAACTCACTGTTATTGAACGGATGAAGGGCTGGACATTCGACAGTTATGAGCTCATGAAACAGACAAGGCAGAATTGCGATACTCACGGTCGTAAGGGAACTTGCGCACAGCGACATCACCCTCGTAATCATGATAATTATTTTGAAGCGCCGTCTGTCAAGATACGCTCAACTTCTTCGAAGGCTGCAACCGATAAGGATGGAACGCACCAGATTGACCATCCCGTCAGGCTGGTTTGCGCCAAACTGATTGACTAGTTGGACACCCGACGAGTTGTAGTCGATTCGAAGCATTTGACGAGTAACGCGGGAAGTGTCGTGGAGGAAATAGTTGTCTGTTTCGAGTCAGTGGTGACACAGATGGTGGGTCCACTGTTGACGCACGAGGAGTTATCAGGAACGCAGCTTGTGCAGACGTGAAAACCGTGTTGGGAAGATCGCCAGTATGGGGCACATGATGCATTCCCAACTAGCAAATAATTTCGCTAATGCTTCACAAAGCAATAAGAGAGCTCACATTGACCCATCTATAAGCATTGGAATGAATGTCAGCTTCAAAATGGAAGGTGTGTCCCTACTCACAATACTATATCGGTCTGATTGATGCTTTCGCCTGTGAGGTCAAGAATGAAGTTTGCATCAAACGAAGACTTGTGAGGAATTACCATCAAAGTACTTGTCAAAATCGATGATTGGGTGGCCTGCAAACGGTCAGAACAGCAGATAGACCCCAACGCAGAATACCTGGGTCATAATCGTTGTTCGCATGTGACGCCCGAACCTCAGTATCCTTTTGCTTGCTCACATATAATCCATGCGTAGCGAAGCCTTGGGATTTGAGAAGATTCGAACTAATTGGGGTTTGTGAGTATTAGAGTGGCGAGCCTGACTAAACTTGCCTCTCCTGTATCGTCAGGTACATGCCCGCGCCGCCTCTGGAAGGAGCAATCTTATAGCCACGGGGTTCCCCGTACTTGTTAAGCCTTACAAGAGTGTCATTCCACAACAGGTAGACAAACAAGTCAAATCCACTTACTCGTCGCTGTTCTCGACGATGAACATAGCTCCGCCGTTGGCCGGCCAATTCAGCTTGCCCTCGTTTTCATTTTCCACGCGCACCCGCTCTACCTTCATGGTGGAGCGTGTGTGATTTGACCATGGGTATTTGACTTGAACGGGAACGACTTTGTGCTTGACGAAAGTGTTTTTGGTGCCGAGAATATCCATATCGACCTTCCAGTTCAGCGCGTGATCATGCATGCTACCACTCAAGCCATCATGAATACGATAGCCTACCCATCCTAGTCAGCGAGCATCTCGAAAGACAAGTTCATCACTGACCATATTCGTCGTTTTTGGCATCTGGATTGGAGTTGGATCAATGCTTGAGGTCAGAATGAAGAACGCACAGTAAGCTGATTGGATATAACCAGAGGCGCGAACGACAATCTCAATCGTCCCATCAAGCATAAACTTGGGACATACGTCAGAGCCGAAAATATTCCGCGTAGCAAACCTACGTTATAGTCGAACTATGGCGAAGACAAGGTTCACTGTGTGTTACTAGGGTGGACAAAAAAGTCAACGCACGTTATAGTCATAATCTGTCAAAGATTTGATCAAGTACACTTCGAGAAAATGACCAACATACTGCCAACTGTGGACACTGAACGCATCGTAAACACCACATTTTTGGTCACCGCAAGGTAGGCCGATGTGCTGAGCCGACATTATGTCTGGTTCACAAAACAGAGAAACACTTACGTGTGTCTCTGCATCAAATACCCAGGATCGCTCTCGAAGAGGCAGATGTTATTCCTGTGAGTGGTCGAGAGTTCGGCAGCATGGAATGTCGAGTTGAGATCTGATGGGAATTAGTAATTGACCATACGCCATTGACCAACGTACAAGTCGCATAAGTAGGACAATCAAAACCAGGCGCAAGTTCGAACGCATACGGACCCTATGATCGTTGAGTATATTTCCGAAAATTGAGCAAAATAAAAGTCACAAATCCGTAGAACGTGTCCATGTAAGAAGTCCCACTTTGGACTGGATCATTTCCAGCACTGATGACGGATAAGATAAGATAACGATTAGATGAGATCCAAACTGACTAATGAGCGATAGCTTCTTGCAGCCCGAGCTCGTATATGATGCGTTCACCACGATACTTGATGTCAAATAGACGGACTAGGTATGCAATCATGGTTTGTGAGTGAGTATTAGGAAGAGACATACGGCCAGTATCACGGGTAAAAGTGACTGAAGTTGGTCAACTAAGCTTGAAAGATGCTTTGAAAAGACGCACAGTAGAATGAGAAGTCCATCCATTCGACGTATCTGCATGCGGGATCAAACAATGGCCGATTACCAACAAAGATACTAACTTTTGAGCTTCGTCAACTGCGAATCGTCGCCCTGAGTCCATGAGCAACCGATGAATTCATGACAAAAAGAAACGCATACCACTTGGCTGGACTGCCACTGGCGGCGAAAGGGTATCCGCGGGAAGTGCATCTCCCGTCTTCCAAAATCGTCACTCAAATGCTCGATAAACGGTCATGAAACCACTGACCCTGTCTGTGCCAATCCAAGCTGACGGCATGTTCAACTCGTACTTGACAAACCCTTCCGACTTCCATGCCTTTCTGAACTTGGCGGTAGTTTCATAAAAGATGCTGTTGCGGTTCTCAACAATAGGCAACAGTCAACGGCATACGAAGTGCATACCCTCCATACAGCCATCCGAGCACTTTCCACTTGGACGAGTCCCGCCCAGTGATATCGCTCTTGAAGAACAACCCTTGCGGCAGCAGAGTCTCGCCGTCGAATATAGCCGCGTCGCCAGAAGGGAAACGCCAGTAAGTATTCCACAAAATTGTGCGCTGTTTTCCATCGATTTCCTCTTGCCATAAAGGGTCGATGCCGAAGATATCGAAATCATCGTCGTCTGAGCCCGTGACAGTCTGATGGGTACGTACGGGTTTATGATGAGCTGTGGGTAGATGAATGGGGGACATACCCCGTTCAAGAGGTCAAGCACGATGTCCGCGACGGTCTGTTCTCTAGATCAGCTTCAAGTCAATATCTGAACAATAGACCCACCTTCGTAACCTTCAAATTCCACTCGGTCACCAAGTCATCGTCTGTAATGGCTCATCAACACAAAGCCTCGCGTATTAAACAGGTGCATTTGCTCACCGGGGTTGAAATTCCTGATTTTAGAGCTTCCACTCGTCGTTTGCCAGTCCAAGCTAGCGTAAGTCGACGCGTTCGTTATAGGAAGGGGGCCAACAATGAAATCCTGGAGGTAAGGGTGCTGGGTCGCGCCAAATGCAATACGCGCAAGAGCATAACGCGGTGGCGCGGGCTCATTGTGGTCCAAGAAGGCAAGAGCATCTAGCCACTATCAAGTACTGACAGCACCGTGGGGAAATTGAAAACACGGACCGGTTTTATTTGGCTGAACAAGGTCGATGACTTCAATGGCATTGTCCCCTGAAAGCAGTTCTCTTTCAGCTGGCCCTCCGCGTCGAAGAAATTGACTAACAGGCAGTCGCATTCGCAGTGGCGGTAAGATTCAGTGCAGGCTGCTTATGCAAGAAGCTGATGACCGCGGCCTGTAACAATCAGGGCAAAAAACAGAACGGACAACGCGTCGTACAGCTTCATCATCCGTCAAACTGATAAATATATTCTCCTTCGGCGCTTTTGCGGTGGTGCTGAACTCCACTGGGGTTTGTGAATCCTCAGACTCCGCCAGAACTTCGAGATGAGCAAGCTTCTTTGCCCATTTTTTGGGATGACGAAGCCGGGCATGCGGGCGGGCGAGGACCGAACTGGCAAAGACGGCGCTCACAAGGAAGGCACGCCAGAAAACGAGCATGGTGGTCACGGGCTGAGCAAGGGCATCGAAACCATTTTTGCAAGTGAGGCTTTTAAAGCGGAGGGTCGGCGGCCCGCAGCTGATGGGTCGTCAACATTACAGCAGCCAAGGGTGTCGTCAATGGGCCGTGAATATGGCTCGCGTGTACTGAAAGAGATAGTCGAGATAAGTGAGAGCCAACAGTTGACAGATTCCCACTCCCGAGATGACATTCAAGCACCCACTTTTCCCGTGAGACAAAAGATTTTAACCGTTACTATAGATTCGTCCAGTGTCAGGTTGGCGTAAAGCAAGTGAGTAGTAGGAAAGAAGGGGGCTGGTGCCGGCATCGTTAATATTCCTCGGCCAAGTACGAAGTGAACAAGATAGGTAGAACGTGACAAATAAACAAACAAACAAAGCCCATCTGATCTAAGCATGCAGCCGAGCGCCGACGTCCCCGTACTCGCTGGTGTCCTCCTCCGCATCGCGCCATTGGTTTCCATCAAGGCTGCTGCGGACCTGACCCTCGTTCTTCTCCCTCAAAATTTGGTCGTCTTGTTGCCTCGACACCTCGCGAACAGGGAAGTTGGACTGGGTGGTGGCAATTCCAGACGTCCGGTTAAGTGGAGCGCGCGAGGAAGTGGAGAACGCTGAAGGGCGAGAGCTAGACACATCACGGTTGGCCTGGGCTTCGCGGCTGTTTGCAATAGCGGCACGATTGTTCAATGTGACCAACAATGTGTTTGCGTAAATTCCGGGGAGGGTAAGTGTGGCGCCGAGGAAGTAAGTGGTGTTCTGAGGAAAGGTCAGCAAGGGAAGGAATGTAGCATATGGACACACAGGAATTGCGAAGTAGAGAATAAGGCCGATCAGTGCGACCATCGACGAAAACGCGTTCGTTTCGATGACAAGGGTCACGACGCTCTTGACCAGGTCGCGTGTGACTTTGTTAATTGCGGTCTTCATGAGCTAGAAAGAGTCGTTAAGTATGGCCTTGAAACAAAAAATGGGCTCACAAGTATGCTAAGGGTCGCCGCAATTGAGATGTCAGCCACAGCACCACCGACAAGCCAAAGGTAGAGAAGAATGTTGCGAAGGCGATCGTGGTTTCCATTTCCCTTCATATAGACAATTGCCCCGATGCCAACGCCGCCGGTGCACTGCGCAATCGAAAGCAGCAGGATAAGCAGCGAAATCGGCCATGCAGCGCGCTTGATGGTGAATATACGGTAGCAGAAGAAAGTCTGCACCAGCCACGCAATGATAGAGCCCATGAGGGGAGTGTAGAAGGGCCCATTGCGAGCATCGGCAAACCGGATAATGTTGCCAAAGCCAGAACCAAACCAGTATTCAACATCCGCCGCGTTGAGACAAAGGGAGACTAGAAGGGCGAGGTAGATGAAGTAGACTGCAGCGAGATGAGATGAGCTCCAGCCTTCCAGTAAGACATCAACTGACCCAGTAGCTTGACAATGATACGGTCATTCGGGAAGCATAAACGGTAAACGTCTGAAATGCAGTAAGCAACGAGTCATAAAATTAATACATCGACGGACATGTTTGAATCGTCAACGCTCCAAAGAAGAAAAAGTTGAGGAGCGAGCCAACAAGTTGCGGGGTTACTCTGTAGTCGCAGGTTAGCATTGCTCGAGATATGAAGGGCGAGTTGTACATTGGTGCGTAGTCGATAGTAAAAGGTTGTCCGGGCGTAGGTGCTGAAGTCGCCATAATGGGGGTTAGTTGAGTAGTCGATTCTGGGAGTAGTTGGAGCTAAACAGTCTTATAGGTCAGTTCTCCATTCTCAATCGGCGGAAACTTTGCATCCGCACCGGTCTCATGTTATCCCGGTCTCAGAGTACACAATAGCTCGCGAATGGACCCTTGAAGCCATCGGCGTCATAGAATAACTGGGTCAAGCGACAGAGACGACGTTGCGATGACTAAGCGACACGATGGCATCAGGCCAAACAATGTTAACAATTCTGCTTGTGCACACTGCATAAATTCAAACAATTCAGCTCCATTATCCTCCATAAGTCTTGCTACCCGAATGTTGTCCTTTGAGCTCGATCGTGGTCCCAATAGAGAAAATGAGGTATGCCAAGAGAATGACCCGCCATCAGGCGGCAATCACGCCTCAAATTATTAATAGACTTGATTAGCTGTTGTGAAACACTTCGTATTACTGTGGTCCTGAAGTGACTCTAGCTACAAACCGCCTGAAATCTGAGAACACCTGTCTCTGATCTCCCACCCGCCCATCGACAATACTCCCTCCCGTTGGCGGTCCACTTTGCCCCGGCGACGTCAAGTTCGAAAAGATGCTCGCCTCACTTGGCATGGGTAACGTGGTCCGACTTCCACCGGCACCAGCCAAATTGCCAACTAGCTGCGATGTCGGCGCAGGATCCATATCCAACGATGAAAGAAAGGAAGTGCTCTGCAATTCGTCGTTGGTACTCGTAATTGTGAGGAATGAGTCTAAGAGGTTGTTTTGATCCACTCGAGGTGTTCCTTTCAGGTCCAGAATCTGGTTTTGGTGATCAGCCTCAGATTGAGAAGGAACAAAGATGTACCTTTTGGAAGTTCGAAAACGACGCGTCTTGGATAGAAAGTGTATAGATTAGGATGAAGCCGGCCGCGGGTTCCTACATCCAGTGATCAGGCCAAAAATCGACAACATAGGAGAAAGATACCACAGGCGTCGAGATAACCTTGAGAAGAGCCTCGAGCTGGCTGGTATTCTTTTTGACGCCGCGAGAGTAGCTGCACAGATTGAATTTCAGGAACGAACAGCAATACGGGGACTTACCTCTGCATGCTTTCTAACGGCTCAGCAGGCATCTTCTCGAGGAAAACTTTGACGGCTTGCAGGTCAATTGAAAGCTGCACGGATTGTTCAACCAACATAGTCCATCATCTTCACACGAAATCTCGCCTGTTCAGCTCCAATCTCTCTCAGCGGTCGACTCCGGACCAGAGCATTCGTAAATTTGATCAGAATAAGGCTAGGATATCATAAGCCCCGAACAAATGAGGAATATTCTCGTCACCTAGCAGCTTTGTCCATGAAGTTTTTCCAGTATTTCTTTTGCTCGACCAACGGCTTGACTGGTTCTATGGCGAGCTCGGCAGCGGTGATCAAGTCGGAAACATAGGCCGATTGACCGGTCACTTGTTTTAAACTCGACCAAGCAGAACGAGACATGGCGCTGAATGCTGGCTCGCAAGCGAATTCCAGTTCACGAAGGAGTACTATAATCGCAGCTGAGATGACGCTGTTTTTTGCTTGCTTAGTGCCCAAGTCTACATTGCACAGTCATGGCGCAAACCTCACAAACTGGTCGCGCTCTGCCTGGAAAGATATTTTTTCCTTGAACTCCTCATTGATCTTGCCGCGAATGTTTTCTTCTAACTGAAAACAGTCAATCACGGACAAAAATAGGGGTTTCGGGCTTACAGCCAGAGCAGTCGCTTGGCAGTAATCAGCGGTGTTGATGACTAGACAGGCTTGCTTGATCTCCCCCACTTCTAATCCAGACTCTGTTGATTTGCGCACTAGGACTGCGGGTCTTCACTGGTGATTAGCATTCGGTGGTTCACTCATTTAGCAATAAACACTCACCGCTTGAGACTGTTAACGAGAACTTCCTCTACAATAAGGACTCAGTGAGGCAATCCGGGAAGGTGACCTGTTTAATACCGGCATATATTCGAAGCCATTTGCGATGTAGGTTGCAGAGGTCGAAAAGTGGCTTGCCTGTTGAAAGTTTGGCGCACTGTTCGAGGCTTTGCCTGTAGAAATAGAACAATTCCATAGAGGATGGAAGGACGACAATAGGTGCCTTTTCTTCTCCATCTTCAGGATTCGTTTGCTCGCCATCAATTGAGGGTCTGGGAGATTTGACAACAGCTCGTCCCTTACGATGTGGCGCAAGCATATCAGCAAGTGCTCTAACGAGCGTTTAATTTGCGGAGTTGGAGAGAAAGGAAAATTTACTTGTCTTGGGCGTCGACAAACACACCCATGTGTGGATCGAATGCAGAAGTGATGCTTTTCGGAGTAGCAGAATGCGCGGCAGCGGCGGTCACATGCAAAATCTCCTGAAACTAGGTACATCTCAGTACTTTGTGGGCTTCGAAGATGAGTAGAGTGCCACACCGGAGTTGCCCATTTTTTGGCCATGGATGCTTCAAACTCGGCAGCGAGTTGTAGATTATCAAGGAGTGCTTTAACATTTAGAGAAGCTTTAGAGAGCAAGGCTGCAATGTCGTCCCTGAGATATTGTAAGCATGGACCAGTCCGCAGTGCTAGGTAAGAGTTTACCGTGTGATGTCGGAAAATTTGGCAAGCAAATGCCAACCCACTTTCCATTCTGCAGGAAAAACACGACCTTGTTCGACTTCGTGGGTCTGTAGCAAGCGACGAAACCAAGCGAACCGTCTGGAGATATTATCCAGCTGCCCCGCTTCGTCATTTGTTCGGAATATCCTTCGATATTCCTTCAACTCTATGGCCACATATCGCTCGATCACATGGGTCCGGACCTCAGGACCTAGCACATCCACCACCAAACACGCATCCGCAATGGCACTTGGCTTGACAGATTTTGAGGGGTCTTGCAAGTAGCTGGAGTTCTCGTCAGGTGACCAAAACCTTAACATGATTGTCTGACTTGCAAGGCATCGAAATCCTGGTCGAGGCATGTTCGTATTTCCCCTTGAAGGTCCTGAATGCGTTTCCATATTTGTGATATGCGTTGAACAGACATGTACTGTTTGAACGAAGCAGATATTTGTTTCACAGCCTATAGAAACCTTCAGAGAGGGTATGGCTGGTAAAATCTTAAAGCGCACATCCAGCGTTTGAGCAACTTCCGCATATTTCTTGTCTTTGACTAGATCTTCTAGCTGCGTCAGCGCGTTCGCTGATAACATAAGCACCCAAACTAAATTGCGGCGGGTGTCTTACTCACCCAGCATCTGTAGGCGCTTTAGGGTAGTCATGCTATGGATTAGATTCTTCTTCGCCAGGTCAAGCACTTGAATGTCCTTCGTTATATTCCGCACGACTGCCTCAGATTCGGTCGCTTTCTCTCGTATACGAGACATTTGGCCAAAGAGGTCCTACATAGAGGCCTTGAGAAATAGGCTCGACCGCAAATATCGAGAACGGACTGAGATCATTTCTTGGATGAGCTGCATACGCGCAGGATCCTGGTTTTGCTTTAGTTCCTCTTGCAGCGCTTGAATTTCCCGTTCCAGTTCATGTTGGCTTTCAATTAGAGTGGCCTGTACACTAGAAATATGGGCCAACGACGCCTCTTGTCGTGGATGATGAGTGACGGCGAGGCAAGTAAGGGATAATAACACACCGTCTGGAAAATAGCCATTAAGAATCTCAATGCAGCTAAAGTCATGGGAGAGAACGTCTAAGGGGTCTGCATCTGGGCCAGTCTTGAGTTCGAGGACGCGTTCTATCGCGACTACGACTTCTGGTGGCAGCTCGTCGTGGTACATTGCCAAATTTGATCGCCGGAGTGGCCGTGTGACGCTTTTCTGAACTTGACCTCAGGCCTCAGTCTTCATTCACACAACAGTCGTCTCTACACAGTTGCGCAGGAGTCTTAGTATTATATGAGAATTTATCACCTTAGTACTTTGCTGGATCTGGCATAGAACAGTCTTGATATTAGGCAAGTAATTTTTTCTTACAACTGCCCAAGCGTCGCCTATTTGAACGCCGTCTCCGGCGGGCATCGTTACGAGCACTCCGAATTGGGTGACCGTCCGGCGCCGGCTGCCGGCGCCGAACTCATAATCACATCCGTATAAACACGCAGAGAACCATTAAATCCACTCGTAAGCTAAGCAACAGACCCTATGAACTAAGAATGAACCCGAGATTTGCCACTATGATGTCTAGTCATCCCCGATATGAGCCTCCCTGATTACCATGTGCTAAAAACATGTCAGTGAGTGCACAGACGCTATGCGACACACACCACCTTGGAATGCCGGAGCAGTTCCATATCCCAACTGGCTGATGCTAGGCAAAGTGGTATCCGCTGTATACCCCAAGCTTTAGTAACGGTCCCATGGTTTAATGGGCGGCTTACCATGCATATGACTGCCGCGCAGAGGGGGGAGCTGGCTGGAACTGAAGTGGGATGCTGTGTTGGCACCGAAACCTTGGAGCTCTTCAGCCTGAAGACACATCCGAGTGAAAACCACATGCCTTGGTTATTGCCCTGTAGTGCCGAAGTCGACGGCGCGGGAACTAGACTAAGTCAGCGCGAGAATGAACCCCAGATTGAAGCCGCACCAGACATGCCGTCGAGACGTCGTGGGAGTGGTCGAATGTGGCGAGCTTCAGGCTGTGCGCCGACTTGTGGACCAGCCGAGGGACCGGCTTGAGTGAGAGGCGTGCGCGCCTTGTATTCTCGCAGGCCATCGATGGGGTCTTCGGGATGAAGCTCTTCTTCTTTCTTGACACGCACCATGAAATACCTGTCGAGTCATCAGTTTTAAGACAGATACTGGGCCGACGACACACTTTTTCCACTCATCGCTGCTTGTTTCCGTCCCAAAATCTTTCACCAGATTGCCGACATGGCCGCTGAAAAGACCCCAGAACGACTGGTCCGTCTTCCGAGGCTTGGCGGTGTTGCTTATGTTAGTGGAGGAGTCGGTAGACTGAAACTTGTTGCTGTCTTCATGTAGGAGTTTAGGATTGAGTCGCGCAAAGTCCCGCTGCCTGTGATGAGCAAATTAGATGAATACAATGGAATACGCACATAGAGAATCATCCGGAGTAGGTGTTTGTTGGCGATCTTGGTGGACTCAAGTCCCATCTTCTTGGCGGCGCCACGCGTTGCTGTGGTCAAGCTTTGGTTGATGCTCTCCCCGATCTATGAATAACAGGTCAGCCCACACAGACCAGAACAGAGGACATACATGTTTCAACAGAGAGTTCTTTGCATAGGAAGCATGTGTTCGTATGTCCTTTTGAAGTATACGAGCACGCGGAGCGCTGTAGTCGTTGAAAATGTCGTAGAAGCCGTTAGTGGCTTTGTTCTTTTTGAGGCTGGCCTGTTGCGAGTCAGACATGAGATAAGAGTTAATTGGAGAACGCACGATAGTGGAGGTAATAAGGCTGTCATTGTCGAATAGTTGCCGTTTTGGATCAAAAACGACGAGCTTCACTGCTGCAATGACTTCGTCCTTATAAAACGGTCAGTGAAGAACACGAGGATGATTAATCGGGCCACATACCTTCTGGTCCTGTGTCAAGGCCACCTGGTGGAGTGTTTTCCGCAATTGAAGAATCTCCGCCTTGAGCTCTGCAATCGCAGCAGCATTGGCCAATGCCATTTGCACGTTGAAGAGGTTGTGTGCTGCCGAGAAGAGGATGGGGATGAGCTCGCTATGAGGAAGGTCCAACGACTGAAGGCATGGATAAGTACAAAAGGGTGTAAATAAATTATCACGCACTGCTCGTAAACGATGCAATTCAGCCTTGTTCTCAAGGCTAAGCTCCAGTGTGGCCGAAATGGATTCCACAAAGTCAATCGGGTTGACTACATGGATGAGAGTCGATGCCAAAGAGGGAGCCGCAGGCTGGCTGGAGTCGAAGGAGTCGGATGAGTTTTGTCGGGGAATTTGAGTGAACGGTGCCGAGTTGTAGTCCTGGGACGATATATCCATTTCGAAGGTGTTCTCGTAGTCGCTCGTCGTCATCATTGAGTAACGCTGGCCGTTTTGGGACTGCTGGTAGGCGTAGGACATGGAAGAAGGAACGAAGGGGATGAAAATATTGAGGCACAAAATACGCTGCCTTTTATACCATCTGGAGGGGGCCAACAGATGAGTTCAAGACCCGGACAGGTAGAGAATACTTGCTGCAAACGAAGAGCGGGGACCTGACCATGTTCACCATGAAACGAGTGCCAGCGCATCAACGACGTCGGTAAGCCTGGTTTAGCGTGTAATACGTGAGCGCGCGGGCGGAGCATGCCAGGGTCGGGTCAGACGACATACTTTGGGGTTAGCAGATGTGCCGTTGGCCATGGATTTTCCCCACACCCGATGCCTGGGTGTGGTGCAGACTTGAAGAAAAAAGAGGTTGATGAAGGTCATGTGCTGATAGTCACGGTCACATGATTTCACATCATTTCCCGTTCTGTCACCACAACTTACATTCAGAGCTTTATTACATAGTATTGAAGGTTTATAAAATATGGCATACAAGCTATAGACTCTCAGAATACTAATCAACATCCATATTTAAAATATTCCTAAGGTTACTTGACCCTGTATGTTGTGATACCAGAGAAGAATGACTGGAACTAGCTATATTTGCCTGTGTTACTGGTGTATTCACTAGCCTTGAAGGGTTTATATGCTCCACTGTAGTGTATGCATTTGATCCTGCCATATCATTGTCTTGAGCCTTGGTCTTTGCTTTTGATTTAAGTGAAGCAAATTGTAAGGTAGCAGCCTGGTGGATGATATGCTCCCTCTGAAGATATACTGGACTTGATTTGAATGGTCTGAGCACCTCTGCATCTCTCATTTGTGCAGTATTAACTATCCAATTATTCACCATGAAACGAGTGCCAGCGCATCAACGACGTCGGTAAGCCTGGTTTAGCGTGTAATACGTGAGCGCGCGGGCGGAGCATGCCAGGGTCGGGTCAGACGACATACTTTGGGGTTAGCAGATGTGCCGTTGGCCATGGATTTTCCCCACACCCGATGCCTGGGTGTGGTGCAGACTTGAAGAAAAAAGAGGTTGATGAAGGTCATGTGCTGATAGTCACGGTCACATGATTTCACATCATTTCCCGTTCTGTCACCACAACTTACATTCAGAGCTTTATTACATAGTATTGAAGGTTTATAAAATATGGCATACAAGCTATAGACTCTCAGAATACTAATCAACATCCATATTTAAAATATTCCTAAGGTTACTTGACCCTGTATGTTGTGATACCAGAGAAGAATGACTGGAACTAGCTATATTTGCCTGTGTTACTGGTGTATTCACTAGCCTTGAAGGGTTTATATGCTCCACTGTAGTGTATGCATTTGATCCTGCCATATCATTGTCTTGAGCCTTGGTCTTTGCTTTTGATTTAAGTGAAGCAAATTGTAAGGTAGCAGCCTGGTGGATGATATGCTCCCTCTGAAGATATACTGGACTTGATTTGAATGGTCTGAGCACCTCTGCATCTCTCATTTGTGCAGTATTAACTATCCAATTATTTGCTATTTGAGATTGGTGCTGGATAGCAAGCTCTTTAGTCACTGCTTGTTCTCGCTCCTGCCACACAACTCGAGTACGTGAGGTTTGACACTTATTATCTGCACAGTTGTGTTGTATATTCACTGTACAGAGTATATCCTATTCAAAACTTCTTTTAAAAAAATAGTGAAAAATAGTTAAACAACTTACATCAATTTCAACACAAGTGTAATTCTCAAGTTTTTGTATTTCTCTCATACAATAAATGGAGTGTGGTGGTCCAAGAGATGTTTCCTCTATCAAGACAAAATTAGCCCTTCCACTATGCTGTGCAGATGATCCTAAGATTTGTACAATCTCAGAAATGGTGCCAATTTGTCTTGTATCATTGTATGTCCTATAAACAACACCATGCCCTATCTCACATATATCTCCATTTTTCAATAGAACCTGTTGTGGTGTATGAACATATGTTGTTTCAGGATGATATCCTGAGAGTGCAGCAATAGAATTCTGTATTTTGGCAGATCTTGTTGTGCTCCAAAGTTTTTTTGGCCCAGTGTGGTAACATGTGCCAGGAGAAGGAGAAGTAGAAATTTCAGATATACCTAGGAATTTGCAGCAAAGGGCTTGTGTTTGAAGAAATTTTTGTGGTCCTGGTCCAATAGTATACCAAGCACCTTGTAAAAATTCTGTAAGTAAGAGCCTCATCCATGGTGACTCAGACTGTGTTGTTGTTGTTGTTGTTGTTGTTGTTGTTGGTGTCTGGAGCTAGACTGTGATACAAAGAAATGGCCCCCACTTAGGAGATGACGAAGTCTATTCCCTCTTGCCATTTGTATAGCAATATCCTTTGAGGGAGCATGCCTATTACTATGCACACTGCATGATCTGATAACAGAGTTGAATGATTCAAATCCCTCTGTTGCAAATAGCATTGCTGGACCAAATCGGCGGATATGATCCGGTAGATGGAGGATAATATGAAATTTGGGTTTGTTGAACCAGTTGAGACTTAAACGACAGGTACAATCCAAGAAATGATCAATAGCAGTTTTCAGATCTATCTATATTTCTGTCAATTCAGAAAATAAATTTATTAAAAAAGACTTACAAGATATTGATCCAAATTATTGATTGAAGGTTGCCAGACTAAGGTCACAATATGACTTAAAGCAACCCATGTCTCAATTCTCTCAGTTGATAGAAGCCCATGAAGAACAAATGGAGCAACTTGCACAATGGTACGGAAGTCACGTCCCACTAATGAACCAGCATATGTCACTAGTGTATGTCCAGAGAGAGGGGGGATTCCAAGACCTGATACATTGAATGAGGAAAGTCTGATTGCTAAGAGCTCCTTCTGATCTGGCTTCAGTCTAGCAATAGCATCTCTCCAGAAATATTTCACAAAACCTAGAAGGATAACATGAAGAATTTCAACTGGTGTATCACTATGTGGATCAAAGTCTATATAAGATAAGCAACTAAATACTATAATCTTTAGGTTTCAACTACCTTTGATACGCCATACTGGGCTTGTAACATCCATAGGAAGATCTTTCTTGAGCATATTTAAGTTGACTTGTTTTTGCTCTTTACTTCCCCCTCGGCGGCCAGATACAGCAAAGAGGCGCGCTAGAAATCCTTCCATAAAAGTGTCTTTGATTCCAGATTCTGTTCGCATCTTCTTATATCTAGTCTGTCCCCCAACAACTGATGCAGTTTGAAATTGGGACTGTAAATGTTTGCAACTTTCTGCTCTAGTTCTGGAGATGCCAATATTCATAAACTGTGATATCCTGCTTATTATCTCAGGTACTGTATAGTCCTGTTTTTTCTTTTTCTTTTTCTTTTTAGATGTGTGAGTTGTTTGATCTTGATTCATGACACCTGGCACATCTGCATCACTCAGACTGCTATCTGAAAATGTCTGGGCATTATTTTCATTATCAGAGTTTTCTTCTTGATCAGCTTCTCCCTTGGCCCAGCAGACCCGACAGAAAAGTTTTCCCCTAAAACCAATATGACATGCAATCTCACTTTGCATTGGATTATCACCAAGCATAGCAAGAACAGAGGGAATAACTAGAACATAGTCTTGATAATATGAATCCCATGCCCAGATACCATTAGTCTGAGCAACCCTAGCTATTAATCAGTATGCTATATCTAGTTAGTACAGAAAATATACATACTGTAGTTGTTTCACAATGCCATCTAGCATTTCTAATGGTGGAGCAATATTGGATGTAGACAGAAAGTGAATATTAGACTCTTGATGTACTTCTGTCCGGGGAAGACCTGCAGCTGTAAACAGAAATGAATTGTGTTTGTTCCATTTTTTGGACAAGTTTCCTGATGTATCATCACAGTAAAGCCAAATTGGAAAGGCTAGTACTTGATAACCTCTAGATTTTTTACGCCATGGATTACCCTCACTAGGATTTGTTTTAGACCATGGTATAAATGTATTGTCTTTCCTAGAGTGTTCTCCTATAAAAGAAATCAGGGATAATTATATAATTAATATTATAACATACCTAGTATATTCCTAGGATCTAGAAGACCTCGGGCTTCATAGGTTTGGATAAAGCTAGGAAGTGAGAAAGAAAATTCTGTATCTAAAATATCAATCTGATGATCTGTCTCAACAATCCATCCATTTGGGCTTCTTGTCATTTGGCATGCCTTTGCATATATATGTCCTGAACGCTGAAACCACCGCATTGGCATACAAACTGCACCATTTGCTAATAGAGCAGGTTCATGAATATAAAAATCTTGATGCTTTAGTATCATAGGTGTGGTCAAGTCAGGGTCTAGTTCCTTTAACCATCTGTGAGCCTGCCAAGCCTGAGAAAGTGATGGACCAGCATCTTCTGGGAAAAAATGAAGCTTTGACCGAACAATTGGATTTGACATTTCCTAAAATGACAGTAAGTATTAATTATGTATTATAGAACAAGTTTGTTACTTGTGCAATAATAGCTGCCATATCATTTACATAATATATATGACCAAAGGCACCTTGATACTTGATACTTTGTACCCCACATAATGACTGAAGTGTTTTGTCAATATCATCCATTATACGATCAGATGGGAGGCTATGCAGTCCAAGGGTTTCCATAGCCCAATGAATAGCTGCATTTTGGCTTTCTTGAGAATGAACAACGTGGAAGATGTCGCAGAATATCTAATACACAGGTCTGTCTATTGTCAGCAAGTAACCAAAGTTAGACTATTAGATAACCTCTTTGTCTGGCCATGGGTACCATTCAGACTTGAAATCTTCAAGATTTATTTTACGCTTTTGGGGCATGTGGAAGTTCTATTTTCACTTATCAGATAGGTGAGATCTAAAATAATTGTCAACTATACTAACCAAAGTTCTCTGAATCTTGATCTGATAGGGCTGAATTGGAATCTAATTCACTACATTCACACTCTTCATCTTCAGAGTCCATGCCTGCTTCTAAAAACTGCTGTAGCTGTACTAGCAATTTATCCTGAGCATTGGGATCTTCAAATTGCATATCAACATCTGCCAAGTTTCTCCAATCTGCTGTTCCAGTGGACTCATTAATCCAATTATTTGACCTTGAATTACGAGTTGCATCTAGGAGTGTCTGAGTTAGCAGTCCTCCAACAAGATCTCTTGTCTGAGGAGTAGTATGAGATGGTTGAGACCTATTCAGGTTATCAGCCCTATGCAGATTTTCAATATGTCTATGAGAGTCTTCATGTTGAGCAATATGTTTCCACAATACTGGATTGTTGTTTGGGCACACAGTGCATGCAAATTTCTGAGAAGCTGCAGGTATCCAAACTATAAAAATTATTTGATATTAATTCTAGGTAATATGTGTGAATCTGAGTATACCTACTATCTGGGCGTTTAGATGGAAAATTTCCTGTCTTCTGGCTAAAAGACAGAATATCTGATCCTAAATAATATTTGTTAAAACTTTAGTGACTATATGCAGGATTTAATATCTAACCATGTGATCTTCCAGACCCTCCCAAGACTGATATGCGAAGATAAAGTACAGACAAGTTTTTAATGCCAATATCTTGGAGAATATCATCTGGATCAAGGGCTATATGTCTGCTTTGGGGAAACAAGAGACTGCATCTAATCCGTCTAAGATCAGGTATACACCGTTTTCGCAAGAGTTGCAATATATCATCTACAGTTTGCCTTGGCTCTATATCTGATTTGGACTTAGACAGAACCTAAATACATATTTTTTAAAAAAAACATACATAAAAACTGAGGCCTAGTTGTAGCACCAATGACAGTTATTTGATATTTCAGTCTTCCTTTTGTATGTCTGTCAGATATTGTGGCTGTGTGGAGTAATTCCCAAGAAACTTGGAATTTCCGACAAACTAGAAAATAGAGATGATCAATAAATAATCAATGAATAATTCAGAAAACACACTGAAGATAGGATATGAGACAAGTAGAAAATATAAGAGCATGTAGACATAACATAGACTTGTTTGGTGGAGTTGCATATATGCATGTACAGCCAAACTTGCCCAAATAACAGTTGCGACCAGACCAAGAATTGTTTTGCCAAATAGGGTTTTGCGGTGACAGGCATGCCGTTTCCCCGCAGATCGGTGCTGATGCCAGTGATGGAAGCGGTGCTTTCGGATTGCTATTCGGCGGGCAAATGGAGTACTGAGAGATGGTCTCTGTGGTGGGCACTGTCCTTCGGCCATGGATGTGAGCGACAAGGAGCATAAAGCGCCCCCATGAGGATCATGCACGCAGAACGCGTGTATTCTGAATTGTTTGACGTGTGAGTCCCCGGGGCCGGCGACAATTCCATCATTTCTCCCCATTTGACCGATTCCGGCCACTTGTGTCCCGATTTGATCAAATCCGCCACAAGCGGCCGGACAACCTGTCCAAGCCCTGGGGATCAGTGCTGTAAACTGTCGCCCACTGTCAATCAGTCTTAAGAAAATTGCAGAGCTTAAAAATGTGCTATGGAACTGTTATCGTCGTCCTACTGCTAATCATCACAACATGCGGATATCATGATTTTAGGATTACCATAGAAAGCGGCATAATAGTATCCTATGCTGTTCAGTCATGAAATTTGCATAAAAAGACCGTGCAGCAGTGTAGACTGACTTATCGCGATGATACTATACACGGTTTTATAATACACTTTTGCTTTGTGATGGAGTTCATTCGTCATGCTCTTTCTTTTCTTCAAGCTTCTTTCCCTCCTTCTCGGCTTGTTCACGCTTCAAATCTTCTGTCTTGCGCAACCGCGTCCAAGTCTCATCGCCCTTGACCAAAGTAACCTCACTACCGGACACATCCTCTGGCTTGGTTGCTAAAGCTCTGCGTTGCTCGCGAATGAGGTGGAGATCGTGACCATGTCCTCCTACCGGGCCCCAGTATGTTACCCCAGCCAGAGAGCCCAGAATACTGCGGAACTAGTCAGCTGATTGACATGGCGACGGTGGAGGCATACCAAGTGCCAACTAGAATGGACAAATAGAAGCGGTATTGCGCGTACCATTTGGGTGCTATGAAACGTTGAAACGACGATAAGATACCTGAACTGAAGACTTACTCCAACCAGCTTGTGTGGCCTTCAAGTCTGCCCACCACAAACCGGTGAAGCCAGCCCATTGCGCAGCAAGAGCCATGGTCGGGTCAAGTGCCAAAGTTGGCCAAGCATACAACACAGGTGCTGCTCCCAATGCCAACCTCTTCCAGCCCTGATGACCACCTAGCCCAGAGAACTCCATTCCCCAATGAAGAGCCCCCAAGAAACTGAGCATCACGGCTCCGTATGTTGTTTGCACATTGAGCGCTTGATCAAGAATAGTGGTCGCAACTCCGGGATCGATATTGCCAACTTGGCCGGAAGTGGCAAGGCCAGCCTGATAAGCAAGATAGACTGTGGTTGCCCCCGCACCGAGATAAGGAATGCCACCTATGGAAAGAGTCAATCATATGCCAGATCTCAGGTGAACAACCCACCAGCAAGACCGAATACCATAACTGGCTTGGGAACTTCAGACGCGACAAAACCAGTCACTCCCATCTGCCTTGAGTCAGACAATGGTTTGGTAGCACAACCTGCGAAACTCACAAAACCATCCTTTGGGACGTTGACGCCAGCAATAGCTGCAGCGATATCCTTCCCCGACTTGGCGGCCTCTTCTCGGATGTTTTGTGCTGCATGTGCAAAGTTTTCGCTTCCTAAGAGGAACACCATTCAGTTTGTTACAACATAGGCACCCCCAACTTGAACGAAACGGCCTCACCGGGTTTCAGACCAGGATAACTGGCCTCGTTTCGCTTGTGTAAGATGGGCAATGTCACAGGGCGTATGGCGATTTGGCGAGCTGCAAAAGAACTGCGATTGAGAGTTGAACGAAGAGGCGAGAGTGAATTCATGGTGTAGTTGGAAGCGTAGCGAGGTGGACAGAATATGTATTATAAAGGAGGAGCACTCCGCCTTGATGTCATGATTCGCTCATCCGTCGAATCTTAGACGCTTATGTAAGCGTGGAGTTGGGGAGGAGACAGGTTGCCAAATACAGAACTAAAGTACATTGCAGCTACAGTCTTCAATACCATCTACCCGTCGCTCTCATTGGTGTGGAAGGACCAACGGAACTGGAACGCAACATATCGATTTGTACACCAGAATGTTCAAGCTCGTCGTAGTCACCATTGACTGTGAGCATCTCATCAGGAGCATCATAAGATAGCTGCTCGTCGTCTGAGACCTCTCGTAGCCTGATGATGAGTCGACATGTCGTTGTGGCAGTCAAGCACAAGACGGGGCTGTAAATAGCTTATTAACCCCACAGCATCAGCACTCTGAAAGGAGGAACGTACAACATCGCAACGAACGTAAGGCCGTTTTGAATCTGCGAAGAACCAGTCAGAAACGCGGGAAATGCAGTGCTTCAACAAGCGACAGACGTGGGGAGCTTCAGCGAGCACTGTGTTGAGGATACGAAGAGCGAGAAGGACCTAGTCAAGGTCAGATTGGAATAATTCTAGTTGTCTTATACCCACCACGAAGTAGAACAGCCCATCTCTGTACATGGTGGCAGCTAACGGCGCATTGGACGGCCGTGGCTTGTTGAGGGCATTCCACCAAGTGACGAGGAAAAGAATGATGTCGAAGACCATTCCAGGTATCCATAATATGCTCACTTGAACGTGTCTATTAAATATGCACATCTGGGCTCCCTTATTCCACTGTAGATGGGCTGGATAAACAATGTGAGCCTGGTGAGAGAACGGCGGCAGCGACACGAACGCCTCATTTGCCAGACCAAGATGCAGGCTGCAATCAGGCCGGTTGTCTGGATGATAATAAAGCATATCATGGTCCAAATCATCAGCCTGCGATTGCGGTCTAAGCGGAGCGAAATGAGCAGATTGGCGAGGGCTGGTTACTGCACTCACCCCATATAACCCAGAGCCGAAGCAAAATTAAAACTTGTTGCGGTCAGCGTTGTGCGGGATACGGATGAGCGCTGCGCACAATTACTACTAGCAACAGCGGCCCATCCTATGAAGGCCTGCATTACCTTTGAGCAAAAAACGATGTCTATCAGAGGCAAGCACTCACTGCGAAACTCATCCACCAGCGACAACTGTGTTTTCTTTGAGGCACAGGAAGCATTTGAGTCTCTTTACTCACAACTGGTAATGGTTAGAACGACTGGAAATGATTACAAGGACGGAACTTACAGCGTCAGACAATGTTAAACTTGATGCAAGACCAGAGAGTTCTACCCCCGTAGTGAGGCCTCAACTCGCAAATGAGAGGGTGGAGGCAACGCACGGACGGTATATAGAATCATGGCACAGGGTACCACGTAGCGAACATAAAGAAAGAGGGCTTTGGCGGAAGTTAATTTTGCGGGCCATATCAGTGAGATTTCCGTTCCGAGCGTCAGAAGATGGTCGTAAAGTAAAATCTGAGGCCATTATCGATTGGTTCAAGAAGCTGGCGGGACACCGACCACAAAGGCGGCGGCTAACGAACATTGAGCACTGGGATAGTTTGCCGAAACCAAATAAGGCTACCATTCACATAGCGCGTAATGAATATATCGCGAAGTACGGCGGGAGTAGGGCCATCGTCCATGCCTGGGAGGGCGACCTCCTTGCACCAGCGGTCGGGGCAGCGACGGGGGGAAACAGCAAGGGAAGAGGGTGTGTAAATTTAAAGAGCCATCACTCAAACAAGAAGCGCGATGTGATGGCGCTTAACCTCGGTTATCTTGTCAATAAAAAATGTGTCTCCGTTCAAAATGAAATCCGGTCTTCTAGACCATAGAGAGCAGGTACGACAGAGGAATCACCCAACACCAACGGACTTGGGAGAACTTGAGCTGGAGGGAATATAAAGTGAATTCTTGATCAAGAGATGCGCTATGCAATGTTGCTGGGAAACTTCGGAAGTCGTTGCCGAGGACCTATCTTAAGAGTGGGGTCAGTACGACCGAAATGCCGCCCTGGAACATCGGAGCGATGGCTCAGGATGGCTCCCTTGGAGCATAGCCAGAGTACTCCTTGAAACGAAAACGACATCCCGGTCTACGTTTTAAGACCGACTAGTGGTAAGTCACTGTCATTCGGTCCTCCCACTGTCGGTCTTGGACAACATGCGATCTCTGACTGCTTCTCGTTCAACAATGAGAATTGAGTCAAGCTATCCGCGCTCTCGATACTTGTTTGATTCAAACGAAATGCCCTGTCAATAATAAACCCGAACACATCAATCCACAGTTTTCAATTGTTCTGTCAACCTTTTCGATAGTACCGTCCATTGGCCTTGTTGGCCTCCTGCTCAACCATCTTTTCCTTTTCTTGCTGCATCTTCTGTGCCTTCTCATTGATTGCGTTGACTTGCTGGGTGTTAGGGAACCCGATCTCCCAATAATCCGGTGGCGTATTTCCACGGGTCCAGTTATGTCGATGTCGCGAGATGGACTGTTTGTGCGCAGCCACTTGCTCTTCACGCGTGGGTGCAGCTTCCTTGGGCGGTGAGCGCCAAAGCGGTGGTTGTAGTCGATTGGGCATTGAACCAACACCCTCATAATACTGTTCGATCCATGTCAACAACCACATGCAAGACGGAAACGAGGCCTACCCCACGGCAGCATTCGCAGTCTTCTGCGTGGAGTTGCCGCCTTTGTTCTCGTCCTCGTACCACATCATCATATTCAAAATCCATTCCCCGGTTCCGTGTAGCATCGATCGCGAATTTGGCGTTGATAGTTTGGTTGCTGTCAATCTATTGAGTCGAAGCCTTCGACCGTGTCGCAGCTGAGAAAACACGCACGCAGAGTTGGCGTATCGCCCGCGTCCCTTGTAGACTGAGTAGTCAATAGATTGTTTACTGGAGCCCGCTTGAGCCTTGGGAACTGGGGTATGGAATTCGGGTTGTCCTGGTGAGTGCACACGCTTGTCAGCTTTGCTGACGGGTTTCTTGGTCGTCACGATGTGACTGTCTGTTCTTTGGGAGGTCGGGGTATCACCGTTGCTCACATACAGTGGAGTTGCGGCAGAACTGCCTGGATGGCTAGTAGAATCTTGACGCTTCGACCGATCGGAAGGTCCTGGGCTGCTCACGCGGCGTATCTTCCTCGGTCGCTCTCCAGGTTGCTCTTCCGCCGATGCATTTCCACCAGGACTATGCTGCACTCGACTGTGGGGACGGGATTTACTGACGGATTTGGGTCGAGCCTTTGACGACTCGATAATCTCGACTGAATTATCGTCTTTCCTGACGATGGGTTTAATCTTGGGGAATAGATCTAGTCAAATGTTGAGAGATAGGAAGGAAGTTGAAAGGATGTAAGAAGAACCTTGTGAATAATCGGACTCCGTTTGAGAGACATCGGCCGTTGGGATCTCCAGGTGTTTTAGGGGCGAAGTGTTTGCGAGCGGGCTTCGTTCAACATCAGAGGAGTCGGGAACCAAAATTGTGCCATAGTTGTCTGTGGCAAAGTAAGACCTGTTCGCAGCAGAAGAGTTTTCCAGCACTGCGGCAGGTCGCGGCAAAGACTGAGAACGGTGCTTGAGAGTAGAACGTTGGGGTGTTCGCGTGGGAGTAGGTTGGTTTTCTTTGTTCTGGTCAGGCTTATCGTCTTGGCTCGTCTGTGCTATGACTAGTCAAGAATCCACAGTGGGATAGGAAAAGGACTACGAACAGAAGTTAGGCGGAATTTCCAGTCCAATTTCGGCCAATTTCGTTTCGAGCAGGACGTCCTTCGCTACTCTTCTCTGGGCCCTCTCCTGCGGCGTGAGGCTATGATAATTGGCCCTGTACTCGTCCTCCATGTTCCGATATTCAGGACTCTTCATGTAAAGTGCCAAAGCGTGGAATTTGCGTTGATCATTCGCGTATCGCTCGTCGGACTTTTGTTTGACTGCTAGTAATTCGTCGTATCTCCTGGTGAGCGCCTGCAGTTCTTTTACCACAGCACTATGGGTGGCACGAGGAATTGTGGAACTATATTTGGATTGTGAAGTTGGGCAACGCGCCGTATATGATAAAACGCACTGGGCTTCTGTCTGAGCCGTTATTCGAGCAGCCAAAGCCTCTTTTTCCTCGACCATACGCGTATTCTCCGCCTCCAGTGCCCTTGTGCGGTCTAGTAGTTGTTGATATGTCGGACGGTTTGGTACGAAGCAAATCGCGGCATCCACTGTCTGAAATCCAAGAAAGTTTGCCAGCGTGAGGGAGTCCCTGAGGCTGGCCTCTAGCTTAGCGTCTAAGATTCTGCAGACATCAGCAGCGTCGTTCATCAAGGAAGTTGAGTTGTCACGTGTCACGCCAAGTATTATTCATCCGAGAGCCTTGCTTCGAACCACATTTTATTTGATGGAAGTCTAGACTCTCATATGAATACTGCGCGACTGTGAAGCGACGGGATCTGCCCTTTGCTTCCGGTTCACGTTCACCATTTGCTGCTGCGATGCAGACAGCGCAGCTGGCCCTGCTTTCCTTCACTTTCACCTTCTTTTGCCTTTTCCTTCTTTCAGTTCCCACCGTCTTGGCCGTGCCTTTTGAGACCCCTCGTCTCCTACATCCGAAACGAACAGAACATGGTGTACATCTACCTTTATTCCGGACCGAGAAACGACATAATTTGCAGCGGAGGGAGGGGTTGACTGGAGCGGCGGGGCTGGGCAACTTTTTCGATGTGTATGTGCTCTTTTTCTCACTCTTGATGCGCCTAACCGGCGTCCAGGACCTACAGTGTTCTAGTGAAAGTTGGAGGGATGGAGACGCCACTTGTCCTTGGTATGCTTTGCATCTCCAGCCAAGCCTGTCTCTCAGTAACCTAGACACTGGCTCTTCCGACTTATGGGTCGCCAGCGACGCTTGCACAAACTGCGAACGTGGAGTGGTGCCTCTTTTCCCACAATCAACCGTAACCAAGACTGGGATGAACGTTGACCTTCTCTACGGTGATTCTTTGACCGGCACACATGCTGCGGGGATTATTGGTTCAGACACAATCGTTTTTGGAGGCATCTCTATCCCAAACCAGTTCTTTGCTGCTATCAACGACACTACTACTACGGTCATTGAAAACAAATGCGCCGGCCTCTTTGGACTCGGTTTCGCTTTGAACAGTGTTATCTGGAACCAGATCTTTGCTGCACAGTTCACTAGATCGCGGTCAAGTCGTCGGGACGTAATCTCTCGCCAACACACTCCTTCAAACTATGGCACGAGATTTTTCCCTCACCTCAGCCAGCTTGTTAGTGGTACTCAGAAACGAGCTTCTGCTACTGACTTGACTGCTGCCGCCTTTAAATCATACTTGAAAGAGGGCCCCGCGTTCCCCCGTATGGTTGCTGCTAAATCCCTTCAACTACCGATGTTTAGCATTGCTCTCCAACGCAACACACTCGATATCGGAGGAAATGCAGGTGTCCTTACTATGGGCGAATTACCATCTGGAGTTCAGTCTTCATCACTGACATGGAATCACATCCGTGGCTATCCTGGCGTGTTGGAGGCCCCGCCAGACTCGCCAAATGAGGTAGAAGGTCTCAGTTGAAGTTTAACCAAGCTAATCGTCTAAAGGTGTACCCTCTCGCTTGGGAGCTATTCATAGATGATGTCTACCTGGACGGTGTCGTTCTGCCGCGTTCAAATCTGAGTTCTTCGAGTATCAGACTCTCGGCCCTCATTGACACAGGAAACTCCCTTATACGCGGTCCTGCTGATGTGCTGAGCGTGATGAATCGACGCCTTGGTGGCCAGACCTTTGCTTGCTCGACTCCTCACACGCTTGCTTTCAAGATTGCTGGAAAGATGTTTCCCGTAGACCCGCGTGACTTTGCGGCGCAGGCTAATGAGGGCGAGATGCGGAATTGCATTGCGAATGTCTTTCGAACAGACCCGCCGGAGGATGGGCGAGGATATCAGCATAGCTGGAGCTTGGGCGACCCTTTCCTCAGAAGGTATTCGTTTCAGATTTAGAGCCATTGCCGTTTTCTAACAATCATTTCCCTCAGCGTCCTCTCAGCGTATTATTTCGGGAACCTCACTCACCCGTCCCGCGATCCACCACTTATTGGCCTGCTTTCTACCGTCCCACCTGATGCTGGGGATCTGTATCGAAAAGCTGTTGCTAATGCGATCAACAACAATAAAGGAAACCCAGTCTGTGAGTACTTTCGACACTACAGACAACAAGATAGTGACACAAATAATAAAGCGACTTTCGAGCCAGCACCAACGGGTGTACCCAAGTTCTCGACGACAGGCGTGCCTGTTGCCCGCCCCGCGGGGAAACTGGGTGGGAGCCCGAGTCCCAGTAAGAATGATGCCGTGGGGTCAAGGTTATGGACTTCGTCGTGGTTGTGTGCGATTGTGATATTTGGATTTGTACAATTAGTCGAGTTGGGGTTAGGGTTGGGTTGATGAGACAATCAACCAAATCTGTATGTGTCAACGGGTCAACTTTGATAAGTACCGACTCTTGTCAGCACCTCGATGTGAATCATTGTCCCAGCCGATGGTTATGCACACTTGAACCCCAACCAACGCGTCTATGGCCTACCTCTGGACACTTGCGCTCACCGTAGCGAAATACATCGGTTTGGCGCTGCTGGTGTTGAATATCGGGTCATTACCGGGGGTCTGGCATGGTCTGCTCTAGATTTTGAGTGTCAAAAGTCAATTACTCACCCATACCTCTAGTTCGAGTCTTTGCCGTGTTGATCGAGGCGCGTCTGGAGCAAGGCTGGCATATCCTTACACATTTCTACCTCAACCGTGAAGCCAAGCGACGTGCGTGGCACAAATGGTTCGAAGACCGCCAACCGGTTGGGCTCCATCCCTTCAAGAAGGTGTTTGCGTATAGGAAGTTCGTTAGTAAGTCTCATTTCAATGCTCTGGTTAGCTGGTGTTGAACCATTGGCCAAGGTTTTGACGATGCAGACTTTTATTTGCACCAGAGTAACTCCTCGTATCCTCGTGCACTCGACTCTGTGCGATTTAGATTGGCATTGAGCACTTTCCCCAACTTGTTCCGAGCAGGAGGCTTTAGTCCGCTGGCTGGTCAGTCGACACACACATATTTTCTAACAATTGACTGACGCGTGGTCCTAGCAACCCATTTCCACTTCATACGGGAGATTCCGATGCTGTCTACCTACGAAGTCCGCTGCTCCATAGCTTCATGGGACGAGAAATGGGCGCGTGTTTACGACTTGATGCAGTTCTACCTTGAACATACCCTATAGATGTATATGGTGTGCCGCTTTGTGAAGCCCGCATCTGCCAAATCAAGAGCAAACCTCAAGCGGTCTCGGTCGCCTGCTATTGAGAGTGGTGCAACCCCACCACTCGAAGAGAGTTTTGTGCCAAATATCACAGCGCCGGCGACTCCATTGACTGGAGAAGTCACACCCGCCGCGCTCAAGCAGCTAAAACAAGGGGCCGAGCCAGATGCAGTCTCTCGGGCCTTGTTAGCACGTGCAGCCCAACAGAAGGAGTCAGATGGGTCGCTTTTGTACAGTGCGTCATCATCGAGTTTCCAAAATGAATGCATGCCTAACAAGCCTCCCTAGCGGTCTCGGTTTCCCAGCTCTGCTACAAAGTTGGTCGTATCACTGTCCCGCCCGCCGTCATTCTCGCTACCAATGGCTGGTACGCTGCCCCCGACGGTGCAACCGCCAATGGCCCACCGCCGTATTGGGCCAAGGTATCAGAAATGACTGCCCCAGACAAGATGCGTGAACTAGGCGCCTTCTATCGAGGGGGGTGGAAAGACGTGCCTGCTGGAGAACGATTTTGGGAGGAAGCTTTCAAGGCGTGTGACGAGGAGCGGATAACGCGCCTATTGCCTTTTGGATCTGCAGGCTTAAGTGGTGGTCTTGCTGGTGCGAGAGGGATATCACCTTAGTGGAGAAGATAATCTAACTAGAAATCGGACAATGCAGCTATTTATCTGTACAGTATCCTCCCAAAGCAAGAAATAAGATAAGATAAGATCAGGACCGAATGATCCGATTGATTGGTGTCGTGACGACTGTTCAGTGTTCAACCGCCGAGTCTTTGTCGATGGTTCGCATCGTCCATGGGTAGCACCCGCGGAAACGCGGAATCTTGCCCATGAACTGAGCCAAGAAACTCTCACAGAGCCTGTTCCGGGATCGGGAAGCTCATGCGAGACAAAAAGCTCACCAATCTCTCTCTGAAAGCTTTGTCTTGACTGCTTATTCGATGCCGCCAACCTTTAAAAGCGCCTGGAGCAAGCTTTGGTTAGAACACTCTCAGCTACATGGCGTCTCTACGAAGTATCCTTGTCACTGGCGCAAACCAGGTTTGTAGGGAGCCCTCGCATGCTAACTCTCTGAATAATACCAACAGGGTCTGGGATTTCATACCGTCCAGCAGCTCGCACAGACAGAAAACACACTCGTCTTCATGGGTATGTCGTCGCCCGTTTACCCCATGGCCACGAACCAAGCATATGGCAGGCTCCCGCAAACTCTCAAACGCCAAACAGGCGATCACCAAGTTTGTCTCTGAGATCCATCCTTCTTCACTGGTGGTCCCAGTACAACTCGACATCACGGATGAGGAGTCGATACGGAGCGCCACCGGAACAGTAGAGACAGCACTGAAGGAGAGGAAGTTAGCAGGGCTTGATGTGCTCGTAAACAAGTCAGTCTCATTGTTCGCGCAATTGAAGCTGACACATCCTTGCCAGTGCTGCCGTCGCCACCCAATCCTTTCAAGAGGTCTACGCTGTCAACGTCACCGGCACCGCCGCCATCACCGCTGCCCTTCGCCCGCTGCTCAACAAAAATGGCGCAATCATAAACATGTCGTCCTCCCTCGCGTCGCATGCCTGGCACACCAAACGCCCGCCGCCGCCAATCGAGTCGCCCGCGTACAGCTCCAGCAAGTCTGCGCTTAACCACTTGACTCTGATTTGGGCTATCGAGGAGGAGCAAAGGGGTCACGGGGTCCGGGTTGTGTCAATCTGCCCTGGTATAGATGCATTCGCGATTTCTGGTATTTTGTGCGCTGATGTGGACTAGGCTTCAATGCGACGAAGCTGAGCGATTATATGGGAACGATACCGCCCTCTGAGGGAGCGCGAATCATTGTCAAGACTGCACTCGAGGAGGGTGGTCAAAGCGGGGTCTATTTCAACAAGGAAGGACTAATCGAGTGGTGATGTTTTTTTTTTTGGTTTTCGTCCTTGATCAGATTAGATTAGATAAGATCGGGATGACAGCAGTACTCTAATATGTTTAACTACAGTAAAGAAACCAAAAACAATACGATGAGATACAACTTGAAAGCAAGAAAGGAATCCTTCCTATTCGACAACGCAGATATGTACGAAGCAGCTTGGTTTCAGTCCCAGATATCGAATTAATGGAACTCAACGTCTTGCACGTGTCCTACTTGGCTCCTCGGTTTCCGGATCGGCCGTTGTTGCGCGTTTCCTGCCTCTTGTACTTGGAGGCTTACTCCCAGTCAGCGGCGGAGGCTTGCGGGGGGCACGTGCCGCTGATGGAGGCTTCCTCGACGTTGATGGAGGTTTCTTGCTGGCTATTACTGCTTCTGGCTCCGCTATCCTGCCCCGTTTAGCCGGGGGAGGTCTAGCAGCAGCAGCAGCAGCCGTCTTTCGTGTCTTCGATGAAGACGCCGCTGGCTTCAATTCTGGCTGCGCTGGCTCCCCGTCGCTGGACATACTGCTCAGACTGCTCAGCGAATCCCCGCCCATTGCAAGCGCAACCACGTTGTCCCCATGGTCACGCTTGCGTTTAGCGGTCTTCCTGTCCACCTGCATTTCTTCCACCTCAGGCACTGGGTCCAGCGGTGACGGCGCGGCACCCGTGTTGCCATACAAGTATGCGCTGCTGTTGGCAGAGTCGGGTGCAGGCACCAGGTCAGATGTTTGCGCTTTCGCCTTGCCTTTGCCTTTGTTGCGTGTGGCCGGAGCATAAGCGGCATCGGCCGATACTTCGGCAATATCGGGCAATTGCTTTTGACGAGGAGGACGGGCCAGAGGGATGGGCATCGGCGGGTCAGCGTACGGGTCCAACGACGACCCCGCCACCGGGTGCTGGTGAACTTCCTCCTCGTTTTCATTTTCATATGGGTCGACTGTCTTTTCACGGACAAGGTCGTTGGGACTTGATATTGTCTTTCCAAAATCAGCCGTGGAGTCGCGCCAGCTGAGTGAACGCGTGAGGTCCCCGGTGTCAGCGTCAATGACATATGCGCGTTTAAAATTCGACATCCACGGCTGGGATCGGGCCTTGCTGAGGTCCAATCGCTGGTCGGGATTGAACATGAGCAGACTGTCTAGAAATTGTCGGGCTAATAAGGTAGACAATTAACCCATTATTCAAGCATCTAAGTTGTGAGCGTACCTGGCTTGGAGAGGTTCTTGCGAGTGATGAAGTCCCACTGGATGCCAGCGATGCCTCGTTGTGCCATCAAGTCTCGGAGATCGACAGGACTGTCATTCGAAGGAGGCCACGGGACATGTGTGGTGAACCTTGAATCGTCAGTCGGATTAGCTTGTCGAGATTTATACTCACATGGTGAAAATGAGACACCCAATGCTCCAGCTGTCTACACGGTGCGTATATGGCGGGTCTGTCGAAAGACGGCTGAGAATTTCGGGGGCCATATATTGCAGAGTTCCGCAAATGGTCTACGATGTTTGAAAACCATCAGTACGACACAATACGAATATACCTTCAAGTCTGTCCCTTCTGTGGTCAGCTTCGCAACCCCAAAGTCAGCGATTTTGACCTTTGGAGGGTCGTCCACTGTTAGAAGAATGTTCTACCAAGTCATTGAGCACAAATAAGACAAAACAAGCACAGATAAGTACCTCAGGTTTCAAGTCCCGGTGCGTTATGTTGTTACTGTGGATAAAGGCGGTGCCCGCACAAATCTGGTCCGCCAAATGGCGGGTCATACCTTCGGCTGTTGATAGTTGGTTTGGACGTTCCAACAAAGAATCATAGGACACCCACACAAACCGCCAACACCGCCGTTATATTTGCGGATGTAGCTGTCAAGGTCGCCGCCTTCGACAAGCTCAAAGACAAGGTCTACGAAAACCAAGTCAGACCAAGGAAATCAAACCATATGGTCAACCATACCAAGACTATCGTCCGAATTCTCAAAGTGCTCCAACAACTGCACGATGTTCGTATGACGCAGGTTTTGGAGTATGCCGATTTCGTCGAGGCCGTCCCTTGCGCTTCCCGCATATCGTCTGACCTGGAAGGCGCATGTCACATGGCGCGGGGACGACGATTATAATGAAGCTAACCTGACTGATAACCTTGACGGCGACCCACTTGGCATTTCGCCGGGAAAGGGCACGGTATACGACAGCAAAATTGCCAACGCCTAGTTCTTTGTCCAAATCTTCTTACAGTCAGACGGGTGTGCAGAATAGAAAGAATCGCACCGTAGTGTTTATGGATTGCTCTTTTGACACGGAGAAGGTCGCAAAACATATAAACTTGGGTCGTTATTAGGCGGACAAAAATTGGGGGAGGAATGAGCTTACTGGATGGCGCAGGCTCTCCTTCCTTCCGGATGTAATTCTTAGGCCCGAATGTTATCTGCATTCCATCTTCCAGTACGCGTGTGTTGTTCTTCCCGATTCTGTCGTTACCCAGCTGTTGAATGTTCAGGCCCCAACGTCTACAAAGGTAGTACTTGACCAACCCAAGTGCCGTTGGACGAGTGGTCATGGATCAGGACATCCCCGCCGACGCTGTTCCATGTGATAGTAGCATGGTCGCTGCCTACGACAATAAGCACATCAACGCTAACGCGACTTGTGAACTCACTAATATGGTTGCTGTCCAAACAAAGGTTGCTGCTCTTCCTTCTCCCAATAGTATATACCGCCTGGGTACGCAGAAGCCGAACCTTTTGCGCACCGCCACTCGCGGGTATGAGCAGCCCCCAGCAGTCGTTCGTGTCCTCCGCCTCTTGACTGTAAGCTGGTTGTGTGGACTGGGTTGCATCAGCTTCTGGGTTGGTGATGTGCGATTGGCTCGAGCTGGCCATCGACACGTCTTCCATCGTCAAAGAAAGCAGAAGCAAGTCGTAGCGGTCGCGTCCACGGAAGAAAAGCAAGTCAAAGGGATGCGAGTTCCCCATTTGGCACCAACTTGTCAACTTGTCAACACGTGGGATGCGGATCAGATTGACAGTGATTGCTTTTGATTCCGGATTATCTGGTCTGGAATTTGGAGCTGATTTATTGGTGGCATTGCCAGCTGCAGCTGTATGATTTGGCGAATCTTTGCGTCCGCCTTTGATTCTGCTACCTTTAATAATGAGTCATCATGATGTCGGAGTCACAACAGGGTGGAGCTGGGCTGCAAGGCCTGACTCTGTCGACGTCGTGGTCAACTTATATACTGCTGTTGCCTCGACAAGTAAATTTTGTAAGTCGTGCTAAGTATCTTCAAATTGTAGCTTGCGGTTAGACTATGGGCGATTCACTGGCACAAGGTTGGATTGATCGGACTGTGGATGAAAAGCGGTATGGTTGGAACGGTGGAATTGCTGCATTGGATCGTTCCGGATGATAGCCTCCAATTCCTCTGATGGATTCACCGACGACTACTCTTTGGTTGAACATGGTGGTAAAGAGGAAAGGAGGTTGTGATGCGCGTTACATGGTTAACTCAATATAAAAATGTTTGCTGTCTACAGCCATTAAGGTCTACAAAACATTCTAATACAAACTTTCGGTCGTCACTCGTTATTGGACATCGAGGGTCATGACTTCAGCTCAAAGGTTCAGTGTCAGCCCACCGTGGACTTCTCGCCCATCCTCTCCCATGTCGGCGAATAGATAGTTGAGAATTCCTGCCAAACGAATCCCCGCTTGTGCGAGTAGTTTCTCAACAATCCACTGATCAGCGATAACGCCGCTGTACTCGGGGGTATCAAGTTCGAGGTATGGTCCGCCAATTGGCGCAGCCTCTTTCTCTAGTTTCTCGAGGGCATCAAGAACTTTCGAAGAATGGTCATCTCGTCGCTCAAGTGCTCCGTCTAAGCGTGACTCGCTATATGGTGGTTCGTCCAACGCAGGAGGCCAAACTATCTCGCAGTTGAGCGAGTGAATAGGTTGAGCCCATGCATACGGGCAAATAAGGTCATCGTCAGTCTCAGACCTAGGGGAGCGGGTGACGAGACCAAAGACGTAGCGGCGGCAGAAGACAATTACTTGCTCAAGTAATGGCCCGAATGGAGCGGGAAGAACGAGTGAGGCTGATGAGCTGCTAGGCCGTCTTGTAGCAGCGGGAGCCGGACAAGTAAGCCATTCCGCGACTTCGCTTTGCCATTTGCCAAGCACGCCCTCCACCATGATCATGCGAACGTAGGAGTCGTAGATAGTGTCGCGAAGTGCCCATTCAATCTTCTTGGAGGGCAATGGGCGGGAATACTTGCGTGGGACAGAGCGAATAGCTTTCGCAATGAGGAGTCCGTCCCAAAGTGAATGGAGGTTGGTCTGTCGGCCACCGAAAAGCACCTTGTCCGAGTTACCGCCACGGTCGCGACCAGTGAGATGCAGCGGCATATGCATATCGCCCATAAAATGGATGAGAAACTTGAGCGCCTCATTCGCGGCGTCAATTTGTCTGGTGGACAAATTGCGTTTCGCTCCCCTGAGAGCCACAACGTCTTGCAGAATGCCGGTAACATTCCTGATGCCGCCAAGCACGTTCACCCCACGTTTGCCCTCCCAGCCCTTGGCTCCGGGAAACAAACAGTGCTGCGATGGGTGATCGCCAACCGCTCCCACGTAGTGTAGTGCGGCTGACCAACGCATCTTATATCGTAGTTTATCCGCCCAAGTGGCGACTGGCGCGAGATGGCATTGGGGTTCGTTTGGATTCTGCGACGTGAAGTTGAGAATTTCGCACATGGTTGGGAGCACGCTAGGGTGGAGGTGAATTTGCGCAATGGTCGCCGCAATTTCATGGCCTGTCTCGCAAAGTCAGTCATTGCGACCAGGGCTTTTGGATTTCGGATCTCACCAGCGGCACCCCAGGCGGTAACGGTTGTCGCGCAAGCAGCCAGCAAAGTGCTGGTAATTAGTTTCGGATACATGTTGGAGGAAGAAAGGAAGGGCTCCGAGCGGTCTTTCACGCTCCAGCACAATAAAGGACGAGTACAAAAGCAGGTGGCCGCGGCTACATGTCGTCACCGTCACACGTGCAGCAAGCACAGCCACATTGCGTGATTTTTTGATCGCAGCCACTCAACATTATCTAATCGGTTGTGGTGAACCGTGAGGAAGAAGAACAAGCGTACATCAGGACTTGGATAAAGCCTTCAAGAAATTGAGATATGAGTTTATTTATTACTAACTAATGTGGCGCTATTCGCGCATTCGCTGCGTAGATAGCTCGTTCGCCAACGCCAATCAGCTGCACAGACGCTGGTCACCATTCGGCTTGGAGACAGACCGTAAAGACGGACGTCCAATATCCGGAAGGTGGTCAGAATCGCCACCCATTGTCGTTCTCAGACGAGCAGTGATACAAATACTTCAAACCATTGAGGGGTGACCCAGGAGATCCGCCTCAACCCAGCCATAACTCTTCTTAAGCCTCTTGGCGAATTCGCGGAGCATGATTGGGTGGATGGTCGGATCAGGGTGGGCTAGGTCTCAAGTTGGCGACAAAAGAAAATATATGGGGGGAGAACACGCACGCTTGTGGAAAGTGATAGAGACATCCTTGGGGTCTGGAGGGTCAAAGCGGACACTGGACCCAGCCGTGCCGGGGTCATATGTGAAGCCCAGCTCAACCATGAGCTGGCCAATAGTCAGAACCACGTTGGAAGATACTAACAGTTGGCACTTTACCTTGACGAATGTCTCCCACTTCATCGAGGACAGTCCCCTCGTCTCATCTTCGGAAGTGCGAAGGAGTTGATGCATGCTGTTGGTTGCCTTTTTGGATAATCGAGAGAAAAGACCGGGTCTGGGCTTCTTGGGCTCTTCTGTCTTTTTCTCCTTGGTGAACTTAGACATGAATCCGCGATGCTTCTTCTCGGGAGCGGCCGTGCCAGTAGTTTTGACCTTGGCCTTGGCTTCAAGTAGATTCTCTGACTTGAGATAGGAATGAGCAGACTGTGCAAGGGTTTCGGTTGAAGCGAGCGAGACAGTAGACATCTGCGCGGCGAGACCAGCAACCCCAGCAGCTTTGGCAACAGGAGTCTTTTTGGCTGGTGAAGTCGGAGTTGGCGAGGTTGTGGTTGTGGTTGTTGTCGAAGGAGGAGCCGGTGTTGTTTCTTCAGCACCGTCATCACCGTCGCCATCCGCCTCTGCGGTTCCGCCACCAGCACCGGCCGCTTTCTTTTTCTTCTTGGGCTTTTTCTTCTTCTTCTTGGGAGCAGAGGGCTTGTCATCGTCATCGTCATCAACCTCTTCGACTGTTGCCGCCTGCTTGCCTTTGGGTTTGGCTGAAATACATTGATGAAGGAGTTGTGTGTCGAATAATAATTCACGAACCAGTAGCAGTGGGTTGCTCAGAGGTCTTGGGGGGAGGGCCAGCTTTGGTCTTACCGAAAAATCCAGTCTTGGGGTTGCGGGCGGCAGGGGCTTTCTTCCCACCAAGTTTAGTGCTTGAGTTGAACACACGCCCACGGAGAGACCCGAGAAGTTTCAAGAATGCGTTGCCCTTTGATGAGTCCTCCTCTGTTTCATCTGGTTTCTCAAATAGATCGCCTTCATATGCAGCATCCATCGCTTCACGCACTTGATCGCGAATTTCATCTGCTGCATCCTCGTCATACTCGCTGCTGGTTTCATCTCCGTCGTCTTCTTCCTCGTCTTCAGATTCAGATTCGTCATCATCGTCCTCCTCTGACGAGTTGGAAACAGACTGCAGCTCCGGCATCGAGCCATCGGTATCCTCCCCACCTTCCGTAATTGTAAGCATTTTCTTCTTTTCTGGTTTGCCCTCGTTGGCAATCTTCAGCCCAGGAACATGGATCGTGTGCCATTGTGGGGTACGATTGAGAGCCTCATTCAAACGCCAAAGTGAGTCTATGTCCTTCTTGGTTGAGGCCTTGTACATCTGGTTGTCGGGTCAGAACAGAAAGTTCGCCATAGATTGCGCAAGAGTCCCACCTGGTTGATAGCTTTCCACATGGTCTCGAGTATCGCCTGTTTCTTAGCTTTGGCGAGGGGAAAGATGATGTCCTTGAAAGGCGTGACATCCTCCGTAGCCTTGAGCGACAACATCATCGCGTCAAACCACGCATCGTATCCAGGAAGCTTCTCCGCTGGGGCAGCTTTGGCGTCAGCGAACATTGGATCGAGCAATGGCGCTTCAAGCATGGCACAGAGCCGAACGGCCTCAGAAAGATCGCCCACTGCGTCCCAAAGGGTTTGTGGAAACCGCTTACTATCTCTTGGAGCCTCATCGACTGCGTCGCGAAGTAGCTCCATGAGTAAGTTTTGGTCATAACGGCCATTGGGGAAACTAATCTCAAGAATGATCGAATCGAGAAAAGACTTTCCGGCCGCCCGGAGAGCTTCAAGATCGAATATGCATTGCTCCTCGAGATTGTCGTCTTCGCCGGGCTCCTTGACCTTGAAGTATTGCGCAAAATGGGCTGGAGGAAGTCAAAGCTGGTAATCAACAACAACGGAGGTCATACGTGTAGTCGTCGCTAGCACTGAAAAACGATCTTGTAAGAATTTGACTAGTGTGTTGACGACAAAGGTATAGAGAGCAATGTACTTGATGCGCAATTCAGGGTCGTTTTTCAATTGTGTCTTGATGTCCATATCATCGCGTAAGCCCATATCCTCCAAGTCATGGACTGTATCCGCAACGAGTTTCCATGCTGCTGCAAGCATGTAGGTGTTGTGGATTCTGATGGATGGTGCGTCATTTTTTAGATGAGGTGTTTTTCGATTTTACCTCGTGGCGACCGTTCTGGCAACGGCACTTGCGCTTTTGAGTGGCTCTTGCGCTTTGGGGTCCTTTGTAGGAATGCGAGATGACCACTCCATGTCAATTATAGGCACAAATAATACTGGATCTTGAAGATGCGCGATATCGTCGAGGAATGCTGCAGTTGTCATGATTCAAAGGGAAGACACACAGGCGGAATCGTACAACTGCATTGAGAGTCTGCAATCTTGATAGCGCTTTCCAGTTGGAAAGGGGTCATGATTGCGCCAGCAGCTTTCTGCTTGATCATGTCCTCTTTGAGTGAAAGATTAGTATGGTCAAAGAAAGTGGTAAAGGACATACCGAGAAGGAGGTCAAGTTTTTCACGACCGAGTAGTTTTGAGACGAGCATGACTTCTCCGGCCCCACGAGCCGCATTGCGGAGGATAAGGGCGCGTGCAGTCGTTGGCTTTCGACCTTCCCCGTCTCTCTTCGTTTTACTTTTCCCACTTTGGACAACATTCCGAGTCCCCCTAGGTACAAGGGCATTCGAGATCGGTGCTGGCGCTGGTTGGGGTGTCGTCGAAGCGGCTTCCTTGGGGGCTGCCTTTGCTGCCGCCTTTTTGGGCGGCATAATAGAAAACAAGAGCCAAAACTCACGTGATTAGTTTGATAAGCTTTGATTTGATAATTACACTAGTCTCAATTTTGAGAAAAAAATATGGGTTGCTCCTTCTTTTTGCAATACCCACTAAACTGTGGACGCCAACAGCCGTTCCGAGCTCTATGTACAAACTGACTCTCTTTCCATCAAATCAGCCGACTGAAGCGTGTGTCATCTCTACGATCAGCACATGGCAGTGCACTACATATTGGCATTGGTGTCGTTTGAGTGTCCTCTCTAGGCTGCTGTGACTACAATCCACCCAGGGTGTGGCTGGCGTCGTCCATTCGTTCTTTTCTTCCTTTCTTCTTCTCTGTTCCTCTTCACTTTCTTTCTCTAATATCTAACTCGCCTCGATGGCTTCATCCTTCAATCTTACCAGTTCGTGCTTTTCTTTCTCGGAGAAAACCCCGGATAACATTTTACAGTCGACGATAGCTCTCCTCTTGTTTCTTACGGACCCAGCGGTGCTTGGCAGGATGCGTCTAGTAAGGACACGGCGGGCCTTGTGCGTGGTCAACTTGATTTCACAGTAAAAGCGCTAAAACTTCCTAGGCCTATACCGGGGGCACTATTCATACAACTACGACGCGTGGTGCAACGGCCACCATTCAATTTAATGGTTTCCGCTCTCCTTTTCCCCCCTCCAATCCATCCGCACGACTGACGCGTGGTAGGAACGGGTATCGAAATCTACGGGTCTCATAGACCTTCATTCGGCGGATACGAACTGTCCGTCGATGGAAAACTAATTACCACCGGGAGATCGTCAAGCCCTGGGTTTGAAATTCAACAACTCTTGGGGTCTGCGACGGGCTTGTCAAATGGCCCCCATACCGCAGTGTTAACATCAACTGGAGTGGGCATGGACATTGACTGGGCTAACGTGATCACCCAAGTTGGCGGAGCTGGGTGCGTCAGTTGTCTATCCTGCCAATGTCGACATTGACCCTTTGGATAGATCTGCAGTCACCACGACCGTTTTTGATGATGCTAACTCTGCCATGAATTACGCAGGGAACTGGGCCACGACCAATACAGATAAATATATTAATGGGACTCTTCAGTGCGTAGGCTGGCTCAGCATGGGACGTTTTTGTGGCTAATCACGAAGAAAGTTATACTCAGAGCCCTGGCTCAGCAGCTTCGCTCCAATTTGTCGGGAATGCAGTCGCGATATATGGCACAGTCTCTCCCAACCACGCAAATATGCAGGTTTCTATTGACGGACGACCCACTCTCGTTAACATCCCATCGTCCACCATAAGCGGTCTCCATGCTCAGGTCACGACAAATTATTATCTAATTCATCCGCTGATTTTGCTGTAGACTTTGTTGGTGGGTAGCTAGCTTTTATTCTTCAAAACTCCTTTTCAATTGTGACAGTATTATGCAAATAATCTCGACTCTTCTCAACACATGCTCATTATAACGAATCCTGGCCAGCAGAGTGGAACCGGTTCTTTTATCGACCTGGACTCGATCACGGTCTACTCTGCAAGTACTACCGCTGGTGACGCAGCACCTATCTCCAATCAAGCGTCAGTTTAGTTTCAGCTTCGTTGTCATAGTCTCGAAATTGATGTTCATTCAGTTCTGCGTCAACAACGAGTGGTATCCCACAACCCAGGCCGAAATCTGGACTTGCGGTGGGCGCTATAGTCGGCATCGTGTTGACGGTGATCCTCTTGGTTCTAGGCCTACTTGGCTTGATGCTTTTCCTCGGTGCTCGACGTAGACGGAGAAGAGCGGATCGAAATAACCTTGCAGATCCATCAACTCCGGTTGACGCCGAACTTCCTCTACAATCAGGCAATATCAAGCTGTCCCCGGATACACCGATTCAGCCCATGCCAACATTCACTCGGTTGGCATCGAGAATGTCTGGTCATTCGATTGCTCCAAGTTACTATGCTTTCAGTGCTCCGTCGCAATCGTTTGGTGGAAGAGGCTCCAAACCGCCACCGATGCCACAAATGTCACAAGTGCCAACTTTAGGCATGCCCATGCCCCCGTCACGTTCAGCAACTGTGATGGTCGGTGTCCCGAGTTATATTTGTATTGATAGCTTTTGTTTTGCTGACTCTTTCACCCCAATAGGGAAATCGAGGAGGACCTGGACCACCACCTCGACGCGCTCCACCCTGACTGGGAATGTCAGTACTTGTTTACCTAGGCTCGTATTGTGTAGATGGAAATATACTCGTTTCATTGACCCAAATCCTGTTCCGACCCGTAAGAGTGGTAGGGCAACCGGTATCAATTGAGATTGACGGTTTTGACCGCCCCTTGAAGCTGAGGCTGTGTCACGCGTAACGCTCTTTAGTGTGCTCTCCTCTTCAACCCCCACCCCCTCCAATCCCGGGCCCGAGCTGTGCTCTTTTACTGCTCTTTCTTTCTTTACTGGTCTTCGCCCCCTTACGCCTAAACATCTTTCTTACCTCTGCCACCTTCACGGCCTCGATACGAGCAGCGCTCTTAGCCCCGACTTTTCTTCAGCATCTACAAGAGAATTAGACCCCTCCTAAACCAACAATGGGAAACCTCATCTGGCACGAGTATGCGCGTTATGTAGCTATCACAGCGAGCGCATGTAAGTGGCTCCAGTCTTCGACGTGGCCAGATTTAAACTCATTTTTCGTTTAGATGCGGTTTGGGCAAGCTTCTTCGGCCTGTTCTACCGTAAATTCTTTTGGGACTTTGTCACTGGCACTTTGCGCGACCCGGGAGGACTCCAGTGCGTTACCCGTTTCTTACCCGTGGCTTGTTGTTCTCATCAATCGGGACTGTTTTAGGCCGTCTCCCAGTGTCGCCATCTTTATAACGCTCATTGTCAAGGCCCCTGTCATCCCCATTATCACTGCTATCATCGCTCTCATAAATCTTGCGATTGAGAATCCACTGCCACTTCTCAAAGGGTCTTCGATTCAGCGGAGTTTGGTGTTGAGGATTGTTATCTTGGTGTTCCAAACCTTCTTCTCTGTGCTTTTCTACCAGGTGCGAGAAGCAGTCTACCAGTCCGCGTCTTGTACTGATGCACTTTGTAGGGCACAAATGCCGCGCTGTGGTCGCTCATTGCGATCATTTGTTACATTCGCGCCATAGCGCTTGGAGAAAAGATCGAGGAGGCCAAGGACAACAGAGGAAAGGGCGGGCGAGCCTGATCACGGCTCGTCCGCATGCCATTTTCTTGCCAATTTATATGGCAACAGATGTAGGATCTTGGGGGGTAGAAGTAACCAGCACAATGGACTGCGTCCTATTTTTGACTCACTCATTCTTTGAACCCGGCTCTAAACAAATTTCCGACTGCTATCGCACCGTTGCTTTGCGCTTATACCGACCACTTCGCACTCACCTTGTACTTTACCTTGCACTTCTCTTTTCTAGCTGACTTGGATGTACTACCTATCTTGCCGAGTCTGTGTGGCCAAGAGCCAATTAGTGCCCTGTAATTGGTGATGCGGCCACTATTTATTTCGACCTAATTGTTCCTTCTAATCTCGACTGCCATGACGGACATTTTGTCAAAATTGTCAGGCAGTTTTGACAAAGCCCAAGCTGCTGGTGATTTGCTCTTCTTCTCCTCAACCATCGTAAAATATCAGGAGTCTACCAGTCCAATCGAGGTTGCTATGGTGGCTTCGTCACTATTCTCCCTTCTTGACGATTACAGTACGAAATCCGGCTATGTCCTGCGCTACAAAACAAACCAGCGCTGCCAACACCACACTTCAAAGGAACGCCCGAGCAAACAAAGTTCGATCCGTTCTTACCACCGTACAATCCGAATCTGTGGATTGGGGAGCTGAGTGACGCAGATAGCGGGGAGCAATACGTCGTTCTGGTTCGTCATGCTTCCCTCACCGTCCGTTCGGCTTCTGAAGGTGATTCAATAGCTCAACAAGTACTCTGTTGTCCCCCGACACTTTCTGTTGGTGACCAAAGGTGGGTCCGATCTAAACCACTGCAAGCCATCTTGAAGGCTGGTGTAGAATTCCGCTCACAGGCGTCCCCTTTGACCCCTCCTGACCTTGTTCAAACCTACTTACTGCTCGCGGCTGGTCGTAAAGCGCGTCAACCACTATTCGCTTTCTACAACTGTATGTGATGATCACTTATGACTTCCTTTGGTCACTTGCTGAGTGAGATATGGTAAGGCGGGGACATCTCTGGCGCCTCACAGGCACATAAACACGTCCAATTCCTGCCTCTAGACGACGAGGACGGACCCCCAGTTGAGTACGCTGCGCGGAATGTCAAACTCGAGACTCCAGGTGAGAGAGAGATTTTACACCACTATTTTTTTTTACCAATCACGGCCCTCCCATTTCCAGATCGGCCCTTCACGCTCCCAGTCCCATACGCCAACCATGTATTCCGGCTTCCGGACCGACTATGGTCATCGTCGCCAGATCAGCTCGAACCCATCTTAGCAGACGCGTTCCTCAGTTTACTTGATCTCGCCATCTCGACTATCAGACATGACACCGAGTATCCCGCCAACAAGCCCTCATATAATGTGGTGATCACGCTCGGGCACATATATGTTGTTCCCAGAAGGCAGGAGGCCCATATGTTGGCGGAAACAGGTGATGAGTTGAGTGTGAATGCGTTGGCATTCGCTGGGATGTTGCTGGTGAAGAGCGAGCGAGAGTTGGAGGCCGTAAAGAAGGAGGGTGTGGGCAACATTCTGCGAGGAGTTGGGTTAGAGAGCGTCCATGACCTGCAGGTACTTGGCACGGCTGCAGAAGCCCGCGATGAAGAATGAATATCAACTCCGAGAGGATCGCAGCAGCTTCCCGCGCGCTGCTATAACATAGCTCACGTGTCCTTAATCTCTCTCTTTGCACAAACCAACATGAGCCAAGCGTCCCTCACAGTCGCCGTATGCCTCTTCCCCAGGGTTACCACCACGGACTATCAAGGGCCTGTCGAGCTTTTGGGTCTTCTGTCTGCCCAGAAGGTTAAACCACCCATCTTAGCCAAAAATGCCCCAAATTTCACCATCGACATCACGTACTTGTCTCACACCTTGGAGCCGGTCCAACCCATCGTTGGTCCGCGAGTTCAACCCGATCGCACATACGACGATGCACAAGAGCAGTTTGACATAATCCTCGTTCCTGGAGGTGTGTTATACCTCGAACAGAACATGGGCCTTCAAGTTGAGAATTACAGGACCAATGGTCAACCCGCCCAGTGCTTGCAACGACTTCATCAAGCGGCAGAGCCCCGGCGCAAAGTACATTCTTAGTGTCTGCACAGGCTCGTTAGTTCTGGCGCGTCTTGGCTTGCTTAACGGTCATTCGGCAACTACGAACAAATCTGCATTTAGGGCCGTGCAGGTTGATTCTGCCTTTTCTTTGAGTGGTCGAGGTTACTGACAGGGATTTATGATAGGCAGAGACGAAGGACCTTCCCATTACCTGGGTAGAGAAGGCGCGCTGGGTTGTAAGCGAAGACAAGAAAATCTGGACGGCTTCCGGTATCACCGCAGGTCGGAGACCTACAACGATGCTGATCAAGATTCGGCGCTAATAATTTGCACAGGAATGGACATGGCTGGAGGATTTTTAGACCACATTGCGGGAAAGGAATACGGCCTCGTCTGCCGGTCTTTCCTGGAAATGAGCGTCAAGAACGAGGGTGATGACGAATTTGCGGCATACCATGGGCTTGTGTAATAGATCGACCAGTCAAATAAATAAATGTCGTAGTATTTGCTGGGTCCCAAACTTCTACTTAGTAAACGAACAACTTTCGCACGCGACCAAAAGATTAGATCTCACATGACTCTTAATTTCCACGACTTGTTTTCTTCGCTCCCCAATGAGCCAACCGTCGCTCACAGCGGCCGTGTGCCTCTTCCCCAACGTGACGGTCACTGATTACCAAGGACCCGCAGAGCTGCTTGGCCTTCTGTCTTCCGCCAGAAGAGGGCGAACAGTGGTCTCGGACAAGCTTCCAGATTTCACGATCGAGTTGACATACTTGTCGCACACGCTCGAGCCAGTCAAGCCGAAAGTCGGGCCACGAGTAACACCAGAGAGAACGTATGACGACGCTCAAGAGCAGTTTGACATCATTCTCGTCCCTGGAGGTTGGTGTTGTGACTTGTTTGCAGTGCAGAACGCTCAGATATAGGGCCGAGCGTCAACCCACCCAGTGCTTGTAACGAGTTCATCCTGCGACAAAGCCCTGGGGCACAGTATATCCTCAGTGTCTGTACGGGGTCGTTAATTCTGGCGAGGCTTGGGTTGCTCAATGGCCATCCGGCGACGACAAACAAGGGTGTGTTCAAAGAAGTCAAGGTCGGCAGCAGTGTTGTCCATAAATGTCGTTGTTGCTCAACCTGAGGTTGTGGAACAGGAAGAGACAAAGGATCTTCCCATAAGATGGATGGAGAAGGCGCGCTGGGTGACGAGCGATAACAAGAAAATATGGACTGCTTCAGGGGTCACTGCAGGTGCGTATAGCAGGGCGGGAAGATAGCTGGAATTCACGTGTGCCGCAGGGATGGATATGGCTGGAGGATTTGTGGATCATCTTGTTGGGAAAGAATTGGGCCTTGCGTGTCGGTCGTTCCTTGAAATGAGTGTTAGGGACGAGGGCGACGACGAGTTTGCTGCATATCATGGACTTGTCTAGGTTGTTGGCAATACCTTTAGCTCGACAGAAAGAAATTTCACAGTTGGTGACGTCACTGTGTCACATTTCATCCTCTCTTGATTTCAAGCGCTCAACTGCCCTCTTTGCTTCGAATGCCAATTACGCGCCACTAACGCCAATGTCTCGTCGACTTGGAAACAAGTATACCGTGGAAAGGCAACCGCACAAATGTGTCGCCTGAACAGGGCAACCCGCAAGGCGAGGCCTTGAAGAAGCCAAAAAATTCCGATGGGCGTGGCCGTATTAGCCAACCAGAAGCCGAATGCTCTGGGGCTCCACACTCAGAGACTACAGTATCGATCCAATCCGCCAGGACTTAGCGCGTAAATTGCGAAGAATCTGGGTTTATTGCGATGGGTGTTAAATTGTTATCTTCGCTCGCTCCTCGGTTTGCTTCGCTGGAAAATCCATCGCTTAGGTCGCCAGCTGGCGACTTAGCAAAATTTTGCCCGCGTTTTAAGTGCGCGGACCAGTGATGGGGCCTGGAGGCGAAGAAGGAAGAGCGATGAGCGACGACATTTTACCGGCAATTGGCAGGTCACAAATTTGGGCCAGATTAACTTTCCGTTTATAATGACTTGAACTACCCGCACTCTCGCGTTCCTTGGCCCAACCCACCATGTCTATCCAGCCTGCAATGTCCTTTCTTTTCTTCGTCGTTCCTGTCGCCGCCATTGCGCTTTCTGTTGTCGCTGCTGCCCGATCATCTAATTTTCAAGACCCCTCCTCAAAGCGACGCGTTGTTTGGACGCTTCCAGTCTTTTTCACCCTCGCCATCCTCTCTACCGCTGCCGGGACACTTTTCTTTGTTCGTTTGCATGGAGATAACTTTTCTCTTGCTCTCGCAAACTCGGTCGTGGTTGCTGCTCTCTACATGGAATGTGAGACTACACTGCCTTTCTGCCCAACTTGCTGACAACTCGGCAACTACGTAGTGAGCTTTTGTGTCTTGTACCTGCTCAGTGTCATTACGACCCTGGCCGTTTTGCGACCGGTCAAGTTCCTGTTCTACTGCATCCTCATTACGGCAATTCTAATTTCTGGTGCGCTCACCTGTAATCTTCCTCTTCCGTGCATTCATTTTTGTTCAAGCTACCCTTGTCTATATCATCGAGTCTTTCCAAGTCATATGGCCCCTTCTTTCGCCCATCTTATACCTGGCTCTTACCATCTTGACGCTACCCGTAATAGGCTTCAGCTTCCTGTCGACCGTCGACCATCCACGAGTCTTTCTGGCACCTCAAATCCTTGTGTCATCGCCGTCATATCCGCGGTTGTCGATAGAGAAGCCTCGGCTGTCCTTCGTCGATGAAGGGCTCTCAACCGAAGAATCGTGTGTCGCTCCCGTCCATCCGCCACCTATAAAACGCGCCGCCGCCGTGTTCGTGTTGTGCGGCCAGACTTTTGCCATCATCCACTTTGGGTTGTCTATTGCCTTTGCGATCCTCGTTTCTGATCAGCCCCCTCCTCTTTTGGCCTCGGCACTACAAGAGACCGTTGGAGACATGAGGCAAGAAGCACTGGCATTCGAAATCGCCGGGACCGCCTTTTTGGTTCTTTGGATGATTTGTACAATGATGGCGTTCCTACCCTCCCGCTTGCGTCGACGACCAGCAAGTCTCGCGACAGTCTCGGAGGTGGCCGTTACAGCATTTACGGATGCCCATTTGCGGCGGCCACGTATCAAGCTCAAGTCGCTTGTTTCTCTCTCGGTTCAGAATTCGACTCCGCGCTCTTCTCCGTTTTCGACTCCCGCGCCAAACGCAATTCCAGACCCTCTCTGGCCAAAGATGCCGGCAATTAATGACTTGGACGAGTTGCAAGACCCGTTTGCGCTCAAATCTGAGCCGGTGGTGGTGTCGCTGCGGACGAGTCAACCCAACGGAAGTACTAATGGTCCTAGACAACCAAGGATGAGTGCATGGGGCACTTTACCCGTTACACCCCCGCCAACACTCCAAGTATATCGCGAAAATGTTGGCCGCCTTCCTTCTTTGCGGGCGCTTGGCCTCCGTCGTGCTGCTCCCTCCAGGGCCTCAGACACGGACGCAATAACACTTGCGTCTAAACGCACTGCCACTACAACTGGTAAATCCACCCCTGGCAGACGGAGAAGTATGTCCGTTTTCACGGGCTATACTTCGCCCTCTGAGTACAGCCAAGTCGGCGAGGGTGACGCTGGCTTTGATATGGAGGAAGCGTTGCTCGCCCAGAAGCTCCTTCAACGACTCGATGCTGCGAGCAATACCGGCAATGCAGGTCCTGGGACTGGGCGTTGGGCGAGGAGAGCTTAACTCGGCCGGTCGGGACTGGTTTTTCTTTTCTTGGGTTGGCTAACGACAACGACTTCTTGCTTGTACCACCACGTTTTCGGACACAAATACGACTAGAAATGTAATTTTATGGACCCGAATGGACGACGCGGCTTGCTCTTGTGAAGAGCCGGATAGAAAAATAGAAATGTTGGTCGGATGAGCCAGAAAACCACGTCGGGAGTATACCTGACAGAGGATGCTCGAGAAAAAGTTGACGCTGTGACATCATCGAAAAATTTACATCCGGATCTGATCGAAGGAAAATTGATAAGATAGGCAGTGTAGCTAAGATAAGATAACTAGAAGTACATACTGTACAACAACATTGACGACAAATGGAAGGCTAATTATTGACGTAGTTCTCTCTGCTTTCCGGATCAATTTCCCATGGAGTGGTTGGCTTTGGATTTGGAGCAAAGCTTATAGGGCCTCCAGTGGATGACGGCTGGAGGAATCGTATCGGCTGCGAAGCGACCGCCATAGTCGAGCTATCAATAAACGTGGATTCGTTGAGCGAGTTTCGTCTGCTAACCAGTAGCAGTACAATCGACGGGTAGGCGCCCTGCGGAACCGTCAGGAATTCGGCGACAGTCACAGAGATTGACCGTGACGCACAGCGATCTGGACGTTGACGGGCATATACAAGTCGCCCAGTGTGCCCTGTGGCAGTCGGATAACCGACCCCGCCAGGCCAATGAGCTGAATAACGATCAGACAAGCCTTCACAGTCATCTAGAAAGACTTCGACTGACCGCGAGAACACAGTAGAATGCACCAGTCTCTACGATCAGCACCAAAATGTGATTAGTCCGCCTCGATTCGCCTTTCCCTTGTGTGAACGCCCCGCTGATAAGCCGCCAATGCCGATACGCTGTTGCCGAGACGACCACGGTCGCGCTGAGATTGGAGAGCGTCGATGTGAAGAGGATCACGACTTGAATAACGTCAATTCCCAGCCCCAGAGGCGTGTTCTTGGCGATGTGGTCAATGGGGGAGATGGCAGTTCCTATGATGCGGAAAGCGATCCAAATGCCAACACCCACTGAGAGTGTTTCTCTTTAGTTATTCATTATTGAGCTGCGATGGACTGACTTGCGGTGCAAACGAGGAAGAATATCGATATCCACAGCCACTTGCGGTGGTTTCGTAGACAGATAACCCGAGCTCTCCAAACAACGACACCGTCGCTGATGACATACTAATCATAACCTGCTTCAGAGTCTTTCAAGTAATGCAACAAAAAACCTACGTTGATGGCAATAACAGAGTTGATGAGTGGCGACCACAATGTGACGGGGGTGTGATCTGACTGCCTCAGTCCCGGGTTCTTTGCCAAATCAACGAAGCCTTGCAGGCGGTCAACCCCGTCGGCGATCGAGTAAACCCAGAACAGCAAGGAAAGCAGATACATGAAGAGCGTGAGCCCGAACATGACCTGGTTCACGGTCGTTTTGAGCCGGCGTTCCCTGTTCAAAAATAGGTCAACCAGAGTACGATATGATAGCTTGGGTACGCACAGGAGCATCCGCGTCGAAAGCCAAATCAAAAGTGTATACCCGCCTATGTAAGAGAGCTTAGTCAAATTTCCTGATGCGATCAAGGCAAATGCACTCACCAAAAAAGAATGTTTGCACCGTCAAGCCGACCCAATAATAGACAATGTACTCCCCCGCTCCATCCAGCTGTCGTGCTTCTGCAGAAGTAACAAACCCCATTGCACAAAGAAAGAAGAAAAAAGAGAGGATCTGCCTCTAGATAACGTCGGGGTCGAAGAGAAAGAAAGCCCAGCCCGCTAAGAGAAGCAAAGGCCAAGGTCACTATATGTATGTCGGGCACGGAGACAACTTTCCACATCACGGCGGACAGCCCCAGCTGTCGAATTAATTTCGCTAATAGCCGCGATATGTGCGGCGTTCCGAAGTTCGACTCATAAAGCGCTGCGCGTCAGGTTTGCAAGTTTCATCCTTTGCATTCTAGCAAGTACAGATCAGCGCTAAGCTCAACAAAGAAATAGAAAAACAAGTAAAGGTACACAACTGCCTGGCGCAGGATCTACAAGCACAAAGGAAACTTCAAACCATGCTGTCGACAGCATGTGGTGGACGAGGTAAAGGTCTAGGGTATTTGGCCTTTTCATCCTCCGTCGACATATCAGATACCATTGAATCAGGGCGCGAGTCCGTGGCAAAATTGACAACATGTGGCGTGACTGCGTTGTTTGTGGCCAAGCTTCGTGAACCAGGGGCAGCGAAATAAATCGGGCGAGAAGGTGCAGTGCTGGAAAAAACACCAGTTGAGCTGGAGTCTCCCCCGAATGTCGAATCGTTGAGCGATCGTTCGGTGCTGACCAACAGTAGTACAATCGAAGGATAGGCTCCCTGCATGTGCGTAGGTCAGCAGCGGGAGCTTAGTGGAAGCATAGACTGACCGCAATTTGAACATTTACGGGCGTGTATATGTCCCCCAGTGTGCCATGTGGCAAACGGACCACAGTGGCGACAAGGTTGATCAACTGGAAAGAGTGCCAAGTTAGAAAGGACATGGCTTCAGAGACTACTGCTCACGGCGGAAATGCAATAGAGTACACCCGACTCGACGACCAACAGAAGAATTCGATTGGTCCTGGTAGAGTTTGTCTTGGTGCTTGACAGGGCAGACCGGATGCTCTTCCAATGGCCCCATGCGGTTGCAGATACGACAGCAGTGGCCGCAAGATTGGAAGACAACGAGGTGAATGTCGTCAGAACTTGGAGAATATCGATTCCGCGTCCAATGCCTATGTTGGTCGGAATATTGTCAATGGGGGAGATGGCTGTGCCCGCAATACGGAATGAGATTATGAGAAGCACTTGAACAGAAGTCGCGACTAGGAAGAAGACTGTGATCCAGAGGTATTTGCGGTGGCTCCGAAGACAAATGATCCACGCTCGCCAAACGACTACTCCGTCGCTGATAACATACTGCAGCGCAAAATCAGTATTACCAACACAGTCAATGGAGACAACAAACATTCAAGAGCATGAAAGAGTTGAACAGTGGAGACCACATCGTGACCAGTGTGTGCGCGGGTTGAATCTTGCTCGGATTCTTGCCAAGACTGGTAAGGCCTTGAATCCGATCCACAACGTCAGCCACCGAATACACCCAATACCCGGCGGTCATGAGGTACATGAAAACCGTTAATCCAAACATAACACGGTTAACGCGGGTGTTCAGCTTTCGTTCTCTGCAGTAGATAAGCTAGGAGGTAGGAGGAAAGAAAGTTGGCATACAACAGCATACGAGTTGAGAGGAATATCAACAGGGTGTAAACGCCTACAGTAAGATTCGAACCAAATCGCAGCAAAAAAAAACAACACACACCGAAGAAGAGTGTCTGGAGTAGCACCCCAACCGAGAAATAGATTGTAGCCTCGCCGGCACGATCCAGCTTTGACGTCAGCGACTGCACCATTGTCGAAAGAGAAGAACTGAAAGAATAACAGGCACGCCGCTCGCTAGGAGGGCTAGAAAGAAAGGAAGAAGATGGAGGTTCGGGGGCAAGGAGAACGACGTCCAAACATCACCGAAGTCTTTGCTCTAGAGTCATCAAGGACAACAAACTCTATTCGGTTTGAGTCCTGACATCACTGATTTGCGGTGGTCGTGCAGACCAAGGCGCCGAAGGTTTTGAATGCAAGCACAGCAACAAATACTCATTGGTACTCATCGCTTGCTCATTGCTCACATTTCGTCGTTAGGGTTCATGGGCGGAGGTGGCAAAGTGTGAATCCCGACATGGGCACAGCCATGTCGATCCTGATGATCTTCAACGGAACCTGAATTTTTCTCGTCCAAGTCCAACCCACAACTCTTCCAATATTTCATGGCAGTCATATTCAACTAATCGTAAGTAGGCTGTACGTAAATAGAACTAGTAATGTGCGACGATAGTAGTACAAATGCAGTCTAATTTTACAGTGTCCAAGTAGTGTCAATGAATGGGTGTAAAAGTTCCTGGCTAGGTCCGTGCGCCAAAGAGAAAGTGTCCAATGTTCACAAGGCTAGAGTAAATAGAGTCTGTCCCACAGCTATGCATCCCACCAGAGCTCTAAGAAAGTCGAATCGTGAGTAAGCAGCGTTCCGCTGGCCCGATTGAGCATTCGAGCCAGAACGCTGTGACGAGTCAACAAACAGAGGTGCAGGAAGATCTCCAATAGGCAATGTCGTTTGGTTACCGATCCGGCCAGAGCCGATCATGACTTGTAGTCCCATTGAGGGCACTCCATTCACAACCACGAAAATCAGAGCGGGACCGGGAGCTAGGATGGCTGGATTTGGCGGCAGCTGTGAGACATGTAACACTGCAGTGTTATTTTCGCCGTATGCGGTCCAAGTAGAGTCTAACTGGAGGTACCGTTGGCCCATATTCTATGCAAACGGTCAGTTGAAACTGAACGTAAGATGGAAAGAGAATATAGACCATCGCATGTGTGGCAAATCCAGTGCGAATGATCACCACTGTTGCATTTTCGGCGTTGTGCGCATCTCCACTCAGATCTTCGCTCGACAGATGGACATCGAACGAGTTTCCGCCATAGGTGAGCTGGGACAAGAGCCCAATCGGCTGGGGTCGACGCTTGTTGTAATAGCTCGGATAGAAGACTTCTGTTCGGTATTCCGTTGGGTACTTGATCTTGGGGCCAACGTTGTAATCCGAGTTTGGGTTCGAGCCTGACACCAAAACAGACCCATCAGGGAGCAATGTGGCGGATGAATGGTACATGCGCGGAATTGTGGAAGCACTGAGGCCATCTCGACTCCAACGGGAGCCTGGAGGAGCGGTCGAATTATAGATGGCTGGAGTCAACACAGGACCGTCCGCGTAACTCTGGCCCAAGGCCCAAGAGTCATTTCCGTAGCCTGCAGTGCCACGCAAACTTCCCCCGATCGCCAATACTCGAGAATCAGGCAGGAACACTAAACTACCCATGGATCGCCCCTCCAGCAACGGGTCATCTTTGGTGTATGCCTTGGAGACATCCGGGGTTATTCGCACGCAAGACTTGGAAGCAGGCTGTGAGATGATAGCCCAACTCGTAGACCAGTTGTCGATGTCCGAGCCACCACAAAAGAGAATCGTCGCCGTCCAATTGTTGTTGGGTGTGAGCGGCAACATGATACTGCCGGCACTGGCGGGGTAAGCACGAACTGCGTCAGGCATGTCGTCGAGAGGAGATTCCTTATGGGTCCGTGGGTCAAGCAAGATCGTCGCCCGGTTTGCTTGCATTAGCAGTTTTCCCGAAGGAAGCAGCCACGTGAGTGGGTATAGATTGATGGGAAGTTGTTCAGAGAGAAAGGGTGAGTAGATGGGATCGGCATTCGACGGGTAGAACTCATAGGTAGGATTGTCTTGTGCTCCGTCATTGACGTAGCCTCCATTGTTGCAACCACCGATCTGAAATCCATAAGGAGCCGTACTCCGGGGCGAAAATGCACTTACGATGATGGCGGATCCATCCGCTAGTGTTTCCCTGCGAGTTCAATAAAAAACTGCGAGACTGGGGTATGAAGTCACGCACACGGTTGGGTACCACCGCCTAGTGGTCATCGGAGTCTCCACAGTCCAATCGCAAGAGTCGTCATCGCATGGAACCAATGTGCTATTCGCAACAACATTAGATCGAGAATAGCGAGAGCACATTGACCAACCGTATTCTAGAGCGGGAAGAACGTCAGCGGACACTATGACTAGGAAAGCCATTGACACTCACGAGGTGCCGCCATCGGGGTCGTTATACGGGCCCTTGCCAGACGTCAACGTTGCCCCGCCGTATGTCACTGGCTGGTTTCCTCCAACATTGAGCCAGGTGCCGTTGCCGAGAACATTCCCTAAGAGAGCTTTAGTTGATCTTTCTTTTTGGAAAGGTAGCCGTCAATACCTCCTGCACAAAACGTGTTGGTGACGGCGTCCATAGCTCGTTGTTTGTTGGCTCCTAGTGCCCATTCTGCGTCGGGTGTCAAAATACAAGCAACTCGTGAAGATGGATGGACATACGAGAAGCCCATGCTGGATGCCCATTGATCTGAGTCGGATTGTTCTCCACCTTATCAAGCATGTACACCTTGTCTAGTGTGCCTAGGAACATCTGCAATAGAGAAGAAGAAAAAACGCGTCAGGAAGCACACAACCAAACATACTTGTATTTGAACGTACCTGTTGCGCGCTCACAAGCGACTTCCCAATGACCTTGAATCCCCCAATGACTCCAGTTGACGAAGGCTGAGGAAATGGTGAAAGGGTGACTGGACTCGCATTCTGGGCGAGAACAGCAGCGAGGCACGTGAGTGCAGTGAAGGCGGGTATTGTTCGCCGCATGGCGAGGGTATCGTGGGGGCGAGGTATCCGAAGGAGAGTGGGGGTTAAATAACAAGACGGAAGCGGGATGAGTTAAAGGACCGGAATAACACCCATCAAGGTTTTTGAAGAGGACGCGGACCATCAAAAATCCCCTAACCGTCGGCTTTTGCAGGACCTAGAACACGCTCTTGGCGTGGTGTACTCCAGCGCTGCCTCGTTTAATCTTGCGTTAATCATTGAGAGTCTTTAACCCTGCGAGAATGTCAAACGCCTCGTCACGACATGACTGCCAGCGCTGGGTAGATAGATGCCTGCTTCACTCGTGGTTGAGCGTCTATTCGAAATGGACCTCGTTTTGCTTGTATTCGGAACACTTGCCTGAAGGTGCGAGGTGTTGAGCATGACAATCTCGGGCAATCTTAGCCGCCTACCGAAGAGGTCGGAAAACGACTAGTCTCATCCTGTCTCAGTCGGTTTGTTAACTTGGAATTGGACTTCGAGCTCCTAGATGCCTCAAATAATGTCAGAACATCGGCCATTTAGTTCAGGACTAAGTACCTGCCAGTCTGAGGAGAATTTCCTATCCTAGCCATCCTATCCCGTTGGCTTCAAAGCGGACGGTGAGTCGAATGACAGGATTGAGCAGGATTGCGGGTCGTTGATTTTGTTGTTGTAAGATGCAGCCCTGCAGGAAGTCCGTGACCTAGCAACAATAACAGTATGTGGAATGATCAGGACAGGTGCTTTTCGGTCTTTTGAGACTTCTAGGGGAGCGCTCGGTGGAATATTGTGCTCGAAAGCGAAAAGAGACGATTGTCGTTCATTTTCAGGTGAAGCCAAGGTGAAGCCTTGAAGGACACGTTGCACAGCTTTACGCAGATCATTGATCGTAGATCAAGGTGTGTCATCGTAAACTGAGGCAACCCGAGCAGCCCTACATGCGTTGTAGAACTTGCTTCTAACCTCCACCTACTCTCTCTTTAATTCCTTCTCCCCCCTCTGCGAGGGTCTTTTTTCTTTCTCTTTTTTTCTCTCCATGCCCTCCATTCCGCTGGGTAAAACTCTGATCTACTATGTCTGTGGTTTCGCTGTCGAATCGGTCGTTTTTGGTGAGTGATATTTGTGCAATTCTCACCTCCTACTAACAATGAGCGCTCAAGGAATGTACTCTGTCGTAGCACTCCTCTCGACACGGATGTTACTGTGCGTGAATTCGTCCATAAGCGTCATCAATAACTAACCAAAATAACTCAGGAAACGAGGGTTAAAAACGAAAGCCAACAAAAACTTGTTTGCCATAACGCTATTCATGTACATCCTGTCGACGCTCTTCTGGCTCTACGGATTTGTAAACACGGCCTCAAGAGTGACTGCTTTCGTAGACCACCCACAAGATCCAGCGCCTCGTATTCCTGGCACCCGTTTCTTCGTCCTGTCCAACGCGGTTATCCTAATCAACGTGAGCCAGCATCATGCTTTGAACAACATCCAATCTGCTCTTAGTTTGCTCTTTCTGACGCCCTGGTTATTTGGCGCGCACGCTTAATATGCGCTTCAGAACATCGCAAATACATGATCTTACCAAGTTGCTTCGTGGTACTCACCTCCCGTATGGCTCGGAATCCTTTTCCTATATTCCTTGTCAATAATTCTGCTTCAGTATCAATCGCGGCCTTGATTAGCTTGCGCATCGCCGGACTATGGTCGGTTTCCCTGACCAAACACCCCGCATTCGTCAAGGTCATCGACATACTGCAAATCAACGGGATGTTCCTCAGCCTCCTCTCAAATCTCACAACCACCGGCGTCGTCGGAGTCACGGCTTGGCAACATCGAGAAACCATCCGCACCGGATTCAAAAAGACAACACAAGGCAACCGCATTTTGAAGCTTCTTCTCGAGTCCGGAGTTGTTTACTGCGTGATGGGCGTTTTAGGGCTGGTCGCTTCACTGACCCGTTTACCCTACAACACCCTCGGAGACCTCTTCATCCCGATAAGCGTGCTGCTTGCCAGCGCCTACACTCCCACTATACTCTTAATGGTCAACTCCCAGCGCTCACTTAGTGAGGCCACGTTCTTGGGTAGCATCGATCTCTCTGATGACTGTCCACCTCAAACGCATGCCACAGCCACTAGCTTTATCGCAGGCGCTTCTTCACTGCCATGGCTAGCAGTTGACCACGCCGAGCCAAAGCTAGCTCTTTCTCAAGGGGAGCTGGCCAGGGACTCGGATTCCGTTATGTCCGGAACGACAATACTGGATGAAGAAGAGAGAGGACATCGACACAAGATCTCCAACGCAACCCTCGTCTAAAAAGCGGAGATTTCCGTGTACCCATGGACCTTTAGGGACGAATGTATTACCAGCCCAAGTGCGATAAATAACAGGAAGAATTGAATTGTCAAAGGTAAAGGAACTCCTCTGGCGAAAGATGCCCTTGCCAACGGAGTTTTTCGACACGGAGCTGGAGGCGGGATGACACAACAGAGCACATTGCCCATAAAATACTGGTCGGAGCATGAGCGAAGCGTAATGCGACCGAGTAAACATACGTGAACGCCGCAAAACAATAAGTCGCCTAAAAAAACCTACTGTCAACGACGGCTTTGAAGGGGAAGTCGATACCCACATTGCCTGCTAAAGCAACGACAAAGTTGGCGACACGTAATACTGGAATTGCACAAGTCAGCGTTTGGTAGTCAGACGTGAATGGCATGCACATAATAAACACTAGAAAAAAGATCAAGTTAAGCAGCGAAATTGGTAGTCACACACCACAAACATCCTGACGCCGTCGCGATGCAGCGTCCTGATAACATCTGAATGCGTCTTGTGAGGTCGTTCCAGGGCATTATATGCCGCCATCAGGACCGCGAACAAGTCGAAGGCAACCCAGATACCAAGCACGACGGGAAGAGACCAGGGTTTGACGGTAAGGGTGCACATCCGAAGTAGGGGGTTGTAAACTCCTGCTCCCGCTATATAGTGGTTCAAAATGAGACGGGATGAGTTAAATCTAGATCATACTTTGCACTTCTTTGGCGGATGTCACTGCGAAAGCAAGCCCAGTCGCCATTACGACTAGAAAGACACTGAGAAGGATCCGTTTGACCTTGGGTCGGTCGTCCCAGATGACGTATATGCGCATTGCGAGGACGACTACTCGATTTTCAGTTAAAATTGCGAGTCGGAGAGGGCAACTGACAGTTGGACAGCGTTGTGAAGAGTGTCGTTACGATGGCGAACACATAGAGGAAGTGCCGACACCTTCACGAGAGTTTGAATGGAGACAAAAGGAGCGTGAGCATGCTCACGCCTGATCAACAAATTAGATACATATGTACCAAGAACGTGAAGTTCTCACATTATTGTCAATATTGAGGGCACCACCGCTAATCACTGAAAAAGTTTCAGCCAAGAGCAGTAAAAGAGCAAGCAGCAGCAGACTGAGACTCACTATACGCAGTGTAAATCGAGACACCTTCTGGCAGGTAGCGATTGAAAAAGAATATAGAGCGATACCCCAAGCCAGCTGCCGAACTCTGCCAAAACAGCACAATTTCGTCTCCTAGAGTCAGGAGATGATCGTACAGAAGGACAGCGACGCCAACGGCTTCAAGAAAGTGTTCCAGTTATGAAGAGCGGAGGTTTGCAGGACTTACCAGAGATGTACCGGGTCGCAAACACGGCAGTCGACATTGCTGTGGGTAGACGCAAGGTGCCTTTGTTGAGTGCAAGTATATACCATGTTGCGAGTCGCCTATTCTCAGCGCGAAGCGATCAAGAATCGCTCAGTCCTCGTCCACGTTTGAGACATCACTGTTGCGAGCAGTCTCGAGAACGTATACCCAAGATTGACAGGGAAGAGTATTAAATGGCACAAGCGAGAGGATTTTGGGCTATCGCCGGAGTTGAGGTGTCCGGAGAGCCAGAAATATTCATGGCGGTATCATCTGTTGACTCAAGTAAGTGGTGGTAGGTGGTGAACTAGGTTGCCGATCTTTTGATCCCGACCACCATCAAGCCCAACACACAGAGTGCGGCGTTGGCGATTGGCAGGCCTACATAATATGCGCATGACCAGTCGCAGAAATGTTCGCCACTCCCATTCAACTGCTTTACACATTCCCCTTCTCACCAACCGCGCGTATCCTCTTGGAAAGAACCTTGTCGACCCAAGGTCTTGACTTCGCTGGCCTCTACGACCCTGCTTTCGATGGCCTTTCTCCGTCTGATCTATTTCGGCGACGCGATTTAACGTTTGGTCATAACTTTGCCCTTGTCGCTGATGAGCGGACTCTGAAGGAGCTGGATTCACATCTACCGCCTACGCTGTCTGTTCTATCAGTTCGCAGTAGGACCCCCATCGATGAATGGGGAGACTACACTGGGCCTGACCTGAATCCGTTATCATGGAGTGTGCGACTGGCGCTTCTTCGTTCTATGGTCAAAGAGCGGCTCACCCTCGACTCAAAAGAGCATCCAGACTCGGACTCCTTCTGGGAAAATCCAAAGCCCCCTCACAGGTGTCTTATTCTTCATTCTCTAATGACTCGACCCTTACTCCCCGCGCTATAGATATGACGAAAAGATCTACCAAATCAAATGGCTACGGGCAAACATCTCTGGGGCCATCCAGGCCTGTCAAGCCTACGCAGATGCTGATAATCAATATCCTGCAAAGGACAAGAACGCGCTTTATACCGAGGTAAGTTGTTGGTCTAGCATTATGTGTCCAAGCGCTAAGGCCGCATTTCCAGTTCAAACTCCAAGCAGACAAGACGGGAGGTGTCTTCATCGGGCTGCAACTGTAACTTATCCCATTCTGTATCATTCTCGTACATTAATTCTACTCTACCACTTAACGGGTCCCGACTTGTCAAAGAAAACTCCACTCTCGCCGCCTTTCTGAAGGGCATTTTGAACGATGATCTTTGCTCCTTCGGACGGCGGCATCGTTCCAGTATAGTTGTTAAGGTTCGTTGCGTTGAAGCCTAACTCCATATTAGCCAAACGAGTTCAAGAAAAACAGGGTTGTTCTCACCGGGGCAAATCGAAACGACCCGAATATCAGTTCCCTTCTGTTCTTCTTCAATCGCCCAACTCAGAGTGAGGTGGTTGAGCGCGGATTTACTTGAGGCATATGCGGAGTAGATCGGAGGTGGTGGGCGCTGGGTGTACCACGCGAGGGAGCCGAGGGTCGAGGAAATATTGAGTATCGAGCCGCCCTTGTTGAGAAGTGGACGAAGTGCGTTGGTCAATGCAGCAGTGCCGATGACATTGACAGCATAGACGTCATGGAAAGAGTCAGTGCCGAGGGCAGCACTGTCCCATATCAGAGCGTTGTCGAAAGTAGTAACAAACAACGCACTTGTTCACGAGAACATCCAGTCCAATCAGCTGCTTCTCTTTCAAAGTTTTCTCGACCGTCGCGGCAGCATTCTTGATCGACTCTTCGTCCGTGAGATCGAGTTGCACCGGAACGACAGACGACGAAGGGTGGATTTCAGAAGCGAACTTGGCGATAGCTTCAGTCGCATTCGCTAGCTTGCGGGAGCCTTGCGATAGATCAATGCGCGAACTTGAGAATAAACAAGCAACTTGCCTATGAAAACAAGAGTGTTTTCTGCCTGTGCGAGCTGGTGAACGGTGTGGAACCCCAGACCCTGTTGCGCGGTCAATTCATTGTTATCCTGCTCAGGTACGCGAGGTCTACGGACTTGGTTTGCGCCAGTAACGAGGATGCTACGAGTAGAGGACATTCTGAGCCGTTTGTAGGAGTGAGTTGGTTGTTGTCGACACCCAGTCTTTCAATTTAAAGGGTGGAGAGCGAGACATGTCAGCAAGATTTCCTGACACATACGCGTCGTCTCACTAAGCAGGCGATGTCAGCCAACGATTGGTGAATATTGAATACTTCACTAACAAACAGTGCAGAAACATCATCTGAAGATTGGGATAGTGTGGTGAAAAGTTGACAAACTGGGCGTTCTTCGAATTCCCTTGATGCCAGTTGGTCGAGGAAAGTTGAGGGTTCCCAACTCCCATTGAATGGGTTACAGCATAGGACGCTGCAGACGTTTGTCCTTTGCACCTCCACACCGACAACGCTGTTCGGGTCGGAGTGCGTCCCGAGTGATGACGTGACGCTGTAGACACCACGATCACCTGATTGCCAATCATTGTTGATCCTCCGCCCACTCCATGTTGTGCCAACAATAGAAACACTTTCTCGCACAACAACCATGTCTCTCAAGGGAAGGCTAGCGCTTATAACAGGCTGCTCGTGCGTCCTTCTCCGAAAAGACTATCTAGATTCAAAGGAGTACTAGTGGCGGCATTGGCAAGGCAACTGCAATGGCCCTCGCAGCCCAAGGCTGCTCCATCGCAGTTCACTACAATTCCGCCAAAGAAGTTGCCGATAAACTGGTCATCGACCTCACCAAGAACTTTGAGATACGCTCTCAAGCCTTCCAAGCCGACATGTCCTCCCCCGAGAGCGTTCGTGTCCTCTACGCAGATGTTATCGTGTCCCTGGGCCATCCTGACATACTATTCAACAACGCGGGAACGACCGGGAAGGTTGTTGGAAAGTGGGGAAACATCGAAGATGTCACTCTCCAAGACTTCGAGACGACATGGAATATCAACACTGGCTCAAGTTTCCTTGTCAGTTTGACAATGTCGCGTTCGTTTGCTGATCTTTCCGAAGCTCACACAACTATGTCTCCCTCATATGGTCTCACAGAAATATGGACGCGTTGTCTTTTGCTCTAGGTACATAAGCTTTATTGAGTCAATCCGTTGCTTACCATCCTTTAGTGTCGCTGCAGGCATGTGAATGCTGGAGCTACTTCTAAATTGACTCTCAGGTATTACCTGTAGGTATTGGTGGAGTCATCGGCCCTCATTATGCCTCCTCCAAATCTGCCCTCCACGGTCTCGTTCACTGGATTGCTGTGCGCTATGCTAAGGACGGAATCGTACGCGGTCCAGCTCTTGCTCTCGACGTGATTCTCAGTAGGGCCAACAGACGTGTAACGCCGTTGCACCCGCTCTCATTGAAGGTCGCCCGAAATTTGTTCTCTTCGAAAGCTAACATTCTCAGATACAACAATGATGGCGAATGTTACTGATGAAGTCCGGGTACTTGTTCCAAGAGTATTACCCGTAGCCTGATCTTACCAACTGGTAGAAGTCAATCCCCATTGGCAGAATGGGTAAACCCGACGAGGTGGCCAGTATTGTCGAGTCACTCATAACGAACGGATACCTGACGAATAAGGTCCGGTCTTCTTGTTCTACCATTCTACCACTGACGTCCATCAGATTATGGTTGTGGACGGGGGAATGACACCCAGTGCATTTTGAAGTTGGAAAGACTTTCGGAAAAGTGTAAGATCAAGGTGACTTGTACGCATAATGAACCATATTTTTACGAGAAAGCTTCTGCTCCAGCTCATCCATGAACTCGTCAGGATCGTCGTCATACCAGACTGGGCAATCCGTGCCGAAAGTAAGGGATGTTTGTGTTTGGCCTCCTGTGATACAAATCTCGGGTGTGCAACCTGATCTCGTGAGGAAATCTTTGATTGCGTTGAAAGGACTTGGTCGTATCGCCAGCTCGCAGACGCGTAATTTTTTGAGCGCAGGAAGACGTAGAAACCAGATATAATCGGTCACGAGATCGCCCTCAGTGTCATTGGCAGAAAAACGGCTGATGGTCAGCGACTGCAGGGCTGGTACCGTTAGTGTCGGATGGTTGTCTGGTACCGATCCACCAGAAAGCACAAGGTGACAGTAGAGCAATTGAGGCGTACGTTGGAGGATGCTGGTGCAAATATCGAATGGTTGAAGCACGAGAGTGAGTGCGGTGAGCTGGGCCCAAGGAAGAAGGCTTTCGGGGATGCCGGAAAAAGGGTACCACATTGTCACCGCTCGAAGAAGCGGCGCGTTGGCAGCAGTGAGTGCCAGTCCACCCAGTCCGAGGGTGTGGTCAAAAAGCTCCAGGTATCTAAGTTGCGGCAAAGAACCGCTGAGCAGTGACATGATGACCGTAGAATCATATCGAGCTCGAATATGTTCCAATCTGTTCATATGAACGACAGAAGGGCGGATGAAGTCGGCAGGGACAGTGGCCCCGAACTCGACCGAAATCGGCAAGTCGCGGGAGCGCTGAAACCAAATACTGAGAACAGCCTCGTCAGAGAGACGAGAGGCATCGATAGCCCGCCAAAGACGAGGAAGCACGAGTACTATATCCCTCCAATGGCGACAGACCAGCAGCAAAGTTGTCGGGTTGAAGTTTGGGCAGAAAGGGTAATCAGACGCCAGCTGAAGGAATATCTCCTCAATGATTTCAGGTGGCAGCGAGTTGAAGGGGTAAGAGTACATGTCAAGCCGTCTCCTCACTCCAGCTTCAAGCTGCTGTAGCTGCTGATGTTCAGCTTCGAGTTCTAAAATTTGTTCTTCGAAATGTTTAATTATGAGACGACACTCTGCACGATCTGCCGCAGATGTATGCTAGGCAGACAAATGTTAGGGAAGAAGATGGCGATTCTGACTCGTACATCCGGGTCTGGGAATTCAGGCATTATGGTGGTAGAGTGTCAATGATGGCATTGATTTAGTCACATTAGCCCATGTCCAAAATAATATCCGCAATCCTCTGCCTTGCCCTGGCCTGCTCGTCCTCCTCTATCCAACCCTCTGTGCCTACATGTGACTCGTCAAACCAAACATACGTTCCCAGCTCTCGTTCGTAGATTTCCTTGGCTCCAGACCTGCCGCCTGTGATACATACTTCTTCCAACTTGCATCCCGACCGCTCGACAAGCGCCTTTAACGCGGCCACGGGATTCGGGCGTATCATGATATCACAGACCCGAATCTTACGGAGAGCAGGGAGGACAAGCGTGCTGATGTAGTGTGTGGTCTCCGACTGCTCGTCCGGATCAGAGCCATAACGCGCAAAAACCAGAGATTGTAGATCTGGAAGAAGAATGTTACTCTCAGGCCCTTCGGGCGAAGAGCTGGACATAATGAGCTCAAAATGAATGAGTTGTTTTGTGTGCTGCAAAATTTCGTTGCAATTCGACACGTGGGGATAGAGAAGGATGAGGGCGGTAAGTTGAGACCAGGGGAAAAACGTCGCAGTCCCTTCAAAATGAGATGGCATCCAAAAGTCCCATAGAATCACTGCGCGCAAGCGGGGTACATCTCTTGGTAGGAAAGAGACGTCGATGCCCTGGCTCGAAGGTAAATATGAGTCCGTATTGAGCTCAAGGGACCGGAGCAGGGGTGTGGTATCTTTCAATCCCGGATATTTCGCCATATCGAGCTGGAAGCGAACAAATTCCCAGCGTTCCTTGTGAGCAAAGAGGGCCTTCATCGTATCCTCTTCAATGTGGGTAAAGGAATCGGCGTCAATGGAAAGTGGCATCGATTTGGAGTGCTGCAGCCATAAAGAGACGAGGGAAAGTTGCGAAACATATCTGGAGTTGATGGAGCCGATATCCATTGCGCGCCAGAGTTGAGGAGTAGACAAGGCAATGTCCCTCCACCGCCGGCAAACTAGCATGAATTTGGCTGGGGACTTTCTCCCAACCATTTCAGCGCAGAAAGGATATGTCGGGAGGCAGTTAGTGAAGATGGATGCCATAAGTTCGGGCGGGAGCTGGTGGAAGGGGAATGGGCTGGCAGCATCGAGAGTTTGCGAAATTTCTCTTGTTTTATCCCGTAGCTTCTGGATTAGTTGTGTAATGCTGGCCTGTTGCTGATGAATCTCCGCAATAAGTGCGCGGTCTTCAGCTCGAGAGGAAGGTGTCGAGTTTGCATTGTTCAAGTTGGAAGTCATAGTAGTTTTTCAAAAGCCGCGGCGTGGTCACGTGTGTTTATGAGTTCTGCACCATACGGAACATGGACCTCCCCGATTTCGGCGGCAAACCTCGCAAAAGCCGTAAGAACTGGGCAACGAGCTGACCATTCGCTTATGCACCAACTAGTCTGTTCGTTTGGGTGATGTTGTGGTTGACTCTGTTGCCGGAAAAGTGTATCACATCGAAAGCAGGCCATCTGAAGGTGGACGATGTGTGTTGGTGGATTCTGATGCCTCCAAGGACGTGGTTGGGAAAGATTTGAATGTCAGGACGGGAGTCCATGAATACGGTGGCGCTGCAGCTGTTGTCTCGGCTGGCGTGGCCTACTTTTCCAACATAATCGATGGGAGGGTGTACAAGGTCAAAAATGGTGACTCTAACGCCATCGCCGTCACCCCAGGTGAGCCGTTCTCCTACTACTTGTTCAATATCACCATCCGATCTTACTTCAGAGAGCACAATTTATCGCTACGCCGACTTCGACATCCACCCTACCAACTCAGACATCATCGTCTCAATTCTTGAAGACCACACAGACTCCACTACGCCTGCTAGCGTCCTTAATAAACTGTGCATAATTAATACGAAAACTCAAGCAGTCTCCATCCTCGTCACCGGGGCCGATTTCTATGCTTCACCACGGTTTTCTCCCGACGGTTCCCGAGTCGTTTGGCAACAGTGGTCGCTTCCCTACATGCCATGGTTCGGACATTGAATATTCGCGGTGGCGATATACTGAACAGGACCCAGGCAGAGCGCGGAAATCCATCTTGCCGACTTTTCGGTGGACACTTGCCAGGTGACCAACTCGAAACGCATTGCTGGCGACGGGGCCAACAATAGTGTAACCTATCCCGCCTGGGCTACCGCATCCACGCTTCTATTTACATCAGACGTCTCTGGCTACCAGAATCCCTGGAAATACGACGTCAAAACGCACAAGGCGACTGCCCTGTTGTCTTCTCCCATTCCCGAAGATTTCGGACAGCCTGGGTGGATGCTGGGGCAATCTCCATTCGCGGTTATCGACAACGGCGCACAAGCGCTCTTCTCTGCATTCCGTGGCGGGCGGGCAATACTATACCTGATCGATTGTCTTACAGGCAGCCATTCAGAACTCGCCAACCCTTACGTCGGTATTCAGGCCATTCATGCAGTCGACAAGCAGAGTGTTACTTTCATCGGCGAACGTGTGGATAGCCCACCCGAACTTGTTATCTGTTCAATCAATCCACTCAAGTTTTCAGTTGTGTCGCCAACTTCTGTCTCTGCGCCATCATTTCCTAAAGCTCTCTATTCTGTTGCTCAGCCAATCACACTCAAAGCTGGTCCCGACTTGCATCCAGTCCATGTTGTTTATTTTCCACCTACAAATCCGGATTATGTTGGCACGAGTATTTCTGATGAACGACCTCCTTGTGTTGTCTACGCACACGGTGGCCCGACGTCCTTCGCTGGTCACGCGCTCGATATGACAACACAGTATTACACGTCCCGAGGATGGGCATGGTAGGTGATTTGTGCGTCAAAATATTGTTCTCATCCCACATCAGGCTTAACGTCAATTTTGGTGGTTCGTCTGGGTATGGCCGAGGTTACATCGAACGCCTTGCAACAAACTGGGGCATTGTTGACATAGAAGACTGCATTCAGGCTGCCAAAATCCTCTCGCAGCCACCCTACTCCCTCATCGACCCGAAACGGACCATCATCCGTGGTGGCTCCTCGGGTGGATTCACCGCGCTTGGGGCCATAAGCATGGGGTCCGACTTGACCACATTTGCCGCTGCAACCTCAAGCTATGGTATCTCTGATTTGCGGAAGCTGCTCGAGGACACACACAAGTTCGAGTCGGGGTATCCGCTGGGGCTACTTGGTGGAGATAATAAGCAAGTTCCTGAGGTTTACAAAGGCAGATCGCCGGTGACGCACGCAGACAAGATCGTCGCTCCGCTCCTGGTAGGATTTTTTTTTCCAGAAAAAGATATGATGGCATCTAACCATTCGACAGATCCTGCAAGGGGAGATTGACAGAGTCGTGCCAAAGGAGCAGGCAGAAATTATATCAAAGAGCATTGAGCAGCGCGGGGGAGTTGTCGAATACAAACTCTATCCAGGCGAAGGCCATGGTTTCAGGAAAGAAGAGACCATCATCGACGCACTCGAACGAGAGCTTGCATTCTATGATAAGCATGTTCTTGGAATCCACGAATAATTTACTGGGGCAACCGACAGGCTACAACAGAAAAGAATGTGGTATAAAGAGGGTATAGGTAACAACAAAAGACGGGTTTTTATTGATAACGGTGGACAGGAGACGACAGGCTGGCGTCGTCGCGTTTTTCGGGCTCTGGCGTGACTGTGTCAGTGCGACCATCGGCACCAACGATGACATTGTCTTGACGGTTCTCCATTTCGAAGTTGTCGTCGTTTGCCCGACCAAGAGCTTTGCGGCTGTGCAAATCAAGTTCAGCATCAAGAGATCAGAATGCAGCCAAATAAATAACGCACATCCAGTACGGCGTCATATGCGAGGGAATGACCCACTCTTCGCGCAGGTGCATGTTGGGTGGGGCAATGCGGTCTCCGCTAAGCTTCATTAAGAGCCATGGGACGCCATTGAGGACAAGATATGATCCAGCGCCGGCGATAAGACCGTAGGCGATGCTGCGTTTTGGTTCAGTTTTGTGGTAAAAAAAAAAAAATGCGTACTTATAGGTCAGAGGAATCATGATGAGGGTGGCGAACGCGGGGAGGGCGTCACCCATGTAGTCCCAGTTGATCTCCCGGACGCTAAGCAAACAGTCAGACTTGGATAGAAACAACAGGCGCATTCAGACGTACTTCCGAGCCATCAATGAACCGACGATTACGAGGGCACCTCCAGTAGCCCATGGTGGTATCGAGGCGAAGATGGGCGCGAAGAAGACCGAGATGAAGAAGCACAAGCCAGTGACCATCGCGGTGATGCCTACGCACAATAAACATTTTTGGCGTCGGAGATGAACAGAACACTGACCGGTTTTACCGCCCTCAGATATACCCGTGGCTGACTCGATGAAGGCAGTGACGGGGGAGGTGCCCATGAGAGCACCCATGCTGATCGAGAAGGCATCGACACAGTATGCAACAGTGGAGTTCTCAAAGTCAAGCGTGACGGGATCGCGCAGGTTGGCGAATTTGGCCATCGAGTACAGGGTTCCAGTGGTATCTGAAGTGGATTGATCAAAACAAAAGACAGAGGGCAAAGAAGAGACTTACCAAGAATGTCCACATACATGAAGGTGATCAAAGCATACCACACGTGACCGTTGCCATAATGATACTACTCCAGGATGAGTATCGGAAATCTGAAGGCGTGAACGACACTGACATCGATGACATTGAGGATACGCTGGATGGGATGGAAGGTGACGACCTGCTTGAAGTAGTCGAACATCTGGTCGCCAAGGGGCGTATGCGGGAAGTACGTGACCGCTGTTGGCCGCGGCCACGAGATGATGGAGGTCAGGAAAATGCCGATGAGGATCGCACCGCGCACGCGATAGAGCATGAGCAGGACAGTGAATAACCCTCCGACGAATATGCCCAACCACATTGTGGGACTTCGCAAGACACCTCCAACGCAGTAGCCGGGGAGTCCTTCCATTTGTTTGTCAGGCAGACAGCCACCAAGGCCGACGAAGTTGACGACGTCTCCGCCAATGACACCAAGACCGCCAGATGCTGTGGAATAGGTTAGTAATGACGGAAAGGCATCTCGGGTGACGCACAAAGACCAATGAAACTGTTCAATAGCTTCAGTTGGACGTAAACAGATGTGTCGTGGAGACATACGCGATGAACAGACCAATACCAGCACCAACTGCTAGGATCAAAGATTGAGGGATGAGTCGCACGAGCCACTGTCGAAGGCCGAATAGCGAGAGTATGAAGAAGATCCATCTGTGTTTGTCAAAGCACGTCGTTACGAAGAATCGTGGAGCACGTACCCTTCCAAGAAGACAGCCGCCAGTGCTTCACGATAAGAGATCAAGCCTGACCCATGGAATCCGACGATGGAGTAGGTGAACTGTTGGGAGAGAAGAAATGTCATGATCAGCTTTGCGCTTGTGACCGCTTAATAGTAAGACCGCATACATAGGCATTCAATCCTGCGACGTCAATTCAGTACTTTTACAGCCGGAGTGAATCAGCCCGCACCGAGACCCGGAGCCATTCCAACAGGCAGGTTAGCGAGCGCACCCATTAGGAAACTGGAGAGCGCAGAAATTGCTGCTGTTGTGGTGATCAAGTCATTCCGGACTTCGTTCACGCAAATATCGTAGGCGGGATTGGAGCCAGGCGGGCAGAAATCAGGCGTCGGGCATTCGCAAGTCCCTCCAGAGTCGGAAAGGATGGCCGCGTTGACGGAAATAATATAGGCCATTGCCGCCTGCATTTCGGTTCAGCCAGAGCGAATATAACTTGCATATGAACGCACCCAAGTCGTCACTCCAGCGCGGATTTCGGTGGTGAAGCTGCGCTCGATAAGCTCAGGACATAATAGAGGCAACTGGCCACAACACACCGAGACCCTTCCCGTTCCCTTGGATGACCACTTCCCTCCAGCCTGAACCACCGGCCAACGAACGAGTCGGCAACCTGTGGGCGGTGAGCCTGAGTGTGCACAGAGCAAACGGGTGCTAACATGAGCGTTGAGCAGGTCAAGAACGTGGACCATGGCGACCCAAGGCGTTTTTTTCCTGCTGTTGTGAGAGAGCAGGAAAGAAGAAGCACAAGCGCCGGCTTTTTACGCGAGGATTTTATCAAGTCCGGGTTATCAACAAAAATGTTGCTTGGCGATAGAGATCGATAGGCAGTGATGAGAATTACCAAAAAAAGGCAGGCAGGCGTATCAGTTCGATGGCCAAGGCCCAAGAGCTCCACTGCGCAGTGTGGCACTCGTTAAGGCTGTCACCAATGAGTATTGGAGAAAATGACTGCAGTTCTCTGCGATCCTGTCAAACATTTATTGAAGTTTTTTTTTCGTTTGTTTTGTCGCCGCGGACCGAGAGAATTCTGCCACGCCAGGGACTGGCATCTGTGATTTGCTGGAAGATTTCCTATCGGCAAGCTACCTATCGGTCCAAAACAAGCCTAAAAAGTGTCAAAATTCAAGATAACGAAGGATCCAAGGTATCGGAAACCATCGTCAAATACCAGATCTGGATTCTGGAACTGCGAACATGAACGGGAGGAGGATGGATGAGCACACGAAACTCCGACAAACAGTGGCAACACGAGGGAGGATTCATTGGCCTGATAATGTGGCGTTATTAAGTCTGTCGCCTTTAGATTCTGTAAGTAATAAAAGCTAAGTAACAAGGGGTGAAAAACATCAAAAATGCTTACATAATACAACACACACCACTTTACCTCAGCTTACAACGAATCGAAAGTCCTTCCCGCTGCCAGTCATGTCGCACGACCACCACCATATGATGGACCACAGCGAGCACGACCTTGCGACAGCCATGGCTCGATGCTCGATGAACATGTTATGGTCAGCTGGCTTTCTCGGGACCCATTGCGAGAAAGATGAAATGAACCTGTCTTGCTAGGAACACTCAGATTATCGACACTTGCATCGTCTTTCGCAGCTGGCATGTCACCTCCAAGGCATACTTCTTCGGCTCCTGTCTTGCCATCGTCGCTCTCGGTATACTCTATGAATACCTTCGCGCATTCCAGAAATCTCTCGACACCCGCATCGCAATTGCCTTGGTTGCTAGTGGAAAGGGCAAGACTAGGGCACGAAGCGGAAGCAGGAGTGGTAGGAGTAGCCCGGATGAAGATGCAGGTTTACTTTCGGGGCGACGAATGTTCAAGGTAGCTGCAACGGGGTGAGTTTCAATTCATACTTCCCTCCCTCCCTCGTCTCACTTTTGTTCTAGAACACCAGTACCCCTTCTTCTCCGATTGGTCAGGGCTGGACTCTACGGCGCCACCGTTTTCCTATCCTTTTTCTTGATGCTGGTCTTCATGACCTATAATGCGAGCTGTCCTTCTCGTCCCTCTTTCACCTACTAACACCACTTTACAGGCTTATCTTATCCTTGCGACAGTCTTGGGAGCTGCACTGGGACACCTCATATTCAATTCTAATATCAACATCGACGCTCTGCTCAGCGAAGAAAGCAAAGGAATGGCGTGTCATTAGGGTCATCGCGACTGTAATCTTGATTTTATTTTTGTAAATTTGTCATGGGAACTACATCAAGCTGCCTTCATCTCCGTGTCCTCGTCTTTCTTCGCCAGACCCTCCTTCTCCAGTAACGCGTCTATCTCCGCCGGTCGGTAGATTTTGGCTTTCGGTTTCTTTGTCACAGGATCGAGTGTAAGCACCGCGAATTCCACTGATTGTGTCAGCGTCTGCTTTCAAAGAGAGAACAGAATCGACTCACATTTCTCACTTCCAAGGGTTGTGCTGTCCATCGTTTTGCTCATCGTTCTTAACGCCAGGCCAATCGCGTCTTTGACTTCGATGTCATCTTTATATTCCTGCTTCAGCAGACTCTGAGCCGTCCCATTGTTGGCGCCAATGCATGTGGCTTTCCAGCCCGAATAATTGCCTGATGGATCGGAGCGGTAGAGTTGGAATTGGTACTGTGGATCGTAACCCGCGTAGAGCAACGACACGCCAAACGGACGCAAACCACCAAACTGCGTGTAGCCTTGCTTCATATCGCACAGCCGCTGGGCCAGTAGCTCGACCGGTATGTCTTCGTCGTAAGCCAGGAGATGTTGCTGTGCAGCATTTCGCGCAAAGTTGACGAGCGAGTTGGCGTCGGCCGTCCAGCCTGCAAGGCCCGTGATCACATTTCTAGACGATCGGTGTGGTGTGAGAGAGAGGTCGAGGTGATGTTGTGGGCACGCACGAGCTCAGAAGGAACACTTTTTCTCCACTGCCCCCGTATCCGCCCTCCTTGGTAGCGGACAAATCGAGCAACTTGCCAGTAACTTTCTTCTCTGCGGCAAGAACCACACCATCTTTGGCCAGGAGACCAAGGACGGTGCCAGCGTGTGAGATAGCCTCCATAGCATACTCAACTATTGGAATCATGAAGCGGGTATGTAGATGTTGTCCGTCTAATAAAGCTCACCCTGGTATAGTTTGCCTGTGAAGAACATTCCTGAATGATTGACGACCTTAGCAGGTTATTACACACCTTCAGGCGAGAATATAGTCGTGCGGCTGTCGTATCGTCTAGCCTGCTTTGCATTAGGAATCGTAGAGCTACAGTCCTGGGACTCACCATGGGGGAGAATGCGAGGATGGACAAGTGCGTGACGCTGACGCGTCTACGCGTCGCAGCCGAAAATGGAAATTCAATCATTATTGATTACAAAACAAGATAATAGATGGTACTGCTGAAGAAATCGCTCAACACCCAAACATTTCCTACAACTCCAACAGAAACGAGTCAAACCCGGGAATACTGAACGCGTTTCAATCGTTCATGACGTCGAGAGACAGAAAGCATACGCGTAGAATGACCGTCGGGTTGATTAATTGGACACTCGCTTCAAAAGCTCAGTTCCTTCATCGCCTGTAACTTATTGGTCAAATATGCGATAAATCGAATAGGCCTCCGTTCTGAATGTCGGGAACTTACCAATCTTAGCCAGGGATTAGACGGAAACTACCGGCGATGACGAAAATATGGGGGAACAAACCGGCGTTGTGTTAGATGAATCCGCCGTTGCGAAGTCTGCCATGAGCCGAAAAGGCTGAGTGAAGACTGAGATTTTCCAAAAAGCTGGCAGAGAGCGAGTTCGCCGCAACGATGGAATGATTTGAGGTTCGAAGGCAGGTAAAAGTTTTGTCGCCGAGTCGTGATCATCGTCAGAAAGGGTAGATTCTCGGTCTGTGACACCATCGTCCGAGACATTGCTGCTAGTCGTTGAATCGAGGGAGGCGTTGTAAAGGCTGCGGTTGATGCGAATATTCCATGTAGGGACAAGCGCAGATTTGTCCTAGAAAAAATATGAGAAAAGAGATGCGAGGAGTGTGACAGCCAACATTGGAAAGATGGGGTTTTTTTGCCAGATCAACATGCTGGATCCACGCTTCTATGTTGAAAGAGATAAAGTCTTCTTGGAAAAACCTGTCTCCGAGCGGAAATGAACGGTGCGGAAATTGTTCGTCGCTTTGCTGATCCCAAGTGGTTTGCTTGTCGTCCATAGCGGCGTGGTCGATATCAAGAGACTCGAGGGCGGGTTCGAAAGTGGGAAGGGATTCTGAGTGAACAAGGTTATGGAAGATTGGGCTGCGTATTTGAGGTTCATCATCAGAATGTGGATCCGCAAAACGAGGCACAAGATTTTGCAAAGAAGCCAGGTCAAATCCACACTGGAGCACAAGATAGTTGAGGAATGGATGAGAGTCTTTGCGAGCTAGACGATGGGCGATAGAACGAGGAGAAGGAGGAGGCTATAGTATTGGTCAGCTTGAGATCAACACTACATGATACACTCACTGTAGGACAGGTGGCCCACATGCTTTTCCCGACACTTGGCGCGGTGATCTCATCGAAGTCGTTCAAAAGATGGTCCTCCAAGCGCATTGCTATTTTGGACTCAGGAAGAATCGGAGTGCGTGTTGAACCTTCAGTGTCATCGATGGTTGAATGCGTATTGAGCGAGGACCACGAAGGTATGGCTGGTACGCTTTGAGCAAGACCAGGATCAGGGTCAACTTCGAGAACAGCTTTCTTGCGACGAATACGACGGGAAGGCGGGGGAGCAATGCGAGCGGGCTGACTTAAAAGAAAGGGCAGGGGATTGTTGATTGCGGGCGTGATTGTGAGAGGAGCTTTTCTAGCTCGGAGGGCAGTCGGCATTCGAGAGGAAAAATTGACAGAGAGTTCAGTGCTTGTGTCGAGACTGACGCTGTTGTTGTGTTCTGCGAGCTGAGTTGGCAAGCAGGAGGTGTCGAAAGACTGAGGCTTCGATGATACATTGGGTTGGCGAGCAGTTGAGTTGAGCATGGAGAAAGTTGAAGAGCACAATACGTGACGTGACACCTAGTCACGAAGCAGATGTTAAAACCGGCAGAGTAGATTCGGGATGAAATACCGTCGTTACTAACGACGTTAGGCTGCAGTAAATACAGGAAACCATCGCAGCATTGCTTAGCTAGAGTCGTTTTCATGCTGCGCTTATTGTGATATTCATGATGTCAATTCTGATCGTATCACAAATTACATAATTCGCTGCCTCTTGAACAGAACCATCCAAACTCAGAAGTAGCTCTCAGTGAATCGCATGTCTCTATCAGCCTCCACCAAGGATCAAGTAGTGCAAGCGTATATCGACCATCCTACCTACAACTGCGCGAAATGCTCTGCTCCGATTGTCTGCAACACTTGTCTTGAGTGGCTATTGCTCATTCTTGCAAACCAGGCTCTTCAGGACGAAGCTATCACTAAACAATTCCAAGGGCGTGACGGTCGCGGATAGCAAGTTTTCGTTTATCCAACTCACAGGCTCTTTGACTCGCACTAGCTTGATGAACTCGGCAACCAATCTCAAGCGTGGTCGGAATGAGGAACGAAGCCTTATAACAGGGGTGCATACCGTTGCCGACGTCTTTTGCAAGGGATGCAACGAGAGGATCGGCTGGTTTTACCATAAAGCTAGTGACTACTCCCAAAAGTACAAAGAAGGTAAGAGACTGCGGCCACTTCGCCGTGACAATTTTGACATTCGATTTTTGAGGGAAATACCTTTTGGAACGCGAGAAGCTCGTCAAGGAGAATGCTTGGAAACTCGATGCTTCTTAATCAGGATGGCCTTTGAACGCGGCCGCCTTGTGGCCATCCCAGTTCGGTTCGCTCGCACCCTCCACCGGTATTACATCAACGACGGCATCGCAGTCATTGTCAAATACGAGTCATGCTTCACGTGGTCTAGCATTAACACATTATTCTACTCCTCAATATGGAAATTTGACCCCTTCTTCGAACTCCTGCATCCTCTTCTCATGTGGCGCCGTCTATAATAGCGTCTTCCTGCGAATTGGCCGTCGTGTTTTACCTTCAGAAGGTTTGCCGCGTTGTTAAAACTGGCGGGTGGGTCAAAGCACGCTGTCTTCTCCCTCTGCTGTCCTCGCAATGAAGACCAGTTTTCTTGGTCTTGTGCTTATTCCTGCCACTTTAGCGGTAGCCCCTATCCCTAGCTACCAACACGCGAAACAAAACACGAGATACGTTCCCAATGCTTACATAGTAGAACTTTCGGACGGTGCTATCTCGAGACGCTCGTCGGTGCGTATCACTTCTTGCGCAGTGATTTTATCCATCAATTGTTAGCCGCATGCTACCGTTCTCGACACTATTAGCAACAGCGGGATACCTTTTCAAACGGTATCGACCTATAACACCCCAGAAATATTCGTTGGCGCGTCTATCCGACTTCCTGTAAGCCTCAACTTCTAGATTTCGGCGGTTACTGGATCTAATCTCATCACAGTCTCCTGCCGTTCGTACCCCCATTATCACAATTCCAAAGCCGAATAGAGACTCTAGGATGCTGCTCGATTGGCCAAAATTCCTGGGGTGGTGGCCGTTCGTCCAGTCATCAAGATTGAAGGACCAAAGTCTGTTGGGTCTCACTCAAGCGCACAAGTTATGCTAACGCTTTGGAACAGACCTATCGATCTCTCTGTCGTCAAAGAGGCTCCCATTGCGCATCCCGATACTTACGGTCCCCACGTTATGACCGGCGTTGACAAAGTCCACGCGACGGGAAATTTCGGTCAAGGTATCAAAATTGGAATGTATGCAGTTCACTTCTTCGTCTGGTCATGGCTTGACATTTCGCATCCAGAATCGATACAGGTTGGTCTTATGTCATCTGAAGGTTCAACACAGTCTTATTTGTCCGTTGACAGGCGTTGATTATAAGCATCCACTTCTCGGAGGTGGCATCGGGCCTGGCTTCAAGTTTGTCGGAGGTTATGATTTTGTTGGAGACGCATATGAAAGCGGACTGAGTCCGCCAATGCCCGATGATGACCCTTTGGATGAGTGAGTGCTGAACGCTTGCAGTGGACTTTCTTTCTGACTACTTACTCGACTAGATGCAACGGGCATGGAAGGTATTATGTATTCTGTTTGATCCATCATGACCTTTCTTGAAGTTTCTTCCATTCTCCTTTTATAGCCACGTCGCTGGCATCATCGGCGCGAATCCAGGCAATGACTTCGGTTTCAGCGGTGTACGTTCTGGTCATCGTTATTTGGGGCTTAAGTAACCCTTTTCAAGGTCGCATTCAACGCATCTTTAGCTGCATACCGTGTCTTCGGCTGCAGTGGAACGACTGGTGATGACATAATCCTTGCCGCACTTATCAGGGCATACAACGAGAAAAGAGACATCATCACCCTGTCCCTGGGTGAACCATCTGGTTGGACGGAGAGCACTGCTTCGGTGGTGGCGAGTCGTATCGCGGCTGAAGGACGTGTTGTCACCATCGCAGCTGGGAATGACGGAGAGTATGGCCCATGGTACACTTCCTCGCCTGGAGCGGGCATCGGAGTCATCAGTGTTGGCTCTGTTGACAATGTTGTTTCGATGTTCCAAAACCTAACGGTTCACGGCGCTGTTCACGATCCCATTGTGCGTATTTAGTTCTCCTGTGTAAACAGCTGACGTATGACAGACCTACCTCTTACCATTTCCCTTGAACGCGACCAGTGAATACCCCATATACGTGACTTCAACAGACATTTCCAAGACCGACGACGCGTGTGATTCGCTTCCTGACAACACACCAGACTTGTCACCATTTGTCGTCGTCATTCATCGCGGCACTTGCACTTTTGTTGGTGATCATCTAAAGCGAAGCTTAACTGTCTGACATGAATTCCAGTCGCAAAAGCTGGCTAACATCGCGGATAAAGGCGGAAAGCTGGCACTCATTTACAAGTACAATCTTTATTAGCAGACACTTTTCTGTCTGAACGTTTTGATAGCTCGGATGATGGCGCTTTCTCAACCATCGACGTGGGTACATTTCCAGCAGCCTTGATCTCTGCCGACGATGGAAAATTCGTCAGTTCAGCTCCGTCACTTTTTGGATAAGAACCCTGACACAAATAGCTTGTTCAACAATTCCTCACCAACCCCAATCTCACGCTCAGCTTCCCTCAGACTGGCGCGTCTGTCAGTATAACCAATCCGGTTGGCGGTCTCGTCAGTTATTTCAGTACCATCGGGCCAACCTTCGATATGTATCTCAGCCCAGAGGTAGCGGCACCTGGTGGCAATATCTTATCAACATGGCCGTTGAAATTAGGCGGGTTTGCTATCGCCTCTGGAACGAGCATGGCGACTCCCTTTGTTGCGGGTGCAGCCGCTCTTGTCTTACGTGATTTGGGCAAGACAGCCAAGGTCGCTCTGGAAATGCAACGAATCCTTCAAACCACCTCTGTCAGCTTGGCATCTTCTCATACAGACGGTAGCCCAGTTCGTACTGTCGCGCAACAAGGTTCTGGTCTGATTCAAGTTGACCGAGCTATCAATGGAGAGACGATTGTGTCGCCCAGTCAAATCGCGCTAAACGACACAGCGCATTTCAAGGCTACGTATGCAGTTTTTCAATAGGATTCGCCAATAGTGTTGATTGTGAAGAACTAGACATACTATATCGATTACCAACTCAGGCTCCGCGAAGAAAGTGTACGAGTTGCGACACATTTCAGCCGAAACACTTGACACCATTGATGTGGGTCCAGTTAAGTTTCTTTGTCCCCGTAATGACACCTTTGCAGGAGTCTGGCTCGGTCGACCCTTTCCCTCCATTCGTTCCTGGAGCTGCAACGGTCTCTTTGTCGGCAACGAAGCTGACAATTGGTCCCGGAAGCACCAAACACGTCGTCGCAACATTTAAGCCACCTTCCATGGCCAACGCAACACTTCCGTTGTATTCGGGTTATATCCAGGTCTCATCGGCCATCGAAAACTTTCAAATCCCGTACCTAGGAGTCGTTGGGTCGCTCAAGGTTGGCGCGATTCTTGATCGAAGCGCCAACTTTTTTGGGCTGCCACTTCCGGTTGTGTTGGACTCGTATGGCGATCCCCAAGAAGGGCCACAGAACTACACGTTTTTGGATTACGACGCTCCATTCCTTTTGCTGAGGTGTGTCCCGCATTATCGATGTCTTCATTGCTGCAGTATGCAACTTTTAGACTGTTGTTTGGAACAGCTCAGTTCCAAATTGATTTAGTGGACAAAAATTTCGAGGTTCCGTCCAAGGGTAAGGCGAAGACTATCGGATCGTTGGTCGAACTGGATTATATTCCTCGTGATAGTGACGTGAGTGCGGTAGCGACACCACGTTTCCACCGCTCAGAGCCAACATAGGATCCCTTCTCGGGTTACACTGCGCTGTCCTTCTCAGGGAATTTTGCGAATGGAACGCGGATCGATGACGGCCAATATCGTGCCCTATTGAGAGTGCTGAAGGTGGCTGGCGATAGGAAAAAAGAGGAGGAATACGAGGCATGGTTGAGCCCACAGTTTGGTGTGGTTACGCCATCGTAGAAGACAACTGTTCATTGCCGCGAAAAACGACATGGCCAACGTCGCGTGCGAATAATGGGGGTGGGCGGGGTTTGATTTTGGTTGTCGGATCGATTTGCGTTTCTGATTCGGTATTGGGGCTGGCCATAAATGTCGGGGGTGCCGGAATACGACGGGTTGAATCGCAGGCAATGCAACGATAGGACATGACATGACCATGTTCTCTTGAAGCTGTTTCATTGAGCACCTTTCCGCCTGGAAAAGGGTATACGTACAATTGACACGAACAGAGGCTGTTGAGCCAGCAAGTAGGACGAGATTGCATCCTTGGCAAATCGTTCTCTTTACGGATGGATCACTAGGAAGGGTCAAACACCACACGAAGGACAAGCAATAAACGCGCATTTTGACCATCGTCTTCTTTGAAACCGTCTTCATCGAGCCAGCATATACCTTGGAGAGATCGTGGACGTTCATTCTTCTGCTTCGTTTTGCTCTTCTTGGGGGAGTTGAGGGGGGTGGAACCGGTAGCACAGTGCCTAGGTAAACGCTCGCTTGATACATAAAGTTGAGACGCTGCATTATGTCCCTGTTCGTGATGTTATTGGGGTTGAGAGGCTCGTCTTTACTCTTCTTAGCCATCGTGATGATGGTTCTTTTCCGTGAGCTTCTGCTGACTAACAACATCAACACAACCTCAACCATACCCGTGAATCGCTTCAGGACCAGTCATGCCAGCCGCTGTATCCTGGAAGACTCAATAAGGATACTATTCATCCATGCTCATGCGGGAAATTCAAGTCTCAAATCGAAACCCTCAACAATCCGAATGAAGTCATCACGCTTCAAGTCGAATTCGAAAACGCAACGTTTTGAACGAGGTCTTTGGCTCTGAAGACACAGATTCAATGCACTGCGCTGGTTGCAATCCTGACCGCTTTTGGTTCCATGACCAGCTAGTTGACGTCCTACCTCTAGCTATCCTTGACATTTCAACTTCTTTCCAGTGAGGAACAATAATCGACCGGCACGTCCCCTCAACATCACAAGTCTGAACGCATCATCAAACCATTCTCGACGCGCGAAAGGGAGAACCAAAACCCAGACCGAAAGTGGTAAAAATAGACGGCTGGCGTTGCGACCGTCATTAGGCACGGTCTACAATTGACCCTCGCACTCTTTTCTGTGTCCATCAAGGTGTCATATATTCCCTTAATGCCCGAAGTGCACATGGAAAGCAAACTAGATGAATTTGACGCACCTCGTCGAAAGCTGCGACAGTCGCATCATCTCTCAATATCAAGAGCCTCATGACAACCGAAAAGCTCCTCTGTACGGACGGTTTGACTTTGCAAAATGGCAGCAAACGACAATCACTTGCAAATAGTTAGCCTAGGGGTTGTTTTCTTGACCTCCCTTGGCTCCTGATGTGGGCAATCACAATGTGGATGGGAGAGTACGTTGGGTAAATGTTGGGTGGGTCCTCCTATTAATTCCATCACAGGGAGTGCAATATAAGTGGCCGAGGATTTCCTCTTGCCGGCGCGCAAGAATGTCTCAACCTCTTCCTGTCGTTACGTACATCATGGGTGGTTGGGTGGGTCTTAGCGCGTAAGCTCTTGCCCTCAACTCACCGCGTGTTGTTTCTAGGACCTGGGTGTTTGCGGCGATCTTCTGCTGCAAGGCGTGATTTTCGGCCAAGTAGCTCACTACCTCACTCTTTATCACTCTGATGTGCCTGCCCTTCGGGCTTTCGTTTTTGGCCTTTTCCTCCTCACCACACTCAAGTCCATGCAAATGATGTGCGTGTTTCTACAGTTTTTTGCTACAGTGTTCAATTGATCTTATCATAGTGCCATTCTATGGACTCAAAACGTCATCCACTTCACCAATATCGGCGCAGCAGCTACTATGTTCACTACCAACTGGCTTGAACAAATCAACCTAGGCACGAATCTGCAGTTCACTTCAACCTCTTCTTACGGATGTCCCAGGATTCGGCGGCTTCATAACATTTTACGTCCAAGTGTTCCTTTGTCAGCGTCTCTGGGTAAAGCACTCAACCACGTTATCAGCACCTAATTTACCAGCTTCGCAGGCTCTTAGCAAAAACTATTATATCGTCGTCATTTTGATAGCCGTTTTCACGTTCTCGCTGGTGGCCGCATTTGTAGCGGTAAGCACCCGACAACTGTTTGGGATCAATGCTGCACGTTTAACAGGTTGGCTTCACGTTCAACGACCAGCCTGCAAGAGGCACTTGGAGTGAATTTTTCGGCCATTGGCGCGTTTTTTCGCTGATCTTATTCTAGTCTCTATCCATCTCGGTGTGGTTTTTGGCGGGGATCTCTTACTCTGTAGCTCCACAGCCTTTTTCCTGTTGGTACGAAGCCTAACCAAGCGCTGGTTCCAGTCTGACCGTGACTATCCTAACAGAAACACTCAAAACAAGTTTTGCCGCAGACTGCAGGAATGCTGAACGCGATTCTCAAACTTACGATCCAGAGCGCTGTGCCTGGAGCCTTATGCGCTATGATCAACCTCATCACCTCGCAAACCGGCGACAAGGCCGATCCGTTCAATCCGTCGACTATGGTTTCTATCATCTCCACCGATCTGTTGCCTAAACTCTACGCTCTTAGCGCGTTGTGGACCTTGAATTCACGACGTTCGATACGACTTTCACGTTCGACGGGCCAAAATACGAGCAGCACGGAGGGACAGAGTGGGAAGAGGACTGGCGCGCCAAGCGGTGGGCGGGGAGTCGAGCTTGGCACCTTCCAGCGCATCCAAGTTCGCACGCAGGTGCAGACTGTGCATCATACGGACGATGATGTTATAATGTTTGCCCACGGGAATGATCTGAAGCCCATGGGAATGGAGGAGACGAGTATCGATGCGGAGAGTGGATCCACAAAGAAAGGTTTGCATTAGTCAACAAAGTCCTCTTGTGTAGCTCAGTCAATAGCTTGGTCACGGTGGCACTCTGACGCCTTGTTTTCCATTAAATAGTGTGGTCCGTCTGGATCGCCATTGTGAAACTATGAGTTATTGATCAAGATTTATCAATTAACGCGCTAATACTACTAGTAGTCTTCGTGGAAATTGTAACTGAATTGTGTTCGAAACGTTAGTAAGTGCGTGCCAGGATAGACCGTGTTGAAGTAAGCGGGTTGGCGAACCCGAGTCATCGCCGAGAGATGACGTCAGCGGCTGCGCCATCACCGACGCTCGGCGCGTCGGGAATGTTCTCCCACTTTCTATTGACTCAGAATACAGAATATACTAGAATAAAGAGAGTAGTATAAATACTTGGTAGTCCTACTCTAATAAACATCGAATATTTTGTCTGGTTTCTTCAACAGGTTATGGGCCCCGGCACCTCACATTGGCCAAGCACCCCACAGTAGCGACACCACTTATTATCCCCTGCACCACCCTCCTCCGACACACAGCGACCACGCGATGGGACGGCTCCATGGAGCAGCCTTTTGGGATGTGATCCCTCTACGGCAATGGGCTGGCAGAGCAGCGGGGAAAGAGCGGCGAAGGGAACGACACGTACCGGACACTCGATCACGGATGGCAGATGGCTCAGCATCGCCAGCACACGGACAGATGAGCATGGTCAGCACAGATCGGTCATCGACACAGCTTCGGGCTCACGGCGCGCCGGAGCGGCATGGACTTGGCTTGGGATGGGTTACCGCCATGGGATCGCCAATGGGCTGGATCAGTTGGTTGGGACCTGGAATGGAATGGAACAGAGTCACGAAAGGGATCGCCACGATGGGCTGGATCACAGTCGGACTCGGAATTGGATGGACTTGAACTGGAACCGGGCCGGAGGCTACCGACCTGACATGGGAATGTACTCGCGGACACGGACATGGACACCGAGGGCTTATGGGCCGCGGCAACGGATTTGGTATGGGCACGGCATGGACTCCGGGTTGACGCTGGCGCCGAGGGCGGCCAGGAAGGACCATAGGAACGGCCAAGCAGCAAACGGCACATGGGCAACAGACACTGGGATTTACAGTCAGCATCAGAGACTGCATGGAGAAAGGGGGAGTCTACAACACCACAAGAAAGCCTCTAACCCAGGCGAGGTATTCCACTGCGCACCATGCTTGCGAAAGCACGGCTCGACTCGTGTTCGAGGGGGAGTGTTGAAGTAAGCGGGTTGGCGAACCCGAGTCATCGCCGAGAGATGACGTCAGCGGCTGCGCCATCACCGACGCTCGGCGCGTCGGGAATGTTCTCCCACTTTCTATTGACTCAGAATACAGAATATACTAGAATAAAGAGAGTAGTATAAATACTTGGTAGTCCTACTCTAATAAACATCGAATATTTTGTCTGGTTTCTTCAACAGACCGCAGCAAAAGTTCACCGCGATCTGGAAGGATCTAGTCTTGGTCGTATCCGAAGGCAATGCGATGGGTTCGTAATTGCTTGCATCGATTGGGAAAGCGAAAACTTGAACTTGGACATAAACTTGAAGCAGTCTGGATCAGTAAGTCTAAGTCAATTGAGCAATGTTACCACTACAGTGGTTCATATAGCCATATAACGATAACTTTTCGTTGTTGTTGTTGTGCTCGTCAAACTCTGCGCTCGGCGCTCAGCCAGACTTGAGCCAGCAGTCATCCGCGGCAATCAACGACTGATGGCGCAAATCTTCAATTCCGATCAACTGGATTATGTGATGGTTGTAAACAACCCGCGTCATAGTTTTTCGAATCTTCGATGCGGGCCGCCCTGCCTACGTTGAGAACTGGCCAGACGCGTGGAAATACGGTGGTGATTATCATGTTGAGCTAAAAAATCCTTTTCCCGCGTTACTCTATGGCGTCTTCGTCTTCCAGCTCAGTGCCCGCTTGTGCGTGTTACTACTACCTGCCTTGCACACCATTCTTATGTCTCTCCAAGTCGCGGACAACGTTATGTATAGGCGACAAATAAGCCACGCAAGCTGGACTTCAAGAAATTCAGACTCTCCTTACCCGGGGGCTTCCTCGTCGCCATTACTGCAACCAAGAGTACGCTTGGATCCCTAGGTTTTCGTTCGCTTTCTCAACCCTAATTCTAGTATGACTTCCATCCCAACCCCGCCGAGTGGGGCATCGACTTTGGCGAAACGGACGACGACGATTTACACAGAGCCGAAAAACCCAACCACAACGTCGAGTTTTCTGGTAACCCTTGGTCAATACGTGGGCTCACCAACCTCGGCTGCCTGTTTATACTAATTGCGGGCATTCTCACTCTTTTGTAAGTCCCGTTGCTGCTTCAGCTTCTCAATTCAAGTCGTTGGTGCAGCATCGGGTATCCTGTCTTGTCGTTTCGATCGACAGAAATTGGCACAACTAGCTCGTTGGGGAACCTGGGAGGGAGAAACGGTGCGTGTTGCCACCTCTATGCTTGCTCTCATCGCTCACTGTCATCCACAGGGACTGGTCAAGTATGCGGCACGACAGACTTTGCTTCTCTTGTTAAAATCATTCATAGGTTCCTGACATAGGCAATTGGGTGAGTTTTGAGGTGACAGTTCCGCAGATAGTAACCATTGAAGGGGCTCATCGACGCGGAAACGCCAGAGATCGCCTACGTAGTGCCCTCATGGAATGGTGGGGAGGACATGCAGCTGGTCGGTGGTTTTTTCCAAACTCAGCTCGATCTCCCACACTCCGTTCATCTCAGGTATTCAGCGACGAATTCAACACCGACGGCCGGACATTCTACCCCGGTCAGTGAGAGCGCCGTGTTTGAAATTGCACCTGATCTGGCTCCAGGGGACGATCCATACTGGGAAGCAGGCAAGTTGCTGCGCATTTCGCTGTAGAAATAATGCCGACATTCCCATCCGGCAGTTGACTTGCACTATTGGGTGAGAGTGTCATCCAAATATATGTTGCACCGGTTGCTAAATGCATCGCAAGGCCACGAATAACCTGGAGGCTAGTTTATCCATCGAATCAGGTGTCTGTCCACTTGACAAACGAACCAACTAGTGGTATGACCCCGAAGCCGTCACCACCGCGAACGGCAATCTCGTCATCACGCTTTCTCAGAAAGAAACGCACAATCTCTCGTACGAAGGGGGTGAGGGGATAAATGGAACCGGAAGCTTATGCTCACTGAATGCAGGAATGTTGTCGACCTGGAACAAGTTTTGCTTCACAGGCGTAAGCGACGTTATCGTCTTCGGTTGGGCTTGAATGACGCGACATGCATAGGGCTACATCGAGGTACCACCTGCTTCCGTTGCCATCGAAAGATCTCAATCAAAAAATGTGTAGACCAGTGTGCGACTACCAGGTCTGAACAACATTCAAGGTATGTCCCATCAGTGTCTTCGATATCATTCTCTAAGAGGTAACAGGCTTGTGGCCCGCTGTCTGGACCATGGGAAACTTGGGACGGTAAGAGTGCATATGTGGAGAATTCTCGAGTTCAACCCGCCTCAGGGCCGGATATGGTGCTAGCTTGGAGGTATGTTGATGATAACCTGGGTTCTAACGATGACGTTCATTAGGGCATGTGGCCGTATTCTTATGGCAAGTTTTTATGTTATGGACGCTAAGAAACTTGACTTGTTCGATAGACTCGTGTGATGTTGGTACTGCACCGAATCAGACTCACAACGGAGGCCCTTTTGCAGCGACGGTGAATGGTGATACAGGCCATGATGGAGAACTATCTTGGCTACCAGGACAGCGTCTTTCGGCCTGTACGTGTCCAGACCAAGACAATCTACATCCAGGACCGAAACGCGGCAATGGTTATGTGGGCAGGGCCTCACCAGAAATTGGTTTGTCGTTTTGGAGTGGAGAGATGACGATTTTTGACTCCGACAGATGTGTTCGAGGCTCAAATTACTTCCATCAACAAGGTCCTCATACCACAAGTCAGCCAAAGCGCTCAATGGGCTCCATTCGATGCTGTTGGTCAATCTCTGAGTTACACTTAACCTCCTGATTGTTCAATTTCGTAGGCATACCAGTGGTTAAACACGTCCGACTTCTTCAGCATGACTGACCCCACAATCTCCCATATTAATTCCTTCAAAGGTAGCATCACGCAAGAAGGTTCGTAGCTTTCGAGTGCTTAGTAGTGATAAGACTGACCATAACACGCTACACAGCGACAAGCATTGTGACGAATACTGCTCCTTTGTGCTACGAGGACAATGGCAACTGCTTCTCTATCTACGGCTTCGAATACAGACCTGGCTTTGATGATGGCTACATTACCTGGATCGCGACCAACAAGGTTGCGTGGACCATCAAGGGCGGAGCCGTAGGTTCAAATCCACAAACACAAATTGGCCCGCGACAGATTTCCGGTGCGAACTTTTCTCCAGTTGTACTATCTCCTCATGCGACTGTAGCGGAACCTATGTACTTAATCGCAAATCTTGGTGCGACAACAAACTAACACATTCGGGGCTCACGCTTTCTTACCATCGCTTAGGAATGTCGTTCAACTTTGGCAAGGTTGATCTGGAACACCTTCCCTTCCCTTGCCATCTAGAAATGTGAGCCCTCTGTGATCACCTCGCTTATTTGACCCATATGTCTCTAGTGACTACATTCGAGTCTATCAACCTAAGAGTGCAATCAACGTTGGATGGTCTGCTTCGTCGTCGTATTCAGACGTAACACATAAGCTCACTTATTCCAGCGATCCTCCAGGATACCCAACACAAACATACATCAACACGCAAGTTCCAAGTGGTGTGGTAGTCTGATGGCTGACTCTTTTCTCTAGCTATATCCAAGCATACACGAATCCTAACCTAACAACATGGAGAGACGGTTAGTGTGAAGGCTTTCGTGACCGACAGAGATTGACCATCTCTAGACTTCGGCCAGCCTTTCCCAAAATCTAGTTTTCTTGGCGAATGCTAATAGCATGGACAATAAACACATCTTGTAATAGACAATTGATCAATGCATATTCCGTACCTCGGCCTGTTGGAATTAAGTAGAGGGATAGGGGTTACCACCCAAATCGGGCGAAAGCGTCATAAGTGATCCGTCACCATCTATGCCTCTACCACTACCTTCACCCTTCAAAGCAAGTTTTTTACTCTTCGTCGCGGCTTTTCTCTCCTCCTTACTGCTCTGGACTGCTCCGCGACGCGTTTCTCTTAGCGACCTCTTCAGCGGCCGCCACAACAACCACACTCCCAATATGTCCAACAAGGGAAAATACACTGTTGCGTAGTGAGTGGAGTCGTTCCTTTCATCTGCTGCTGAATGTCATCTTTCCTAGCTTCGTCAACTGGGGAATCTACGGCCGCAAATTCCCGCCCTCGTTGATCCCAACTGAGCATCTCACCCACATCCTATACGCCTTTGCCAACATCAAATCGGATGGCGAGGTCGTCCTCTCCGACGACTGGGCTGACAAAGACATCCACTACCCGGGAGACTCGTGGAACGATTCGGGCAACAACCTCTACGGCAACTTCAAAGCGCTATACCTTTTGAAGAAACAACACAGGCACCTCCGTACATTGCTTAGCATTGGAGGGTGGACTTACTCGCCCTCATTCCACCCTGTCGTCGTCAACCCCTCGCTACGGGCCAAATTCGTGCAGTCCGCAGTCCGGCTGCTGGAGGACTTCGGGCTGGACGGCCTAGATGGTAATTATGATATCTCATCACAGTGTAGTTCGCTGAAGAGTTTATTAGTGGACTACGAGTATCCGTCCAACCAAGAGCAAGCGGTGGGGTATACCGAGCTTCTTCGGGAGCTCCGGTATGCCCTCGACGAACATGCGAGAAGTAAAGGGACCGACTACAGATTCCTGCTTACCGTGCGCCTTCTTCTGTCAGGCAACTCAAACTCACATCTAGAATAGATCGCGGCGCCGTGTGGCCCAGACAACTACCAGAAGCTGGTGGTTAACCAAATGGACCGGTACCTCGACTTTTGGAATCTGATGGCCTACGACTTTGGTTGGTATTGTCTCAAGGTTCTCGATGAGTGGCTTATATTTGACAGCTGGCTCCTGGGACAGTGTAGCGAACCACCAGGCGAACATTTACGGCGGACCTATCAGTGCTTCAACAGCAGTTGAATGGTATATCTCTCAAGGTAGAGAAACACGTATGATTATTTAGCCCCTCTGACATACGCAGGCGTTGAGCGCTCCAAGCTGATACTTGGAGTCCCTCTTTATGGTCGCTCATTCATGAACACAGAAGGCCCCGGAAAGCCATTTTCTGGGTAAATAAACCCTTACTCTTATCATTGCAACTCATCCCATCTCACAGCATTGGTCCGGGAAGTTGGGAGCAGGGGGTATACGATTACCGCGCGTTGCCGCTTCCTGGTTCGCATCTTTTCCGTGATGAGAAAGTCATGGCGAGCTGGTCGTACGACTATAACAAGAAGGAGATGATCAGCTTTGACACGGAGGAGGTGATCCGATGGAAAGCAGAGTGGATTGCCAACACTGGGTTGGGAGGGGGTATGGCGTGGGAGATGAGTGGTGACAAGGGCCGTCCGCGAGAAGGCATGGAGGGCGGTCCTGGTAAGGACCCACAACCTGGACAAAGTCTTCTTCAGGTGCTCCATGAATCGATGGGCTACCCGGACCGGAGCTACAACTGGCTCAAGTACGAAGGCAGTCGGTTTGATAACATGCGCAATGGAATGGAATAGGTGCTCCAAAATAAATGTACATTATTATTTTACAAATCATTGTGAATTACATAATCATCCAAGTATTGGCTGGTATGCGCGATTTCCAGCAGCCCAGCGATGGCCTCGGTCAGCAGCAATTCCAGTGGCAATGACACCGACAGCTACAAGGATGCCGCTGACCCATGCGACAGTGGTAAGCCAGAAACCGGCTCCCAAATGGCCATCTCGGAATGTCGGGAAACGAGACATGCGGACTTGGTCGAGAATGAGAGCGAAGGCAGTCAAGGCAAGCAGAGCATGGATTGTCACGAGACCTGCAGCAGCCTTCCAAATGCGACGCCGACGGCTATGGGTGCTGACGCCAATGGCAATGGCCACCAGAGCCAGCGCTCCAAAGCCAATCGCTACTTCAGTCGCGTAGCGAGCGCTGCAGAGCAAGTTATTGTTGTTTCCCTGTTTGTAACTCGTGTCGCCTACCTTGCCCACATAGCACAGAAGGATTGGTTGTCGTCATCACAGCCGTCGTCTTTGCGGGTAGGGAACGGACGGCATTCCTCGTCTTCGTAGCGAGAGCGATCTCCCCCGGGAAGCTTAACTTCTAGCCGGGTGCAGACAGTCGAGAGCCCGTATTTAGCCTCGAAGATTGAGTTGATAGCGTCAGCGCGGTATCGAGCAACAACCCTGCAGCAAAATACAGCTCCATCCAGGTGGGTAAATGGGGCCTTTTACTTACCAGTCGACACGGGTCAGAGAGATGATAGTTAGAACGGTCGTGAAGATGACCGCAAGGGCAGTTAGAACATAAGAGGTTTTCCGCATGGTGGCTGCTAGTCAAGAGCAGTCTGCTGTTAAATACTGCGGCCTGGGGCCGACGCGACCTCGACGCGGGAACGAGGTCATCAAGACGTCATCATGGCTCCGGTCACATGACTTGTTAGATTTGACCGGACTCGGATAATGCCAGTGAATCTTTTGTCGTTTGAATATTTGCTGGATGCCAACGGAGGCCTATAAATATACCACATCGTCGAACCAGGAGGCTCTACGGTGACCTCTTTTCCGAGTGCCTGAGTGAGAAACCTTTGGGAACGATACCGTGATAGCCGAGCCAATGAGTCGTCGCGGAATACATCATCATCTTGCTTTCGACCATGTTGTCCCGCTCACTGAGTCGCTCGTTTGCTACCCATGCAGGCAAAAGGTGAGCAATATTGTGTTTGACGCGTCTACAGCTCAATTCCCCAGCCCAACAGGTTAGTCATCTCCGCCACGTCGCGCGGGGCCTTACGCGTATCCAGCGATTGTTATGATGAATATGGGCGGGCCTGAAACAGTCCCGGAGACTGGAGAGTTCCTCACAAATCTGTTTTCTGACGGGGACCTCATACCGCTGCCTTTGCAAAGGTTTTCTGCACCGTGGATTGCCAAACGTCGAACTCCACAAATCGAACAGCAATACACCGACATTGGTGGTGGCTCCCCCATTCTCAAATATACGAAGCTACAGGGAGAGGGAATGGCTCGCATCCTGGACGAATTACATCCAGAAACCGCTCCACATAAAGCTTATGTTGCGTTCAGATATGTGCGACCGCTAACCACCGAAACCGCGCGTGAGATGAAGGCTGACGGCGTGAAACGGGCCATTGCATTTACTCAATACCCGCAGTACAGCTGCAGTACCACGGGAAGCAGTCTCAACGAGCTCTTTCGCAAGGGCAAGGCGGGTGAATTGGACCCAGAGATTGAATGGAGTGTTATAGACAGATGGGGTACCCATCCTGGCTTTATTGAGGTGTGTCTATCGTGTGCATATGTCCTCTTGTTAATATTTCTTAGGCCGTTTCCCAAAACATAGAGAAAGCCCTGGCCAACTTCCCTCCCGACAGACGCAATGACACCGTCATCCTATTCTCCGCCCATTCGCTGCCAATGTCGGTGGTTAACCGTGGGGACCCATATGTGCTCGAAGTGGCCGCCTCGGTCTCTGCTGTGATGGACCGATTAAAGAACGTAAATCCCTACAGACTGGTCTGGCAGTCACAAGTTGGCCCTTCCGCATGGATGGGAATGCAAACTGGCGATGCAATAAAGGGGTTGGCGCGGCTGGGAAAGAAGCAAGTGGTGATTGTTCCCATTGCTTTCACCAGTGACCACATCGAGACACTCTATGAGATCGACCTGGAATATGTGAAGGAGGCGAAGAAGGTGCGTAATGGTTTCGTTTGCGAGTGTTATGAGCTTACGCTTACCAGCTTGGGATCGAGATTTATAGAGCTGAATCATTGAACGATTCACCGGTCTTCATTCGTGCGCTTGCCGACATTGCGGCTCATCACTTGCGTGAGTACTCAAAAACACGGAAACCTGTCAGCGTGCAACTTGGACTTCGTTGTCCTGGGTGCACGAACAATACGTGTAAGGAGCAGAAGACATGGTTGGCGAATGGCGGTAGGTAGCAGTAGATTGATCGAGTTTCCTTTTTGGGAGTGTTGTAATACCTTCAAACTGAACCACCACCATGGCCACGGTTGTATCCTCACCGGGAAAAGTCTTAATGGCGGGAGGCTATCTGGTTCTTGATCGCGCTTACTCGGGATTGGTGGTCTCAACCTCTTCGCGCTTCTATACCGTTGTCCAGAAATCGACCCAACAAGACGCGTTGATTAGAGTCCGTTCTCCCCAGTTCGTTGGCGCTACATGGGTGTATTCTGTGAAATCTGTGCCTGTTGTGTTGGTGGAGTCGCTTGCAACAAAGTACGACGCGTTATTCGAGGCTGAAGCTGACGTTTAAAGGGAATCTCAGCCAAAGTAACAACAAGTTCATCCATCTCGCTCTCCAGAACACAATCTCGCTGGTCTCTGAAATGAAAGGGGCTGATTACGTCCAGAGCATAATGTCCTCTGGCATCGATGTGTGCATTGTTGGTGACAACGACTTTTACTCCCAGCGAGCGCAGGTCCGCATCTCTCGCAGCTATGTGAAGTGCATTCATTCTTGTGATAGCTCTCTAAACTTAATCTGCCTCGCACACTTGACTCGTTAGCCAAGATTCCCCCATTCGTTGAGACGGGTGTGCCGATATCGCAAGTCCACAAAACTGGCCTCGGCTCTTCCGCTGCCCTGATCACCTCCCTCGTCTCCTCGTTGCTCCTACACTTCTCTGCCATTTCTCCCTCCGATTTGGAGGGGACAATCACACACGGCAGAAAACTCGCTCACAACCTTTCGCAGTACATTCACTGCCTGGCGCAAGGTAAAGTTGGCAGCGGCTTCGACGTTTCGGCTGCGGTGTTTGGGAGCCATATATATACTCGTTTCGATCCGCTGGTCATCCAGACGTTAATGGCGGATGATGCGGTAGGTCTCCCGAACTGCCAAACGTTGCTCAGCTCTTTATTTTTGACTAGCCGAAATCTCAATCCATCTTATCGGTTATCTCCCCTTCTAATGAAGCGTGGAATTACCGCATCGACGACTTCCAACTTCCGCCCAGTACACGGATAATGCTGGCCGATGTCGACGCAGGCAGCGATACGCCGTCTCTCGTCGGAAAAGTGCTTAAATGGCGCAAAGATGACAGTGTTGCAGGTGAGATCTAATCACAACCCTAAACTAACGTTGATCCCCGTTAGCGAATTCCCTTTGGTCAAGACTCAGCGAAATCAACCAATCCCTCGCGCAGCGCATCCGAAAATTAACGGAGCTACATGCTAAGCATCCAGAGGCTTACAGGAAATGCGTGAATGTCTTGTCGACCTTACCAAAGACCAAAGTCTATGTGCTCTCATTATCAAGTTTCATCAAAACTCACATGTTTTCACAGTGGCCCCAGTCCAACCTGGACTTTGATATCGTCTCAGCCTTCCATGATGTCCATCTGAGCTCGGAGGTTATTTCTCCCATCTGGTTCCATGTTTTGTGGTTAAACTTACATTGCCAGGCTATTCGTGAACAAATGCGGGAGATGGGGACCCTCTCTGGAGTCCCCATTGAGCCGATGGAACAAACAGAGCTGCTTGATTTGTGTATTGCGCAGCCTGGCGTCATTGGGGGTGGGGTCCCTGGTGGTGCGGTCTTGTTTTGGCATTTTGTGTTGTTCTTGACTTAGGTATTACCAGCTGGCGGGTACGATGCGTTATGGCTCCTGGTCTGCGATCCAGAAAATGCACAAGGGGAAAGACCCATGAACGTTATCGAGAAAGTCTGGGCGGAATACAAGAAGCTGGATGTCTCGCCTTTATCTGCAGTCGAGAGTATGGCGAAAGGAGCTCGACTGGAACGCGTGGAGGACATCCACGGCTTACAAGCCGCCATTACGCGGTAATTAGTTAATGTTACAATGGGTAAATTAGAAGGTCCAGGGTCCACTCTACATACAGATCTTAGCACTTCCCTCTGGTGTCCATGATTTTGCAAGAGCGAGGTATAGTGAAATGGTCATGACCAATACGCCAAAGACAGCGCAGATATATGCTGGTAGTTTCGCACGACTATGCCATGGGGCGTTTTTGTCGGCGAGCTTGATGAAGCAACTGGCGGGGAAGATGAAGGCGAGGGCACTGGCTGCCACGCCGCCTGTTATCTCGAGCATTACCCCGAGGTCGCAGGTGATCAACGACACTAAGTACCAAGTTCAAGCACGTAGGAGATGGGACACAATTAATGAAGCTCACCAAACATGGAGGCAAACAAAATTGTCGTGGTAAAAAAGACGTGCCGTTCCATTTTGAATGTCTCGTGGGAGAAGAAATATTGCTCTATGACCTCTCGGCACACAAAAAGCTCAAGCGGGAGCGTCGTGAACATGTTCAGGCCAAAGCAGAAGCGCGCTACGTTGATTAACGTATCGTCCTGACGTTGTCCATTAGCCGATGTGAAAGTGGAAAAAGGCCTGCCCAAACCGGTGCAAAATTATTCAGGATATTTCCCTCGAAAAGGGTAAAATATGTGTGCCATATAATGGTAGGAACGCACACACCTGAGTTTTGTCGGTAAAGACGACGTATCCGGATATGGCTAGTGTACAGCATGCGATGAGAGATAGCAGTGTCGAAATATGCGTAACGAAAGCAAAACGATCCAGCGTTGGTGTTCGTAGACTTCCGTAGATGAGGAGCGAGTTGTGATGACAAACTGGGACACTATAAGCATGAATAGCATAGCAAGTGCGCTGACCCTACCAAAAGCGAAGCTGATGACGCCAATAGCCTGGAATACGCCAGGCTCAATGAAGGAGAAGCGTTTAGATGGGTCGCCCTTGAGTTCTGGTGCAGTCTGTGGGCTTTCGATCATGACCGAGGTAACAATGATCAGCATTCCGATGAGCGCGAGGCCAGATGCCCGGGATAGTTTGTGGATGTCGCGGTAGAGGGAGAGAGGGTAGGAAATGCATATGGTGCATAAGGAGATGACGAACTTGCGGTTCGTGAAGAGCGATAGGACGGGCACTTGGTAGAGCTGCGGAAATATGGACCGAATGACATGGGGAATGGTGTCGCCGATGATAATGCCAAACGCACACATGCCTGAGGCCGGAAATTAGCAAGAGAGAGATGGCACAATCTTCATAACCTACTTACCTCCAAACGCAAAAGCGAATTGAAAAAACGAGACCGAGGCTCGTCCACTGGCACCAAAGCAATGGTTCATGATCCCAATATAGCTGTGTGTTCCGCTCATTTTTGCGTTGATGACTATGAGACGAATCGTCCAATCCGTGATCCCACACAGCACAACAAGAAGGAAGAGACCAGTGAAGAAGCCCGCTTGGCTAACAGCATAAGGCAATCCTCGAGTGATATGAGCGAGGCGAACGCGGCCCAAGCGGGAATATAGCTACCGATGATACCTGCACTTTGGTGAGCTTGAAATCATTTGAAGCCAGTACAAACATACCGGCACCCAGAATGGAGTTTGCCATGTTGGCAATGGAGTCTATTAATCCGCCTCCAGCAACCCGCTTCGCTGCTAGTGCTTCCAGGTCTACATCCGGACCAGACGATCCGTTGGTGCCATTAACATGCAGTAAAGGGACGGACACATCTACTCCACGAGAGTGTGACGCGTCGAAAAGGCCGACAAGCAAAGGCATAGACTGGTTCCGCGAACCAGCGCGAACCTGAGACTGCGAATCTTCATCAAGTTCATCTGTGTCTTGGTCAAACTCTGAGGCAATTAGCTAGTCATCAGTGGTCAGAATGAACGACACACCCGTTTCTCTGCTCGACGTCAAGGACCTCAGCGGCGGGGGCTATTACTTGGACTTCTTCTTGGAAGCGAACATTTCGTCTTGGTGTGTTAAGGGCTGACTCTTCTTCCTCATCAGAGTCGAGCGCGAATATTGTATTGTCGTCATCTTGAAGGAGCGGCTGGGCGGCTTCGCGATTTGGCTGGCTAAACATGAACGCATCCAGCAAAGAAAAGATTTCAGGGAGTTTGATGTGACTATGAGTTGTCCAACCAATCATTTTAAGTCTTTACGAGGGACTGGACTATTCTAAGTACAACTTACTGGAGACCGACATCAAGATAGCAAAGTAAATAGAGAGGAAGCACCGTTGCTTGCTACTACTGGAAGTCCGCCCATCGGAAAATATAGCGGTCCGAGCTACGCACATCGTCATCTGGGGAAGCTTTCAAGAGGCGCAACTGGCATCTCGAGCAGTCACAATGCCCGTAGGGCCCCGGGGACGTTTCACAACCCTATCGACCAGTATAAGCCAATCCGAAAATAAAGCGTGGAAGCATTCAAGTTGACACACCGACAGAAATAAATGGACCCCAGCGGCTGAATTCCTGTAGCTTGCGATGAACCTCCCCCATTGCCCCAAGTCTTCAAGCTCGTTAAAGATGCTGATTGCGACCAGGAAAGAATTAAGGGCCAGTGGATGTGTCAGCGAAGCCATGGCGACAAGGTGTTGTGTTGAATACTCATTTCGCTGACAATGAACACAAAAGGAGACTGGATGGAATTTGAGGAAGGCTCATGCCATATAGGAGCACGCACCGACGTAGAGGGAGTATAACATAACGAGCATGAGCGGATATTGGCGCCTGAGTGGTTCTGACTGGGGTAGGCTTGAAAATGCGAGCACAGCACATTTTGCGAAGAACAGCGAGGAGAATTCTCCGTCGGGGAAAAATGCCATCCAGACGACGAAGAGACAGCGAGTGAAGGTGTTGGGGACGACGAAGAGAGAGCGAGTGAAGGTGTTGGGAACCATGCAAGTGGAAAGGGGATGTGGGTCTTTATAGTACTCGGAGTCCCTAATTTCTAAACCCCTAGTCAATATTCTTTGTGATCCTACAATGGACTGGAGATAAAAAGAGACATTTCCCATGGCAGTGAATCCACTGATTTAGGATGTTTAACCCAGAAGGAGTTCAACGCATGCCAAGTTTTCGACTAGCTTCTGTGGGGGAACAGGGGCATTGACTTGGACCTGGACTTGGAAGCGAATGCTGCGTCTGCTAGCTCTTCTTCTTCATCGAGGTTAGAAAGCAAATCTTGTGTTCTCGTCGTCGTCTCAAAGTGAGGAAAGAAAAGAGCAAGATTGTCACATCAGACTGCATCTTCCACTCCAAGCGCTACCTTGACCCTTTCGTTTGACTGCGGGCATCAGTCGACTGCGGGCAACATGTTTTTTGCTCTTTCTCTCATCTCGGCAGCCATCCTTGTTGCTGCAGACACGCCGGAAAGCGTGGCTAGCCAGTTTGGTTTGACCACAAGGTTCGTTGCATGGCGTTTTCACGACTACTAATGCTTAATTCCCGTCATCTAACAGCACGACTCTTCCTTTCCCGGCTGCCACTGCATCGAACAGTGATGCCCAAGGTTATTAAATCTCGTATCCCAAGACCACAAGCCGACGAGTCTCTTAGCTCTTTTGGTTTCTCAATGGGGTCTGAGTAGAGGTCGTATCCAGGTACGTTACTTGGGCAATAATGCTTTTGCTACTTCTAAAATCTGTCCAGAATGGAGCTGGAGATTTATCATTTGTGGCCGATCCCTTCCCGGACAAGCCTGCGCCAGGTTCTGCTACCAACTCGTCCGGTCCCGTGCTTCAGATCACATATCCTGAAGGCAGCTTTTCCGGCGACACGGGAGGCGCCCAGTTCTACAATCTTTGGAACTCGTCTGGCTCCGCTGGATTCCAGTCCATGTTACTGTCCTATGAAGTCGCGTTCGACAAGGGTTTCAACTGGGTCAAGGGTGGAAAGCTCCCCGGTCTTCGTGGTGGCAGCCCAAATGGCTGCTCGGGCGGGAATCGCTCCGACGGAAGCCGTTGTTTCAGTTCCAGGATTATGTGGCGGCTGAATGGCCAGGGAGAAGGTGCATATTCATACTTTTCCGCCCAGTTAAATGTTCTCATCATCTCCAGGCTACACATACACGCCTACCCCTAATAACATTTGCTCCGATAGCAAAGTGTCCTGCAACAGTGACGATTTTGGAACCTCACTGGCGCGAGGCTCGTTCACCTTCTCAAGCGGGCAGTGAGTGGTATACCTGCGAATCAGTTCTGAACTTATGGGGTGCTCAGATGGAACCATGTTACTATGCTCGTCCAAATGAACAATCCAGTCGATATTGCTAATGGCAACATACAAGTCTAGTTGGTCTTTTCCCAACGTTCAATTCTACCCTCAAAACGTTATTTAGCTTCAATAACGTGCTGGCTTTCGCACAGTCAAACATGCAGATACGCACGACAACCAACCTGACCATAAACGGCCTTTACTTCTCGTTAGTCCCATTCTTCGCTCGCAGTGGGATATGCATCTGATACTTGGACAGAACATTCTTTGGCGGTTTGTTGATCACGCTGTCCATTTCATTTCTCATTGCTTGCAGGTGCTGACGACTCATGGGCTACGCCCGAAACAACACACACCTATTTCAGGAACTTACAGCTATGGGGAGGCTCTAATCCTTCAACGTTGGCTGGCGCTAAAGTCAGCTCTGCTCTCCCACGACTACGCTCTGCCTCAACCTTGCTCTGTGCCGCTTTGTTAGTCGGGACTCTTTCTGTACTATAGAATACATGGATGGTCGGACTTGTTGCTATTTACATCCAATCTAATCTAGCATTTCATGGGAATATTTCTTTTTTTGGACTGTGGTGTTGAGTCGCTTACTTCGGCCTTACTCAGCCGATCGGCCGAGTCAAAAGTTGTCCCGAACCACCATGTTCTCCGGAGCCCTGGTTCGCTGCATCGCGGGATCGGCTTCGTAGCTCATTCATTGCTTCAGACGCTCGCGGACCTCAACGACTTCATTTCTCCGTCCCAGGCTTGTATCAAGCCGGTGGAGCAAGTTGACAAACCCCTTCAAAAGTTGCCTGGCGGAGCATCGGTGCGCGTGCCGTTTCTCGATCATCTCAAATCTGAGGAATTCAGACGGAGATCCAAGTCGACTCTGGTGGCTCATACTATGAAGTCGCCAGTGGCTCTGGCAAGAAGCTTGAGCCTGCTCAAATCAGTTTGAATGACTGCTTAGCTTGTAGGTAATGTTGCCCTCTTGGTTTAGTTTCAAGGTGATCTAATTGTTCAAGCGGGTGTATAACGTCGGCGGAATCTGTCCTGATTACTCTGCAGTCTCATACCGAAGTGCTCTCCTTCTTGGACTCTAATACGGCGGCTCCGGTTGGCTCTCGGAAGATCCCTGTCATCTCCATCGCCCCCCAATCCCTCGCTTCTCTTGCCACCGCAGTTTCCTCGCGGACAGGCGTCCATACTACCCCTCGACAAATCCTTCGCCGCGTCCGTCTCTTCTGTGAATCAGTCCTGGGCTTTGCTCATGTGTTCGACACCACTTTTGCTCGCCATGTTTCACACTGGGAGCATCTGAAAGAGTTTCAAGAACGACGCGCTGATTCTCAGACTCATGGAAGGCTCCCTATGCTTGCGAGCGCGTGTCCAGGGTGGATATGCTACGCGGAAAAGGCGCATTCAGAGATCCTCCCATTCATTGCGACAACCAAGAGTCCTCAGCAGGTGATGGGCACTCTGGTGAAAGACTGGATGGGTAAGAAGTGGGGGAAGCTGTAGGTTCCTTCTTCTTGCTCGCTCGGCGTCAGCAGAAGGACTGATTTTCCTCAGGCCTGATGAGATTTACCATGTCACTGTAATGCCCTGTTACGACAAAAAACTAGAAGCATCGCGCTCCGATTTCTTCAACTCTGATTATTCGACACGAGACGTAGATTGTGTGTTGACCACGGGGGAGCTAGAGGTCATCATGCAAGAAAAGGACTGGGACTTGGAGTCGGCAGTTGCCGGTGAACAAGACCACCTGCCTGTTCTGGATTGGTCTAAGAAACCCGATCTGGTTTCTTGTACAAATTTACCGGAACTTGTATCGCATCCCGGGTCGTCGTCAGGATCATTCCTGCAGTCGATTATTTCTCATCTGCTGGCAACATCGGAAAGCCCGTTATCTTTATCGGTCAAAACCATGCGAAACTCCGACTACCAAGAGTTTGTGTTGCGTCGCGATAGCGACGATGTGGAGGTTTTCAAGGGGGCCACATGTTATGGTTTCCGAAATTTGCAAAATGTGGTCAGGAAAGTTGGGCGAGACCGTGGAGCAACAGCGGGACGAATTGCGGGGCGACGGAAACAAGCGGACCGAAGCTATGATTACATCGAAGTGATGGCCTGTCCGGGCGGTTGTGTGAATGGAGGCGGTCAGCTCAAGCCTTTAACGCGATCAGCTGATTTCCAAGGGGATAATTCCAAATGGGGCGACAAGGAGTGGACCAAGAAAGTCGAAGCCTCATATTGGTTGGAGGAGGGTCAAGCTCGCGACGATGCAGATCAACTGCTGCGGTGGGTGTTAGATGATTTAGACGGTGGCACGTTCAGGACAAGTTATCGAGCAGTGGAAAGCGATATAGTAGGATTAGCTGTGAAATGGTAGCGTATAGAATAGTACAAGCGAAAGCGAAAACAAGGCGAAAGCAACTGCAAAGGACCAAAGCACCAATACTACCGGCGGATGACGACCTGATGTCGATTAGGAAAAAAAAGACATAGCAATGCCAAGAGGATGTCTGACCTTGTGGTTTATGAACCCCTCCTGGCAATGGACACAGTAGTCCTGCGACCTGTGCGATGTTGTTTGGGTTTTGTCTGGGCCATAGTACTGCAATGACGAGTTAGGAAGCTGTGTGTAAGCTGTTAACTGATTGCGCACTTGGATACAGTCGAGAGAGCGACAACTTGAGGGATGGCGACTAGATTTGGTGCAGTACCGACTGTTACAGTCATGTTTGGCGTCATAGCTGGTCTGGAGAAATGAGACGCGTGGAAAGCGACAAGACACGCGCCGACTCACGACTAGGTAATGCCCACAGGCATAAACAACCCCGGTAGTATGCCACTGGCACATGTTGGAAGAGTGAACTGGATCGGTGTGGAAGGGAGGGCGTCTCTGAGTCCGAGAGACGGTAACTGAGTGGAGTGAGGTGGTCCATTTTGGATTCGGACTTTTATACTAAGAGTCAGGGGTCACGGTGACGAGGTCAAGAGGTGTGTGACACATTTGACAGCACCCGTCAGACACGCGTCTTTCCGAGCCATGAGCTTGGATGCGCCTCTCATTCGAAGCCGAACCAGTTTGTTTCTGTCCTACCGTGAATCTCGGCTGGTTGCTCGACCACGAAACACATACCCAGAGTCGCCGTTTGCTGCGGGAGCTGATGATGACGAGAGAGAGGGCTTGATTCAACAACAGCCAGCGGTCGAAATCGACCTTCCACCCAAATGGTCCAATTCCGTCTCTGTCAACTGCCTCGCGGAACTGACCCTTCTCAAGGGTCGACATCTCGGAACAAGTTCAAGACATCCTCGCCGATACGCACGCTAAAAGTTTGTACCGCGTTTTTTTTCTCCTTTTTGTTTGTGTTCAATCAACTTCATTTCTCAAGTTACCGCACTCGAGAAACTCCACGCAAAGCATGTCCTACCGGGGTTTACGGACCGCACCCTCGAGGAGCGTGAAATTGAGAACCTGACGACTGATATCACTAAGGTCGACATTTCCTCTTTGTCCTCATCGGGACATCTCCTCGAGTTTTTCATTGATATTGTTACGCAGGACTTTCGCCGGTGCCAGGGCCTGATACAACGCATTGGAACAACGCCGCATTCATTCCCGCCTTCCCACTCGACTGCCCACACTTCTCTAGCTGCCAAGAACGTGCAGCGCGGATTGGCCGCAAAAGTTCAAGAACTGAGCGCGACTTTTCGAAAGAAGCAGCGGGTGTATATGGAAAGTAGGTTCCGGAACCAACTCGCGAATACTTGCCATCGATAATGTTCCCTCTAGAGTTGCAAGGTCATGCGATAAAAAATCAGGATCTCCTGATTGCGTCTGGAGCTGTTTCGCTCAAAGGCTCGGACGGCTTGTCTGCCCTCGATGACGATGTAGCTGCTGCGGTAACTTGGCATCCTAATCTCCGAGCCACCACGTGTTGATCGCGTTCCAGACACATACTCAAGTCCAATCGCTCGCCACAGAAGACCACACTCTGACCACTCGTGACCGCGAATTGACCGAGATCGCGAAGTCAATCAGCCAATTGGCAGAGCTCTTCAAAGACCTCTCAGTGCTCGTCATTGACCAGGGAACATTGCTGGACAGTGTTGAATACAACATAGAGCAGACGGCCTTCCAAGTAGAAGACGCCGTCAAAGAACTTAAGGTTGCCACGGGGTAGGCTGTGTTTTTTGTCCCTCCAACCCCAAGTATCCTAACAGCCCGTAGTTATCAGAAGAACACGGGCAGGAGGCAGCTCATATTCCTCTTAGTCCTCATCATCTTTGGCCTCATTGTCGTTTTAATTCTGAAACCCAAGAAGAAGTCAAAGCCGGACGATTGATCTAATACTGCACGCATTATTATCAAGGGGAGTTGATATGTCTATAGCCGTGTTGTTGGCGCGGAATTGGGCTATGTAGGCATTGAGATGCCAGACGAGCCTGAAGCGGCTCTATGAGTAAGGCTCATCAGGAGGCAACACAGCTTCCTCTTAGTCCTGCTCTAAAGATCTATAGCATTGTTATACCGCGCCAGCACGGTGGAAAGGGTTAATATAATTAAATACGAGTCCATTGCTTAGCGCGGAATCTGGGCCACAGTTGCGGCGGTCGGCATTGAAATGCCAGACGAGCCCTGAGGGCGTGGTGTTGCTCTATGGAGCTATAGGTAGACATGAGCGATAAGAAAGGATTGACAATTAGTCGTTACTCACATCATCTGGATCTGAGAAGATATCTTGCGAGCTGTCCACTGAAAGACCACCAAGAATAAGCGATCGAGCGCCAGGGGCTGCAGGCAAGGAACAACTCACAAAGAACAGCGTTTTGCCCACTCAAGCGCCAACCACCCTCGGGTACAGCAGAGCCTTCAGGGTGCGTATTCTTGGCTTTTTCGAGTTCAGATTTGAACTCGTGCCAGGGTACCTCGGTGTATCGTTGGGTACCCGGTTCGGAGTTTGGATTGCCAGACGGCCCGTAGATGCCGCATTCCGCGAGAGCGGCTTTCAACTGGCAGACCCACTTGTTGCGGCGCTTCGCTGCATTGCCCGACGGTAAGCTTATCAGACAGCGTCAGCGGGGGACCGACCTTTCAGCGCGCCTTGCTGGCCATTGCCTTTGTATTTGATATCAGCAGACAGTGTCATTTTGGCCTGCTCCGGGAAATCTTGAGGCGAGGTCAGGAAGCGCCATAGACGCCGAGTAAACCCACTGACCAACCACGACGACATCAAAAGCCGGTTGATAGTCCCGGCGCTCGGCAGTCACAAAAGCGAGCATCCGTTCCCGCAGCTTTTCCACGTCTTCAAATGAGGTGGAGTAGTTGACATCGAATGTGAATGTTTCTGACAGCTTCCCGATGTTGGCTAAGGCAAGTAAATTGACTTTTTGGGACGTACCTGGGGACTTCGTCGGATGTTTTGAATGAACTTGGCGAAATTTAGTACAGCCATGCGCAAAGGAAACTGCAGAAGCTTCGCACCTGTCCATTGAGAACCGTGCTGTGGAAGGGTCAGCAATTTTTTTTGCGCCGCTCGAGGATGAAAATACGCACTTCGGCGCCTGGACCGAAATCCCATCGGAGTTGATGAATATTGTGCTCAAAAGTCGGATCTTGGTGGAATGAGAACCCGGAGGAGTTCCAGACAATCGATAACTTCACCTCTTTGACCGTATAGCTGCTGCCGGACACAATAACTCGATCGCCCACATCGAATGGATGCTGTGAGAGCGTGAGCAATTCTGTAGGCTAAGCGACAAGACAAGCGATACTTTGATGAAGAGGAAGATGATGCCTTGCGGTCAAACAGTTAAATGTGAAGTAGCAGAAAATAGCACGACACACTCGTCAGAACTTCGGCGAGAGTTCCTCCTATTAGCCAGCTGAGACCCAGTACCAGGGTTCCGGCGCTAGCAAAGCATTCAGCTTGACGAAGCCACAAACTTGTAGTGACAATTTTACCTTGTGACTAAAGTTGCAACCTAGAGGCCAAGTGAGGATCAGAAGCACGAGACAAAAAAGGCAAGAACCTGAGCTTCTAAGGCGACTGCTATAATAAGGATCGCAATGACTACCTGCATTCTAACATGAGGAGCGAGCCAAAAGGCCTGAGGTCGATACTTGCATAAAGCGACATGAAGATATTGTCAAGCCGGCCGACCGCGGAGTCCAAGTCCTGCATAGAATGCTCGATTGAAAGTTGTTCACGATGGAATTCCCTGAAAAAAAAAAGGGGGGAATCAGCCCAAGCGAAGGGAATTCGACGAATTGGCATACATGACGGCCATTTCAACTTCGTCCAGAGACGCATCACCATTCGAATCTCTGTCGAAGAGGGCGAACACCTTGTCCGCTTCATCTTGAGAGCGGAAGAAACGTGTGATGTCTTCCACCAGGAGGTAATTCGCATCAGGTTTAGCAAAGGAATAGAACAGTCGTCTAACCAAGCATCAAAATATGTTCACAAGTTATGGATTGCGTACCGCGCAAGTAAACGGCTGCGGTTGGCTGACTCGAGCGCAGTCTGCACGATAGCTTGCGGAGAGTTGGGCTGCAGAACAGAAGTGCCGGTGATTTCTGCGCACTCGTTGGTTGGCTTGCATGTGCTGGAGAATAATATAGCTAACCTGACGCGACATTTCCAAAGGCGGTTGTCGTAGTTTTAGCTGCAGTACGGACCCCCTTTAAAGCTTTCTTGAGAATTTTTGACGGATTGAGCATATCTTTGGCCGTGTCAGCACGCAAAGCATCTGGTCGTCCGACGTTCTTGGAGTGAGTATAGAGCGTAACGACAGACTTGACGGCAAAGGCTTGATCTGCGATTCTCTCCGCGTATGATCGTTCATGGAATTTGCCAGCGATGAACTGAATTGCAAATTTTTCTGCCAGGAGTAGGGCGGCACAGAGGAAGAAGGCGAAAAAGAGCTTCTGCCCAAGATCAATGATTTGAATAGCGGATTTCGTCGCGTCAGAGCCTTGTTGACTGTTGATGAGTGGGTTATAGGAGACGAAGACGGTCAGCGTCCATGCGAACAAGGCAACCTGTGTAGAAGAGTCAGAACAATCGAACCACGTTTGAGCGGCACCTACGTAGCGATGAAGGACTTGTAGCCAGTCGAGATAACGCCGTGTACCAACCGCAATCACACCGAGTGTGCGTCGGATGATACGAGGAAAGATCATTGCAATGGCCAAACAACCCCACCAACCGCCCCACAGGACAGTCAAGAATATACTCCACCACCGAAAGCGCACGCCCCAGACCGTTTTGTTAGTAGTACCAGTGTAGTCGAGAATTCCGGGAATCCAGATTATTCCTACAGAGTTAAATTTTAAAATGGGTCCAATGCGGTAACGATGCTGACCTAACAGCGGGAAGATGAACAGAATCCATCGGGTAACGATCGACGCATTGAGCAGATAATGGTAGAGTCGTGATGCCTGGAAAAAGGTCTCAACTCAGGCGGGAAGTGGGAGGGAAAAGCTTGCCTGGTTGTTGGGTATATCTCCCTCAGCATAGACGAGGTGGGAGTCGGAACCGGCGGCTGGCAACGTGAACAAGAAGAGTGAATGAATAGAACAAGCGACTTACCGGGGTCAAATTGCTGATACGAATTCTCCACCTTCCTTAATACATCCCATGAACTATTCCTGGAAGGGGTATTCACGCCACCACCACCACGCTCCGCATCGTAAGGTTGGGGCATATTTGGTAGTCCAGGGCGCCTGCTTGAGCTAGGTCCCATGTTGTTGAGGGGAATAGACATAGAGTCGTTCCACTCGTGATTAGAGGGTGGGTAAGGGTGGGCAGGAGCTGGGTGTAACTCGACAGGATCGTACCCTTGTTGTCCACTCATCGAAAGAAAGAAAGGAGATACAGTTGATGATGATGTAATTTTTGATCCGGGCACAGATTTTTTTTTATCTACACATTCCAACCGGCCGTTGCGGGTTGTGAAGGGCTTGCCCAGCCCCCACCGCTTCCCCAACCACCACCGCCGCCACCGCCACCACGATTTGGACTTGCTCCCCAGCCCCCAGTATTTGTTGCTGGCTGATTAGTTGAGTTCCAGCCGCCACCATTGCCCCATCCGTCTGTTGCAGCTACTTCAGGCACAGGTTCGCCGGCAACCATATCTGGCTCTGTTTTCTTCAAAGCCAAAACAATTTTCGCCAACTTTGACTGTAGCTCTGCAAGGCCTTGCATAACAACTTCTTGGGGTCCCAAACTACCATCAGTCTCAACCTCAAAGTAGAACTTTCGTGGCTGAGCATTGAAATCAAACACTTCGTCTTCGCGCGGTGGCTCTTCCTCTTTGGCGTTGTCGCTCAATGGCCATTCATCCCGCGCATCGGTTTCGAACCAGTAGCTTGTGTGTCGTAGCTTGTTATATGGATCGTATTCAAACGACACAGCTGAACAAGGCGACCATTTAGCGTGTTCTTTCGCAATGCCCTGCCGTCTTGTGAGATGGAGAAGCGAAAATAAGACCAACCACAACCTTTTTGGCAATACAACGCAGACGAAGCTCTTGGCCCTTACGAATTTTGCACAATAGCACGGGAGACGCGTCAGGATCGTCTAAACGCGTTCAGAGGGAAAATGTGAATGGAGTGTTGTGGCCCACTTTTGCCCACAGGATGCCCGAAATATTCCCCCCGTTTACTTGGCTCATCTCCTGCTTCACCCTCCCCCATATCGTTGTAGTCAGTACCATACGGCGTCACCTCGAGGTGGTTGCTGGTCACATCCATCGTCGTATTGCTGTGGCAGGCCACATCAAGCTTGAGCTGGATGGAACAGTATTGGCATGCTGCAAGACAGGTACAGTCCTATGTGAAGTCATTTAGTGCAACCAGCGGGCAGATGTCGACGACGAAACTGACTCGCGTGTATCGCATGCCTTCGTCGCAATTGCTACTCAGCAAAGGAACCATTCCGAGTCGATGGGCAATGAATTCGTCTGGTAGAACAGTGGTATTTGCTTGGAACTCCACAAGATCGATAGCTAACGAATATGAGTGCCGGGAGCCAAACACCCTCGACAACAAGTGCACCGATTGTGGGGAGGTCGGCCATCATGACTCTGCGGAGAGAATTGGCGAAACTGCACGCGATCAACAGCGCGAAAACGAGACTCGAGGCCACATACGCGAGGTCCACATTCTCGAGCACAAAGTTGACGCGGTCTTTGCCTAACTGTCGTATCCGAACGGCGGGTTCCATGACCAAGGGAGAATTGTCACAGTGTCACAATTCTCTCTTTTCTTCTTCTTCAACTCACAGTTCGGCGACCCGGATGACACCCCAAGTTCATGGCGTATGCCGAATATGAGTTCCATCTCAGCCAATTCCGCGCACATCTTTCCGGAACGACACCCCATCCACTTCCTGCCTCGTTCATTGCACCGACTGGCTACTGGACTTCGGCCGAAAAAGACGCGTTCTTCCATGGCTTGCAAATACATTCGCGTATTAGGCCAGACCTCATTGCTGCTGGAATAAAAACAAAAACGGCCATTGATGTCTGCACTTATATTGACCTGCTCGATGCTGCTGCTGAAGAATTTGCCCCTGTGCCATCTCTGAGAGCTTTGTTAAAGCCTGCAATGGAGATGTCTGACTTGTGGATTGAGCACGAGGAGTCTCAAGCCCCCAAACTAGTGGAAATGGAACGCGAAATGGAAAAGGACGAGCCCGACGATATGTCTGACACTGAAAACGATACCTGGCAAAAGGAGAACGCGCTCTCGAGGCTTAATGTCCACCACTTGTCTGCTCTAGATAAAATGCGGCGCCATGCTTTTCGAGACCCTCCTTCCGATGGCACGACAGCTCCAGAATCCAAACGCCGTGCCTATAAGCGTCTATATATGAGGAAGAAACGGGCCGAAACTACAGGCACTGATGCCGACCTTGACTCAGTCAAGCTCATTGTGGGTCGAAAGGTGACAAGACTGCTCGGGCGTAAACCTCGGCCTGCTAAATACAAAGTGCGAGGGACCAAGAAATGGATACACTCCATAGACGGGGGACAGCAAAGGAAAATCACCCCAGCAGTGACTTTGGAGGTACAGGAGTCCAGTTCGTCATCGGGTGATTCGGACACCAAACACACTCGCAAAGGTGGTCTTCCTTCAGTCTCTAGGGCTACTCGCGAACTCGAAAAGAAAGGTATTGACGCCAGCGTTCTCTCCGATTCTGAACTCGATGTCTTCGCGCTGTCTGTTCTTGGCAAGCTAATGAAGTATGTACATATTCGTTGCTTTCAAGTAGGCTGAGACCCAACAGGTCTACCCACAATGATGTGGCGCCTGAGGGGGTAGAAGAGAAATTTCGGACTTGCCTTTCCTTCGAGACGGTTGTCCTGCTCAAAGATATACTACTGGACTTCATCACTCCCGTAATCCACAACGCCATATCTCTACGAGAGAAGGAGGTCACCTTGAAGCAGGACATCACGGTTTGGCGTTTAGACAAGCAGGACGAAGTGCGCAGTTTTTTTTACTTCCAAGAGTTGTGCTTAAATGTCTCCCAGATAACTGCGTCGAATGTGAACGATGCTCTCAGAATGCATCCACAATCCTACGCCTTTGCGACGGAGGAAGACCGCAGTGAAGTCGAATCAAATGCGTCAGAGTCCGATGACGAGGGAGAGCGTCGATTTACCGAGGACAAAGCTGATTTTCCTCTGCGGCTTTCTCTCGCCCGCGAAATAATGTCTCCATTTATCAACCTACTAACGGAAGACGACGATGACGATCTTTTGGCGGCTGACACAGACGAAGACGAACTGATATGCGAATTAGACGAGGAAGTGGTGCTGGACGGTTTAGATCGCCAGAAAGAGGTTGACTATGACAAGGAACTGTGGATAGCAACTAGACAACATGTATTGTAGTACCCCGTATCGACTAAACAGCCACATAACCGCCTCGGTGGGTCGGAGACCGTCTTCTTAGACACAAATGCTGGACAACATCGCGCAGCATATAGGGCACCTCCGTCCAGAAATCTCGATGAGGGATCAGATCCAACCCGGAAGCACCGTATTGCGTGTATTGGTAATAGGCTCCTAGAATGAAGTAGGTCGCAAAGCCTATGACGAGCCTAGAAATGCGAATTGAGCTTGCGCCGAGAAAAAGGCATTGAGGGCTCACAAGAGCAAGAACCAGCCCATCGAAGAGAGACCGCCGGATGGGGGTGGCTTGGTAGTACCCACGTCTGGCTTACTGCCTGGAGGGGGGTTTTCTTCACCCACAAACCCGCAGCCAGCCGGCGTAGACCACTCTACTGCTAGCTGTTGGCCGTCGTATGACTTGAATGCAGGCTCTGATGCACTCGTTGCACAGAGCAAATTCACGATAGTACTCTGTTGCACTTCTGTTGAGTTGATGGGATGTGGATAAGAGCCTGCGTGAAGTAAAATAGACACGCCCTTTGGCGCTGCAGAAGGGCTTAGTTGGAGTGCCAAAAAATCATTTAACCACGCACATTTCAGGGTGGTATATTTGGGGGCAAGATTGGCTGTTTGTGCCAGGGGGACAACTGAAGTTATTCGTCTATCGCTCCCGTCCTTGTGGTTGACTTTGGTCAGACAAACACGAGTACCTGGTGAAGGACACTGTTTTCGAAACAAATTTGTGAGAGCACGCTCAGATTCACACAAGCGAACACGCACTTGGTCAGACTCGTTAACGCCATCCAGCTTCTTTAGGTCCTGGCACAGAGACAGGCGGACCAGGTCCTCCTCCCGGGTTGGTGGTGTTGACCGTTCTCGTTTTAGCGAATGCTCGTCTGAGAGGGAAGATAGGTCGTATTTGAGGCCATCGAGCAGCAAAGGACTTGAGCCTGAGAGAATTGAATAGGCTCCACGCGTCGAGAAGGTGAAAAGAGCCTACAATCGAGTCCCTGTTGGTCGTCACCGACGACTGCGGGTATGCAACTTGAAAGTAAGAGAACGAAGAAGCATAGGTCGTTCTTTCGGAGAATCATGGTAGGTATATTAAAGTTTAGCGGCAGGGAATAGTGTTCGGTGGTGGATGAGGAGGCTAGGGAAAGTTGCAAGGGTCTACGTAGTACGCGGCAAAGCGAAGCATGTCATTGTCACGACCTCGTGTTTGGACAAAACCACATCTCTCACAAGAAATGCCAACCTCTTCTACTATCGGAGGCTGGACAAGATGACTCGTTTGCTTTGTGTTTCTGCTACAGTCTCTGGCGTCCGACTGATTGGCTTTGGCTGCGATCCCGCCTTAACTGCAAAACTTGGGTCAACTCGAAAGGAAGACAGACCGACCAAGTTGGATCAAGAGCTTATCGCGGGTCTAAAGAGTTCATCTACCCGGTCAGCAAGTTTCTCGCTCCGCTATGGAAGCGCACTTCAGTCTTCCCTCAACAACCATTACTCGTAACCCCCTCGCTGGCAGCCGAATGCTATGGCCCTGCACGCATGGGTAGCGTGACGACATACCAGCAGTCGGCCGCGGGCGTTTGCAGTGGCGGGACCTACAATAGCATGCACACTGATTGCCAGCAGCATTGCTGTGTCTTGACCGAGGCCTGGTTTCAGGGCAGCAGTGGCCAGCGCTCTCAATGCTGGGTCTGTCTTCCACTCAAGTCTAAAGTTGAGCTAATGGTTGTTTGCAGAATGCCTTCAATAACATTATCGCCCAGTGTGTACAGGGCAATGGCCGCAATGGCGGCCAGTGGATTTGGAGCTATCAAGGTGTTACTCAGAACTACTACCTGCAGGCCAACTGGGTTTGTACTAGCGCCGCTGGCATCCAATCGCCCAACAACAGCACCGAAGAGCCCCCATTGACAACGACTGACTAGGATGCGTGAAGTCCAATTTGTTTCTTTTGTTGGTCAGAGTCTACTTAGCACGAAGCATGTCATTGTCACGAACGAGTAGCGTATTTATGTACCACCAAACCTTGCCAGTCTCCGACGACGCATTTCGTCGATACTAACTTCTTCTACGGGCGGAGACTGAGCAACTGTTTCCTCAACTTCCACACTTTCAACTACAGGCTCTGGATTGGTGTTGGTGGGCAAATCCGGTTGCGGGGATAAGTCTTCTGGCATTACCCAGCCAGTAGGTACTTCCTCTAACGACGCCTTCAGAGCCGCCTCTGTGCAACGTCAGAAAGGATAGCTAGAGGCATTCAACTAAAGCCAGCTCACGAAGTTCGGCATCATCATCATCGTAAACTCGGTGCTGAGGCACGCTTGCTTGAGGTACATTGACCGATTGGCTTTCTTCCATTGCGCGCCGAAAATGTTCATCATCGTCATCCTCGTTTCGATCCGAGTCAGACCATAGCTGTTGTTGAGCATAGGCTTGCTCAGCCTTCATCTGTTCCAAGGCCCTTCTATTCCGTTCCATGCTTGCAGCCACTGGGTCCAGCTCTGAACTGACTTCCTCGGTGGGAGGGACGCTTGGCTGGATAACTGGTGGTGCTAGGGCTTCCAATTCACCACCCATCAGTGACGCATGGAGTGCAGCCTGAAGCTCGTAATCTTCGTCTTCCATTCCCTCAATCGCCGTCGACTGCGATGAGAAAGACTGTGGGTCAGGCCGACCTGAGGAAGTTGGCTCTGCAACGGTAAGCGCGAGATCGTCCGCATCCGCATGGGGGAGTGAGGTGTTGGAGGAGTCCGCCGACGTAGCAACAAAAACACTGTAGCCTGAAGCTTGCTGTTAAATGATGAATGCGTTACATTGTTTGGCGCACCGTCCGCCTCTGCTTGTTGGAGTACCATTGCTAAGTATGTCTTCGAGACCCACTCTGGCCTAGCGCAGAAGGAGTTGAGGTTGAACCAGTGTTGACCAAACCGTCGTAGGGCTAGAACACATTAGGGACAGTTTAATCATTGCACGAAAGACATACTAAACCAGTGCTGCTCGTAGTTGAGGATGAATGCTAATTGGTTTCTGACGTGGGTCAGAACAAACAGTCAAGTCTTTTGCGTTAGCCGCACTCGGGATGGTCGTGGAAAGGCCTCATTTCTTCGCTTCGCCACCGCGCCAGCCTGGAGCGGAACTATACGTGAGTCTGACAGCATGACCTTGCATTAGCACAGACCGAATGCCCCAAACGTTGAGGGCGTTTTCCAAAACTTGGACAGAGAAAAAGCCCTTGATTGAATTAGCCCACAAGCATATGTTCATAGTCAAAACACACTGAGTCATCCATGTTTCCGCTCCGCGACCCATGGTTGTCGTCATCGTAGCTTTCCTCCAAGGTATCAAGATTCTTCGCTAGTTCAGAAAGATCCGGTGCAGTAAACTGTAGAAGTACGTGATTCCCAGTTCAGTGGATTGAGATCAGGTTCGCACATAGTTTCCCTCTATGAATCGAAATCGATGAGTCTAGTCAGTTATCGTGAAGATGACCACTGACGGAGCAGTGAGTTGAGTGCATGTTGGGCACAAAGCATCGAGCTGAAGCGCGCTGAATTGGCATTGGGAATGACTGAGGGTCCACAAACCCGTCTTCTTGGCGTTCATGATAAACAGCACGTTGAAGGTTGTTCATGATGTTAGGCAAGCGAGTAACGCGTCACATGTGACAAGCGCGACGCGTCACTCGCTGACCCTGACAATGACGTGTTGATGCTGACACAATTAACTGAACGTTATCCAGTCGCTTCACGTCTTGCGGCTCAGTTTGTCTCTTTTTTGCTCCGGCAAGGACAACAAAACTCTGTTCTCTTGTATGGAGCTGGAGAGAGCGGAAATTAGTCTTAAATTGCCATTTTGAGGCGATGAGCGAAAGACCGAGTGCGTGTGACCGCCATACGTCTCTTCTGTTGACCTGACCCTGTTATCCGGAATTCAGACAAGCCTTTGACCGGCGCCCTGAGCTGAAGCTCGTCACGAGGCCCCAAGATGTCCAATAAATAGGCTGCCTTCTCGAATTTCGAAAGTATCCCACGCTCTCGCAATGGTATTTACATCCAAACGGAAGGTTGAACCGATTCCTCAGCTCGACTTGCTGTCTTTCCTCTTCGATGGACCCTCTTCACTCGCTAAAGAAGACACGGTTCTCCACGCCGAAGCCGCGAACCCAAATAACTTCATCACCAAGGCCCAAGCGCGTGTTCTGACGCGCCGCATTGCTTATGTCCTGCGCAACCGCTTTGGCATAGGGGAAAATGGAAGCGGTGAAGATATTGTAGTGGTCATGTCAACTGGCCAGGTTATTTTCATACCTTCTTCCTCACAAACTCACTGAGATGACCCCTAGATAATGCTCCCCATCCTATTCATGGCTATTATCGCTGCTGGAGGTGTTGCATCTTTGGCTTCGCCCTCCTTTCGGCCAGAAGAGCTTGCGCGCCAAATCCAACAGGGATCGGCCAAACTATGCATTTCGTGTGCCGCGACTGAGGATATACTTCTGGCCGCTTCACGTCTAACGAACACTCCGTCGCATCGATGCTTGGTTCTAGAATCGACCGCCCCATGGCGACTGCGACTGCTGACCAGCTCTTCGCGTATTAACATTGTGGGCAATGAGGAACTAGAGTGGAAGAGAATCACCTCGAGGAAAGAGCTTGATGACAGTCTCATCTGTCTACTCTATAGTTCTGGAACGACGGGTCCGCCCAAAGGTTGGTGTTCAGCATTTGCGTTGTGCTTTGACAACTTGTTTCCAGGAGTTATGATGTCGCATACCAACATGGTGTCTCTTCCCACCATGACCAGCGTGTCGCTGCGTGAAACCTGGCAGAAAGAGGGGAAGTACGACTATCGTACTCTCGCGCATCTCCCAACCGCACATGTCGCGGGAGTTCTTGTATGGTCGTTCATCCTTGGTCACAGGCAACTCACCATTATTAGGGTTATTTCTGCCTTCCATTCCACAACGGCGGGGTCACGTATTGGATGCCTAAATTCGACTTTTTGGATTTCCTCAAATACAACGAGCAATTAAAGATCACAACCTTCTTCAGTGTTCCGCCGATTTATCTGCTTCTTGTGAAGTCCCCCATGGTCAAGAATCAGTTCAAAGCCCTCAGGCATGCGACCGGTACAAATTCACCTTATCATTCTTGGAGAGCGGCTCTAACAGTATTCAAGCGGGGGCAGCACCAATGGGAAAGGACTTGCAGAGCGCCGCATGCAGCAAGCTCGGAGTTACCATCGCTCAAACATGGGGCCTATCGGAGACGTCCGGTTCTGTCACATTGGGAGACATTAATGTTCAAGACCCAAGCGGGAGCGTAGGTCTGATACTTCCCCGCATGGAACTTCGGTTGGCCTTCCAGCATTTCTCGTATATTAATAAACTAACCTTTCGTGCAGTATTGTCGACGATGATGGCAAGGAATGTGCTCCGAATACGCCTGGTGAAATCCTTGTTCGGGGACCCACAATCAGCAACGGTTAGTTTGCGCCACTCAAACTGTCACGACACTCAATCATCAGGCTACTACAACAACCCCGCTGCGAATGCGGAGACCTTCCAGGACGGTTTTCTTTGCACGGGAGATATTGGATATTTTCAAAATGACCGACTTTATATTGTGGTAGGTTTTCGATGTTGTCGTTTCCGCGCTTTCTGAGCTTGCTACAGGACCGGAAGAAAGAGCTGATCAAGTATAAAGGCCTACAGATCGCCCCAGCAGAATTAGAAGCGACTCTCCTCTCGCATCCGCGGATCTTGGACGCTGGCGTCGTTGGTGTCTATTCGACTGAGTTGGCCACCGAGGTGCCTCGTGCTTACGTAGTTGCGGACCCGAAGGTCATCAGTGCCGAGGAGATTCAGGCTTTCATCAAAGGCCGCCTTGCAAGCTACAAACAGCTGCGCGGTGGTGTCGTCTTCATTCCTGCCATCCCCAAATTGCCGTCAGGGAAGATTTTGCGCAAAGATCTACGCATGCTGGCTGCTGGCAAGGCGAAGCTGTGAGATTATTGGATACTCGCTTGGACTGCACTTGGACTGCCTTGTAGTATGTAACATTATCATTGGGTAGCAGTAGACACTCCAACGTCTGAAAATTCCACGCATCAATTCCGACTTCCACTGTGAGTAGCGCTGGCCAGTTCTTGCTAGACCAGAGTGCAAGATATATCATTCAGAGGGTCCCAAGTATTCCAGAAGAGGCAATACAGCCTCAGAAATAGCCTTGATCAAGCCAACTCCCTTTTTAGCCCTAGATTGGGAGTTGGTACACTGAAGACTCTGCTTACGATGGCTAAGACATCGTTGGACAACCGGAAAAACCGACGGTGTCGGACAAGTCACGTGGGCGACATAGGCGAATCAATTGCAAGTCGGCCACTTTCACCCGGTCCACATACTTACCCCCCCTTTGCTTCCTCTCGTCACGAGGCTTAGACGATGTCCAATATATAGCAGGGGACCAACCGCTCTCACACACGGGTGCTACACCATGATCTATACCTCGACGCAAGACGCTGAACCCATCCCCCAGCTCGATTTTTTGACCTTTCTGTTTGACGGCCCTACATCGCTAGCGAAAGACGACAACGCAGTCCTCCACGCTGAGGCAGCAAACCCAGACAACTGTATAACCAAGGCCCAGACGCGTGTTCTGACGCGTCGGGTGGCCCACACTCTGCGAAATCGCTTTGGGATTGGGCAACACGGGAGCGGGAAGGATGTGGTGGTGGTCATTTCTACCGGCCAGGTTGCTTCAGTTGTCAGTGGAGAACGTGAATTGACGTAACTTATCTTGCAGGTAATGCTGCCTGTCTTGCTCATGGGCATTATCGCGGCCGGTGGCGTAGCTTCTCTCGCCTCGGCGTCCTTTCGGCCAGAGGAACTGGCCCGCCAAATCCAACATGGAGATGCCAAACTGTGCATCTCTTGTTCAGCAAGCCAAAACACTCTTTTGGAAGCTGCCCGGCTCATCGAGGTCCCCTTGCATCGATGCTTAGTGCTGGAATCGACAGTGCCATGGCGCCTGCGAGCCCTGACTGGCTCCTCCCACAATAATATTGTCGGAGAACAGGAATTAGAATGGCAAAGAATTACCTCCAAGGAAGATTTAGACAACAGTCTGATCTTCTTGCTCTACAGCTCGGGCACAACAGGTCCGCCGAAAGGTAACACACTCCCGATACGTATATGTCTTCTGACATTGCACTTAGGTGTCATGATGTCACACACGAACATGGTCGGCCAGCCCGTGTTGGCCAGCATATCGCTCCGCAAAGTCTGGCGCACGGAGGGCAAGTACGAATACCGCACTCTTGCACATCTCCCTCCTACCCACGCAGCAGGCGTCTTCGTAAGCTATGAATAATTCTCCAAAACGACAAGGCTCATATACCCTCCAGGCATATTTCTGCTTCCCATTCTACAACGGCGGCATCACATTTTGGACCCCCAAATTCGACTTTGCCGATTTCCTCAAGTACAACAAGCAGCTTAAAATTACGACGATTGTCACGGTCCCGCCGATCTACCTGCTCCTCGCAAAATCGCCACTTGTCAAAGATCAGTTCAAAACCTGGCGAAGCGCAGCGTGTAAGGGTCCCTCCTACGTACTCGGCTGTTCTGATGTTATTCTAGCTGGCGCGGCGCCATTAGGAAAGGAATTGCAACTGGAGGCGAGCAAGAAGCTCGGCGTCAACATCAGCCAAACGTGGGGCATGACGGAAACGTCTGCCGTTGTTACAATGGTGCCTCATAGTGTCGAAGAGCGAACCGGAGCCGCTGGTATATTGCTTCCCCATTTGGAGATTCGGTGGGTTGGCTTGAGTTTCCGTCTCACCGGCCTAACGCTTTCATAGGATCGTCGATGAGAATGACAAGGATTGCCCCGCTGAAACGCCAGGCGAAATCCTAGTCCGCGGTCCGACAGTCACGAAAGGTTTGGTCGCATAGAACGATTGGGTCCTGGAAGTGAATTATTTGGCCAGGATACTACAAAAACCCGACCGCGAATGCAGAAACCTTTAAAGACGGCTTTCTCTGCACTGGAGACATTGGCTTGTTCAAAAATGGGCAGCTCTACATCGTCGTATGTCCACACACTGAATTTCTTTCGTTGTCTGATAACCATATATAGGACCGCAAGAAAGAGCTGATCAAGTACAAAGGCCTGCAAATCGCACCAGCGGAGTTGGAAGCAACGCTTCTCTCACATCCACGCATCTTGGACGCAGCTGTGATCGGGGTCCATTCGGCCGAACTAGAAACAGAGGTACCCCGCGCCTACGTCGTCGCTGACCCCAAGGGTATCAGCGCCGACGACATCAAAGCGTTGATCAAAGAGCGACTGGCCAGCTATAAGCAGCTGCGGGGAGGTGTTGTTTTCGTTGCTGAGATTCCGAAATCACCTTCGGGTAAGATACTGCGTAGGGAGCTGCGAGCGATGGCTACGGAATCGGCCAAAGCAAAGCTATAACTGAAATGTATTGACATCAACAAATTCCTTGACGCGGTCATGTGACAAACGGTGTCCTCAATTAGAGCAAGTTGCCAACGGGAGGGTTTACAAAAGCGTCTGAGGCGGTAGAGTCATATACGAGGGAGCCGCGCACGTAAGTCTGCTTGACTTGACCGCGCAGATTCAGCCCTTCATAAGCTGACAACTTGTTCTTGAAATGAAGCGACTCTTTGGTGACCTGTCAACAAGTGATCAAACAGAAATCATCGAGACAAGACGAGACAAACAGTGAACTCAGCATCTGGGTCCCAAACGACAAAATCAGCGTCGAACCCGACTTTGAGTGCGCCCTTGCGGTGATGCAGACTCGCGTGTTCAGCTGTCTTTTTGCTCGTCCAATCAAGTATTTGGGCAAGACTCACACCACGCTTCGACCCCTCGGTCCAGAGGAGGCTAAGGCCGAGACCTAACGTGCTAATTCCGCCCCAAGCTCCCATAATATCGCCATCGTCAATGTGCTTCAATTCGGCTACACACGGACTGTGGTCAGATACCACGCAGTCAATTGTTCCGTCAAGTAGGGCCTCCCATAGCAGCTGGCGGTTGGTGTCGTCGCGGATGGGGGGACAGCACTTGAATTCGGGGTGGCCATCAGGAAGGTGGTCCGCAGCGAGACAAAGGTAATGAAAGCAAGTTTCCACAGTCAGCTTCGCACCAGCGGCCTTTGCCGCTCGAATCACTGGGAGGGCAGATGCAGCAGACAGATGGACAATGTGGCATCTGAGCGCAGGATACCGTTGTTGGAGCCTTGTGATAAGAGAGATGGCATCGACTTCAAGCTTCTCTGGCCTTGATTGCAAGAAGGTGTTATAAGCTGTCGACGGCTGCGGTGGTTGCGCGGGTTGCGACGGGGCGTGGTCAAATTCCGCGTGAAACAGAAGAACCGTAGAGAGATCCTTGGGTGGCGAGTTAACACTTTGGTTAATATCGACTGTCGGAATGAACCTGGAGAATCTCCATCGCAGATTGGGTATCCTCCTCTGACACACAAGGGAATTCCTTCGCAGCGTTAAGATAAGAATCAGTGATATAGACGGCGACTATACCTCGACACCACTGTCTATGAGAAAACATTTGAACCCTTTGACGCCAGCATCAACAAGCGGTCTAAGATGGTGCTAGCAGGCATGATCCGTGCTGGCTCGAGGAATGTAGTCGGAAATATACCTGATTTCCAGGTATGACGCCGCCCCAGAAGGCGACGTCAGTGAAACATTGGTTGGTGGCTGCTGCGCGCTTAAGGTCGAGATTGGCTGATGAACAGGTGGGAGGGAGCGAGTTTAAAGGCATGTCTACGACACAAGTGACGCCGCCAGCAGCCGCTAAGATGAGGAGTTGGTTCAAGCTTATCGAGCAAGATGTTGGCCGCACCTGCCCGTGTTCCCGTCCAGAAGCCCTGGTGGAAGAAAGAAAGATCGGATGAATGCGAGAAAAGGGAAGAAGCGCTTACTTCCCATGCTGTTCTTCCAGGTTCATTGAGGTGGACATGAGCACTGGATGGAGTCAAAACGTTTTGGATTGATCATGACATGGTCAACTTACTCAACGAGACCAGCGATAAGGATGTAGCTTCCAGCATCGATGTCGCTTTTGCGCCAGCCGTCTTCAATAGCCACTATTTTTCCTGATTCGATGGTTAGCGTCGCTGGACGAGGGTCCAGAGAATCGGGTAGCAGGACCCGTTGGCCAGTGACTGTCAAAGTTTGAGACATGGTCATGATGTTGACTCGAGCCGAGCTTCGTGGTCTAATTCTGGCAACTCGGAAGTTGACACCGCCATCACGAGCTAATTGATGAGCTTCCGGATTTGGTTACTCTAGCCTGTAGCTTAGCTTGCGGCAAAAGGAAAGTGAGGTTGGAAAAGCACAAAACGTGGAACTTGAAGTGAATAAATAATGGGCTCTCAACTCTAAAGCCATTGGAAGATAGAAGTACAGTCAGTCAATCAACCCAATGTGGAGCGAGCTGAGTCGGCTCGGCTCGCGGCAACCAGCTCAGGCATACCGGAGTCTTATGGAGATCTGATGGATCGTCCATCAACATCATGTCAATCTTGCTGTTTGACCGCTACTTATAAAACCGCACGAATGGCTTCATATCGCCACTCATACCTATGGAGATCTCGCCACCCAGCCCCCGCCGTTTACCCACTCTCCCAAAATCCAAATCGCGACCTCTTTCCCGGCCTCTCCCGCCAGTCCCTGGGCCAATATTATGCAAATGCGGGACACTAGTCACCTCCTGTAACGCGCTCTTACCGGCAACTGCTGTCCGTTTTCATCCGTCCACTCCCTTTCAATCGCGCTGACCGAAAGCTCCTAGATACCCTCAGACTCTTGCCGGCGTACATTCAGAGGCTTCTCAGGCAAAGCCTCACTCTTTACTGAAACGTAGGGTGTTTCAAATCACCGCTAGTACGCGTATATTGAATATATTTCCAGCTACAATGTCATAATACTGGCGCCCAAGGTCCGCTCAATCGCCGAGTCGTGTGTAGCTTGCCAACTCACAAAAATACAGGTCCAGCTAATGCAGACTGGCGCCCATCTTCTCGCAGTAAGTTGTCGCAACGCAACCACGATCGAAATTAACAGGAGTGTTTTAGGAGCTAAACTGCGTGAACTGCTCCCAATACTTGGGTTACAAAATCGTTCGGGCATTCGAGCAGTCAGAGAAATGGAAAGAATCAGTCTTTCTCCTCGAGCTCGCAGAACTCAAGAACCTACCGCCCTGTGCCGATTCCTCTGACTCTGAAGACAGCAGTTGACCATGATGACGACGACCCCTCACGCTTTCTCTTTGGGATTCCTCTTCGCAATTGTACCAACACCACTAGACAAGCAAAAATGTACCACCAGATGTGCTATATGATGACGGTTACTCTGCTCCTCAGAGCTTGGCCTTGGAAGCTTGCTTTGTGTCCTCCCTGATCCGCACGATTGCTTTACCCCATGTTTTCCGGTTTTCCAGTGCTTGCAGCCCTTCAGCGATTGTCTCGAGTGAATAAATCTTGTCATAGACAACCGGCGTCGCGACGCGTCCCGATGTTAACAGGCTATGGAAATTTCAACAACGTGAAGCGATAGCGTGAAGTCCATACTCAAGCAGGGTTTGATAGACTCCAGGCATATGCTCAGGCTCGCGGACCGCGTAGCCTCCCCAGAAGATTCCCACGACTACTTTTGATAAGCAAAGCGGAACCAAGTCTTACAATGCACGCACTGGCGATGTTCTTCAATAATACGAGGTTCATAGGCACTTTCTCGATGGTCCCTGCGGCGAAACCGACCACGATGGCTCTGCCTTTCCACGCAATGCATTTGAGGCAGTCTAAAAGATAAGGTGGAGAACGCGTGTTCAATCAAGGGACCAACCTGTGATCATGCCCTATGAAATGTTAAGCTCTCGCAGAGTGGAGACGGCAAGCGTTAAAACCAACCACAGGATCGTAGATGACGTTGACTCCCTTGCCGTTTGTAATTTTGAGAACCTCTTGCTGCCAACCCTTCTTGGTGTAATCGACGACGTAGTCCGCACCACCGAACTTTTTGACAATGTCCAATTTGGCCTGCGAGCCGGCTGCGCCAATAACTTTGGCACCAAGACCTTGTTTGCATGATCAACAACTGAGTGTGATACTGGATAATGACTGACCTTTGGCCAGCTGAACAGCCGCCATTCCAACCCCTCCCGCCGCCGCCGTGACCAGAACGAACTCGCCTGCGCCAATAAATCAATAAACCTACTGGAGAAATCTGGAAGCCTAACCCGGCTTGAGTTCTGCACGCCCAACCAATGCTTCGTAACTGGTCGGCCAAGTAATGTACATGCCTTGATGGACCCTAAGTTGAACAAAACGCGTCAATGGACAACACACCTGCAGCCTGCTCGAATGACAAATTGTCAGGGATCCTCAATATCTGCCCTATATTTACGGCAACGCGTTCGGTATAGCAACCCTGTCCAGTTTTGTTGAGCAGTCTCCAGGGGCAAAAGTCATACCGGAGCCATCCCGAAAACGCGGTCTCCTGGCTTATATGGCGCGCCTGGCGACATTCATCTTTCATGTGCCAGACTAGTACGCAGAAAATTGCTCACCTGGAGGGATAGGATAGCCCTCTGCTATCCTCCCAGCGAATTCCGAGCCAAGCGCGAAAGGCAATGGTGGTTGGATCTAGCATGTCTTTTGGACCGCTTGAAACGACTATGAACTGAACAAATACCTGATATTTCCCTTGGGCTTGAAGAATGTCATAGTAATTCAGCCCTGCGGCCTGTGAAACGATTGTTGTTTGCCCCGGGCTTCGAAAGGTGGACTTCGCTGCTTACATATACATCGACCATGACCTCGCCCTCCTTGAGCGTTGGCTCTGGCAAGTCTGCGGTCAACTGGATATTTGACGGGTGCGTGAGTTCTCGGACTGCAAAAGCTTTCATGTCTTGCAAGCACTGGTCGCGGTGGAGAAACGGAGGAGAAAGTCGACCGGCAAAAGGAACCCCGGATACTTGCTTATGAACTGATGCTACGTAATCAAAGGTGATGGCGCAGATGACAAGGAAAAGATAAGATAAAGATAGCATTTGCATCAGCACAACCTTTGGGTTTTACCCAATTTCTTTTCGGAGAAATGGGCAGATATGCACAAGGGTGGAATTCAAGCTCAGCCTACGTGTCGTGCCCCGGCCGTGGTTCAGGGAATAGGCCTAGGAAATCATAGTGGTACTCGACTTTTGACGTTACAGAGCAGTCACTGGTTTCGGTACTTCCCTAGGCTTTCCACAACGATGGCGTAGATTAGATACGTAGACAAGAAACTAAGATGAATTGCGGATAGTACAGTGGATTAAGTTTTTAGTCAGATGAATGCACGTCCGTCTTTACGAGAAAGCAAAGCCCTCCCCTCCTTCTATGATCGCCAACAGTAGTTGCTGACGCAGCATTTCGTATGATGAGTATTGCGGTAAGTCAATCTGGTTGAAGCCTATATATATACCTAGTCAGCACAAACATCAAGAAGTGGGTCATGTGACAACTGACATGTATGCGCCTGCGGCAGTCGATCTGACTCCCCATATGCGCGGTGAATCGAGAAGCGCTGGACGCCCTGAACACCTTGGAGCTCGGTAAACCCGCCCAATGGGACTTTTGACGTCCCAGTCGCAAAGCTCAGCACTTTAGCCCGTTCGTCACGATTAAACGACTTAAGCGCGCGCCACCACCACACGATGTTGGGGTCCGAACTCGTGTACCCGTTGTATTCTGTCGCAGACCGCCACTCGTCAACATCGATGTCCGGCGTGCCCGAGATCAACAGTTCAAGCTCTTGCTCGTTGAACTAACGCAAACGATAAAACACAGCTAGAAAGAAAAGGGGGGTAACGCACGATGGTAATGAGCTCCTTGGGAATAATCTCGTAGAAACCGCTTGAAAGACCCTCGATCTGGTCTTTGATGGACGAGTAGAGGCGGTATTGGGCAGAAAGCTGCACGAATTCTTTGCGGTTCTCCAAAGTCACTGCGATGCCCTCGCCGCCCTCTTTAAGAGGCACGATGCGGTTGACGCCAAACTAATTGTCATAAGAGTCGTGCATATCATAACAAAAAATGAAATAAAAACTCACCTCGTCTGCCTCGACGCTGAACGTCAACTCCAATGGCGTCGGATCGTTCTCAAGAATCCAGCACAACGAATTGTAGTACTCCGGATCCACCCACTCGACGTCTTTGTAGTCAACAGGTTTCCCTAACAGTTGTCGGTACAGGCTGCGAGCAAAGTACGCGTCGAGTAGTCGTCCATCGTAAATAGCCTTCCCAATGACACGGCCAACAAACTTGAAGAACGACAAGTGTTCTGGGTTGACCCACGAGTTCTTGTTTGGCTGGTAGGTCAGCCTATCCGCAGCACAAGGCTGGAACAGCGCGTTGTTGGGGTCGAACATCTGTCTTGCGAGGATTTGGAACCACTCTCGCGTCACACCGCCCGCATCGACACCCTCCTCGTCGTAGAATCGCACACTGAGCTTGCCATATTTGATATGGTCTCCGGACTTGCGTTGGAGATGCTGGAAACTGTCTTCAAAGACACGTGCGCGGCGGACGTTGAGCTGTAGCGTCCCGTAATGCTCACGTGGATGCGGACGACGATGGAGCTGTTGCGTGAAGTAATTGCGCTTGTTGTCAAAGTCAAGGACGCGAGGATTGTTGACCAACAGGGAGAACGAGCCACTCATTAGCGACGGATTGTTGCGGACCATCAGATTCAGAACTTTGCGATGAGCATCTGTGAACGTTACAAACAGATCCTCCATCGACTCGCGAGGTGTCGTTGGCGATCGAGGTGAAGAGGCCGCCCGAAGGAGACGCGCAGCAGAGGTCGATTTGGTGCCAACATATTTGCAGACCACCATGAGCGACTCGATGAGTGGCAGAAGAACTGTCGCGACATGATCCGTGTCTGGTTTCTCCTCGATAATCGCCAAACAGTCGCCCAGACGCTTCCACAGTGGCGTGAAGCGGAAAGACTCATATATGTCCTGAACCTTGTCGGCCTCCGCCTCTCCAAGCGTCGCTGCAGTGGACTTGTGTGAGTACATGTAGTCAATCGTTTTAAGGACACGAAGGAGTTTCGCCTGCGGTGACGATGCGGGGGAGAATTTGGATGCTACAGAGCCAACTAGAGCATCTCCCTCCGAGCCACGAAGATCTGCTGCCAATTCGTCCAGGTCAGTATATAAACCGAGTCCGAATTCCTGGGCCCTTGATTTGAGTTCCTGAGCGATAACATCGCGGGCATCGGGAATGTACGACAGATGCTGAATTAAAGCCAGACTTTGCTGGAATGTTCGTGCAGAGCAGTCCCCGGTTGTTAGGATATTAACAATCAATCGCAGTACCGGTTGGGGGATCTGAGGGTGTGCGGCTAGAAGAGCAGGCTCCTCATTTGCAGGAAGAGCACTTGTTGGAGGAACAGCAACAGCAGACTCTCCTGTCGTTGGAGGAGGAGGCGTAGCCTCAGCTACAATACGGGTGTTAGCAATTTAAAAAAAATAAAAGACGAGATGTTTCACCTGGTGACGTCACTTCGGGTACCACTTCCGCTTCCGCCGAAGGAGCGGCTGATGGTGGATCAGAATCGGAGATGGCCGCTTGCTCGACCTCTTTTGGTGCCGGGACCTCGGGTTGCTTGTCTTTGATACTAGCAAGCGGCCGCGTAACGGTCGCAAGCAGTGCAACCACCGACTCCATGATCGAAGGAGTCTTGAGCAACGACTGTCTGTCCAGAAGACCCAGGAGCAGCACAATGGGGAAATGCGTTTGGGGCAGTTGTTGTCGTTCTTTCCCTTTCCCCTTCTTCGAGCTCGACCGACGTAGCCCTGCCGCCAGTTCATGCTCCGTTAAGAAGAACAGCGAGGAAAGCTCGTTAGCGGTCACGATGTAAGTTAGCGCCTCAAGACACCGCTGGGCAATCAGATCGGGGACGATCTCGTCTTGGAGATTTGGAAGCGTGAGTGCGGTGAAGTAGTCGGTGCCAGCCTTCTGTTTGCTGGCCGACTTGGGCGTCTGTGGCTTGGTATTCCTGAAGGAGAGCTGCGCAATTCCTTTATCAACTGCCCCAAGATCGCCTGTTCCGTCTTGCAAGATATTCAGCAGGACATTAAACAGCTCTGTCCGTGTCTTGCTATTCTCGCAGAGGTTCACGAGCACTTTGAACAAGAGCGTCTTCTTCAAGACTTGGGGGAAGAAAAGCAGTCTTACAAGAACTACAATTCCCGTCTTATCCAAAAGCTGGATCGCATCATGTGGAGTGACAGTTTTGCGTGACGCGGATGAGCCAGACGCTGCGGGTGCCCCTCCTGAACGGACACCGAGTTGATGGCGCGGCCGACGATTTTCACGATATGCGCCGGCTTCGGCGATCATATGTGATGGCAACGTCTGGATGAAGCTATCATCTTGATCGAGCAGCACCGCTTGCCGCAAAGTGGGGTCCAATGTTGCTATGAAACTGGCTGGATCAATTTCGGCAGGGCCGTTCTGAGGAGGAGCACTGTCGTCTATTTGACGCCGTCTGGCCCGCTCAACAGCCTCTTGCTGGATAATCTCGGCGCGAATCTCTGGAGGAAGAGCATCCAAGAATTCAGCACTGATTTGGGAGTCTGGGGGCCGTTCTACCCGTGCCGCGCGTTGGTCACGAACATGTTGGTTGAGAACCTCTTCTCGCATATCGTCAGGAAGAGCATCCAGGAAAGTAGGGTCGATGCCAGTATCAGTAATGTCGACCGGGCTACCGTGGATCATGACAGTCACCCGCTGAGGTGCGCTAGCAGATGAAGGACCCGCTTGACCTTCTGGTTCGGTGGCGGCAGCATTTTCAGTCGTTGTGGTACTACTGGGTTCATCTGGCCTAGTGTCCATCGTCTCTTCTGTCGGAGCATCGTTGTTTTCTTGATCGCCCACGTCAGCCACAACAGCATCTTCCATAACTGTGTCCCCAGAAGTCTCTGCAGACTCAGCAGGCGGATTTACTTCGGAGGATTCAGCTGGTTTCGTCTCATCTTTGTCATCACTGGGCTTTGAAGCATCCTTCTCTTCAGCCGTTTTCGTCTCTTTAGATGCCTCAGCCGCGTTGCTTTCTTCGGTAGCTTTGGCCTCTTCCGCGGCGGCCTTAGCTTTCTCTTCCGCAGCTTTGGCATCGGCCTCAGCCTTGGCTTGCGCATCAGCCTCGGCCTGTTGAATAGCCGCCGGCATCATCGCAAGTGTCACGTGATTCGCGAGTTTCCCAACACGATCCACAACAAAATCACCGTGAAGGATCTTGACCTCTTCTGCCCAGCGCTGTAGCGTCAGCAGAGGCTCGAGCTCGCGGGCTTGTGATGGGGCCGGATTCTGCCGTGATGGCCGTTCCACGAGTCGGACTGCAGCAGAAATAGCACCGCGTCGATTTTGTTGGATGAGACCCCCGAGCGCCGTCGCAGGAACATCGAGCCTGATAGTTTCCGCGTTTCCTCCGCGGGTGCGTGTGACGACATGTTGGAACAGCTGTACAGCTCCCCCGCCGATAAGATCTTCCAATGTCTGGAGAAGGTCAGCAGAGCCGCCTGCTACGATCCGTTGGGGATGACGCGAGCTGCGGGGTTGGGTGGACGGAGCTCGTGCAGTGGCAGTCGAATCAAGGAGAAGTGGGTGTGTCGTAGCTTCTGGTAGAGGCATGGATGCATTTCGCCCTCGTCCAAACAATAGATTATCGTCTACTGCATGTTCAGCACTGATCAAATAAGCTGATAAAATAATACCTGCTCGACGCCGAGGCACATACCAGCCAGGTGGTGCATTGCCGGTATTGACGTTGATGAAAGAGTCCCCAAAACCAAAAATTTCTTCTGCGGTTATTGCTCTGGGATCGAGTCCTCCAAGCTCGTGACCGAACCTTACTCTAGTTATTCCATGAAGATAAGCTGATAAGATTTCAACTTACCCATCCTCTGAGATTTCTGGTTCGTCCTCTGGATCATTGTGTATGATCTGGATAGGTCCACCTGTTTCGTCTTCTTCATCTGCGTCATCAGCTGGGATAGGCTCTGGGACATCTTGCCAGATCATTTCTTGATCGTTTCCTTGATCATCATCATCGTCGTCGTCTTCGTCCTCCTCCTCCTCTTCCTCGTCGTCTGCGCCATCTACTAGTTGATGCCCTTCCTCCTCCTCTTCCTCCTCCTCTTCCTCTCCCTCGTCGTCGTCGTCATCATCGTTGTTCCACGTGTTCGCTGGCTGTTCATCTTCGTCATGTGACGTGTCTTCACTCTCCGCATACTCCCCCTCTTCATCATCAAGTACTTCCACCTCTTCATCCTCATCGTCGTCCATTTCATCATCCCCTCCAAAGTTGACATCGTCCATCTCGCCTCCAAACATGCCCAATGCAGAATTGCGGTACAAGTCCGGCGTCTCTTCCCTATCTGAATCCTCCATATCCTCAACCTCATCTGATGACCCAGACGAGCTGCTCTCATCGCCCTTCTCGTCGTCATCAACAGCTTTGTTCTTGCTTGACCGGCTCATCTTGATCGCAACCTTGGTCCTATCAAATGCATAAATAACAATAAACTAGATGCGAAAGAAACTTACAAAAACTCGAGCGGACGTAAGATAGACGCAACTAGACTGCGCACATTTGGATAGTTGAGGTCCACCTCTGACAGCGCATTCGTCAGTGTCGCTACAAAGTTTTTCTCCAGCATCACTTTCGCGATGTGGGTCGGCGTGTCATCATGCGGTTTGCGGGTATTCGCGTTGAATCGAACAGTCAGAAGGCGATGACACAAGTCCGCAAGCGCAAGCAGCCGCCCGTAACGCGCTTCGACGTTCAGTGTCGACGGCAGGTCTTTGATGGCACGACTGATCGCTTCAAGCACATATTTTCGCACCGATGCGAGCTCCGGAGAGACCTCCTTTGTATCAGGACTTGTCGACGTGTCCACACAAAGCGCTACAATCAGGGACATCGCCCAGTTGCACACCGCCACATGATCACGGCCGTCCGATGAAGTAGGCTGTGGGTGGATAGTCTCAAATGAAATGACTTCAGAGAGTAAAAATTGCATCGTTGCCGAACGCATCTTGCTCGCAGCCTCCTTGACCTGGGTCCGTTTCTTCGGAGAATACGACAAGAATGCCAGCTTGCACGCGTCATAGGAGAACATGAGCTCCGTCAGACATTGCATCAAGAAACAGCAGTACTGATATCGCTCTTTGGTCGACTCTGCAGGTGAAGCGTCAGTGGTCGATTCCTCCATCTCTAGCTTGCTGGACTGCATGAGCTCGGCGACGAGGAAATGGATGACCGACTCGAGCGAGTCGTTCACCGAAGCCGTGGCCAACGAATCTACCTGCATATCTGTTGTCGTTGCTAGTTCCACAGCCGGCAAGTCCTCGACAGGTTGTGCTTTGAGTTTGACTTGTGCCGGGGTCGCATATGGTGCGACGAGCTGACAAAGTGATTCTGTCACCGTAATGAAAGCGTGGGGGTCTCGCAACGCCATACCACTGCAGTTTCGTACGAAGGTACTCGTGTCCACGATATTCGTTCGTGACTGGGATAGATAGCGTTTAATCGACTGCTTCATAATCGTATGAATAGTCGCGTCGTCTTCGACGACATGACGCAGGATCGTTGCAATGTATGAGGAACTTCCGGAAACTGCCGAGGAGCGAAGGCGACGGAACAACAAAGTTAGACCATCCCGTTTGACGAATTGATTCGCAGCTTCATGATTGCGGGTTAAAAGCACGAAAAGGCGCAAGGTCGAAAGCAGTTCGTCGTTGGGCAAGTCCGGGACAGCCAACAGTCTCAAACAGAAGTCGAACACGATTGTGCGGGCATCTGCAAGGAGCGGGCCTGCTGGAATCTCCTCCGAAACAACTGGCTCACCCTCTTTAGGTAATGTGATTGCTCGCGGTTCATCGGCCAGGGTAAATAATGCTTCAGTGACAAGTAGGTGGGCAGCCAACCATTTTGGTATCGAAGGGTGCTCGGGGTTGATGCTGACCGGATTTGACAGCAAAAGAGCCAGCAAACTGTCAAGCAATTTGGTTCTAAGCTCGGGGCCGAGAGAGGACGGCGATTCGCAAAGCACAAGCGCCAGAAGACGGCATCGGTTGGCTAGAGGTTGCTCTTGGACATCATATGCAAACGGCGAAAGGTCTTTGATGTCCTCAACGAGATCGCGAACAGCCTTTTGTTGATGGGCATTGTTAGGACGGATAAATGCAGCATGAAGATGGAAGATGAGAGAGAGGTGTTCGTCCACTAACAATAGCGCTTGTCGACTGATTTTGGCTCGGAGTGATTCTCGGGCTTCGTTGAGCTCAGACAACCATTGCTCTGTTGTCTTTTCAACTTGCACAGGCGGAAGTTCAGGGACAATTTCATCAACCACGATAGAATCCGCGGTATCTGCCTCGTCATCTTCAGTTGCTTCGGATGCATCAGGAGCACCTTCGTCTTGGTCGGTGCCGGGCAACGGATCGGGCGGAAGAGGGAAGGGATGTGACAATAGCAAGTCCGTCGCAGCCGTGAGGTTGTTCTGAGCACGTGCCAACGCCCGTTCAGCTGCAGAGCGTGGGAAGCCCATATCGATCAGTTGACGAAGTCGATTTTCATCCACCGTGAAAGCTCGCGGTGCCACCGATACACCGCCATCAGCTTGAGTCTCGGGTTTTGCGTCTTCACCCTCGCCGTTGGTGAGCTCCAGCACGGTCTGCACGATCGTTCTGCTAACAGTCAACGGGGCCGAAAGAAGCCAGGGTGCCTCCCAAAGCTCTTGCAAGACGGGTAGAGCAGCGGATCGTAACTTGATGAGGAAATTGTGAGGTTCAAAGTAGCCTACTTCCGTATCCTTTTTGTCACGAGTTATCAAAAGGACTGTTTGGCCTGATTCAAACAATGATTTGGACGTAATCAATGGGTGGATTAGACTGAGAGCGATTTTCAGTCCTCCATAGGACGCTTTGAGCTCTCGGTCACGTGGCTCGGACCGGTCCTCGGGCTTTAGCTGAGCGATTGGTTGGATATTTGCCATAAATTTGCGGCATACGTCGAACACAGTGTCGACTCCTTTTGCCTGGTATAAGGCCAGGAGTTGGATTGTGTGTAAAGTGGTTGGTGTGCGCTCTGTCTAGATCTCAGCGTCCTTCTTTTTACGAATCAGTAGCACTAACCGTCAATTAAGAGCAGATTGAAGAGTCCGAGCATAACTGCATAATAGGACAACGTCGATTGGCCTTCAGCTAGAGAAAATAAATACTTGGACATCTGGCTGGAATACACGAACCAATGCCATCCAGTTGAAGATGGTTCACCATGATTTCGGCGATCACACTAGATGACTCGGTGATTTGTTTCTTCTGACCTGCGTCGGGGTTACGTCGCGTATGGAACATCTTGACTATGGCTGACAGAGTATTAGCATAGATGACCATGTTACAAGCGACCTTGATGACCTTGGAAAAAGGTTGCTAATGAGTTAGGAAGTCCATGGGTCAGATGTTTGAGCGCAGCTGCATTTTTGCTTCGGTTGCCTTCTTTGGCTGTCGGAGACGAGGAAGTCCGAGAGATTTCGTCCATCTGAGCTCCGCTTTCAATAGCAGTGGTGGATACAGCATCGACATTAGGCAAGACCCTAGTCGTCTGCTCGGGGGAACCTTCAAGAGGGGACGAGCTAGGAGTTGGCACCATTTCAATGCCTTTCAGGATCAACCCTTCCTTTAGCACGATATTTTCCCAAATTGCCGCACGGTGGAGAGCACCAAGATCTGTGATGACTTCTGGTCTTGTGCTGCTCATCAATGTCTGCAGAAGAACGATAGCATTACGCCCATGAGCGATCCCTGCAGTGACGAAGACTTCGGATAACAGTGTGATGCGAACATGCAGGGTGACCAAGTCGCGGAACAGTCGATTGCCGTTCAAATATTGCTCAGCTAAGGCAACATGGGTCAGGCCTGCGAAAAGCGGATAATCATGCTTACGTGTAAGGTCGACAAAGGGTAGCAGTTTTGATTCTGCCTGGACAGACTCCCAAAAATCTTTGGTGGTTTCTAATGACTCTTTGACAAGTTTCGACAGATGGGCCAAGGTCTCGGCTGACGTAACTTCTGACATTGTTCGCATGACTTGAACCAGACAGTCCGAAGCACCGCTATTCGCGAAATCGTAAGGGATGCAAGGTAGAGCTGTGATTCGGCCCAGTCGTTCAAGTCCATCCACCAATGTGATGAAATCTTTGCAATGTGGTTGGTGTTGGAAGAGTCCATCGAGAAACTGAGGAAGATAAGCCAAAAAAATCAGAGAGAAAGAGATGACGCACACGGAGGAGAGTGTCCATGAATGAAAGGATACTGTTGTCATGAGTAGCTTTGGGAGGAGGATCTTCCGTGTTATTTTCAGCAGATTCGACGTTATCTGCCACATCGGTCATTACGACATCAATCTCACTGGAGATGGTTTCCTCGACGTCCACAAGTCTATACCACTGCTGCAGCGCAGGAGGAGCGATATATGCTTTGCCCATAATCTCGATCTTGCCGAGAGTTGCATTGAGGGCCTCGAATACAGGACCTTTCAAGAATGGGTGATGCCGAATGAGCTCGTCGACGGTAGTTCCTATCAAGATGGCGTTGTCTTTATCCAAAAGGATTTTCAGGTGAGCTTCGGACGTGAAAATCGAGAATATGGATGGGATGACACTTGGATGGGAGGCGAGTTGGGACACTCCGACTTCATTGAGGCAGAGAGCGCCAATGGCATTAGGGATAGCTTGAATGACCTGATAAAGCTTAACGATTGAAGACATGGGGGAAGGTAAATCAACAAACCTCGATCGCCGCCTCTAAGCCCTGTTCAATTGCGCCATAGAAGACTTCAGGTAAACCTGCCTCTTGAATGATCGCCAACGAAGTGGGTTCATTGTGAACGAATGTCGCCATAATGTTGATAGCTATTCACCAATAAGCAATTCCCGAATATTGGGAGCTGTAAACGCACCCAAAGGTACTACTGTGGGGCCAAACAGTCCCCGGGACTTGATAATTTTCTTGAGGGATTCCAGAATAGACGTATCAACCAACCCTCTCAGACCCTCTGCGGTTCCACTGGATTGCATCATACGGTGAATCGAACGCAAGACGTGCTTCAGAAGGGCTGCACGAGTTACGGGCAGATCGGCTGAAGGACTTGAAAAAGACGATCCGAAAGCGAAGAAATAAACGCACCTTGGCCTGCATATATCTCTTGAGCACGCTGATCATCACCATACTCCTTGATATCCAGATCGATTTCAGACTATATTCAGATGTCCGTCAACACTAAGACTTGGGAATGTCAACGTACCTCGATGCGCTCAACAAGGGCCTCGACGCCTCGAGCAGCGCAAAATAGCTGGAACGCATTCGAGAAGCTATACAGAACGTTATCGACAAGCTGCATAGTTTTCGAAACTAGGGCCAGACGATGGGGCAGCTTATTCTCGATCATTTGAATCAAAAGTGGAATGAGCCCAGCGCCCACGATCATGTTTCCACCGGATGCATGCGAGGCAATGAAGGTCACGAAAGACCAAAGAGCGTCAGTGAAAGATGGGGGAAGGGTGGATTCGGGATTGGCGACATCAGCAACTGTTTTGCGAACCAGATTCATCAACAGGCCATGGTTTACACCGGCATTGACAGCCGTAAGAACTTCCTGAATGCGATTGCGGTAGTGAGCAAGCGCATCAAGCGCTGCCAGAGCAGCAGTTTGTACACCGACGGGGAGCTCCTTGTCGGTTTGGAGCAACTCTGCGATGTGGTTGACCACATCGGGCTCGTAAAGAAACAAGGATGTTGCCGCTTGTGTTTCTGGGTGGGTATGACCAAATATGGCGATGGCAAGGAGACGAACAACGACGAGTTTTTCTCGGTCTGCCTCGTGTCCGCGCATTAAAACCAAAGCAGCCCTGATGCGACACATAAGCTCAAACTTGTCTGCTTCTGGAACGGCATATTTCTCGACAATATCCGCCAAAATATCGACTTCAGACTTGGATTCGAGGGCAGCATAATCGAGGTGGATACTGACGGCATTGGACGTGGTCGGCGGAGTAAGTTTACGAGGACTAGCCGCTGGGAGCTCGGAATCCGTTTCCATCTTATCTTGGTCATTGTGAATCTCCTCATTGGTTCGGTAAAAACTGAAGTGAACTTGACGAGCGTCGGCAGGGAGCGCGTCAATTGCAGGGATTCCTCGAGGGCTAGCTAGATCAACGAGGCTGACGCCATACTCGCGCATGTGAGGCCAGCGCTTTGCAAGTGATTGCAGCCGCGGTGTTGAGATGTTGAGTGCATGGGAAACGGATGGTTGGGCAGAGTACTGTTGCGATGGTCGAAGAAGTAGATTCAACGCAAGTATCAAAACATCCAGATCCGGAGTGAAGAGCAGACTATTGAGGCGCTGAAAGCACATTCAGGTCAGGGTGAGTCAATGCTTGCGACAACTCACATCGTAAGAATGGAACATCTTTCGATTGGTGGAGTTTTCGAGAAGAAGACGCTCAAATCTGAGGATCTCGCAGAGAGTTGCCTTAGTGGCGGGGGTGAAGACATTGAGTTGGAGTTTGTCAACTTGGTAGTCACGAATAACTTCCTCCAGAATCGCGTCGAACTTGTTGAGAACCCAGATCCATGCATTAAGGTCCGACCTCGGCCACTTCCAAGAGTCTATCTCTGCCAGCACACGAGAAAGGTCGTCATTTGGGGTCGCAAGGAGTCGCGCAATGAGCTCCGCGACCTGAGAAGGCTGTTGTGGGGCTAAGAAAAAAACGGAGAACCAAGCTTTCTAAAAGAGCTACCGGTGAGACCGCACGCTTCGACTTGTGTAGGATCTTCATCCTACGCAAAAAAAAGCGGGCAGTGACGCGTTCGGTCGAAAGCGAACGAAGAACACTGTGACGCCGTCTAGTCACACTCAGGCTCAGTCATGGCACAGCTGGACGACTTGTTCTCGCCGGAAGCAGGTCGTGCAACCTTCGAATTAAAACTTCCCAATCGCGATTCCAACGCTGAATTCAACGATGTTGCGCTGGACGACAACCAATTCTCTCCAGTTGCATTAACCCATGACATTCCGGCAAGATCAAGGAGCGCGTCGGAATCATCTACTACTGTCCTAGTCAACGAAGAGCCTGTTTGTCCCCTTTCCCAGACAACGGAGTGTGGTTGACTTGAAAAAGCCAGGAGAACCATCACGACAACGCTCAGCGTCCAACGCAACTGTGCACAATAATGTTCCGTTCATTCTTGCACGCATTGAAACTACGGATGGAGACCCGAAACCGAACCGGGCCAGCCTCGATGGCCAACACCAGCTTCAGGACCAGTTTGAAGCACGCAAACACAAAGACCAGAACGACAGTGATGCTGCAGAGCTTGCAATAGACTGGGGTGTGTCATTGAAATAGTGTGCATCTGACCTGGCTGAGCCTTCTATCAGACTTTTGGGGAGCGGTCATATCTGGTAAGTGATACTATAAATTGTTTTCAGTCCAGGTCTGAAGAACAACCCAGACTATCAGCTATTTGCGACAGAGCATCCAGAGGAACTCGCACAAGCCATTGCTCGCGGGATACCAGGGACTCTGCGAGGTTCGCATGTCTCAATCTTTGCTCACTCATGAACAAGACTCACCGAAAAACCAGGCATGATGTGGCAATTAATGTGAGCAACCTATTCTTGTCTCGTCATTCGTGTGTTGAGAAAAGTAGGGCTGCCTCAAAGGATCCAGAATTAGAAAGCACATATCTAAAGCTGCTAAAAGAAAGCAGCTCACATGAAAAGTCCATAACCAGGGATCTTGGGCGAACTTTTCCTCATCACGATTTCTTCAATGACGGACAGGGCATTGGCCAAGAAAATCTATTCAACGTTCTCAAGGCATATTCTCTATATGACGAACCTGTGGGATACTGCCAAGGCCTTCCTTTCGTCGTTGCCATTCTACTGTTAAACGTATTTGTTGGCTTGTTCATTTCGATGCGCCCTCACTTCCGCTAGATGCCCGATGAGGAAGCATTCAGCCTTCTTGTAAGGCTCATGCACGTCTACGACCTCCGCGGTCACTTTCTACCTGAAATGCCCAAACTTCAACTTCGACTGGTACGGTTCCCATCCACATCATTCTGGCTTTCATCGTTAATTCCCGTTTTCAGTTCCAAGTAAGCCAGTGATTGTTTGTCATTGGAGCTCGCTCAAAAGGACTGTTTCAGTTTGATCGTTTGGTAGAGGAACTGCTTCCTGTGCTCCATGTCCATTTCCTTCGGCAAGGCATCAAGTCAAGCATGTTCTGCTCCCAGTGGTTCTTGACAATGTTCAGCTACCGGTGGGCTAATCTAGCAAGCTGAAACTCATCTAATCTGGACCATAGCTTCCCACTGGAAATAGTCTATCGCATATACGACAACTGCCTTGCAAGCGGTATCGAGGCAATATTTGGATTTAGTGTCATGCTCTTGATGAAGAACGAAGATATACTTTTGTCTCTGAAATTCGATCAAATCCTCGAGTTTCTGAACAATAGGCTTTTTGACCGATATCAAGTTCGTATCAATATCCGTCTAAATGGACCTGCTTTGCTAATAAATTGGTCCAGATTGGGCCTGTTGGCGAAGGCAACGAGAAACCGCAGTATCGTGTTGATGAGTTTGTTCAGGATGCAGTCTCATTATCAATCACTCCATTCATGCTCGACGGCTACCGGCATGAGTACGATGACATGGTGGTAAGCGTCGGTTGCGCCCACAGTAAATCTTCACTCAACCCCATTCAGCGCGAGAAAAATCAAACTGCAATAGAGGTATTCTCTCGTATCCACTGGTATCATCGTCTTATGTACAGATTGATCAACTCCGGAGCTCCAACCGTGTACTTTCTGCTTCCGTCAAGTCTCTCGAGTCGAGTTTGGCACAACTCAATACCGAGCATGTTCAAGTCTTGGTAAATATCAAGCATCTACTTGACAGGCCATTAACTAACAGGGATCGCAGAACGAGCTCGTTCAGGCACGACTAAGGAACGAAGAGATTGAAGGAGAGCTGGTCCGATATAAACTTCTCTACGCCGAGGCAATGCATGAACACCAGGACGGGCAAGCCTCACAACGCATAAGTTTTGGTTCCCTTCTGAGCTTTCGCAAAAACAATCAATAACTATGCTCCTTTTGCTCTAATATTAGATGCATATCGATACCCTCACTGTATTTCTAGTACCCTGTTGTGCATTTTGTTGTTGTCGGGATATATTAATAGGTCATGTGACTGGGAAAGCTTGCCAAAATGCCCTTTCTGCGCGCTCGGCCGCGGCCAATCCTCACTTTCCTTTCGGCGCGTCAGCAAAGACCACGAAACCCATGGATACTCTATTCCGCTGTCCTTCTGGGACTCGGAACAGTGTCGTGGATTGGCTATAAGCCGCTTCGCCACGCAGCGCTCGCCAGCCTGCGTTGTTCCAGAGTCGTATCGTCAGCAATACTTGGGGTAACTAAACACTCCGAGAAAGTTGACTGCGTTTGTGTTCAACCAGCTACAAGGTCATAGATTACAAAATGACATTCGCCTCTGTTGCTGGAGCCTCTGAAGAACAGAGACTCGAGGCAGTCTCCAAGTGTCATACAAGATCGGCAGAGTATGTCTGGCTGGTACTTTGATTCCTCAACTCATGCTCCACAGACGCGTTTTGAGGGCTTTACTGGCCAATGGGGGCATATTCATCAAGGTCAGAGCAGGAAATGAAAATGTCTAGACCAGCACTGAATGTTTAGCAGCTTGGACAACATATGGGCTCTCTGCTTGTTCTACCCAGAGAGTGGACATCCGCAATGCGGCCACTGCAAGATAAATGTGATCCAACTCGTGGGTCAATCCGTGCTTTCCCCCCATGCAACTTCTACAAGCTTAGACAGCTTTCGCCGATATTGAAGCACTATTTAGGCAAGATATGGGCATTCCGCTTTGTGATCTCTTCGAGGTCGATCCAACACCAATTGGAGTCGCTTCGTTAGCACAAGTACATGTAGGGCGAGACCGAATGACTGGGGAACGAGTGGCCATCAAGGTGAGTTAGTATTGATGTTGCCATCCAAAGTGCTCATGCATTATATATAGATTCAGCATCCCCATCTTGCTGAATTCTGCGACATTGACATAGCTGTGGTGGATTCCTCTCTTGGTATTAAGGCTTCAATAGTCTTCAATTCCAACAACTCATGAATGCCGCCAGGATGGATAAAGTTTTGGTTCCCAGAGTTTGAATTCACCTGGCTTGCGGAGGAGATGAAGACGAACCTGCCTCTTGGTATGTCTCAAGCGCGAATCAAGTCACCAATGCACTGACTTCTCCTAGAGATGAACTTTGTTCACGAGGCTGCCAATTCCAAGAGGGCGAAGAAGGATTTTGAGAATGTCAAATGCAGTCTCTACATTCCTGAGGTTCTTTCTTCTACACCGCGGGTTCTCGTGATGGAATTCATTGAAGGCGGTCGCGTCGACGATCTAACCTACCTCAAAAAAGCGGGTATAGACCGTAACCAAGTTGCCCTCGAACTCGCTGCTATCTTCAATCAAATGGTACTCTTGAATGGCTGGTTCCATGCTGTGAGTCCATATTGTCTTTCCCCTCTCTCCAAGATGCCAATTTTCTCAGGATCCTCATCCGGGTAAGTATGCGACAGTTTCTGTCTCTTCCTTTCAATTACAACGCCCATTTCAGGAAATCTTCTGATTAGATCAGCTCCTCCCCACTCGAAATCAACAAAAAACTTCGAGATCGTCCTGTTAGACCACGGCCAATACTTTGATCTTGATCCCCAGCTACGAATAAACTACTCCAAACTGTGGCTTTCTCTGATCGCACCTGCAAGTCCTTCGACGCGAGAAGACCGGAAGAAGTATGCGCAACTGGTTGGAAATATTGGGCCTGACCTGGTCATTGTTTACAATTGCTATCGTCTCCACTCTTACCATCGTTATTAGTATCCTGTCTTCGAAGCTGCCTTGACTGGACGTGCAGCATTGGAAGGCTCGTGGGAGGGACCAGAACGACCTGAAGCATTTAGACGAGGCTCAGGCCTAATGAATATGACACCTCAATCTGAGCAAGAGAAGGAGGCAATTCGAGATGCTGTTATGTCGCAAGACGGCGTCTTGATGTCGGTGTTCGATGTTCTCCGTCGAGTGCCGCGAAGAATCCTTATGATTTTGAAACTGTACGCGTCAAATTTCTACTTATGTAGTGCTAACAGCAGAGCAGGAATGATCTTACGCGCAGCTTAGATCATGCCCTAATGACAACTCATTCCAATGTGAATAAGCCTCGCTCGTATCGAGTCAAGTGTTCACTGAATGTGCTGCTCTAGATCCGCATTTTCTTGGTCTCTGCTCGATATTGTACAACGGCAGTATGGCAGGACGATAGAAGACATTTGATCGAGCAGATGAACAACGGGGGCTTTACCTTCGGTATCCTGTGGCAATACCTACGTTGCTGGTGGGCCTACCGAAAAGCTCTCCACGAGCTGTCATTTATCGAATCCGTACTGGATTTCCAAGCGCTGCTGGTCAAAACACAAGCCTGGTCAAAAGGGTTATTCACAAGAGGTTTACGCGGAGCTTCAGATGCAGCAGCTGGCCTTGGATAGCATACACATTATTAGTCATATAATTACATTTGCTCTCATCTCATTTCAGTTCGTCCACAGCCTCGTCGAGAACTCCTGCTACAATCGCCGATTTCAACGCTTGATACTGCTCCAACGACAACGATATGCCCTTCTTGCCAGGCTTCATTTCATCCGTTGACTGGTAGTAGGGTAAACGAATGAGACGACAAAGTGTCCCCAACACGCACCTTATCCGTATAAAACTCGCGTATGTCCACCAAAACCGACTTCTTGAATTCACGAATCGTGACGCGCTTGTTTTTTCCCAGGTCCACGAATTTCTCTTTCGATTCGTTTATTTGGAGTTTGGGACTATCTTCCACCGGATCTGGGTCCTTTCCTGCAAATTTTGGCTTCTTCACGGTCGATGGTGGTGGGCGAGGAGCTTCCTCAGATTCCGACTCATCCTCAATGGCAACCTTCTTGGATTTCTATGCTAGTCATCAGACATAGAAGTAAGCGTTGAATCCTAGCTAACCTTCGCTGGCTTAATATCCTGACCGTCTGTGCTCTTTCGTTTCGGTGGCATGGTGGACAAGAACGAGAACGCGCCGTGACCAGTTGTGTCAACGCGACGTGACGATCCGACGTGACGATCCGACGTGACGATCCGTCACGTCGCGTTTCTTCCAGATGGCGTCCGACTCGTCTTTGCTTTTCTTCGATGGCTCCCACTCGAACCTTCTATCTGAGACACCGCTAGGGTCGTATTCTATAGCTTCATCAGATACTGGCCCTGGTGGTGCCGATCTTTCAATCTCGGAGTTGTCGTTGGGCGACAGACCTGAAGGTTTCTTCATCGAACGCGCTTGCTATTGCGGATTGCTCATGTTCTTGCTCAGCCTCTGGATCTACTCCGAAAGCGGGAAGGCGGCGGGAAGACAAACTAAGAGACGATCTCTTCGTCCTTCAGAAACTCAATGCTGCGCTTTCGTCCTTCAACGACGCGCTGGGAGATGTTAGCTCACAAAACCAAGTGTGTTGCTGTCTTGACCCTCGGTTTATGATTTCTAACTTTCCCAGCGCATCGCAGCCCAGCTAGAGCAAACCGAAGGCCTCCTTAACAAATATGTTGACATTCTCGAAGAATCGGAAAAGTTTTCTCAACTGATTCTCGATGAAGATTGGCATGGAGCAGATGCTGTGAGTCTTCTCCTCTGTCGCTTTCGTTTGTTGGTTTAAATCATCCCAAGGACGAACTTGAGCTGATGAAAGAACAAGAAGAAGAGGAAAGGCGAGCACAGAAGCTGGCTGAAGAGCGCGCAGAAGCGGCCCTCAGGGAGAAAGAGAGGCGTGCAAAAGAGGAAAACGAACGAATACAGCAGTTGGAGCGGGAACGAATTGAGAAAGAAAAGAAAGAACGCGGGGTAGGTAGAGGCGGTATTGTCCGGGGTGTTAGAGGAACACGGGCTTCAATACGAGCGGCCACGCGAGCGAGAGGAGGTAAAGTTGTTCCTTCATTCCCTTCAATAGCTGATATTTTCTCGTTCGCTAGTTGCGGGTCGAGGTAGAGGGTAATTTGTAATACCATCATGATGTATTTCGCCAGATTTTTGGTTGCTTCTCATCTTCATCGCACGCCATGCATCGGGGTCGGAGTGCTCAATTTTCGCTCTCTGGCCCGTCATCGGTGGCCTCTTCGAGAGTGGGCTCGCCCATACCAACTCCCACCCAAGAATTAGATCGCCCGATGGATATTTATGACGCAACACTGCCATGGTGGCGAGCTGCTGTCCGGAGGAAAATCGTTCAGCTCATTCGAATCGAGTCGGTTTACATTGCTCGAATGCAGGAGGCAATCAGAACTCCGTTGGTATGTTTATCGCACTGCTTCTGGCTTACCACCTTACCATTATAAAGCTCGACAAGTACTTCGTTTACACGAGCGCACTTGGCTCCCATGGTCCCTCCCGCGCTTCTCTCAAAATAGCACAACATTGACAATTCTTGGCAGTATTTTTCATGCTCTTCCTCCCGATGCTGTTCTTCTTTGGCTCAGCAGAGCTGGGACGCGGACTAATTATCACCCTGGGTGTTGGAATCTACATAACCTCAGTCATGAAAGACCTCTTCTGCTGTCCCCGCCCTTTTGCGCCGCCTGTCACGCGATTGAGTGCGTGGCTTTCTAGCTTGCCCACTATTTTCTCACCTGAGAGTCAGCAATCGGAAATGACCATTTGGAATACGGAATGTCTGTAGCATTCGTTCTCCGTGTTGACTACAACTGAATTGAATCAAGGCCGTCGACCCACAGCACCAATAGTGTTTCCTTAGCGCTACTCTTCTTCGCCCATATTCATGAAAACGCATTCCCCGTCGACGGCTCCTCCCCATCTGTCTCATTTCCGGTTTATGTCGCCTGCACCAGCGCCCTAATCTTCTACGTGACGTCAATCGTGTTTGGCCGCATCTATCTGGCAATGCATTCGGTCTTCGACTGTATCCTTGGTGTTGTTTTAGGAGTAGGCGTTTGGCTTGCCCACTCGTCCTTCCGGGGTATTCCATTTACGTTTGGCACCTACCATACGACCTTGCTCAAGGGCTGGGGAGGAGGAGCTTACCTCGATGCCTGGATTGCTAATACCCCTCCGTCGTCATTTCGTGTTCCTCTTACGCTGATTCCACTGGGCCTTCTTGCTGTCAATCAGCATCCACAACCAGTAGACGACTGCCCTTGTTTCGAGGATGCCATTGCTATTGGCAGTGTCGCTCTAGGCATGCTGATAGGTCGGTGGGGTGCTATCCGGTATTTCCCCGGATTTGGACAAAAGACGACAACGATAATGCCTGGAAGTGGGTGGACATTCCACGACGGTATCTGGGAGGCTGTACCACGGACCTGGCAAGATATTGGCCTCTGGTGGGCTATCGCGGTTGCCAAAATGTTCATTGGTATTCTTGCCATCTTCGTTTGGCGTTTGGCTGCAAAAGCACTGATGCATCGTGCCCTGCCCCCCACCTTCCGCTTGCTCGCCAAACTGATCTCGCTTCCCACTCGACGGTGGTACAAACCTGCGACAGACTACCGATTCGCCCCTGGGGTAGATGCACTGCACCCCGTTCCCTCTGTCATTGATCTGACTTCCACCGCTGGTGTTGAGATTGGCGGAATTGGAAGCGGGTATTCGCCACTAAATGGGAATGGAAAGAATGGGCTTCGAAGGCGAATGGAGACCGCTGATGCGGCCAAAGTTGGAGGAGGGACCTCTTCCAAGGAGAGTGGGCCAGAGGATCCCATCAAACGATACGATGCAGACGTCTTGACCAAACTCATCGTCTATGCTGGCATCGCAATAATTTCAATAGAAATAATGCCAGCCGTATTCGAAGAGGTTGGCTGGGGTCTTCGCTCATGGCCATAACGACGATTTTTAACTTAATTTGGAGTCTTGCATTGTAGTAGTAGACCCTCGCTGGTTGTGGTCAAACGTTCATCGATCCCGTGACCGTAATACTCTTTCCTTATGTCCTCGAAACGCAGACGTGAAGATAGCGATAACGAGAGCGACTCTGTGGACATATTTTCCGCCCTAACCAGCAAGCGCCGAAAATCGGAAAGTGAAGACGACGATGAAGACGAACTGGGAGAATTCATCCGAACATCCATCACGAAGAGAGATATCAAGCAGGGGACGGATATTGTGAAAAAAGCCAAGGGAAAGGGAAAACTAGTCAAGGGTGAAGTAGGAGGTGGTAGTTTCCAGAGCATGGGTGCGTCCGCCATCTTCTTGTGCTGACTGTCTTTTTTTTGAACGCAGCATGTAGGTCTACATCCACCCTTATTACGCTCCTTAACACTCCAAGGGTATCGAATTCCGACACCAATACAGCGCCTTTCTATTCCTGCTCTATTGGACAACCCACCGCGCGATCTTGTAGGGATGGCTAGGACTGGCTCCGGCAAATCACTTGCCTATCTTGTACCGCTCGTTCAACGTCTGGGTGGTAGGCATTCCTCGACATTTGGAGCCCGTTCTCTTATTCTTCTCCCAACGAGAGAGCTGGCTCTGCAAATATTGAAGGTTGGGAAAGAGTTGGCACGGGGTTGGCATGCGGGTCAAGGCAATCATGCAGGAGACGCGGAGACCGAGGATTCTTCTTCTTCAAAGAGTCAAAATCTGCGGTGGAGTCTTATTGTCGGTGGAGAAGGGATGGATGAGCAGTTCGAAACCATCGCCAACAATCCTGATGTGTGAGTCCATTTTTTTCTAGCATTAGCCAACCCTAACCCCCTTTTAGCATTATCGCAACTCCCGGACGACTTCTCCATCTTATAGTCGAGATGAACCTCGACTTGAAATCAGTTCAATATGTCGTTTTCGACGAAGCGGACCGTTTGTTCGAGATGGGCTTCGAGACGGCACTCAACGAAATACTGCAACGATTACCCGCTTCTCGCCAGACGCTGTTATTCTCTGCCACACTTCCCAAGTCACTCGTCGAATTTGCCAAGGCTGGTTTAAAGGATCCGAAGCTTGTGCGGTTGGACGCAGAAAGCAAAATCAGCACCGACCTCAAAATGGCCTTTTTCTCCATCAAACAAGCCGAAAAAGACGCCTGTCTTCTTTCACTACTGAGGGACGTGATAAAAGTACCGTTTGCCGAGCGAACCACTCCCGAGGACACAGAAACAGGGAAAGCACCTCGAAACACAAAAGTCAAGCCTTCAGAGCAGATCACTGCCCCGCACCAAACTCTCATATTTGCGGCCACAAAGCACCACGTCGAGTACCTACAAAATATGCTTACGACTGCCAACTACGCGGTCTCGCACATCTATGGCTCGCTCGACCAAACCGCGCGTTCTTTCCAAATGGATCAGTTCAGACGAGGAACAACGAGCATCTTGGTCGTCACAGACGTCGCAGCTCGTGGTATCGACATTCCTGTTTTGGAGAATGTCGTCAACTATGACTTTCCCCAGGGTGCACGAGTCTTTGTCCATCGGGTAGGAAGAACCGCTCGTGCTGGTCGACAAGGCTGGGCATGGTCTTTTGTCACCAACACTGAGCTGCCATACCTTCTCGATCTACAGCTTTTCCTCGGCCGTCCATTGCAACCCAATGTAACCAGCGATGACGACCAGGAGTATACTCAATCGCTTGTGCTGGGGACATTCGAACGCGAAAAGATTGACACCGAGGTCGAGTATCTGCGGTCGTTGGATGATGCCAATCACTCTCTACCCAGTCTGCGGGCAGTTATGCAGCGTGGTCACGCGATGTACGAGAGAAGTAAAGGCAAGGCCAGTCCACAAAGCTATAAACGAGCAAAAGAGATGATCAAAGATCCAAAATGGATGTTGGCTGGCTCCCATTCGGGTATTCATCCCGTGTTACTACGGGGCGACGACTCTGCTCGCAGAAGACTGCAAGAGCAAGCCAGGCAAGCGCTGTTGCGGAGTGTCCAGGCTTTCACTCCTTCAGAAACTGTCTTCGAGGTAGCCGGAAAGGGAAATGTGGCCAACGCTGCCTTGATGAAGGAGCGCAGGAAAGCCTTAGAACGGGCGGCCAAACGACGCGTGTCGGCTCCCATCATCGATGTGGACTCTGACGAGGAACTACCTGAAGTTGCCAATGAAACGGAAGTCGCTGTATGTCCCTCCAAGACGTTTATTCAACAACACGCTCACGCTTTGCATAGGTTGTCACCAATGCTTCTGACCGTGCTCAGAACTACCGCGACGCTGAGTTTTATATGTCTCATTATCAGAAAGATGCGACCACGGAGAAAGGGTGCTTATTCATTTGCTCATACCTCTCATATTCCTTATCACTGTGTTTCTCCAGATACTCCCTTCGAGATGGTGCCTCTTTTGGCGAGCAGGCAAGGAACGCAACATTTGATCTCGTTGGCGACGAAGGCTCCGGGAATCGCCAACGCAATCAGATGACGTGGGATAAGAAGAAGCGGCGGTTCGTCAAGGGCGATGGGGTGGGCGCAGACAACATGAAACTGGTCAAGACGGAGAATGGCACCCGTCTGCCCGCAACATACCGCAGTGGACGGTTCGATGAGTGGAAGGCCAAGACTCGTCAGTCAGTCCCGAGGGTTGGCGAAGCGGAGCATGAGGGCTCGTCAAGAAGATCAAGCAACGGGCAACGATTCCGCCATAATGCGATGCCTGAAGCCAAGCCGCTAGACAAACTGGATAAGAACTACGATCGTAAAGTCCGCCATATCAAGAAGAAGAACGAGGCTGCAGGAGGGGAAGCTCCTCAGGGTCGTTACCGTGGTAAACCTATTGGTCGAGTCAAAACGGAGCTCAAGACGTCTGAGCAAATTCGCAAAGGGCGCAAGTTGCTGGAAAAGCGTCGGGCCAAAAATGCACGTCCTTCAAAAAAGGGCAGACGATGATGACGATGGAATATACTCATTACTTCGTTTTACTTTTATTTGTAGAGTACTCCCACTTAGCGCCACTTCCCGGAATGATTTTTACCTCGCTGGGATCTAGTCCCTCAAGAAGGTCTACCCCAACGCTCTGCAGCGCATTGACACACCATTCAGGGTAACCAGCGTCAGCAAAATACCCTGCAAAAAAGGCTTTTAGGTATTGAGGGAAAGTCCCCGCAATAATGGCGTCACGAGCACCACCCATTACTTGCGCCTGGAAGACAATGTTGTGTATTGTGACCGCTGATTGAATCTGAGCTCCGAAAATTGGACAGAGAAAGGAACAATTACCATGGGCAGCGGCGGTTTCTCGAGTGACAATATGATGGAGCATAGCTCTTGAAGTTCCCTGACTGCAAGTAGGACAAGGACAGTCCTTTTCAATTGGAGAGAAATCAGTGGCATGCTTTGCAAGTCCTGCCTCAAGATGAGCAATGAGAGATCGCATGTTGATGGTCCCATACTCAGATTTAAAGGCCCATTCCTCGTCAAGGCGACTCCAAATCGCGCAGTTCGTGTTGGGAAAACACAATCAGCCTACATCATAAGCTTTTATCAGGTAAGCAAGGTAGGAACCCCCACCATATCGACTCCCAGCGCAACACAAACGAGGAGATCTGTCGAGGTATTAGAATGCACTGCTTGAACAAGAGAAGAAAGATTTCCTTCTGCGAAGCCCACACCCATACAATACCTAGGCTTTTCTTCAGGAAGTTTTTCGGCACATTGCTTTACACTGGCGGTTTGTTAAGGGTGAGAACCAGACACGATATAGGACAGACATTCGCCAGAAGACGTCTGATCGCGTGTGGTGAGGCGACAATCGTCCTGCGAGTGAAATGAGACAGACCTTTCTCTTCACCACCGCTCAAACCGCCTATACGTTCCATTGAGCTCGTTGAGCTGTTAAACTGGGATCTTACCCACTGCAAAGCCTGCCACTTGATTGCTGCGTTCCACCATTTGTTTAAGACAACGGTCCCGAAGTTCATGATCAAGACCGCCTTGCACAATGGCGAACAGATTTTGCGTAGTCTGCTTCCCAGAAGCGTTATGGAAAGCAATGCATCTATCGAGCCAGCGAACAGAACGCTCCATCGCCTCTTCGACCCTCGCGCGATCTGGTGTAAGGCTGGGGACTACATCATCGAGTTGCATTATTATGTCTGCAGGGTATTCAAGGTCACGAAATCCAGTTGAAGAGTGAAAACTACCAGCTCCGATAGCATGCTGTATGGAGATGCTTTCTTCAGGCTATGCAATGATGAGCGACAAGGAAGGAGCATCAGGGACCACACACTGTCAGCATCGTTGGCTCTCCTGTGAAGGGGCTGGAGAATAAGGCGCCTACCAAAATGTGAGTTACAGTTACGCCAAAACACTAATATGGTTTGCTTGCCTTCTTCAGTGATCTTAGCAAACTTGCTAAGGGATACAAATTGAAACCCTCCACTGTCGGTCAGAAGGTTCTTGTTCCAGCCCTGAAATTTATGTGCGCCTCCTGCCTGAGCTAGGATTTGAACTCCAGGGCGCAGATTGAGGTGGTAAGTGTTGTTGAGAATTAAGCTAATACCGAGACTCTCGACTTGTTGAGAGGTGAGGCCTTTGATCGCTGCTTGTGTCGCAACTGGCATAAATGTGGGTAGCGCGGTTTCCCCATGCGAAAGAGTCAATCGCGAGACTCTAGCGCGTGTGGTTGGACATCTTGCCAGAATCTCGAATTTAGCCATCAAGTCGGAAAGCAAGCGGGTAAACGCCGTGACCGCACTCACTCTTAGCACTCATGAAGTGCTCTCGCTCGGCCGGACTGCTGGTCCTTGCGGCCAGTAAGCCTTTCTATCGCGTCCCCAGTTGGCAGTCAACCTTCCACAGGCTTCAATATTTCCCTCGCGTTCTATTTACCTGGCGCTGCCCCACACAACTTTAAGCAAGGCGACCCGGTACATGGCATTTGAACATTTTAACTCGACGGAATGACCTTTTAACAGGTCCCGCTATTCGTCAATGCACTGACGCCGATGCTCACTGGAAGTAGCACTGCGAAATTGGTGCGTGTGCCAACGTCGCGCGTTCTCTGTTGAATCTCATCTCGTCCAGAAATCTCTTATAAATTGTCCGCTTTGCTTCCCCTCGCGTCCTTTTCTCGCCTAATGTCCCACAGACGACTACTACAATCCGCGATTCCATTTCTGCGAACCAACCCCCGGTGGTCCCGTGAAGCAACCCGAGAGTTTAGGCTCTATTTTGTTCGGGGACCGAATATTCAATTCGCCATACGACGTACGTGAATTGAAGGGGTATTTAATCGTGGCTCTTAGGTTAACTGCAGATTAAAATGCTGGAGCACAACTCTTCCTGTCAGACGCTTTGTCTGCAGTCCAACGTTTCTGCAGAGGACGCCAAATTCATTAACGATAGAATTCGCGATGACTACGTTCGTATAGTGGCTTACGCGATGCCTTACACTGACCTGGTTTTTCAGGCTCTCAACTGGCTTATTGATGGGTAGCTCTAAACTCGTGGAAGGAATGACGCTAACGCATTGCAGCCTTCCCGCGGCGGAGTTGAAGATTGACTCAAGGGGCGATTACTTCTATGACCTGGGATTCAACCTTGGAAATGACGAGGGACCGTTCAAAGACACCACACCTGCGCTCAACAATCATTACGACATTGTCCTCCAGTTGGTGTTGCTATTAAGTCTCCGAGTGGCATCTAATTACCACTGCAGATACCACTCTCCAACTCCAGGAAATTACCGTGTGGTCGGTGTTCTCGTTTGGCCGTCGAGGTTTGGGGGGTTTCTTTGTTTTGTGATCGATTCACTGACTGGGCGCCAGCATTGGTGGATCTCAGCAAGACACTCCCACATGTGACACGGACAATTCACATCCTCTTGTTTTGAGCGAGCAACAAACAAATTCCATTCGCTACACTTATCGAGTAACATGGAATGTAGGCCTATTCCCACCGTCTGTTGTCCTTCTCACCGCCCTGCCTAGGAATCTGATACTCCCTGGGTACGGGCTCCTCCCCGCTTTAAACTAACTTTATCCTGAATATTTTTAGGCAACTCGGTGGGTTTTTATTTGTATGTCATATGTATTACTCATCGCTTGTCTAGTTGGGACTCGTATCTCAAAGTTCTCGACCCTCGAATCCACTGGTTCAGTTTGATCAACTCCTCCTTCATTGTTTGTTGTTAATTTGAAGCTGCTAAATAATGAATTGACCCTTCACCAGGTCATTTTCCTTTGTGTTATGGTGTCTATGATCCTCATTCGAAGTGTTTCTCGCGATGTGCGCTCACCTCCTTTCGGTCCTCATTTGTTTCTCATCACCCGGCAGATCTCGCGGTACAATGCTATTGATCTGAGCGTTCGTTCGTTTTCGTTCTTGCTGACGTTTGCTTATCATCATCTTCTAGGAGGACGTACAAGAAGACTGGGGCTGGAAACTTGTGCACGCAGAAGTTTTCAGGACACCATCATACCCAATGATACTTTCGGTTATGAGTGGGAACGGAGCTCAGCTTTGTGCGATGCTTGCAGTGACAATGGGTGGGTACATTTCCAATTCGACGATCGGCTCTAACATCTTTGGTAGTATTCGCCCTCCTTGGCTTTTTGTCTCCTTCAAATCGCGGCTCACTTGCCACTGTGATGATGGTGTTTTGGTCTCTATTTGGCTGGTAAGGGCTTCTGTCTTGATCTCGATTTCACCCTCAGTGTGTATTATCTACAGCATCGGAGGCTACATCTCAAGTCGCGTCTATGCTTCGCTTGGGGGTACGGAAAGGAGGAAAAATGTTTTCATGACTGCGACCATCTTGCCAACTGTGATCTTTACTATCGTGTTCCTCCTAAACCTTTTCCTTCTCGGTGCTGGATCATCTGGTGCTGTGCCCTTTGGTAAGTGTTGGCTCGAATGCTCTATTCCTCTCTTCAACTTGACAACAGGAACAATGCTACTGATTGTGCTTATGTGGTATGGGACACGTTTCTCTAGGATATTTCAGTCTAATCTCCATAGGTTCGGATTGAATGGACCACTTTGTGCCATCGGCGCATATATTGGCAGCAAACAAGGTTCAGTTGCGCATCCAGTCAGAGTGCATCAAATTCCCCGTCAAATACCTCCTGGACCACGATACCTCCAGCCATGGGCTGCAGCACTACTCAGCGGCATCTTACCTTTCGGTAACAAACTCTCTCCTTTCTCCATGTCCATATGCTGTTAAACTACTCATAGGTGCTGCGTTCGTCGAACTCTACTTTGTTTTGTCTAGTCTGTTTGCCTCGCGCGCGTATTATGCCTTCGGTTTCTTGGCCCTCACTGCGTGCATCGTTGGCTTGACCACAGCAACCGTCACGATTCTGTTCACCTACTTCATCTTGTGCGCTGAAGAATACCGGTGTGTGCACTGTTGTTAATCTAAGAACCGTTTTAACCTTGGTGGTAGATGGCACTGGCGAGCTTTCTTGACTGGCGGTGGAAGCGCCTTCTGGCTGCTGGCTTACGGCCTCTTCTTCTGGGCTTCCCGCTTGTCGTTGCACTCGTTATCTTCGGCAATTCTATATCTAGGATATTTGCTGCTGCTTGTGCTGTTGCACTTCCTCATCACGGGTGGGTGTTTCCGCTTTGGAAATATGGAATCGTAGGGCTGACGTCCATAGGCACCATCGGTTTCCTCGCGTCGTACTGGGCTGTCCGCAGATTGTACAGCTCAATTCGTATCGATTGAAGAGGGGGGGGGGCTGTTGTAAATACCGCAAAATTACTAGGACGAATGGATAATAAAATCAGTTGTGTAGTATTATTTTTCTAGGGCCAGGATCACTGTCCTGTCTTTTCCTGCCTTCAGAACGACGACTTGGTCGTCGATGAGATCTGAATTAGTCAGCGTGCGTGATGTTTCCCCAACTGGCACATTGTTCGAGTATAATCCCCGAGCAAGCACGAGAGCTCGAGCTGCAGCTTTGTAATACGTTAGCATTTGGAGCAGAGATATGAGGGTCCATTCGTACAAGTTGAAGACGCAAGACCGTATTTGGAAGCGAGTTTGACGATGGGTGTGTTTTGGAGGTCGCCGAAAGACACATAATGCACGTTGCCATTGTCTTTGAAGGCATCAATGACCTTTGCGGCCTTGAGGTCATGCAAGTCCGTTTCGAACATGATTTTCGTCATCGTCTCCGCGTTGGACCGCCCAGATTCTTAAGCAAGTCAGTGTCTAATCTCTGTGGGTGACTCAGACAAGACACACTGGAGTGAACAAGCTCTGTTAGCTCGCCGGCGAGCACTTTCTGGGCTATTCGTTGTTCTGGGGATGCCTGATGTGCTTCCATCGTCTTATGGATGTCGTCGAGCGACATTAGGGTCAACAGTTTCATGTAACCTTCGACTTCCGCATCCGTAGCTTTGACAAAATACTGTGCAAAAGGGTTGGCTGCCACAAGCAACTTGCGAAGGAAAAAACCTACTTGATAAAAATTGAAGACGCTGGTAAGCTGTGGATCCATCCAAACGGCATTGCCTGCCGACTTGCCGAATTTGGCGCCAGTGGAGGTCGTTAGCAAAGGAGTTGTCAAGCCAAACGCAGAAGGAGGGTCATCGGGATTAGTCGCATTGATTTTGCCAATGAGGGATATGCCGCCGAGTATGTTTCCCCACTGGTCAGAGCCACCGAGTTGGATTGAGCACCCAAAGTGCTTGTGAAGATGATAGAAGTCGTACGCCTGCAGCAGTTGGTATGTGAACTCGGTGAAGGAGATGCCCTGCTTTGATTCTAACCGCGTTCTGACGCTGTTTCGCTATGCTTTAGATGAAATGATGTTATTTGTTTGAAGGGTGGCTTGCCTCTCTTTATTCAGCATTGTGTTGACGCGACTGTGAGGCCCAACTGTGCGTAGAAAGTCCATCATGGTCATCCCGCGATGCCAATCGACGTTGTTCAAGACTCGAATAGGCGCAGACAGATTCGAAGGTAGGTCAACGCGGTCAGCTGCGTAAAGTAAAGCGCGTTGGAAGAAGGTTTCAACATGTCTGATCAGGGAGTTGGTGTTTCTTAGTGTTGTCTCCTCCTCAGCAGTTTCGCGTTCGATGGTTCGGCCTGAAGGATCTCCAATGAGGCCAGTTGCGCCGCCAATCTGATGATTTGAGTCTCGAATCCGAAAGGGAGCTCTAAACTCACCAGAGGTATGATGTTGTGTCCATGGATGTGGAACTGAAGTAAACACACGAGTGGAAGAAGATGGCCGACATGGAGGGCTGGGGCGGTTGGGTCTATCCCCGCATAGACTGTCTGCGAATTTCTTTCGAGGGAAGCCTGGAGATAGTCTGGCGCAGTCACATCGTTAATGAGCCCTCTTGCTCTGAGCTCGTCTAGAAGCCCGCTTGCTTTAGGTTTTGTGTGTAGTGAACGCGACGCAAGACGGAAAACGCGAAGCATGTCACATCATGACCTTCAGTCTGTCTTTTCGCCAGTTCCTTCCTCTGCACGCTCGATGTTATTCTACACCATCTCGACGACCAACTCCTAGGAAACCGCACCATCCATTTGGCTATAAGGCTTCAAACCTTCAGTGGGGACTGGATTCGCGGTCTACCACCCATCACGCCGCGGAAGAGCCCCCATTGACAGACCTTGGCCCTCCGGCTGGGCTTCCCAGGTCTGTTGAACTTAATGACCTTCCGCCTTTCACCACGCTTAACCAGCTGAGGTGAGCGTTGCATTTACGCCATAACTTCAATTGCTAAGGTTCTTCATTAGCCGCATCGCGCTGAGGGCTGGGTGTCCGCCTTCCGATGTACTCTCAGTTCACCTCAAATCCAGATTGGATTTTTCTAGAGGTCCTCGCTCGATAGCGAGCTTCAACCAAGGGGTTCGCTCTATTCCAAAGTGTAGATAAGCCGCTCAACTCTGGTTTAGATAATTCATTTCAGGACTCACAACGCCATGACCGCGTTTTCTCGTCGACCTCTTCTGCTACATGTGCAGTCCGGCCAAGTTGAACTTTTCCCCTCAGACTCTATCCGATATACGGAGCAGGAGCTCGAAAATATTGCCAAGGTTGCTCAGCCTTGGAACCGTCATGCTAGCTCCAAAACTACCGAAGAGCAACAAGTATCTGACCACTCAGAGTCAGAAACAGAACCAACCTCAGAGTCAGAAACAGAAACAACCTCAGAACCAGAAACAGACTCGGAGGCAGAACTATCAGAGACAGAAATCAACTGGCAATGGAGTGATTCAGACTCAGAATTAGAAGACGAAACTCCGCTCGCTGCCCGTGTCTTCTCAGTCGCCCTCACATCCTTCTTTTCCCCGAAATATAGCGAGTCAATGATTCGCCAATTTAAACTTCGACGACAAACACGGTGGTTACTGCTTCAGATCGCTGGCTCTGAGCCCACACGGTTGCCCCATTCACACGTCACCTCAATGAAAGAGGGAATGCAACCCATTGAAATCCATTCACCAGAGCTCAAGACAGAACAACAAAGTGCTACTGTTCAACGTCTGTCAGAAGCGGTCGCCGAGTCTTATAATCGCGAGCAACAACTCGAGGTAGAGTTAGCTTCAATGCGCGCAAGGACTCGAGAAGATGCATTGAAGATTGTTCAACTCACAGTCGAAAATCAAATCCGACAGGATCTTGGCACATATGGGCCCTTAGAAGGAGTCTGGGTGCGAGGTGTCCCTGTCAAGCGGGGAGATGATGTTATTCACGAACTACATGCACTTGTTGCCTGTAGTGACATCTATACGGCAGTCCGCGTTCACACTTTTCTGCCCTTCCATGACCCCGAAACCTATCCTGCCAATCGAATTCGTTACACTGATCAGCCGTGGCCAGAGGCCCTCGGCGATCGAGGTAGTTCTTCCTCTCAAGCGAGTTTTCGGATGGGTTGGGCTCGAATAATTGAAGAACATACGCGCGAGGAAGCTGAGGCTGCTTACCGTGACAAGACAAGATCAGTTTCCCGGGAAGAGGCACATGGCCGATGGGGAAAGGAGAGTTTGGAGGAAATCCGGGAAAGAATCAGACGTATTTCAGCGGACATGTAGCAATCTCATCTGTTGTGACTTTCCCGCGACCTTCGGTAGCTGCGTACGCGCGTGACGCTAGTCAGCCGTCAGCTGTCACATCATTTTCCTGTACCTTTCCTCCTCCTCAAGATGGGATGTAAGCTGGCTTGCTGCCCGTCGTCGCCACCAACTCTGCTCACCTATCGCTCTAGCCAACAAGCCCCGTGGACTTCAAGCAGCTCGCAAGCTCCGCAACGACCGTCGTGAGAACCGCTGGGTACGTGGCTTGATTCCCTCTCTCCATGTCAAAGCCTTATCGACCGGCATAGGCGGACAAAGCCTACAAAAAACGGGCACTAGGAAACATCTATCGCACATCCCCCACCGGTGGCTCGTCCCATGCCAAGGGAATCGTCCTGGAGAAGGTCGGTGTTGAGGCCAAGCAACCCAACTCTGCCATCCGCAAATGTGTGCGGGTGCAGCTCATTAAAAACGGCAAGAAAGTTACTGCATTCGTCCCGGTGCGTCCTCGAATCACTTTTTCCGTCCTACTTGAGGACTTAAAATGATATAGAATGACGGTTGTCTCAACTTTGTCGATGAGAACGACGAAGTACTGATCTCTGGTTTCGGTCGACGAGGAAAGGCCAAGGGTGATATTCCCGGTGTCCGTTTCAAAGTCGTCAAAGTCTCCGGTGTTGGTCTTCTCGCTCTGTGGAAGGAGAAGAAGGTCCGTTATCGTGCCTCATGTCTGGGCGGTCACTGATGCCTTTTTTCTAGGAGAAGCCGAGATCGTAGACGAATGAATCCCATAAGCTGCAACGTAGGATATTATGCTTGGCCTATGCTTGTACTGTATGCAACCAACTGTATGCAACCAATCCTTTCGCCGCCATTTCGTTTTGCCGGGTGATGGGTGTGTGACCAGCGGATGTGACATTGTGACATGGCTACACTTCCACCACGACGAGCTGTACCTCCAGCGCCAACTTCCCAACTTTACTTGCACAATGCCCCCAGTCGTGTTCCACCCCCACCACCTCCCAGAAAGGCCCCATCTTTGCCCCCGAGACGCGGCAGTCGCGATCCTGAGTTAGAAAGATTACTAAGTCGCAAACCTCCACCACCTCCAATTGCGAAATCAGCCCTGCCAGCCCCCCCAGCTCGCCGATTACCGCCAATGCCAGCACGATTGCCAACTCCAGAGCCCGAACCTGAGCCAGAACTCGAAGAAGAAGAAGAGAGTTTGGCGTGTATTAAATGCCACGACTGGTCCTTTGTAGATTCCCATGCAAGTGGGTTTCCTCGTCAATCAGTCACTTCCCTCCCTCTTCTAGTTGAGCAACTGACATCTCCCTGGGACTCTGAGACAGAAAAAGCCCGCGCGATCTTCTACTGGCTACACTGCAACATCGTTTACGACGTTGACTCGTTCTTCTCTGGCAACATCAGCGCCAGCTCCCCAGAGCAGACCCTACGATCGGGCCTTGCTGTCTGTGATGGCTATGCGGGCTTGTTCTCGGAACTAGCAAGCTTGTGTGGATTGCAAGCCCACAAAGTTACTGGTTTTGGCAAGGGCTACGGCTACCAACCGCTATCTCCTGGCTCGCATGCTCCCCCAGAGTCCTCCAACCATGCTTGGAATTGTGTTCTTCTCGATGGCGAGTGGCGGTTGATAGACGCCTGCTGGGGTGCCGGAGCGTTGATGAACGGCACATACAACCAGCGCTTCGCGCCGGTTTGGTTCTACTCTTCCCCCACCGAATTTGGCCGGCGCCACTTCCCTACGGATCGGAGCTACCAGCTCAGGTCGGAGGAAGATGGCGGGCCTGTCTCCTGGGAGGAGTTTATTCTCGATACCGACGGCCCCGTGCTCTACGGCGACTTCTACAATCTCGAATTTTCGCCAGATCTGGTCCAGCCCAACGTTGCTGAGATTCAAGGTCCTGGATATGTCAACTTCCAGCTGTTCAAGCAATGCGAGCACATGAGTCGCGAGCAGAAAGACAACTACGTCTATTTTATCAACCTCCCCGACAACTCAAAGACTACACTCGTCGCTGGCGCGGAAGGCGCATGGGGCGCCTCGGTTTACATTCCTCAGGGAATGAAGGGTGATGTCTCGTTGAACTACATCACCTCCTTTGACAACAGAGATGCGTTGGGCCTCTCGCCACAAACGTTCCAGTCGTCGATTGGTCGGAAGGCTATGGCCTGGCAGGGACTGTGCAAGTGGACGCTTGTGTAGGGAGTTGGATCATGGGAAGTTGAACAAAAATTGAATGGTTGCATTTGTAACACATGTTGTACTAGAATGGAAATTTCCGGTAAATTTATTACTCAAACAAAGATAGTGCGTTATCTAGATGGGATTTTAATGCCCTGCCTGGCCAAATATCGTTGCAAATCCGCCAGCAGCACCAGTTGTTCATCGACCGTCAACCCAGTCGCAATTGTTTGTAGCACAGACCCCACTGTCACATGATACTCGCGGATGAGACTGCCATAGTAGACGTAGACAAATACTCCCATAAGGAACCTTTGAGCATTTTGTTAGGCTGGCCGTTAACCTTGGTCTGGAAAACACATACTGGCAATCCATTCGATCGGTCATCCCGCCATGTCCGGGAATGCTATGGCCGAAATCCTTGATGTTGAAAGCGCGCTTGAAGCCCGACGCAAAGAAGCCGCCAAAAGGAGCCACAAGAGACGCGAATCCAGACATAAACAGTAGGTGGAGATGATATGGCGCATATGGGATTGTGGTGATGGTTCGTCCGAGCTAACCAAGCCGGTCAATGAAAAAACGCGGGCCAAGGCGACTGACGTACTAATGTAGAGAGGAAGACGGCCATTGGCGGCCCCATTTGCCAGTCGCGCCAGACGAAAACAGGGTTGGGTTTGCATTTCACCGAACTCCAAGCACTGACTCCAAGGTCTTGAACGGGACAGATCATATAGTCGAACTGCATGAAATATGTGCCCCAAAGCACACCGAAAATCATCGTGCTCCAGAATGCGCCAATGAATCCTTCAACCGTTTTCTTCGGCGACAGCTGGATCAGTGGAGTTCGGCCAAACGTAATTCCCCACACGTAGGCGAATACGTCGTTGCAGATGACGAGCGAGGCGGGGACCCAGAACCATATTAGACCCTCGAGTATGTTATTCACAATAAAGTGGCTGCGAGAAGCGGTCAAGAAAAGTGAGACCCAACTTAATGAGTAATTCTTTACCTTGACAGGACGATTATGAGCAAGCTCATGTGGACCCAGCAGAAAAGCCCAAACTGTTGCTTCAAGAAACCCTTCTGGAGGGACATCACGAAGCCCACGAATCCGATAGTGTAAAGAGTGAAGCTGATTATTCGGTGGTTGGTAGCGAACGGAAGGAGTTGAGTGTCAGTTAAGATGATGTGCTATATCCTTTCGTCAAAACAACGACGTGGGGTGGGCGATTTCTTGCCTTGAAATAGTAGATGATACTTTCCCCATACAGGAAGTAGTTGGTCACCACAAAAAAGTACCAGTTGAGTGTCGTGCTCCATGGATCCTTGCCGTGTTTCTTGGTCTCCTCCTCAGAAGTCGTAAGCGAGAACAGAGCAGTGACTTCACGGTAAACGAGCGTCTGACATAACATGACAAGAAGTATCATGTACGTGTGGCCCATGAGCAGGAGAGCTGTAAAAAATGCTGAGCGGATGTCCAGAAGCCAAGGAGATTGCCAGCTCACCTATGAATGCTCCGATCATAATGAATGTCCATAATGTTCGTGTGAGCATATTCTGTCTCTTTTTGGTGGTCTCAGCGACCAGGGTGGGGTTTTCTACGACGACTGGTATCGGCTTGGCGACCACAGGTGAGGGCTTCGCAACTGTAGGTGTCGGGTTTGGGACTACGGGTTCAGGTAGGGGAGGGCGAAGTGTAGGAAGTGGTATTTCCACTGGCGGCAAGGGAGTAGGAGGAATTACAGGGTCGGGAATAAACTCTTCGACTTTCAGCGGCGCTTCAGGTTCTGATTTCTGAATGCCATTGGTCAAGACGGGGGGCTGAAGCGGCTCAACCTCCTCGGAAACGATATCTGGAATCAAACTGGCTGGTGCTACTGGTGGGGTCTGTGGCGGGGTTGGTTTGGCCTTTGCTTGTCGGGCAGCTTTGGCAGCTTTCTTGAGCGCTGTCTTGGTGAGCTTGGGTGGAGGCTCTTGCTCGCTGTGGAATAGACGTCATCAGCTTATAAAACGCGCAGTTGGACAAAATAAGACGCGCCTAGTGGGCTCTGATGCAACTTCAGCCTCCAATTCTTCCTCTGACTCCTCCCCAGAGTCAACAGCGAGTGAATCGAACGTCGTTTTGGACGCGAATGAGGGCCGCGACATGATCAAAGTTGTTGGCAAGTTTAGAGAATACGCAAACACGTGTCAATGCCAAGGGAATTTAATGCGACAAAGAAAACTTGCTCAGTGCGCAACTCTACTAGTCGAAAAACAGCGTGGCTACTACTTATTAACATCCTCTTCAAACTTTCTCGGTCCCGTAATACCCTTTCTTCTCGTCGTTGAAGAGAGGAACGTTCCCAATGGTGCTCATTCGTGGAAGACCTTCAGAACCTGGTTTGTACGGGTAGAAGTAGTTCGCTTCCTGGTCGGGAGCTTGTCCGATATGGCTCGGAAGATATGCCCCGAACGTAAACACTGAAACAGATTTCCCGGCAGGCAGCTGGATTCTTAGGATCTGTGGGATGAGTTCAGTTGAGGAGGGAATGCAGAGCATGCGTAACATTGGCGGCTCACAATGTTGCTGCTGAATATACCAGGAGTTTTCACTGTCCATTTCGAGCGTGGGAGGGTCCCCCCACCATCTTGTCGCTCCCACTTACGTAGCAAGGCGTTCGCCTCTTGCTGGCCCTGGACATACAAGTCAGTGGAAACCTCAGGAGCGGCAGTAGTTGAGCTCACAATATACTTCCAAATTGCCATTGGGACGAAAAACAGGAGCATGAGGCCCACGAAAACGCCGAAAGAAATACCACGGGCCTAAGAATCGTGGTTCATCCTAAGCTTTACAGATTAAGTATGGGACGCACCTCGAAGATGTGGTTTGCGACGGTATCATTGCGAGTAAGAAGGGCTTTCAGGATTATGGGGAAAAGAGCGACGGGAACGATAAAGATAGCACTGTGGGTGTACCAAGGTTAGCCTGGTGGATTATATAACAAGAAAAGACAGACCATATTCCGACAAGAAGCCAAATACGCTCAAACCAGACCTTGTTATACCGGGACGCCGTTGCAGTCAATGTTCGGAGCCGCTCAGCCCAAATTTGATCTGGGAGTTCGTCGCGAAGCTCGGGTGGTATGGGCTTTGGATGTTTGGCTGAGTTATGCTTATTTCAGGAATTGAAGGAGCGGCATACAATGGGTGGTTGGGTGGGAGAAAGGTAGAGTACCAAACTGTTGGTCGCATCGCGAGTAGCAGCAAATTGAGCAGCAGGCGCAGCCATAGTAGAAAACTGTCCCTCTGGGGGTTCAAGAGAGAGGCTTTGCGCGGCAAAGGGATCGACTCGGTCGATGAAAGGAAAGGGAGGGAAAAGAAAGTGAAGGTAAGAGAGATAGAAACGATGAGGACAGCATCGTTGATGGAGACAGGTCGGTGATCAATAATTTGCTTTTGACAACCATGCCGCCGCGAGAAAATAGACATCGACGGGCACTCAACTATTGACGAGAACAGGCAACCGGTATGTAGGCAGCGTGAAGTAAGGTCGGGAGTTGCCCCAACGGTCTCTTTGCTGGCGTACATCTACATCGCTCCACTGAACATTGAATCCTAGTTCTGCCAAATGCAACTCTGCTATTCGTGTCGCAACATCATGGATAGTTGGATCTGGCAGGAGATGACTCGATGGTGGTTACGGTCAACAGAATTAGTAGACGCACTGGTTGCCCCCAATCCGTTGAAGAAACTGAATATTCCGTCCCGAGGTGCTAGAAGAGTTGGCAGTTGCTTGAAAAAACCTCGCAGCGTCTCATAATCTTCGCTGAATGGGTCGGTATATACCATGTCGAATCCGCCTTCTGGTATGAGTTCCGTCAACCTATCCTTATTGACAAAGTCCTGCCATTTTCCCTGGAGAATTTTGACGCCTGGTTTTTCGTACCATCCACGCTCCCTCATGTGCTTGAGAACATCTGGGTGCGGCTCGATAATGACGTGTAATGAGGGTGATAGTGTTTGGAATAAGGTGTCAATCTACATTCGATCAACGTTGAGCAAATGTAGGACGAGAAGCATACGATTCCCAGGCCAAAACCGACATTGAGAACGCGCAGATTCTCTGTCTTTTTGCATTCCGCCTTCATCCTTTCCAGGGTGCGTTCCATGATGCCTTCTTCCCACCGCATCATGACACCTACCTCTTCACCATCGATGTCGACCATACAAACATCTTGTCCGAGTTGGTCCTGCTTGTAGATCAACGGTGACCCGAGAAAAGTCTCGCTTGAAGTAGCAGCAGTTTCATCGTTTGCACGCAAGATCATGACGGACTCGTTATCAGTCTTCGAAGATAACAGACCCATAAGCATCTCTGAGTCAAGGTCAGTAGATAAAAAAAGGTTGAGTTAGTCACAGTTGACCTTGGCGTATGCCCGCATCTCGCATGAGATTGTACAATTCTTCGTTGTTGAATGACAATGCGATGTCACCAGCAGTATTGCGTAGATAGTCAGCTATGTGGTTGCTGTTTGAAGACGCGTTGTTCCCAGCCCAACTGACCTACCAGCATTCCAAACCGCGCCGTTTTCAATCAGCAGCTTTGTCAGGGCTACATTCTGGGTGTAGGCGGCGGCATGTAGACAAGATATACCCTCCGATTCGTTTTGGTACCACAACGGTGCCCCGTTTGTGATCAATTGTTGGATTTTCTCCAGCGACTCTTCTCTCAAGATCGATTGAATGAGCTCTTCCCCAGAGGTCGTCATCGCGTCCAGTTCATCGTCTGAGGAGACCTCCATGGCGTTTCAAAGTCAATTTGGGCTTTCTTGCGCCGAATATAATCGGGGCAGGAGGAAGGTCGACTTACTAAGGACACGCGTATCAAACCTTGATTGGCGCCAAGCCTTGTCCTTTCATTCGTCTCTCATGCGACCAGAGGAGAAGAAGTGTTAAGAAGGAGCTAGCTCGTATTGATGTAGTGGGTTGGTCAGAGGCAGTCAATGTCTTTGCAATCAGGTGTGTAAAATTTATCCTCCTCCTCGACACGCAGTCATGTTTCACAGTATATGTCTGTAGTAAAGACATTTCAGCACATCCTCCATGAGTCCTAAGCGAGAAGAAAAGCGAAACCAGCTCACCTCACCTCTGGCTCTTTCTGAACTTGTTAAACGCGTTCCTATTGAATTTCGCCTTGCGATTGTTCTTCCTTCGTCGACTTGACTGATCACTGCTATGAAAGAAGTTGATTTCACGGTGGGACGAGGCATTCCACGGGCGATGCGGAGAAAAGATGGAGGCAGTACAGGAGAAACTGACCTTGTATTTCTGAGCAGGGGAGTTTACCACGATAGACACGTGCCTGCTCGATGAACTCGCGTTTTGGCCATCACGGGTGGAGGATTTGGCCTAGTATATAAGTGGAAAGACGCGTCGCGTCACATCTCAGATCTCAGCTATGTACCACCACCTCTCCAAGACGAAAAAACCAAAGCCAAATCCATATCTCCCAAAACTCACAGAGCTCGTTCGCCCCCCTCCACCTCCCAGCTGGACCAACGAACTGGCGCGTGTGTTTGGTTGCTTTCCCCAACAAGAACTAACCCGCTCTTCATATTCTAATAGTTGGACACGCCCCTCGTATGCTCAAGCTATTCCTTGCTGATCGCTCATTCCTAGTAGGTCTACGTGCGCGAAGGAAAAAATAACACACCTCAACCCAGCTTCCATAATGATGTTTGTCGCGCAACAACGCGCTGGATGACTACTGACAACTCTACTTCGCAGTCTCAGTCACACTCTCTTTCAACGAACCCTCTGCTTGTTCCTATCCTTCAAACCCAACCTATCGACGACGAGCTCGCTGCGCTAGAAGGAGAAGAGCTACTGCTTGCCGCCCAGAAGATTGCCGCCAGCCCGACCCCAACCCTAGCTAGCTTTGACCACGAGCTGTTCACTCCCATCTACGAAGATTCCTTCATCACCCCAACCGACGACATTTTCTCGAGTCAAGTACTATTTTCATGCTCTGACAACGTCAAAAGACCGCTCGCTGACGCAATGAATATGTGGCACCTCGAGCTTGACAAGTTGCAAGTCCCTCGTGCCCCAACCAGCCTCCACAAAGCCGACGAAACCGAATTACTCTTGCCTGAAGACCATGCTCTACATTCTCAAGACCGTAACAAGTCCTTCAACGAATCCGCCAACCCAGAAACATGGGAAGAACTTTACTATCACTCACTCCGGGAAAACCCATATCATGATCTGGTATGTCGTATCGCTTGGTAAATTGCCTACCCTTTACCATTCTTGGACCAGGACTCGGAGGGCAGGCCAGCTGAAGGCGAGGTGCGTTCTGCGCGATCTCTTGAGAATGCTTGTTGTTTTGATCTGCAAAACAGAATACGCCAACCCAGCCATCAAGCCACCGATTCCTCGATGTTTTGGCCGCCTATTTTCCGGTGCGTATTCAAGCTATCCCATCGCTTGTTTGATTGACCATCAACAGCCAACGCCTGACCAAGAGGACGTCAGCAAGATTTACCTTGATCTACAAGCACAAGTTCGTCGCCCCGCAATCGAAGGAGAAGAGGTTCCATATGAAGGGGAGGGCTCTAACTTCTCGTCCATTGTTGCGGCGAGTCCCGTTGATCCGCAGTCGCTGACGGGCAATACCCATTTGAAGGTTGTTGGCGATGTGATGTTAGAGGATGTTACGAACGCAGATAACAATGAGGTGGGTGCTTCTTACCGACCATGAGTCAACGAAAGACTGACATTGTCCAACAGGTTGAGCACCGGCTTGTGAATAGCAAAAGAGCGATCCATAGTGAAGTCAATGGCATTGCAAATAATGTATCTTAGAGTGTTTCGCAGGAAGGAAATGTAATTCAAGTGTACAACACAGAGGGTAATGATATAGTCATGTCGAAGACATTGGCGGAGGCGAAAACACCCTTATTAACCACTGCGGTTACTCCAATCGAGCACCGACCTCGAAAGCGACGGTTTGGCGTCCCCATCTAGGGTATGCAATGTGCCCTACGAGCAGAGGAATCCTCCAGCCACCACGCCGGAACCGGAGCAACCTGAGGATCCATACTCGCAAAAGCGCACGCCCGTTATTCCTTCCCGTATTGCAAAGCGGTGCGCTAGCGCGGAGAAGCAGTGGAGAACAGGTATGAAATCACAGCAGTCTTGAAGACAAAGTAGAAGGATTGGTGAAGACGCGCGAAACAGCACCGTCTCCTACTGGCTCGAGCACGCGCATGTGCCGTCAAAGACGAATCGCTCTGCAAGAGTAATGCAAGTAGGGGGGCCCATTCGTCGTTAACCTAGCCTGAAAGAAAACGAAAGGTGACGGAACAGCAAGTAGACACGGGGGAAAACTGGGGGGGGTAAGTGGCACTAATACTGATTATCAGTGGAACTCTGTCTCCTGGCCTGCGTGTACGGGATGCTAAGGGGAAGATAATGAATCATGGCAGTTCGTAATGAAAGCCAGGGAGGTACCGTAGCTTTGGACGAGAAAGGTTGGTGGGAGATGGTGGAAGACGGAAGAGTTGCGATGTGTGACTGTCTCACACCCACTCATCCGATACGCTGCCTCCGATTTTTGTATAGGACACTGCTTACATTAGCTGCGACATACAAACAAACATAGTCATCCAAGGCAGTTTCAAGCAGTACGGTAGAAGCTTAGGTAAGTAGAAGCTCTAAGTGCATGCATGGCAATTTCGCGATCACGTGCCTCTCTGCAACACGTACTGTAAAGTGATTTTCACCACTTGAACGAGCTTGTGGGCTAGTTAAGTCACAAGAGACTTGACGGACGTTAATAAGTCCTGAGTGGAGATTCTATTACCGCCAGTGTTGTTAATAAGTAGGTACTTACTACTAAAAGTAGTTGTCACTGAGCAGTCTTGAGCAAGTGTGTCGAAGTTCACAAATTCTCACCACTCGTTGGACACTAGTAGTCATAGTACACTGACATGCGTCATAAAAACGCGCCTTTGTCTAACAAGCACTGCGGTTACTACCATTCAAACAACAACTCGAAGCCTAGGAACCAGGTTCTCCAGATTCCCACGCATTACCGGAGCCCCTGAGAGCTCTTGATTGCATGCGCATCGTCCATTGTTCCTTCCCGCAAGGAGGGTCCAGCTTGGAGAAGCAGTTGAGATAAGGCACGAAATTAGACCGAGAATGACGGTGACGCAGGGGTTGGCGAAGACAGACAAAATGGCACCGTTTCCTCCTGGCTCAAGCACGCACATGTGCCGTCAAAACGAGTCGCTCTACAGGAGTGATGCAAGTCGGAAGGCCCATTTGTCGTCGGACTAGATCATAGAAATCGAGCAGCAGGGTGGAAACGAGTCAATAACCGGTGCTACACAGTCACACGACATTCTATTACATTCCGCTCCGCTGATTTTTTAATATGTGGAGCAGCGCAGGACGCGAATAAATAGACTACTCACTCCGCCAAATTGTACCATGTAGTTTGAAGAGGTTGCGAGCAACACTTACAGCTGTTTCCGAAAACCTTGAGAAATACAAAAAATTAGAAACTTTTTAAAAAATGATACCGGTGATACGTCAGACCTTTTTGGGTACGCGAGACCGCGGCTAAGCCGCCCAGGTGAGAGTCGTGAGGCGACGATCTCGGCACGAGAGCACCGGTGAACGTAGCCAGTCGACCAGCCAGCACTTGTGTGTTTGCACTTCTCTCTGGTCCTCGACGATGGTCTACCGTAGGTCAGCAAACCTGAAGTCAAAGTTGTCCATACGGATTGGACTCAAGGCGGCAAGAAGAAAAAAAAACTTTGTTGTTGTTTCGCGGGCACCATAGGGGCTTAGCCGCGGTCTCGCGTACCCAAAAAGGTCTGACGTATCACCGGTATCATTTTTTAAAAAGTTTCTAATTTTTTGTATTTCTCAAGGTTTTCGGAAACAGCTGTAATGTCAACCACATCGGGCGGGAAAGTCAAGTTGAATTTTGTTGCGCACAAGACGCGGTGCGGTGTTTGTGAAAAGTATTGACTGTAAACCTCGCTATTCGAACGAGCAATTTTTTTCCTGTGTCAGATCCCACCCTCTTCCGACGGCCCACACCACAAAGCTGACATGAAGCCGAGGCTCCAGCTCACCCGACCGCAACAACGGGTCCTGCATAATGGGCAATGTGAGCGCGAACCATGCAAAAACCCAGGCCAATCCCAGAGTTCGGCGCCATTGCGTGGAGATGGCAGTATGGCGGAAACAAAGCGCGAAGAGTGTTTCGAGACCAATAGCCAGCGGTTGGATGGAGAAAAATATGAGCGATCCACCGCTATAACCGACACGATTCAACGGGACACGTTCGCCGAGATTATGAATTAGTCCTGAAAGAACAAATGCAGTGCTGATGACCACACAGAGAGACGATAGTGAGCGCGGGGGAAGCTTGAGGACGGTGTTGGCAAGGTAGCGGCCATGAGCTGTGAGTGACTAGGCTGCTTTGAGTGAACGAACTTGTGAAGAGTGAGCTATGCTTACCCGGCGAAGAATTTGATGCCAACCCCGTCTGAAAAAAGCGGTTCCATTCGTGAGCATTCGAAAGCATAATGCAAACTCACGCCCAAAACGTTCGCACACTGGCCATGTCTTCGAGCCCCCCAAACAGCAGCGGCCAATCCCGAGGCCGAGAAATATTCAGTCCGACAGCGCCGATGCTGAGCATGATATGGGGTATAGACAGCGAAGTCACGGCAAGCGCTGCCCAACTAGCGGTACCTGCAATACGCCAGAACCAACGGGTACTAGCAAGCCCCAGTCTGGCGCAAAATGCTGGATTCCAATGCAGTTGGGCATTGACGAGATCAAATATGCAGATAGAGGCCAGTAAGAGGAGGGTTCGTTGAATAAGGAAAGTGGCTTTGGAAATTTCTGGGAGGTGTGGTCGAAGATGCCGAGGCTGGTGACCCCAACCAACACCTCTTCCGCTGGTACAGAAAACATCCAATGCCCAAGTAACGCGCTGCAAGAGTGGCTTTCTATCCAAAGAGCCTGTCGTGCGTTTCGATCGTCTTCCACTGCCGCTATCCTCCAGACGGTAGAGTTCACGTTCAATTTGCACATCAGTGAGCAGGAGTACATCAGACGCCATTAGAAGCCATACAAACCACGTCGTGCTGGTTGCATATCCCGCCTCTCCGTCATATTGAAGCCGTATGCTCAGAAGCAAAATGGGAAAGAAAAAGACGCGACGATGGCGGCGACCAGGGTTAGAGACAACAGGAGCGAGAACGCAGGCAAGAAAAATCGTGAGGTAGGCGAAAGGGAAGGGGGTCCATGTAAAGATGGCCACCATCGCTGCTTGGAGCTAGGCCGACTATATTTACGTCTTAGACCATCCTTGGGGGCAATATAGGACCACATCCGTATAGGCTTTTGAGTGAGGACACCGAAGAGGCAATGGTGGTGGTTAACTTTAAAGGAATGGGCTTGGGAAGAAAGCGGAGAATACATAGACAGTACATACACAGCTCAATCATCGTCGTGGAAAACGATTCGTGGTGCAGTGTCGACAATCTCTGGGCCCTCAAGCGGAGCAACAGTTTCCTTCTCTTCAACGGGAGCTTGCGGCCCAACTTCCTCATCGCCCTCACTATCGCTGCCTTCGCCAGGTTTACGAAATACCAGTTCTTGTCCATTGACCAGCCTCCGCTTCTTTAAAGGTGCCTCCGACGTTGACTTGTTATTGTTGCTCTCTCCCTTCCCCTTCGCCCGCTCCTTCTTCTTCTGGCGCTTAGCCCTATTCTTTGCAGTTTTTGATTCTGCGAGCGCTTCCGCCTCCTTCCGTTTCCGCTCAAACTCGGCAGTATCGGTTTCCTATAAGTATGTTGGGGAGGATCTAGGCTGGTCCAACGAAACCACGCACCTTTTGGGCCGTCTCTTCGATGAGCTTTATACGCTCGTATTCTCTCCTCCTGCTCGCCTTGTACACATGGAACTCGCCGCTACCCGCACCAGCACTAGAGCCCTGAACGTTCTTCATCATTTCACGGGCCGGGCGAATCGTCTTGTCTTGTGGAGGGGTAGGGATGAATGCAGGTTTTTGCGGATCTTTGAGCAGCTTGTCAAGCGCTGAGCGCTGCTTATCGACAGCAGTGATGGCATAGCGCGGCGTTGTTGAGGAGGAGGAAGTCGAAGCCATGGTTGGTGAGATTTAGACACTGAGTCACACGTGTGATCGTGTCTGCTGACATACTCAGGTGTCACGAGTCTTACATAACCAAATTCTCCTCAGTCCATTATGGGCAAACGACGGACTTACGACAGTGATTCCTCCTCTGACCACGATGTTTCTTCGAATTCCGAGGAGGATTACAGCGACTTTGAACGTGCCCCGAAGAAAAAGGTGGCTGCCCTTTTTCTTGCGTTGCCACACCAAACTAACGATTTCGTAAGCGGGCCAGAACGGTTAGAACGCCCAAGATCAAGACGCCCACTACACAAGCACACGTCACAATTAGAGCAACCGACACTCCGCTAGATACGGCCGACGCTCAACAGCGCGTCAGCAATATAGATGAAGCCGTGCTGGGCAGAATACGCAAGGCGCTTGCGCTTGCCGTTCATGAAGGGACGGGGGAGCAAGAAGCCCGTGCCGCCTTGAGAATGGCTACAAAGCTACTCGAACAACACAAGCAAGCTGCCCGGGCCCCCTTCGAGGAGATTTTGAACTGACAGCTCTCAGTGTTTCCCAAGCCGATGTTCTCGCCCACGAAACAGATGCCGAGAAACTACAACGGTATACAGCGTATTCGAGTCCACTGGCAACCCCGTGCTTATTCATTCTTCAGAGCTGGTCAATCAGTCGTCTCAATTAAGAGCACCATCTCTCCGGACAAGGCGGTCAGTCATTTCAGCTGGACAAATGCACTTGCAGCGGCGATGGGGACGTTCTTTGGGTGCCAATCATATAGCACGGTGAGAGAGAGAAAGATAAGGCGGTGACACGTATTAGCTCATCTCCCTGTCAGGCATTTCGTGGCGCGTTTCCAAAAATTGATTGGACGTTTTATGGTTAGTTCCATCTCTAACGGCTATGATATGGATTATTCATGCTATGTAGGGCTTGCGGAGCAGACCGTTGCCGCCGCGCATGCGTTCGAAATGGTATGGCGGTTAATCATTGCTCGTCAAGCTCACCGTTTCTTTAGTGCTACAACTTGATACTGAACTGGAGTCTGAAGCCTGAAGTCGGTAAAGGCATCAATGTCCGCAAGTAAGCTTTAGGAGTATGATTGATCAAATTTTGACTATTGCTAGCTGTTATTGCTCTGGAGTTGCGAGTGGTGTGTCCCGCGCGGTAGACCGCACCCTTCGTTGATATTGATAACAGGACTGCAAAAAATGGCTCGAGAAGACAAAGAAAAGGACAAACAACGTGCGGTGAAGAAGGAATTAGCACTTATCAAAGCACGTGAGGCAGAGGAGGCCGCTGAAGACAAGAGTCGGCTGGACCGACTCAAAGCTCCGAAGGAAGAGGAGGTGAAACCAACGCCTAGAGACCGAAAAGTCAAAGTAGAAGAAGTCGAGGATGAAGACTCGCTGAAACCCAAAGTCGAGTCAGTCACTATAGCGCAACCGGACGATAGCCATGATTATGACGACGATGACTACGGGATAGGCGCCCCTGTTTACGAAACAGTTGGTGCCGATTTCGACGCAGCTGATGATGTCAACAATCTCCTGGACTTGGATGCTGAACTGGAGAGGTCTAAAACTCGAGACCGAACCAAAAGGTCGATGCCTCCGCCTCCACCGCCTGTTATCAAAAAGGAGGAGCCAGAAGAAGAAGAGTCACCGTGGAACTCAGTCTCGCAACTTATCCAATTCCGAGAGACCAGCATAGCTATCGGGGACGACTATCTCAAGAAAGAAGGCATTAAACTGCGGAAAGGGAGAAAGCTACAACCACTAGAATTTAAAGACTCGCGGAGTTCTGCGTCGTATAACCGAGGGAGGGAAGATGCTCGCAAGATAGACGTGCGCCAGAGGCAGATCAAGGATGTCGACATGGAATGAGTGTAGATCGTTAAAATGTGTAATTAATGTACAAGTTGCGTCCTAATCAATATATACCCAAAAGAAAGTCTGTGGAAATGGTCCCGATTTAGTCTGAATCGTTGGAGGACTTTTGCCGCCGTTTATAGGTCTTTGAGCCTTCGACTCCGAATGCCTCGGCAAAGTCCGGTTGATCTCGTTGTTTGCGTGAACCACTGCAGAGGTAGAACTGCAATGATGAAAATATCTCCGCAGCAAAGTCGGCTATTGCAACTCGTCAGATGATAAGGGGGTATAGCGATTTAGTTACCAAAGTTGATGCTAGAGTATTTGTGAGTAAAAAGGAATTTGACAATGAACAGTCGACGGACCTGTCCCACAACGGACGCCACACCGAGGTTGCTGGTGTTCCTTCTTCTCGTTTGTATTCACGGAATGAGAAGGACCAGATCATTAAGGCCGAGAAGAAGATCATCTGCGCTCAGTGAGTTTTGCTGCCTCTGGGGACAGAGAGAAGTGGACCTCAATGCAGACTGCTAATGCGTTCAGCCCGTCCGCAATATTTGTCGTTGTCTAAGTCCACGTTAGTGGTGAATACTGATGCAAAAGCCCATACCCAGTATTTGGTTTCTGGAGGTGGATTAGTTGAACAGCAAGTTCTTGATTGGAGACAGACCTTTGATGACCCTGCCACTGAGAGCACTGAACTGGGAGCACATGTCGAGCACGATTGATATGCCAAAAAAGAATGACTTACGACGAACGACTGATACCTGAACTAATGTGAGGACCAAGAAGCCACGTAGATTATTAGGACGAACCATGTGAACATGACAATCAGCTTAATGGACAGAAACTTGGCGAAAGGACGGCGCCCTGCGAGTTCCTCTCTTGTCAAGCTGTAGAAGAGGAGCAGACCATAGAGCGCTATGCTGATAGACGCAAAATCGACAGCTTCCTGGACACAGATGGGTTTTAACTTGGCTGCTCCAATGTTGGAGCTCACTAGATAGACGGAAGCGAAGTGGATGTTGAAGCCTTGGGATTCGCAAAGCACATTATACGCTTGGCAGATAATACCAGCAATCGAGACGATAGGTCTCAGAATTGCATATTGGAGGACGGACCACTAGTAAGTGATGGGTTATCATGAGTGGATTGGGCTGGTGACTACTGACTTTGACAGTGTACATGAAGTAGGCCTATGCTTTGCGTTAGAAGATGCGAAAAGTGGCGTGTCGGACTCACTTTTGTGGGACGGTATCTGAAACAACAAAGAGGCATGAGTAGACGCCTTTTGTCTTTGCGTGCGATGGCATTCTCTGCTTTATGGTCCACCGCGGACTCTGCAACGTAGTCTATCAACAGGAGGAGGAATGCGGAGATAGTGAAGGCCTGTCGAGATGATGAGCATAGGGTTGTGTTGCACTTGAGCGGGTATGGACCTCATAGACTACAGCGCAGTGTGAGTTTGAGTGTTATGAGCCCCTGTGTTTGCTCACCAACTTCGACCAAGGAGTAGTAGGCTATCACCAGCATAAGGAATCATCAAGTTTGATCAAATAAAACGCACTATAGTCTCTGAAAAAACGATAACTTAAGAAGGAGATGACGGCGTAGACTGGAGGCATATAAAGAATGCGGAGGATTTGGCGCTGTTGCTTCGGATTGGTATAATTTCTAGGAGGGTATTAAGCTCTTGCTTGACCCTATTTTGGCTTCCACCCGCACCGACAGTGGAGGAGGACAGAAACAACAGATATTATGACCGTGACCGCTGCGCAGCCGCCAGCGACCGCCCAACCTATACGGTGAGGATCCCAGTTTAGAGTCCCTGCACTCCAGAAGCTTGATTGGTCAACTTCGAGCGTGTTGTCGGAGGGACATGTTTGCGGCATCACGTTGGCCGGTGAGGAGAAGGAGGAGCCACTTAGGATGACGTAATCTGAGCGCCGTTCAACTGCAAACCACATCCGCAATTTCTTTGTTTGAGCAGCGTCACCTCGGTTGCAACTTCATTTTCTGCCCAACTCGTCCTCCAGGGTCTAGGTTATGTTTTGTCAGCCGCGTAAAGTGGTCCTACGTGAAGATGCTCACTTTATTCCGTTGTGCGATTCAGCGCGGTGATCCGCTAGGGGGTATATGAACTTTCGACTTGCTACCGTCCAACTTCGCAGACGACTATTCACCATGACCTCCCAGGCCGACCGCGATGAACAGAAATGGAACCACATCAGCGAGACTATGCTCACTTATCACAACTACTTCAAAGGAGAATGTGCTTGTCGTCGTTTGCTCGCCAAGAGCCTGTATCTGACCGTTTTTTTCCCTAGTTAACAATTTATACGAGGTACGCCTCTACCAATATTGAGGCTCTGCATCCTCAAAAGATTCTCAGCTCGCCGATGGATCCTGGACGAAGCGTGGAATGAGTCTCTCCCTATACCTCGACAAGGCTCGTCAACTTAACCAGCGTACCGGTTTTACTCCCGCTTTTGAACAACTAGTCTGATGCTTTTCAAGACCTCACCATGCACCACACCATTGGTTTGTCTTCTATCTCATGTCCGTCATCAGGAATCAAGATACCTTCTCTAGAGGAGCGCCACATCTTCCCCATCCTGGCAACAAAAATGCCCCAAGTAGTGCTATTTTCGTCTCTTCAGTTCCAGGCGCTAATCGACTCTAGTTCTCGACCGAGACAGACGACGGTCATCTAGAGTCACATAGAGGTATCCACCAAGGATTAGACCAGCTCGCAACGCTGGTATCAAAATTCAAGAAGGAGCCAAGCACATATTGTTAGTCAACCGTCAGGTTTCTCTGGAATTCTCACACACGTACCACTAGCACCCGATGAAATGCGAGCATGCTTGGACGGTTTCAGAGAGGTCCTCTTCAGGCACCTCGACCAAGGCAAGTTGACATCAAGATTCAGCGGCACGTGCCTGACGACGAGCTACAGAAGTCAGCGATCTACAAGGAGAAAACATGAAGAAATACTGGACATTGAAGGAACTAGATCTGATTCCGATGTAGATTAATCGTGCCTACTCAATCATATCCCATGGCAGTGCCTGGGTATCAATCATGACTTTGCCTTCAACCGCTACGACGTCCGTCGAGACTTTGCCGTTATATGAGCAAGAAATAGACAAGAGGCGCTCATTGGAAGATGCGGCAACCCCACTTCCCGATGGTTGGTTTTGCAAATATGACGAACAGTGCGTTCACCTTGAGTTTCTGGGTTCAAAACTCAACTCAAGTTGTACAGCTCGAAACATCACTACTATGTCGATGGTCGTTGTCGGATTCGTTGCTTATACTGACACGCCTGATGCAGGTCGACATGAATAGTTCACCACCGCGTTCTGTGTGGCAGCACCCGCGTCATGACCCGCCGCCTCCACCCCCTTCCATCAAACCAGCTCGGAAAGGATTTTTCGGAAAGCTCAGGAATAAAATTCAAGAGATGGAAGCCGAGTCTGCGCAGCAGGAAGCCCAGAAGAAGGAGCAACTTCTTGAGCGATACGCGAAAAGACGAGAACAAGTCATTGCAGGATTAGCCACAACTCCCACCACGTTTGGTGGTCATGAATATGTTGGGTAAGAGCACGAGAACTAGCAGAACACAACACTGAGATCCATTAGTCCGCCAGAGTCGCCATATGGGGGGAAGTATTGTGCCCTTATGCCTCAGAGAGTCGACGACAATATGGCCGGCTGGTTAGGTTAACTCTGCTTGTTAGCGTACACACTAGTCATACATCTTCCTTCCAGGGTATTCGAAGTGATCCAATGTCATAAACAGGCTCTGTGCTCTCGGGCTGGGGCATAGCGATCATAACAGCGAGAGAAAGGCCTTCGGTAACGTTCGTTTTCCGTCTCCGGTCATCTGAGAGTTTTCTTCCCAATAAGGACGCTGGAAGAGGATTTGGCCAGCGACGACGCGGTATTTGCTGCTCGCTGTCCGTCTTCTCGATTTCCTCGACTACTTCTCGTCGAATATACGAGGCTGAAAGGGGCTAACAATAACAGCTTGAGCATCAAACACACACATCCAAAACGCGCTCACGCACCATTACATTGCTCCATCTCGGTTTCGAGGCGTCAAGGTAGCGAGGTTCCCACATCTCAGGTTCCGTTTGCGGTATTTGGTTTGCATCGTCAGGTCCGTAAAGCGCAAAGTCGCGCATCATCCGTAATCTCCTTCTTCGAGCGAGTAGGCCAAGCGAGAGAAAGACAAATCTGATACTTGGGTTAGATATTTCCGAGGCAAATGAAGAGGTCGCACAGAAATAAGATGAAGGCTATCAGGAACGCAACAAAATAATTGGAGGCTGCCGTAAATTCGTTTGTTGGAGAGCTTGTCGAGCTGGCAGGGAGCGAGTCTGAGGCAACTGCAGAGCCCTCCAGTTGCGCCGACATGACTCTCAGAGCAGGACCGGCCAACCACCACTGAAGTCGTGGATGTGGAGGGAAAGGAAACTCGGCTTACGTAATAGACTCGTCATCAGAAATGGCTAAAATTATGCACACGACATATGGTAAATCCTGCCTGTCCGTGAAACTATTATCTCGGTGACACCCTCTCCACCATGCAGCAGCTTCCCGCATACTACACAGTTGAAGCCAACTGGTGCCCAACCCCGAGCCCGTTCTCTTGTTGCCTCAGCAATCGTGTCAAACAAATCTCGGTCGACTAGCTTCTTGGAAATTGCCAACATATCACCGTCAGATCGATACGACTCGAGCATACCGGCGAGAATGGTACGAAACTCAGTGTATTGGGCTCCGGTTGATGCATCTGTCGCTGAGGTTACGAGTCGCTTGAATAATCGAGGGAATGACACAGCTCGTGTTGAGCTGATCGACACCAGAGCGCCAAAAGTACTCTGGACAAGGAATCTCAAGGCAGAAAGCGTGTCGTCGAGTAGCTTGTTTTGGCCAGAAGGTAGGTCAGCAGCACATGCCGAAACGCTTTGCACGCTATTGATTTGACTGTTGAGGAGCTGGAACCAAATATCTTCTAGCGGTACCTCTGTCGCTGACACGCCTTGCGAACGCTCCAAGCAGATGTCCACGCCGACTTGCCCTAAGGCTTGTAGAGCCTCGATATCGTTTCGTAGAGTGGGTCTTGTAGCGTCACTCGAGAAGGCCTCGACAAGTCGCAGAGTCAACTGTTTCTCAAAAGAGTCGGCTTTGGCCAGTGCTTCGCGTGGATTTTCGCGATGGTTCAATGCCCATACGGCAGCCTCGTAGACTTCATTCTTCTCGCACAACTCGATAACTTCTGGCCAATCCAGGAGATCCGTGGGAAAGTATTGCAGAACTTGTGTGACTTCTCGTGGATTATACCGGCATTGCAATGATACATACAACTGCCGTAGAGCTTTTGGCGGCTTTAGCGAAGGCCCGCTGGAGTGTTGATCGTCCTCCGAGGCAGCCGGTGGACCGAGAAGGTGCCGCAGGTATACGAATCGCTCTCGGTCACCCTCTTCTCCAAACCCATTCAAGGCAACCTCGTGGAGATCTGGTGCATACTTGTCTATTAAGCTGGCAGTACTAGTCAGGCTGATGTCCAGGAGCTGTTGCAGAGCGGCCGCGATGGTGGCCGTGATTTCCGGGGGAAGCGTCCCATTGTTTGTCTTCGATGAGTTGTCAAGAACATCCTCGACGTTGCGGAATACCTCAGTCGGCAACAGATCACGGTCGTCGAAGTAAGTCGAGAGTAACGGGACCCATTGATGCTCTTGTCTGTACCAAGTTCGGAGGATTCGATAAAAACCTGCTGACTCAAACAAGTTAACGATGCGATCACTTTCGTGAGGGTTGTAAACGGAGAGTAGATATTCAGCAGCAAGCTGTCTATCCTCACGAGTCTCCAAGTCAGGATCTTCTGCAAGGCGGAGGAGAATCCCGTGCAATAAGCTCGGTTGCAACGCTTGGAGGAATTGAGGGTACTTGGGGACATTGCGAGCGACAAATATGTTGGTAAAACTGACGTCAGACGGGTGAAGATTTCCTGATGATACGATTTCGAGGAGGATGCGAACGATCACCAGACGACTGATGCCCTTGTCATCGTTCAGATATGAGTCCTCGAACGCAATATCAACCGAGTGTAAGAACGACTCGGCATCGAAGCGGAGTAATAAGCGGGCATATGGATACGTCGGTTCCACGGCGCCCTCCTCGTCGCAGGTCAAAACAAGCGTACCACCTTGGCCCGGGGGCCACATACTGGAACGACCAAAGAACAGAAAGGTGTAGACATCCTTTTTAGCTTGCTGAGCTTCTTCATCAGGAAGAGGCTCCTCGCTCGGATAAGACAAGCCCGAAAGACAGTTTGCCAGGTAAGGGTATATTTTGTATGCGTCGAGAATCATCGATTCCATTGGGTGACCTTCTGGTAGAGGTTCGGGATTGGCCTTCCGGTACTGCTGAACGCGACGGATCAGACCGAGTAAAGCAACAATAGGGGCAACGTAATCCCGGAGAGCACGTGTGTGGACGTAGATAAGTGCATCGTAGAGATGGTGGGTTTCGCAGAGATGGATCGCCTGATTAATATCCAGACAGCTAGGGTCAATATGCCATATGACGCGTTCAACGAGGTCTGGACGTCCATCTCGGTCGTGCAAAGCGACTAATCGTTGCGTTATGCGAGGGGGTACGAGTCGAATTTCACTTGATAGCACGAATGTCTCCAGTTGCAGCAGAAATATTCGAGTAATTCCAGCGTCCTCGTATTGTTGGAAGAGATCCTCGAATAAGAAATCAAAGTCGTCGAGGACGATGCATGCTCGTGCGCAGGAGGCAACAAGGCCTTCAAACAGTGCACTTCGATCGACGCCGCGGCCATCAGAGGTCACGTGGGTGTCATCGGTCATGCGATCTTCAGAAAACGCGTAACGGGACGACGCGGTCATCAGGTCTCGCATTTTTTGACCGACAACGTCTTTACGCGCTTGGAGATCATCCGGAAGTCCATTGGAGTTTCCGGGAGCGTCTCCAACATAATATGAACGCGCAAGATCAATAGCGCTCAAAAAGTCGCCGTCTTCGACAAACGCCAATATTCGATCAGCCCATGTTAATAAAGTACCGGCTTGAACGGATTCTCTACCCTAAGAGGACTCAGCTTATGCTCGAAGGCAACTGGGAACATAGCTCACCAATAAGAATATCTTGCCTTTGTACACTCGGATACTGTGAGCCACATCACCAACTGAGTCGGCGTAGGCGATTGAGCCATTGACAGTGGCGCCAAGAGTGGACGAAACGAGACTAAGACCATCGAAGGGGACATCCTCGACGAGCTTTGACTGCCGAATGTCATACACATTCAGTGTTGTTGTGCCTAAAATGACCACTTGCTAAAAAAGTATCAATTCATCTCTCTGTAGCTTCTGCATATCGAAAGCAAACGAACCCACATTGGCATTTAACCACTGAAGCGCGAGTATGTCTTCTGGAGCCACCCATTTCCCTGCTACCTCGTATCGAATGCGACCAACCTCTACCTCATTTGTTTTCCCCGTCCGGGAGTTGCGGACGAGCTGTTTTGATCTCATCTCTGAAACCCGAATCAGATGCATTGTGTTGCCCCATGCATATGCGAGAATGGGAGAATTCGATTCGGGGGATGGCTTTGAAGAGACACCATTGGCCAAACCCGCATTGTTACTGCTAGGAAACCACGCAAGCGTGCCTTTTAACCTTGACTTGGCCGAGGTAGTATCGAGTGAGCATTTGAACCATGTTTTTGGGGTGGGTTTTAGTCCAACTACCACAAGTTTCGTCGGCGTCAGCAGTGCAACAAGATTGTAAGAGTCGGTCGGGTGAACTGCGACTCCCAGTGGTAATGGCATCATTGCCAACAGGGTATAACGTGTTTTTCGGCCACGACGAGAAGCGGCAGGGGTATTGTCAGAGGACTGACTATCAGGATATTTTCCCAGGATGCGTAATATGTCGGATGCTTCTACGAATAGCACTTTTCCAAGACTATGGTAGAAGGCTAGACCATGCTCATCTGCGGAGACCAACGCGGTGTGTCGTCCAGCAACGAATCCAATGCTGACGATGCGGGAACCCCGAAGGTGGCCTTCTTGTCGGCCAGAGCCAACAACAGCAAGTGTTGTTGGGGCAACGGTTCGTGCAGGCACAGTGGGTGTTTTGAGATCGAATAATTGGATATGTCCAGAGCTATGGCCAGAGGCAACATAGGTGTGGTCGTGCGAGAGGGCAAGAGCAGTGACTGCGCCGATGGTTTTACCTACCATGAATTAAAGGTGAGATTTTGGAAACAGACACGGAAATCCACATACCAGTTGCTTCGTTCCCGCAAACGCACTTGAGCGATTGTTTGAAATCGTAGACACAAACCATGCCGCTGTCCGTTCCAATGCATATAAGGCCGTTTGCCGCAAGGACAGTAGGAGTTCCTAGTGAGGGCGGCCCTAGAAGCGAAGAGGCCTTGCCTGTTGCTTTGGGTGGATACATATGGAGCGTGATATTCCGCAGCTGGGCCCATCGAAAAACTTCGCGTTCTTTTGTTTTTCCTGGCCGTGACATGAATATGTCGCTCGAAGTTGGGGTATGAAGGTTGGATGGGGAGGACACGCGGGAAATGGCAGAGAAATGGGAAGGGGAAGGTGACGCGTCGAAGAAATGAGAGCCAACGGATCCTATACTTGCGGATGAGACTGGTCGGGAGCCAGGTGTGTAGGAGCGTAAACGGGAAACATTTGGATGTAGAAATGGCCGTGCAAGAGGTCTTGACGGTGAATTTGCGAAACTAGGCGAATCAACCCGCGGTGGCGTTAATAGTCCTGCGGAGGAGACTGAAGTAGAAGGGACATAGTCCTAGAGTAATTAATTAGGAATACTGACACAGAATTCAGGACGCACAAGTGGTTCATCTTCTTCGTCATTGTGAATGATCAGCGACCTTTCGACCTCGTGTACTTCCTCTTCTTCTGGATCATGGTCCGAGCCCAAAGCATCCCTAAGTTGGTCTCGATATGCAAAGGAAGTGTCTGGCGCATCATCTCCCGCGTAAACGAATGCTTCATCGTCGGATTCATCTTGGTCAGTGTTGTCGTTTTCTCCGCCCAAAATATTCTCCAGGTGCGTAGAGTAGTCGCCTGGAAGGTCTTCTTCGTCTTCGACGTGGTTCCCATTTAACGTGGTCACATCCTCGTCGTCAAAGTCTGGCGGCAAGGCCATTTGATGTGCGTCACACCCAATTTTGGAAGGAGAAGAGGCAGATTATAAAATACAGATACTCTGGTACACCTACACAAGAGAGTCAAAAAAAAAACTACAATAGCATCAATAAGCCTCCTGGAACCTAATAAGATCCTCCATTAACCCCTCCATTTGCTTCACCGCGAATATAGCCTGTCTGTCCTCGCATTTGGGAATGACGAGCTCTGGTATGTCTTCATCCGGATTTTCCGCTCGGATTGCGATGTCTCTGGCTAGCTCTTCCTGCAAAGCAGCTTCTAACGCTTGTCGTCGTTTATTACGTTCCGATGCGCTGGCCTGCTCTCTTCCCACCCACTCCACAAGAGCTCTGACACGTTTATTCATGTCACCGACACTCATCCGTTTGCTCGGCCATTTGACCTTCAAAACCTCTTGTCGTTCTTCGCTTTCCCCGCGACTAGCGGAGGCTGAAGGGCCCCCACTGATGACTTGGGGTTGTTGTGGGACGCCAGAGGGGAGGATCGGTTCAAGGTGTGAAAGATAATCCGGAAGATTCCAGGAGGTATGCATTTGTTGTTGCGAGACAGCGTAAGCATGTGAGTTGCGATAAGCCGTATTGTTTGATGCTGAATGGCCGTTTGTGACGGAAACTGGTGGTGCAGCAGCGCGTTTGCTACCCTTGGCACGAGCGCCGCCACGTTTCGGCGGTGCGGGAACAGCTGTATGTCTATGTCAGCACAGTGACAAACTGTGACGATGACAACTAACCTTGCTCTCCGTCGACTATCTTTCGGCCACCACCCCTTCGTCGAGCCCCAGATTTATTGGCGGCTTTGGGTGGCGGTGGCGGTGGAGGTGATTCTTCTCGAGGGGCTACTGAGGCCACCCGTTGCTCGGATGCGCTGGAGGCTGATCTGGTGCGTTTTTTGGGTGGTCTATATTCATCAGTACAATAAAAGGAAAGCTTGCCAATGAAACTCACGCCTCTTCTTCGTTTCGTTTGCGCTTTTTGCGATTCGGTGGTCCATCAGCTTCCAACTCAACAGTGGGTTCTTGGCCTGCCGCATTCGCTTCAGCAGCTGTTGTTTCAAGGATTTCCTTGATATTCTCGTCAAAGGCAGCGTCTCGGCTGTTCATGGTATTGCGCCGCTTTGAGGGTTGTTTGAGCAGGGAGGGAGAATGGGACCGCGATTGGCGTTGACCATTGGCAGACGAGTGGCGCGGTCTCCTTCGAGATTTTCTGCTTTTCTTGGTTAGATTTGAGCAGAATAGTGAATGGGTAATCAACGCACCTGAGAGACTCTGTATGGAGTTCGGGACGACATTGCTCGCAATAATAGTCATCGTCATGAAGCTGAGATTCCGAGTCGTAACCCATGCAAAGCCCATGTTGCCAGACCTTGCATGTCTCGCATTGGACCATGAATTCCCCCGCGTCAGGATCGTCCTCCCCTTATCACGCTCGTCAGCATCACACACACACACCAAGTTGGGCAACACTCACTTCCACAAATACAACGCGTAACTCCTCCATTGTCTTCATCTTCTGGTTGCGCCTGTGGCAAAATCAGCCTCAGGAAAGTCGTTGCTCACAACATACCACAGAATCGTCGGCTGGGTCGGAACGAGGCGGATTTTTTTCCTTGGTCTTTCGCTTTGGAGCCTTTAAGGTTGAGCTGGTGGATGCACGTCCATTGGAAGTCGAGCTGGTGGAGGATACAATGGAAGGGTCTTGGGTATCGACGGTGGGGTCAATGTCTTCTTGCTTCATTCGCTTTCCTCGAGGTGGGGGCCGGTCCGAGTCGGGAGACTTGGACATTACTGGTGGAGAAGGGAATGGCTTCGAACGGCGACGGGAAGTAGGTGAAGGGGGGCTCATCGCGAACACTTGGGTAAAAAGCGAGGGAGAGCAAGTGTGTGTGACAACCTCTTGTTATGCCTCTGACCAACTTTCACCGGCACCATTGACCCCAAGCCTGTTTTTATCGAATCCTTCATTGCGGATAAACAGAGCCGACCGTGTGTAACCCTTGCCAGAGCCTGTAGAGGTCTTGAATAGACTCACCCATCTAGTTCATTCGAACCACACCACCAATGACCTCCACCGAGCCGGACTATTTACGTCTGATCCTAACCTCCAAAGTCTACGAGGTCATAAAAGAGACCCCACTAGTCCACGCAAAGAATCTGTCGACGAAGTTGGGCAATGAGATCTGGCTGAAACGGGAGGATCTTCATGATGTATTTTCGTTCAAGATTCGCGGTGCCTACAACTTCATGGCCAGTCTCCCAGATGATGAGCGCTGGAAGGGCGTTATAACTTGTAGTGCTGGTGCGTAAACACTCGCTCGATCACTCTATTCCCCACCAACAACTCAAAGGCAACCACGCCCAGGGTGTCGCTCTCTCTGGAGCCCGTCTCAATATTCCTTGTACCATCGTCATGCCTGTTGGGACTCCTTCGATAAAAGTCAAAAATGTCATCCGTCTTGGCGCAAAAGTTGTTTCTCATGGTGTTGATTTCGACGAAGCCAAGGAGGAATGTGCTCGGCTCGCAGCTGCCCATGGCCTCACTTTTGTCCCCCCTTATGACGATCCTTTAGTTATCGCTGGGCAAGGGACGATTGGGATGGAAATCTTAAAGCAAATGCCCAACGCTGATTCCTTAGATGGCGTGTTTGCCGCGGTTGGCGGTGGCGGCCTTGTCGCAGGCATTGCTGAATACGTCAAGCGCATCGGAAATCCAAAAACACAGGTCTGGGGTTGCGAGACAATCGATGCTGATGCAATGGCTCGAAGTCTCGAAAAGGGCGAACGCGTTACCCTCCCCGAAGTTGGTCCGTTTGCAGACGGCACTGCCGTCAAACTCGTGGGCGAAGAGCCATTTCGGATATGTCAAAAGCTATTGGATGGCGTCGTAGAGGTCGATAACGATGAACTCTGCGCCGCAATCAAGGACATATTCGATGGTCCGCTTTCTCTCTTCTTCCTCCGGAATGCTGACTGATTTAAACCAGAAACACGGTCCATAACGGAACCGTCTGGTGCCTTGTCACTAGCAGGGCTCAAGCATCATATCATACAAAGCAATCTTATTGGTGCAAACAAGAAGTTTGTAGCCGTTGTGAGCGGCGCAAACATGAACTTTGACCGTCTACGTTTTGTGGCGGAGCGTGCAGAACTCGGAGAAGGCAGAGAAGCATTACTGAGTGTTGACATTCCTGAGCGACCAGGAACGTGAGTTTTCTTTTCTTGGGCTGCTTTCACACTGATGGTCATTAGCTTTGTAGCATTACACTCCGTCATTCACCCTAGATCTGTCACCGAATTCATCTACCGGTTCAACTCTAACAGCTCTCCCGATAGAGCCCACGTTTTCATGTCACTAAAACTAGAGACCAATGATCGTGCAACGGAGGTTGAGGCCTTACTAAAAGCACTGGCTGCAGAAGATATGGTCGGATTCGACATCAGCGACAACGAGATGGCTAAAAGCCACGCTCGTTACATGATTGGGGGGTCACAAACAGTGTCGAATGAACGTGTTCTCCGTTTCGGTAGGCTGTTTTTGTGCTATTATAACAGCCCGCCAATCTTTCAACAGAATTTCCAGAGCGACCAGGGGCTCTCCGTAAATTTCTTCTGGGACTGCGCCAAGATTGGAACATTTCCATGTTCCACTATAGGAATCATGGTGCCGGTTGGTCATCGCAACACGAATTCTTCACTCTCCTGACCTTTACTCCAGATTTAGGGAAAGTACTTGCGGGAGTGCAGGTCCCACCTGTAGACTCTGAGGCATTTGAACGCTTTCTCGTCCAGTTGGGGTATCCGTATGTCGAGGAGACGGATAACCCCATTTATAAGCGCTATCTACGAGGCTCTTGAATCGATCATGTTGCGCTATATCTGTCTGGAAGTTCACGACGCGTCATGGAAATCTTTTAGGCTCCTCACGTGACCGTTATTCCATTGATGAACCGGTAATGATTAAATAAATCGTGGAGGGGTGCAAAAAAAGAATATATTATGCGACTGGTGCATCCAGCAAATGAGCTCGCCATTCGGGGGCGTCGTTCATGGAGCTAGTGGTGGGAACAGGACCGACGACATACTCAATGGCAAGTGCAGACTTGGTGCGACGCCATGACGGCGGAGTAGCGTTCTAGATCGATCGTAAGTTTCCCATATACGTAGGTAGAGAGAACAGGACTTACAGGACCAGTCTTGGCCTGTTGCACATTGGTCGGCAAGTTTACGCTGGGGAGGTATTCAAGAGGAGTAGAACCAAGCTTTGGCTAAAAGATTGCACATCGATCGCAGAACGAATGCCTAGCGTGATAGCTCACGATAAAAGCAGCGTGAACCAAGGAAATAAAGGCGACAATGATGAGAGTAGAAGGGCGCATTTTGGGGCAAGAAAATAGAAAACCTCGAAGACTCGGAGCTGGGGCAAATAGGCCAACTCAGTGGCCTTTATACCCCACCGAAGGCCGAATGCTCGTCATCTCTGAAACTGCACTGTCGAGACGATGTGGAAGGAACGCCCCTTGTATGGATGAGATAAAACAAGGAAGCGAAGACCGGGCGGACTCGATTAACATGCGCAGAAAGCTTATTGCTGCAGGTGTCTGAAACTATAGCTTCGGAATATGGCATGCAAATGACCAGGAGAAGAGTGCGGGTTCAGAAAGTCTCAAGGCCTGTGGTCGAGGTGGCTCGAACAATTCCTGGCAACATGGATAACATCATTGGCTATTAGCAGCGCAGTAAACCTGAGACAACGACTGAACCAGAATATTTCAAGCAGTCGCAACAGATGAAGGTTGAATAAGGTTGTTATTCGGGGCAAGGTCCAATGCGTTGAGACTGACAGGAAGCAGGAGAATTTCACGGACATCAGCTCGAGTTCATGTTGGCAAGAGCATGCATTGTCTCGATTGGTAGCAGGGTTGCTTATTCTATTACACTTTCGGCTTGGAGGAATTGAGATCGCAACGACAGCGAACAAGATCATTGTGTTCTAATGATTGTCCACTACTCTCCTCCGAGTTAGCAATTGCGGCCAAACAGAAAACACGGGGTAAGTACCTAATGGTCCGAGACGGCGGATGGCTTCCGGGAGCTCAGGTAGATGTTATCAACCAGAACGTAGGCGGAAAACGCGACTATGGCAATTCCGAGGCCAGGAAATAAGTTACTGAACATGGCGCGGTTGGAGAAGACGGGATGTTTGCGCCAGGCTTCCCGTTTTGCCCAGGGATCACGAAATGGTGTATTCTGCATATCCCTATAATTTTTCAGAGAGAAAGAAACATAGACATGTAGTCGTACGAGTCGTTTAAAACCCCGGCACGGTCGTTCGTGGTAGGGATTGAGCAAGTCGACTGACGTCGCGTCACGACGTGACTGTCACCCATCCAACGTACGACCAAGTCCCCCGCCAGTCTTGCTGCTAGGGTCCTCCACTCTTTTTTCACTCTCCAGCTCATGCTATGAGCGGAACTGACTCTGACGACGATAAGCCTCTTGCTGCAGTGGCAGTAAATGGCCATGCCAATGGTAATGGACACGTTTCCCCCATGAGCGAGGATGAGGAGACGCCCCAGGTGTGCATTCTTGCTCAAAATTTCAGACAGAAACTTCATTTTTTTTCTAGCCTACTCGCAGAGGTGTCAAACGCAAGAAGCCGGTATATGCGGAATCGTCTTCTGACTCGAGCGAGGATGACACGCCTCTCGCGTCGTCCCCCTCAAAACGCCCTATTGCAGCAGCTATTCCGATGCCTGGTGCTGTAGAAGCCACTACTGTTCCAACTTCTGCCATCAACGGGAAACGCAAGGGCAAAGCTAAAGCCACTGTGGAGAGCAGTGACAGCGAACAAGAAGCTCCTAGGCGAAAGCGGGCGACTGGGAGTAAGGCTCGAGGCAAGCCAGTCAAAAAGAAAGTCAAGCAGGAGGAGGATTCTGATGACGAACCACTTGCGAAGAAACCGACTCCTGCTCGCAAGCGCAAGGTTAAAAAGGAGAGTGATGCGGAGTCTGAGGCCGACAAACCACCGACCAAGAAACCAGCTCCTGCTCGTAGCCGCAAGGTTAAGAAGGAGAGTGATGCGGAGTCTGAGGACGACGACAAACCTCTGGCGAAAAAGCCAACTACCAAGAAAGCGCGTGTAAAACCCGATTCAGCCGATGGGCCTCCCAACTCGCAGGCCGGTTCTCCGGTAAAGGGCAAAGCAAAGAAAAAGGAAAAAGTGGAAGAAGAGGATATTTATCGCTGGTGGGACGTCGACCAGGGAGATGGAACTGTGAAATGGCAAACTCTTGAGCACCACGGCGTCATTTTCCCTCCTCCATATGAGCCTTTGCCTGCTGATGTCAAGATGAAGTACAATGGTACTCAAACTTGGGCTGCCTATAATGAATCTGACAGTTTCATAGGGAAAGCGGTGGATTTGCCTCCTGCTTCAGAAGAGGTAGCTGGCTTTTACGCCGCTTGCCTCGAGACAGATCACGCGCAAGATGAGAGGTTCAACGAGAACTTTTTCGATGATTTCAAAGGCGTTTTGAAGAGCCATCCACCAGTGCGTCATTTGTTCTAATAAGTCGACCGAGCTACAAGTTTGGTCTAGCTTGATGGCACGAAAATCACTCGTTTCGACTTGTGTGATTTCCGACCTATCTTTGAGCATTTGGAAGCCGAGAAAGCCAAACGAAAGGCCATGACTGCTGCTGAGAAGAAAGAGATCAAGAAGGCCAAGGACGAGATGGAGCTCAAATACACCACTTGTCTGTTGGATGGTCGCAAAGAAAAGGTGGGAAATTTCCGCGTGGAACCGCCAAGTCTGTTCAGAGGCCGCGGTGAGCATCCACGAAAGGGGGCCCTGAAGGTACGAATATTTGGTTTCTGCCAAGATCCTTATTCATACCTCAATAAAGCATCGTGTTCGACCTGAGGACATCACCATTAATATCGGCGAAAACGCGACCATTCCCGTCCCCAATATGCCTGGCAAATGGAAAAACATTATTCATGATAACACGGTGACCTGGTTGGCAACATGGACAGAGAACGTCAATGGGAATCACAAATATGTCTTCCTGGCTGCAGGCAGTTCACTGAAGGGTCAGAGCGACATGCAAAAGTTCGAAAAGGCACGAGAACTGAAAGTAAGGCTGAATGGCGTGTCGTCTTGGGCGGTAAATGTACTGACTCTGGTCGCAGAAACATGTCGATCGCATCCGCCAAAACTATAATGCTGACCTCAAGTCCAAAGTTATGGCCGATCGCCAGCGTGCTACAGCGATGTATCTCATCGACAGGCTCGCATTGCGTGCAGGAAACGAGAAGGGAGACGATGAGGCCGACACTGTTGGTTGTTGTTCTTTGCGCTGTCAGCACGTTACTCTTGAGGCGCCCAATTTCCTTATCTTCGATTTTTTGGGAAAGGATTCTATTCGCTACTACAATCGGGTCGCGGTCGAACCTCAAATCTTCAAGAACATCAGGATATTCAAGGAGAACAAAGGCGAACAAGATGACATCTTCGACCGTGTCAACGTATGTGCACTCCCCAGACCACGTCAGGCGTTGACAGCATTGAACAGACAACGGGTTTGAATAAGCATTTGCAGTCAGAGATGAAAGGCCTTACGGCCAAAGTATTTCGTACTTTCAACGCTTCCTCAACTTTTCAGAGACTGTTGGACGAGAATCTACTCGAGAACGCCAGCCTCCAAGAAAAACTCAATGCGTACAACAAAGCTAATCGGGAGGTGGCCATTCTCTGTAACCATCGAAGGGCTGCTCCCAAGACTCACGAGCAGTCAATGGAGAAAGTCATGGACAAGGTACGAAACTTGGTAGTGAGTAACCCTACCTGAACTGTCACAGGTTCGGGGGCTCAAGTACGACCGAATGAAGCTTCGGCATGTTCTGTTTGGCCTGGACAAAGCATACAAAAAGGACGCCAAGTACAAGGAAGACGAGTCGGACATCGATGATGAGTGGATCGTGTCCCATGAGGAGGCGACAAAGGCGAAGGAGATAGAAAAGGCCGAGAAAAAGTTTGCGAAAGAGAATGATAAGTTGGTCGAAGCGGGAGAAGAGGCTCAAGACCAAAAGATACTTCAACAGCGGATCAAGGATATTGAAGAGGACTTTGAAGAATTGGCAAAAGAGCGAGGTACCCAAAAGGCGGAGCTCAAACGGTCAAAGCCTGTGGAGAAAATCGAAGAAGCTATCGACAAACTAGCTGATAAAATCCGAGACGCCAAGCTCCAGATGATTGACCGGAACGAGGGCAAAGAAATTGCTCTTGGTACCAGGTCAGCATCCACCTGGGTTCCTTTAGTACTCACTGATGCTCTCTCTCCACAGTAAGATCAACTACTTAGACCCACGGTGACTTGGCTTTTACTGATGCTCAACTGAATACTGACCATCTAAACAGCATCACGGCTGCCTGGTGCAAAATCCACGACGTCCCAGTAGAGAAGCTGTTCAGTAAAACCTTGATGGTCAAGTGTAAGTGCTCATTCGTCGCCTAATTCAAATGATTCAAATAGTCTTAGTTCCGTGGGCTTTAGAGGTCGACCCGGATTGGAAGTTTTAGAAGGAAACTGCTGTGTCATTAATCGCTTTCATTGTTGCATTTACTACCAAGAACAGACAATGTATTACTCATTTTGTATCCCGCACTGACTTTGCCCAACTTTTCGGTGGTAAGCAGGTGACCATAGCGTCATCAACCTCTTCTTTCTTTTTACGACGCACAACACATAGAAGCTGAGACGGCGTCGCCCTTCTATGTCTGACACCCCTCCAGCTGCTCATGGCCATGTCCGACACGGAAGTCCTGTTGTGGCCTTCCTTATTGGACTTTCTATCGTCTTGACCGCCAGTATTGCGAATGCTGGCGGCCTGACATTAACGAAACTTGCTCATCTGCGGAGCAAAGGTATCCCCAAAGCGCAACGAAGTCGATTTCAGCCACTGAGCATCCTGGGCATGGGGCTTTACATGTGCGTCTGTGTGTTCATCATCGGGTTCAACACTCATTCTTTGGCTAGTCTTAGCCAAGTGTTAGGCTCGACGCTAGCGCTGGAGTACATGAGAGCCGAATACGGTACGTCGTTATGTTGCCAATTGGTAGCACACACCCAAACAAACGCGTTTCGCTCTCAGTTGCACCGCTGGGCTCGTCTTCTCTCATATTCAACTTCCTATTCGCTCGCTTCTTGATTGGTACTCAAGTTACCAGCGCTGATATCTACGTATGTTGTCATCCGACGTGGTTGTTGGCGTTGATGAAATGTAGGGAACCATCGTTGTCGTCCTCGGGGTCATCGGCATCGTTGCTTTTGGCTCCATTAACAGTGGTCTCGGGACCGAAACGGACGTTGATCATTTGACGCGTCTGTGGAGGCGAGGACCATGGCTGGGCTATTTCTTCATGTGAGTAAGACTCCCTCTAACGCTACCTCAAAATTTCCACAGTTTTCCAGGATGTCTTTGGCCCTCATCGTCCTACTCATCGCCACCTACAAACTTGATGCCCTCCTTGCCGCACGCTCTGAGCTTGATGCTGATCCACGACCATCTAAGCGACACCAGATTTCACGAGGTCGCAATGTGGTCGTGAGAGCGTGGCAAACCGTGTTGGGCCTCTGGGAGTTAGGCATGGGTATGCTTTCAGAATGGCTCGAGTGGTGGACGGGTCCCAAAGGTCAATTACTTACTTTCAGTCATTTTTACCAACTTTTGTTCAGATGACACGACAATTGCATGGACTCTGGGAATTGGCTGGTCGTGCTGTGGAGGAGGGCTCGCTGGCGGCTGTCTGGTGTTTTCCAAAGCAACGTATGCAACGAATTGCTACCCCCTTTATTTGCGCTCATAGTCCAAGCGTTCAACTTATCTCAGGCTCTCTCAGTCATGAAAATTCGGGGAATCAGCTGGGACATGCTGCGCCTATCTTCACTATTTTACTCCTTGCGGCGACTGCGGTCACCCAGATAATATGCTTGAACCGAGGGCTCCAAATCTATGACTCTACCTTGGTTGTACCCGTCTTCTATGGAGTGTACACGGCAGCTGGGTACGCGCCCCTTCATTAGTTCCCCTCCGTACTGACTACCTCTAGGTGGTTGAACTCATTGGTGAGCTCCTTCATATTGCAACTTATTCTCATGTGCCGGTTAGATATTCAACGACAACGTCGACTCGTACCAATCGTGGACACTCTTCCTGATTTTTCTCTCCATCTTTGTCCTGATCTCGGGTGTGGTCCTCTTGACCCACAAGAAACCCGAGCCGGGTCCCCTTTCTGCGCATTCATCAGTCCCATTGGGGTCTTCTGGGTTGCCACGAATGCGGCAACGGAAAAAAGCTGGACTGGCGCCGGATCTTGCGAGCGCCGAACAAGGAGATGTGGTCGTTGGGAATGAGCAGGAAGTGTTGTGGGGCATTGGCGATGCCAGTGATGACGAGGACGACGAAGGTCAAGATGAGGACATTGACCACCATCAGCACCCACTCAGCGCCACCCCGACGCCCACTACCAAGAGTCGAGGGAATGGTGAAGAGGGTCATGGCTTGCTTTCCCGCGATGATGAAGACCACGACTTTCCACCAACTCATGACAATCTACAAATGCAGCGACGATAACCCAATGAAAGCCATTTCCCCCAATTTAGTGTATCTAATGCTTTGTAATACTATATTCTGACTATAAGGCTACAATCCGGAGCACGTTGGGAGCACGCATAAAAAGCGAATAAAATACATCACTGGTCGACCACGTGGAACCTGACCCTCAACTCGCCGACTTCCTTTCGCGCAGCTTTCAAGGTTTGAGTCATCTGCTCTTCGAGGGCAATGGCGGCATCCACACTAAGAGACTTGGGAACTTCAGCAGTCAAGTCAACAAAAATCAGGGAGCCAGCGCGACGGCCGCGGATATGGCGCAGTCCAAGCAGAGATGGGGAGCTTTCAGATGAATGCGAAGAGGCCAGCAGTGGTGTTAAGGCGTCGTTAATTGCATTTCGTGTGCTAGGCGGTATTCCGGCATCGGTTATGTCTCCCCAGGCACCAAACAGAAGGGAGGCACCATTTTGGAGGATGATGAGCGAAACAAGTAGACCTGTCAGAACAGCTCAGTGAAGCGAAACAAAAATAATGATGATAAGTGTACCTCCTATAGGGTCTAGTGGAAGAGCAGGCCACCACCAATTCCCCAGAATGGCACAAAAGGCGACCATACTACCATACGAGTCACTGCGGTGATGGTAGGCGTTTGCGAGCAGAACAGAACTGTTCTCCTGCTGGGCGACGGATTTGGTTATGCGATACAGCCATTCCTTGGAGAGGATCCCGAGTGCAGCGAACCAGAGGGCATTGGGATCGACACCATGCGAGTGGGAATGGGCGTGGCCATGGGTATGGAGAGCTGGTGCAATAGAAGTTATATTTGTTAGGGCCTCTTGGAGGGGTCCGGTGGGCAGAGATTGTGAGGTGTCGACGAGGGAGTGGAGGAGCAAGTGGTATGAATGCAGTCCTAGCCCAGCAGCGCCAGCAATGAGGAAGATGCTCACTGTTGTGGTGCCCAAGGTTTCAAATTTTGCGAACCCATATGGGAACGCGTTTGTTGGCGGTCTGCGACTTATTCGCCAGCAAGCGAGTGTAACCAAATCGCCAACGAGATCTTATGGACAAGTCAGGTAAATGGCGGGCCACGTGTCTCCGACTTACCGCTAGCAGAATGACCAGCGTCCGCAATCAAGGCTGCAGAATGAGTGAGGTATCCGGCTGCGCCTTTAATAGCAGTAAGACCTGTTCACAACGCGTTTTAGTAGGAGTAAGACCTCGAAAATAAGACTCGCCAATGTTGGCAAACAAGCCAACAAGTGTTATTTGACTCCCTCTGTCGCCAGCACCACGAAAAGCGGCCATGATCCGCTCTGCTGAATCAGTTCCATGCGAGTGGCTTGGCGAAAAAACCGAATGAGAGTGAGAGTGAGAGTGGGAATGCGGCTCTGGCTGCTCGGAGGTCTGGCGGTGGTTTCTCCTTTGCATCGGGTACACGGTACAACGTGGAAGAGAACGAAGTAGTCGTGGAGGAACGAACGGACGCATCACTGGATTTAGCTGCCAATTTGTTGCTTCCGAAACACGATTGGTCACGGGTTCATGAAGTCATGCTGTTTCGTCCGACCAACACCGTCCGCAATTTTCTCCGGCAGTCTGCTCAGCCAGCATGGAAATATGGCGACAAGTCCCCGACATTCGATCTCAGCTTGCCTCGCAAGACCTTTGACTTTGCAACCATGGGGCCCAAAGAAACATACTCCCTCTTGACATCGAGTGTTGTACCGCGTCCCATTGCCCTGGTATCCAGCGTCTCTGCCGACGGAACGCGTAATTTGGCGCCTTTCAGCTACTTCTCAATCGTGCAGTACCTCATCGTCCGCCAACGTGGCTCTGTCTTCATACCTTGAAATAGGTTGGGCACTCTCCACCACTCATCAACATCTCTTTCAGCTTATCACAGAAGCGACCCAAGAATACGCGCGACAACATTCTAGACACGCGTCAGTTCACGGTCAACATCATCAGCGAAGCTTTTGCTGCTGCCGCAAACGCTACTTCCGTCGAGGCACCTCCACCAGTAGACGAATGGATCCTCGCTGGTTTGACGCCGTTGTCAAGTAAATTCGTGAAGCCGGCATGTGTGGCAGAGAGTGCAGTCAGCCTGGAATGTGAAGTAGGGATATTTTACTCATTTCCTCCGCGATTTCATCTAGTTGACCACCCTGCCAAGCTGTATTTTTACAAGGACCTAGCCCACCCCGATTCCGAGGTTACTACTAGCGCCCTCATGTTAGGCCTAGTCAAATACGCCCATGTTCATCCATCCGTCTTGGACCCACAAGGCCAAAGTGTGATGCCTGATAAGCTGAAAGCGATTGCCCGCATGGGAGGGAATACGTATGCGAGCATCACAGAGGGATTTGAACTAGAAAGACCGTCGTGGAGAACGGCCAGACCTATTTACGAGCAGAAGAAGGTGGAGGGCGTAAATTAAGTAGTTGTGTGCATGTTTGGGGCCTGTCTTCCGATTAGAGCTTTGACCCATCAACAAGTTTGTTTCCGCCTCGAGGCACCAACTAACTACACTCTGCCCACCCTTGTGGCCTTGGTCAGATTTTCCAACTTCTGTCTCTTCCCTGCTAACCCTAGCTTAGGGCCCGCCTGCGATGGAGCCTTCCGAGCAAAGGGAAGTGAGGTCTTTAGCCGTTGCAAAATTAAAGCGAGCTGCCTCTCTACCGCGAATGAAAGATGGGCGGAGACCGCCAATGCATCCAGAAGCAATGAGCGAAGGAGAAAGGGCCAACACCGACGACGAACACAAGGACGAAGTCGATACACCCTCTCCAGAGCCACCACCACCAGCGACCGTCGAAGAAGATGTTACAATAACCCGCCCAAAACGTCGCTCTCGCTCGCGCACCCGGTCTAGAGGCTCGAAAGACCTCAAGGCAAAAGCCAGGGCTGCACTATCCCCAGCGCCAAGCCCCATTATCCCCAGCGACTCATCGCAAGATGAAGCACCCACAACACTCACAACGTTGTTGATGCGCTCTCCAACCCCAACCATGCCAGGGACAAGACCACAGACTCCCAATAATCCTCTCCCTTCACTAGAAGACCTTCAACGTGGACTTTTCAGGTCCAATAGTGTTGGCAGCTCTTCAGCCAGCCGCATTATGGCCATGCATAAACTCACCGGCGGGCAGGAGGCTTATGATCCCACTCCACCGCCAGCGACCCCACCATTGCCTCAAAAACTGGGTCGCAACAACACTGTTTCGGGTGGAGAGAGAACCGCTGTTCGAGAATTTATGCTCAGCCAACTCAAGGGTCGAATCGCGCCAAAGGAATCTGAAGGAGAACCTCCCAGTGGTGAAGAGATTCCAGTCCCAGCGTCATCACCGTCCCCGACTCCCAGACGTCGAAGGAGGAGGTCAAGACGTGGTTCAGCGAGTGCAAATAATGCTGCACCGATGTCAGATTCGGAACCCTTGTCTACATCGCCAAACACGCCAATTGTTCCTCACACTCCGCTGCCCATCTCGACAGATCTCCCCATTCAAACCATACTATCACTCAGTCGAGCTGCTAGTCCGCGACAAGAACCCACCCCACCACCGCCTGTTGTTCCTCCTGGAATACCATATCCGTCCTCCGCTCGTGCCAGCCCAGCTGAGTCAGAACGACCAAGACGGAGAAGTGTTGTTGTTGAAGACGAGGAAGAAGAGCGGCCTGCACCCGTTCCGCTCAATAACTATCACGACTTTCACAATAAAGACTCTTCGCGGCGTCCGACACCTGACTATCCCCCGCGTTCTAGCCCCTTCAACATTCCATTGCAAGAGAAACAAGCACGGGAAGATGATGACGAAGAGGAGTTCTTGTATCCTGCCGAGTCTTATAATGTGGATCGAGAAATTAGCTGGGTAGCTTCACCAGGTGCGTTAATCGACTTATTTTCGTTCACCTGTTGGTTGACACTTTCAAGTGCCCGAAATTCGGATGCCCATTGATGACGACGACGACCGAGATGAAGACCAATTAGTTGAAGAAGATGAGGACGAATACGATCACCGGCCACCTTCGTCCAATGAGGCCTACGATGACACGTCCCCGCGCAATTCAAGTTCCTTCCAGGGCAAAGGCGTTGTGATCGAGTCCGAAACATCGCCAGAACTTGTTCCCGCCCAGGTTCCTCCCTCGCCTTCTTCTGTAACTGCACTCTCCCATGGCCCTTCTATGGTTCGGACAGCCAGTGATGACTCAACCTCCCCCCAAACATATCCTGCGCGACTTTCTGCTGCCTCTCGCTCGCCTCTAAATATAGAGTTTGAGTGGGAGACAGACAAGCGGAATTGGGATTCAGGCTCCACGAGCACATGGGACAAAATTAAAGCCACGATCCGTTCTGGTTCGGCCTCCGGAAGGCGCTCACGCACAAACAGTATCGCAACACGTGACCGTCATAACACTGATTCCAGTGTAAGTCGCGAGAGCGGGGCCAGCCTAACCAAAGGCGAAAGTATATCAATTGTACCGCCTCAATCGCCCTCCGCGTCGGGCTCTGTGATTTCACTGTCGCCTGCTGTATCACCTTTTCCGATGGCAACATCTGTGGACATGACCAAATATCAGAACGCGAAGCTTTTCCCTTTCCCAGGCATGAAAAAATTAGAGGAACAACGAAATAGGGCAAAGGGCGTACTTAATCCATCAGCCTCAACGCCAGACATCTCGACCTTGTACAGCGGTTACGAAACTGACCCTGCTCAAACTTCCGCGACGTCGTATACTCCATCGCAAACTCCAGATCTCAGCCGAGAGCGTAAACTTTCTCATCAAGCTTCTGACACACGGTTATTGGACCGCTATGCTTCTCCTCCTGGATCTGCGACTCCGTCGTCACCAGCTAATATCGAGTACTTTACCATTCCACCAGTTTCACCAACCTCGTCGTCTGGATCGAAGCTTCCAATGACGTTGCCTGGTGTGAAACAATGGCTGAATAGCCGGAAAAAATCCTCGCAAACAGCCTCATCTTCAGCTACTCCGACATCCGAAATTGGCAGGCTCTCCCCCGCGAGCAAAAAGCCATCGTTGTCTGATCTCATCATGCGGAAAGACAGTTCATTGGGACTAGGAAAGGATTGGGAAGATGTTGATGTCACACCCAGTGAAGGACCAACGGTTAGAGGAATGGCTGTCAGCCCACCACCAAGGATACCGCCGGATGTGGATAACAGGCTGCCGTTGTCAAAGATTATGTCGTTCTCTGAAGAGCAACACTCCGAGCCGCCATCCGCTTTGCCATCACCTCCAGACCCGCTTTCACCCACACCTGATCTCTCCTCCTCGTTAAGCGACTACCCTGCTCCTTCTACGTCCGAGTCCTCTTCAACAACCTCGTCCCATTATTCAGTGAACAATCTAAACGGCTCTGGACCGCAGGGTTCGTTTGTGCTCGAGCGACTGGAAGAAAACTTGGCTCGTGGATCGCGGAGTCCGATGTGGGCTTCAGTCATCGATGAACCGCCGCGGAAACTTGTCCTTTCCTCTGAGGCTCTTCAGGTCGTCAATGCCAATACCGTGAAAGACCGCAATCTATTCTTGTTCAGTGATATTCTGGTCATCGCAAAACCCATCGTCATGGATCAGGACAACATCATCGAGTCGTACAATCCACACATGACGGGCCGCAAGTACACTGAGCGCCGGTACCTAGTCAAGAATGTTGTGCTGATGAGTCAGCTCCGGTTCAATGCCGACCGTAATGATGTCCCGCCGAAAACGACCAACTATTTTGTCGCCCCACGCACACCTCTCATTCGCACTTTCGTTCACCAGTTCAGCAAGGACCCAGACCACGCGATCACGACGTTGCTGTCAAAGTCGGCTACACCAGATGATCCACTCATACTCGGTCAAGTGCTTTTCAAAACGCTTGATTTGGATAAAGCACGATTGGGAGACTACTTATCTCGCCGGACGTCGAAGGTGGTGCTCAAGGCTTATGTCGATAGCTTCCGATTTGTGGGTGTCCGGGTCGACAGGGCATTACGTGCATTCCTGCTTTCTGTCAACATTCCAGCAAGGACGCCATACAACGCCAATCCGCTTGATTACCTTCTTGACTCGTTTGCTAGCCGCTGGTATGAGGCGAATGCCAAAATCGTGGCTTTTGACAAAGACCTTGCCATTCGTCTGGTGCGCGCACTTGTCCAACTCAACGACTTCTTGCATGGCGGCATAGCGCAAGAGCCAGGCCCTACTGGTCCTTCCAAGCGGGGCATTTCTGGAAGGGATTTTGGCAACGCTTTTCGACAGTATGATCCTCGACATCTAGTGCCTGACGAGTTATTAGACGATATATTTTCCTCGATTAGAGAAGAGCGCCTCTCTCAAGCCCGAGCCCCCACTGTCTCAGGGGATGCTCAAATCATGCTCAAGCGACCGCTTCCACCTCGTCTAACCTATCGAGTCCAATCAGAACCTATCGTTCTCCGCATTTCGCAACCTGACCCCAATTTCACCATTCAGCTCTTTGGCCAGGACTTGGAGTTTGACCCGCCGGTTCTGACGTTTGCGCGGTCTTCAGAAGCGTCTTTTCGTGTGACGGGTCAGTCTCTCGGTGCGAAGACGATGATCATGTGTCGCTCCGGACCGAATGCAGTCAGATATTCAGGACTGCCGTTGAGCAGCTCGTTGGTCATCGAACGCGCCTTCATGCGGAATACTTTCGAGATTGCTTTCCTCAACCACAACGGGGTCAAGCGGCGGTATATGTTCAGTATGAACGATCCTGTCATTCGCCATGAATGGGTGGGAGCATTGAAACGACACATTGATAGTGCTTCCTCGTCGATATCTTCCGCTTCGGCGTCCCATGGGACTTCGAGATTCCACCGGGCCACGGAAATTATCGCATTCAAAACGTTGCAGCAGAAATTGATGGGTTCACAAACTACTACTGGCGCATCTCCGGCGGCCATTCGCTCTGCCTTGCAGCGACTCAACTCAAACCCTTCCTCGCCGCGGCCTCTGAATGGTGGCACTTTCCGTTTTCCGGACATGGAACACCCGGTGAATAAACCGGCTTACCATGTTCGGTCTAAGTCAAGGAGTCGGCTGTATCACCAGCAAGGACCAGGCCAGAATGAGGCAGAGTTGGACGAGCAAGAGGAGCCCGAGCCTCCCTCTCGCCACGATGGACCGGTGTGGTCGTGGGAAGAGTTGCAATTGCAGTGTCGACAAAATAGCTCTATACCTGCGGTGCTTGCCTTCCTTCAGGTCGGTCATCCTGAACCAGGCCGTATCTAATGTCTCTGCTGTCTTACTTGTGGGTGTGCTCTCGATCGTTTGTCTGTTTCGGGTGCTGATATGCTTAGTCAGGTCGTTCTGCTGTGTCACTGCATCGTATCTAACTAGGAAATTTATGCATGTTTAATATGTATTGTCACAATTATCTAGGACCGTCTCTTTTCGCATACCAGTAGCAGTAGTAAAGTAGTCCAATAGAACCTTGTATTCGCACTTGAACCGGGCACGTGGTGTGGGTGTGTGGGACTGCGAGTGCGACATGTCTCAAACACGCGGCTTCAATGAGCGGAGTTGCCTCCCAAGTATTTAAAGCGGGAAGAAGGAGGGCCGTTCACCAGTAACTCTCCTCCATGGCTGCCCCTCCTCGAGTCATTGTGACACCCAACCCAAAGCCAGAGCGGCACAGAAGTGTCAACAGGCATACGCGACTAGCTGACACTGGCGCATGGGTCGACAGACAAATCGCGACCTCGTCTGCCTCGCGAATCAACACCTGGGTCTGTGACCAGCAACGACTTTGTTCAGACCGGGAAATGCCGAAATACCGACGACCATGGGAGGATGTTGTCTCCCTGTACAGCATTGGGGAGAATGTGCGATGGATTAAAACCGAACGAATCGACGATGTCAGGAGGCGGGTCGATTCACGGATCCGACAACGCTTGGACTCGGAGAATATCGGTATTCAGCGGGATCGAGCGGTCCGGGAGGGATGGAAACGATATGAGAGTGGGTGGGAAAATGTGGATAAGGCAGAGGCTGGGAAGTTGGCGTTTGCTGAAATTCCGTGGCCGTTGCCACTGGGGCACACATTGAAGACGACCGACGACATTATTGGAAAAGATGTGGAGGCATTCTTGCTGTCACCACTTCATTCGGTGGGCCAGAGCAGGAAGGAACGCGTCCGGCAGGCTCTGCTTCGATGGCATCCAGATCGTTGTCGAGGCTGGTTGGCCAAGGTGAAGGAAAGAGATCGGGCGAAAGTTGAAACTGCTGCTGGAGTGGTGGCGAGACAGGTCAACGAGATCAAGTCACGTTTATAAGTTTTGTAGCGTTGAGCGCTAGAGTTGGATGTCTGCCAAAGCTTGAAAGTTGTTAGAAGTCTATAGAAAGAATAAAACACAGCGCTGAGTGTGTTGTGGCGTGAGTGACTGGCAATGCAATCAAGATGAGCGTAGTGGGGGTTCAGCAGCTAGAAGATAGTTGGTATGTTCCTTGGAGATGGGCGTATGATGGCCGGCACTGGAGTTGCTAGTCCCAAATAATCACACAAGCTCGGGGGCCCGGTTTCGTAAAATAAGTAGGGGGGTTGAAAGACAACATTGTGTAGCCTGAGTGGGTTGATTTTTTTTCGGGTGGCACATCCAGGTGGAGGCGAAATTTGGATTGATGGCGAAACCGTGAATGGCATCGCGACAACTTGTGACGATCTACAAACGACACCTTCTTCCTATCCGCCTTGTACCTCCCCTCCTTCCTCCCTTCCAAATGCCCGTACCCCGGGCCACAGCGCCAGATTCCTCACTAAGTCCTAGCGCGTCAGGAGGCCATGGCTTAAGCGTTGGTGGCGGGAACCTCAAGGTCCGTCTGCTCCACTTGATTTATGGTGTCATTGCTAACCTTCCTTTCTACAGATAGTCGGCGTATGCACTGTTTCGTCTTCCCTATACATTCCTGTCTAAAACTCGCGCACCTCTAGGTGCTGCTCGCCATATGCTCTGGATTATTGATTGGGTCGAGTTTTGTCTTCAAGAAGAAGGGGCTTCTGAGTGCACAAGCTGGACGCACGGCTGGAGAGGGTGTTGCTTATCTCAAGTCGGTGAGTGGTAGAGTCCTCACCATCGTGTCTAGTCACTGACTACGGACATTAAAGCCATTGTGGTGGACCGGAATGATAAGTGAGTTGAACACTATCTACCCCGCCTTTGCTAATCGCTTTCCAGTGATGATTGTTGGTGAACTGTGTAATTTTGCGGGTGAGTAGCCCACGCTTGCGACGGCGCGCATGCCCGACCGTCATCGCCACAATAACCCCGATGGGTCTAACCTTTTCCCAGCGTATGCGTTTGTCGAAGCCATCGTTGTCACTCCCCTGGGCGCCTTGTCTGTTGTTGTTTGCGCCATTCTCTCCTCAATATTCCTCAAAGAGAAGCTCACGTTCTTCGGCTGGCTCGGCTGTACCCTTTGTATCCTCGGCTCAGTTATCATCGCTCTCAACGGTCCTTCTGAAGCCACCGTTGGCCAGATCACTGAATTCCAGAAGCTCTTCCTTTCGGTCGGGTTTCTGGTCTACGCTGGAATCCTCATCACCGCCTCCCTCGTTATCATATTCTACGCTGCACCGAAATGGGGCAAGAAGAGCATGCTTTGGTATATCTTTGTGTGCAGTATGATTGGAGGAATCAGTGTCAGCGTTACAACTGGTCTAGGCGCTGCCATAGTCACCACTGCTGGCGGCGATAACCAATTCAAACATTGGTTCATGTACTTCCTAATCGGCTTTGTTGCGGTTACTCTCATAACGGAGGTGTACTACCTCAATGTTGCGCTCGCGCTATTCAATACCGGTACGAGCCCCCCTTTTGGGTTTGAGCAAATTCTCATTTTTTCGCAGCAATGGGTGTGGAAAATTCCTCTGTGATATGTATGACCTTTGACTGATCCATTTTCCTTTTAGTAACGCCCACATACTACGTCATTTGTAAGTGACTGGTTATGTCGCTCCAACATTTGTTTCTGAGCCATAGCACAGTCACGTTTTTCTCTATTGTAACGACAATCGTCCTGTTCAAAGGTCTATCCGCATCACCAGCAGCTATCATTACCCTCGTCATGGGCTTCTTGGTCATTTGCGTTGGAATAACGATCCTGCAAATGTCTAAAGTTGATCCTGAAGAACTGTCCAAGAAGCTGGACCGAAGAAGTACTATCCTTCTGCAGGCAGCTCGTAGCCAGACTGAGGCGATGGAGGAAAAGGTTCGCTGACCATCTATCCATCACAAACTCCGATCATAACAACAATGCAGAGTATGTTGGGAGTTGAAGACCCCGGGATGGATGCCCTGCGTGGTAGTTTTGGAACAGTTGGCAGCATTATCCGTGCCCGAAGCGCCCGTCGCATGTCACAGTCTTCTGTTGCCAGTCGACCACCTGGCGCGATGGCTCCATATGATAGAACCCGCGCCAACTCGACTAATCCGCGATTGGGGCCTGACAGCATTCAGCGACACCAACTCTACGATGCTCCAATGCCCTCTCTTGATCTAGAAAACCGTAGCACCAGGAGCGATAGCACAGCGACAGGTGTTGGTGTTCAAAAACGGACAACAATCAAATTTGGCGCTGAAGATGTTATTCACCAATACCACCCAACCGGTCCGGGCACTCCCCGACGGGACGAACACGCAATTCACACGAATCGGCCAGCTTTTGACTCTCCTGCCGTTTCCCCTGGTCCATTACCAGATCACTCAGGCTACCCACCACGGACAAGAGCGGATACAGAACCAACTTCGGGCGTCGCGGGTATTGGCGCTGCTGGAAGCAAGGACCTTCTGTTGGCTGATGTTGACGATTCTGTCCCACTACGACACCAAACGCTTTCATTACCTGAGGCATACTCTTCCGAAAACTCTACTCAAAGTGCACCCTCAACTGCGGTCCCCAGAATGCCACCTGCAAGGCGGATGGACTCGCGTGACATATTCAATGAGGGTGGTGGACAGGTAAGCGCTGGGGACAGCCCACAGAGCGGCACTCTGCTGAGCTTCCCCAGCGTCACTGATTCTGCCCGCTCTGCCAACTGGGAGGACGGCGGTCCACTACCACCTGTTCCTTCACTTCCAACTGTGTCTGGTTCACCTGCTGGAAGTCAAAGAAGCAACGCCTCGAAACGATACCCACTATCTGGCGGCCAGGAAGATCAAGATGAGAGTGTACGATTATGGGAGCGCGGTGGCCGAGATAGTCCAACGGGAACGGAATCTACTGAGTCAGCAACTTCGGCGGGAGGGATTAGACTGGTGCAACCTGGCCCGCGGTTCTGATGCTCGAGTTGTGAAAGCACCAATGGGACTTGTTATCTCTTTATTTGTCTGTTTTACCTATCACGACCTACGCGCATTGCTACATACCACCCACTGCATATAATCTTATTAGGTGGACTATCTTTGCTGATTGCTGATTTCAGATTGGGTGGATTTGTTCCCTATGTGTCACGTGGGCGTTATAACAATAGCACCTAAAATCCGTCACGCCGACAACACAACAACACGCCTGTGTGATGCATTGCCTTGCGCGACTACCATTTCTCTCCCATGGCGTTCAGCTTCAGGGAGCTCTTCTTTGGGGGCACGACGTTCTGCTGTTGCTTGAGAGTACGGTTGGGGGTGATGATCATGTCCGTGCTAGGCATGCTCTTCGCAGGGATACTGTCAATTTTGTTGTGGTTTGAAGTGTCCAGTGAGCTCCGTTTGTTATTCTAATTTGTCTGTCGACTCAGTTCTGGCAAGCTGCGCTTAATTTGACGAGCAAGGAAAAGGCTGCACTTGTTATCGCTGGGCTGGTTGAAACTCTATTGTTTGTTGCCTCAATGCTTGGGTGCGTTGCCTTTGCCTCACCCTTAACGCCGTTTTTCCCAATCAACTTGCGTAGATTTGTAGGCGCCGTTGTGCGCAAACAACTTTTTGTGCAAATCTACGCCTATTTTATCTACGTGCATTTTGTGCTCAACCTCGGCGTTGCGGCATTTCTGCTCTATACGCTGGTTCATGTGTCGACTACGGACCAAAACAAGGCGTGTCAGCTGGCGATACAGAATGCCGACGCGCAAAACCAGTGCACGAATCTGTTTAGGGCAAGTTTGTTGCCAAAATCGAAACGCCGCTGATGGAGTACAGGTGGGCCTCGGAGTATATGGCGCTGTTGCTGCGGGAGTGTTATTGGCTGAGATGTGTACGTGAATGTTCTTGTTGTTGACTCCCTTCACTCATTCTGAGCAGATGGAGCGATTATCGTGGCGCGCTATGTCAACCAGATCCAGCGCGAGAAACGGAATACTCGGGCCTCTCGCATCAGCAGAATGAGTGCTCGGGCGAGTGCTCGTTATTCGAGTATAAAAGACGCGTCTGAGCATGACAGCATTCCACTTCATGCTACTAACACACCACACGCTGAAGATTTTGACCCTTATGACGACAATGTTGAGGGACCAGACTTCAGACGAACGTCGCTTTCGACCTATCCAGCTTACGAAGACCCTCATGCTGCTGCATCTCCCAATGTCAAGGCCAAGGACCATAATTCAAAGGCGGAGCCATAGCGTATGACTGACCGTCACTGACGGCGAGAACTTTGTTTCGTGTAGAATATTGATACGCTGTTCATTTTTCATCTTCTCAACCCATGTCAATCCCTCCAAGGGCTGAGGCCATATTCTCCATGAAATCGGAACCGACTTTTACAGCGCAGAAATAGACTTTTGGTTGTAGGATTCATCAGGGAGGAACGGGACCATCCAGGCTCTCATCTATGATATCATGGTGGACATAGAAGTCGCGCGCAAGAGTTTTGGAATGAGAGGCATGTTAAAACTGCTTACGCTATCGGTGCGAAGTCATGATTTACATCGGTCACGCCACAAACGCGGTTTCTCTTCCTGCCCTCACCCGACTCCATGCGAGTTCGCATAGAGTTGTGAATACATATGAACAAGCGGCGTTATGCCCAGCGAAAACACATCGTCCAGTCGGTATGCCAGCGGATTAGGTCTGAGTTGCAGATTCATTGACGAGCACGCAGTTTGACAATCTCTTGTACCAACTACACGTTCTCGGCTTTTTCAACTCGAATGTCGTCGGAGACCCATTTCCTCTAACTACTCTCCTCATCCGCTGTCTGGCGCAATCTCAGTGCTCAAAGCCTCGAGATCAAGACCCAGCATGGTCATTGCGCATATTCTTTGGCATCCTGCTTGGCCTCCATGGTCTCATTATGTGGAATCATGCAACCGCCCCTGCTTCCGACAGAGTCGTTATACTTGATTTTATTGGTACAGGTGCGCTCTCCACCAGCCGCAACGACAGCGAGTCTGAGCACCAGTCACAGCATTTGTCCCCTCCAAAGTGCGACTTATCACCTTCGACCTTTTCATCATGTTTCTCCAGATGCTCCTCACTATCATCACCTACGAAACCTCCCTAATGCGTGAAGAGCCTCGCCCTGACCCCCATTCCGAAAATGTGGGCAAACCACACCCGCCCTATGCCCTCGATCTACACTTTTCTTCTGTCGTTGCCCGGCTACGGACTCCGCCCACCCCAGCAATGATCAGGAATTTGCCTGCAGACGGGCTACCGTTACCAAATACGACTCCATGGCCATTGCCTGCTGTAGGATTGCGAGTGCTATTAGGTGTCCCTCCAGGACGAACAGGAAGAAACACAGAGACAAATGAACAACGCGGTGGAAGGATACCAGGTGGTTTAGATGGATAATACGTGTATTTTACTTGATGACGCTCCCTTTGCCCCGTAACGTTGTTGTCACAAGATATTTCGCTTAGACTTTCATCCTGGCCATGTCCCAAACTCCGGTCTTCGTTATGAGTGCGCCGTGTCTTGTCCATATCTTTTTTTCGGTGTTAGTAATTCTTGTCAGACACGGCGCCTGCAAGGCAGTCAGGTCGCAAAGCCCAGATCTCGAATATAACTGCCGCCAAAGTAAAGTTTTTCTAGGTTTTTGCGTTGGCCCTCATCCCATGAAGACTGTTGCAGATGTCATTAGGACGTGTCTGGGGCCTAAGGCCATGTTGAAGATGATTCTCGATCCGATGGGGGGTATACTGTGCGTTGTCTTTTTTTTCTTTCTGTGGACTGGCTTACATATCGCGGCAGACTGACCAACGATGGGAATGCTATCCTACGCGAAATCGACGTCGCACATCCAGCAGCAAAGAACATGATAGAGCTGAGTCGGACGCAAGACGAGGAATGCGGTGATGGGACGACGAGTGTGATCATCCTCGCGGGCGAAATTCTGGCGCAGTCGTTGGCCCAACTGGAACGCGACATCCACCCAGTAGTCATCATTTCCGCGTACAACAAGGCGCTTAACGATGCACTCGAAATCGTCAAGCAGATATCAGTGCCCATCGACACCACCAACGACAAGGAAATGCTCGCGCTTATAAAAACTTCAATCGGCACAAAATTCGTGATGCGCTGGTCGGACCTTATGTGCAAACTGGCCCTCGATGCGGTCAGGACTGTGGCTCAGGACGACAACGGGTTGAAAACAGTGGACATCAAGCGGTATGCACGCGTCGAAAAAGTGCCTGGAGGCGAAATCGAGCAGAGTCAGGTCCTCAGTGGGGTGATGCTCAACAAGGACATTACACATCCCCAAATGCGGCGAAGGATCGCGAACCCGCGTGTCATCTTGCTCGACTGCCCACTCGAGTACAAGAAGGGAGAGAGCCAAACGAACATGGAATTCTCCAAGGAGGTCGACTTTGGCCGTGCTCAAGAGATAGAGGAGGAGCAGGTCAAATCACTGGTGTTGCGGATACTGGAATTCAAGCCTGACTTGGTCATCACTGAGAAGGGCATTTCAGGTGCGATTTAGCGCTAGGTATAATTCCATGACTAATGGCTTTCAGACACCGCGCAGCACATTCTGGTTAAACATAACGTCTCTGCCCTCCGACGAGTAAGAAAGTCGGACAACAACCGCATCGCTCTTGCTGTCGGCGCGACTATAGTTAACCGGGTTGAAGACTTGCGTGAATCTGATGTTGGCACAAAATGTGGTCTCTTTAATATCGACAAAATTGGGGACGAGTTACGTGTCCTCCTCAGCCCCACACACACACATTTTTTTCTGATGATGATCTCAGATACTTTGCCTTCCTGACGGAATGTAGGTCGCCCAAAGCATGTACCATTCTCTTGCGCGGTCCCTCCAAAGACATCTTGAACGAGATTGACCGGAATCTGGCCGATGCCATGAGTGTGGCAAGAAATGTCGTGTTCAACCCATTCCTTGTGCCGGGCGGTGGGGCCACGGAGATGGCGATCAGTGTCGGTTTGCAGGCCAAGGCAAAGAGTATTGTGGGCGTGGAAGGCTGGCCATATCGAGCTGTAGCGGACGCCATGCAGGTTATTCCGCGGACTCTGGCTGAGAACAGCGGCGCCAGTGTCATACGGATACTCACAGAACTACGGGTCAGTCCAAACTATTTCTCGAAAGCTCGCTCTGATGATTTTAGGCCAAGCATGCTAATGGAGAGAGCTCATGCGGTATCAACGGCGAAACAGGTCAGGTAGTAGACATGAAGACACTCGGGTTGTACGAATCAGCGAGCGTAAAGGTTGGTGTTGCTTTTCCCTCCTCGATGTTGTACTTATTCCTCTATTGATCCAAACATTTAAAACCGCTGTGGAAGCGGCGCGCATGCTCCTCCGAGTCGACGATGTTGTCCAAGCTGTTAGGAAAGACCGGGAACAAGGAGGTGGACCAACACCGGAGGAGATGATGGAAGCACAATAGAAGACGAAAAAAAAAATTATTATTTCTCTATAGTTTGAAGCCCAGACTCCGCATGCACGCTAGATGATTCTCGACCAGTTGCTTGCATTTCTCGTCTGATTCTCCGTTGGCGGAGGAGAGAAAACAGTCGTCGCGTGCAGACTTGGTATCGGGGCAGGCACAACATCTACGGGGAATCGAGTATTTGCACCAGTATGTGGCCTGTTACCTACGATTTGAGGCCTTGCGGGTTGAGCGGATTCATTTTAGGATTTGTGGGGTCGTAAGGCGCAGCCGGAGAGGGCGACCACCAGGAAGTTATCTTGGCTCCGTCAGCGGCCTGAAGTTGTGGTTGGTAATCGCTCACTTTTTCGAACATGGACGCGGGTCGGAGGAATCAGGCGGGTCATGTGACTGTCGCTCCTGCTCACAACTCCACATAACCGGAACGCGGTCGCAGGCCCATGAACCATGCATTCGACCAATTTCTCCTGATTGCTTGTATTGTGGTTGTGCTGGTGCTGCTGCTTCACTTCTTCTACCTGAATCGCATTCTTGCCTTCGCACTTGGCTTCGCATTCCGGGTCCTCTATTGGAACCAGAGCCCGTTTAGCATATGGCTTGAAATTGGTGCGTAGCCTCCTATATGTAGTCATGCTCATAACATTGACCGTGGTTGAAGGGTCTATCCACTTCTCTCTTCTTGCTGGTCGTATACTCTTCAAGGATTTTGCCTACCACTCAAGCAACCAGACCATCCGTATAGTCAAGGGACAGATAGAATGGAGATACTGGATTCGCCGGCCAGCATCGGAGAATGATATTGCCCCAGCTCGGGTTTTGGACGACGGTAAGTGTCTCTGCGAAATTCTTGATTCCCCTTCATTCAGTGATAAAACAGCGAAGCATGGCCGGTCTCCGTCCTGCCGCGTGCAAATATCGCTGCAGGGTGTCGAATGGTTCTTGTACAACAGGACCGCTGCCTACGACTCAATTGTTGCCCAGATGGGAGCCAAGACATCTCCCAGTCGTCCGGCTTCGCGAAACACTGACACTGGCGGCCGTCAGTCGTCAGCTCAGCAAGGTTGAAACCTGTTTTCGTTACTCACTTCTCGGTATTTATTCAAAACAGCTTTCGTCAATTCTATGCAGGTCCCGGCCGTTGTTCAGCGAGCATGGCAATGGATACGACAGGAGCTGCCCACACTCGACCCGAAAGATCTATTACCGCTTGGAATTGAGGTTACTAAAGGCGCCATCATTTGTGGCAACCCATCCACTCCCAATTTGCTTGTAGCGGAGTTCAAGCGGACCGAAGGAATGTTTGGCATCGTTCAGGTTTGCGACTCACGATTTCTTTTGGTTTATAATACGAATTTTTCTACAGTCCCGCTCCAAGCATGATCTTTACAAGCAACTGCTCCACCTTACTTTCCAACAAGCCATCGTTCGATATGTCCAGAATGAGAACTACCGTGGGCCCATGACCGTGACAGGCGAGCTCCTCCGGAATCCGATCAAAAAGTACTACATTCCATGCATCGTTGATTTCTAACGCCAATACTTCCAGGTCCACTAAGCTAGATCAAATCTCGGCATATCTATCTTACCAGGGGTTTGCGAAAGTGTGGCGTTCATTGAGGCTCTACAATCTCATCAAGAAATTCCCCACGAACGACGACCTGGCGAGTCACAGCGTCCCGCGGTCTCGTAGTCACGGAAAGCATAAAAGCCTCGATGAGGAAACACCCCTCGGCGCCGATTTTACGACTTTCGAGTATGCGATCGAGCGCAAGATTCTCGAGGCTCCTGTGGTAGAGTTGACCTACTATACGGATGCTGTTGGCGACGTTCCGCCGCTGCCGCATACTATGGACATTGGGCCTGGAGACATAGGGAATGGAGACATGGGTCCAGAGTGGGGCGTTGACCTCGTCATCAGGAGTGGCATTGTGCGATATGGCCCATGGGCGGATCGTCAGCGGTATGCTGGGTTGTGTTGCGTGGGCCATCGCTGATCAGTCTCCGTAGGGCTGAATTGCAAAGAGCATTTTTTCCTGCAACGTACCAGAATGCTGAGCAAACTCCACGACTGAAACCTGGAGACAAACGCGTCTGGACGGCTCTTCAAGTTTTCGTGGAGTTGAGAGATGATACGACACTTTACATTCCATTCCGCGAGGCTTCAAAGGTCAGGATCATATGATATTGATTCTTGTATTCTTATCCATTCACATTGCAGAACTGGCAGTGGGACGGCAAGACATCCATGCAACGGCGATCAAAGAAACGCGACCCAGCTTCTATCCACGTGACCGTTGGCGATCGCTCGTCCATCAATTACATTCTGCCAATGATTGCTGGTCCTGCGGGCTATGAATCTGTCCTGGAAGTGCATCTGGATACAGTTGCAGTGACCTCGAGTCTGAACGACATCCAACTTGTGTCTGCCGAATCGTGTCGCATTCGGGGTGACCTTCCCTCTCCCCTTGAATGGAATGCACTGCGAACATGGAAATTCGGCATATCTTTGCGCCTTCCCGTGCTATACCTCCTTCGAGACCACATCAACATGTTTACCGATCTGGCTAAAGATTGGGCCTCAGGTCCGCCCAGTGACTACCACCGATTCGTTCCAACCAAGTATACCGTCGAGCTCGACCTTCACCATTACGAACTGAACTTATACGTTAACGACAATAATATCATCGATAAGCCACTAATCAAAGAGGAAAATGGTCTGTCTGCTGATATGTATTTGGTCTCTGCTGATAAACCACAGCTTTACTTATTGCCCGTGCCACCCGTTTGCGGAGCGTCGTCCACATCCCATCAGATACCTTCAGACCCGAATCAACGACGGTGCCATTCTCCATTGAAGTCCCCGACATTGCCATCAATCTTTCCCTCCCTCGCTGGAACACGTGGGCTTTGCATGCTCCTCCGGATGGCAATAGTATCGGGAAAGCGCGAATACTCAAATTCGATGGCTCCTATCGATACTTTGCTGATGTCGCAGAGGGCCATGTAGAACAGCTGAAGCTTGGTATCACGGTACATTCCTTCTTAGTCTTGGAGCATTACTTATGTCTGTCTGCAGGTCCGGGACATTGCATATAAAGGGCTTGGATGGTCTATCCGACATTTTATGATCCTTCAAACGAACTATTTTGGCGCTTTCACGACCTTTTCAACGCTATACGAATACCTGGAAAAACGGAAACGGGGCATCCAGGGTGACCCTGTCATGCAGCAATACCGAGAGGGACAGGTAAGTACAGTTGACCAATTTTACCATTTTGCTGAGCAATACTTCCCTACCCTAGCGGAATATGCTCCAAGTCGATCTAGACTTGGATCTTCAGAATGGTACGCTGGTCCTTCCAGCTGGATTGCCTGGATACGAGGATTCCGCAACCCTCCGTGACCCTAACAACAACTCGGGAAATATCGGCTCATGTCTCGTCGTTGAAATTCCTGAACTCCAGGTCCATTTCCGGTTACACGACTATTATATGGGTTCGTTAGCAAGTTGTTGTTGAGTGCTCATCCAAACCCTTATTAGAACTTTCGCTTAATGTTGGTCCTCTCATTGGGTGGATTGACCCGCATTTCCCGGAGAAGATGAGCGATGCACGCGTCCATCGGCGGCCTAAAGAGATCATCGTTATTGAAGGTATACTTTCTGACTCTCTCTACTTTTACTACTCTCTCAAACAACCATGGCTAGGAATTGACATTACAGCAAATCGACTGTTCGGGCCTATGCCCCTCACTGTTACTTATGTCTGCATTTGGGAGATTAAGCTTGGATGTGTCAAGACTATCCTTTCTGCGCACGACCTGGCAATCGTGTCCGCTGCTATCAATTCCTTCTTGCTCAACTTTTCGGATGTCTCAAACGCACCAGCAGCCGCATATCAACTGCCCAGCTACCCTGATAGTACGATCAATTCAACCACCCTTTGAAGCGTTCATTGATCCTTCCTTTATTAGTTACCTTCTTAAAGTTGTCGCTAGAGGGACTTGAAGTAACATGGCGCCTTAATCGTAGTGGGATACACTTATCTTTACCCCGCGGGCTGGCTGTGGATATCAATGACGTAGGCGGCAAACAATATCGAAAGCTCACACGGCTCAGCGTGCCGTCGCTCCTCGTCAAGCTGCTCGTTCGGTCTTCTACAGCCGACCGGCGGTGGCTGGAGGCGGGCGGGCTGGAAACCGATGTACATTTGGATCTCTATGCCGCGCCTGTTGGCTGGAAGGAGAAAGCTGACGCGCAAACCGAATTTGTCACAACGCAAGATCAGTCGACAAGCAGAGCTAAACGAATGCTCAGTAATATGAGCGACGCTGGTGAGATTCTTGGCAAGTAAGAAACTTGCGCTAAAAGGGCTCTAGTGTCGTCTCACCGCAAAGGTGTCTATCTTCCTCAGCCTCGACTGTCCCATGCTCGGCATTATCAGAGCGACTCGAAACGACCAGTGGCTCACCATGCACCTAAACCATCTCATTGGCACAAGCTGAACCACCTATCGGAATCTGATGGAGGAGAAGACGCGTTGGACACTGATAGAGATGCCGCCCTTGCGTAAGTTGTGCTGGTTTGCTGCTGCAAGGGACATGATATACATTGAATTTGTGTGTAGCAAGCGGAGGAGCACACCCATCATCCATCAAAACGATGGGGACCAAATGAGCGGAGATGAATCAGACACAGATGATTTAGACCAAGAAACCTCTTCTGATGACGATTGGTCTGACTTGGGTATGCTCTGCTGTGTCTAATTTTCTTTTTTCCGAACTGCTGCAGATGACCCAACCGATCGTGCTCTGCCACACTTGAAGCAATATTCACGACTTTGTGGTCAATACCTTGCTCTCTATCTTGAGTCCCCATCCAGATGGGAGGGATCGCCGTTTTCTGTTGTCAAGGTCAGTCCAGACACCAATCTGATCGTGTCGGCTGATCCGTTCAAGCCGTTGACACATCATTCAAGTGCCGAAGCGGCTCCATCATCCCCTTTCACTGGATCCGCACCTATGAAATTGGATCCAGAGAAGGGTCGATCGGTATATCGTGTTCTCTCAAAAAACGGCGTCGACGTACTCTTAACTCCGCTGGTGTCCGCAGTTTTAGAAAGCCTTGCATCCGATTTCGGCCAACTTGTGCGTCATGATGCTAACAATTTGATCAGATGCTCACATTTTTTCGAAGAGAACTGGTCCTGAGCTGGTTGTCGATGCCCTTCTGGATAATTATATGTCTAGCTTTGGCAAACAGAACAAAGTCAAGAGTATCAGTCTGTTTGACGTGCAGCTATCCCTCGTCCAATTCCGTGTATTACATCACGTGACGGCGTTTGATGGTAATTCCCCAACGACAACGCGTGTGCCGACTAGTGGCATTGCATCTATGGTATTCTCCTCACGCGATATCCACATACGAGGATCTGGAACGACTTTTGATGTGAAAATTGGGAATATCGACCTCGAATTGAGCGCAGCAATACCAGACTTGGAGGACGCCCATGACGTTGCTCGAATATCTTTGTCGGACACAGGCATCAATTTATCAAAGGCACATGTTGGTGCTGTTCTTGGTGCAACTACTTTGCAGATCGGTCATCGCAGTCTGGCATATATGGCGCGAACTGGCAGCGCGGTTGCGACCACCGTGCAAGATCTCGTCGTAACTGCAAAAAGATGGCAAAAACACCGATCTACTGTGACGTACAATGTCGTGCACTCCATACTCAATGCTTCTCGCACCTCTTCCGTTGTGGATCCACTTTTAGCCATCCAACCTTCCTTCCTTGTTCAGACTGGTCTGCCTCAGGCACTTCGTCTAGATGCAGGCTTTCGCTTCATCTTCCATTTGCGCAATTGTCTGTGGGAGATGCTGCCCAACAGTTTCTCTCTGTCGAACTCCAATGTCTCCGAGTTGGAGGAGCTCTTGAAGGCTCGCCTTGCCACCCTAGATGTGGACACCTTGCATGAGGACCCCATTACTTCATTATATTCCCTTTTTCCCAAACTCAAGTCAGTTCCGGAGGAGTCGCCGCTTCCATCATATCCGACTGTTTCAGCCTCGTTCGAACTCACCAGATTTGCTCTCGTTCTCCAAGACCCATTGGGCGGTCTTGCCAGCGAATTTGGTCTGACTGATGTGGTCCTGCGAATGCATCTGAAGACCGCAGACTTTTCCGAGGCTGCTCATGGGTATTCGTTGATGGGCATATCTCAGGTGTCGCTCGGTCATCCTGCGCGTTCTCTTCATCAGCACGTTGCGCTTTCCTTGTCGACAAGCGGCATTCATGTTGCCATTTCGCCCCGGTTGATGCCTTTCGCTCAAGAGATCTTGCGGGTTCAGCGGAAACACTTCTCGAATGTTGGGAACAGTAGTCGCAGGACGAAGACTCGGTCGAAAGAGTCATCGTCGAGGACCATCACATTCACTGCCAGTATGGACCACATACAGATTCAGGCGGCGGCTGAGAATCTCACGTTTGAATTTGGTCTTGCAGGCTTGCGAGTGGCATCAACTTTGCTCACCCGGAGTAATAATTCTTTGCCACAGTCCATCAATATCTCCACAAGTTTCAAGCAACTTTTCGTGCGAGCACGCTCTCCCACAGATCCATCTGTGCGGACGCTACAGGACATATTAGCCTCCATCACACTCTCGGCTTGCAAAACCAACACCCTCGTGGGTTATGAGGCAACTGCAGCGTCCCAAATTCGTGTTGTCTTTGATATCGGGGACTTCCATTTCAATGTCCCACGTAGTGCTCTTCGGCTGTACCGGTTTGTCCAAGAATGGCGAGCGGATTACTTGCCTGGGATTGAGGCAACAATCAAAGACCTGGTCGCTGAGATGCAGCGAGCGCCAATGAAACCATTATCACCTACTCCCTCGCGGGTCACGCAACGCGCACCGAGTGTCCAAATCAACGGTCATGTGAATTCATTTGGCGTTTCTCTGCAAGTAATGCATGGCACCTGGCTGTCCTGGAGAGTATTCGATATCATCGCGTTCTTGAACTCTGCAAGCGGATTGAAGACCTCTTTTGGGCTGCGATTTGGCTCGCAGGTGTTCAGCATCACTTCCAAGTCGAATACATTTGACGTTGCTCGCGATACCAAGCTCAAAGTTCAATTCCCATCGGTCACTTTATCTGGGGAAAACAATGGCCTGCAGCTCCACACCACCGTGCTCGTCGACTTCTTGGAGTTTAAGGTCAAGCCGGCCCATTGGGACACGCTACTTGCGGTGCAGCAGAAATTCGGGCAGGACTTTAATGACCTTGTTAAGCTGGTCCAGGAAACTCGAGCGGCGAGACCGGCCCCCAAGCTGACCAAGCAGGCCCCGGTGGTCCAGTCTTCCTTGAAGTATTCCGGCTTCTTGAAGATGCGAGGGTTCCGGATTGGCCTCGAAGGCCTTTCGTCCACATTTTTCCTCGAATGCTTTGATATTGGAGGGAGTATCGACAACCTGTCTCGCCGAACCTGGTCGGTGACGCTCACTGACTTGGCCTTGTCACTGGCCCCCAGGGCCGTTGCAGAGCCTCGAAACGCCACTTTCAACCGACAGCGCAGATCAGCCTTTGTCATTGTTGATCTGGAGGTCAAGGGCGGTGAGAGCGGTGCAGATGAGGATGTGGAAAATGTTCTCCAGACGACAATCACAAAAATTCATGCAGTCATGCAGCCCAGTTCTATTGGCGAGGTTGGCGACTTCGTTGATCATATACAGGTACTGTCAAGTTTTCTCCGTCTTTTAGTTGTGTTGCTGACATGAACACAGGCAGAAATGTGGGACCGCAAAGAGCAGCGAGCCGTCGAACTCGCTGCGTTCAAGGAGAAGGCTCAGAGTATTCTGAAAACCTTTGAAGTCGACGTCAAGGACGATCAGGAAAAGGAGACGTCCACATGGCTCAAGTCTTATTACATCAACCTGTCAATACACAACATTGGTGTCGCATTCCCACTCATTCACGACCCTACCCTCGAACTCCCACAATCAGGCTCTGGAGATACGAGTGCAGTGAGAGCATTCTTATTCTCGATCAAGAGCATCAAATTCGGGACACGTCGCGGCGAGTCTGGCGAAGCCAAGATGCAGGACTTGTCTTTCCAGTTTGTATCTCGGTCGGTTTACATAATTTCACGTGATCGCAGCTCAAGCCTTTTGCAGATTCCGGCAGTCGGTTGCTGCAGATTTCTCTGGCCAAAACCATCAAACCCGTAATCGTCTGATTTATCCTGAAATGACTGCCCAGCTTCGGTCTGCTGGACTTGTCTCTGCTCGCAACATTTGGATGCGTGCCACAGTTAGCGGATTTATCTTGGATCTGGACTCAAGCATCCCCGATTATATTTTTTCGATCATTGACGTGTATGAGCAAGGCAAAGAGCGAGTGACCAGGTTGAGTGCAAGTTTGCCACGTGCTACGACTCCATCTGTGACTCCCGCTGCTCAACAATACCCTGCGCTTCCGACATCGAATGTTTTCGCGTCACTCGTGTTTTTGAGCGGCAAAGTACGCGCCTACAACAGGGCTGCTTCTGAAGTATCCATCGCAACCTCGTCATCCTACATCAACGGTCAACCCACCGACGCACAAGTCATCAACATGGGCGCAGATGTCTTCAATTTGCCGGTTGTCTCGGTGTGGGCAGAGTACCGTGCCACACCAGCCTCACAAAAAGTGGGAAACAATTCGGACTCTGAGCCGTCCATCTTGGTCTTCAAGAGCACTGTCCATTCCAGCCAAAACACTCTCCGACCGACGACATTGCTTCCATTCTTGACGGAACTGGTCAGCCGCATTGAAACACGCATGCGCCAGGCTAGCAGACGATCAGGCGTAGTCCTTCCTGAGACCTTTGATATATCAACTCCCAGTGTTCAAACGAAACAACTCGAACTCCCAGTTAAGAAGCCAACAACCGAGGTCGCGATACAACCACAGCAACGCTTCCAAATGGTTTTCAGCTTGCGGATAGACCAGTCGAAACTCGAGCTGACTTGCCAGCCTGATGTCAATGTTATTGCTGGACTGCATTGGGACAGCGGGGGATTCGTTCTCCATGTTTCGCCCTGGGAGCGTAAGGTGACTTTTACAGGAAGTGTTGGCGGGCTCAATGTTGGGCTGAAACATGGATTCTTGAGCGAAGAATGCGCCAAATTGGACATGCGGAATTTGACCTTCTCTGTAACATTTGCCAAAACTGCAATTTCTCCCGGCAAGTCGGTCAGCTCTGTCTCCCTTGTACTCGACACGGAAATTCTCGGCGCCGTCAGATTCTCCCGATTGCAGGATATTTTATGTTTCAAGGCCGTGTGGTTAGATCGAATTCCCATCTTCAATTCGAGCGCCGCAGTCGACACACAATCAGTATCCAAATCTGTGGCCGACAGTATCCCGCAAACAGCAGTGGCCCATGAATTCACCACTCTGTTGTTGATTCGCATACGACAAATCAGTCTTGAAGTTGACCTTGGCCAATCCATCAGTTCGATAACCTTGGACCTCCGAGAAGCGATGGCGCAGACTAAAATCACGGAGGAGCTCAACGATGTCCTACTTTCAGTCTCCGATGTTTCCATTGGCGCGAGAGGCAACCTGTCTGGTCACGCCAGCGTTGCAAATTGTATCTTCCAGACAACTCGAAGGACCCCAACAAGTAGTGACGCAGGTTACAACCGTATGCTGGAGCTGAGAATGACATCTGATGCTCTTGTCGCGGTTCTGGAGTCAGACCACCAAAAACTGCTCTTCTATCGGTAAAGATGTCTTACTCTTTTTGCCAGCTGAAGCTGATTTCTGATGCAGAGCCGAACCCATCGAAGTTGATATCTATGATGACTGGTCCGGTCTCTCAACAGAAGCAGGTTCTACGGATCGGGTGGTTCGCTTGCTTGCGTCAGTTGCCAGCCCTGAAGTTGTCGCTGTTGTGACTGTTGGCACCATTCCCAAATTGCTTTCATACGGGAACAAGTTCAAGGCAAATCTAGAAGCCCAACGCGAAGGGGCAAGTCGAGAGTCAAAGACATTCCATCTCAGTCGAACCCCAAATCCAGACAATCCGTTGTCGGCTGTTGCGGAAGCCATGCTCGTGTCTGCCAAAAGTCGATTCAAAGAGGCGGATGCGGGGCTTTCTTATGTCGTGAAGCAGCGTCTCAGCCTTCGACTGGGCACTTTGCGTCTGGTCGTTTTCCCACGGACAGTAGGTGACCTGGAAATGGCGCAGTTCATTGGCAATGATGTTGGTGCGCAACTTGAGCGTTTGGTCAAGTCGGATGCATCGCCCCATCGTGACCTCAAACTGTCTTTCTCGTACATGTCGATTTCGCGGCTTACTCAGTTGGGGCATCTTGCTCCCCCGACCATCGCGACTGTGGGAGCAGAATGGATGGCGCCTCTAGTTAAAGACGCCAGCGAGGCCATTATCGTGGGGCTGCCTTCGATGGAAATACACATGATCAGCGAAGAGAAAACAGAGGCCATTTCAACTCGCGCTCTTGACTACGACTTCGACAGCCGATTCAACAGACGCGGTGCTCAGAACTTTGAGGACATCTACATCTCGCTGAACGTGTCACTATATTCCTGGCTGACCCTCTTGCGAAAGAACTTGTCGCGGGAGATGGATCAAGTCAAAGCGACTGCTGAATGGCGCACAACGGTTGCTTCAGCGGCCCCAACTGGTACTCGTCGCAAGATGGCGGAAATCCAGAGCGAACTGGCGAAACCCACTCGGGCACCAGTCAAGTCTGCGACTCTCGCACACCCTCCAAGCGACAATTCAGCAATGCTTTCACAAGACACTAATGACCCATCAAGTTCAACTGAAAAGGCTGGACTTGTCTATCGACCAAGGCGGCGACAAATCGAGAGACTGACAATGCGACAACTGGGAGAGGCCACACCTGATGTGATGCATCCGTTTTTCATGAAGAAGGCGGGATTCAATCTTGAAGACTCGTTCCCGCAATACGTCAACGAATATGCGACTGGCCCGATGGAAGAGATCATGGAAAGTCTGCTCAAACTGTACACGCGACAATTGCTGGCGGGGAGTCGTGGTGGTGGTTAATTTAGCATTCATTATTAATCGTGTAAGACCAACTGTAGATTCTATTTGCCTGTGACAGGCCCTCGGAAGATACTCAACAGAGCAAAGCAACCATAGAGTAAGCCAATGGGATAGGCAACGAGGAGACGCTGGTCGGACATGCGCAAGACGGCGACGAATATTCCAGATGCCGAGTAGGTGCACCAAAGGATGGAGAGAAGAGAGAGAACGTAGCCGAACACGTCACTGAGAAAAGGTAAGCAACAGCAACACAACTGCGTGTTAGCACATACTCGAGTGGTAACATGACGCTATAAACACCAATGCCAACCAGAGGTAGAAGACAATAGCCAAGGACGGAGGCAACGCGATAGGCGTCAATGCCTTGCTCGGACATGAGATTGAGGAGTGTGTATATTGACAGTGACCCGAGCAAGCCAACGCCATAGACATATCCAAAGTTGGATTTTCCGGACTTGACGCAGGTGAGTACAGCAAAAGAAGGAGACCGACGGCCAACTTACGAGCAGTAGACAAAGTGCAAAACAGAAACAGACACAGACAGGGCCAGCCAGATCAGCATCATCCATTATGTGCTCGTTGACGCTGCTCAGCGGGTTGAGCACCGTCAGTGATTTTGTACGGATATGCGAAAAGTTTATTCCCAGCTCTGGGGAGGGAGAATTGGAAAGAGCTGTAACGTGGCCGGCCGACGCACCTTCTAGTAATGGCGGCTCCCCCTCAAAACCACCCGTCCCAAATGCAGTCCACCAGCCTCCTGACGGCTGAATATTTCCCTCAAACCCGGCAGGCCTGTCGCCTCCAATAGTTCCCTGAGCTCCAACATTTCCGTCTAAATTCGAGCGTGTGCCCGAGTAATACGCGTTGGGATCGCCTTGGCCGGGGGCAGGAGTATAAAATTGGAGTGGCGCGCCGTGAGGCTGGCCGCCGTAGTATGGGCCTTGCGACGACGAAGCGCCGTACTGGTCTTGCCACATAGGATTTTTGGGGAAGTGATAGGTCGTGGCACTCCATCACGTAATCCGTGACCGCATCGTTCTGTTCTGTGACGGTGACTCCTCTTTCTCTCCCACCCAGATGGTGAGTGATCCGTTCGGTTGCGTGCAGAAACTCATTTTTTTCTTGTTTTACAGCCTCAGGTCTGTGCACTTATTTAACGTCTCCTTTTCATTACCGACGCTCCTACAGAACGAGTACATCGAGGAGCACATCAAACGACATGGGCGGAGGTTAGATCATTTTGAACGCAAGTGAGTTTTCCAATATTACTCGTGTGCAACACACTGAGTGAAAAATAGGCGGAAACGGGAGGCCCGCGCGGCTCACCGGGATTCTGCCATTGCTCAGAAAGCGTTCGGGCTGAAGGCGAAGATATTACATGCCAAACGACATGCAGAGAAGGTCCAACTGAAAAAGACGCTCAAGGCGCACGACGAGCGGAATGTCAAGCAGGCCGACTCGGGGGCTGTGCCAGACGGTGCGCTGCCCACGTACCTGCTCGATCGTGAAGGCCAGAAGGACGCCAAGGCGCTGTCGAGTGCGATCAAGCAAAAGCGGAAGGACAAGGCTGCCAAATACGCGGTCCCGCTGCCCAAGGTCCGGGGCATTGCGGAGGACGAAATGTTCAAGGTGATGAAGACGGGGAAGAGCAAGAGCAAGGCGTGGAAGCGGATGGTGACGAAAGCGACCTTTGTTGGCGAGGGCTTCACGCGGAAACCGGTCAAGATGGAAAGGTTTATTCGGCCGATGGCTCTGCGGTACAAAAAGGCGAATGTAACACATCGTGCGTTCCAGTCCTTTCATTTTTTTTCACCTAGTTCTTATGCCGTTGCAGCCGACCTCAAAGCAACATTCCAACTCCAAATACTTGGCGTGAAGAAAAATCCACAGTCACCCATGTACACCCAACTCGGCGTCATGACCAAGGGAACCGTCATCGAGGTCAATGTCTCCGAGTTGGGCATGGTAACGACCGGTGGAAAGGTCGTGTTTGGCAAGTATGCCCAAATAACGAACAACCCCGAAAACGATGGCTGCATCAACGCTCTCCTCCGTGTGTTCCTTTGTCATATGTGCCCCCTCCACACTAATTTGCTCTGCAGTTGTATAATATTGTACTCCATATTGGCTTGCTATGTTATATAGACTGCCTTTCAGTGATGATCAAATGCCTCTTTGGGAAGGGCATCCTTCAAAGTGTTTCTGCATCAAAAGTCAGTCTGTTTTGCTCTGTTCGCCGGCTCTCTTACATCAAGCTGGTCACTTCTTCCCAATGCCCACCGACCACCTCTAGCGACCTGATCAGTGTGTTGATATCGTCCATCAGCAGTCTAACTGTCTGCGCTGGCGGGGGTTTAACGTCCTCGAATATCCTCCTGTGGTTTCCGGTATGGCCCTGAGACTTGGCATCCCATACAGCTAAGGTGAGGATTCCTACCGCCAGTTGGCCAACCGCTATGAGGATAGGCACGTGTCTCCAGCCACGGGCACATTGGACCTCAGCGATCTGTGTTATTGAGCGCGCAGAGGTCACGCAGTAGCTAAGCGCGGGAACGGACGAGTTGATGTGATGGGCGGGCGGGTTTGGCATCGTTGGGGTCGGGACTGGTGGGATGAATGCCCGCCAAATCAGGATTTCCGCCAGATAGTACGTCGCGATCAAACATGCTGACTAGGGATAGCGCATTGGAGATTGAACAGAGACAAAAGCGCGTTCAAGTTCACCTGGTTTGCAAACACCTCATCCTCGATTTGAGGCGACCAACGCACTGTCAAGATACCATCAAAAATGCGGTGCGATAAGATAACGTGAGACAAACAGTAGTCGGGCACTGAATGAAGCCAATCTTGCAGCGACTGTGTCAACTGGGCGGTGACTTCCTCGGTGCGGACCTTTGCTATCCTTCCTAGCAGCGCCGCAGGATTGGGGATCGCGTACTGAAACGAGTGCATAGACATAAGAGGAAAAAAGAAGACCGTACAATTGTTTTCACAGTAAAGGTCACGATTTGCGCTAATCGGAGCCAGAGATTGAAGTACGTGATGCGGCAGGGAATTTCGCTCGGTTGTTTAAACGGAGGATCCGCCTCCCAGAATTCGTCGTCGACTTCTAGACACATATCGAGGTCAAAGCTGTAGTAAAAGATTAGTGAACCAAAAATGATGGTCTTGAGTGAAAGTCATACTCCTCTTCGTCAAGGGCACATGGACGGCCCAGTATCGCGCTGCCAAAGCGGTCGTACGCGATCAGACACCACACCGCTCTTTTCCAAAGCTCCTCTTCTACACTAGGCGTGTCGCTGTAGATTTTCTGACGATGGGCACCCACATCCAGTGCCTTTCTCAGCCCGATGCTGACAAATATCCAGGCGGCAGACGGGTGCGAAGCCGAGCCGCGCAGGTAGAATGCAATGAGGCTGAATGTTTGGACCTCTTCCAAACATGCGGGGTAGAGAAGGGTGCGTTTTGAGCGATGGATTTCTGTGAACGGTTATGAGAGTCGGAAGTAGGATAAATTGCGGGAAACTACCCATTGCAAGAGAATAATAGTGACGTCCCGCCTCACTCCAATCAAACCCGCCGGAGGTGGTTCGTCTGCAGTTTCGGGGTAGAACCAAGGGGTCATTGCTCCAGCGACTGGCAACGGCGAAGAGCGAGAGGCACACGCAGGCGAACCAATGGTGGCGATGGTGCAGCTTTTCCTGGAACTGACGTTCGAAAGTCGGGCGGTGGAGGAGAGGCAGTTGTGGGTTGACGGATGCAAAATAGATGTTGATGAGGTCACTCGCGAGTGAATCCGGAGGAAACTCTTTGACGAGGGACCCAATTTGGTGGACATCAGTAGTAGATCGTTCCCATTCTACCTCCCACTAGGAAAGTTCAGTTGGCCCTATATGATCTAATGAAAAAACACACGGGAAGAGGCTCCCAGAATTCATTCCTGCGGGTGGGGGTATAATGATCCTTGAGTGTTTTAGGCTTCTGCTCGTCCTGTTGCTTATTCTCCTCTTCGATGAAGAGCTCTCTGTAGCGCCTGGTCATGTCAATAAGACTAATCAAACTACTTTTCCCGTGAAAACGTGTGGTGATAGTATCGAGTGGATCATCGCCAGAGGACCGTTTGCCTTGGTCATAGGTCGCAGTGAGTTTGCGCAAGTCACCCTTGATTACGTCCGCCATGTTCTCCGAGTCGGATGAGTTGAGCTCGTCGGAGTCGTCAGAGTCAGAATTGTCCTGTCTCCAGTGAGAGTTGAGTGCAAGATGGGAGGTGAAGCGAATGCTTGTCCGTGGTGGTGAGCTTGGTCGCCGTGATCGCGCACTTGCTTTGCCAGCGCTGCTGCTGCTGCTGCCTCCGATGTCGTCTTTCCATGAGCCACGGACAATAGGGGGTCCAAGTTCAGAGCTGAAATCGGCATCCGGACGGACGTGATGCAGCAGTTCCTCGAGTTGTTCAAGCCTATCTTCGAGTGCGGTAACATAACTGTGTAGCCGATCAGGTCAAAAAGGTTTCACTTGCAAATAGGCTACTAACGCTTTTGGTGGCCCTCGAGGAGTTGATGCTTCACTGCCCAGAATAGGTCAGAACGACAGCTCGTCAAAATGACACTTTACAGGTATGTGCATGACTTTCCCAGGACACGGCAGCTGGAGCAAACACTGTTGACCTGTTTGGGCCCGTCGCAACGCGTTTTCCTTCGTCGACAGGCATCGCAGGCGCGATTTACAGCGCGGACCTGCCTAACCGCTCTATTTGATTCGCCTAAACGGCCAATGAGCGAGGGGAAGGACATTAGCTGCTATAAATACTCGAGGTGGAAGGGTACATTCGAGAGTCATACTAAGGGCGTGACCAGTAAAATGTCTCTTGCCAAGAACGTCTTCCGAAGCCTCTCTACTTTCTCCCGCCCAGCGCCCATTCCGCTTCCACGCGAACAACAGCGCGAATTTGAGCGACTACAACGAGATGCTGGTACCACAACTACCGCCAGCCAAGAAGAACTTGAACTCCATCCTGACGCACGAAAGCCTCTCAAACCTGACTTTGAGGGTGATGTAAACCCACGGACGGGAGAGCAAAACGGGCCAAAGCATGAACCAGTGAAGCAATGGGCAGAAGGCGATTGGAGTTTTAAGGGCAGAGTGTCTGATTTTTGAGATTACAAGAGAGGGAAGAACAAACACAACTACACAAAATAGTAACTCTACCCTCCTTCACCGTCTTATACCGCGCGATGGGGTTGGGGCGGACCCGCGGCCACGACGGGCTACAAATAACATCAGTGGATAGAAGAGAGAGTCTGTTGAGATCAGATACACACCATTTGCTAGAACCAGAAATGTCAATATCGAGTGTGAAAGGCAAACAAGTCTGAGACTGACCTCGCATAATCGTCGCTCTTCCTCTCGCTGTGCCGATACCCCTGCCCCTCATCGCGTTGGGTCCCACGCGTTTGAACCTACCATCCAAAGTGAGAAAGAAAAGAGAGTGGAGAACACATTCGATAACTTGCATTGGCGCGTTTTGCAGCATGTCAGGCACGATGAAGAAGCGAACCATACTCCCGCGAATGTAGACCTGATCTAATTGAGATACGCGGCCATCGCGACCAGTGACGGTAATGTCTTTTAAGGAGATGTTCAGGTTGTCCTCCGCTGTTAGTAGATGATGAGTTGAGAATGGCCCCAATCGCCGTGACGCACCTTCAGCCAATTTTCCTCGATACATCGCCCCAGTTTTGAGCTCGACAGTGATGATGTGTCCGAGAGATTCGTGCAGTAGTTTTACGGGCACACCGAGTCCTGCGCTAGCCATGGCGGACGGAAGTTAAAGGTGTCACGTGTGACCATAACTTGAGCCAACATTATCTGCAGTGGAATTTACATGACAGGCATATGCTACGAATTATCCAGGGTATCGTTTCAAAGGTCCATTATTGCTTATTTCTCGTCCAAAGTCGAAAGGAAGGCAACCCACGTCTTCTTTGTTATCAAGCCTTCGTCTGTCCCAAATTTAGTCAAGGTTGTGAGCGTCGTTCTGCTTTTACTCACAGAAACCTTCAGCATCTGTGACCACGACATATCGAGCGCCCAGTTTGGCAAAGAACATGTTGACCAGCTCCAAGGGTGAGTTCAGTTGGACTGTCATTGGTGCTTGGTCCATGTATAGGCTGAGATCGAAGGGGTCAGTATCGTTATGTTGTCCACTTTCGAGCAGGGAAGAGAACGAGGCAGAGGCGTAGCCACCACGATGCGACAGTTCTGGATGGAAATGAACCTCATCGTCTGGGTCGTCCGCGATAATGCCTATAGTAATCATTTAGTGCGAAATATAACCAAAAACATCTTGCTCTTACTTAGAGCGTGTTCCAATTCATTCGCGCCGATATAGCCAACCATCCTCGAATTGTTCTCACCCCGCTCCTTCTGCAAAATGGGGAATCCACTGTCATCATTACCGGCGGAGAGTAGACTTTGGAGTTGCTCAATGAGGCTCCGTACGGTATTGGTCTGATCCAGGTGGATAACTTCGCCATCCCGGACAGTCTACTCAAGATGTCAAGGAATCATCCGTTTGACATAGCATTGCTTACCACATCATTCACTTGCAGACTTCCCCACAAGTATTCGTGTTTCGAATCCAGATATGGCAGCTGGACGAGGTCGATTACGAGGTCATAGATGCCTTTTGGCTCCAAAGCGTCTGCGACGGTCTTGCTGACCAGAATGGCAAGCATAACCTGAAGCAAAAAAATTCAGTCCACTTTTTGGATTACAAAAATTGGGGAGATTACTCACGGGAACAGTATAAGCCAAAGAGTCTGTGAGTTCAAAGATAATGACAGCGAGGGAAATCGTAGTTCTGGTGACGCCTGACAAAGTCGCTGCTGCACCAACCATGGCATATAGTCCAGGTATAATGCCTTCATCTGCGTCAAAAGATGTCTTTGAGGTAGAAGCTCTTACAGTTCATATCGCCACCGCAAGCTTGGAACAATCGCGAGTCCGGATGCTGAGCCTGCAACGACTGCATAAGAATTCCTACAACTCTTCCAGCGCACGCTCCAACTCCGAGCTAGACAAGGATCAGGTTAACAAGAAAAAACAAGTCTTAATGAGATAAAAGACTTACGGTTGGGATGAAAATCCCTGCAGGTAAGCGGATCCCAAAAGTGATCTATGGGCTTGGAATCGTCATCCAAAGGCGGACGAAAAATTTACTCACAACCGTCAGCACAGATTTGACCAGCATGGCGACAAGAACTGCCTGAGCTACAGGCCAAACAGCCTGGAACGACCCTGGGTCTACCACACACAGAGGATTGAATGACCCAGGTCGACATTCCGCAAAGAGTTCGAAAATGAGCTGTGGTCCGCTCATTCGGGTGTACGGATTCAGGAAGCACAATGCAGATGTGAGGAGTGTGATCTGCAAAAGTCCAATTGAAAAGATTTCCGTCGTCCAGGTAAATCACTTGCCAGCATGACTTCGGCTACAGGGTGGAACTTGAGCCATGTCTTGTTCCGTACATCTCTACTCCAGCGGAAATTAGCCTTGGAGAAGAAGGCTCCGTAGACACCACCGAAAACACCGAGGAGCAGGAATGGGAGAAGTTCGAAGGCGTGCCAGTCCTACTTCACATCAGTGGTCAATTAAATCAGTGAGAACATTGCATGCCTTGTCGTATGTAACTTGGAATAGCACAAGTTTGCCACTCCCAAACGGATCCAGAATTTTCAAAGTAAGGGCCGCAATCATTGCACAGAAGAAACTGGACACAACTAAGACTGCGATGACAGCAAAATTGGTAGGCCGTACCTTCGCCACATCACTATAACTAGTTGAGCACCGGTAACATGAGTGAAGGTCTAGACGACGCACCTTTTGGCGGGAAGTAATAGCTCACTTCCTCCAGACTGAATAGGGTACCGCCTGCGGAAAGTGTAAAAATGATATTGCTTGAGCGGCCCATGACCGACCTATTGGGGCACCAAAAGCTACAGCAACACCAGCAGCGCATGCGGCACTCAGGATTTCACGTCTCTTCGCCTCATTGTTCTCGTATTTGGTTGTGAATCGACTACATATGTTGCCGATACCTACCTCAGATCAGTTATCGCCATCGAAAAGGTAGGAAATACATACAGCTGGCGATATGAACGAATGGACCTTCCTTGCCTGTCACAATGATCAACGAAGAATCAGCGGCGATTGGGGCAATGACAGACCGAGAGAGAGACCAGAAGCAACAGACAGTGCCAAGCCGACGGACTTAGTGAACAAGGTGCGGCCTCCGAGGTACCCGTGAATCACGAACCCAGAAAGAATGGTCTTGATTTCAGGAATACCACTACCAGCAGCCTATTCTAGTTAGCGGACGCAGCCCTGAAAAATCTTGATTACCCACATAGTACATGACTTTGCGGTTGGGCTTTTCACGACCAGGAAGATCAGGTGCATCTGCAAAGCCAGGCGCCAGGACACCCGATTCCTTCCGGGTGACGAATGTGGTCGAGTTGGTCAGGTATAATGTCAAGAGGCATGATAAGGTTGCGAGAAGCAGCTGTCGAAATAGATGAGGCGCAAATCTTAAGAAGAAAAGGTATAGACGCACCGCCACGGCAGAGTACGAGATGTATTCGACAAAGTTTTCGGCAAACGAGTCCTTGTGGAGGAGCACCTCTGCCCAATTCTCGAAGGCGAAGCATTCCTCGGCTGCAGGAGGACAACAGAATTGACGGGACTTCCACCAACCGGTTGTGCAGTACCCTTCTTTGAGATCGAATAACCAGGCTTCTCCCCGAATGACGAGAAAAGCGACACAAGCTGTCAGGAACCCGACGAGGGAAACGATGATCCACCCTAAGCTCTTGTCAAGCCAGAGTCTCACACGGGCGCGCCAAGACGTCCTTTTTCGAAGTCTGGAGAAGCGAAGAGAGTCCTTTATCGCATCATGCAGCCAATCGATGGACGAAAAGGACGAGTACCTGAAAGAGAAGTCAACTAAAATGTCGGGGGTTGGTGAACAAACACGTACCAAACACGGATACCGTTTATCCGGGCGTCGTTAGCAGTTTCATCGTCTACGAATTTGTCGCGAGCTGGTGCATCGTAGGCGCTGATTGGGCGCTGGGAACTCAAACGAGAGTAAGCGAGGTCACGAAAAGCGGACACTGAAGGGGATCGAATGCGAATTGAATTGCCACTTCGGGGACTTGATATTCCACTGGGAAGTGTAATGGGCGGAAGCTTCAAGCCTCGGCGAGGAACTGTGCCATAGGAGCGACCATGGTTCTGCGATGGTTGAAGAGTTGTGCTTTCGGTAGTGTCTTGCTCGATTGTTGGCCTTCGAGAAAGAGTCGTGCTGCTACCGACCCTTGTTAACCTCTCTCTCCGCCAAGTTGTTGTTGAAGGGGCGAAGTGGTCGCTCATGGTATGTGCAGTAGGAGGACGTCAAACAAAACCAAAGCGCCAGCCGGATCACTGACAGGGACATATTGGGCATATGTTCAAGTTGTAACAAAGTTCTATACGCTAGCACTAGCAGCTGCTACAGCAGATGTATCACGAAGTAGACTCATTATAATGGGTAAAAGCTGAGAGCTAAACTCTAGAATCAACGATTCTCCATCCTCTGAAGTACTGCGTAAAACTGCTGGTGGATGAGGTGTTCCGGGAACAAGACTGGACGCGTCAACTGGATGGATGTTAGCAGCATTCAAAGCTGCGAGCATCTTTCTTGGAAGTTGTACTGGGATGACCAGTGGCAAAGTTGGTTGTGGAGCTGGAACAGCAGAGAAGACCGTTTGTCCAGGGTAAGTTTGTTGATAGGCGTATGTCGGATAACTCGGTGGGGGAGGAGGACCCTGAGGAGGTATTTTCGCTCGTCTTTCATTGTCAAGGCGCGCCCTAGCCACTCGTATTTCCGACGTGAATGCTGAGATCTCTGCTCTAACATCATCCGCAAACATACTAGCAAGGCCTATTTCTTGGTCGGCAGGAGCCAATCGCTGGAGACCTTCAATGTGTGTTATCTCGCTTGTGAGACATGCCACAGACCTTCCCTGGACGTATTCTAGCGCGTCTGAATCTTTCATCTAGCTTGCGTTTTCGCTTGGCGCATTCTATGGCAACCTTGGTCTCTTCATCGTAGTTTCAGCAACGGCAGTGGAAACAACGGACTAAGACAGACCTGAAATCTCAGCTTCAAGACTATCCGAGGCTTTCCGTTTGCCCTTGCGGTCTTCCCGAGGTTGACAAAGGACGTGAAATGGAAGTAGACGATGAACCATATCAAGTGTATTCTTGAAGGGTGTTGTGTCGATATTCACGAGGGCTGCATGGTCTTGCTTTAACGCTTCCTGAAACCTAGCAGCGGTGGCCGAGATAATTTCTTCTTCTTCAGGGCTCCTTTTCTTCGGCGGTGGTACTTGTGGTGCAACAACAACAGGCGGTCTCCAAGCATTGGCAATGACAACAGGGGGGACAGACCCGCGCAACGGAATGGAGAAAGACGAGGTGGATGGTGCGAGGTATGCTGGGATCGAGTATGGCTTATGAGAGGAGGAAGGGAGTGAATGAAGAGCCGAGTCTTTCGACATCGCTCGTCTCGTTTTGGTGACAACAGGTGACAACCCAGTGACAACTTTAGGGCCAGCATTTGGTTTCCAAAGTTTATTTTGTTTGGTTATAGTTATATAGTATCAGCTCGACGGGCCCCCTTCCAACGCAGCATTGACTAATTTCAAAAGCTCCGCTGCCCGAACAACTTCTTCTACATTACTCACGGAGAGCGTTTTCATGTACTCTTTTGCCAGTGGCAAGTTGTTTTTCGTTTCCAAATAATACTCAGCAACTTTGATGCTCGACCTGGCGAAATCGTGAACGGGGCGACCTGTGTATAATGCGTTAGTGGAGTATAGCCTCCTCAAGTGCCATCATCTATACCAGTTGCTTGGCAAACTTCAACCACTCTTCGATGATACGCGGCAGATTCTGCAAAATCTTGTTGAGCAGCGTAAAGACTCGCTAATCGCAGATTAATCGTGATTTCATTCGGGTCTGCGGTTATTAAGGCACGCTTGAAGCATTCAATAGCCTCTCGAAGTCTTGATTGGATAGGTCAGTCGACGGTGTAATAGTTTGTAGTTCTTTTGTTACCTGCCCATCTCCTCATAGCACATTCCCTGGGCTTGCCACAAGCGTACATCATATGGACTGTGGCGTGTATCAGAAGTAAGTGAGGAACCCCAAAACGGAACTGACCGCAAAGCCGTTGCGTTGTGATAGTAGTGGAGAGCATATTGATGCATGTTCAACAGCTCGTAGGCTTGTCCAAGACCATACCAGGCTCTATAGTCCTTTCTATTGACATCTATTGATGGGGAAAAACTCAGTGCAGCGATGACAAGGACAAGAGGAAGCAAACCGATTGCTCTACGATATGACTCAATCGCAGCAGAAGAGTTCTTCATCTCTACGTGTTCGTGCCCCATCAGCGTCCACGCAGAAAGATAAGTACGATCAAGCTGCGTAGCTCGTCGAAAGTATTTGATAGCCTTCTCATGCTCCGCTCTTTGTGAATATAAATTTCCTGATGCTTTTGTATGGTACTTGATCTTGGGAGACGAATGAACACATACCCACAAGACAGCACACCTCTGGCCGTTCTCTGTCTAACATCAGGAAGTCATTGGCAAGTCTGGAGAGCTTGAGACGGTTATCCGTGACGTAGAGAACATCTGAAAAGATGTCGATGTTGTCAGCACGATGTGGGTCGATTTCCAAGATGCGTTCAAATTGGGCTTGTGCTTGTTTGAAGTCTATTCGGATTGAGTGGGAAGGTATGTGATCCAGTTCAATGAGTCGCACCGTGTGCATGGTAGAATGCGCATGCTCGTTGACTCATTATCCACAAACTATTTGGAAAGAGTTCGGGGCTAAGAAGTTGGTCGCACAGGCCCAGTTCATGATCAGACGGTGCTTGGAGCTCGTTCATCGTTTTGATTTGGAACATTTGCACAAAGGGATGGACAGTAGGCAGCGGTAATAATGGAAGGATAGCGGAGAGCTGTGATGAGGAAGTCAGTAAGTGTCTGTGAAACAACAAGTGGAACTTTACTTCGCCGCCGTCATTTATGCAAGTACTAAGTAAGCTCCACACACCCCAATTCCATGGAAAGCCGGCGATGGAAAGAATAGCACTTTCTATGGCTTCGTCGCGACGCATAGGAAACCGAGATAGAAATAAGGCTTTACTGAATATCAAATGAGCGCTAGATAGCGTCTGGTAGTAAGATCGTCTTACAGGTACAATAACCATGGATCAGTCGCATTCAAGACAGCAGTTAGCAGTACATCGACGGTTGGATTCAAAGGTTCAGGCGGTTGGTGACGATTATCTGCAATGGATGATTCCTAAGATCAGCGGGTGAGATCAAGCACGAACTGTCGAGTTTGCTCCAATTGCGCTGTGCGCCATTTTCTGTAGCCTGCTGTCATGGATGCCAGTTCAAACAAGGAAGGTGGCAACAACTTACTATAAAATGACTGTAGTATTCGATGAATTTTGCTTTCGTGCTGCTACACTGGCGCAGACAGTGGATGGCGCGCATCGGATCACGAGACTCGAGAAATGTCCGAGCAGAGAACAATGCATCTTCCTCGGCCGCCTCTAGCTCGAGTTGTAATTCCTCGTCAGGTTGTATTGCTAGAGGAGGAGCAAGAGGATGGCGTGGTGGGACTAAAGGAGGGTCCACCAGTTGGGTCGACGCGTAAGATTCGGAATCGTCAATGTGGCGTCGCGATAATGGAATAGCAAGAAGCAATTCAGAGGACCTGCAGTGCTCGAATTACATAAGATGCTAAGAGCATGTTGGGCTACCATTTAGACGCAGAAAAAAGGCCGCGCTCAGCGCATTGGCGTATGGAGGCCCGTAGGCCGTCGAGGAGAGTTTGGTCCATAACCAGGCCGTGACGGTCACGGGATGTTACTCTGGCTCGTGCTAATTGCTGCTCTCTGCGTTTACCGCGTTTATTCTATTCTACCAAGTCGACGACGTCGATTAACGCGCTCAGAGACAAAAGCACTCGCTGTGTTCCTTGGCTCTGGTGCTCAATTCACCTTCTTGTTGACCCAGCACTCAATCTCGGCTAGGTGGCCACACGAAGGAAGCATTGACCCTCATATCAGCCCTCGACTTCGCGCGTTATAGACCAAGAACTTACATCATCAGCGATGGTGACACCTTCAGTCTTCAGAAAGCGGTAGACTTGGAAAACTTGAAAGCGACTGCAACATGTCCCGCCGACTACTCACTGATAACCGTTCCACGAGCACGTCGACTTCATCAACCATTGTACACGATACCGCCTACTGCTCTACGTGCACTTCTATCTTGTATCTACTACTTGACTTTTGCAAGCCGACCTTTGGGGGATGTGCTTATTCTCAACGGTCCAGGCACTTGTTTGGTACTCTGTATTGCAGTCTACATCAATAAAGTAAGTCTCTTGCTTTATTGGTCTATGAACACGGAGAAAACTATCAGTTTCTCGGCATCGCAGCACCGCGCCTCATCTACATCGAGTCGTTCGCTCGCGTTGAATCTCTGTCCCTATCGGGAAAACTGCTTCACCCTCTTGTTGACAGGCATGAACAAAAACACTTCCCTCAATCGCCTCGCTCATGTAGTCATTCCAGGTTTATCGTCCAATGGAAGCAGCTAGCTGAAAAAGTAAAAGGAGCCGAATTTTACGAGCTACTTGTTTGAATTTAGCAAGAGAGCACAGTCGAGTTTTACAGTCGCCAGCGTACACCCTAAAATAGCGTTTTACTTGCGTGTCCAGCGATCTTCGCCGTTGTGGCCCCTGCGAGAAGGAGGACTTGCACTCCGACGCTTCGTTGGTTCCCAGCCCCCAGCACCACCAGTCGTTTTTGGCGGGTTTATCCGGCGTTCGAGCCGCTGGCCATGACGAAGGGATCTAACCAACTCTTTTGAAGCTAGACGCAAATGCATGAAGTTACAGAATCCACCACGATTGCATTCGCCATTTTCGTTTTGGCGACAGCATGCCTCACGGAAGTCGGTCACCGGTGACAGCTCAGCATAGAGTGGTCGGCCTAATAAGTTAGAGACGGCGACAGGGTTGAATGATCACATACCCGCATACCAGCGCTCGTTTAAATTATCCACCGCAGCTTGCGCCTCCGTCTCCCACTCGTATCGGGCATACACGTTACCAATGAGATGGTCACCCACGTTGTCGCAGACCTGTTGGGTCAAATCAGTCTTAGCGCAAGAGAATCAACATTAAGGAACGAACATGAAGCTCCAGGAGGTGGCCAAACTTGGTCAATTCGCAATACAGGTCCTCGTAAACAGCATCGAAGCCTTCTTGCAGTTCCTTTTCAGTGAGTTTGCAGACGGGGTCATGGGCTGGGTTGTGATACACATTTGGAAGGAGAATGGTCTGGGAAAACGGAGGCTTGATATGCTTGCGGGAACACCTGTCTCCGTGTCGGCAGGCGCCGATCTAGGAGAACGGTTAGCAACATGGAAAAACAAGAATCAGGACTAACTTTGTAATAGAAAGAGCAGTTTACGCGGTCCTGCTCTGTTCCAAATATGTTAGCCTATGAGATAGAGTTAGTATTCGAGACGGTGTTGAAACTCGATTCATAGACCAAATGAGATGCCATGGCTGTCGAAGTTCAAGAAACCCAGGATGTGACATGTTGTGACCGCTAACCGAATTACTTAGTCAGCCTCATATCACAAGAGACTGTACTATAGTCTGACAAGTAGGCACATACCAAGAAGCGTATAATACACAGTTCGTACAAGCATATTTGAACGATTATTTCCTAGATTAACCCAATGCACTCGCGAATGCACCAAGGATGGTGACCCACCAAGCGCGGTACAGCGCACGGAACCCTTCTTCATTGACTATCGTCTTTGCGCAGTCAACAAGCCCAGTGTAAGGCTCGTTTTCAGTACGCAATCCAATTACATCCTCCTCCACACCAGCGTATTCAGGCAAATCTTCAGCATCCCCTTCAACTTCTTGAGAGACCGAGTTATAGTCGGAAGAGGATTGGTTGCGCTGGATCGCCAAACGGACAGTGATGACCTCGAGTGGCGTCAAAAGACCTGTAGAAAGTAGAATGATCGCAATGCAGATGGCGAATTTGAGCGGAGAGGTGTCAGGATATGAGACACCACCAGGTCCCATTGCAAGTGGGACAAGTAATCGATGTAGAGGTCCAAGAACCAGTGTCTATAGAGTATTAGTAGCAGCATGAAAATGAATAGACTGCCAACAATATATGCGGTATGGACAAATTGGGTGGCCAATAAGCCTGGAGTCAGATATATAATCCATGGTCGACTGCGCTCGGTTGGGGTGAGAAGAACGCGGAGAGATTTCATTGGACCGAAATAGGGTAGTTTATGCGGCGTAGTAATGGCACTAGAAATGACCCGATGAGGACGCCGAAGACACGTAGACAGTTTTACGAACCGATATGTGATGATGGCGCTGGGAAGACTCAACACAACCAAGCTGAGAGCGTAAATAAAGGTGCCGAGTACGCCTGTTGACGGAGGTCGATATCCATGACGGCCAGGACTGCCCCCCGAAGAATCGACGAATAAGAGAATGACGATAGACATGACCGTCGCCGTCAAGAGTGTAGGCACTGGGCTAAACGTCATCGGAGAGCAGCATAAGGACGGACTTCAACGCACTTAGACCTTTGTAAAAGCCAGAAACGCCCTCTAATCTGTAAACTCTCTTCCCCGTTGCCCAGAATGAATTGAGAGTTGGACCAGTATGCGGAAGCGCACTGCCTTCAGCATCGAGAGCAAGACCGCGAGGTGTATAGTTTGCTCGGAAGCGGACTAGAACGCCTGTGAGAGGTACAACCACCGCCAGAGATAGGGCTAGGGATGGGATAATGAGAAGGTAGTCGAGCAGAGCCATGTTTGCTGCGTGCGTCTGTCACGTCACACTTCTTCGTTTCTTTCCTCCGAACCTCCATGATCTCCACCTTCCCGGAAGTAAATTCCGACAGCAGATTCTATTCTCCCCCTTCATCCACTTTGATCAGCCGTATTTCTTTCCTGCCAACTTCCCTCCCTTCAAGTCTCCTCTGTCAATGTTTTGGTCAAGTCATCCTCCTTGCAACTCCCCTTCTACCGCCACTCTTGAGTTTGTTTCGTTGCTTGCACGATTATCATTACATCAAGTGAGTCATATGAATTATCAGTGGTTTATTCCTCAGTCTCATCTGTAAGCTCCGTTAGACTCGGCCTCAATCGCTTTCTCGGTCAACTATCCACCTGCAGGTGTAACAGTTGGTGGTCATAGCATCGGAAATATACAAAGCTTGTCTAAAGCTAAGTTAAGCATACGACAACCGTTTGTTTAGCCACGGACAATGCTAGTCCAACCATCTATCGACTTCCTTGCGTGTCTTCTTCGTCTATGTCGCTCCATTCCAAAGGATTTATTGTGCGTCTGGTCCCACATCTGGGTTCTACTCCTCTTCGCGCTCAAAGCTGCTGGATGATCTCCTGAAGCATGTTGGCTGTTATCGTATGGTGGTTAGAGCCTTAGGACTGTATTTCTTACAATATTTTACTTGAATATGCACTTGTCGGGTGGCAGAGTGGCATCATAACTTGGTTAAGCGCGTACCATTATCGTCGTTGTTCGCTGGTGTCGCTCATCCACCACCTCCAATTACTCTCGCTCAACTCTTGTTTACTTGAAGCAGGACTCGACGCCGCTGAGTTAGCCAAGCTCTTTTTATGGCTTTTTCGGCGCGCAATCCTGTTATCGATATTTTTTCCTCGATTTGCTAATTGTCTGTTCCAGGCGAAAGAGGCCGCACTAGCCAATCTCAAAGACGCGCTCGCAACAAAGCAAGCCAGAAATGAGTCGTCTAGAGGGTTGGGCGGGTATGCGCTGCCAGCAAATTCGAGGGATGGTTCACAAACAATCGTTTCTTCACGCTACTTTTCCGCGAACAATACCAACTTTGGCAAGGTTTTGGTACCGAGCTCAAGTCCAATTGTACCGTCGCCTCCTCGCAGGAAAAACCAAGCCCTTCATGACGTGGCAGGCGGGCCCTACAATCTCTTTCAAGATGATATGCTTGTTGGCTCGTCTGGTTTCACGGTCAATGGCGTTCCGGCAACAGACAAACTAGGTTCGAATCGCCGACCAAGGGAGTCCAGTCTCGATAGCGAGGAGGGGCCGCCACGTAAACGAGTTCATACTTCAACAACCGGGCTCCTCGACTTCACTGCCTCACCCGTTTCACCCCAAGTGGGCAGGGCACCAAAACGTCGATTTGTTGGAGACGACGAGCCGTCTGACGAAGACCTCCCCGAAAATCTCACTCTTGCTGGGCCTTCGAAACCCCGTCTCACTCGAGACAGACCAGCAGCAGCTCCCCCTCCCCCTCCCCCGCCTTCAGACCTCGACGATGTCGCATTCACTAGATTCAAACTTACCCAACCAACTCACAGTCCAGTTCGGATACGTGCGGCATGGGACCAATCTGGTCAAAACGTTAAAGTTGCTACGGACATGTTAGAAGACTCCAACTGGACACCAAACCCAATTCCTTCTTCAGACAGTGTTGGAAGAGTGACAGAGGTTGATGAAGCCAGCAAGGCTCAGCGCGCTGCAACAAAAGCCAAAGGCCAGCAGAGCGCTATTTACGCCAACCGTCAACCACGACCTGCGGAAGAGAACAAGCTCCAATTCCGTCATTACACTGGACCAAAGGTCAAAGCAGGTTCGAATGGGCCTTCCAACGCACCCTCCCCCGAGCCAACGACTTTACCTCGTCGAAGAGTGGCTCGTAAGCTTGTGTTTGACTCTGATTCTGATGGCGCGTATTCGGATGGTGGAGAACGCGACGAAAGCGACCGCGTCACGGATCTACATAGAGCTCGAACTTTGTCCTACTTCAATTCTTCGAGTGAAGGGGCATTACAAGAGCTCACTGGTATGTGCTATTTTCATATCGTCTATCCTATCTCATCAAGTGCTTAGGCTGCACGCCAGAACAAGCAACGAAGATTGTCTCTCTGCGACCGTTTGAAACTGCAGAGGATCTTCAGACCAAGCTTAAGCAACTGGCGAAGAAGAAGTCGGGGCTGAGCACTAAACTCTTTGATGATTGTACTGCAATCTTCCAGGGTTATGGAAGTGTCGACAGCGTGCTGGAGGAATGTGAACACATTGGCGACTCGCTTCGCTCCTCTATCTCAAAATGGAGCTCTACGAGTGGCGAAGCGGCCCTCGGGGAACAACTTGAAGATGGCGCCTTGAGCTTGCGACATGTCGACTTATCTGGGAGCAAGCAGAAAAATTATCTCTCCTCTCAACCAAAGCTTATTGCCCCCGACGTTCAACTGAAGGAGTACCAACTCCTGGGTGTGAACTGGTTAAATCTCCTTTATACCAGTGACCTGAGTTGTATCCTCGCTGACGAAATGGGTAAGTTTATCTGCTGATTCAATTTGTCTCCTTTAATAGTATGAACAGGTTTGGGCAAAACAATCCAGGTTATCAGTTTCTTTGCACATCTCAAGGCCCAGGGAAACAAAGGTCCACATCTTGTAATTGTTCCGTAAGAAAAAAATCGAAGCTCGTCCTGGTATTCTGTTTCTCACCTCCCTATTTAGGTCTTCAACATTAGAAAACTGGTGTCGAGAATTTGCCCGTTTTGTCCCCTCTATCGCTATTCAGACATATTACGCCGGCAAAGAGGAACGCCCAGAGCTTCGCGAGACCTTACTCGATACGCAGAGATCTCGAAGTCGCAATGATGAGGGTTGGGAAGTTCTCATCACCACCTATACTCTTGCGCAGGGCGACGAACGTGATCGCAAATTCTTCCGCAAAATTCAATGGGATGTGTGTGACTCTTCGTGGCCTGTTGCGCATCACTGATTTGATTTTGCCAGTGCTGTGTGTTCGATGAAGGCCATGTCCTGAAGAACTTCCAATCACAGCGTTATCAGTCCTTGTTGAAGTTTGGATCCAAATGGCGTCTGTTACTCACTGGCACACCCTTGCAAAACAACCTGCAAGAGCTAGTCGTAAGTCTTATGCATTCACTATTCCCCACCTAATCCATCTTCACACAGTCCCTCATGAACTTCATCCTTCCTGAGCAATTTTCTACCTCTATGGGGTCTCTACGGGCCATCTTCAAGGTTAAAGGTGATTCGAAAGTGTCACTCTTATCGCAAGAACGAGTTTCTCGTGCAAAGAAGATGATGACTCCATTCGTTTTACGCCGCCGGAAAGACCAAGTCTTGAAAGATCTTCCCAAGAAAACGGAGCGGATCGAGTGGTGTGAGCTTACAGATCTCCAGAAGTCGATATATACCGACGCCCTACAACGCTCACGCAAATTCGTACTTGAGACTGCCGATCCTAGCAGTCGGGAGAGTTCGGCACCAGCGCCCACAAAGAAGAAGACGAAGCCAGCCGCCAAAAAGACATATTTGGAAAATAGTTCCAATGTTCTGATGGACTTGCGGAAAGGCGCATTGCATCCAATGCTCTTCCGCACCGAGTTTACGCTGGACATCCTAAGCTCGATGACAAAGGAGCTTCTCAAGGAACCCGACTTTAAAAAGCGCGGCGCTGTTTTCGATCTGGTCAAAGAGGACATGTCAGTGATGACGGACTCAGAACTCCAATATTTCTGTGGGACGTACAAGGTCAACATTTTTCACCCTTGTACTCGGCTGAAACTGAACAATCTGTAGTCCATACGGAAATATCGTCGAGACGATAGCTGTTATCTCAACTCTGGCAAAGTACAAGCACTCTTGCGGCTGCTTGCTGAGTACAAGGAACAAAAGCGCAAAGTTCTTGTATTCTCCCAGGTAGAATTCCCCATTATATTTTTGACCTACAGCAAAACTGAGGTTCGATGAGTTCACTCAGGTTCTTGACATCATCCAAGCCATCCTGAAGATCCAGGTAAAGAATAACTCCTTGAAATCATTTGTGAGCTGACGAAGTAACAAGGACATAGAGTTCCTCATTCTGACTGGCGCCACACCAGTCGATGTTCGACAGTCTCTGGTTGATGAGTTTTCAGAGCGCGATGACCTTGATGTCTTCCTTCTGTCAACCAAGGCCGGAGGTAAGCACCGTCAAGTGCACTTATTTTTTTTTTGCAAGTGCTGACACTTGGTCCAGGCATGGGTATCAATTTGACCGCCGCATCGGTTGTGATCATGTACGCTTTTTTGGCTCGTTATGGTGCTCTGACTGAAAATACCGCAGGTTCGATCAAGACTTCAATCCTCACAACGACCGCCAAGCACAGGACAGGGCCTACCGAATCGGCCAACAACGGGACGTCGAGGTCATCAAGCTCATCACGCGTGGAACCATAGAAGAAGACATGCTCAGATTGGGGGAAACAAAATTGGCATTAGACGAGGCAGTCGCGGGCGACTCGGAAGAGGGTCGTGATGGCGAGAGTGCACCTGAGCGGGAGATGAAGCAATCGTTGCTTGCCTCTCTCCGAGAACAATTCAAAGCTGAAGCCTAATAGAGATGTATTATTAGAGACCGACTTGTACACTAAAGTAATCCAGGTGGAGGCGACAGCAACACGATAGCGAATCAGGGCTACAACATCGTTCAAAAGCGTTCGTCGTCATGCTCTATGGACAACTGCTCTTTCACAAAGTCTTTGATGTCCGGGAAACTTCGTAGCATCAGTCTACTGCTTTCTTCCACCTCATATCGTTGCAGACGACCGTGTCTTTTAAGCTCTTTCGCCAACGAATCAGGTCTGCAAGCAGGATGATTTGCCGGAAGTGCAACAAGGGACCGCTGGAGACCATCAGAGGAGTCAAACCAGTCCGATTGGCACTAACCGTTCTGAACCACTCTCTCAGTTCGAAGTTGTTCTTGGTAGTTCGCAGGTTCGAATAACCGACAACCTGGACTATAGCCTTGACGCATTTCATGACGCTGGTACCTGTAGAACGTCGTAATCATGGACAGCTAGATCAAATAGCGGGCGCACTGCGATGGTTTATGAGGTCAACAATCGCGCTACAAGCTGGTCCATGACCGATGAGGACAACATTCTTTGCGCCACACAATCTAATGGAGCAGGGTTCAGAAGAAAAAAAAGACTAATAGAGTTAGGAATCAACGCGTACTGCACATAATTATCCCATAAATAGAGAACTAGATCGTTTTGCAGGGCCTCGGGAGTTTTCCCTCGCTTTGTGGAAGGTGAGCTCGGAGATTGCCACGGCAACGGAAATTCAGACGTTGATATCATCTTGGTCGATGGGTTTCGGGAACAGATTTGCGTCCAGGACGGAAAACCCTTCCGCTTGAGCCCAGTTTATTAACTCCTTCGAGAAATCAATCTAATGAGTGATTAATGAGCTGAAAAAAAGAGAGAGAAAAAGGTTCAGGCACACACCAAATACGACCGCTCCACTTGCACGTCGCACACAAGAGACGATGTCATTTCAGCTCGGAGATTTCCACTGGAAAAATATCAAGGCCGTCCTACTCCGACACGTGCGAAAGCCATACAATTCATGAATAATGAGGACTATGGTGTCTTTCTCGAAGATGTTTGTTCTGGAGGGAGGTGGGTTAGTCGCGATCTCGAATGGCGAGGAAGGCGCGCGCACGTGCACAACACTTGAGCAGAGAATCGCTCTTCAGCTGGTTTGCCAATAAGAGGGACTTGCATCATGTCGTGGGTACTGTACATATAATATTGGCGATGGAGTTTTAGGATCTCTGTGAATCCTCGATCAGAATAACAACAAATAAAGGGGAAAAGGCATACCTGGAACGGCAAAAGACAAAGATGCAACCTCTACAAGCTGTCTAAGTCGGCAGTGCTGCCGTTGAAACAGGACGACGCACCCTCCTGAGGTTCACAAGCTTTGGGGCTGACACTTTTCCAGAATTGGCTTTGCTCCTTGGCCACCAACCAAACTGTTTCTGCCGCCAACTCAGAAGCCACCATAGACCTCAACGGAGGAGGAGCTTCTCCGAGTAGGACTTTGGCAACTGCAAGTGCAGAGTTGGTAATGGAGTTGAGGTTGTAACCGCCCTAACATACTCATCAGCGACATCAGCGTGTTTTTCTTTCAAGAACAACTGACCTCTAAGGCAACAACAAGCCGTCCACCTGCAAGACTGGCAAGCATATAAGTCATATGTGCATAACCCTCCGGAGTGACATCGCATTCTCCAAGCTGATCACCTCTCGCAGCATCGAATCCAGCGGAGACTATCCATATTCATTATCATCCAAATGGTGAAAACCATCTTGATTGACTCACTTATGACCAGATCTGGAGCGAATTCCATGGCTATGGGCATGACGATTTTCTGGAATGCATGAAGGTAGTCGGCATCACCCATACCAGCTGTAGGCCATGGGATATTAACGGAGCTTTTTGTGGGCTCAGAAGAAAGTATTGCGTCAGGATGCAGACTCACTAGCCACGCCCAGGTCCTTCCCCGACAGACTGTAGGCTCCCGAACGGCCCGCAAGGATAGAATTGGCCACGCTCGTAACGGTGAATGGATATGTACAGTACGGACGGATCCTCATTGAACGCGCGTTGAGTACCATTGCCTAGATAAAAATAAGGTCGCTTCTTGAAGAACACACAAGTCATACCATGGTGAACGTCCCTGATAATGACGATAAAGCTATTGTCGACAGATGTTTTCTATTTGCTCACCAGTCCAGAATCAAGATTTTCTTGACAGAAGTCTGCTGTTGGACTACTCTTGCTGCTACCGCGACGTTATTAAAAAAGCAAAACCCCATATGTTCCTCTGGTTCAGCGTGATGACCTGGCGGACGAACAATCGCAAAGGTCTTTTTGAGTTCACCTTTCGCCACAGCAAGGCAAGCTTCGATAACGCCGCCGCAACTTAACCGTGCTGACCGCGTTGTGGCCTCACAGATATAGAGAGAAAGCTGTTCGTAGTACAACGCAGAGTCGATATAGGATTGCGCGTTCATGACTTGAGATAAACCTCAGTGAAAAGAGAGGTACCCAATAGGCCGAACCTACACTGCAGGGCTTCAACTTTGTCCCATAGGTCTTCGCTATGCACAAGAAGAGCCTCGGGTTTAGAAACCGGTCGAATAGGTATTCTCTTGCCCTTGTTGGTCAAATGATTTCTCGTAAGCTCGTCCCAAATAGCGCTAATACGATCGGGAAGTTCGGGATGATCTTGGTTCGGAGTGTAACGTGGGTTATGCGACATCATTTCTGCAGAGTAAACAAAGCCAATGTCGGTATTGGGATGAAGCAAAGGGACTGATGCTGGGCGAGGAGGCGGGGAAACCATTCGGATGGGTTCAGAGAACAGTTTGCGCGGGTTGGCAGTTAACGGAGTGGGTTGCGCGACAATCGCGTCGTCCACGTCCATGGCCTCCATGGTCGAAGGAGGAAAGGACTGGATGGGGCAAGTCACGCGCCAGTCACACCGCGTCTTTCAACCTGACACTCGCGTCGGCGGCTGCTGCATACTATGTAGGACACTCGCAAGTCCCTCGAAACATATGAATCCATTCTCTAGACTGAATCACGCGTCTGATAGTTGGCAGAATAGCCCAGAAATTCTCGAATGTTAACAATTGACATCACCACGCATTTCTGCTTCGATTCTCCGCACGACATCGTGTAAATTGGCCAGCATAATACCCACTGTAGCCGGGACTTGGTGGACATCGTCGCTGTGATGGATTTGATGCAGTGAATCTGGTCACATTTGTTACTTTTAATGCTTCCGTCGCGTCAGGACCGTGGTTTATTTTAGACCCTCTCCATCTCTCTCTCTCTGCCCTCCAGTCTCGACAAGCGCCTAGCTCCCACTGGGCCTCTGGAGTGGCGGATGGCTCAGGGGGTCCCGTCAATAAACATTCACACAACACTTATTGTTGACCTACGAAGGACTGCACGTATGTTCCTAAGTTAGACTTGGGCCCCTCACAACTTAACCCTCGGTCAACAGTTGCAGGTACCGCTGCTTTAATATGGGAGACCTTAATTACGTTTGGAGACGAAGTCCGATACATTTGGCCGTAGGTATCCAGTCTTTTTCTTTTGCGCACGCTAAAAGGTTATAGAAAACCTAATAACGCCTGGATCAAATACGCTTACCTGTTTTTGCGGTACTTTCCGCTCGCCGTGCATATGTGAGAGCTTCTCAGTTGGTCGGTGCGCAGACTTAAGCTGCCCTGAAGTTGTAACCGTATCGTCTCTGAATTGGTCTTCCAAGAAATTGACCTGGGATACTCAGCTTTACGCGGGTTAGGATGCTCATTCTCAACCCAAATGCACTAGAAATAATCTTATTTATAGCTGGTACGCAGTGCAAGTCCTCATGGCCCACTTGGCCATGTCTGGTGTTGAGCTCGTTATGATGGCGAGAGGTGTGCTACATGTTATCATCTAATTAGACCGTTGGACTCACTCGGCCATTCAGTCTACGCTCTTTATAATAACAGCCGTCTCATCGGTCGTGGGTTTGCGTGTCTGTGGTTAATCGAAACTGCGGTTGTGATCATAGGTGTGTTTGCGCTGTTCATGTTCAGCTCTATGGTGGCTGATGTTATTGGAGGTCTTGTTGTAACACTCCCCGGACTGCATTTCGAGCAAGAGTTCTTCGTAACGAAAGCCCCCCACTCTTTCGCGTACTTGGCCATCTCTACTCTAGTCTCTCAAGCCGTCATCTTCGCCCTCACTTTTGCAAAATATCTACAAGGAGAATGGGAAGGCACTAGTCTTATTCACTTACTCGTGCGAGATGGCACGCTCGTTTACATTATCTTCTTCGGTCAGTTGGTCTTGTTCACAGACTGCCGACGTGATTCACATCTCGTTCTTGCAGTAAGCACGTTAACGGCGGCCATCTACAGTCTCCATTCCTTCGCCTTCGGTATGGCTGAATACTCCTGGCTTCTCACCATCATCTCAACCGTGGGATGTCGACTGATTCTCAACATGCAACGACTACCGTCACGATCCAATGACCCCAGTTCTTCGTCGCATAGAACGTCAAGTATGGAATTGACCACTCTCTACATGGGAAGGTCATCGGTTTACAACGTATAGCATTAACTGTAGCACTATCCATCAACAAAACTGTAGAGTACCAATAATTTACTGCCTCAACTGGAAAAGTGGCTACTCCTAACGATCCGATCGACGCTTGCACGAAAGTACTCGTTATCAATTCCGTACTCTCGAGAGTCCATTTCCACCAGGGGATTCCTGACAACATATTCGAGGAACGGGCCCACATAGATTTGTCGCAGGATGAAGCGAAGCGAGTCCGCATTCGGATCGCTCAGCATGACAAACTTATAACCCGACACCGTTTCGTAGAGGTGCATCTTATACGAGGAGGTGCGATAGCTCGTAAACTGTTCGTCTCTATGCATCGTTTTCTCAAGTCACGAAAACCACCGTAAACTCAACACCTACCGTCCAGAAAGCTTCTTGACCATATTTCGCAGCGACAGGATGACACCATAGACAAGCTTCGCTTCTTCGTCAAAGGATAAGCCTGTACTCGTCACGTTGGGTGGTGCAGGGGACGTAGGCGTTTGCATGAGCAGTGGGGTCGGAGGAGTTTGCGCCGCCATTTCATTGACTGCGACTACGACACCAGAATTGGACGAGAGAGTATTTGTTGGCCTATGGAAGGCAGAGTATACGGATGGGTTTGCATGGTGGGGTGTAGTGACTGCCTGGGACACGGCGGGAAGGATGGCGCCCTCGACAGCAGGCTTTGGTTTTCGAGTGCGCAAGAAATCGTGATAGTAGACAGTTGTGCAATGGCGATCAAACACATAGAGGGAGTATATCGGCCTGGAGAGTATAAGAAACGCGTGATTCCATGAAAGACACAGACATTGGGAGCTGTGGTCGAGAAGAAACTCAGATCGCGTTGTGACGCCGCGTCATCGTGATGACCAAGCAAATGCTCTCTCTCCTCTAAGGACCGTACATCCGTATAAATACTCAATAAGTAATAACGCCTCAACTTGAATCAAAGGGCTCGGAGGTCGGGATTGTCTTCATCCTCGCCTGCGAGCACAAACTCTGGATTGTCAAAGTCGAGTTTCTGATGCAGTGAGCCAACAATTATCACTTCTTGTGTGAAGATTCTCCGTTTCGCGGCGATTTGCTTCCAGATCGCTTTGTCTTCAGGACATGAAATTAGATAGTGGTTCGGATAACTGTTGATCATTCTGATGGTCGGTTTCGTTGTACTTGTCTTTCAAGGTGATTAGTTGATATAACACCCAACAAGCTTCAAAAGACAGACCTTGCCGCCTTGTGCCTCAACGACAGTCCTCAGGAGGTCTATAGAGGCGACCTTCGGCGTAATAAAGAATGTGTACCCGTCGAAGAGCTTGCCATCACGGGTTTTGGCTCTTTCCATTGACTTCGTCAGTTTGATGCCCCATTTTTTCTCGTTAGCTTTGTCCGATAGGATGTAATCATCCTCAGCTGCTACAAATTAGACGTATCTGTTGGGGTTTAACAATTTGAACGCACGTAAAAGTTTGTTGGCTGCCGCCGACTTATTCGCCCAATCGGTCGAAAGTAGCCAAGCCCCTGTTCAATCCATGAGATCTAATCACATTCATAGGCATTCGCGACCATCTCACCATTAGCTAATGCACACAAAAATTTCTCCGTTCGGACAATACTAGGAGCAATAAGATGGGTGCAATCTGCGACTGAGTTAGCTGTCTTGACTCCCAGCTTCGTCAATTTCTACTCGAGACCCATCAGCCACAAAATAGAAATCCAGAAAAAAAAGCAAACCTTGATAATATCCTTGTCCAATTCAGTGATTGTTGTTAGCATTCGAATCTCTGTTAAACTGCTACGTGTTGTTCTAGGGCACGGATGAGAGTCAGAAAGAGTAAAATGAGAGTCGTTGCTGACCTGGGAGGGGCATCCCTCTTTGAGCCCTTCGCTTGTGCCTTGGTGGCAGGCTGCCGTGCTGTTTGGACCGAGTTTTCAGTTTTCCTGGACCGTATCCTCTGCGTATGTTTTGAGCCCGTCGCCTCTGGGTCATTAGACACTTCCTCCTCTTCGGCCACTTCCTGTTGCTGATGCGATCGTTGCTCAGAAAGGATTAGATTTCCCGAGCGTCCAGCAACTTTTTCCTGGCGGGATGAGGTTGTGTTCCCATTAGCTTTACCAGAAACTGTTCGAGACTTGGTCGTCGTCCTGGCACGCTTTCGTGGGGGAGGCGACTCAGAAGACGACTCGTCTGGCTCAACGTCCGACAAGGCTTTTCGTTTGGAAGACGAGCCCTTCTTCTCACGAGAAATTGGTTCTTTTCGAGATGGCTTGGCCTGATCTGTGTCGCTCTCCTCTCCCTCCGAAAACAATGTCCGTCTTTTGCCATACGTTTTCAGACGTTTGGGTGTGGGAGGCTGGGCAGTCTCATCCATCGGCCGCTTCTTCGAAGGAGAATCATCAGCATCGGCCAGGCGTTTGGAGGAGTTAGAAGTTGCCCCTTCGCGAGCCACCCGAGGCTTTGTGGGACTGACCGATGCCGGAACCAAACGGGCTGTTTTAGATTTTCCCGCTATATCCACCGCCTCCTCGATATCTCCAGCGCTGAGGATCCCTTCGACCTCCTTAGCACTAGCCTCGGTTCCATTTGGAGCTCGTCCATCCTCTTGTTCTTCCTCTGTGGCGAGCAACTCTTCTGCAGTAAGAGCTAGACCGCGTTCACCCAACATCGGGGTAAAGTCAACGTGGGGCGGAAATTCGATGTACTTGCTGACGGCAGGGTGGATGAATCTCCACTCAGTGAAGCAGTTCTCCAACCAGACGTGATTGACAACTGGAATCGACCAAGCTAGCGCTTTCTCGGTCTTGATGCCCCCCATACTAAAAAAAAAATGAGTGATTATCCTATTTCAAACGGTGTTGACTCACTGCGCGGCAATTAAGATGGTGTTCGTACCCGTCATGCTTGCGGTATACTCAGCACCCATTACCTTGATAAGGGCCTTCAGATACTCTCGAGTTCCACCGGCGAAGTTTGTCACAGTGATACGCTGTTGGGCGAAATTTTCGGCAACGGGAACTTTGCGGACGGGAAAATGAAGGAGTTGATCCATCGGGCTGGAGACTGTTTGTGTAGCATGCACAAACAGAACCCAATTAAGTGTTCCAATGATTTTGACTTCTTCTACGGCCTAGACAAATCTTGAGTTGGAATGAATGATCGGTGAAAAGACAGACAAGAACATACCCTGACAAAAGCGCGACCGGCCCTCCATCTCGTAATATAAACATCACATTTCCCTATTTTTTCGTACTCCTTGTCGTCATAATTGCCTTTGTGGGCCTCAGAGATGCGAACGATATGACCCCCAGCGGTGGTTATAGCATCTTCGACAACTCGTCGTCTGGTATCGTCGAGTCCAATCGAGCGACTGAGAAGTATACGACGTTGCTTCCATATATCTTCTCCTGTTGGCTCAGCTAAGGCGGGGAAATGGGAATTGTGTTCAGGATGCCAAATGGCGGTTTTGAAGTATTGCTGTCGTTCAGTGCTCAAGTGAAGATTCTTGCGGTCTGGCTTCTCTGAAAGTAAGGGAGACTTCAAGAGATTTGGTTCTGGCCATTCGTATGGCCCAGTGCTAAGTTGCCCAGATCCAATGCGAACTGCATCGTCGAACCAATGGGGGAGTAGAATCTTCATGCCTGTCTTCGGTTGATGCTCCATCGCAGCAGCATATTTTTCGGAGTTGGGGGAGGTGGCAAACAGGTGTGTCACTTCTCTCGTCAGGCCTGTGCGCCAGGTGCCACCGAGAGATAATATTCCAGTGCGAAGAATGACAAGATCGGACGAAGACATCCCAGAAGCAGTTGCAACAACGCCGCTGAATATTTTCCCGGGCTCCACAGAGTATAGTTCTGGTCTGATATATAGAACCAAATGCGTCAGTGTAGCAACCAACCAGACAAAACAAGACTCACGAGAGCAATTCACCCAAAACCATACATCGGTCAACCCAAATATCCTACCAAGTATGAGATAGGTCTATCGGTCGAGAGCGTACTTACTTTGACGATATAAACGCCTTGGCGAACGTCCTCAACGCCGAAGAATCGTAAAGTGTTGGTGACGATATGAGTTGCATTTGGAAGGGGAACGATTTCCCCTCCATTGTGCCGAATCACATGGACAATCTGCTGGAAACGGTCCCTAGGTATTGTTTCGGGGATGTGGATCCTAGTGTTGGCGAAGAGAGCCATAGCTGGCCTGTGGGCGCGTTCCACAAGTCGCGTATAACTCACGTGTCCTGTGACAAGAACAATTGACATGCTGAGTCATGCTGAGCCAATGAGTTTGCCGACAGAACTCTTCTCGCTCCATGCACTCCTCACAAACGACCCCATTCCCGGCAAGTCGCTTCATGCGATGCTAGCGGGATCTCATGCCAGACCTCAACCGTCCCCCCTTCACAAATCGGTTGAAACCGTGATTCATAGTGCTTTTTGGGACGTCGCCCGTGAACAATTGCGAGGAGATCCTGTAGCTCAACTAGAACGTTCTAAAAGCTTGCTCCTAGATGGTATATCGCCTTTCAACCGCTTCATCACACTAAACAGGTTTTCAGTCTATGAAGCCATAGAACCGCTACTCCGGCCCAATGACCCAGTCCTCTCTGAACTACGTCGAATCCCACCTACCACATCCCTCCTTCATTCTGTCAAGCTCATACTGAAGGATGTGCTACTATCTCTTCGCAAGCGAGCCGCGCCAGTCCGCGATCCTTCTATCGACAAACTTTTGGACAACTTAGAGACAAGCGCAAATGATTTGGAGACAACAATCGTCGACACAAGCAAATCCCTCCTCTCCTTGGCAGAAATAATGAAGAGTGATCTTACCGACTTCGTCGTTGGCTCCATGACAGATAGTGAATTGCGCACCTATCTGACTCAGCGAGCCCACCAAAACGAAAGGAAGGCTATACTTAACGTCTGGGACAAGAGCGCAATCGATGAAATTTGGCGTGCCTGGGTCGGTGAATTGGAGGTTGGACACTCATTTTCTCCCAGAGAGGCTTGGATTCGACGCCTAATGCAATCGCTTCGATCCACTATTCCTGTCTCCTGCCCGTTGCCAGATTCGGCTGAGGTTTCTGGAGTCAATACCCTCCCGCCCCCGTTCTTGTTTTCCCAGCCGCAACTTTTGCGGATGCAAAACTATCTGCAAGCCCTCGTTGTCGCTACATCACTTCGTAGTCTAGTCCATATCCCTAGCGGCAACGATGCGGGTGCTTTCATCGCTCGTGTCTGGGTCCTTTTAGAAGCCGAAATAGATGAAAAAGACTCTGTTGGCACGACCAAGCTTATAAATCTCGCTGACGAGGTTATCAGAGCTAGACGATTAGTTTCTGCTGTGGATGAAGCCGAAGAAAGTAGACTCCGTGAAGCTGTAGATCGCACGTTGCGATATAGCGACCCCGTCTTCAAGTTACTCCAGAAAAGGCTACTGGATGCGCTTGCTCAGGAGCTCTGCCATGACACGATCACATCTCTTTCTGCTCCATCACGGATGCAAACGGGTCGCTCTCTGGGTGCGTCGGAAGGCTCACTTCCACTTCAACAACCCCCTCTCTTTGTCAAAGGATTCGAAGACCCTGTTATTGCCAATGCAATCCGAAAGACAAGTGATAGAATCCGGCGCGACATCGATTGGGTCCAGGAAATGTGGTTCAATGTTTAGTCCAACTCGAACATAGTAGCAACCATATCAGCCATTCCGCCGTCCCGAATAATCTTGCGATGGATGTCAGTCGAGTCTCACCAGTCACGGACAACCAACCTCATATGATGCTTTCACGAATGGTCACATCCTCCACTTGGAATGCGTTGGAATGCGTTTGAATTCTCAACCCGTGCATCCTGATGTTTAGTCTGACGCGGACAAATTCGTACATTGCGCGTGTCTTTCCGAGTAAAGGACTTGCCGGAGACGGCCCTCGCTGGCCAGATAGGAACTCACCCCGAAGCTGTTGGAGAACCCGGAGAATGGCCGCTGGATCATAGTAATTTGTGCCGAGAAAGTGGAGGAGGGGCGTCGAAGTCGAGGTACGAGCCCATGCATCTGGTCAGCAGCATCCATGATCGTCAGGTTGACTTCATAACGTTGACACGATCACGGAGAATCGTTTGTACACGTAAAAACTGGCCAAAGGAAACTATAAGCTCCTCCTGCGTGATATTTTGAAGTTGGAGAAAAATTCTGCCTGTAAGTCTCTGAGATCAAGAGCTAATGAGAGGTGCTAAATGAAATGCTGCGGAAACATTGACAAGACTCGAATTGATGGTTATACGAGCGGAAATCAAAGCTAATGAACTGCTCAAGGTTCAGAAAAAGTGGTGAAGTTGACGGAAGGACCTCCTTGATGGATTCTGATTATGCTGATTGTGAGTGGGTGCTGACGGGGTTAGCGAATAATTCTAGCTCCGAAAGATATGCAGCAGCAGCGATGTCAACTTGTGAAGACCTATGCAAAATTGTTGGTGTCGACAACACAAAGGGAAAAGAATGCCCTTCGCGAAGTAATTCGAGGAAGGATCAGAAGCAGCAGGCGAAGAGGACACGCCGCGGGACACTGTTGGATTGAGCAGCTCAGTCATTTGGGGTAGAGCTGAAATAGAAATTTCAGCTAAACATACTCTCTAGGCGCTCGCTATAGATGATACCTGTAAGTGTGTAGCTTTCGGTGATTTGCCAGGAATTTGGAGAGGAGTGTGCATGACGGAGGGGGGGTAAATCCCTTCAGAACTGGAGAAATTGCTGATACCCCTTTGATACCATGATCCCCGACTCTGTGTAAGCAGAGAGGGTTTGGCAACATCGGATGTGCAATCCGTACGCCAACAGTCGTAGCTATTTTGATCCGGAATTTGAATGGAGATCGGAATTGAGTTTTTCGGGTCACGCTATGTCACATCACACTTTGTCACAACCCTGATTGAAACATCCGAGCGCTTTCTCCTCCTGCAACCATTTGCATGGTATGTTGATTCTCATACTGATGAAGCATAGTTGCTATTTACGAATGCGCGCGCGTGCATACCGTTCGACATAGTGGGGTACCGGAAGCTCCCCATTTATGTCGGTGGCGAAATACCGGCTGAAACTGTGGTTGCGGTAATTTTCACGGTAAATCGGTGGGGGAAGATTAACCTCTTGTTCAATCTCAACGAGTTGGTGGTTCTTTCGGATCCCAACTCCGATCGTCCATCTGGAGACTTTCCAGAGGTTGTTCAATTCCCTTGGAATCATTACTCGGCTCTGAATCCTGTGCGCGAGAGTCGAGCTGTAAGGGCAACCCCGGAGGCCTGAGATCAAGGTCCTAGCAGGGGAGGATCCAAAGAGTGAATAGAAGTAAGCAAATACAAGTGAGGCTGACCTAGCAGGGGAGGATCCAAAGAGAAGAAACTCTAAGGGTCCGCCTGCTAGGTAGCGGAACTATATACTGCGCTCTTGACGCGCCAAGGTTGATCGTTGCTCCGTGCAGTATGCCTGCGCCATGTCGCAGGCCAGGTCCCAGGGGGATCGCCAGGCGGGGGCGGCGATGCGCCTGACGGAGGCGGTGATGCGATCACCGGAGTCGGAGCCGAGTCGGACCGAATCGGAGTCGTCTCCGAGGGGCCGAAAGGGAGGTTCCCCTGACATCACCCCCCTTGAATGCGGCGTCCCGACGCATAGACCGGAATGGGATCGAGTCGAAGGTTGCAGAGGCGATGTGCCGTGGTTTGCCAGGGTACTTACGATAGAACTCCGCATTTTCTCCGGGGCGAAGACGCGGTCGGCGGACCCACTGGTCATGCGACGCGTCATAGCCTTTCCATCTGACGGTAATTCAGCCGTTTATACCTCACCCTTGCGTCCAGGATTTCCTCTACTTCCCACTCCGGGACTCCGTCCTCGAGGTCCGGAGGGGGCTGGTCGTAGCCGGGGCGTCCGTCGAAGGGGTCGTCTTGGGCGAGCTCGAGCTTGACGACGGGGAAGACCGGGTGGAGCTTCGAGTAGCGCGGAGGGAGGTCGAGCTTGTAGGCACCTTTGCTGATCTCCGCGACTATCTTGAATGGTCCGAGGCGGCGGTGGGAGAACTTCTCCGAGGGGCGAGTCGTCCTGATGTCAGAGGCATCCAGCCAAACACGGTCGCCAACCTTAAACTCCGGAGACAGAGTGCGTCTCCGGTCGTAGTAGCGCTTGTACTCCTCTTTGGCCTTAGTGAGCGCGGCCTTGGCTCGGCAACACCAGTGGCAATCCGGTCGGGAACTCGTTCACGGACTCCATAGCGGAACGGACTCCGGGTTCGAAGCCCATGCGGGAGTCGTCCCGTGTCCGTCATGAAGGGGACTTGTTGCGTGGAGGAGTGAACGTGGTTGTTGTAGGCGAACTCCGCGGCCGGAATCAGCTCATCCCAGTCGTCCTGCTGATAGTTGGTAAAGATCCGCAGGTACTGCTCCAGCTCCTGGTTGACGCGCTCTGTTTGACCGTCTGTCTGCGGGTGGTACGCGGTGGACGTGGCAGGCTTGATGCCGATTAAACGCCAGAGTTCTCGGGTGAAGTCCGCGATGAACTGCGAGCCGCGGTCGGAGACGTACTTCTCCGGAGTCCCGTGATGGCGCCAGACATTCCGGTAGTAGAGGCGAGCCGCCCCTACTGCGTCGACCGTGGTGTGACACTCCGAGAAGTGGGCACGCTTCCCAAGGGTGTCGACGACGACCATGATCGCGTCGTACCCATGGGCCTCCGGAAGCTCGACGATGAAGTCGACGGAGACGGTATGCCAACGCTCTGGGGGCGTTTCCGTCGGGTGCAGCTCTCCGTGGGGCAGTCTCCGGAGTGCTTTGGTGCGACAGCACAAGTCACAGGTCGCGACGTACCGGCCAATATGGCGAGACATCTGAGGCCACCAGTAGTTCCGGGAGACCAACTCCAAGGTCTTGAAGCGACCCGCGTGTCCGGCAACTCGAGTGTCGTGGCAGAGCTCGATGATGCGTCTCCGGAGGTCCTTATCCTTAGGTACGACAATCTTCCCACGAAAGTGAAGAAGACCACCGGAGACAGCCCACTCGTCGGAGCGAGGAGCGGGGGGCCTCGAGCTTGACCTTGGACCTTTAGGAGTTGCCGGGCCGCTAGTGCGACGGGCTCCTCCAGGTCAGGCTCACCGGAGAGGGCATCGCGGATGTCGCGAAGGAGTTCAGAACCAGGGCCGGAAACGGAAACGCCTTGAGAGCGCGGACATGGAAGAGTTCGGGCCGCAGAAGGACGACGTCGGAGTTGTCGGAATCGATTCCGTGGTCTGGTCTCCGAGAGAGGGCGTCAGGTCGGCCCATGTCGCGGCCGGGCTTGTGGTGCAGCGTGAAGTCGAACCGGGAGAGGTAGAGGGACCAGCGGGCCTGTCTCCGGTTGAGGTGCTGCGTCTTCCTGAAGTACTCCAGATTCTTATGGTCAGTCCAAATCTCGACGGGATGCGCGGCGCCCTCGAGGAAGTGTCTATACTCCTCGAGTGCGGGATGATCGCGAGCATCTCCTTGTCGTGGATTTCGTAGTTGCGCTGGACATCATTTAAGCTTTTGGAATAGAATGCTACAGGGTGCCACTTCCCGTCCGGGGCGGATTGTGAAAGAACCGCCCCCGTCGCATAATCAGAGCTGTCCGCCTCAAGTCGGAAAGGCCGTGCGTCGTCCGGAATCGCCAGGACCGGTTCCGAGGTGACTGCGTCCTTGATCGCTTGGAACGCGGAGGCCTCCGGTCGCCCCAAGTCCACTGCTGGTCCTTCTTGGTGAGCACGAAGAGAGGGCGCGAGGGTCGAGAAGTCCCGAATGAACCTGCGGTAGAAATTAGCGAACCCAAGGAACTGCTGAATGTCCTTCTTGTTTTCCGGAGTCGGCCAAGCGGAGACGCCTGCGACTTTGACGGGGTCCATTTCGACGTGGTTGTGGGAGATGATGACTCCGAGGTACTCGATTGACGATTTTTCAAAGTCGCACTTCTCCGCTCGGAGGTACAACTTGTGCTCCGGAGTCGCCGCAAGACCTCCTGGACAATCTGCCGGTGTTTCCGGAGGTCGGAATGGGCGATCAGGATGTCGTCAAGGTAGATCATGACGTCTCCGGAGAGGATGAGGTCCTGGAAAATGTCATTCATCATCGTTTGGAACGTCGCGGGAGAGTTTGTCAGGCCGAAATACATCACCAAGGGCTCGAACAGGCCTCGGTTAGTCCGGAAAGCCGCTTTCCACTCGTCACCTTCCTTGATCCGCAGTACATATAGCTGCATCTATGCAAAAGATGTGGGTACCATCCCAAGGGGATAATGCAAAAGATGTTGTGACAGATGTATTTCATGAATTTCTCACTGGAATCAAGAGATATGACTAATATAAAAATACATATAGGAAGATAAATCACCTTTTCTTTGGGCCGAATATTCGTAATATTATATTTGGGACTTATAAGCCCAGGGACCAAAAAATTAATAATCGATTAAGTAAGGTTGATGTAGCAAGATGCAGTTATCAAAAGCTCTGATGGCAATCAAAAATCGTTCCACATTGATCAACATACCTATATGCCATTGATCCCATCACTGACACCTTGATATAGCAGCCACAAACAAGAAAACAGTGTTATTTAATTTAATTTCCAAGCAGTTGCCCTCATCTTTTGCATTACCCCCCTAGGATGCTACCCACATCTTTTGCATAGATGCAGCCATATGAGCTGTGATCCGGACGTTGTTGAAGCCCCAACGGACGTCGAGTTTGGTGAAGTAACGAGCGCCTTTGAGCCGGTTGATGAGGTCGTTGATCAGCGGAAGGGGGTACCGGTTTTTGACAGTCATCGCATTGAGAGCACGGTAGTCCTGGACGAAGCGGAGTCCGCCGTCCTTCTTCTTGACGAAGAAGACCGGAGACGCCATCGGAGACTTGGAGGGGCGAATCCGGCCCGTCGAAAGCCCTTCCTCGATAAACGCGTCGCGAGCTCGCGTTGCTCGAGGGGCGAGATGGGGTACACCTTGCAGTTGGTGGGCTTAGCGTCGGGGACGAGTTCAATGGCGTGGTCCCAGGCTCTCCGTTCCGGTAGCGTGTCGAAGGACTCCTTGTTGAAGACGTCCCTGAAACTCCTTAGCCCAGTCCGGGATCTCGGAGGGCGCAGGGGCGGAGTTCCTGGCGAAGGCTTCGGCCAGGCGCTGTGAGACAGTACTGCCAGCGCGTATCTCCTCCGAGGGGCGGAACGAGGTGTAGAAGATGCGGTCACCATCTTCAAGCTGACCATCGTCTTCATCATCGTCGGAGTCCGGCATCAGATCAGGCAGGGCGGAGTCGTCACCGGAGACGGAATCGTCTCCGTCGTCAGGCCCAGAGAGGTCCATGGTGCAGACCGAGGGGAACGGGCCGGAGCGGAGTCGCTTCTGGAGCAGCCGGAGTCGCCGTAGCTCAGTCCGTTCAACGCGTTCTTCCTCGCGGCAAGTGGAGCAACCGCGGGGGCACCGTGTCATCTTGACCTCCTTGGTTTCCCAATTGATTTCCGGGTTATGCTTCCGCAGCCAGGAGTACCCCAGAATAAGGTCTTGTTTACCAAGATGAGTGACGGCGAAGTTGAACACGCTCGGAATGGCCTTTGTAGCGTAAGACCAAGTCCGCGATCTGGTTGATGGAGCCGGCGTCGTTCGGAGTGCCATCAACGTTAAAGACCGGAATCGGTTGCGCCAGGGTGCGGACCGGAATGCCATTCCGAGCGACATAGTTCGTGTCGATAAAGTCGGAGGTGGCACCACAGTCAACCAGGCCAGAGAGCGAGAGCTTAAGCGCTGGTAGTGGACTCTAGCTCCAACGGGAGGTGGAGGGAGTTCACTCCAGGGGAAGCAGCGACAGTGTACTGCTTGGGCAGTTTCTTTTCCCAGGCAGTGAGGCGGCGAAGGACGATGACCGGAGTCGCGGGCGAAGTCGGAGACGGAGTCGAAACGGGGCGGGGGGAGGGTTGTCTTTCGTTTCAGGCTCGTTGTAGGGCAAAGGAATTGATTCGTCATACAAACAAGCAAAACGATTTACGGACGCGAACGAGGGCACACCAGTCACTCGTCGCGGGGACAAAATCCTCTCCGGCCATCGACTCCGACTGTTTCCGGCAGCGCAGCTGTGTCCGAGTAGCGGGCGATCAACTCCGCTAACATCTCGTCACCGAGTTGTTGGATCACCTCGTCGAGGATGTCCATTGAGCGGACGTCCGCGGGAGAGGGGCAATCCCGGCGAGATGGTTTGGGTCGCCGCACCTGAAGCAGGCGCGACGAGGGGCACCCCGAGCCCTAGTGCGATCCAACTCCATGGGGACGGGAGCTGGAGGCGCCGGAGCGGGGGCGCGGGCCACGGGTGGCACGACCGGAGCCACCGGGCGGAAAGGGGCCGGAGCCGGGATGCGGTTGACCGGAAACGGAGTCCGAATCAAACCGCCAGGCGTCTTGGGGGCGGCTGACTTGATCAGCTTGGCCCGGACCAGGGCCTCGTATTGACGGAAGGCCCGGGTGCGCCAGCTAAGGTAGTCCCGGAGGTCCGGGGGGTCGTTCGAGGACGTGATTCCGTTGTTGATCAGGGGGTCAAGTCCGTGGCGGAACTTGGTCACCTTGACCAACGCGTCTTCGAATCCGGCGAGGTCCATCAGGTCCTCGAAGTCGTCGGTGTACTGGTAGACATCCTTTGTGCCCAGTACATATAGCTGCATCTATGCAAAAGATGTGGGTACCATCCCAAGGGGGTAATGCAAAAGATGTTATGACAGATGTATTTCATGAATTTCTCACTGGAATCAAGAGATATGACTAATATAAAAATACATATAGGAAGATAAATCACCTTTTCTTTGGGCCGAATATTCGTAATATTATATTTGGGACCTATAAGCCCAGGGACCAAAAAATTAATAATCAATTAAGTAAGGTTGATGTAGCAAGATGCAGTCATCAAAAGCTCTGATGGCAATCAAAAATCGTTCCACATTGATCAACATACCTGGCTGCCATTGATCCCATCACTGATACCTTGATATAGCAGCCACAAACAAGAAAACAGTGTTATTTAATTTAATTTCCAAGCAGTTGCCCTCATCTTTTGCATTACCCCCCTAGGATGCTACCCACATCTTTTGCATAGATGCAGCCATATGAGCTGTTGTGCCCATGTGATAGGCGGAAGTCTCCAGTTTGGAGAGAGCATGATCTTGCTCATTCTCCTCGACGAACCGGAGTCGGAACTCGGAAACGAACGAGCCCCAGGACGGAAACGGAAACGGGGCTTTGCTTCCGTGGCGCTCCGCCCATTGCTGAGCGGGTCCTTCTGCCATAAACGACATGGCATAGCGGACGGCCTTTTTCCTCGCCGCCTCTCCGTTGACCACGAAGGCCTCAGGGGCAAGGCGGGCGTAGGTGCGGACCGCATAGAGAAACGCGGCGGCCGCGTTTCCGATCGCCGTTGAAGGTGAACGGAGGGTTTGGTCGCAAGACCAATTTTGAGGCGAGGTTGATGTCGCCAAAGAGGGCCTCGGAATCGCCCTGAACCGAGGTCGGAGTCGGAATCGACGTCTCCGGGGGTGGTGTTGTTTGGGGTCCGCCAGCAGTATTAGCGGCGGCAGCGGCAGCGGAAGCCTGGGTGGTGAGAAGAGTAAGGGCCTCAGTTAGGCGGTCGATTTTCGCCTCGAGTGCATCCAGCCGAGTGTCAGCGTCAGGAGTAGCTCCGGAAGGCATGACAGGTGCGGGGATGACAGGAGTGACAGAGGAGGAGGGGACAAGTGGTAGGGGGGTGACGAGGGCGGAACGGACTCGTATTCCGAGCCTGAGTCAGCGCCGAACCTAGCAATCTTGTCCGGTTGATCCCGTATAGAGTTTCTTCTGCTGTAAGGGCAACCCCGGAGGCCTGAGATCAAGGTCCTAGCAGGGGAGGATCCAAAGAGTGAATAGAAGTAAGCAAATACAAGTGAGGCTGACCTAGCAGGGGAGGATCCAAAGAGAAGAAACTCTAAGGGTCCGCCTGCTAGGTAGCGGAACTATATACTGCGCTCTTGACGCGCCAAGGTTGATCGTTGCTCCGTGCAGTATGCCTGCGCCATGTCGCAGGCCAGGTCCCAGGGGGATCGCCAGGCGGGGGCGGCGATGCGCCTGACGGAGGCGGTGATGCGATCACCGGAGTCGGAGCCGGAGTCGGACCGGAATCGGAGTCGTCTCCGAGGGGCCGAAAGGGAGGTTCCCCTGACACGAGCGTGGTAGTGGAGAGCAGTTTGTGTATTCACACGGGAAATTCAAAAATTTCTTTTCCCTTTTAAACATGTATTGAATGTACATATTTAGATACATGTTTCCTCAACCAAGAAATATGATATATTAATTATTTCATAAATGACTCTTCTTTATCAAGCTTTCTGTAAGAACAAAAAGAATGTCTTTCACAGGGATGGAAAAGTTATTGAAAAGCTAACCTTTCCATATGGCTTTGAATACCCCTTTCTGTGTACTATAAAGAATATATTTTCACTCATTTCAAAAATATGTGGTTTATATTCCTCTTTATTTGTGGTATAAAAGATGATATTTCTGCCATTTTTAGAAAGGTCTTCTTTATATGCACCTTTGTTAGCAGATAGAAAGAACATCTTTCAAGACAAAGAGAAAGGTGTGCTTTTTGATCGCATGAAAGGGGTAAGGAAACATCATCTTTCTGACTTTTTCAGAAAGATGCTCTTTGTTCTTGTATGAAAGGGGAAACAAATGATGTCCTTTCTGCCAAAGATATAAAGATGTTATTTTCATTGACATGAAAACATGAATATAAATAGCTTCTTTGTGAAAAAAAAAAAAACATTTCCTTTCTACGACAAAGAAATAGGTATACAAATCTGTATTGAAAAGATGAACTTTCAATTGACATTTCAGTTTTTCCTGAAACAGGTCCTTTCCATACAAGGGAAATATCTTTGAAAAGCAACTATTTATGCTAATTCAGATATATGATCTTTCTTCCCTATAGAAAGAAGAATTAAAATGTTTACATTAAATTCATCTTTTAATGGGAAAAGAAAGTTTTGAATTTTCCCTGTGATTACTTGTATTTGTATCCTTTCTTGTGCTTCAAATCATTCAAATATCTCTTGTTCTTTTCTTTATCAGAGAGTCGGGGACCGCCGCTAACGATTCCACTATCGCCGCTTGGCCAAAACACTGCTCATACTTATGACAACTTTGAGATCTAAGATCGCTTGTTCGACGTTCGTTCACACAAGTCGAATAAGTTTCTTGAGCCATGGAACGTGAATGAGAACCGGGTGCTTTGACTGGTTGCACACTAGATCTTTATCGACGAAGGACGGCTCTTGTTTATGGAGATTGGATGAGTGGCAGCCAACTTGAACACAGGAAAAAGTCATTGTGGGTAGCTTGGATTTGAAGAGGCCATGTTCAGCTAATTAGAACCAGTGAGCAATGTTGGTGGTGAAAAGCAACTTGCAAATTGATCGACACCGTCACGCGTCATCGACAATTTTGCCAGACGCGTTCACCCATGCCTCCACGACGCGATGCGGAATACATGGAGGTTGACTCAGACTCAGACGGAGATATGGAAGACGGTAGGAAAGGAAAGGGGAAAGCCAAACGAAAAGACAAAGGAAAAGGCAAGGCTACGGACGTGAGTTTCAAGGGCATGTAAGAAATTGCATGGTCGTCCAAACATCACAGGCGGCGTATACTTGGGAAGCGGCGTACACTCGATCCTGGGACACTGTCCAGGAAGATGAAGCTGGCAGTTTGCAAGCTGCTGTTGAAGACTGGATGGCCAGAGGTCGGCGTCGACGGTGGGCTATTTTCTTGTACTTCCAGCTTAGCTGAACATTCAACAGGCTACTAGCGCCAGCAGCTCCCGTAAGACGTACTATAATCCGCCACTTGGTCATTCTTCTCGACTTGTCGGCCTCGATGCTTGACAGAGACATGCGACCAACTCGATTCGATCTTAGTCTACAATACGCCCGCGAATTCATTGTGGAATGGTTTGATCAGAATCCCTTGGGACAGATAGGTGTGGTCGGTATGCGGTCCGGGATTGGTGAGCGTGTGGGTGAACTTTCAGGTGCACAGCTTCGCATATTGAGCCAGAAATGAAGCGCTGAAGTTTTGTAGGTAACCCCCAGGACGTGTTGAAGGCGATTGCCGACCGACATCGGCTTGAGCCCGCTGGAGAGCCTAGCCTGCAAAATGCTATTGAGCTGGCGAAGAGCAGTATGAGGTATCTTTATTTTGACTATGAAGCGCGGGCGCTAATAGTTGCCAATTGCCAGCCATCTACCGACACATTCTTCCCGCGAAATTGTCATCATCTTCGGCTCCCTTACTACTTGCGACCCTGGCAATATTCATGATACTCTCGACGCATGTGTGACTGGCAAAATCCGTATTTCTGTTGTTGCACTGGCGGCTGAAATGAAGATTTGTCGGGAGCTGTGCGACAAGACTGGTGGTAAGATTTTCGTGGGGTTGAACGTCTGTGTGCTCATTAGAGTAGGTCAGTTTGGCGTCGCCATGAATGAAGGACACTTTAAAGATTTATTATTCGAACTCATCCCCCCACCAGCTCAACGTGCTATGGGAGCACGGACCGGGACAACAAATCCTGCAGCAGACCTAATGATGATGGGCTTTCCGACTCGTCTTCCTGATGCCTCCCCTCCAAGCCTTTGCGTTTGCCATTCAGAACTTCGAAGCGAAGGCTTTCTTTGCCCTAGATGTCTCTCCAAAGTTTGCGATGTGCCAACGGACTGCGACATCTGCGATTTGATGATCGTCAGCTCACCTCATCTTGCCCGTAGCTATCATCACCTCTTCCCAGTCAAGCCATATAAAGCCGTGTATGTTTTTCTGACTTGGATAGCTTTCTTGCCGCTGAAACAAAGTCTGGTAGTTTGACGATGGCTGAGGCTTCAAAATCGATGGGCTGTGATGGGTGTGCTCGACCCTTCCCCACCACTGCTACACCGGCGAGTGGCGAAGGAATGAGTCCAATAGGAAGATATAGATGTTCCGACTGTTCTGGAGAGTTTTGCTCAGATTGCGATGTGTTTGTGCACGATGTAGTTCATTGTTGTCCAGGCTGCTAAATGCCCACGTGATTATTATGTAACGCTCACCCACTTTGCTTCTTCAAGTTGACGCGCTATCATGCCTCCGAAGAAAGTGGTGAAGAAAGGTCCTGCCCAGGGATCTATCCTCTCCTTTTTCTCCAAAAATCCCCCGAAACTTACCTCGACACCACAACCAGCTCCAGCAGTGGTCCACAACGCGTCACCCTCGTCAGACGCGTCGATACCTGACAGTATTTCTTCGCGAGTTTCGCGTGGTTCTACCTCCAAACATTTCAAACGCAAAGCCAGGCCAGATTCTGACTCGGAACCTGAGCCAAATGAATTGGTTGCATATGTGCCCATGAGACACTCTCCCAGCTGTTCCCGAGCTATTCTAACCTCCAGCCCCACACAATCCGACAAAGAAAACATGGTAGCAAACGACATCCCCACCAGACCTATGCCACTTCGCAAGAAGGCCCGCACCGCTTCTCCGTGTCCTTCTCCCCGACCTCCTCCTTTCGAAAGCGACGAAATACCTGTGCCTAGTAGCCAGTCCGACGAAGACGAATTGATGCCCATTGCCTCAGCTCTGAAAAACGAACAGTCGCGTCCATCCACTCCACTCCAACCCCATACGCCATCAAGAACAGGTTCGATGTTGTCTGAGCCCCAAACTCCAGTGGCACTCTCCCCCGGGAAAAAGACGGCCCAAATCATCGCAGAAATCAAAGCCAGGGTACAGGCTAATGCAGCCGCCGAGGAAACTGATGACGAGGAAGACCAACCACTGCGCGAACTGAGAGAGCTCTCAGACAGTAGTGACGACGAAGAGCTAGGAGAAGTCAATTCACGGTAAGTGAAGGCCTTAGGATATCACCATGTGGAGTTGAACACTTTTCAGCACCGTCCTCAACGCTGGTCCGTCAACTGCCTCCCCGATAGCACCCCGCTATAGTCTTCGTGATCGAAACGCGAAGCGTGTGGCGTCTAGCTCTCGCAAAACTCCCACGCCTCCACCCCCTCCTAAAAAAGTCGACCCATTCGCTGCGTTGTTGAAGGAGAAGCGAAATGCGGAACGACTGGGGACAGACAACCAAGCTTTCCTTCGTGCGGAAGAAATTGTCCGTGTTGGAAGTCCACTTACCGATATGGCTGACGACGACGAAAACTGGGCCGACGAAGCTGCTGCTTTGGCCGCAGTCAAAGCTTTTGCTGACTCAAGCGACGGGTTTGACGAAGGAGCTGTCGATTTGAGTATCAACTATCAAGACCAACGAAGACTTCTGGGAGACAAGGCCGGAAAGGAGGTCGCACAAATTCTCGGCAATGACCGCGCTCGGCGAGAAGCTGCGAAAGGGAAGCAACGGGTTATCGGTGTTCCCCTATGGGAGAGCAGCGATGAAAGCATGGAAGTCGACTCTGTTTCCTTCTCATTGTGGCGGGAGGATATTAATGCGTCGCCTGTCCTCAACCTTTTGCGTTCCTGCTTCGAAAGCGCTGGTTAGCACGATTCATCTCAACTGTCATCGTTATCTGAATCGCCTTAGATCATTATTATCGTGCCTCTATGCTCTTAAATTCAGGCGTACTCGGCCGCATGAACCTCAATCACTCTTCGGATGTAGTTTCCTGTTTGCTTCAACATGGTACGGCTCCGTCCTCTATACTCCACGTTGCAATATTCTGACTGCTTCTTAGCTTTGTCATCCAGTCCATTAGGGCCAGCCGCGTTCAATGCACTCTCAAGTATATGGAATCATCCGTCGACTTCAGCATCAACTGTTCCCTTTGACACTGTGCTCCTCGCATTACATCGTGTTGGCGCCAAGCCTGAGGTTTTTGCTGCAATGGGCTGGGAAACTACAAATTTGTGCAAGAGGGATAACGCCGCATTGGCCCAACGCAACGAAATTCTGTTTCGTCTCGTTCGACTTGTCAACCTTTCCGCACAGTATGTCTAAATCCTCCCAATACCTCCCGGTTAATTTATGTCTCAGGTCAACATTGCCTCCGTCAGAGGATATTCCTGATGTAGCTTCAGTGCTGTTGGTCGTAGCAATGGACCCCAGCATACGATTCGAGCTCCGAAGGGACATTATGGTTGTCATTGGCCTGCTCTGCCGCCGTTTAGGTCCTGAGGACACGATACCACCATCGGAGGCTGTCCTTGGCCGCAAAATACTAGGTTTCGCCGCCACGTTACAGTCTCACAATCAATCGCATTTGCTTGCGTTGGTTGCAGATGGCAGTGAACGGGGTCGCCGCATAGCCCGTTGGGTGTCTCACGCATTGCTAACCTCTACTCTCGAGGTATTCTTTTTGTCAATGTGCAAGCCAGCTCTAACTTTGTTGCAGCCTGAGTATAGTGGCCTACCACCCCTGACGGCCATCTACGGGATTCTCTTTGGCGAGCGAAAGAGCATCTTCCAGCTCAACGATGAGACCGATTACGTTGAACTGGTCACTCAAGTTTCACTTCTTGCTCATGCTTTGTCCAATGTCGACGGCTATGTGAAACAAGAGATGCAAGAAGCACCTCCCAGCCCGAGCAAGGTGAACGGCGACAAGCCTGAAACGATACTTTCCCGGATACGACTTGTTATTGAAACAATTCACGGTAGTATAAGTACGTCACCTCTTGGCTGAACTTCAAGTTGCAACTTGTGCTCATATACTTGACAGTTGACACTCGTGCTGCTCGTTTAGACCGTTCTCGTGCAAAAGCAGCGCTAAAGCAGTTGTCGATGCGCATCCACTACCAACATGAGGTGGCCCTCAGATCGGCCAGAGGTGCAAGGATGGGCCGTCCTGGCATCAAACACTATTTTGCGAAAAATTCTTGATTCTACAGTAATAGTACCAACATACACAGTCTACATATTCGCTGTTTATAGCTTAGTCTACACTACTTATCAGTCGTTCAAATCCAATTCAATGTCCCATGGGGGCGATTCAGGTCGTGTTTGTCCCTCAACACCATCATTTTCGATGTCCCAGACTGGACTTGATTCGCGCTGCTTGCCTTTACCCTTCTGGGACATCATATCGAGCGTTGTTGTCGCGTGGTTGCGAAGTGGTTTCTCGAAGGCATTTTTTATGTTGCGCACTTTGACCTGGCCAAAGCCTGGCATGTCCTGCAGCTGGTCAGACGTCGCACGTGCGATATTCGCGAAGCTCTGAAGTTGTCAGTGGGTGTTTCAGAAAGGAGAGACGAGAGGAACCAACTCCAAAGGAAGTCCGGAGTGTTTCGACATCGGTTTTATTTACTCTGCTGATGCTCGTGAGAGCAGAGCGGAGGACCGAATCGTAGTCTTTGTCGACACGCTCTTTGATCATGTCGGGGGGCTTATGCTCGAACTGCTTGAATGTGGCGATATAGTGGCCAGCTTCTTCGACACTGAAAATATATGAAGACAATGCTGCGAAGAAGAGGCAGCATACGAGAAGGCGACGAGAATAGTGATGTTGTTGATTAAACACATCTAGTCCACGCCTCAGAGTCATGAATCCGAGTGTTCATTGAATACTTGCCTTTGTGAGCTCTTTGATGGCTTCCCGGTGCTCTGTCTATAGGACGTTGGGTCCACAGTTACCATAGCTCATTCTTGACTCACGACGTCAGAAACGACCAGTAGGATGCGCAAAGTATATGAACTTCTCAGTTTTTCAATCCGAGTGTGGATGTATTCAGGATGAAGACGGTGGTATTTGAGGCTTTTTTCCGATAAGCGCGGCTTTTGTCAAGCCTCCAGGACCCTTACCTCAAGAAAAGCACGCCCGTTGTCTTCCCGACCTGGAAGTCGCACACGACATCGCCAAACTCCTTGTTCACGTTGCGGATCGCGTCGAGGACGGGGTTTGTCCGCTGGAGTGGGTTGACGATTATGCTGTTACCACTGGGGATGACCACTGGCGGCGCAGGCGGCATTGGTCCCGAAACGCGATGCGTCACGGTGTGACTCCCGCCCACACTTTGTCAGCCAACCGTCATGTTCCGACTTGCTCGAGCATCACGCTTACCTCTGCGGCGCTACATCCAAACCCAGGCCTCCTCCTCCTCCAGGCCCAGTGGGTCTTCTGCAGGATATCTTCTCGGGGCTGGCATCGTTGCTGGGGTTGCATACGGCGAATACAACGACAGTGAACACTCAAATCAGCCCACCAACCGGAAGGGTATGCACATACGTATTGCTCCCGAGTTATCTTGCTTGTTTGACTCTGGGAATGTAGAGCAACCAGACTTCGAAACGTTTGTCCGCCAACGGCTGGTCGAGACACGGCGAACGCAAGTCAAGCCAAATACTTCTTCTTCTGCTTCGACTGCCACAGCAGAGCATGATGCGTCAGAAAACAGCGGCGCGTTCAATCCGGAGACGGGAGAAATTAACTGGGATTGCCCATGTTTAGGCGGAATGGCCGACGGGCCATGCGGGGAGGAATTCCGTGCTGCATTCTCGTGCTTCATCTACTCTGAAGTCGAGCCAAAAGGGATGGACTGTGTGGAGAAGTTCCAGGGTATGCAAACTTGTTTCCGAGCCCATCCTGAGGTCTATGCCGCTGGTGTGTTGCATTTGGGTTTCTTGATAATCCCAGCTGATTTTGTTAGAAATCGCCGATGACGAAGCTGCCGAGGCTGCCCTCGCCGCAGAACAAGAGGCAGAAAAAGCGTCCACATCTGACCCCCTTCCTCCCACCGACGTTCCTTCACCTGCTGCAACCGAGGAAGCGTCATCAAAGTACAACTTATAGACTGTCATTGACACCCACTACTCAATACATATAGCATTTATTCAAAACAGCACTAACTCGCCCCGAATCTCTTCTCAATGACCCCGTTTTGGACCTTGTACCCATTCGTGGTGAACAGCTTGGACCGCAAGAAGGGCGAAATGTCAAAGATTTCGTGGTCCTTGGCCTAGAATGCATCACGTCAGAACACAACAACAGAGCGGCCAAAGTTTGAAGGCATACCCTTGCTTCAAGCTCAGAAAGTTTGACGCTCACTAGCGTCGGCTGCTCATGTCGTTGGAGCTGGTATAACCGGGCCTTGTCTTTGACCAGTCCACCGAGTAAGAACGCAAGTAGCTCTTCATGATCCTTGCTTTGCGTCAGATATTTGCGGAAGCCCTGAAATGCGCGATCAGTAAATGTGCAAGGGCGCAATGTCCACAACATACCCTTTGAAGCGTCTTCTTGATACTCATTTTTTGCGCGTTGATGAAGCTACCGACAGCAACTTCGATTGCAAGGTCAATGTCGTCTGCCCGAACAAACTCTCGGAGAGCCATTTTCGCGCTGGCCTCTGCCATTCGAATCATGCTCTCCAGATGGCGAACAGTGATGGGGAAAGAGCCAGTCGCGAGCGATTCCCGGCGCAAGTCCGCAAACAAGTCCGCGAGCTTGTTCTGATCCAGAGCATATAGCTTGGGCTGGATCTTCTCGCGCGCGTACATAATATACTTGCGGAGCATGTCTTGCGGTATTATCTGTTCAGCTTGAGCTAAGCACGCAGGACAGAAAAGCAACTTACATCTGCGTCGAGTGTTGTCCCGACATTCATCTCATCCTTGTCCTTTTGGAAGGTCGGGTGGCTGCGAAGGTGACTCCCCACAACGAATCGCGCCAAAAGCTCGTCTGCAACGGGATCCACATTGTCCTTCACCACGCAAAGCACGTCAAAGCGAGACAAAATGGGTTCCGTCAGCTCCACGTTTTGTTGGAATGGTATGGTTGGGTTGTATCGACCGCGAATAGGATTCGCTGCAGCAATGACCGCGCACCGAGCCTGGAGTGTTGTCACAATCCCAGCCTTGGAAATGGATATTGTCTGCTGCTCCATAGCTTCGTGGATCGACGTCCGGTCCGCGTCGTTCATCTTGTCAAATTCGTCGATAAGACATGTTCCCTTGTCAGCGAGGACCAAAGCCCCGCCCTCGAGTGTCCATTCACGCGTTATCGGGTCTTTGCGTACGCTGGCAGTAAGACCGACAGCAGAGGCACCCTGTCCAGTCGCAAACACAGACCGGTGTGCAGTTTTCTCTGCATATTTGAGGAACTGCGACTTGGCTGTACCAGGGTCGCCTAGCAGAAGTACATTGATGTCGCCACGAATACGCATTTTGCGATCAATATCCTTGGGAACCCCGCCAAACAATGAAAGCGCAATCGCAGTTTTGATGTCTTCATGTCCATAGATGGACGGTGCGATCGACTTTATAATCCGTTTCCGGATTCGTTCATCGCGTGCGAGGTTTCGGATTTCTCGTTCGTCCTCGACAGTGAGGCGGAATGCGGCGAACAAGTCTTCTTTCTTGTTGACATGGTTGGCTTCGATAATCGTTGAGAAAACGGGGAAGCCGTTCTTAGCGTTGAGAGAGGCATCAAAGTTATTTCGGTAGATACCAGTAATTTCCTGCAGGGCCAATCAATATAGTCAAAAAAGCCAAGGATCGATTCGCACCACTTCCTCGCCTGGTTTGGCGCTGTCAATAAGATCCCACAACAGGATCACCTCGCGATGACGGGGTAGACGACCTGCAGGAACAGAGCCCGGAGATTCTTGCAGGGTCAACTTTTGATAATTGCGATAGACAGTCTAGGACAACAGTTTGATCGCAATCCACACAAGAGTACCTGACCCACCTGCTCAGAGTTGACCGGGAACGGTCCTTTACTTTCGCAATTGCCACAAAAGCTGATTTTTATTTCAGAGGCCTCGCGTGTTGCATCCTGGTAGAAGGGGCCGAGCGTTACTCCGCATTTGCGACAATCAAATTTAACATATTTGAGTTGAGGAAACACGCCGCTTCGACGGGTGACAACCCCAGATACGCGGACGAGTTGGTTGAGGTGGGTGCGGCGAAGGTCTCGCAGAGAGTAGGCCACCGGCAGGTCACATATACGGACATGAATTTCTTGGTGGATCCTCTTGTATTCAGGGAAGTAGACAAGAATAGCCTCCAGCGCAACCTGGTCAAAAATGTCGAGCATTGCAACCGGTGCATTGAGAAGGAAATATGCTAGGACGGATTTTGATTTGGCGAGATGAGTATAAGAAACTTCCAGGGACTCGGCTTGATCTGCAGAGGGTGTTGAAGAAAGCCTCTTGATTTACCAAAACACTCACTTTCACCCAACGTGCGAATTCGTTGCCCGTAAACGGAGGCATGATGTTCGTCAGTGTGCGTTGTTAAGAACTGGCGGAAGTGTTTTGCGATAGAGCGACGGACAAGATCACGGGCAACCCATTCTGCGATAGAGCTGTCTTTGATATCAGCCAATTGCTCGTAGGGGATTTCCTAGAAATGCTGATCAGATGGGCAGGACCGAAAGTAATCAGAAACGAACCCCTTCAATTCCTTCCATATCGTCGATGTCGCGTCGCTCGTCATACTGGCGTCGAGTACGTCTTGCCATACGACCAAGTTCTTCCTCATCTTCATCACCTCCATCCATATCATCGTCGTCAATGAATTGGCCTCGTCTCCTAGCTCCAGCACGTCGACCTCCAGCCTCTCTCCTGTCTCGACGCGCCATTCTGGCTTCGACGATCCGTCTTTCCGCCATGGTGAGTTCCTCGAGGTCCTCTTCATCGTTAATATCTCCGTCTGAGTACTGGTCTTGAAGTTCGTTTGTGGTGTAGTCGCTGGACATCGTTTAGAACGCGTCAAAGTTGACATAAAATCGCGTACTTTACCATCCCCTCTCCGAATAGATCTTCTCCTTCAGCATCGTCTTCATCGTCGTCGATATTCTGGACCGCGTCACGCTCATCTAGGCTCTCATCTGTGTCTGAAAATGGGGCAGGCGGTGACGAGGGTGGGAGGTCATCGCTTTTGGCCGCTGGTGGTGTTGCTGGTCGAGGAGGGGAAGAGCCAACATCTGGGGAGGGAGACCGTGGTCGTTTGTTTCGACGAGGTGTGGACATGGTGGGAGATTGAAAGACGCGTTAGTGGTGTGACAGGTCGCGTCTAGTCTAATTATTACAATTCTACAATTTTTAATCCTCCCGACACGACATCCACTCTAAAGGCCGATCCCTGAGGTACTGCAGTGGGTCTACAGGTTTGGGAAAACTAGGCAATGGTTCACTAAAAGGAAGAAAAAAACTAAGTGGCGAGTGAGGAAAGGTAAAATGAAACAAGACGCACTCCCGAACTTGCCAGACATCCTCACTACTTTTACCCACCCGTCGCTTGGCCCACCAAATAGCCTTACGCCGAATCCATGCATCACGCCGCTCATCCATGCCCATCCACTTCAGGCTGAGACAGAACTTGTACTCGGCCCACTTCTCTGAGCAGTCCTCCCGCAAGGTTCCATATCGGTACATTGACTTGACGAGATTTCGCATGGCTACAAATGACAATAAGTATTGGCAGGCGAGGTGAGTAGGTTACGCACTGTTACACGCAAAATACGTGTCGAGATGGTTCGTGCATGAGGGTATGTCTGCCGGCGTTGGATAGAGACGCTTGAGATACCATTCTTCCTGTCTTACGGCCGTTTTGAAGTCCACTTGGCCATCGTTCGATGAGGTCTGGTCGGAGTTCATGGAGATGATGTGTGCACGTGACGAATGGTGGCTTGGCTGAACCCTTGACTGAACCCCGAGCTTTAGCGTTCGATTCTCGGCTCCCTGCGAGCACCCCTCCATTCACTCATAGAATATGCATTAGGCCGCTGGAACTTTAGGCGACTGGGCTATTCTATAACTAGTAGGGCAATCATTGGTCTGGAAGGCAAACTTTTCATTGCTCTCTACTCAACACCACAACGTTCCAAACGCAATTGTTTCTTTAGATCATCCATATTGAACAACTCAAAACTTACAATGCTTGTTCAACTCCAACATTAGCTGCTCCCGTTCCCCGCTACTCTCTAATAACTCGGCCAGCCCTTGCTGTGTCAGGAACTGATGGTCTTCCCAGTGGAACCCGGGCACTACCACCTCCGTGATCAAACAGCCTAAAGCTTGCTTCTTCTCCTCTGTATCGGCGTTGCTTATATCCTCAGGAAGCAACCTGGACATTTTCCAGATGCCTTTCCCTACGAATAGCTGTCTGCTCTCGCTCGGACCCGCACCGATGACCTTCCTCTCTATCAACGGCGGATTTCCTGGATATATGAGACAGTACTCGGCGCGGCCGTGATGCCAAACATGATATGTCTACTGTGGTCAACGCAAGCAAGGACTTGGGTGAACCCCATACGAAGGATTTGTTCATGTGAATGGTCCCGCTGGGACTGTCGTGGTCGAGGAGATAGTAAATGGACGTTGCCAGTGATCTCGATCCGCCATCTAGTATAATTTCAATTTCACCCAACAAACAACTCGTTTGCAGACCTACCAGCAAATGGGCTACACACCTGTTCTTCGCGGCGGTCTGTTTCACGAAAGTATCCTGTGATGCATCAATTCGGATTCCACTTTGGGGAGAAGGGTCGCGAACCGCCTTCAGGGTGATGGAGTAGCCCCAGCTGCTCTACCAAAGGGCTTTGCGTTGTGCTTGCCATCATGGCCTCGCAGTCCTCCAACTAAGATGTCCTTCATATATAGCTAATCGACTGCGATCCGTGACACCAGGTTACACCTCTTATGGCAAACCAACAGTCCGTTGACATCAAGACCGTACCAACTTCATTATTGGCCGCTGACTAACGCGTTGCCCCGTTCAAGTCGCCGCAAGACAGCATCACGATTCGCGGATTCAGATTTATGTTGGATTCCCGCGTGCAAAATACTCGAAAGAACACCGCCTTATCTCCACTCGTGGGAAATCATTGAATCAGCAGTCGGCTGCATCTTCTTTTCTGTTTTTTTAACCGTCAAGGCACCACTGGCCGAACTCTATGCCGAGGACCACTGGCACGAGAAGCAAGGCGTCCCGGCTACCCCGCACGCCATAAATACTTTTCATCCATTGGGCTCTTCGTTCTCCCACGACCTCTCCGCTTCCCCACCGACCCCCTTACCATGGACGCAAGCACGCTCAAACCTGCCGAAGTCGCGGTCTATTTCGTCAAGCAAGGGATCGCCAAGCACAACGATCGCTTGCTCGCGGTCTTCTTCAAAGCTGTCAGTGGCGTCTATGATTTCTTTTGGCAATGCGGACTTAGAATTGGTTTAGGTGCTAGCTGGCGTGATGCTGAGTTTCGGGTGAGTTTGCTGCCTAGGGCAATGGTTCTCCGGCCAACTGGGATTGCCTGCGCGAAGTGGATTATTGTCAGAGGTCATTTCGGGCGGGTCGCCCGCGCTCACCCTAGCCAACCCCGGCCTGGTAAAGATACTAGGAGGATTTGTGTTCCCCGCGGGACTCGTGATGTATGACCATAACCTGTAAGACCCTCACATCTGGGCTGACAGTGGCCTAGGATTGTTTTGCAAGGGCATGAGCTCTTAACGAGTAACATGATGGTATGCAGGCTCGCACAGTGCGTCATCCATGTCCTCCAACGTGTCCAGGTCTTTCCCATGGCTCTTATCAAGCGAGCGGTGCCTTGGTGGTCGCTTCCCCTCAACTGGATAATCGGTGAAGTCCCAGCGCTAGTGTTACAGCGCTGTCTAACATGCATTCTCTAGTAACATTCGGAAACCTCGTTGGCTCGCTATTCTTCGCTGCTATTCTCGTGAAATGTATTCTGAATCGTGCTTCTTCTCGTGGCAGCATGACCTACATTTGACAGATAGTGGGATCCTCTCTGCCCCACCATACCCGGCCTATGTTACTTCTTTCGCCGTGTACGATCACCTCCAGTTACTGTCCGACTCCATTACTCATCGCGCACTCCAGTAAGAAAGCAGTCGACCCCGAATGGCACCAAGTATTCCTCCGCGGGATAGGCTGCAACTGGCTAGTCTGTGCTGCGGTCTGGGTGCGCAACCCCCATTCCCCCCCTTCTCCCGATGTCAAACAAGCGTTTTATTCAGATGGCCGCTGGAGCACGAGAGACAGTATCCAAAGTTATCGTGATTTGGATCCCTATCTGGCTATTCGTAGCATGTTCGTTCGACCACGGTGCGCCACATCTCCACACTAGCTAGAGCTAGTAGTCGCTGATGTTTTCCTCGCCAGTTGTGGCAAATATGTTCTCTGTCCCGCTCGGCATCATGTTCCACGCGCCAGAACTGACAGTCGCTGGCTACATCCGAAAGTGCGTTCATTTTTAGCCAAGATAGGCGTATATTTAGTTCTGTTTGCTAGATCCCTTATTGCATCATATCTTGGCAATATCGTCGGCGCGCTGTTTGTTGCGTTGCCAGCAACGTATTTCTATTTGGGGGACTACCAGGTCGATGGGCTACGGGAGGCGGAAGCGGGGGAAGTGCTGCAGAACCGCGACGAAAGTAGCGTGAATATGGATGAAAAGAACAAGTAGTGAATAAGAGCCAAATATGGAATGATTTGATGCAGATAAGATTAGATCTATTCCGGATTAAAGATTACATGCAAACTAAATTACACGTACAACCTGCTTTTGTGTGTGTGTGTGTTGGTTTACAATCGTCTCAATGCGTCCAGCACAGTTCTCATATCCTTACGATTCCACTCGCCCGCCCACTCCAGCTCTACCTCCTCCGTTCTGATGATCGTAGGCTGGAAAAGTGTCGCAAACGTGGACTCATAGCCGTACTCGTCAAAGGTTACTGCTGACGGCTGCCGTGTTTGTGCCAGTGGGGTACTCGACCCCGAATCATCGTCAAACCACATGTCACGCGGACTGGCGTTGTCGTTATCGAGGTGACCCTGGACCGTCACTGAGCTGGCGACCGAGTGTCGGCGCCCGTGGCCGAGGTGTGATGAATCTGATCGCGGATCAAACTCCGAGAATGGCCGTGGAGACGGCATCGCAGGCTCGACGCCCTCTTTGCGAGGGCCCAGCTGCATTAGCGCGGTGAATGAGCCCCAGCTTGCTTTCCTGCGCGCGGCAGCAGCAGCGGGGGGTAACGAATGAGAAGGCGGTAGCGGCGGTGATGACGGCCGCGAAGAAGGCAAAAAAGACGAGATGGATAATCGGCGAACGCGTTTGGCAGCAAAACTGGATGGCTCGGGTGGAAGTGAACTTGAAACTGATGGTCTCCAGTCGTCGGTTCCGAGTGTCCGTGCAAGTTTGCTTGCACCTCCTCCTCCGCCGCGTTTTGTAGTCCGTGTTTCGAGGAAATCAAAGTCATCTTCTGGGTCCAACAATTCCTCTGATGCTGATTCGTGATAGACCACCGGCACCTCAGTCGCTGCTTGGAGCCGATAAACAGGGTTATCCAGGCTCTCAATGGGCTCGACATCCATATCAACTGTACGTTGATGTCGGCCTACCAAGTTACGCGCAAACGCCAGAGAGGCAACACTGTCCACGCTATCGCGAATAGAAGATCTTGGCGGTGTTGTATCATCATCGTCATAGTGTAAGATCGACGCATCCGTGGTGGTGGCCTGCAGTCGGTAGATGGGGTTGCTGTCTGTAGCATTGTTATCCAACTCCAGATCCACATCTAGGTCCACTACTCGTTGGTGCCGCGGGAGTTTCGTCGGGGCAAAAAGCAGCGAGTCCCGTTTCGCCGGTTGCACTGAGTCTGAACTAACCCTGCGTTGATGTTGGATAGTGGCTGTTGGAGCAAAGGCAATGGAGCTAGCCACGCTACTGCGGGAATCGATCCGCGCCAAGCCAGACGGGATCTGAACCGGCAAATCGCTGGCCGAGAACTGGGAGTGATCGTCGTGATGCTTGCCTTGTGATGCTGATTTTGACAGACGACGACGGGGGAGGCCAAGCAGAGTTGGGCGTCTTCTTGGAAGGAGAGGAGCAGCAGTGGGCTCTCGGGAGGAAGGTTTTAGAGAGTCTAGAATGTTCAAAACGCGTGGCCAGGCCGGCGTTGTCGCGGTGGTTGATAAAGAGCGGCGGAGGTTACTGTTCACAGTGGGCACTTCAGAAAGCGAGAGTGAAGACGAGTTGAATGGCATCTGAGGCATAGTCGTCGCCTTTGCTGTGTGTGCTTGGTTATAAAACGCGAGAACACAGGACATAAAACACGCACCGAGTTTCCGTTTGAACTCATCCAGGTTTTCCGAGGCTACATCGGATGTCCGCTCATCGGGCGGTTCTGGCGAGTCGCTGACACGGTTGTGGCCATCGACAGAGATAGATATCCATTCCAGCTCGTGGTCGGCGAAAAACGGCTCCGTAGGAGACAAAGTGAGAGAGACAGTCGAAGAGTGACCGCGAATGTTGTTGAATGCCGAAGTGGCGTCAATATTCGAATAAAGTGGTTGAATGGGTTGGGCCTTTCGCAGCCGCGAAGAAGGTACGCGGCTGCGAGAGGTCATGGAAGGACTGGACAAGAAACTACGCGACCAAGTCCATCAACTGATACCATGCTTTTAGGAGTAAGCTTCAACTTTCACGCTTTGATCTCCACACGTCTTACAGGTTCCGGTCGTTTTTGCGGCGTTTTTGTCGTAAGCTATATTGTGTCGGAAATAGGTATTAACATTTCAGCAACGTCACATGCCTTCCCAAACGGGTAATGGCATCACATGGTCCCGCCGCCCGCCCATCACGCAATGAGTGACTGCTGAGTCACACTTGACGTTCTTCCTTTTACCCTCATCCACACCGCCAATTGCCACCCTTCCGCATCACTAGGCCCATCCAACCGGCTTCTCCCCCAAATCCCCCGTGGCATCGCGCCGCCACCCAACCTCTCCAACACGCGGCGGCGGAGTCGGCGCTTGATCTCCAGACCGCCAGTGACTCCTCAGGCTGGGGTGGGGTGGCATGGCCCATCGCGCTCCGTATGCAAAGCACCCTCGGACACCGCGCGGGCCTGGTGGCATCGCTGGCAGGGATGCAGCGCGCCTGTCACCGCTTCGGACAGTCTGCTGTTTTGGCGGGGCCGGGTCGCGGAGGACTCGGAGTCCGCAAATCAGAGGCCGGCCAAAGGAAGGGAGTCCGAGTTAGAAAGGTGTAACGTGTGTCAGTGGGCGCTGGGGAGAGGATCGTGAACCAGGAGTGGATGACTGATGGTGGGATGGCGAGCGGAGAATGCCCGGCGCTCGCGGTGTGGCCGGGCGAGTGGTTGTCGGCCGTTGAGCTGCACTGAGTTAAGCTCGCCTGTCAACCACTGTAGTCGGCATGTAATAAATATTTACAATGAATTCTAATTTCTCAGTCAACTTGCTAAGTATAATATTAATGATATGCCACCCTGTGAAGCGCATCAATCCCGACCTAAGGCGGCATCACGTGCATGAATTTCCTTTTTGGATGCTGTGCATCCGCGTGACGTTGCTGAAATTTTCGCAACTGTCGGAAATTAAACACGAGTTCTATGGTAACGTGCCTATCCACTTCGCAATAGCTGCCAAAGAGGTACTTCGCTCTGGTTCATGCGTCTCAAAAACAATAAAATCATGCACCGCGTCAGGCGCTTCCAGATACTCAACCCTGACATCTTGTGCCATTCTGTGATGCAGAGTCCGGATCGAATCGCGGAGCAGTTCCGCGCCTCCGCACGAAATGAATGTCGGTGGGAAGCCAGCAAACGAGGGTGGAGAAAATAGACGTTTGCTTGCGGGAGAGATGTATGGGTTTAGCTCGGCCGCGCCAATACCGAACGGTCCCGTGAAGGCGGCAACTGGGTAGGAAAGAGAGCCTGATATTTTCGCGGGGAGGTAGTCCGAATCGGCGCAGGAGCGGAAGGAGGAATCGGGTGTAAGATGAGAACGACCCATGTCACACCAAGGCGACAGCAGGAGAAGCCCTCCAGGAGGAGGGAGCTTGGGGTTGGTGTATTCAACCAAATAACGCGTCAATGCCAATGCTAGATTGCCTCCAGCTGAATCTCCCTCGACAATTATTTCTGACGAGGGGAATTTATTGCAGAGATACGCATAGCCGGCAAGCGCGTCAACAAGGGCGGTAGGGAACGGGTGTTCAACTGCAAATGGATGCGTCGAAGACAGTCGATATTCGATAGAGAACGTGCGATGGACAGAGTCCACTGTGTTCAAAAAGCCTCGGACAATCCCAGCAGTCAAGTCGGAAGGATGCGCCGATAGCCGAGTATACGCGCCTCCATGGAGCGCGTAGATAATTTTCTCGCCGGGCATTAGAGCGGCTTCCAAATTTATGGTCGAATCGGGTTTGTGGAGCCAGTAACCCGGTAATCTGGTCGGGGAGACTTGTGCAACAGAAATCCAAGTGCTGAGCTGGCCTTGTATCGCGTCTTCTTGAACTGGAGGCACCCAAACGCCATGATAACCGACACCCGTCACTAACGCGAGGTGGTTGGGGAGTTTGGCAATTGGCCCGACCCTGGATAGAGATACTCAATTGTGAGCTGCATGCACTGAGAGGTGGACGTACGCATTAGAGAGCCCCGTAAATCTCCGAAGAATGCGAACTTGCATGGCCTTGCGGAAGCCCCACGACCGGCGCGGGCGCAGTGATGGGACAACAGATGCAAGCAGCCAATAGGGAAGACGAATGAAGGTCGTGGTGAAGAGCTCGTAGGTCAGGTACAGCGCTTTCAACGGCTGGTGGCGGTATGGCGCGTAGCCCGACATGGCTGCTCGCAACAATGAGTATTATATAATCACACTTGTAGCTGGAACGCTATTTCTTGTAGCCCATCGGCACGCACTGTCCTCCTTGTGGTAGAAAATCCATCCAATTGAGACCAAGCTATTGTTTGCGAATTATCAACCAAGTACAAACCTCCAACCAAGGGTACTTAGTATCAACTTAAATAATCAAGCACACGAACAATTGGCAAGCCGAACTTGCTGCCGAAGGGATCAGCATCATGGCCACGTGATGCCATGGATAGGGGCTTCGTCTCTTCAGCGCCAGATTTGGATGACATCATTCTCTATCACGCATTAAAAACAGTTTATACGGTAGGTATACAAACAGAAAACACTTGAGCAGACATACAAAGCAGCAGTTTACAAATATCACGAATAAGCTTTAGCGAAACAAATGCAGCAATGGCGCGATTATTTTCTGGGTGGCGGTTTGGTGGCACCTGAATTGGAACGACGGAGAGGCGGAGCGACGGACGGTGGCGCCGTATTGGCCATCATTCCGGGAACGTAAAGTGGGCCCCGATTAAAAGTGCTGCGTTCTTTACGGCGTAAGTGAGTGGGAGGAGGGAACGGCTGGGGTAGCCCCATTTCAGGTCCATCTGAATAGAAAATCTTGGGCTGCCAGGCGAGTCTTTCGTCCATTATGCAGGAATTCTTGAACTTTTCCACCAACGCCTCTTTACCCCTGGAAATCGATGAGCACATGTGAACGACAATCACTATCCAAAAAAACGCACTGGTAGTTGGCATAGCTCATCTGCAAGATTTTCTCGCTCGAAAACATATTCCTGAAACACGTGAGTGAATCAAATATTTAGGATGATGAGGTTGGCATACCATTTCTCTCCGAGTTTTGCTTTAGCAAAGCGCAGTAAGTCTTCCACGGTGATGAAGTTGACGAATGCATATCCGACGTTGCAGCCGTTCTGGAAGTCCATCCTCAAGTAGAGGAAGTCAACTCTACGACTACAAACACCCCCAATAAACGCCAAAAGGTCCTTGTCGTTCATCTTGTTCGGTATGTTCTACGTGTTTTGTCAGCAAGTAAAGATATCATGCAACAGCGCTGACCTTGATCATCACTGTCGTACGAGTGTCCTGCCCGTCTTCGATGCGCGAGATATTCAACTGGTTTCTGTCGTTATTCACAGCATTGGTTGCTGTTCCTGGCGAAGCAACACTACTGACGGCCGACTGAGGCGAAGGAGCAATTTGAGGCGTCAAAGGATGTCCAGAAATGGGGGATGTGACGACTGCAGGACTCTCAGGAGAGATTGGAGGCGGAAATGCGACATAACCGAGAGGAGGGTGGCCATGGGTTGGCGGCCCAACCCATTGCTCGGCCGGATATACCATTCCGCCATACATGTGGAACGGAGGAGACATCATCATAGCTTGGTCGAAGGACCAGCCATTCATGTGCATCGCATGCGCTGAGTCGAACTCTGATCCATAAGTTGTTGGGGATGGCACATACTGGTGGTGAGGTGCGGGGTAATGGTAAGGATAAGCCGACATTGGAGGCGTAGGGCAGCCATTGTAATAGTGCTGGACGGGGGACATCTCCATGGCGGGAGTCTGTGGTTCTTGATTATGACTGGCTCTCGATTGGCTCGTGCTGCGTGACCTCTGAGCTGCCGGTGGCATCGAGCTAGAATTAAGTGGTCGTTCACCACGATTAAAGAATAAGTGATCTGGAGCATGCTGAATATGAGCGTCTTGCGGCTGGGCAGGAAGAGCAGGCGCAAAGTTGGTAATGGGCGACGTCGATGTCGACGTATAAAAGAGTGGAGGAGAATCAGTGGACCGAACGGCGTTTATGCCTTCGTTGTCAACACTGATGCTTTTCGGTCGTGGTTTTCCCGTGGTATCGATCACTAAAAATCGCTTGCGAACTTGCGACTTGTCTCCAGCAGGACCGATGGCGTTGCTAGGCTGAGCAACAGTGGTTGGAGTCGATACGTTTGGCATTATTACCGTTAGATGCAAGCCAAAGTAAGTTTGGCCGTCCAACGACTGTATAGCATTCTCATTCGCTCTGACATCGAAAAATTCGACGCGAAACAGCTGTCGATCGGGTGTCTTGAATGTCTCAGACGATACAACAGGAAAGTGTGAAGAGTTACCTTGTCGGTCTCTTCGACACGGGTCAACGACCTTAAGTCACCCTGCGCCTTGAGCAAGCCGATTAGTGTTTCCGGATTCATGTCGATGTTCTGTCGATGTTGGTGAATGAGTGGTCAGCAAGATATGGTCCATCACACCTGTTTGCCTCCTTCAGCCTCAACAGCCAAGCCAAAGTACGGCGGAGGCTCCATAACAAAGGAAGCGCCGCCGACCAGCTAGCAAATGTTCAATGATAGTGATGAGAGGGAAAGGCATCGCTACCTTGAGGACTTTTTCTGCGGTGATGAACCTGCATTCAAACCAATCTTTCTCCTCGTCAATGCAATGAGCAAGGCCGCCCGTCGTCGGGGTGGACAAAATGACGTTGGCTGAGCTTGCTTGACGAACATCGAAGAAAACGAAAATCACGATTCCTTCGTTAGAATGAAGATGCATCGATATGCCCTTGATTTTGTCCTGAGGAGAGCCGTCGTTGGAGTCCAAGGCTTGGAGTACTGCAAGCTTCAGCGCCTGCGAATCGATCGTTTTGCGCACATTCGAAATCTGACATCATTGCAAGTCTGAATCAGACCAAAACTAGGGCCTTACCATGAGATAACGAGTCGAAACAGTGTCAAAATCGCTCAGTACACTTTCGCCGACAGAGCTAGCGCCACTAACGACCGACTCAATACTGGCAACCGTCCGGAGACTGGACGATGGAGTGAGTGGCGGAGTAAGCAGCACATTAGATTGATCGTAATTGACGCGAAGATGAGACATGGATTTTGTTGTCGAGTTGTCCTTTGTCGGCACGTCTGGAGCTGATGATGGCTCTTGCTTGGTGGAGGGAGGAGTCGATGGACGCTTAAGGTTTGTCACAGCATCTGCTAGGTGTGGCGGAATCGGGCCAGAGTGTGGAGGGAACCTAGAAAAAAGGTCGACAATTAGACTAATGTGAAGAGGTCAGTGCTGACCAGATGTTGGGTAAAGAAGGCGAATGCTGCAAACGGGGCGGATGCGAACGCCCCGACTGCGCGGGTTTGGACATCTGGAAGAGAAAGAAAAGCAGCGAGTGGTGGGTGAAGAAAGAAAAGAGGGTGGAGGAGCACCATCCTGACAACCGTTGGGTCTTCCTGATCCTCACGCTTCTCGAGAAGCCAGTTATGCCCAACCCGTACGTCAAACAAGCGTTAATTAACAAACTGAGGGAGCCGCCGTTGGATGCAAAAAAAGCTGACCATTCAGCACAAATTGGGCTGTTCCACCCCAAGTGAAATGTCCTATTCGAGCGAAAAAGTCGACGAAAACAGTTCAGAGATGGCTGTATCACAGAGGCGAGAAGGGTGGATGCAGCTCTAGTTCGGAAGCGCAAAGAATACGTCAAGATTGGATTGGGCAAAGCAACATGAAACGGAGAAGGCGAGCGCAAAGGGCAGCGGAGATGACCAAATAGCAGTCAATGAGCTGATGCATGAGGCGAACATCGTCAACAAAGGAGTGGTGGACGTTCTCTCCAAAAAACTTTCGATCGTCACGCCGTGACTTTCTATTTGACGCCATGCCCATTTACCAGATGGTCTGCATTGCCGCCCACTTCCCAAAATATGTTGGTTATTGGCATAACATGACCTATTAGAGCTCACGAACTACCTAGGAACATATTAAAGGGCTGGTAAAGCAAACAGTGGAGCATGTTTTGGACGAAGGCGGAGTTGTTCGTACGATTAATTCCTGGGGAACCCGGTCTTTACCTCAAAGGATGCGAAGACATGGAAATTACCACGAAATTGCAGAGTGCGTTATCTTCCACTCGCTCCAACTTTCCTGAGCACGCGCCAGTTATTGGACTATGCATTTTGACACGGCACCTCGGACACTGCGTTCTCTCAACAAATTGATGCGACAAGACCCTCGTGTCATCCGTTGGACGGTTCTCAAATTGGGCAGCCGGCCAGAAGATATTGCCAAAGAAGGAGCCCTTGCCTTGCGCGGCCACAACGTCGATAGTTTGGATATATGAACATGAGGAAGTGCTCCGCCCCGACTACAACCGTTTTCGGACCCAGTCGAGAATTTGCTCCATATCATCGACCGTCTCACCATTTCCTTCCGTCGAGCCCTCCGCCTCGTCAACTCTCTTCAGTAACAACGCGTTCATACCTGCCTCTCGTGCTCCGTTGTAGTCGCTGGAATGCCTTTAGCCAATGTTCATTGGTAAACAAAATCAAGGTTTCGGACCACTCTATCTCGTCACCAATGTGAACGCACTCCGATAATGCAATTTTTACATCTCTCCCCGCGTTAACGCGCTCAAGAGTATGATGGAATATTTCGATTGAGGGTTTTTCGAACCCGACCGCTTCACTGAGTATAACAGGAAACAAAGTGCGAGGAAACCCGAGATCCTGAATAACGGATACTATTGGTTTGATTCAATCCCACGAAACCCAACAAAATTTAAAGGTAGAGCCTACGCATGCGAGAGTCGGCATTGCTGACAACGGCAGTGTGCACTCCCAGTTGGTTCAATTCGTTTACTGTGGCTTAAGTCTCGAAATTTAGCAGGGACAACGACCTACAGACTTGTATTGAATGCTCTCTCGCCTTATAGCCCTCTTTGCTACTGAATACGGTCATCAAATTGTCCACGATACTGGGTAAGGAAGCATCGAGTGTGTGTGGATCCGCTCCAGCGCCGAGTCCTGTCTGGCAGATTACTTGTGACCACCAGTCCCGAGAGTCGCCGCCATACAGCGGTTTATCCTTTTGCAGTCGGCGCAGAGCTGAGTAATCTAAGTTAAACTGAATGCGTTCCATAGAGACCTTGCAAATTCAGACCGATTGGAAACGAGCGTTCAAGAGCAGCAAGGTCTAGCCTTCCCAGGAAAGGTTCAAACGAGCGCTGGTATGCGACAGCAATAGGGTATCTTGGTAGCACAAGAGTGTGAAGCAGATCCCAGGAGACCAGTTTTATCTTTGACGCGGACATGGAGAAGAACACGACCAGTCACTGATCGTCACACCCTGCCATGTTGAAGCATTCCACGATAGTACTCTTCGCTGGTCTGGTTGTGACCAGAGCACTCGGCATAGACCCATGCGTCGATATTGCTGGTCAAAAATGGGTTTCCCCAGCTCAAGCGCGACTCTGCCTTCAGTCTTTCCCAGTCGACAACGACCTGAAAGCCAGCGTGAATACTCTGCTGTTTATAATAGCTCCAGTCTCAGCGGCTTGTAGACTATCCAAACTCTTAACCGCACACTAGCCTTTCATACCTCCGTAAATTACCAGATTCAAGCACCTCCCCCGTTTGATACTGAGGTCCATGAAGATATTATCAAGGTAGCGTAAGAGCCTGGTCTTTTTCAAATCATTTTCTACAAACACTTCAGGACCTGGCAAGAATCAGCGAAAGCCCTTACCCTTCAGAATTCGCTCTTCACCTTGATTTGTTCTACTCGTTCCGGCGACTGATGGATGGGCACTGTACGGTGTTAAATCTTTGCTATGATTGTAAGTGGTATCCATGACTCTCCCTGACCCTTGTATTCATTTTCGCCTAGCGGTCTTCATAAGCTATTTGCCAACACCTCTCGCGCTTCTGACCACGGAAGACGGCTTTCAACATGTACATATCGCTCCCGAAGCTTTCGCTATTGCCTCTGCCGAATTCCCAGACCAGATTGAGCTTTGGCAAAATGCACTTCCAGGAGACTTGAAAGGCCAACTAGCGACGGTATCGTCTTGGTTTCGAGTTCTCCCTCACGTGTCTCACTATAAACAGTTATCGGGAGCCAAAGTTCTGCAGATAAATGGGCAGGATCCGTGGTTAACCGTCGACGCCAACGCTATGACAACAGGAGGATACCAGAGCTTTGGTACTCGCCAGAACTCGTACGTCGTAATTCTCCCAATCCTATGTCCGACCAATACTCTTGTCTAGTTTTTTCTCGAGCTATTCACGTGGAGCTTCTGGATGGTCCTATATTATGGGGAATTTTGCGCAACAAGTTCATCCACTGACAGATTCAGTCGATTTGACCATTCAACGCGTCAATAGCAGCCAAGTCGAACACATTACAGTAAGTACGCAGGAGATGGTAAACTTGGTGCTGAGTTTGACTCCGCAAGTTGCCTTATCGTTCCCGCTTTGGCTCGAGCGCCAAGAATTTCACTGACTCAGCATCCTTCAGAGCGAATAATTGTATGAGCCAGAAGGGAACCAATGGGATCAATCTTTACGACTCAGTCTCTGTTTCTGAGAATATCGACACCATTCCTACCATTGCACACTTCGAGCAACAACCACAACTTGATCGCGAAGACAGAAAGCGGCCGATCAATGTCCTCGTGGACGCTGCTCCGCTGTGGGACATTGACCTTCCGGAAGAATTGCATCCCACTCCTCCCGCACTAAATCAAAGCTATAGTGTTGCTCAGTTTTACATGCTGAATAACACTGGCGTTTTAGCTCTCGGATCTTTTTCAGCGGCCAATTTCACGGCATTCATGGGAAGTTTATTGGACGGCCTTGCTGAACTAAAGGCTTTGGGTGCAACCCGGCTTATCATAGATGTTGTAAGTGCGGTTTGACTATTGGAACAGCGCTGAATTTGTTTTCCTCTAGACTAACAACGGAGGAGGTGAATGATTGCGCTCTCCGTCCTTGAATGCTGAAGAAATTGACAGGATATATCTGCATCGCGCATGTGAGTTTGATAACAGTTGTTTTTCTGATTTGTTGACCATTTTAGTGGCTCCATCGCATCGTGCGCCGCTTCCTGTTATGTCTCTATGCACTTCATAATCAGCCAGATTGTTGGTCCTAGAGCAACGTGAGTCCAATATACCTCATCAATGATATCATCTTATCGGATCAGTACGGAACCCAATGCCGGATTACTCACCACGATCCGTGCTGGGACCCTTGCTCAACATGTCGTTGAAAATATCAACGCTGGCGGCGACCCTGACGCTCTGTTGCTTTATAACCCCACCAACTGGCACAACTCTTCCAACCTTCCTTTTAGCACAGACTACAATTGGCTGAAACCAACAGTAAACCCTACCATCAACGGTCATGCCGATGCTTTCAGTCCTCAGTGCGTCCCTTGAAAGCACCCAGCTCATCAAACATTGAAATGTCTTTTCAGACTTGGCGCAGAATGTCAGCCTTTCGAGATGACACCGCCTGACCATGCTTTATTTGAACCTGAAGATGTTGTCATCATCTCGAATGGACGTTGCGCAAGCTCTTGCTCACTCTTTAGCATCACAATGTCGAAGCACGAAGGGGTCAAAACAGCAGTCGTGGGCGGCAAGAAAGAAACTAGACAGCAATATTGCGGCGTCGTTGGTGGTCAAAGTACACATTTCGTTGAGATGGACACTGAAATCAAGGTGCGTGAAAAGAGCGGCCGCAAAGCCGCAGTCCTCAATAAAGTGCAGTCAACTGGGCTCAAGAAAGTTGAACTTGCTCCCCCTGATTTGTAGGTCATCAAGTCCTGTTTTTTCGCTCTTTGCTCACCACAAGACAGCCAGACGAACAGGTACCGTTTTATTAACACCTCAGAAAACCGCATTTTGACGCATGGTCAGTGTTCTGGGTATAACGTGGCGTCTCGCCTTCGGGATCGACGATCCTGAAAAGCCAGAAGAATGGCAAGATCACCCGGCGACATTCAATATCCCAGTCACAATGGACACGTGCGTCATCGCCCTCTAGTTGTACTCTTGAGCTCAACGGCTCTTTTAGGGTGAACAAACCCTCAGAACTGTGGAAATATACGGCCAATGTTATATTTGGCGATGAGATCGCCTTGCCGGGAGATTCCCAGGCATATTTTTCATTGCACTAACTACGGTGACCTAATCATCCTCCTCGATGTCTCCATATTCAAATATACCTGCGCGGTCTCGTTTGGCCTCGTTGACAGCACTTTGCAGTTTCTTCGCCATCTGAGGGTATGCAGAGAGGTACTTGCAGTTTTTACGGTCGATCGTGGCCAGCCCGTCGCGCAAGAGGTCCGCATTGATGCACGCCAGCGGATCATCGGCAGCGGCTGGGTCTGTTGGGTCCATCAAGCGTAGATGAAGAAGTGTCCCTTCCTTGTGGTCAATGTTTGCGATCAATTTGCGACCTTCACACAATGAGCGGAAGCGATCAAGTGCGTCTGCGTAATATTCGCTCTCGGGACCAACAAGTTTCACGAAACTAGTATGCCTTTCTTTAGCCTCTGAGCTTATCAGATAGTCAACGTGCGGACCTTAGTCGGGCTTCGTGAGCTTGTGGGCTCAAAGACCGGAACTTCGCATCCAGAGGCCGGATGTTATTGAACGAGACAGTATCCTGATTTCCGTAGTCGATGAAAGTGACCTCAGCCTCCTTTTTTACAGGAGATGCACGTCGGATTTTGGCTCGATACCAAGACCCATCAGAGAACTTGGCCGAAACGAGTTCACCAGCCTTTGGAACAAAGTTGGGAGGGGACGCGGCGGAAGAGCGGTGATGAAGTGAGAAATCCCGCATAAGTTTCTCCAGGGCAGCAATCCCTACAAAGATTATTAGTAAGAAAATACTTGACAACATGAATCCTCAATTGACCCTCCGTATTGAGTATTTGAACTGAGAAAGCCAGTCCAGCTGTCGTGCGAACGTCGCTGATGATGACGTCGATATATTCGCGCTTGAGAGGTCCAGTTTCTATGGTCGTCTCTTCAACTTTCTCTTCCTCTCCATCGAAGTCCGTCCATATCTACAATCAAATGCGTTTGAGCAGGCCGCAAATGACGCCGCGTGACTTACGTTCAGTTTGGCCTCTTTCGCGGCGGCCTGTGCAACAACTTGAGCACGATAAACAGGAAGATCAAAGACGACTCACTTCGGCATCATATAGCTGCTTTGCCCAAGACAGACCGTCAGCCGAGAATCCATGTACAGTACCCAGGCCCTCTTTCACAAGAGCGATGGCTGCGTTCTCCGTCTTATTCAAGTAGAGTGCGCCGATGAATCCTCCAGATTTATCCAGTGAGTCGACTTCGAATTCAACATCACGCTGCATGTATCTCCTTGACGCAAATTCCAAGGCTTCAGCGCCATACGGTTCGCTTTTCTCGGAGGCGTTTCTGGCAGTGCGAGGCGCGCGGATGCCTACCTAGCTCAGCTTTGACTGGTTAGGAGACGTAAGTCATACCTCCAAGGACTAATGTCAATGTTTGATTGTCCTTGGGAAGGAAAAGCCTACAAATGATGAGCACAGAGGACCGCCCAATAATGATATGTACTTGAACCGCGAGCCAGCAGCGACATAATCAACGACAGCCGGTACTCTTCCTTGACGCTTAAAGCCATTCAAGAACTGAGTAGCACGATTCACAGACTGGAGATATGAGCATCACAAGTTATAGGTATTCCGAGGACTTCTCACCTCCGAAATGTTCAAAGGTTGTTTAGGCGCAGGTAAATCTTTTCCAGAATGTATTCCCCGAGTGTCAGCAGCAGCACTACCAATGTGAGATTCAAAATATGTCTTGATGTCATGGAGTTCTCTTACGCTTGCTCAGCAGCCATTAATTTGTCGTAGTCCGATGAGCGATCTTCGTCGTCTCGTTTATGGCGTACAAGTGCAGCGAGGCCCTTTTCAACGAGCTGCTCGGCAATGTTCCTTTGGCAATTGTCAGGCAGTTGTAGCTAGGTGATATCAACATACGCATTCTGTCCTCCATAGCGTATAGTAGCACATTCGCGTTCTTCGTAGTCACCTTCCCGTGGCCGGATGAAGTCGATAGTAACTTTGACATGCTTGCCGATCAAGCGTTTCCTCAAGAATTCCCGGGCATCCTGTGCGTATTGGGCTTGTTTTGGGTCGGAAAGCCTGTAAACATTAGAACATACTGTTCATATAACAGAATCTCAACATACTTGGGACCGCGAGTTGAGCTCAGCTGAAGCCGTCGTTCCTTTCCAGTCTCTTTCTCGACCACAGAGATTTGGTCACCGCTCCAGACACGAATGACAGTTGCATCGAACACCCTGGCCTGTCCATTTGGAGTAGTAGTACCGTTGGATTTAGAGGCAGCAATGGCAGGCGCATTGGCATAGAGACATAGCCGTTTCTCTTTAGCGACCTTTTCCGCTGCGCGTAGCTTTTCCATACCACCACTGCTTGCGAGCATTCCGGCATGCCAATCAACTACGCGACCGAGACCAGCAGCCACAAGATGTTCAGCAACGTTTCCGGCTGGATGTAGGACTATTGAAAAACCCCAGTCAGTTCCACTTGTAATCGGAGACAAGAGCAAAATTTACCATTTCCGATGAAGATGCTGGCGGTAGCGACACTGGGACCAGTCGCCCCACTTTGGAAAGGTGTCGCAGATGAGTTCGGGAGAGATAGAATAACCACGCGCACTTGGCGCTGCAAAAGACGGGCTTCGGTAAAGAACCTTGCCTACAAGCAATTTGAGTGGGATGCAAATGATTTCGATGAACAGACCTCCTCGCCCCATGGCTCTGATGCTTCGCCCTGCTTTGACGCGGCGCGAGCACTACGAACGCCCGCCAGAGCAATGTTTACGATTTGGTGCTCACCATCTGGCATAAGAAGTCGAACTCGCAATGTCGAGCCGTCACGCACTTGCTCGACAATAGCTAACATGCAACGTGAATGGGTGAGAAATACACAATAAAATGAGGCGTACCATCGAGAGACTTCCCTTTCCACTCTGACACGAATGCTTGCGAGTCGACTGGCATCGTATGGTGAACGACACGCGCCTGCGGGCCATGGGGGTTCCAGATGCCCTTCCCGCCGGCCTTGGCTTCGTTCTCCAAGTCGCGCTTCCTCTGATCCTCTTCCGTTGGCTCGCGTTTGAGCTCTTTTACTTTTGCCCAACCATTCTTGAGAATTTCTGTTGTCAGATCAAAGCCTCCGATTTCTGCGACACCAAAATCGCGAGCAACGTCCTCGCCAGGCAGCGAGTGCGTGGAAGTAAAGGAAATCTCCTTGCCCACAGCGAATGCTTGGGGAAATGAGTCCCAGGAAACGGTGAAATGAGTATAACTCACCACGTAAGAATTCACGCGACTCAAATGCCCATGGCTCATCTTCTCGTGTCGATGTTCCTAGGCGTGGAGCGACGATATCAAGATGTAAAATACTACGAAATAGGTGAGAAGAAGTCGTATGTGTGTTGATACGACGTACCGCTCTTTGGGTGTCTGGCCAGGTCCTGCACGACCACGAAGAACTGGGGTAACATTGAATAAGCTGATATCGTGGCATTAGTGTCAACAAACCGAGTGTGTCTCCAGAGAGGACGCTTTTTACAATTGCTTTGAGGGCCATGGAAGTACAAACGACGGAGGCAGGACAAGGTAGTAGGAAACAACCAAAAAGTTCTACTACGTGGAGGCGACTGGCCACCAAATTTGTATCACGAGAACTGTGATCTCGCCTTCTTGTCAGGTGCCCTTTGGCTGAGTCTCAGAGAGGGTAGACCGGTCGTCTCAATTTCAACAACTCTCAGTTGAAAGTCTACCCAACGTAGCGAATCTTGATTGCACCAGCGCGATTGCGCGCTTCGAGAGCTTGACAAGTTATAAGGATATGCACGTTTTTGTGACTTAAAAACGACCTACCCTTCATTTCCTCCGCTTCTTCTCGCTGTTCGTAGTCTAATACAAGTCGCTTGAGATGTTGCTGCTCAACACGATCCTGTTGCTGAGCTGAACGAGTGTGGACTGCCAACGCCGATCCAGATGGAACTGCAAGTTGCCGCGTCTATCCAGTGTCAGTCAACTGAAGATAGAAATGAACATAGACTCACCTGCTGTTTGTTTCCCCTCTTGGTGATTACAGTGAAGTTCATCATGTTTGGGTCTTCCACAGGATTTCCATCGTCTTCTGCTTGCCTCTTGCGAGTGCCCTGCGGCAAGATCGCAGCATCCCACAGCGCTAGAGCAGTCTTCTTGTCCACTTTCCTCGATTCTGCAGAATTGTCGGTGACCATTTTCGCAAGCTCTCTGGCAAACTCTGCTTCAGCCTCTTCTGATGGACCAAGATTGTCTTGTAGACTGTTGCTGGCGGACAGAACAACAGGTTCATCGGGCGACGGAGCACGTGCATCAACCTAACAAGGAGTTTTAACATCCAACAAGGGCCTTGATTTGCGCTCATAACGCACAGGTGAGTCTGGAGAATCATCTTCCTCCTCGTCCCGTTCAATTTCTGGGTGCCTCTCGTCGTCGTCGTCACCACTGTCCTCGCCACTGCCACCGTCTTCACCTGGAGTTGTGTTGAATAGATCGTGCGGTTAGATTTTCTATTCCTTACCTTCCGGGTTCTGGAAGGCCAGGCTGAACATCTCATCCACTGCGATTGCTGATTCTTCTAGCGTCTTAAACATTTCGAATTTAGGTCGCACTGCCTGGGTCGCGAGTCAAGCTTGGATCAAGAGAGTGAAACCCACCATACCTCCATTGAGTCTGAAAGCATAAAATCGACATCCATGGGAAGGACGTCTTTACAATGCACATAATACTGTTAAGACTGAGTTAGTTGATTGTATCAGTGTGGCTGATGAGTGAATTGACCTGGAAAAAGACCAAAAAATTGTCCAATTTCTTGCGTTGTGTTCCCCGGTCGAAGCACATGCCACACGCATCTAGTAGCACACAGACAAGACGGACACGGAAAAAATCGTCAGGCATGTCAATTACGCATGTCGAGTTGGGAAGGGGTCTTCCTTCCGCTAAATTCAAGTATTAATGCTCGGTCACAAGGGAAAGAGACGACGGACGGTGCCCGAATGTCACTAAAGACCATAAAGTATCGAAAATGATGCTAGAGCTGAGGAGTCGATAGATGTACAGTTCTCCAAGGTATTTTATGGTTGCGACCCGTCGCTGGTTCGTGCTATAAACATTTTGTTCCAGGCCACGCCGAACGTCTTCCAGCACTTGGTCGACAACGGCAACGGCGAATTCAGGGTGGTATCGTTGTAAATCGTACGTCAGCATCGCTAAGAGGCTGATATTGCTGTACTTGATTTTCCATGGCTTGGTGAAAACTTTGTGCAAGGTGCGAATGACTTGCTCTGAATCCCAATCGAGCTTGCGGATAAGCTTCAGGACTTTATCGATAGTCTTTTTCGCTAGAACGTCGTACACCAAGTGCCGAATGAAAAGCTCGATGGGCGTTCTTTGTTTTTCTTGCCGCGGCGCGCGTTCTTGGGGGATTGCACTGATATCCGTGGTCGGATTAAGATGGAGTAGACGATCAAAGAACAAACCTGGTAATATGCATTCTCTAATAGAAGCAGTTGCCGCTGGTCGAAGTGTTGCATACTTTGTTTTCTCCGCATCAATTCCAACTGATTTGGGGGTTATTTTGAGGAGGAAAGGGAACAATCGTCTCACCATTGTGGAGAATCGTTGGCTCGTATCTTCGCTTCGCAGGAGGAACCGTCCGCATCCCTCAAGTAGCAATGCTATATTCTCCACGTTTGTCCCAGAAAAGTCGTCCAAGCATACTTTGAACATGTGCAATATTAGGTGTGGCGGCACAACGCGAAACTTGGTCAGGTTTGTCAAGTAGGTAATGTTCTGGAAGGCGAGACATCAATGAAAAAGTGAAAGGTTGGATCGATATCGACAACCTTGAGTCGAACTTCAGCCAGTTCTTTGACGACATTTTTCTTCCGCTGCAGATATCGAAACTCTTCATCCAGCTAAATGATCACGGAGATTGAGAGGGAAAGAAGATTAATTGACAAGACCCACAATAGCCACAAGATCTGTTCCAACATCGGGCATATAGTGGTGCAAAGTCGCGACCAGCCGTGCATAATGCGGTATTCGATCTGTACGATTCTTGGGAACTTGCCCAAGAAACTAGACAAGCAGTGAAGGATATGGTTTGTAGATTAACATACTTGCCTTGACAAGCCTCTTTCTAGCAGCCTTGGAGTTGAGGAATGCAAAGTCGATAGCAGCTTGATCAATCAATGCGCGGTTGGTAGCGTCAGGCAGGCGGATGAGGAGAGCAGTGAGAAGCTGAGAGGGTCCTTGAGCTGCGAGGTGAGGGGATGAGGGCGGGGACAGAGCTTTAGGAGTTCCCGGTGTTGGAGTAGCAGCACTGAGCATACGCGATCAGAACGAAATTGACCGAGAACTATAGATATACTCTTCTTCTTCTCTGTCGGAGGAGTATTCAGCCTCTTGCGTGGGTCCCTCCTCGCCCCCAAGATTCTCTAGCTCTTGTTCGAGCTTTCTGACCTCTTCTTTTTCTCTTTCCTGCCTCTCCTTTTCCTTCTCCTCGTCTGTCTCGCTTTCCGAGGCATCATCGTCGATTCCCAAAACGGTCCTTGGCACAAAATCCTTCAGATCCTGTACGTCTTCAAAGAATCGCCTCTCTTCCTCGTCTTCCCATTTGCCACCAGAGCCCATCAATTCATCCGAGTCTTCCGACAGCGCGCTGGACTTGTTCGTCCCGATTAGAATCGAGTCAGATTTTTGAGAGCTGGTGGGAAGCGAAGGTAGTGCAAGATAGAGGAGTTCGGAGAGACTGGGAGACATCAACAAGATATAAGCACGAAGGAGGATGGCTCTACGTTTGACAGCTAGAGAGCAATTTCTCGTAGCCTTTGGTCATCTTTTCATAGGCTTGCTGACGATCCTCGAATATTTCGCCAGAACGGATATATGCCTCATGATTGCGCCGGTCCTGATCTTGTAGGCGCTAAAAAACCATGAAATAGAAAATTCGACAGAACCAATCCAACAATACCATGTGTTCAATGACCAGTTTCTTGGAGACACTCTCAAAATAACCCTCGCACATTCGCTTGAATCGGTCTCGGATTTCTTGTTCTATTAGTTCATCTTCTTCCCTTGTCAGAACGGGAAATGCGCCGCTCTCCTGTTCAGATGCTGTTCCTACATCGGGATTGACCTGCTGCTTCGGTGGACTAGGAGGGACGATTCCAAGGTATGGACGAGAGTAAGATTTGAGGAAGGTGGATAAAAGCGGTAACGATGATAGTGTTGGATCATTGGAGAGCTATGCAGGCGAATCAAGGTAAACAGGCCCTAAATGGCAGAGAACGTACCAGTTCCTTCACAATCTTCATTATCCACTCGCCACCGCTACGGTTGGGGCCGTCTCGTATGACGCCGACCAGAGCTAACTCAGAGGAGACCCTTAGCACTGGACGCTGACGAGAAACACGGGAGGCATCTTCCTTTTCACGCTGCTCTGGAGGTAGGGAAGCTAGGGAAGCTCTGGGCGGCGCTGCTAATGCTGCAGCAAGAGAAGTTACAAGTTGTGGGGTGAAGGCGGAAGGAAAGCGTCGGTGGAGTAATGAAATGATCTATAGGATAGCTTTGTAGCCATGTTAAGTGTAACGAACAGGGGATGAACCTCAACTGCGCTCCAAACATCTTTCTCTGTCTTACAGCGCGCCAAACCCTCAACTGCAGCTCCGACAATTTCGTCAACATATTTCTCGAGCGAAAGGGTTTCGATGTCCTTGATGATCTGGTCACGATTGTCAAGAGCCATGGACTGGCGCATTCGCTTGATGAGCGCCGTATGCCGTTTGAGAGACGAGTCGAGTTTAGATGACTCTACTTTGGGTTGTAGCAGCAGCGCGGGCGGTTAAGCTAGAATACTAGCCTGCATTGGCTGGTGTAGCGTTGAGCGACTTGAGGGAGCGACGCTTAGTCAACCGGACACGCTCCTCATCGAGTCTTGCATCCATGAGATGGTCGCCTCTTTCAGAGTGATTATGTGCGTGACATCTGTGACGCTCCGCGTCCTCGACCGCGATGAGGAATGAGCGACGATTACCTTTTCGACGATGATCTCGTGTTCGACGACGGTGCTGTCGCTGCCCTGGACACCCTCGAAAAGTCCTACTTCTCTGAGACAGCACCTCCGCCACCCAAACGCCAAAAGACGAACAATGGTTTGGAAGAAGACCTGCCCGACATCTCAGTCGACATCAATGGTTCATACGCTTTTCTCAACTCTGCGCAATCTACATCTGCCAATGTTCCTACTCGACCAGCTCAGCTCAATAACACTATCCACCGACCCCAACCTCCCACAAACCATATCCGCGCGCAACCTACCCGTAGAATCGCATCAAATCATACTCAAAGACATTTCCCTCCTCCAAATCCCAGTATTTCCCAGACTGAACTAGAAGACTTGCGTAGACAAGTCCAAGAAGTAAGTTGTTGCGCAACGTCGAAACTTGCTTTCTGAATCGATGTCCAAGCTCACACGAAAAAACGAGCACTTTCAATCACAAATAGACACTGCCAATGCGGCAAAGTGGTCGGCTCAAGGCGAAGTGACGATTCTGCGAGCTGGAATCAACAAGGTCCGTTAACTTTATTTTGGAAGGCGTGTCTGACACACAATGCAGACAAATGCAGAACATGCTCAACAAGTTGAACGGCTCAGGAAAGCTAAGGAGGAGTCCGAAGCGAAGCAGATAGCAGCTCAGAAGGAAATGGCTGCTGAAATGGACCGCTTGAAAGCCTCGCGACGGTTCCAGGTACTTGTGAAATCTGTCTGTGGCCGGAAGTTAACCAGCATGCATACCAGGATTTAGACAACATAGCACGCAAAGTGTCTATGTCGGCTCGCTCCAAAAGAGTAATGAAGGAGGTCCCTTCTACGCCTTTGCCTCAACAAGGTTGGAACGATGTAGACAATCAGACCCCTCTCCAGCCACGGACCACGCATTTCAGCCGCGGACCACTGTCCCCCCAGAATCAACTGTCGCAAAAGAAACTTTTGGGATTCCGCAATGCATTCATTGATACACCAATACGATCATCTCAACCTCACAAGATGGAGACACCACAGCTGGCAACCAAATTGGAACCTATACCTTTCCCTCAGTTTCCTGAACCAGCAGCAATCGACGACGACACTATTATGGAAGGTTTCGACGATGGGGACCCCAACATTCCTGTTGTTGTTGAAGAGCCAGGTCTTCCCACTCCCATTGGAGAACCTTTCAACTGGAAAGCCGAGGTATGTTTCATGCCCTAAACTTTCGAACTCCTATCTGAAGGCAACAGCTCGCACGCATCCTGTTAACTTTTTCCGCGCCATGGGATCCAACTCCAGTTATCAAACTCCTGTCAGGACTCACAATGCCACCGGAACTCATCGATTCATATTCCGATACCACTACACGATTATTCGATGTTATAGCAAGCACAACCTCCAAAGATTATGAGTTGTGTGTCTCTAGCGCCTGTTCATGTCTTACTGCATTGGCAACCAGCATCATAGAGACCCAACAGGTCTGTTCCTTTCGTCATTCGCTGGGCCTCGACTAATCATTGGGAAGTTTCAGGCTTTGGCTGTTTTGCTCTGCCTGATGAGTACACTGGCTCGATCTCTTCCTACATTCTCAATGGTCTTGCTCAATCAATCTTTGGCAAACGATGACGAGCAGGACATGGTTGAGACACTGCATCAATTTCTTCGCCAGCTAGTCTCCTCTACAGGTGAAAAGGAGCCAACTCTGGTCCATGAACTTTTCAGTTTACTGGAAGAGTGGTGCTGGAATCTGAAAGACGACGGATATTCACGGTTGATCTTTTGCGTGTTTGTTTTTGGTGCCTCATGAAATGCCAGGTTCTCGGCGTTTTGTGAACCCCAACTACTCGCAATCCTTCTCGACGCTTCGCAGCCGTCTTGGCTACTGTGTCGTGTTACGTCCTTTTTACTGCAAGCTGCGAGCCGTGGGTTTCCATTGATAACTTCGCTCTGCCCACTAAACCCAGTTCAGACGTGAAATTGGCACAGAAGCTTACTTCTCCCCAGAGCACGGGCAAAGAAACACAAACACTTCCCCATCTTGACCGACTAGCTGTTCTTCTTATAGATCAAACGCGGAATGACGACGAGGTATGCTTACTGGAACATCCAAGCACCATCTCACTAACGGAATAGGGCATGCAAATGAAACGGAATATCATTACCTTCTTCGGTGTTCTTGCTGTGGCCCAGACAGAAATTCACAACACTCTGGTGGGCTATTCGACCAGCTTGTTTCCTGCACTCGCGGCATTCTCCTCAAGGTTAACAACGCCTTTTTGGGAGGATCCGGATGGCTTTCTGATCCCAGAGGAAGTTGTCGACAAGTGAGCGCCCTTCGTAAAGATACGACAAATCTGATTATGGTTCTTGTTAGATCGATCTACACACTCAGTCAGACACTCCTTCTGTTTCATTATCTGGTCTTCGGCTTAGAGGGTGATGTGAATTTACGACACAAATTCCAACACGCAACGCCTTCACGAGCTTTCATTGGCATTACTCACGTCTTCCTGGTGACCTTTGGTCGACTCGGTTGTGCAGATGCCCCAGACTGGATGACGGACTCACAAAAACGCGAATTAGAATCGTTGGGTGGTATGATATCTCTAGAGTCAAGTTGTTTTTCACTCACACCAACCAGATATGGCACAAGATCTCGTTGATCTTGTTGTTGATGGGCCAGAACTGGACAGTCTATGGGCCGCATTTCAAGCTGACTCTGATGATTCAATTACTGTGGATGACGCTGTAGCTCTAGAAGCGAGGCTCGTTGGCGCAGGCTGATAACTACGCCCCACGATGCTGTTTCACGCTATTCTCTGTCTAACGCTGCTCAACAACTGCCGGACTGAAGATAAAAAAAAACATACCTGCTTACAGAAATTCTTCACCCATCGTAACTGACGTCTCGCTGTCTTGGAGGTTTGCACTTCCCCAGGCGACAAACGTCTTACGGCTCCTTCACACATCTCGGCACGGAATCTGCTGCTCATCCGATCACGAATACGCTTGGAAGTTATTCGTTGGTACATTGCTTGTGGGTCGAAATGGAAAGCACTCACACGAATGGCGGACGAAGGCTGTTCATCTCCGCTGCTGGACATGTTCAGCTTTATGTGTTCCAGTTCGTTCTCCTCCAGCCACATCTGCCAGCTACATTCACTCCAATCCGCTTCGCGTGACGACATAAACGACAATCGTTCGGTGCACCAAGTCTTGGATGTCTGTGGAAGCACGATTGGTGCGAGATGAGGTGCCAGAGGAGATACGGGATTGGCCGAGACAAGCAGTGGTTTCTTGATTGACTGTGGGACAAGAGAGTAGAGAGAGTTGAAACTATCTGCAGGCAGAGAGTGTTGGCTGGGATGTCCAGGGAAGAGCGCTACGAGTTTGGGGGTTGCGAAAAACCGGGCAAGATTCAGATAGAGAGCTGGAGAGTGCTGACCGGTGGTCGTGTGAATGAGATGGAGAGAGAGTTGATCTACTTGACGAAGAGAGTTGAGTCGGGCGAGGAGACGTCGATGATGTTCAGATTCCGGTTCGCATTTTGTCGTTACCACAAGAGAGATAGCACCTATTGCACCAGTTGACTCAGCTGTTCGGTTTTTTGTGCTAGTCGTACCGCTCCAGTTACGACTCCAATTAATGAATGGGTTCAAGTCATCTTCCGATATCCACATGCAGGCTGCCATATTCAGTGTGGTCGGCGAGTTGAGGAGAAACGGTTCAATGACATCGCCGTTGCCAAGATGTCTTGCCAGCCGTGCCGAACGCTGTGAACGGGACAAAGCTTCGATTGGTGACATGGCTGACCGGGAATTTTGAAATCAGAAGCTCAGCAGACGCGTACTCACGTGTCGACAATTGAGAAGCTTGCTCGCGATTGAGGACATAGAACGCATAGAGAGTGGTAGTGGAGAATAAAAGCGATGCGAAACAGTAGACCAAGACCATCCACTTGATTGCCAACAATCTCCAAGACGATTTGCCATGGTCTTCGAGTTGACAAAGGAACCGTAAGAGAATAGTGAAACGGTTCGGGCTAGGAACAATCGGCGCGCCGGGAGAGGATCGCGGAAGAATGACCGTTGCAGAGGAAGTTGTTGCCCTGAGTCGGGTCTGTGAGTTGGTTGTCGAAAGATGGCTTTGGACATCGTTGCTCATTGCTGTGTTGGCCAGAATTAGATAAAGCGATGAAACCCCATCAAGAACATCTCAATTGCATTTTAGTGTGTGTTTTTCCTTCCTCCATCCCTCTCTCTCCACGACTACCATGAACCCCCCTCCATCGCCTGGTGTCGGCCAACGCAGAAAAGGACCCAAAACTCTTCCGCGATTGCCTCTATCTGCATTTTCGCCGCCCAATTCTGGCACTTCTGAACGTTTCCCGCTTCCTCCAAGCCCCAGCACCGTTCATCCTGAGTCGATTGTTGATGCTCATGTACTTCTGACCGGCACTGACGCCACCCTTGCCGATTGGAAGAAGGAAGCAGGCGAAGCACTTGGTGGTCGGGTTGGCGGACTTGTTGTTGCCCTCCCTGATGGCCAGCCCGATAAATTGGTTGCTGAGTGGGTATTTTTTACTTTTCAACCTAGCCAAACCTAGATGTTGACCGATAATAGATTGAAAGACTCGGGACTCCCAATTGTCTCATTGATGCTCCCATTCTCTCTCGAAAGCGCACAGCATGAACCGTTGCCATCGACCTCGTTCCCCACCTCCCTTTACACTACTTATTCCAAGACTTCTCCTGAAGCGATCGCCAGTCTTAATTGGGCTCTTTCTCAGGGAAAGCCCGTCGACATTGATGTTCTTGCTGCTCTCCCTGAAACTGCGTTCGAAGGCCTGGAAGAATTGCTTTCCAGAGCCGTTGTCGATGTGCCCTCGGTTCCTCCGATTGTCGTTTGTGCGTATATTCTTTGGGCCACTATTTTCACTCACGAATTGGATATTATAGCGAGCTTCCTTCCTCCACCCCATGATCTGACTTTGTCGATTGTCAAGCTGATGAAGCACCCATCGTATCAAGAGTTCCAGGCCCAAGCGGCAGCTCTGTCCCTTTACCCAACTCTTCACGTCAAATTCCTTCCGCCAGTTTGGGATGCGCCAACACCAGCCACGCCAGTAGATGGCGCTACGCCGTCCGAAGGCTCCAAAGCGCAGAACGAGTGGAAACGGCGAATAAAGATGTACCGTATGTGTCAACTTGCTCTCGTCATCCCTCATTACTCACGATCTCTGATAGTTGGTCCCGTTATCGAAGCGTTCGGCTATGAGCGTATCATCTTTGGTTCATCCCCTTCACCAACATCAAAGAGCGCATCTGCTGCCGGTGACTGGTATGAGATCGCGAGGGAAAGTCTAGCTGAGTTGGGTGTAGAACAGGAGGTCATCGACGATGTGTTCGCTAAAACCGCCCGGAAGATATATGGGGCCTCTGCGTAGACAACAACTGTAGCTTATTTATGCATTCTCAGGTTGGCGGAATAAAGACCCTAATTTGGAGCACACGGAAGATGTTGAATCGGCCCAAGGTGAATGCAGAATGAATAACGACCACGGGACAGTGATACACTGCTGCGTGTCGAAAGGCGACATTTGGGCTGATTACATAGTGGTAGGCTACCCACAATCAGAGACGACGACCACGACGACCTCCCTGAGAAGAGGAAAAATATTAGCGTAAGATCAATGGAAAAATCAAGGGAAAAACTAACCTTCCGTCTGGTGCAGTCAGAGGGAATGGGGGTTACGTCCTCAATGCGACCGATGGCCATGCCAGCGCGAGCAAGAGCACGAAGAGCGCTCTGACCACCGGGGCCGGGAGTCTTGGTTCCAGTACCACCGGTCGCACGGATTTTAATGTGGAGGGCGGTGATACCGACTTCCTTGCAACGAGTAGCGACATCTTGGGCAGCCAACATGGCAGCGTAGGGCGAAGACTCGTCACGGTCAGCCTTGACCTTCATACCACCAGTGACACGGGAGATGGTTTCCTTGCCCGACAGATCGGTGACATGGACGAAGGTATCGTTGAATGAGGCAAAGATATGCGCAACACCGAAAACGAGCTCGCCCTCTGCAACCTGGGGACCGAGCGAAACTGCCTCTTCTTTTGGCGCCTTGACTTTTTTGGGAGGCTAGAAAAAGCACGACGAAAAGTGAGCGAGGCAGAACGACATGGGGAGTTGTACGCACCATGGTGGCTTGAGGAAAGAAAAAGTTGATTGGACAATTGCCAGATTGGGACTACCTGCATAGTCACCATCACCAGTATCTGATGGCTAGTCGCTGTCAGTGGTGGCTGGGATTCAGTGGGAATCAAGCTCGGAACCTTGCCTCAAATTGATCCGGGTTGCCACTCACACAACACTAATGCTTGGCTCTCGCCCAAACGAGCAACAAGGAGACTTTGGGCGTCGCAATGCGGAGGATTCATCGTGAGCTGGTCAAGCCATGCATTCGGTGACTCTGCTAAACTGGATGACAGAAGTAGCCGCGAATCGTCTCCCGTCCGAGTAAGCAACTCCCATCAACCTTTGGGCGATCGACGTTTACAACCTTTTACAACTCTCCAGAAACCACCGCGATCATTCACTCCAACTTCCGACGATGACATCGACGTTGCCCAAATCGTTGCTGGGGCGCGAGACGAGACTCCTCCTCCTCAGAACGCACCCATAATCCGCGCAAGCCTTGCTTTTGGCCAGACTGGGGCATTTGGAACGCAAACACCTGTCAACACCTATGCGCCAGTTACATCAAAGAAACAAACCAAACGACTGTTTCTTCCAGGCCAGGAAATCGCTTTGCCACCCAAGACACGCAAGAAACGTGAGCCTCGTTATCCTGGTCAAGCCGGTCGATTCAGGCTGGACACCAATTTCGATCCCACCCCCCGCCAACCGGTTCCGGCACCACCCACTAACCTATCCGGACCTTCAACATCCGGAGTTGTTGAACCATACACTACTAAGTATCGGATGGACCCCATGAAGAAAGTCAGGGAAGTTCTTGGCCATCCTCCACCAACCCAACAATCCAAGGGGAAGAGTAAGGCCGCCCCTCAGCAACACACTAGCGTTGGATCGGACCTTTCTCCGGAAGAGGAAGATGAACTGGATCCAATGCAACAACAGGGTGCTGACGGTGCGTCTTCTCCCGAACACATTGTGCTATCTGAACTGTCTACAGCATCGTCAAGCTCCAAGCGGAACTCAAAGGGAAATCTATTGCGCCTTGTGACATTGTTAATGGACGATGTTCGCGGAGAATCGCGCGTTTTCCTGCTCGCTGAAGTTTGGGTACTTCTTCGAGAAAGCGACAATGTGAAAGAAGATGGATACTGGGCTCATGCTGAAGACATTGTTCGTTGGACAAGGAAAGCATATTTTCCATGGTGACTAACTGCTGGAACAGTGCTCGAAGCTGCAGGCTAGTGCGGGGAGGATTGATGGGCCCGCTAAGGTCTCTGTTCTGCGAGGGAAATATCGACAAGTCATTCTCCGAGTCAACGAGTACAACGAAGACAATTGGATAAGAGGCAACGTTATTGTTGAACACGATAGAACGCTGCAAGTTATTGTTGAAAATGTATCCGCATGCTTACTGGCTCCATCGCGCTGATTTGTTTGCAGGATTCTCCCCCGCCACGAGCGAACCACAAGCGGCGTCGCTCTAGGTCCGTTTCCGAAGATTCTGGCCATCGTGGCAGGCGGCGGCACCAGTCCCCTACCCCTTCTTTACCTGACTCCCGTACGATGAGAGGCATTGATTCAGTTTCTAACGAAGCCAAAGAACAAGAGGAAGAAGAGGCTGTCAACAAGCGCATATCACAGGAAGTCAGCGACATGCTGTCGGGGGAAAGCAACTGGGAGCAGTTTTATCGTTCTCTGGGTCGCAGTCACCTCCCTGGCGTGCTTTCGTGCTACACGATACTACAGTCCTTCGTGGATAAGTTTGGCGGCAGGATGACGCCGTCAGGCGTTCTAATAACGCCTGTAAGTCTTTCCAGCTTCAATGAGCATTTGCTGAATCGTTCGATCAGGCCCGAATTGCTGCGGCTCTCAACATCGAGGATGTTGTCGACGATAGTGCTGACAAATATATGGAACGATGTGAAGCTACGCTTCGCCTTCTAGCGTTTTACGGTCCTGCTGGAACAAGATCGCAAGACGCGGAAGTGGCGAAGATGGTTGACGACGAATCAATTCCGGGGTACGGCCACAAGCCGGAAGTTGTGCTATTGCAGAGACTTCGCCGGCTTGACCAGGAATGGCGCGAGGCACATCCTACAACGTAACATTATTATTATTCAGACAATCGGAAGGAGATTTCACGATCACGTGGGCATATAACGCGACATCTGTCATTTATGTACTGTGTACTTGACAACTTCATTCCCGCTTAGTTATGTGTACAAGAAGCTTTTCTGACTCTGTCAAGTAGTAATCGCCCATAGACTCGTTCCATCTGGTGGTTTGCAATGGTGTACCGCTCTTCGCGAACTCGAACTTGAAGTGTCTGAACAACACACACGCAACCATGATGATTTCGCGCCAAGCAAGGTGTTTGGCAGCACAGTTAGCGGCGCCATACGAGAATGCGAGGAAGGTGTTGTGGTTGAGGATTTCCTTGGAGCCATCTGACCCCGTTTCCGACGAGGCGCGAAGCCAACGCTCAGGGTCGAAAGTATCCGGTGCAGGAAAGTAATGTTTGGGTGACCGTTGGATAACGTATGCCGGGAGGAATATCTGGGTGTGTTCCGGGATAACTTGGCCAGCGATGAATCGCGATTCGCCTATTGGGACTTGGCGGGAACCACCGCTGGGAACAGGAGGGTAGAGCCGGAGAGACTCGTGGAAGCAAGCTGTGAGGAGCTTAAGTTCTCCGTGTTTCTCTGAGTCGAAGAGAGTTTGTGGGTCAGGGTAAACACTATCGACCTCGGCTTGCACCCGCGCATAAATGTCTGGATGACTCAGCATGCACCACATGAAGGCGTTGAGAGCGACACTCAGTGCGTCAGATCCGGCAACGACGGTGAACACGCCATCAACGAGTACTTCTGGTAATGTGGGTTTAACCTTCTCGTGGTCGTCTTCGTCCATCAAATGGTACCACAAGTCACGGGTCTCCTTGGGCCCGCTCCGAATCCTATGACCAGCATTCTGGCCGCCAAAGCGTCGCAGTCGGTCAGTGACTTCGTTTAAGCCCGGTATCATGTTGAAAGTTGGGGCAATCCAGTTGACGTGGGCAAGAATTGAGGTGGCCCTGGTCAAATCAACTCTCTGTAACATAAAAAAGACAAATCCGACACGTACTTGACGCCAAGTCGGATGATACCCCACATCCCTTCCTTGTCGCATCCATCAACTAACATGTTGAAACCGCGTCCAAAGGCCATATCACCCATAAAATCAAACGTGAGGTAGCTTATCCATTCACTGATGTCGAGTTCGGCCTTGGGGGACTTCGCAATTTCATCGAGGCGGTCCAGCAATTGTTGAAGTCGGATAGCAAGAAAGTCTTCATAGCCGCGCAACGACTCGGACGACATGCCACGATTCCAAATGCGGCGTCGATTGTCATGCATCTCACCCCTGAGGTTGATGATGCTTTTTGAGGGCAAAGTCATGTCAGAGAAGGGTTCGTAGTCTATTCAGCAGTTTAGTGGGAGAAGGCAAGTGCCCACAGGCGAAGACTCACATGATCCTTTCTGCAGTCCACCAGTGCCCAAAACACTTCGCACGGCGTCGGCATTGACGATGCTGACCTCGTTGGGGCCCATTCTCACCACGTCTCCGTAGCGATCATGCTGCTCCTTCAGAAATCGAGCCCGGTTACCACTGAGTGCTAGCTTGACGCCCCACCACTTCGATACTTTGGCTAGAGTAGGACCAGGAATATGAGCAAGTGGATGCCACGGAGAGAGCCGATAAGCGATGATAGAGGTTGACAGTGTACCAATGAAAGTTATAGTAATCAAAAGAACGCTGGAGAAGGAAAGGGAACCATAGATGAGGTAGGTCAACACAACAGGTTGCGCAATGAGGAAGAATAATGGCGTATGAGCATTATTCGCCTCATGATGCTTGAAGTAAGCGTGGTTAGCCTGCGGTTGATGAGCAAGTCCCGTTGGAAGCAAGCAAAGACGAACAAAACCCAGCAATACAGCTGGTACCAAAAGTTCTGTTGGTGCCATGATGGGGTTGGTATCCCTGCAGTGGGTTTAAATACTCAGTGCTCGCCTTAGTCGAGCTTTCCAAGAAGCTAGTGGCTTGCGGTGAAAAAACGGCAGAGGTCGATGGCATACTGTTGTCGACCGCTGAAATCGCGACATCGACTCCGCTCTTCAGTCGACTCTAGAAAGGGCCGAACTGAGACGGAAATAATGAGGTATAAGAACCATATACTTACGAGCCGCATTTAAGACGAACAAGGAGTAGAAATCTGAGGCAATATTATTATCGCATATCAGGGAGCGTGAGGACCTACTTAGTCAGTTGGGCTTGAATATTCGGCGTGTGTTGAACTGGTTGAGGCGCTTGAAGAACCTGACCAGTCGGCTTAAGAGCGCAAGTTATCCAAGAACCTTCAAGTTGAACGGTTCTTGGCTGAGATGCCTCGCTTAATAATCGCTTCGTCAGCACACCACAAGGACTCGAGCAGTGAAAAGAGTGTGATGAGAGTCGATGGGCTCAGCTCATTGCCACTAACTGGAAACATTCTCTCATATTAATCCTTAGTTCCGCCTAGTTATGTGTACAAGGAGCTTTTCGGCTTCCGTTACGTAGTAATCACCCAAAGACTCGTCCCACCCAGTCGTTTGCAGCGGTGTGCCGTTCTTCGCAAACTCAAAATTATATCGTCTAAACAACGCACTCGCGACCATGATAAGTTCGCGCCAAGCAAGGTGCTTGGCAGCGCAGTTGGCAGCTCCATAAGAGAATGCGAGGAAGGTGTTGTGGTTGAGGATTTCCTTGGAGGGGTCCCCGTCCGTTTCTGATGAAACGCGAAGCCAACGCTCGGGGTCGAATTCATCTGGCGCAGGGAAATAATGTTTGGGTGACCGATGGATAGCATAAGGGGGGAGGAATATTTGGGTGTGTTCAGGGATGTGTTGACCGGCGATAAACCGTGATTCCCCGATTGGGACTTGGCGAGGACCGCCGCTACCGACAGGCGGGTAAAGCCGGAGCGATTCGTGGAAGCAGGCTGTAAGGAGCTTGAGTTCTCCGTGTTTCTCCGAGTCAAAGACAGTCTGCGGGTCGGAATAAACGCTATCGACCTCTATTTGGACCCTTGCGTAGATATCTGGATGAGTCAGCATACACCATATGAATGCACTGAGGGCAACACTCGATGCGTCGGATCCGGCAACGACAGTAAACACGCCATCGACAAGTACCTCAGGTAAAGTTGGCTTGACCCTCTCATGGCCATCTTCGTCCATCAAGTGATACCACAAGTCACGAATTTCTTTTGGCCCGCTCTTGACCCGACGCCGAGCGTTGTCACTGCCAAAACGTCGGAGTCGTTCAGTGGTCTCGTTCAGACCCGGTATCATGTTGAAAGTCGGTACAATCCAGTGAACATGGGCAAGAATTGAAGTAGCTCTAACCAAATTAACTCTCTGGAACCAGAAAAGGATCGAACACCTACTTGACGCCAAGTCTAATGACACCCCACATCCCGTCTTTGTCGCCTCCATCGAGTAGCATGTTGAAGCCGCCTCCAAAAGCCATGTCACCCATGAAATCAAATGTCAAGTAGCTTATCCATTCATTGATGTCAAGCTCGGCCTGGGGAGTCTTCGCAATTTCATCCAGACGATCCAACAGTTGTCGAAGTCGGATGGCGAGAATGCTCTCATAACCACGTAGTGACTCAGAAGACATGCCGCGATTCCAGATGCGACGCCGATTATCATGCAGTTCGCCCTTCAGGTTGAGAATACTCTTGGACGGCAAAGTCGCATCGGAGAAAGGTTCATAGTCTACATGCCACGATTAGTTGGAGAAGGGGAAATACACCAAGACTTACATGACCCTTTCTGCAGTCCACCGGTGCCCAAGATAGATCGTATGGCATCGGCATTGACGATGCTGACCTCATTGGGTCCAATCCTTATGACGTTTCCGTAGCGATCGTGCTGTTCCTTGAGGAATCGAGCCCGGTTTCCACTAATCGCCAGCTTTACCCCCCACCACTTAGAAACCTTCGCTAGGGTAGGACCAGGAATATGGGCAAGCGGATGCCATGGCGAGAGACGGTAAGCGACGATGGAGATCGAAAGTGTGCCAATGAACGTCGCTGCAGTCAGGAGTACGTTAGCAACGGAAAGGGAGCCAGAGACGAGGCAAGTCAGCGCAAAGGGCTGTGTAATGAGGAAGAGCAGCGTCGTATGAGCATTATCCGGCTCATGCCGCTTGAAATAAGCGTGGTTCACCTATATCTGATAAGCGAGCGTCGAGTTCGAAGCAAGAGACGAACGAAACCAAGCAATCCAGCCGATATCAAAAGTTCTGCTGCTACCATGGTAGGGATTAGGGTGTCAGCGCGGAGCTTAAGTAGTACTCGGTGCTTAGGTCGAATGCACGAGCTTTTGCTTATGTCGACTTGCTGTATCTTCAGTCATCGGCGAGAAGCCAGTGGCCTTGCTCTGTTTGTGCCGAGGCTAGTGGTAAAAGAAGCCAGGGTAATACTATTCAAGTGTAAGACAAGGTTGTGTGGCTTTCTGGCCGCTGAAATGGCGATCGAGAAGAGCGACCGAAGGTTATTGTTATTAAGGACCGGATCGAACCAGTCATTGGCGGAAACGGAAACAAGGAAGGGCGGACATCATCTCTCAGAGCTGGATTTCACGAGTCGTATGGTTTGTAGACTGACGCCACAAATAAAAGAAATGACTTTCAAGTTATCTGCAGCGTATTGAGCCAGACGCATATCGGACTTGGAGGTGGTAAGGACCTGCTTACTACAGTAGCACTAGATATGAATGCACCGCAAATCGAGAAACTTGTTGGTTACTTGGACATTATCTGGTGGCCACAGACGTTGAGGCGCCGTATTAAATAGTTGGCCTGAGAGCGCAAGTAGATTAGTGATCAGAGGTTCATGGCGGTCTCTGCCGTTGCTCGGGATGGTGCAAGCAGCAGCAGAGTCTCTATATCAATGACGGTGGACTTCTTGTTCCAACTTTTGACGACCATTCTTGTGGTATGTACGCGCCAATCGATTTGAGGCTTCCAAAAGCGTGGTTATCTTCATCCAAGCCAAATGGCGCACCTTTCATCCATTCTACTGTCCGATGGAATTCGTTGTTGGTCAAGCCTACTTCGCTTATGTAACATCAAATATAATCATCTTGTCAACATCGAATATTTTCCACTGGGATCATTCGGAAGGCTACCAACGAGCATAAAAGTTTGATGATAAAACATACCGAACACGACCTTACTTGCTTCTGACTGGGTCAAAGACTCAAACAAGCAAGGATAATCTTTCATGCTTGCATAATGCGTCTCGAAATCTAGCACTACTCCCATCCATTGACACCGCTCGAATTTTGTGCACCTTGTTTGCACCTAGGTATCAGCTGCGCCAAGAGCCGCGCAAAAACTTGAACTGGCGAGCTTATTTAGTAATCCCAGTTCTAGCAAAAAATGGAGTGCAGATCTGATGAAAATTGAATTTTTTTTGGTATTAGAGCGACGGAAATGTTTGAACGTGACGATTTCATTAGCCGCCTAATTCTGTCTATGTTGTTGTAGTACTAATCCCGCCTAGTTATGTGTACAAGGAGCTTTTCGGCTTCCGTTACGTAGTAATCACCCAACGACTCGTCCCATCGAGTCGTTTGCAGCGGTGTACCACTCTTCGCAAACTCGAAATTATATCGTCTGAACAACGCACTGGCAACCATGATAATTTCGCGCCAAGCAAGGTGCTTAGCAGCGCAGTTGGCAGCTCCATAAGAGAATGCGAGGAAGGTGTTATGGTTGAGGATTTCCTTTGAGTTATCTGCATCTGTTTCCGATGAAGCACGGAGCCAACGCTCAGGGTCGAAGGTGTCTGGGGCAGGGAAGTAATGCTTGGGTGACCGTTGAATGGCATATGGGGGAAGGAATATCTGAGTGTGTTCAGGGATGTATTGACCAGCGACAATTCTCGATTCGCCGATTGGGACTTGGCGGGGTCCACCGCTGGCAACAGGCGGGAAAAGCCGGAGGGACTCGTGGAAGCAGGCCGTAAGGAGCTTAAGTTCTCCGTGTTTCTCTGAGTCGAAGAGAGTTTGCGGGTCAGGATAAACGCTGTCGACCTCGGCTTGCACCCGTGCATAGATGTCTGGATGAGTCAGCATGCACCACATAAAGGCATTGAGGGCGCCGCTTGATGTGTCCGATCCCGCCACGATTGCAAACACCCCGTCGACAAGCACTTCTGGCAGCGTGGGTTTCACCTTTTCGTGGCTGTCTTCGTCCATCAGATGATACCACAAGTCACGAGTTTCTTTTGGCCCGCTCTTGATCCTACGACCAGCATTCTCACTGCCAAAGCGTCGAAGTCGGTCCGTAATTTCGTTGAGACCTGGTATCATGTTGAAAGTGGGAACGATCCAGTTAACATGGGCGAGAATTGAGGTGGCTCTAAAGATAATGAGTCGGCAGCAGGAGCCAGGATAGCAAGCATGCGCGTACTTGACACCAAGCTTGATAACACCCCACATTCCGTCCTTATCGCCGCCATCGAGGAGCATATTAAAGCCACCCCCAAATGCCATATCGCCCATAAAGTCGAACGTCAAGTAGCTTATCCATTCGCTGATGTCAAGCTCGGCCTTGGGGGTCTTGGCAATTTCATCGAGACGGTCCAGCAGTTGTTCAAGTCGGATAGCAAGAATGCCTTCATAACCGCGAAGCGATTCAGACGACATACCGCGATTCCATATACGGCGTCGATTATCATGCATGTCCCCTTTAAGGTTGACGATACTTTTCGAAGGCAGAGTTGCATCAGAAAATGGCTCATAGTCTACTAATATTAGGAACGAGGCGTGAAAGGACAAACATTACTCACATGACCCCTTCTGAAGCCCGCCGGTGCCCAGAATAGACCGCACAGCGTCCGCATGGACGATGCTGACCTCGTTGGGTCCCATTCTGATGACATCTCCGTAGCGATCATGCTGTTCCTTCATGAATCGAGCACGATTTCCGCTGATCGCCAGCTTGACCCCCCACCATTTGGATACTTTGGCCAGCATAGGACCAGGAATATGGGCAAGTGGATGCCATGGAGAGAGTCGATAGGCGACTATGGAGGTCGAAAGTGTTCCGATGAACGTTGCTGTAGCCAGGAGGATATTAGAAACAGAAAGCGAGCCAGAGACGAGGTAAGTCAACCCCAACGGTTGTGCGATAAGGAAGAAGAGCGGTGTATGGGCATTTGTTGGTTCATAACGCTTGAAATAAACATGGTTGGCCTATAGCTACTGTCAATGTGCTGAAATTTTGAAGCAAGTGGAAGACGAACGAGACCCAGTAATACAGCTGGTACCAAAAGTTCTGTTGGTGCCATGATGGATGCAATTGTTGTGCCTGCACTTGGTTTAAGTATCAGAGGTTTGCCGTGGTCGACAACGAGTTTCTGTTTTGCGTGAGATTGCTATGGCTCCAACACTCGGGCAGAAGCTAGTCGTGTTCGGTGGCCTTTCCATATCTGGGCCGAGGTTAAGGGCGAAAGAGCGGCAAGGGCGATCATATTTCGGGAAAAGACAGCGTAATAAGGCGAGAGAAGCACCGCCAGCCCGAGAGACTGCCCGAAAGTAGTACCGTGACCGTGTGGCTATGGATCTCTATCAGTCGACGCCGCTGCCTGACGAGCACTTTGCGGATGGACCATTGTCTAGGTGGCCGGGAACGGAAGCTAAACGGAAACAAGGAATCATCGCTTGTAATGTCTGGGCCAGATTTTGAGCACGGTCAAATTTGCCTCGACTCCGAAGTGCAAGGGTATGATTATCTGCACCGACGATAAGGTCAGAGCTTGAGCTTGAAAGAAGGTACTTCAAGGCAAGTGAGGCTCAAACCACTCTCAAACTTGAAACCACCGCCTTTTGGCTGATTGGATGAGTTTACTTGCAGTTTCACGTGGACCTCCATCGTTGCTCTGGTTGTTATGTTGAAATATTGGCCTGTTTTGAATTCATTTGCTAGACCATCAAGCGTGAATGTGTTCGTTGGTGGTCAAGCTTTGGTCAAGCTTCAGGTTCGATAAAGTGATGCATGATGTCATCTTGATCCGATCATCATTGATCGGATTACATCCTTTCGACCTGCCGAGCAACTTCAAAACGTCGTCGCAGCCCTCTGCTTCCACTAGCCGTTCCGGGGGCGAGGAATACGAAATGAGAAGCACTGCTGGGTCTTCTAAGCCGCACGACTATACGGAGGGAGCCTCAGCAATAGACATCGACACGGTCATTACGAACAACCGCCGTTCGCGACACGACTCGCAGTTCAGCTCGCTCTATGACCAGGATGGAGAAGGGTCCATGTTCAGGTGCGAGGAGGTGCTGTTTCCTTCAAGCCTTGTTCTTATGTCAATACTCAGTGGACCAGGGCATGTAGCCAATCCAAGCAGGTCTGAACGTGTTAACTTACCTTGCATATGGATATCCAAATGATGCGCTCTCTCTCAGTGTATCTCGGATGTCAAACTTGGACCCTGCGCGGCGTAGTACTGGAAGCTTTCGACGTAAGAGCTTTGACTCGGTTCGTGGGCGACCCAGTCGTAGGAATAGCACCGATACCCAGCTATCAAGGCAAAGTACAGATGTTGAAGAGTATCCTGAGAGTGAACAAGACTCGCCATTGCGACCACAAAGGGAAGACACGTCATCTCCTTCTCGCTCCGGTGTTTTCGATAACATTGCGAGTTTATTCTCCCGCCCGGCCCACAACGAACCGACCACCAGCCGTCGTCGCCATTCCTTGTCACACAGATCCTCCGGGTCCATAAGCAGATACTCCAGAAGAAGCAGGCACTCTCGCGCTGGTTCAGAACTCGACGATGACGATGTGGGTAGTGAAGAACGCTGGGGTTATTCCGAAGGAGAGGACATTTCAGACGACGATTCACGCTCTGTCGACACTGGTCTATCAATACCAGCCAGTATGCAATATGACTCTGGTCCACCTTCGCCCAACACTGGTCAAGGCCTACCACTGTTAGCATCTGATCAGATTTTTGCTGGCGAAACGCGAATAGACATGGACATGTCATTCACGCTGCTTGATCAGCCTCCTCCTGGCCTCCCCAGCCGACAAACGCTATATATCCCAGACGAAGACAACACTATTCGTTTCGTTGGTTATGAAATTATTCGATGGCGGCATTGGGCCTGGCGATTTGGCTGCATTGTTACCATCGGAGCGCTCGGTTTGTTGGGACACTGGTTCCCGCGGCTATGGCTGGGTTGGGTAGCTAGGGAAAGGGCATTCAAAGAAGCACACAATGGCTTTGTAGTGGTCGAGGTTGGTCTCAAATATTCGAAAGTTTCTCGAATTAAAATTTCCTTTTCCAGTCAGCACACCGAGACATAACATTATTTCGCATTCAGGCTTTGAAGTATCCATACCCAATTTCAAGCGTCTTCCGGCCTACAATAGACTCTTCTGACACGGAACAACTGGACCATCTAACAATTGTTGACTATCGTTATAACCGCTTTGCACTGGATCCCAGGACCGGACTTTTTAGCATTATCCGGTGCGCGTTTTCGTGTAAGCTAACCATCGAATAACCTGCAATCATAGTGATTGGCGCGATCCCTCTTCCAATGCTCCTACACGGGGCATCGAAAGCTCTGTCCGCCAACAACGATTAACACTATTCGGCAAGAATGAGGTTGATATAGAGGGAAAATCGACTATCGCTTTGCTTATTGACGAGGTACTTGACCAGCACGGCTCCAGGCTCCGCCTCAAAACGTTGTTAGGTCATACATCCTTTCTACGTTTTCCAAATCGCAAGCATATTGCTCTGGTCTTTGGACAATTACTTTTACTATGCTTTTTGCATCTTCCTGATTTCGGTGATCTCGATAACAACCACATTAGTCGAAACAAAAAAGGTACTCGCGTTAAGGGAAACAGTCAGAGATGCTTACCACACTCTGTAGACAATTTCTCGTATGAGAGAAATGTCCCGTTTTTCTTGCGACGTGGAAGTTTTCCTCGATGGGCAATGTATGTCGTCAAATATTTACCTGCTTTTGGTGGCTTATAATCGTAGGGGCGACCCGAGACTCTTCTCAACTCGTGCCTGGGGATGTAGTCAACATTTCAGGCTCTCAACTCTCCCTTATACCAGCGGACATGTTCCTCCTCTCCGGAGACGCGATTGTCAATGAAAGCATGCTGACTGGAGAGAGTGTACCCGTAAGTAAGGTACCTGCTAAGGAGGAGGATCTTGCTCGATGGCGGGACGGCAAAAGTGAGGGCCCAAAATGCTTTCTATATGCTGGTACACGTGTTGTTCGGATTCGAGGAACCTTTTCGTCTGACAATAGTTTAACCCAACCCGCGCTCGCATTGGTAGCCAGAACAGGTGGGTACCAAAGAATCTGTGGGTGCTCCTGTCTAACCATGTTGATGAAGGCTTCAATACGACAAAGGGAGCCTTGATACGGTCGATGCTGTATCCGAAGCCAATCGGGTTCAAGTTCTACCGAGACTCTGTCAGATTTATTGGGGTGTTGGCAGGAATTGCGGGCCTTGGTTTTTGCTTTAGCGCTGTGCAATTCGTACGAATCGGGGTGGGTTTTTTTTTTTTTGTTATTGATGTTTTCTTGTTATCTCATCTTATCTGTGCAGATCCAATGGCAAACGATCATTATCCGTGCCCTCGATCTAATCACAGTTGTCGTTCCACCAGCACTACCGGCCACACTCTCGATTGGTACCAGTTTTGCGATTGGGCGTTTGCGGAAGAACGGAGTATTTTGCATTTCCCCAAGTCGCGTCAACGTAGGCGGGAAGGTCAATGTTTGCTGCTTCGACAAGACGGGTACATTGACCGAGGATGGTCTCGATATTCTCGGCGTGCGTTCGCTGGATCGCCATGAACCGCGATTTGGGGAGCTGTTGGAGGATATCCACGACTTGCCCTTGGGCACTAATAAAGCCACATTTCTTCATGCTTTAGCAACTTGCCACTCTCTGAAGATGGTTGACGGCCAAGTTATCGGTGACCCTTTGGATGTCAAGATGTTCGAGTTTACCCGATGGACGTTGGAAGAAGGGAGAATCTCCGGAACAGGCGCCATCAAAGCAAAATCTGGGACCATCATCGAGCAAACAGCGCTGGTCCAGACTGTCGTTAGGCCGCCAGGAAGCGCTCAGTTCAAGTTGGAGGATGCGTTGAAAGGCGCTGCCAAGGTGACCAGCAACCTTTTGCGTGCTCCAAATGCTGAATATGTGTAGCATGCACACTTTCTGGAACTCGGCGTCATAAGAACCTTTGACTTTATCTCCGCTTTGCGCCGAATGAGTGTAGTGGTGAAGCGGCTGAAGAGTTCAAGTATGGAGATCTATGTGAAAGGTGCTCCTGAGGTCATGACAGAGATCTGTGATCCCGAGAGTCGTGAGTTCCTTCAAGTGTTTACCACTGTGACTCTGTTGACCACGTGTAGTCCCTCAAGACTATGATGACATCTTATCATACTACACCAAACGCGGATACAGAGTCATCGCAATTGCAGGGGAAAAGTATCGAGGGCTTATCCTGGCTCAAAGCCCAACGAATGAAACGAGAACAAGCCGAATCAGGTCTACGCTTCTTGGGGCTTGTTATCTTCGAGAACAAGCTCAAGCCTGGAACTGCCCTTGCTATTGCGGCTCTGCGTTCAGCTCATCTTGCGTGCAGAATGATCACTGGCGATAACCCCCTCACTGCTGTAAGTGTTGCAAGGGAGTGCGGGTTGATCAATCCCGCTGCTCATGTTTTTGCGCCAGTATTCATTCAAGGTCAGTCCAGTGTACTTGATGAAAACTTGAGTCTCCCTGATAATATAATAGGCAACGAGACCACACCAGCATCGATAGTAGAGTGGTCTTCGATGGACGAGCCTACCTGGAAATTGGATGAGTATACTCTCAAGCCGTTAACCGCTCCATTGCATACCATTGAGGACGACGAACTCGACTATTCGCTAGTCATCAGCGGAGACATCTTTCGATGGTTCATCAGCTATGCGCCGTTGGAGACGTTACAAAGGATGCTTGTCAAAACTCAGATATTCGCGCGAATGTCACCAGACGAGAAAAACGAGGTGGTGGAACGGTTGCAAGCCCTGGGTTACACTGTGCTTATGTGTGGGGATGGTGCCAACGACTGTGCTGCTCTCAAGGCTGCTGATGTCGGAATATCACTCTCGGAGGCTGAGGCGAGTGTTGCTGCCCCGTTCACCTCCAATACGCCAGATATTGGTTGTGTTCTTGAGCTGATAAGAGAGGGTCGAGCTGCGTTGGTAACGAGCTTTAGCTGCTTCAAATATATGCAGGTATCCGTTTTTCCGTCTGGGCAATGCTCATTCCGATGCAGGGCGCTCTACTCGATGATTCAGTTTACGACCGTCACGCTCTTATACTCGTTTGCATCATCTTTGGGTGATTTCCAGGCAAGTTCTCCCGAGTCCCGATCTCCAGCGTACCAACTGAGGGTGTTGATGGTAGTTTCTTTATATCGACTTGTTCGTTATCATCCCGGTTGCGGTGACCAGTGAGTTTATGGGAAATTTTGCCACCAACAATTTATTTATAGCATTATTCTCAGTGGGCCGAACACTCCCGTACCCAAAAATCCATCCAAAACGGCCCACTGCGAGTCTCGTTTCGAAGAAGGTGCTTGCGAGTTTGATTGGACAAATCGCGATCACGAGTGGGATCCAAATATGGGGTTATTTTTGGGTGAGGGGACAGTCCTGGTGAGTCGACGCGTGCGGTTGTCGTCGAGAAAGGTTTTGATATTCTGTTCGGCAGGTATACCCCGCCACCAGAGCCTGATCCGACATCAGAAAGTCACCAGCTTGAGTCGACCAATTTCGAGAACACGACGCTGTTTTTGTTGTCTTGCTTCCAGTATGTGCTTGTGGCGGCTGTCTTCAGTATCGGACCGCCTTATCGCAAGTCAATGTGGACGAATGGTGGGTGGCAAGCAGTTGGCTGTTGTTAGGTGCTGATCATGACGGGTGTTGTCTTAGGCTGGCTGATGGGTTCGCTCGGCGCATTGACTGCGCTCAACACGCTCGTCTTGCTGGCTCCTCCTGTTGGCATTGCGGATCTGCTTTCATTGATGCCCCTTCCTTTCCAAGCCCGAAGTGTTTTACTTTATGCGTCAGTGGCAAATGCGGTGTTGAGCTTGGTGTTTGAGAATTATCTGGCCGGGATGTTGGCAGCAACTGCTGGGAGGATTGGGAAGATTTCACGGCACTGGGGACATGGACGGAGTGGTTACAAGTCTTTGTTGTTACAGGATGGGCCTCGACCGGCCGGCTGATTGGCAGCAGAAATAAGAGCGGGTGCATCATATTTGCCTTAGTGACCGAAGTCACGGTCGCTTTGCTCTCTCCCTCCACCAGATTGTTCTTTTTTCTCATCTTGCCCTGTGGGCCCCTTCCTATCTTTTAAACCTCCCCGTTCAAGTTCAGGAACTCGCCAAATCCCGAGAATACCGCAGGCGGCTCGTTTTGCCCGACAAGCCTCCACGCCATGTTTGGTCTCCGCACACTCGCCCTCTTATTTCTGCTCCAAACTGCTGTAAATGCAGCCCCGCTCGTCGTCGAAAGACAAGACAATAATGGAATTACAACCCTCATGACCCAGTCCACTACTACTACGTGCGCAAATCTATCCTGTTGCCACCGAGTGAGCTAATCTTGGAAACCTAGGCCTTCCGGCCCAATGACCCAGACGTGTGTTATCACGCTGACCCCGATTACGGACAAGGACGGGAAACCCGCTGTTCAACAAGTGAAAACATGTACAACCACCAAGGGCGTCCCTTCTAACAACGGCTCGTCAAATACCCCTCCCCAGTCCGGGGGGTCGTCCAGCTCGAATGATGACAAGAACAAGAATGGCTCCAACGATGGCAGCAATTCTTCGAGTAACCCGTCTACTACATCTGGATCTGGAGGGGGAGGTGATGGTGGCGGTGGTAACAGCGCTTCCTCTTCTGCTGCCCCCAGTTCCTCTCCTTCGGCCAGTTCAGCGCCGGGAGCCGGTGGTGAAGGAGGGGGAGCTGCAGCGGTCTCTGCCAACGTGCGCCACTACAACCTTTTTTTTTACAATTTTATTGACTTGCTTTATCTAGCCCGTTTCAACTATCGATAGACCGCCTCAAACGGGTCCGGTTGCTGGAGCCCCTGCAACGACTAGTGCGCCTGCTCAAGCTGGCCCTGCTCAGACTAGCTCCGCACCATCCACTTCCGCCACTTCACCACCCCAAGCGGCAGCGGCAGAACAAGCATCGTCGTCACCGTCAGCCTTCTCTGTTCCAGGCCAGAAGATCCAAGTGTTGCCAATTGGTTTGGGAGTGTTTGCCGGAATTTCAGTCATCGCTTTGATCGTCGTTGGTCTCGTCACATACGAACGCACGAAATACCGCAAGGCGTTCAGGGCACGCAAGCTGGCAGAGGCCGGAGCGGGTATGGGCTACGGTGGCATGGCGTAAGCAGTCCCTGTTTTTGCAGCGGTTTCTAGCGAACTAACCTAAACCACCAGGCAACGCTAAATCGGAGGCTCTGTTTATCTCCATAGCTAGTGATATTTCAAGTTGACTTCTTGATCCATTATTATACCTGCATGGTTGCCCTGGCTGAGGTTTTGTACTAATAGTTGCGCAGGGACAAGTCGTGGTGACCCTATATGGATATTCTATCGTACATACTTTCTTTTTTTTCTTCCTTTTTTCGATTCTTTACGACTGGATGGTGGGCAAATCTGCGAATAAATTCGCCGTAGAGCTATCTCGAGTGCCAAAGTGTGACACCCGGCGTGACATTCCAACTCGTCTAGACGCCGCGTCGCCCAAAAAATGTCGCTGCAAACGCTGAATCCCAAAGCCGAGAGCATTCGTCGGGCAGCTGCACTGCAGGTAAAATAACACCTTACATTCATGCTTTCCATCCTCATCGTTGCAGGTCAACACGAATGGCGCGATGGGTCTGGCCAAGGTCGTCAATACCAACCTCGGTGCGCGTTAATTCAACGAGAGAAAAAAGAACTCAAACAGCTTTATAGGTCCGCGAGGGTCATACAAAATGCTAGTTGATGGGTCGGGCCAGATAAAGATAACGAAGGACGGGAAAGTGCTGCTCTCCGAAATGCAGATCCAAAACCCAACGGCGGCGATGATCGCGAAGACGGCGGTGGCGCAGGATGACCAGGTCGGCGATGGGACGACGAGTGTGGTGCTTCTCGTTGGGGAGCTGCTCAAGCAGGCAGATCGGTATACCTCGGAGGGAGTCCATCCAACTGTAATCGCGGAGGGCTTTGATCTGGCCAAAAAAGAGGCGTTGGCGGTGAGTTTGCTCTTCGCGGCCCTTACAGTGAAACTGGTCTTATCCCTCTTTTTTTTTAGTTCCTTGAAACTTTCAAGCAGGGCATCAAGCTTGACCGTGCTACCCTCATCAATGTCGCCAATACCTCGCTGGCGACAAAACTTAACGCGCCGCTCGCGAAACAACTTGCGGCAGACGTGGTCGACGCCGTCACCACCATCCGGCCCCCGCCACCACCGAAAGGTGCGACTTGTCTTTAGTTATACTCTGAGTTGACTTGTTTGCAGATGCTGCTGACCAGTGGCGGGATCCGATAGACTTGCACATGGTGGAGATCATGAAAATGCAACATCGGACAGCATCGGAGACACAGCTCATCCAAGGCCTTGTTCTAGATCACGGCGCGAGGCATCCCGACATGCCCAAACGACTGGAAAACGCGTTTATCCTCACTCTCAACGTCAGTCTCGAATACGAGAAGACGTGCGTCTGTTTGTTCTTGTTAACAAGGCTATTGACACACGGGCAGCGAGGTTAATTCTGGGTTCTTCTATTCCTCCGCAGAGCAGCGGGAAAAGCTGGTTGAAGCGGAGCGCCGCGTCGTCGACCAGAAGGTCAAGAAGATAGTCGAGTTGAAGAACCTTGTCTGCGATCAAGCGGTCGAGAGTAAGGAGAAGCGTAAAACCTTCGTGGTCGTCAACCAGAAGGGTATTGACCCGCTCAGTCTCGACATCCTCGCCAAAAATGGGATATTCGCCGTCCGCCGCGCCAAGCGACGCAACATGGAACGGTTGGTGCTCTTTTTTTTCCAGCTATTGTTCTGGCTAACAGTTTTTCCAGTCTGCAACTCATCGCTGGCGGCATCGCACAAAACTCTGTTGACGATCTGACGCCCTCCATCCTGGGCTGGGCGGGCCTCGTATACGAACACACCCTCGGCGAGGAAAAATATACCTTCATTGAAAAAGTCAAGCAGCCCAAATCGGTCACGCTGCTCATCAAGGGCCCGAATGCCCACACAACGACCCAGATTCAAGAAGCGCTGCGTGACGGGCTGCGGGCAGTAAAGAACGCGCTTGAAGACGAGTCGCTTGTGCCTGGCGCGGGCGCATTCGAAATTGCCTGTGCTGCCCATCTTGTAGAGAAGGTGAAGAAGAAGGCAAAGGGGCGGGTCCAGATGGGTGTACAAGCATTCGCGGACGCGTTACTGATAATACCGAAAACGCTCGCCCAAAACGCTAACCACGATGTTCAAAGCGCCATCGTCGCCCTCCAGGTGCGTAAAGTCACTTTTTTTTTGAATTGTAACAAATCACTCAACTGCTCAAAGGACGAGCACTCGGACGGCAACATCGTTGGCATTGATCTTGCCACGGGTGAGCCCTTTGACCCCACAGTCGAGGGTATATGGGACAATTACCGTGTAAAGCGGCAGATGCTCCATTCATGGTAAGTGGCTGTTGTGCTCTTTGTTGGTTTACCCTGGGCTTATTTTTTTTCCGACCAGTTCGGTCATCGCCGTCAACCTCTTGTCGACTGACGAGATTTTACGAGCAGGGCGAAGTTCACTCAAGGCGGACGGGCCAGGGCCACAATAGAAATATTATGTTAATTCGTAGCCTTTTTCTTTCATTTCATTAATAATGCGCCAAGAAAACACACAGATTACAGTGAAAATACAGAGGTAATAAAAAAAGTGGTATTCTACAAATACATAATCGTTAACAGTCCGAGTCGGAACTTATCGTTAGAGGCGACTCTTCCCTTTGAGGCAAACGTGACAACTAGGAAATTTGGCATCAGACAGTTGTGGATGAAAAACTAAAAGAGACGCACGCTTTTGGTCTTCAGGTCACCAACCAACAACGGCGACGAGACCCGATGAAGGCGAGGTAGTGGTGAGGCGTCACTATCGGTCAAGAAGGGAGAGCATGGCGGGGTTTGGTGTGTGGCGCCGGGAATCGTGGCTGGAGAAATACTTTCCGTCGAAGAGATGGAGATTGGGGAGAGAATTCGACGAATTGGGCTGGCTGGAGCCCTTGCGAATGGATCTGCAGTAGGCTGCTGTGTTGTGGTCGGCCTCTCATCAATATCAGATAAATCGCTCAGAGGAGAAGGGCTCTTTTTCTCCTCCAACGCCCAGCGCCGCCGTGCAAACGAGAACGGACTCGGCTTGAGCATACTATTCACCGTCTTGATTGACACATGAACAATTTCCTCGTCTTCTGGAGTATCAGGAGGATGCTCATCTTCTGACGAAGAGGCGGTCGAAAGAAGCGGACTTGCCCACGCGTGCAACGCATAGGCGAGTGGATTTGGCCGGGAAAATAGCGACCCGCCACGGAAACCGGAGTTCGGCCGGGGGACAACTTTTTGTAACAATGTCGGGGCTTCGTCGTCAGCGCGAGCGACTTTCCGTTTGGCAGTCTCCTCGGTGTCATCGAGTTCAGCACTTGATCGCTTACGTCCACTCAGCCCCGCCGGTTCGGTGTCTTCCGCTTCTGCCTGATCCTTTCGTTCCAACCATTGTCGAACTTTTTCACGCTCCTCTGCTCGTTGTGCCCGCGAAAGTGTTGGCTGGGGAGCGGGGACGACCGGTTTTGCCCGAGGTTTGGGAGGCGATTTCTGAACTTTGGGTGGTGGTGGAGGAAGCTCGTCATTGCTACTGCTATCATCGCTGTCGTCGTCACTGCTCACTGTACTTGGTGAACGTGCTCTTTGTTGACTCGATGCAGCTTTAGGCGCCGAAAGGCTCTGGCGACCGCTAGTGTCTTTCTGGGGTGTCTCAACGCGAGAGTTGGGTTCAGTCTTGCGGCGTTTGGCAGGTCGATTGTCCTCCTTGTCGTTCTTGCGCTTGGATGACGATGCGGCAGCCGCCTCAGCCAACTTCTTGTCAAGAACGGATAAAGCCTTCTTGTTGGCTTTACGAGAAGAAGACTCCGCTGGCGTTGCATCCTCACGAGGCGTTGGAAGAGTATACGTCGGTCCGTCAGGAGACACCCGACATGGCCAGGGTTCTCCATAGATCTCCAAATGACGCAAACACCTAGAAAAATAGCATTTTTAGTACGCGCCAAAGATACCAGCTGTCGGCAATACCTTGGACATTGCTGCTTCTTCTTCTTCCCGCTTGTCTCGAGACCCCAAACAACTTGGGAATCGACGGAGATGACAGGAAGGATGTTCGAGCAAGTTGAACAAATGGGCAAGAATTTGCCATCTGGACCTCTGGGCGGCTGGGGCTTTGCGGAGGGTTCCTTGGATGGCTCGGCAACGGCAGGTAAAGAGGGACGGCCACGAAGTATCCGTGGCGGTTCGGTTTCTTCCTTCTTGATATTGACCATCTCCTTTTCTTTTCCCTTCTTTGACACTGTTGGCACAGGGGTAGACGCAGAGGTCTTCAACTTGTTAGCATCCGCTTTCGTGGGAGAAGATTTGGCAGAAGTTGAGCGTGTGATGCGCTTGGTGGGGGTGTCCGTGTTTTCCGAGGGAGGAGGAGTGATCAATTGTTTCGCAGCGTCATCTTGAACCTTCTGGGTGCGGGTTGAGATAATAGAACGATATGCGGTTGAAGTGGATGACTGAATTGGGTCTTCGACTGACGGGAGGTCGGAGGAAGAGCGTGCAGTCAAGGCAGGGGATAGTACGGTGAGAGGGGACATGGCGGGACTGGGGGGAGTGGGTAGGGAAGATGGGCCAGCGACTGCACTCGATTGTGCTCGTGAGGGAGGGAGCGATGTCAGGTCGGAAACAATATCGACCTCCGCCACAAGAGCGATTTCGCCGTCAACAACGGTAACATGGTTGTTGGTATCGTCATCTGATTCGTCCGCCACCGGCATCGTTGCATAAACACCTCGCCTAGTCCTTCGCTCATTGAGATCCAGACGTGGCTTCGCGACACCTCCATCTGACTCGGCGCCCGATTCTGAGGAGCTGTCCGCCTCAGAATCAGAGCTCAATGGAGGGTCTTCGTCAGTGTGGTCAGGCGCATAACCACCTCTGCCCAGTCGCTCGCAGCTTTCGCATAAGCAATGCCGATTCTTCTTGCCGACTAGCGGGTCGCATGAGTGACAAGCGAAAAGAAGAGCCAGAACAACTGACAGTAGCCATCACCGTAGTGAGCTGTAATTTCTTCGCCAACAGCGATTGGTCTGAGCACCCGAAAGGTGATATATTTGCCCTCACGGAAAAGTTCACAGTTGTTGTTACAGTCGTGCTGTTGGAATGCCGAATCAGTTGACAGATGGAAAGAGACCGACGGATGCGTACGTTGACAAATCTAGCGGGCCCCAAGAAAAGATGGTTTTTCTTCATCTGTTTGGAGTGAATCACACTGAAATCCCGCCGAATGTCCGAGTTCCTCAGGTCGGTCCGCTTGAGGTCACGGTCTTCTTCGTCGGAAAGATTCGCCATGGACCCTTTCAGTTCCGTGATAACACTACCAGGAAGAAGATTGCGCGTGGCAAGAATGCAGAGTTCGGATTTGCCGGTCTTATGGGAGTAGCGCGATGTGTGTGCGATTTCAATGCAACCGGAGGGATGGTAGAGCTCGAAATAGCGAGTCGCATGGCTAATGGGCGGTTGAGCATCGACGAAAACAGTCAAAAACAGGTCACGCACGTCGCAAACGCGTTAATCTGCCTTTGGTCTGCCTGCCTGAGGTAGTAGCGGATAGAAGGGAGACTGAGGAGGAGGGTGTGAGAGGTGAACAGAAAGAGGGCACAGGTCAGGGCCACATACACGAGAAGTTGGTCGACCGACTGGCGTATGGTAAGTGATATAGGACCTTTGGTGGCCACCAGCTGCGAGTTTAAGTGAATTGAGCGCGTCAGAAAGAGGAGTGTTGAACATACGCGTCGAACAATCCTCAAAATGTCGTCTGCATTTGTCTTTGGAAGTCTTCGGGACCCATCCATTTTGTGAACGAGCAGGGGAACGGTCCCAGTCCCGAGCTTTTCCACCAACAAATGGCTGAGAAAATCATCATCCCTTGAAAGGTCCCTAGCGTTCGTCATAAGTTTTGTTGGCCTCCAGAATACGTTTCCCGGAACGTAGGAGAGCGGCGGCATTGTGGGAGTCGACAAACAACCGAATGACGACCCACCACACTGTTGTGGGCTATTCGAGGAGGTGCAGCGTCACGGGCCTTGTCTTCTCGCGATGTTTCACACAAAAAAATCGCTTAGTCATCATCAATCGGTCGTTCATGTGTATCCACTACAATACAAGGGGCTATGCAACTAGGAACATTCTACTGGCCACCACGCAAACGAAGCACTGCAACAAGGGTTATAAAAAAAGGCCACCAAGAAACAGAATTGTCAAACCTAGATGGAGGGTAGACTCCTTCTGAATGTTGTAGTCAGAGAGAGTACGACCATCTTCCAGCTGCTTGCCAGCGAAGATAAGACGCTGTTGGTCAGGTGGGATGCCCTCCTTATCCTGAATCTTGGCCTTGACATTATCAATCGTGTCCGACGATTCAACCTCGAGGGTAATGGTCTTTCCCGTGAGGGTCTTGACGAAGATTTGCATGCCACCCCGCAGACGAAGCACTAGGGAAGATTTTCATCAACTGAGGAAACACCAATGGAGTAAACTTGGGCGTACCAAGATGGAGGGTGCTCTCTTTCTGGATGTTGTAGTCCGAGAGAGTACGACCATCCTCGAGTTGCTTGCCAGCAAAAATAAGGCGCTGTTGGTCCGGAGGGATTCCTTCCTTGTCTTGGATCTTGGCTTTGACGTTGTCGATGGTGTCAGAAGACTCCACCTCCAGCGTGATGGTCTTGCCGGTGAGGGTCTTGACGAAGATCTGCATACCTCCCCTCAGACGAAGCACTAAGGCGTTCCGGTTAACAGGGCCAAAAAAAAGAGCGGGGGGGATCATACCAAGATGGAGAGTGCTTTCCTTCTGAATATTGTAGTCGGAGAGTGTACGCCCGTCTTCAAGCTGTTTGCCAGCAAAGATCAAACGCTGTTGGTCCGGGGGGATACTGATCCTAGGTATTAGAACAACGATTGAGGTGGAGCGATATGATTTACTAACCCTTCCTTATCCTGAATCTTGGCCTTGACGTTGTCAATGGTATCCGAAGACTCGACCTCAAGTGTAATCGTCTTTCCAGTCAGAGTCTTCACGAAGATTTGCATGCCTCCCCTCAAACGAAGAACTATCACGGCAGGTGAGCAAGGAAGAGATACATGTCCAAATAGACATACCAAGGTGGAGAGTGCTTTCCTTCTGAATGTTGTAGTCAGAAAGAGTGCGACCATCTTCGAGCTGTTTGCCCGCAAAGATCAGACGTTGCTGGTCAGGAGGGATGCTAAATAGCGGTCAGATATTTTCAGGAGCAAGAATGAAGGGCCATGTACCCCTCCTTGTCCTGAATCTTGGCCTTGACGTTGTCGATGGTGTCTGACGACTCGACTTCAAGGGTGATAGTCTTGCCGGTGAGGGTCTTAACGAAGATCTGCATTTGGATTACTGGTGAAGGTGGTGAGTGAGAAATACAGTTGGTGTCGTTGGCCTCACCGAGTGGTGGTTGGAGTCAAGAGAGATGATGTGACACCGGTCACCGCTGATGGCTGACTATGCTGTGATGTCTGCGCGACCACATGACAAAATTGAAAGAATGCGCGTCGCGACATGAGAACGTCTAGAAGCCGCCACTAATCCTGATACCTCCGAGTGATATTACTTATGGTACATGAATGTTACATGGTCGAATACAGATGCAATAAAGAGAAGAAGCTTGTAACCAAACCGAGGATCACCGATTGAATTGGACCTTCCTTCCAGTCTGCATGGCCAAGCTGCGTCGTCGTGCTCTAACATCTTCGGAAACCCCTGGTATCTCGCCATGCTTGACTAAGTGGTGCCAGTAAACAACGTCTCCTGGGGCGAGAGGGGGGATGATGGGCGTTTCAAAGTGTTCCATAGGCAAACCAAATGAGGGGGGACTGTGTTGAACGAGGGGAGGTAAGCTGACGGTACTCGATTCTGACGAGGCTGGAGAGGCAGCTCGCTGATAAGGGTGTGGCTTGGTTGACGGGCAGCAATTGAGCGGGATAGGCTGCCGAACTGCCGGAGAAAGAAGCGGCGACTGGTGATGGTGGGTCTGAGTCTTCGCCATCCAATGACGGGGTCTCCAAATACTCCGGACGTGAAACAGCTGCCAACGCTTGCGAATGATGTGAGGTTGCTGGAGAACGGTAGTAGACTGTGTTGTGGAGTGCCGCGGCTAAGGGGGGAGGGCTCGTCACCATGACTCCAGTCTCTTGGTGGATATAATGCCTCTCAGTCCCAACGATCTCTCTGTTGCAAGTAATTAATGGCGAGTTTGTGGAATTAGACGGGCGACGCACGCAGAATGGAAGACGAATCGATGACCATTCGTTGAGCGATTTGGGGTCGAGATTGAAGAGGTACATCGCACACAGGGCAAAACAATCGCATAACCTACAAAAGCACCACAGGTATGACAAGCGAGAGACTGGGTCAGACACTCGCAACTCCGATTATTGGGTGGCGCAGGACATGTTGAGCGGAGGGCTTGAGGGGAAGCGTAGACAGAGCAATTGACTGGGAGGGCGTCGCTGGAGTAAAGGGCTACACTAGGCCTAGATAATAATATGAACAAGCATGACGATAGACAAAAAAGAGCGAGCTACCTGAGCAACAATACCGCCTTCATCCCCCGATTTGTAAGGAAGGTCTTGCAATGAGCGCAGTCGAGGATATAAACTTTGTGCATGACGGGTGGTGGAGGGGGTTGAGGAGGGACATAAGGGTGGAGATGCGAAGACCACGAGTTCAGGTACGAACCAGAGAACATGGCAGTTGGAGGTAGAGAAACAGAGAGGGGAAGCCATTTCTGCCCATTATAGTTGAGAGCAAGCCTTCTGATGGCAGTAATTACATCTCACGCTTCCGCCTCGATGAGCAATCTCACCAACCTTACCCGTTCCCATACCGCCATCGCAGCCAAGAAACGGGCCAAAAAATCACAAATAAATGAAATTATATTCGACGAGGATGCACGCCGGGAGTTTCTAACAGGCTTTCACAAGCGGAAAGTCGCTAAAGCGGATGCGGCCCGGAAAAAAGCTGCAGAGCGAGAACGACAGGAGCGATTAGAAACCAGGAGAGAGGTGCGTGTTCAACTCATTTGGTTGAGTGATTTGCAAACGACAAAGTAGCAACGTCGGGAACTGCGAGAGAGAGCGCTTGAGAATGCGGCTCAAGTGGAAAAGGCATATGGCGCGGCAGGTGAGCACTACTCGGTCTAATTCAATCAAGGATTGAATTAAGGATGTCTACAGACGACAGTGAAGACGATGAATGGGAGGGTATCTCCAAAAAGATAGAGGAAGAATACGAGGACCAACAAATGTTCGCAACGGTTGTTGTTGAAGATTTCGATCCGGACACCTTCGTTCATGGCTCGACTGAGCCACGATCCTCTTCTACAAATCAACCAAATTCGATACGTCAGCCAAAGGCACCGGCACCCGAAGGCAAGCAACCACCGTCAAAACAAAAGCTGAAGCCGAAAAAGTTTCGGTATGAGACTAAAGCGGAACGATCAAAGCAACGAGACAAGCAACGAGCGCGAAGAACAGAGAAGGCTGAGCTCGCTGGAGGAAAGGCTGCGCGTAAAAGGAGAAGGCAGTAATAGTAGTTGATAGCACGTGTGCTTGTCTTTTGCCACCATGAACTCGTTATATACGTCTGGCGTTCGCCAGGTCTCTTCACTCCAAGCCGACCTTGAACGTCTTCGTAATGGCGAGAACTCTGCCGCCCTGCTTGGTTGGTTGGGCCAATAATAATGATAATAATGGTCTCATTGGGCATTCAATGGTTAGGGCAGATTTCTGCTTCTTTTGCTGCAATGAACCGCACCATCGACGACTATGACGCTATGGCACGACGAGAAATGATAAAGGCAAAGCAGGAGAAGGCCCAAATGTGTGCTGCTTGTCCCACCACGAGAGATGATTTGTTAATCCTTGCTTAGGCGCGTCCAGAAGTTTCGGTCAGACTACAATGAGCTGAGGTCTCAGTTCGACCAGCTCAAATTGCAGGCTTCTGTCGAGGTGAGTGATGATACTAACTATGTCCAAACGAGGCTAACTCTGGGAAAGCAAGCGGCGCAACAACGAGCAGATCTCATTACCGGTACCTCCACGTCGACGACAACGGCCGATACACGTCGCCGCTTTCAAAATACGCCTTCAGAACATTCAACACTTCATCCTGGTCTACGGCCCCAGGGCGACCAACATGCCGAATCACCATTCAGAACTCCAACTCCACAGCCCGCATTTGCCTCACGAGAACAACACGCCCCTCAGAGAACACTCGTTCATCCAAAATACAGAATCCAGATTAGATGACTTCCTTGCGCAAGGAAGAGAAGTTCTTGACAACTTACGCGACCAGAGAACCATGCTCAAGGGAACCCAACGCCGGTTACTAGACGCAGCCAACACTTTGGGCCTCAGTCGTGATGTGATAGGCTGGATAGAGCGTCGGTCCACTCAGGACATGTACATATTTTTTGCTGGCGCCGTCTTCACGTTCTTTTGTTTCTACCTCATCTGGAAGTACCTGGGCTAATTTCTCGTCAACCTTTGTACGCCTACTTTATGTTGATATACCTTTTATTGCAACACACTTGGTGAAAGTAGACGCTCATCCATTCCGCGATCCGCCGAAAGTTCTACCCTCAAACCAACACCGGCTGGAACGCATCCCTCACCCAATGCTGCCTCCAATTTGACCTTGGCCTCAAATCCCGAACAATGCATCGGGAGAATGTAAGTGGGAGCCGGGATCAATTTGTTCGCGAGAAAATCCACCGTGGGTGCGATCCGCTCCCTGGCGTCTGGCGGAGCGAGATGAAGACCACCGATGACCATGTAGACGGGTCGCTGAAATGTCTTGACTGCATCTTGCACGACATTCACAATTCCAGCGTGAGAGCATCTAGATTTAGTTCAAGCCAAGATTCCATTTCAGTTGAAGGGCGAAAAGACCAACGCGCTGAACACGACGAGCCCTTTGCCAGCCACGTCGATGACTGCGTATCTTTCGTCCAGGATAAGCTATTAGTGAATGAACTGCAAAACATAGGTGACGGCCAACAGAACACATACCTCGTCGCTGATCCATCTACCGCCATCTTCTGCGACCCATCGCTTCCCTCCTGGAATGCCTCCTTCAAAAGGCGTTACCCGAGGAATCTCCCCACTGATCCAAACTCCGCCACCAGCAACTGCATGCCCTTCAGCATGTTTTTCGACAAGTCCACCAGCAGCAGCAATTTGTTCAAACGTCGGGTCGTCAGGAAGCGCAGCAAAAACAGTGTCATACAAGGGTCCACGAGCCATACCCCGAGAGATTGGGCGATTGGGGTGGCAGTCGACAACGCAATTGGAGCCCTTGGCGTATTTCAGAAACGACAGCAAGCCTCCAGTGTGGTCAGAGTGCCCTATGGTGCATTAAATTCCAGCGGGGTCAAAGCCATGGTTGAGTACAGTGGGAGGTAATGACACGAGCGATTTGATCCACTGGTATCTGCATTGCTTTCAGATTACGCACGAGACTCTGGGAGTCGGGCCCGGTATCGAATAATGTCAGTTGAGCGGCTTCTCCAGCGATTTGTGTTTCGATCAAGGCAGAAAATCCATGAGCCCCACAGCAAAATTCGTCAAAGTTCAGCACTGGGACGCCTTGGGAACAGGCGCTTTGAGTGCACCTAGTTGAAAACTATGACGAGCTTCACCTGTAGTGGGATGGAGATGGAGCGGCGGATTTTGCTGTGCTAAATGTTGAGGGAGCTCGTGTGTAAATCCTGGGGGAAGTTTAGTGAACCTAATATCGAGATCGGTTCAATCGGCTGCCAAGTCCAATTTCCCTCAGACCATTCAATGCAGTTGTCGACTAGAAAAGTTATGACAAGCCCACATCAGGGTTAGTTCACGCCTATTGGGGACGGCCTGCACCCACTTATCGACACGGCGTGCCATTTGGCAAGAACTTAGCTGGTCACGGTCACGAGGGGATGTATTTGGGATTCGAAAGCAGTAGCGAAAGCAGGAGACAAGGCTGAGGGTTCGACCCACAGCCCGTACACAGTGGGAAAATGAGCGGGGGACGTATGTAAGGTAAACCGTGACTACAGGCATTATACCTCGGTCTGGAACACACGGCACAAACGAGTGAAGGGGAGGAGTCATCCGCACAAATCTGGGAGGGATAAACGGGGAAAAAATCAGTGCCTGGCTCGACGCGGCCAGTGGTCAATGCAAAGCTCCCATCGTCCATTGCATCGGCGCAGGCCTTCGAAGATGCGATGACCTCGAAGGAGATCAGCTGACCAAAGAGATAAGTTTTAGAATGAACAACTGGAAAAAAATTACCTCGCAAAAAACCAACGCGTGTGCGGTTATACTCGGTGATGCCTGGAGCGTCAAGGCACCGCTGTTCAAAAGCCGGGATATACTTGTGCATTTCCAAATTGCTTGGAAGTTCGTGTCGGCGAGGCTTCTTCTGATATTTGTTGTAGATGGCATAAAAGACATCGATACAGCGGAGACCCTCTGGGCGCTCGACTACCAACGCGCCGACCAGTGGGCAGTCTATGACCATCTCCGTGATTTGACCTGGAAAAATTAAGTAAGCTCCTCCACCACCAGAAATCAGAAATTACAATGGGTTGAGACTGGAAGTTCCCGATCGGCTTTGGGGAGCGCCAGGAAAAGTATATGGCGGTTGTCCTTCAAGTTCATATCGTCCTGAGGATCAAACGCTACATCGTAATAGAGAAGCGGGTGAGGTAGGTGCCGGCGCTCAGACATCGGTACCAGAGGCCAACTCAAGGAAACCGATTCCTCTTTCAAGGGGACGGATTTGACAATGGCCTGCATATATTTGGGAGTGTTGGGGCCCTGATGTTTCCCAATGTCGTGAGGCCGTGGATGAGCTGAGAGTGAAGATCAGAACATTCTGAAAGGACATAGACTATCTTACCATTCGGCACCGCCCATGGGGTCGATTGTGGCGCCGATACTTTGAGAAAGAAGTTGAGCCAAATTATTCACTTCCAGAGCTTACTTATCTAACCTTGGCGGTGATGACTTTTCGAACTGCTGGGGGTGGGCTCGGAGAATCCTGATATATCGCCTCAATAGACATAGAAATGTTGAGATAAAAACCAACTTGGCGCGACGGCATTCGAAGCGCGATACTTGAGGTCTGAATAAATTCAGTACTTGACTTGAAATGGAATCTTTATTACCTTCACGAGGCTTGTGGGTCATAGAAGAGGACCGTGGGCGTTGTGATGGCCCAAGAGACGGATGTTCATATTTCGTCACAGGTGAGGGTGCCGGCGTAGTAGATCTTCCCTTGACTTTGGCAATGAGAGAGGACAATCTCCCTCTTTTGGCTCTGCCATCGCCGAAATCAGGGGAGTCGGGGTCTGGTAATGATACACTGCCAATCTTAGGTGTTGGCGGGATGCTGATGCATTGAGACATGGTGGTACAGTGGTCGTAAATGGAAATCCGAAAGAGAGCAGCTAGAAATTACGTCTCGTATACTGAGAAAGAAAGGATCGTCGGTAAATGAAAACGCGGAATACCAAAAAGGAACTCACGGGCGTCGCAGAGATAAGCGCTATGGACTTACAATGAGCGTTCGTGACTGCTCGATTGCAAAGACCCTCAAGGCCCCCCAAGGCGGCGTCAAGCACCTTTATGTGCTGGGAGGTAGGACGCAAGGCCTTGGTGAACACGAGGCGGGCCCATGATTTGAAAGGTGCCGAGCTGCCGAAGAGATTCTGATAGCATGTGAGCAAAGAAGTTGGTGTAAGTAGATTCAGTACGCCACCATCGACACCGCTCAGCAAGCCACGACTTCAAGGAGCAAACCGGAGACGAAATGGACGTTCTTTATTGGCCATGAGAGAAGAGAGAAACTTTCAGAGTTCCGCAGAACATCAATCGGTATTGCCCCCGTCTAGTAAGCAGAACTGGCATGGGAGAAAGAAGTTTTGCACGAGGAAGCAGTGAGCTGGTTGTCGGTTGGTTGCAGGAGGCAACGAGCGAAAAGGAAATTAGCCCATTGAGGATAATTCCCGAGATCACGTGCATCGAATTCTCCGGTCCGGCCGACCATCCTCACAAATCCTCACAAAGTCAAGGTTGGTTCTTTCATACGAGCTCAGCATATCTTATCGGCCTTCAACAGACCATACGCAAGCTTGCTCTGAGAGGCGACCAGCCATAATATAACTTCGTTCAACGAATAACTTGAAGTACACAACGAGGCAAGCGCTGGCAAGCGTCTTGGACAAGACAAAGCTAGACAAAGTCTACGTCATCGTGGGTATCAAATCATTGACAGGTCGCAGGTTTACCTTCCCTCTAAAAATTCACGTCCAATGCCCTCGAGGCATGGGACGAGCAATTCGGTCACTGGCATGCGGCGACTGAAGCGGCCAACTTGGAGGCAAGTATAGCTCGTCCGAACCTCGGGTAACCGCCATAAATTTAACCTGAGCAGTCAACGTTAACCTCGCCAATCCCCAGGAAACGACGGACATGTTACGGCGACCGTTTTACAAGGAGATGCTAACGATGCCTTTGTCTATGGTCCCTGCGAACGCGCATTGGCACTGAAAGAAGGTTGAATTGACGTGTTCTTTGCTGATTTTAGCCTTTTCTTCGCCCAACGTAATAGATATTTGAGCCTGCGGTGGAGGCCACTCCGCCAGAGACACCATTGAACAGTGCTGTTTTGTGAGTACCTTGTCTGCGAATCCGAAAACCTCAGTCACAATGAAGCGCGAAACGAGCAAGGGGCAAGATCTTGACAAACTGCGTTAGGCTTCATTTGAACTTCAGGAGTTCGCTCTGCACCGATAGGCCGTCAGTGTGAAGCAAAATATGGCGTCTGACTAATTTCAGCAGATGGGGGCAAAGCAGCGGACATACCCAGAGCATGAAAACGAATATTGGGCTATCACGTCCTAAGTCGACCGCAAAACCCCGGGACATCTGCGTAAATTGCTTGGGATCCATCGAGATGGTGATGACCATTAGATTCTTCGACCCACTCGAAAACACGCCATATACTCTGGCTTTTGAATCCTATGGGGTTAAAGGTCTGGCATTTCTTATATGAAAGTGTTAAGGCATCACCATAGATATTGCGCGGTTTTGTTTTGCAAATCTGGTAGGCCCGTCGTGCTTGAAGAGCCTATAATCGAGGCTTCCTATGGCTCCCGACAGATGGGCGAAAAAATAGTCGTTCAGTAAAAATGTCCGTCAACCAGGTATTATGGGAATACATACGAGTGCTGCCACAAGGCCACGCCAAATCGTCGGCCTCCTTTACTATGTGGTGAGCATGCATCTGGCGGTCAAGCTGCGAAGTCAATCGGGGACTGACCAGTGGTCTGGAGAAGGAGCAGGGCCTACTGCATGCGTATGTTGAGGAGCTGGGCCACACACAACAATGCGCATCGTACGACCCTGATTCGACAGTGCCGATAAGGCGAGTATAATGGACAGCGCCTTCCAGTGGCCAAGTGCGTGCAACGGGGCGTCCTCGCCATGTTCTGACCTCTTCCATTCCCATATGGGCCCCGTCTACGTCACGATAATCCAGCAACAGCTGAAGTATAGCTCGCAGCCTAGTGACTGGACGTTTCTGGGGGGCGCAAATGCGAAGGAGGAGCCCAGTGCAAAGCTGGATGCACCAGTAGACTGGGCCTGCCACTGGGAATGATAGAGGAATAATAGGAATAATAGGCGGTAAGGGCAGGGAGGATAGGTTGAATTCGGGGGTACATTTAAACAAATAAACGGCAGCCCACAGAACCACACAGTCCCCCGTCGGCCGTGCCCATGCCTATCGAAGCAGGTGAATCGTAGTTTGCCGTATGGCTGAGGTGGTTGAGTGGCGCAGCGGTAGGGCGAAGAGAGAGAAGGACAAATGCAAACAATGCTGCTAGGTTTGATTTTGTTGTCGCCAGACGGCAACTCCGTTTGGTTGGTTCTTTTGCGGGTCCTTTCGCAAGCACAAACTTGCCCAAGAAGGAATCTTTTCAACTCAGCCATCGGTTTCAACCGGCTTCCGAATTCAGTGCACATGGGCCTATCGCGAGCCGACTTGTCAATCAGTACAAAGCCACTTATTTTAGCCACCAAGCAGTTCATCGTAGGGTCTCGCGAGCTCTCAAAGAGCAGAGATTCGAAATATATACTTGGGCCATTTTTTTCGCAGCTTCGTTTTAATCAAGTTGGTCTGAGAGCAAGAGACGCGTTTCAAGCATCAGGATCCAGCGCAACTGGGAGGCCAGAAGCTGTGAATGTCTGCAAAACAGTATATTGTGTTCCACCATCAAACAGAAGAAGAACCGACTAATATTATTACCAGCTGGCTGTTACTTTTAGATCGCATTCCTCAATTGCCAGCCTACTTGTTGATGCTAACTAGCTTCACCTCTACACCAGCATTCAATCCCATGAACAGATAGAATGAGAGGGAACACGTACCGAAGACTAATGTCGAGTTGCCAGGAATTCCATCAGTCCCCCGTTTGCCGTAACCCATATTTGGGGGAAGCGTGAGCAGGCGTTCGCCGCCAACCTGCATGCCGACGATTCCCTCGTCCCACCCTATCGAAGTATGCTCAACGAAAATGTAGCTAAGCCAAGAGTGGGAAATCACCTTTGATCACTTCACCTTTTCCAAGTTGGAAGTTGAACTAACATAAGCCTCAGTCAACCAAAACTCGAGATAGCGAGCATAACGGACCGGCTTGCCCTTGGTGTTGGAGTCGAAAATTTTGCCTTGTGGTGTAGACAGCCTTCCAACATAACGCATGGAGACAGAGTTGCCCTTTTTCGCAGCAGGACCAGTCCCGACCTTGGAGTCTTTTATTTTGATACCTCCAGCAATCTCGCGCTCGACCGCTTTCGATGCGCCTTCAGACTTTTTCTCGTCGGGTTTCTTGTCCTGATCCTGCGACTTGTCTTTCTTTTTGTCCTTCTTGTCTTTTTTTTCACTGGCGGGTTTGACGGCCTGGCCAGTCTCGCTCTTTTGTTTCTTTGAAGTTTTCTCTGCGGCAGCATCAGACTCGCGAGGCCGCTTGGCACCGTGAACAGCGTCGTCTATCTCTTCAAACCTTGCGAGCGATGTTGAGGCATAATTGCATGGATCAAAAACTTGAGTTTACCTGGCTTCATCGTCGAGTTCATCCGCATCCATCTCAACATCTGAGCTGACTTCGCGCAAGTCGAAGTCCTCCTCCTCCTCAGAATCGAGTTCCGATCCAAACGGAGGCATGTTTTGGTTTTGCATCTCTTTTTTGACTTATCAACACACGCGATGAAACGCGCTGAATACGCACCGATATAGTTGCCAGTCAAATATACCTTGCTAAGTAGTATATTCAGCATTAAAACGCGTAATAATCGTGCGTGAGACGAACTTGGGACCGACAGTTTCGATAATAACCTCCTCGTGGGCATTCAAAAGAAGGCTGACTGTCGCTTGCTCAATCTAATCGGAAGTGAGCCATAAACAGAGATAAAGCAATAGTCCCTTCCTTTCCCGGAGTGAGGGAGCAGATAAAGGTCGAAAGACTACCAAGCTTTGGTCCTTCATCATCATCCTCGTTGTCCGAATCGACCACGGGTAATGTTCTAGCAGCGCAAATGAGCAACATTTTATCGCAGAGTATGATAGAACATATACTCATGAGTGAGCTTCACAGTGGTGCGTGCAGAAGCATCTGCAAGCACATCGCCCAACGCGACATTCGTGAGGCGAACTTCGGTTGGGGGATTTAAAGAAAGTTTCTTTTTGGGCTCAACAACGGCACTCCTGCACAGAATAAGCGCGCTCCAACGGAGAAAATGCACCTTTCTACGAACCAAACACCGACCGCAACTTCAGCCATGCTTGAAGGAAAGAAAAAGTTTTTGACACTTCTAACCGGCACGTGCACGCATCATCACTGCTTCTCCCTAATTCTCGATGGTGAACTTATGGGCTGCACTTGACAAGCTCAGAGTCTTATCCTTTACAGTCCAACGTTCTCCGACCCTACCTTGCTGCTGTTAGATCAACGCTTACTGCAGCGCTTACTCTCCAAGACTTTGCTTCTCAGGTCCGTTGTCCGTTCTCCCGTCGTCCTGCAATTAACTATGTCTTTAGGTCGTGGAGCGGCACAATAAGCCAGAAGTAGAGGTTGGGTACGTAGATCGCCCACTCTTCTACGCTTGCTATAGATGTGGGTAGAAAGTCGAAGGAAGTTCTACTTAATCCCCTCACAATCTCGCGAAACGAGAATGAACGTGTTCTCATCGAGCCCTCCATCAACTCTATCCGACTCAGTATCAAGATAAAGCAAGCCGACGAAATCGAGCGTATTCTTTGCCACAAGTTTACTCGATTCATGATGCAACGTGCGGAGAGCTTCATTGTACTGCGGAGGAAACCAGTACCGGTGTGTTTCTAAGTCTCTCATCCCACTTTCCCTCTAACTGCTTCCAATAGGGCTACGATATCTCCTTCCTCATTACCAACACCCATTCCGAGACCATGCTCAAGCACAAGATTGTCGATTTCATCATCCAGTCCGTGCAGCCCACCAATCTCTCAGGAAACTCGCTCATCGTACATTAGATTCATGGAGGAGGTCGACAAGGAGATCAGTGAGATGAAACTGAGTCTGAATGCCCGCACCCGTATTGTTGCTGAATCATATCTCACAGCGGTTTGATTTTTGCACTGTTTAATGCTCTGGTTTGCTGATTCGTGTCTAGTTCAACTCATGAGGGACTTGTTGGGCCTGAGCTTGCGTATTGTAGACAAATTGTACCCCGATGGATGTAAATATTAGTGGGACGTGACTGTAACCCCTTCAACTATGAACAACAACAATGTCAAGTCGCGGCCACAAGCTCAGACTGGCGTTTATCGTTCAGAGTCTATCAAGGACGTCGCAGACTCCCTCAATTTGCCTCATATCTCAGACGCAGTTGCCTCTGCACTCGCAAGCGATGTTGAATACCGGCTACATCAAGTTATTGAGGTTTGTCCGCAAACACAACACGGCTGCCAAACGCTCTTCATCGCGTCTAGGAAGCAGCCCGATTCATGAGACACGGTCGTAGAACGATAATGACCACTTCCGACATCGAGCAAGCACTCCGCGTTCTCAATATTGAGCCGCTTTATGGTCACTCGTCTCACAATCCGCCGTCGTTCAAACGCGCCCTTCCATTTCCCAACGCCATGGCAGCAGGCCCGGTTTACTTTGTCGAAGATGAAGAAATCGACTTTGAACGCGTGTTGAGGGAAGAGAGAATCACTTTACCGAAAGGTGTCAGTTGGACGGCGCACTGGTTGGCTGTTGAGGGAGTCCAGCCTCTTATTCCGGAGAATCCCCCTGCAATTCCAAAAGAAATCGCCCCAGACGTGAAGCCAACCGTGCTAACCAATGGGGTCGCGTCCGCACCAGTCACCGCAGCAGCCAAGAAACAAGAGGAGCAATTACAACAGCAACAACAGCTCGTCAAGCAGGTACTTTCGAGAGAACTCCAGCTCTACTACACACGTCTCACTGGCTCGCTATTACCTCCGACAACCGATGTCGCTAAACGCGATGCAGCCTTGGCCAGTCTACGGACCGACGCTGGCTTGCAAGCTCTTTTGCCATACTTGATCAAGTGGGTTGGCGACGGTGTTGTCCGTGGACTAAAAGATGGTGGGCCGAGCGAGATGGACGGAAAGGTTCTCGAAGTCCTGGTCTCAGTTACAAGCTCGCTACTGGCCAACACCACGCTATTCGTTGAGCCATACGTGAGTACGAAGCATTCTAACTATCCACTCGTTGACTGCTGTATAGTTACACCAAATGCTGCCCCCTATACTTTCTACCCTTCTGCATTCGTCTCTCCCACCCTCGCACGCGACACAGCTACGGACACTTGCAGCCCAAATATTATCACGGTTATTAACCGAGCACTCAACTACATATCCCTCCCTCTCTCCGCGAATTGTCAAAACTCTTTTGTTGGCACTTATTTCTCCAGGAAAAAGCAGTGGCACACGACACGGTGCAATTCGTGGGCTGGCCGGTATTGGGAAAGAGGCTGTTCGCAAAGGTTTGATTGAAGGCGGTGGGGCGAAAGTAGTGGGGGGTGAATATAACGACGACGATTCGCTCGTTGCTGCAGTTATGGTAAACACATCCCCCCCCTTCCACGCTGTTTTCTTTTCTAAGCGATCCCAGGACGCTCTTCGTATACTACGAGAGTCAAGCGACATGATCGATGCCCTCGATGCCATGGACCCTACTGACGCCAAAACGATTGAAGATCTCAAAAATCTTGTTGGTGACTATTTTGCCAGCCGGATAGCCCAAGATGCAGCATGGGCAAGGACAATTATTGGGGCTCCGACCACGACTCCGTGAATGTAGGAACTGCATATATCTTTTTTTACATAATATTTGTTGTCGACTTGCTTTCGTTACTTGGTAACTCTTTGCACAAATGCGTACATATTCTCCATCCCGTAGCTAGCATCTTTGTCGAACAGGTGGTCCACTCCAGGCAGCTCTTCATAAACATGTTCTACCCCGTTGATCTCCCTCAACGCTGCCTCCACGTCCCGTGCCTGTTGACAAGGGACCTTATCGTCAATGTCGCCATGGATCTGGTAAACCGGTGGGACATCGAATTTCCCAGTCTTAATCTGAGGTGCGATGGCGACTGCAGAGGCAGAGATCCCCGTCCCTTCAAGGAGAAGCTTCTCCAAAATGCCTCTGTAACAACAAGTCAGCAAGTCCTCCAATGGCCACACATTTGCCTACTTACTCCTGTACCATATAATGGTAGAGCACTGACCGCGGACTCTCTGGAGTCGTAAAACTTATCTTTGCCGAGGTTGGGTCAACAAAGGACGCGACCTCTTCATCCGGAATGACGCGCGGGAAGTACGAGACGGGGCGCTGCTTCGTGGTCCAAAACGGGTCAGCGAGATCTATCAGAATCAAGATTGCGATATTTCGAGTGAAGTAGGCGACCGACCCGTTATCGGATAAAGCGCTGCGATACCAAGCACCCTGGGAGGCGGGTCAAGACCACAGGCAGCGTAGCCAATGCCCGTCCCATTCAAAAGGGAGAGCCAGCCACCGGCCGAACTCCCGCTGACTACGAGTTTTGCGGAATCGACGCTGTTGCTCGTCGCTTCCGCAAACGCAGGCGACTGGACGAACTCCATCGCGGCTTTGCAGTCAGCAAGGATGGCAGGGAGCCGACTTTGTGGTGCTAGTCGATAATCTGCAGAAACAACGCATATTCCGTATTTTTCGACCGCTGAAAGATGGTGAGGAGAGACAGACTTCCTTGTCCCTTGCAGCAGACCGCCGCCAGGTGATCAATAAATAAACGGGATAGAGCCAGGGAAATTAAACACCAACCATGCCACCACAGTAAGACCGGAACTTTGGTCGTTCCAGTGTCAGTAGATGGCAAGTAGACATCGAGGTATAGATCCAGCCCGTCTACACTGGAGAAAATGAGCTCCAGAGGCTTTGCCATGGATGTGCGAAAACAGGTCACGCAGGAAACGATAAGATTGTTCAGCGGACAACCGCATCGGGATTAGGTAAACTTGGATTATTACAGTCGCACTGTGGTGTATTTTTATATTAGCGAGCAGCTTGAGTAGCTTCAAGGTTGAATAAGTCGACGAGGTCAGCCAATCTGGCCTCTCGTTGCTGGCGCGCAGTCTCCCTTTGGCGAGATCCAGAAAAAGCCTGATATTGTCAGCACATCACAAGCCAGATGTAAGCGATCAACACACATCCTTAATCATGGTCTTCTTGCGCTCCTACAACACCTTGTTCAGTTCTGAAACTTGACACAGTAGAGGACATACTTGAATGTCCAGAACCTTGGATTCAACCGTGTTCTCGGCGATCATCTGGTACACACGGACATTTTTCGTTTGGCCAATGCGGTTGACTATCACGATAAGCTAAGAGCAGCACAAAGTGTTGTTTGACAAACCTCGGTCAATAGCCTGACTTTCTATCCCTTCTTGCCACCAACTGGATTCAAAGGGTCAGTCCGCGTGTCTTCGATTGTCTTTTTTTACATACGGGTCCATCCTACAAAAAGAATCCAGTTGAGATGCTGTTGGACGTAGAACGGGGTAGAAAACACGCACAAGAAAACATGGTTTGCCACAGTAAGATTAAGGCCAAGGGCACCCTACGTCCATCAAGTCAAGAGTAGTCCAAGAAGGAAAGTAGAGATCTCAACGTACCGCCTTGAGCGAAATCAGCATGACTTTGATATTATTCGTTGTGTGTGGCGCGGAGTAAGACGAAGCTTTCGCCTTCTGCTTCCCCTTCCCCTTGCCTTTCCTTGTAGATGTCGGCGCGCTCACCTCCTCCTCGTCATTGTCATATGGAATTGAGAACTGACGGACCCTCAGCCCACCAAATGAGAATTTAAAAAAAATCCGTACTTGCGATATGGTCTCTTCACGGCGTTTTGCAGACATCCTGCCATCAAACCGAACAAACGTTATGCCTTCCTGCTCGAGACGATCTGATATTTTGTCCAAAAATCTGGTTGCGTGAAGGCACACTCGCAAGTTCAAACTGGAATCAACTCACGATGTGAACTGAGAGAAAACTAACGCCTTGTCTTCTCGCGGAGTCAACTTCAATAACTGGACAAGCTGGTCGATCTTTGCAGAAGAGCCTTCTTCCGAGTCAGGAGACGACTCTCGGAAGGGAGCTTGGGTGAGTTCTGGAGTCATCTCTGCGGCATGCAAATCCCCAAGGGAGAGCGCGCGGCGATCCTGGTCGATGATTTGAGATTCACCGTCACGTGACATTTGGGCGAGGAACGAACCATAGGACACTGCTGAGCCTTTGAAAGTGCAAGCGTGATGCTGAATGGACCAATCAGCACCTAACAGAACGGCACGGAAATTCCTAACCAATCAAGACAAAAAACATGTCCGCAGCTCGTGATCCTTGGGTCTGTCATTTCATCGAAGCAGATAGCACATCTGCGTTATGTTGAGCGAATCCGACGGACGGACTTTCTGCACCCACTCCGTGCATTCTTCGATGGCCTGGCCAAGCTTTGCTTGCAGTTGAATTTTGTCTTGCGCCGTCAACACTGTCGCTTGCAGCGGAGTATTATCCGGTTCTTTACCACCGCGACGCAGTTCCTCGAGGTAGTTGCGCGGAACGAGACCCGTATGTAGCACTGCCTGGCGCATGCGCGTGAGAATACTGAGGATGTGAGCCTGCACCTGGAATCACTAGATAAGAGGGAGACGCTGTTGGGAACCGTCGACAAACCATGGTGTTTCCGCTTCGCATGTAGTCAGCGATGCGATCTCTGGACAGCTCCTCAATTTCGTCGTAGAATTCCTGCCAATTTGTTGAGCATTTGCTGTAAGTGATGAAGCAGACAATACTCTGGCGTCAGGCGGTAAGGCTATCTGAACTCTGATCATTTCCACCTAATTTTTCGTTATCATCAGCCGGTTCCACTTGGAGAAAGCCTTACCGATGGCAACGGTATGAGAGGGTTTCCTTGTGCATCTTGCATCTAGTACCATATCAGAGACAGCGCTTCAACATGAAAAGATAGCTACTTCTTTGGTCCGACGAAGACAACTTATTGTCATTAGATTCTGAGATATTTAAAGCTCTTGTCCGTCGGAAATTTCAGGAAAAACTGACTCGAAGTAGGGTCCCGCCAGCTGGGTCACCATTTTTCACCTTTCGTAGCACGAGTCGCTTGAACATATCCTCGTCGTCAAGAGGTTGGCAAATTCGTAAAAATGTCAAAAGAGAGCCAAGGTCCTGAAAAATTGTTGTCAGGCATTTTTGAAGCCGCTCCTCAGGACGAACTTTGGGTGAGTTGATCTAATCTAATCAGATCATGTCACGTGAGTAGCGATAGAGCTTACAATTGGGGTTGCAGCAAGGCACCAACGTCGTTCCGCGTCAAAGGCGCATGCTGCGCGGGCGGCTTTGGTCTTGGGGTTCCGGATAGTATGAGCTTCATCCAGAATGATTCGCTTCAAAAGGTTTCAATAAAGGTTTTTAACCAAAAGAGTACATAAGCACCGACCTTCCAGCGTATCTGGAACAGGGTATTTTGTACCTTGCTTTTTTTCTTCGCATGCCCTGGGGATTCCGCATGCTCCGAGGCGATGACTTGATATGTTGTGATCACGACATCAAAGCGTTGGAGTTCATTTGCGCCGATATCGCGTTTGGGACCATAATACACATAATGGGAGAGAGCTCCAGGGACACAATGATCTCCGATTTGCTTTTCCCAATTGCTCAAGACGCTGAGCGGTACAACTGAAAAGGTATCATAACTGTCAGCCTGAGGGTGGCAACAAGTTACCGATGAGCGTGCTGTTTGAAAAAGAGGGGGATGCATGTTTCTTGGTGGCTAATATCAGAGCAAGCATGGTAAGGGTTTTTCCCTTCAGTTCGGTTAACGCCGCCAGAAATGAGAATGCCTGTACGAACCAAGCCCTGTGAGGATATAAGATATCTCAGAGAACCTTTGCAAATAGTTGACCTACCATCGCGTCTGCACAAATAGCGCCGCGACTAAGAACAGGTGGCGTTTTCTGCGGAGTATTGGCGGCAAGATTGAAGTACACCCCACCGGCCCGTAACTGCCAGAATTGCACTGGCTGAATGCACACATCAGCAATCTATATCCAGAAAACTCAATTCATACTTTGTCTGTCTCACGCTTAGGAAGGGTAGGATTTTCACGCTCCAATGCCCATTGCAAAGCCTGGCTCTGAGAATGGAATCAATGACGTGCGTTGGTACCAATATCTATATCTTACCTGATGCTTCAAGAGGTCAACACGCAGACCTTTACCTTTACCAGGAGCCGCAGGGCACACCGGAAGTTGGAGAATGTCCTCCGCCGAGAGTAGTTGATCAAGGAGACCATTGCGCCGCCGTTCATCGTCGACTTTTTCCATCGTGTCCAACGTTGCCCTGAGCGTGTTGGCTTTCTGTTGCTCTTGAGCCTGACGCAGGGCCTCCGCTTGCGCTGCAGTGGGTTTGGCATTCTTGGATGGCCCGGCTGTAGGCGGAGGAGGGAGTGGTGGTGCAACGGAAGCAGACGATGTTTGACCACTCGGAGGAAGTAATCCTCCAGTTGGGGTTGCCCAACCTCTGAGCTTTGGCCAAAGAATATTCCTTTTGAGCGGCGAGCCGTATATCTTGACCATTCTAATTTTTGTCAGCGATGAAATCAGAGCAAAAAAAAAGGTTTCTACATTTCGAGTGTGTATATCTTTCGTCGAGAACCCACTACTAAATTTCAGCTTAGGTAAATAAATGCTGCAATACTCACGATTGCCGTCAAACATATGTCCTTCAGCAACTACCAAACTCGCATCCAATAGCGGAGAGAGCTGTGCAGCGACTGCACGGGGCAGATGCCCAACTTGCCTTGATCCAATGTTCTGGACTTGAATGGCCCATCTGTCGCAAATGTAAGATCAAAAAAGAGACCACAAATCCACAACCTATCGTATTGATTCAACTGCGAAGAATGGATTAAATCGGAACGAGGGGGAATTGGTAGAACCTACGGGCTGGCGAATTAAGCGAACTTCTTCGCCGGGTCCAACAAGGCCATCATAGTATTGCACCCCAACCACCTGAAACAAATTATGTGCGATTAGACCGGCACGGGTTTCATACCTGAGAGCGGACAATGGCGACAAGCACGTCCAACGGCTGCCAAAGAATTAGAGTCAAAATGCTACAAGACCTTTTAAGCAAACCTCATCCGGCTCTGCCGTTTCTTCCCTCGTCGTCCATGGTGTCGACTGCAGCTTTTGTGGAGGACGTCGCCGCGGGTCGTGGGGCTTCATCTGCGGCTCTCGGTCGTTTTTGGCCAGCGGAAGTTTCAGCTACAGGCAAGGAGGGATTCGCCAGCTTGATGTCTGACGCATCCACGCGACGACGTGCCATCGCAAGTCTGACTTTGCTTTGGTCGGAGGATCTGTAAATACGAAGGGTGCGGTAAGACTTTGGGAGTTAGTAGACGAAATCAAGAGACCTGAGGTTGCTAAATCCTCTGATTTGCTCGGGGCTTACGCCTGCCAGTTGCGCCAAGATCGCTGGGAGTCATTAGCGTCGTTGTTGTGGGCGCCGCGTGGGAGGTCGGACCCACATGTTGTGACACATCCCCAGTGACGCCATTGAACAGTTTCTGCAAAGTCGCCTTGCACAACGGTCCCGTATCGTAGCTGACCCTCGGCTATAGCGGAGCCCTGCGAAATCAATTGTCGTTAGCTTAAAATGGATCCAGTAAGTAAAAGCATGATAACGCACTCCGCATATCTGGCCATGGCACTTGGCCCTCGACGACCTCGAGTACTGCTCGTTGTGAGCAAGGACAGAAGGAGAGAAAACTTTTCGCGCACTTCGACGATATGGTCATATGAGCTCATGCTTGCTCTGGGGGTTCAGGCCGGCGTTAACGTGCAGAGCTGCAAGCGAAATTCAAAGTACAGGGCCAAATTTGAGGAAAGAAGTGTGTCGGAGCGGACCAGAGTTCCTACGCGCACCAGTGGAAGTCAGGGTCAGGATAGGAAAGCCTTTTTGTGACAAGCGTCGTGACTTGACGTGACATACGCGTCTTTCACTCCTCCCCTTGCCATGCCCGCAGGTCGATTAACGCTCGGTGACAGACCCAGAAAATTGCTCACACCACTATGCAGACGCGCCATATGACCCGGACCAAGATGCAGAGCAACGACGCGTCGTTCGAAAGGGTTATCGCAACCTCGTGAAGACCGTCCAAGGCGCGTCCTCCCGTTACATCTCCCCACAAGCCCCTTATTCATATCTACAGACCACTCGCACGATCTCAATGCCGAGGACCTGACGAAGCAGATCCAACAGGCCGATAAGCTCTTCAGCACCGGGGTCAAAGGCCCGCAGGAAGCAACCCTCGATTCCGCATTCCTACTCATGTCCTCCAACGTAGCCGCCCAAAAAGCGCGCCAGATGAAGTCCGCAACGGGTGCTTTCGACATCGACGACTTCGTGGCGCGTCTGAGCGCTTTTATGGGCGCTATGAAAGACGTCGACGAGGATGGTGACGAAGAGGCTTATGTGGACGACAACTTCCTCGAATGGGACCGAATAGGACGTAAAGCCCTCGCGAAATCACGACGGGTGCCGGCCTTAGGATTTATGTGCGGGCGGCTGTTCCAAATTGTTGCTGACGAAGTAATCCATTTTGTAGGTATGGTCCACTCTCAATTGAGGTCAAGCAACGCAAAGCTACCCAACGGCCCAAGGCAGACAAAGAGAAGGTCAAAGAAACCAAGCCGCAGGAGCTGCATGAGGAGGACATCGCACGCTCCGAGAACGAAACGACCAAAAACGTCGCCACAGTAAGCCCTACAACAAGGTCGTCCCGTTCAAGTTTTCACCATTGTTTTCAGCTGGAAACGATCTTATCTGAACAGGAAGGATACATAAATCTCTTCAAATTCGTGATCAACCCCCATGATTTCGCGCAAAGTGTCGAAAACATCTTTTACCTCTCGTTCCTTATCCGAGACGGCAAAGTCGCGATGGAGACGCAGGAAAATGGCGAAGTGATGATATGTAAGCCCCCTTTTTCCCTTTTTGGCTGCTGCCGAATTCCTCTAATCAGACTCGTGCCAACAACCGGACGACAAGGACTACTTGGAGGGCTTGAAAAAGCGTCAGCTTGTCCTCGAGTTTGATGTTGCTACCTGGAAGGTCAGTCGTCTTTGTGTTCCCATTGCGCCACCATATTGAAATCTTGGTAGAGGGCAAAAGAGGTCTTCAAGATAACCGAGTCGATGATTCCACCGCGTGAAAAGAGCAAGATGCGGATCGGCAAACAGTGGTATGGTTAGTAAGGCCTTTCAGGCTGGGGTCGGATTCGTTTTACTGTACCTATTGACTAGCATTAATATTGTACAGTTGTTATGCTCCAGGTTATGAAATGTAATAAAGATGGATGTTTAGGTCATAGAAGGGGGTAGACGAGACCTATCAAGACCTAGAGGCAATAAATCACCCTCGAGTTCGGCCTTGGTCCAAGAGTCAGTTTGCAACTGAAAATCAAGTTGAGCCACCGAGAATATAGTTGCTGTGTTATCCTACCCGAGTTGCTGCTTCTTCAAAGGTCAGAATTTCCATATGGTCGACCGATTGATCAGACTAGGGATGCTGTTCTCAGGACGAAAAAAACGAGCATCGCAGGGACTCACCGAGAAAACATCTTCCAAGTCGCGGAATTGCACTCTCAAATCAACAGGTATCTTCGATGGCAGGACCACGACATGGACAGTTGGTGTGAATGGTCGGGATGAAGCCAGCAGCTTGGATGCATCCTAGCGACAGAGTCAAACCCCATCAGGCAAAATAACAGCGGACTCCTTACCGCCGCAATGGAAAGAGCTAAACGAATATCCTGTCGCTTTCCTCTCGCCAATGAAGGCACGAACACAAACAGTTCGAAGACGCAGTCCATGACGAATATGGAAGATTCAGGCGAGGAGTCTTGAGTGAATGTGGTTAAAGGCAAGACCTATGACATTTGAGCTTCTGAAAACGATTTTAAGCAAGGTACCTACAGTTTGCTTGCGGTTGGTATCAATACTCCATATCCTCGGAGAGAAATCATTCTGAGGTCGCCATCTCCAATAGTCAGCATTAGCATACTCCGCCTCCTCGCCAAGCGCCATCCAGAACATTTCATCGTCGTCGTTCTCGCCCTCCGTTAAAATGACGACTGCTTCAGGGTTGTTGGTCAAGGTCTTTCCATATTCAACAGCCGCGCCGCGTTCTTCCACAGGTGAACCACGTCCATGCCAAACATAGACTGTGTCAAGAATTGAGACACAGTAGCTGAATCCACTACAAACGTTCTTGACATCAAGCTCAACTTGATCAATGTAGACACTACATATTGTGTAAGCTGCAGCAAAAAAAGAAAGTGAACGATGCTATCTCACACGCCGTGGAGTTTCCGGATGGCATGCATCGCAGTGTTCTCATTGGCCCAGTGAGCGCGACTGCCCTATCAACAAATCAGTGGCATTTCTTGGAACAGCAACTACTTGACCTGTCGGATTGCGAGCAGACCACCCAGACACTGAACGAGTTGCACAGGCTCTGCTAGCTGGCGAACAGGATCAATTGTTGTCCCGTAACGCTTGGCTAGCTCGGTTAGCTTCATTTCTTCGCTCTCACCCAGACTGCTGGATTTCCCTTGCCACGACCAGACAGTCGAGTTCATTAACCCTGTTGTGCCGGATTTTGATCGATGTACGATGGCAAGCACCTCTGTTTCATGGAAGATATGAGTGTTGCCCAAGGGGAATGCGCTGCTTCCTGAGATGGACAGTACATCAACCTGTATTGTTTGTGAATCAGAGAGCGTTGGGGCGGTATATGTCGCAAAAGGCGATATATCGACACGAGGGAGAGGCTCGTCACTATGCTCTGCAATTCATCAGCGGAATTATGGGCATTCGCCGGAATACTAACCAATATGCACGACGTCTGGCTCAGGTGACGGGGCATGGTCTTCCAACTTGGCATTAAGCACATCCATATTAGGAGCAAACACATTTGCGACCGCTCGGGTCAATGTCGAATGCGGGGTCGGGTCCGGAGTGGCCTCTTCTTGTAGAGGAGGTAGCACCATGGAGTAACGTTCATAAGCTGACCTCCGTTTCTCTGCTTGCGCGGTGGAAGAGACATTATTTCTTGGTCTCGGCGTTGCAACAGGTTCAGGTTGGACAGGTTCAGGCTCAACAGAAGTTTGGAGCGGTGCAGGGGTTCGAGTTTCTTCCGCAAGAGCCTGCGCTACGTCCATCGCCGAAGGCCGCCCAGAGCTGGAGGCTTTGGTGTGCATTGCAGGTGGTTCTGGTACAGCTTCCGGTTGTGCTTCTCGTTGGATAGCAGTGGTGGCAGGAATCGATGTACTCCCAGCGAGGCCTGGCAAAGCACGTGGAGAAGCGGTGAAAGCTGGTGCAGAATTAAGTGAAGGTTTGGGTGATATTGACGGCGCTGTGCCAGCCTGGGCCATTCCAGGTAGAGCTCTTCGCCCAACCATCCCACTACTCTGATTGGGGGCGGGAGTTGGCATGGGCTTGGATTCGGGTTCAGGTTTTGGCGCAATAATGGCATGGGACCAAGACGGTTTCTCCGATGTTGAAGGCAGAGGTCTGTTAGTTAAGATCGAACTAGGCGATGGAGAACGCTGCTCGGGTGGCGACGGAGCAACATTGAGCGAGGCGGATGGTGTGCTTTCAATGGATTGTTCTGCAGACTTTGTTGTTGCTTTCTTCGGCTTCCTTGCACGATCCTTTGTGGGCTGTTAAGAAGAGAAGAAAGGGCCACGGTAAAAACAAGGTTGATTTAATTGCAAGACAACAAGAAGAAAAAGAAAAAGGAAGGAACGTCATAAGCAAATATCGTGTTCACTTTCATCAAAGGAACGCACATGTAAAAGTGGTTTCCCAGATTCAGCTAGGGTCGAAGCTAGAGTTGAACGTGATGTCGGCTCAGCCTGCCGCTTGAAACCAAGTTCATCAACTCCAAAGTTCTTTGGTTGGAATACGACTAATGTGGAGGCAGATCCGATACGGTTATCTGCAATGACATCCGACTTGGGTACTGGTTCGTCACTGTGGGACTTGGTCATTTGCCTAGGTGCGGGTGGTGTGGCAGGAGTTGGTTGTTCTGTGGTTTTCGACCGTCGCATTGCAGGGGAGGTTGGTGATTGGGGAGGAGATGGAGAGGAGGCTGCTCGCGCTGGCCAACGATCAAGAACAGATGCCTTGCGCTCCGAGGAAAGTCTAGGGGTGGTGGGAGCCGGAGAAGGAGTTTGTTGTAATTGGGAACTAACTTTGACCATGTTTTGCACGAATCCTCTGCCTTGGAGACGGCTGAGACTGGGTGTGAGGTCTTTCTGGACTGGGGCCCGCATGAATGCTTGAGATGGTGTTGAAGAGGAAGATATTTGGGGCCCTTGAGGAGATGACCGTGGTTCAGGCTGAACTGGTCGTGCAAGAGAGGGTGTGACCACGACAGGTTTTACTGAGGAAGGTGAGGTTGACTGGCGTGGTGTTTGAGACCGTGAATTTGAGGGCAACGGTGTAGTTGCAGACTTTGTGGGTGTGAAAGTGGGGGTAGCAATGGTAGGTTTGGATGCTATGGCGGGGGGGATGTTTTTCGCGCCATTTGGTGTGCTTATAGTTCGCTCACGAAAACTGGTCGATGGAGTAGACTCGGGTTTTTCCGGGGAAGGAGTGCTCTGCCTCCTACTTCGTACTTCTGGCTCCGGCTCCGGTGTTCGCCCAACTCGGGAAGGTTTTGTGACCAGGCCCGGCATTGCGATTCCACCTCGCCCGAAAATAGGATGGGGCGCATCTATCCGTGTGCGTTGCACGAATTGGGTGGGGTCGCTAGTATCTTGTTGAGGCGCATGGCGGTTGAGCCGTGGACCAGTTGCTTTGCCACCCATGAAAGCTGCAAGCGACATTGGCTCTGGTCGAGTGGTCGTCGTGGCGGTCGATGACTGCATGCCTGATAGTTTGTTGAGAGTGTCCTGACGCTCTTCCCCTGTGCTCGTCTTTCGATCGTCAGTTGTTGTGTCGATGCTTCGTAATGCGGAGGTATATTCATTGCTCTTTGCTGCACGAATATGATATTCTCTCTGAACATAACCAAGAGGACTCACTTAAATCCAAACTATTTGTTCCTCCGAGACCACGACTTCGCCGTTGTCGGGCAAGTCGCGATGCTGCGATCTCTTCTTCAAGCCGCTTTTGATCGTTGTCTTCGGTGGTGTCCAACTGACGTCGCATACCCTCAATCTTCACCGACCACGAGCCCTCCATGTTGAGCTTGATTTCGAACGGGCTGTTGAAGTTGAACAGATAGAAGAAGCTGAAGTGATGTCACACATTTTGAGTCGTCAAAAGGGTGCTCAGTCAATGCTCAGTAGTAATAATAAAGTGTAAGTGTCCAAGTGCAACTACGACAATAAACATCTCTAAGCAAACAGCATCAAGCTTGACAGAACAAACAGTAGAACGGCGCTGGGTGCGAAGGCTCTGGCGTCGTTAGTCTGTTTCTTGAAAGCCTCGTTGACTGCCGTTTGGCTGACTCCGTCCGCCTGGAGGTTGCGGCCACTCTCAACAAATCCAGAGCCACACAAAGCATCTATACCGTCAACCCCCCGAGAGAATTCGGGAATCTGAATCTGGCTTGCAAGCGCAAAGGCTGCCTTGGTGCAGTTCGTGCAAGCAAGGTTGGCAGCGCCCATAATCACTTTTTGGACCGTGGTGAAAAGCGACGCAAAGTTGAGGTCATTGAGAGACAATGTCCCTGCGACATCTTCCAGGTTCTTCAGCGTCTCCGTGACACAGAGTTGGTTAGAGGCATTGCTAACAGCTATGAGCTGTCTTACTAACAAGAAGAAAGGCTGGGACTCACTCCTTGAGACAGGCGATCTGACGGACCGTGGGGTAAACTTGCTGAACGACTTGGGTGATAGATGCGGCAGTAGCTGACGAAGCTCCTACGCTCCCCAAGTCGCTTGCACATCCGTTTGTGACGTTGGCAACAACTGCTGCCAGGGTTTCATTACTGCAGAAGCCAGAAGCGCAAAGGCCGGTTGGGCCGTCGAGCCATTTGTTGATCGTCACCGGAACGGAGGTATTGGGCACGAAGAATGATAACAGAGCAGAGGGGTTCAAGCAAAGGGCATCCGGAGAAGCAAGGACTCCTTTCAAAGCGTTCTGGCAATTAGTAGAGAGACTGGAATGAGGATGAGATTGGTCTACGAGTGCTGCAACGAGTTCATACGATTGGGCGGTAACAACACCAGCTGCAGCAACAAGAGAAATGGCAGTAAAGGTCTTCATCGTCTAGCGAGAGGAAAGAGAATATGTGGAAAAGAGTGGAAGCAAAGGAAGAAGGGAAGAGTAAATTGAATTATCCCGGTCACACCAAGGGTCAGTAGTGTTCGTCTGTGTCCGTAACGACAATCAAGTCCGTGTGCAATTTGAATCTAATATACGCTCAGCGCTCAGCATCCAACCGCATCTTCACGCCAACATAGCCAACAGGGACGTTCCAATGAGCGCTCCGATGGTCCCGAAACCAGGCATAGCATTCAGACTCATGTCAGAATTCTTTCCACCGCTTGTAGCTGCCGCCGTTTTGACGATATTGCTGGGCGTTGAGCCGTCTGTTTGGGAAATCAAATTGAGGATCGGCGACCAAGGTGGACCAACAAACCTGTGAAGCTAGATCCACATACCCCATCTACATCGCTCTTGAGACTGGAGCCCGTAGATGGGAATTTCTCATTGACAAGATTATATGCCTCCTTCAAGCAGTTCGTGCAAGTGATGTTGGCAGGCACAGAACGTGTTGCCACGAGATTCTTGGCAATGGGGCCTAAGTTATTGATACTGAGAGTACCATAGGTAGCTTGAACGTTGTTCAAGGTTTGGACAAGACAATTTGAGCCATCTGAATTGTCCTTGAGACAAATGATATCTCTGACTGTGGGGTAGTATTGCTGAACCAGGTTCGTAATGGTAGCGCTCGTCGAGTCGGTGCTTCCAGTCGCCGAGAGTTCCGCACTGCATCCAGTGGTAATCTGGGTATATCAGTACCGAGCCAAAATTAGGAAAGTAACGAGACGAACATTCGCAACAATTCCCGCAAGAGTGTTGTTGCTGCAAGGTTGTGCGGAACACAACGTGTTGACCATATTTTGCACTTGTGGAACAAGACTGGCATTCGGCTGGAGGAATGAAGTAACAAGGGCTCCGATCCCGAGGCATGAATTGGCGTCACTGTTGCTTGCGACCGACGTGAGAGCATTCTGACAGGTCGTGGATAGTCTATAGGTCGATTGAGTCGGATGTTGGCAAAAAAAAACTGGCGAGAGCTCTACTCACGATTGTGCAGACACGGCAGCAACAGCAAGAAGAGCAGGCAAAAGACGATGCATCATGAGTGGAGTGAAAGACGTTGGAAGGAGAGGAGTGGGATGACTCCATCTCCTTTAGGTTACAAATAGCACTTGTCGTTGCTGCGCATGGGCCGGTCATAAGAGACCGAGCGATGGTTTGCACTGCTTCGACTGTAGCGGACAATTGGGTGTGGGACCTAAGGCCATAATAACATAACATAACATTGCAGGAGCAACTTGAATAGGCAATTGTGCCGTGGTTTGGGTTTACCTTCCAGTGGTGATGGCCAACTCGGAGAATGGTGTTGCGTATTTTTATCTTTCCAGAAGCCAGAAAGAGGACTCTTTTCCATGAAACCGAGGCTTGAAGGGCAGCTAGAAAATTGTTGTTTGTGGACGTAAAAGGCAAAGGGTGGTGATCGCAGTTTGAGTTTAGTTTCTTCTTTCTCCCACCACGCTCAGCCGGGCTCAGCATGGTGGACCTCACAACTCTGGTCAAGGCCGAGAAGACAACTTCAAGTGAGTTTATAAACCTGCGGCGGCTCTTTGAAGGCTGCGGAGAAATGTGCGTTCGCTAGACACGACACACTCGATTCCGACTTGACGATTTCCAGACGCGCGATCCATGCTTCTGGCTTTGTTGAATTCGCAGGTAACAAGACCGATAGTTCACCTTCGACTACCCTTCACGTGTAAACAGATGCAAGGAGTGCTGAGCGTGCTATAGCCCTCAACATTAATGGGGTTCGTGTGTTCCAAGTAGCTTCTTCGTCGCGATTGGTGGAGCAATATCGCAAAGTCAACCCCTCTGCATTTGCCGAGTCTTCTCGACAACACCCCGCCGACGAAAAGTCGAGACGCGCACCCGCCTCTACCAACACCATATTCCGCAGCCTTAAAACGACCCAAAAACCAGTGTCGTCTCATACTCCCCCCCAACCCAGCACTCCTGTTGCATCTCCGTCCTCAGTTATCGCGCCTAAGGCCTCACAAAATCGTATATTAATCCGTCTCTGTGGCGAAATTGTTACTCTAGATCTTACTTCGCTTCCCAGCGAGAATCCGACGACAGTAATCGAACTACTTAATGCAACGCACGATCGCGGTAATTGGCTCATCGTCGCGGCATATTACCGTCGCACGGGCAACCCGAAAGGTGCAAAAGAAGTAATGACTGCTATGCTTGATGGTTTGTCGTTTTCCGTCAAATCTAGTCATTATCAACGCCCACCCAGCTTTGAAAGAGCTTAATATTCCCGAAAATGATCTGAAGCCTGCCTTTCTGCTTCTCTCAGGATGTGAAACAGATCTGGCAAAAATAGAAAAGCTCAAGGGCGATTCCAAACAGGCTTCGGAGCATTACAGTAAGGGCGAAAAGTGGCTTCGCAAGGTTTATGGCGAAAACCTGCCACCGTTCTCCCAGGAGTCCAATGGTGTCAGTGCCCTCAACAATCCGGTCATTCGCCCGCCTGGACCCGATTACCAAAAAAATGGAACGCGAGTTGCAATCTTTGCGAGACCGAAATGCGCATAACATGACTCTGATATCTGACTTCCGGTCCTCTAAACGCAAATTAGAAGACTCGCTTGCATTGGAGCGTGACGTGCGGCGACGGATGGAGAGGGAGCTGGATGATTTGGTGAGGGAGAGAGATATTGCACGTCGGATGGCCAACGAACACCTTTATCGAGCAGATGAGCGGTTAGGAGACTCGCGACGCTATAGCACTTTTTGAACCCAGCTGAACGACGCGTAGAAGTTGCTAACAAATGTATAAATCCGGTGTACAGCATTCATGTGACCGCGCAAGTCACAACGATCACTCACTCTGCAGTTAGTGTCACACTCCATCACCACCACCTCCCTCAAGACAAAATGTCGGCGACGACGCTGCCAAAGGACATCTCTAAGCTCGGCCAAGAGGTAAAACTTTTCGGAAAGTGGGATACCCAGGAGTGCGTTCTTCGCGAGCTGCGATATCATTCGTTACTGACAAGTTCTGGAAACAGTGTCGAAGTTAAGGATATCTCCCTCACCGACTACATTCAAACGCGCAATGCTGTCTACGTCCCCCACACCGCCGGCCGTTATGCCAAAAAGCAGTTCAAAAAGGCCCAAATGCCCATCGTCGAGCGATTGGTAGACTCTCTCATGATGAAGGGGCGCAACAACGGCAAGAAACTCCTCGCTGTCCGCATCGTCGCACACGCCTTCGAGATCATCCATCTCCTCACCGACCAGAACCCTATTCAGGTGCATTTTTTTCACTGCCGCGAATGGCGACCGGAACTGATACTTTTTTCTGTAGGTTCTCGTCGATGCCATTGTCAACACTGGCCCACGAGAGGACTCGACTCGTATCGGCTCTCAGGGTACCGTTCGTCGGCAAGCTGTCGATGTCTCTCCTTTGCGCCGGGTCAACCAGTCCATCGCACTCCTCACCGTTGGCGTATGTCGATAACCTTCTCCCAGGATTCATTGTCTGACGTTTAACCCTCCAGACGCGTGAATCTGCTTTCCGCAACATCAAGTCGATTGCCGAATGCCTCGCTGATGAACTTATTAACGCAGCCAAGGGCTCGTCCAACTCGTATGCCATCAAGGTCAGCGATTCTGGAACAAATCAACCAAAGTCTAACCGGTTTTACAGAAAAAAGACGAGCTGGAGCGTGTGGCCAAGTCCAACCGGTAAACGAAGTTGGTCCGCTGGTAGTGGGTTATTTGGGGAAAAGTGCTATGCGCGGCAGTTTACTATATGCTTTCCACATGACTTCATTATGCCCGCAACTGAATGCATCCTCACTTTTCTCTTCGATGCTCTCCTTCGGTGTGTTGTCGGCCAAGCACATAGGCCCCACTCGAACGCCTGACAGGCATTTTATCACGCATGTGGAAGCAACTCGGGGCATCCGCTGGCCATTTCGTCCCATTTTGTGCTAGCTTCTCTCTCCAGTCGGTTTTGATCTGAAACTCGGCCTAGAGACTTGAGCCCCGGCCAACTTGACTTCCATCGTACAGGCTATTACAGATTTAACGCAGAGTATGGCGTACGGAATAAATAAAACTGCAGGAAAAATGAATTCCGGTTAAGCACTCTGACCAAAGGGGAATGAGGATAACAGCAAAGGTAGGCCACTCGAGTAATGTCGAAGCGACAAATTCCAAAGCCCAAAGCAAAGTGGAGATGTTGATGGATGCTGAGAATGCGCGAGGAGTAGTAGATGAGATGGATGTACACGGTGTTGATGGTTTTCGCGCCAGAAGGCCTCTAGGGTTACAGTGTGAGAGTTGGGTTGGAGGACGTCTCTCTTTGGCGAGTTGATTTGCATGTCCGCGGTACCGGCTTCTTGTTGCCGTCTCGCTCTGAAGAAATCGGCCACCATTTTGCACGATAGCCATAACCTTCCCCTTGTCACCGTTGCATGGGCGAGTTGTGGTCCACTTGTTGTTGTTGTTGCTGCTGCTGCTGCTGCTGGCCCGCTTCTTCCTCGGGCCTGGGTTTCGGAACAACCCCTTCCAATCCCCGATAAGAATAGGCCTTGCCGAATTCTTTGATCATTGCTTTGCCCATTAGACAGACCCAGCCTAAACCTTCCCCAGTCATGCTTTGACCTGGCCAGAAAAGCTCGCCCTCTTCATCTTCGAAATCTGGCTCGTGCTCTTCATTGACAGAAAGACTTGACATAACCATCCGAGCGAATGTCGTTGGGAAATGTCGAGCCATGATGGGAAGGGTCAGGTACGTTTGGGAATGATTCATGCAGATCGCTGCATTTGCGATGCCCAACTGCTCAGTCTTAAACTCGTTGAGTAGACGTGGGCCGATGGGAACGGTGACCGCCTCCATCGCAGTGACGACATTGGGTGCGAGTGGTTTGTGTTTGTAGTTGGTAGGTACAAACACAGAAGGCAATGTTGATGGGGTCATGGCAGTGGTCAATGAGGCGGTGTTTGCGGTAGTTGAAGTCGAACTCGGAGTACCGTCACGGTTTGTTGGAGTCGAGTTGGCGCTGGGGGCCAGACTGGCCGGAGAGGGAAGCATGACTGGAGTTGCCCCAGACTTGGGAACAAGCGAGCTAGTATTTGCCTCTTCAGCGGCGGCGGCGACGGCTGCTCGAGTTGCGGCCATTAGTTTGTCGGTGTCGCGATCAAGGGTAGTCCCATGATTAGTGGCGTAGACGAGTTTGCGAGCATGTATGTAGCCTTCAATCATCCAGCTGTTATGACGAGTGAGCATTAAAATACCGGCGGATTTGCGGAGCTAATAGTTACATTAGACCGAAGAATGCCTTCTCAGGATCAGTGGTACCCTCCTCGGGACCCCATTTTTGCTTGCACCAGACAAGGAAACCCTCGATGGTCCGCCAAGTTTCGCGATTGCAGCTTCGACGACAATACTCTCGATTCCAAATTGAGTAGGTGAAGCAGACCAGGGCATCAAGCAACTCGAGTCTAGCGATGAGGCCGCCGTATTTGTAATATGGTGAGTTTGGAGGGGGAGGATTGGAGAGTGCGCGATATTCCTTGTGGGAGGAAGGGTAGGTTGACCAGAAGCGGGCATCGCCGGAGTATTTAAGCAGACGGCCGGCAGCATGATACTTGTCGTGTAGGGCATCACATTGCCGGGTGTTAATCTTTCCAAGTCGAGGTCGTTTTACTGGGACCGTTGAAGGGACGAGTGAGACTGGCTTTGCCTCTTCTGTTAGCTCGCCATCTTCGACAGGTCGATCAGCGTCAGTGCGGGCCCGCTTGTTTGGCTTTGGTGGATTTGGCAGTGCTTTGCGTTTTGTTGAAGGGGCTGGTGAGCTCGACCTCGACGCCGGTGGCGAAGGAGGGAGCGTTGGGGGGAGTGGAGCGTCAAGGGTACCAATGAGCTACAACATCACACCTGAGTAATGGGTTTATTGTGGCGGAGAAAAGGTCTACCTCAAGGTTGCGTAGGATTGTCTCGCGGGGCCATTTCCTGACAAAGTGAGTCGAGCGTCAACAGAGCAAGCAGTCCCAAACTCACCTGGGCGCCATGGTGGGGGGGTGGTGGTAAAGGTCGAGAACGCCGGAACCTACCTGACACAGCTGCCACAATTGGATGTCACCGGCGTGAGATCAAAATTCGATGGCTCGGTAACGTGAGATCAAAACAAGTACAAGCATCCTATCCTTAACTAAGTAATAACAATTAGCCCCTTCGTCTTCTCCCCCGCAATGCCACCCTCCGACTACTACGTGTATCGAATCGTTGTGGTACTTTTAACTTGTGGTTATCCACCGTTTCGACCTCTACCACGACGGTCTCGGCTGACATCTCACGTGACGGAGGCGAGACTACCACGGTCTCAGAAGAGTCTTCTGAGTTTGCACGCGTTGTTCGAGACTCCACAATGACTTTAGAGCGTGGTTTGTCGGATATGGATGCCGGTGTCGATGGCATAGATTCAATTCGTGCAGTTTGCCTTGTGACGCGCCGTACTTTCAAAGGTGGCTCTCCAGGACACTCACTGAGCATCTTGCGCTTCAGTTGTCGTCTTTCCTCATCTTGTTCGCGGCTGGAGAGTGATGCCAGGATTGCAGTCACGCCTTTCCAGTTCATTGGGAGGATGAGTGGTTCGCCGGAATCTACGGCGGTAGGGTCAGCTGTGTTTGAATGTCAGACCGATATCACTTACCGAGGACGCGTTGAACAAGGAGAGCAGTCGATTTTCGATGGTTCAGACTCCAAAACAGGGGGAATGCATGGTCAGTCGGGAATCGAAATACGCGTAGAGCAGCCAGTGCGAACGCGGTATCGCTACATCTAGGTCGTCGAAGTGGTTTTCCTTGTCGATTAAGCATGTCGAGGTTGTGGAATAGCCATTGGACCTCGCCGTCGTTGACTGTCCGCCGGCTACATGAGGGTGTGGGTACACGCGAATATGTTGTTTGATAGCGTGGTCCAGCGGGTATAGGCTCTGCTCGGGTATTGGAAAGATAGAGTAGTGTGTGGTAGCCGGAGTCATCTCGATCTATGTGTTTGTGGTCGCTGGATTCATCGTCGATTGAATCAGAATGGGTGGCCGAAAAGGTGTTATACTCGTAGTGGGAGGAGGAGTGGGACATTGGTGGGGAGGTCGCAACGGTGAAAGAACAAGCTATAAACAAGACGTCCGATCAAGATTTTGAAGGAATCTCTTTGGCCACACACACACACCTTCCAAAGCTCTTTTGTCAATTGTCTCCCATTGTCATTGTGGTGAGTGCATCGACCGATGTATGCCAAAGGCCCAAGTCAAGACCGACCATTGGGGCTACCAATAGAGCCTTGATCACCAACCCGTCGGTAGTTCTTGGCGGTGAAACGTGTCGTGGGATCGCGGGTAAACGAAATAGCACCTGCCCCCGTCAAGGATTGCGAAAGGAAAAGGAAGGATAACAACGCACCCTTCGTTCAAGATACCCAACAACCATTACCGTACACAGGTGTTCCCCCAACCATTCTCGGTCCTCATGACTGACACAATCCGCAACATCCAACGCAATAGCCGTTCCCCCCGCCAAAAGCATTGCGATTCCCGTATGAGGATCGTAGGCCAGCACCCTGAGTCATCAGACAAAACAAGGGCACCCACAACGACAAACTCACTGCCCAGCAACGCGCAGCTTCATTCCCAATAAACTAGCGTCAATTGCGTCGACCCTAGTGGGTGTGGCCGGATCCATGTCGAGCAACCTGAGCTTGTGGTCGCAGCATCAACCAACTTCTTAAAAAGGCAAATTCTGATTTTGTGGGTGCCAAAAAAAATACATGCATATCAAGACAACAAAACTAAAATCTTCTGCGACGCGAGGTTGTCTGGACGCCAGGAACATTCAACGGAGCCAAGGACTGCGTCAATGGTGTTGGTGGCTCCAGCCCCGGAAAACCAGCCTCGTTAAATACGGAGAATGGTGACCCAAAACATTGGCCCACCAGGACTTGTGAAAACCGTCTGTCGTAGATGCGGTAGCGCATTATGTACTGCCCTATCTGTGATACTCCCAAACTCTGTAGAATATGAGTATCAGACAAGAGCGACAAGACTGCAGCGTACCGGGAATGTGAAGATAACATCGTGGCTTTCTGGATGCTCATAAGCCTGGGCAACGCGTGGCCCATACAAAAGCGTGCTTTCCACGGCGCTTCCGAGTATGAGGTGGTTACCGATACGATATTCGACGTCCAAATTGTTGTTTGGGTGCTCGGTTCGCAATAACACAAAAATCTTGTTGTCGGCTGGATCGAAGCCACCCTCATGCCAGAAGTAGGTAAGACCAGGCCGAGGGTCGTTGTGCCCGAGAGGCGGAAGTCGGAATAAATCCACCACACAAAAAAGGCTCGAGAGCGAAAAATTGCCCGTCATTCTGTGCAATCATCAGAACATGAGTTCCAGGGTAGTATTCTACACACTGTGGAGGGAAAGGTTGATTGTTCAGAGAACAGCGGAGGCGCACAATAGGCAAAGGATCGAGTCGACGAGCGGGTCCATTTCCAGGAGAGCTTCTACACGTGATTGTCAGCAAAACTAACACGAAGAATGGCGACCGCCAGAACTTGCGAGCAGCCACAGGGGACTGAAGCTCTTCGGTGTGCCACATAATTTGTTGAGACATGCTGAAGAGAGGGATGAAGAAACCTAGCACAATTGCGCCTGTATAAATACCCAACCGACTAGTACGAACTGACCGGGGTCGTCTCCTCATGGGAGTGGTCGACATCAGCAAGCGCCATAACTCTTACTGGCCGCGCCGTTGTGTGGAGCGGCGTGAAACCGCGCTGCAGACCTCTATAGCCAACCGAGTTCTAAAGCAAGACCAAGACGCCAAGATTCAGAGACATCAAGCAGATCAACCGGAGAGTCTGGCACATTATAGGACATTTCGTGAGATGGTCGGTGGGTGCCGGTCCAGAGCAAAGTCAAGAGAAGACCGCGGAAATCGACCAAGAACCATAAAACGCCGAGCGACCAGAAAAACATTTCTAACTGTCTTCTGATCGAAGTCAGCACAATTATATGATTGGCAGAAAAATGAAGCTGGATGAAGTCGTAGTCCTAATCGAAGCGGTGGACGAGCACGGTGCCGCCACGTGCTGTGATAATTCTCCTATCATCGAATGCAACAGTCCCTTGCTCTGGCTCCCCATTGCACATCGATTCTGGTAGAGCAACTTCGGCACTCGTTCCGGACTCGAGGTCCCAGATGCAGACCATCGTTTTGCCCAGTGTTACACAACGCCCATCAGCGATAGACATGGATGTTACCGTGCCCACTGTGTGATAAAGGTAGCGCGTAAACGCTAATTTAGGCGGCGGGGAAGCCACTGAGGTCACTGGAGGCAGGAACAGCCGGTAGAGTTGCAAGCTACCTCCAGAGTTGCCGGACAGCGTGTAAGGAGACAGGCTTTCGGCATCCGTAACGGACGGAGCGCTGGTCCGCCCTTCGCCAGGAGCCAGGACAACCTGGAAGCTATTTGAACAAAGCCAATTCTGATTTTAAAGAAACGGACCCATTTCCCATCGGACCGAGTATCTTGAATATGCAATACTTTACGTCCCCACTGGTCCTTCATGGCTTGTAGCTTTTCTTGGTCAATCCAGCCTTGCGGAACATCAAGTGCGCGTGTCGTTCTTGTTGAGATGACAGACATTTCGCTCGGAGATTCAAACGAGAACGGAGTAGAAGACGACGTCGAGTTCGAAACGTGAGAGGCAGAGCATGATATTAAAAGCTCCGTGACACCTAGAAATGACGATAAGATTCAACTTTCTCGAGGTAAGCCATTTACCTAGAGAGTAATGCAACGGAAAGATCGGGACTGAGTAAGTCAGAACCAATTTGTAGACCATACTCCGGGACCCTGGCGTTTGTGTTGACAAAATCATGGAAGAAGGGGGGAATGTGGAGTAAGAACTGAGGGATTGTGTGTGCCGAACGCTTTCTGATGATAAATCGTACAGCGCTATTACAAAGGCCTCCGAGAGGCTTACGAGTAATGGATGGTGATATACGGATTGACGAACGATGGCCACCTGACGGGCTGGTATGTAGGAGAACAAGCGAATAGTTGAAGAAGGATTTGATGGGTGAACGGAAAAGACAAGGAATTCTCCCGTCGAAAGGAAGACCGCCAGTCGTAAAGTGCCAGTTATGGTCGGCGGAGACTGGTCAAGCGCAATGGCCGTGATATGACACGAATGTGGATGCCGAGGAGAACCGCAGCGGAGTATTTGCTTCGGGGAACCTGAACTTTGCAGACAATGGATCTCAGGATTACTTGAGTCTTCAGAGGAAGCAATGATGGTGGTAGAGCCGGCCAATAAGACGTGAGGCGGCTTTGGAGTTGGACGTTTATGAGGCTTGAGAATACCCTCGATATGTTCGGTAGTGCAACGTCCTGACATGGTATATTCTAGACACCATGCGACCCAAGACCTTATAATTACACACCTGTCTTCCAGCGAAAACTGATTCTGAACATGGAGCGCCAGTCTTTCGCCTCTGTTGATGGCTGGGCTCGGCCTGGCATTGGTCGCATGTCTCTTCCATCGGTTCTCCCAGTGAAGCCCTTGGCTCCTCGCAGTCGAGACCGGCCAAAGGTGGTGATAAACAATGATTTCCAAAGACTCTGGTCTTTGGCAATTCTATGCCAATTCTGACTAACGCGCTGGGCGTTGCAGAGGTCTACCCAGGATAGATGGCTAAAGATTAAGAGGATGAGCTCTTCGGATAGTGCATTCTCGAAAGTGAGCTGGAATAAGGGTGCAGCAGCGCCAGCAAGAGTGTGTAGTCGTTTGGGAGGCGGGAGAGTTGCGTTGGATAAGATTCTCTTCATGGTCGGGAGCAAGTCACGATTTGGTCCCGGCTTGTTCATGAACCATGTTGAACCTCTTGCTCGACATTTACACACAAGTCTCTCATCCCACAAGGGCCCTGTAAATGTCGCTCGCTACTCCAAAGGCGGCGGCAAATATATCTTGACTGGCGGCCAAGACCGAACTGTCCGACTTTGGAATGCTAATTCTGGGAACGAAGTCAAGACATTTGCGGCGCACGGCTACGAGGTTCTTTCCATCACGGTGTAGGTCCATTCTCTGCCCATCCTTTCGAGAAACTCATTTGGGCTAGCTCTCACGATAATGCCCAGTTTGCCTCGTCAGGAGGAGACCGTTCTATATTTCTCTGGGATGTCGCAACCGCTGCAACTACTCGACGGATTCCCGGGCACATGGGTAAAATCCACGTCGTAGAATTCAATGAGGACGCGACTGTTCTTGCAAGTGGTATATTTCTTGAGCACAGTTAGTCGGCCATGACGGAAATCATCTGTAGGCTCATTCGACTCGACTGTGCGGCTTTGGGATTTAAAGTCAGTCAAACGGACTTGATTATTATCGGTCCTTATGCCTAAACGCCAGAGCTCAAAATCGACAACCAATCCAAGTACTCGAAGAAGCACGCGACGCTGTTCAGACTCTCCATGTTGGTTCAACATACATAACCACCGGCTCTCTGGACGGCCATGTTCGCACTTACGATCTGCGCAAGGGTGAATTACGGTCTGACTTCATGGGCCGTTAGTTGTTCGCCGCTAGTGAAGCTTACTTGGTCTCACTCCAACCTCACAGAAGCAGTAACATCAGTCGTACCGACACTCGATAGCCAAACACTACTCGTGACCACCCTCGACTCACACATCCGGCTCATGGATATGACGAATGGAAAACTTCTCAACGATTTCACGGCCCACACAAACACGGAATATCGCTGCCGAGCTTGTTTCGGTCATGGTGAAGCAACCGTGATATGCGGCGACGAAAAGGGCCTCGTTTGGGCATGGGACCTTCTCGATGTCTGATGCTCTTCTGCCATTTCTTTCCGTCGAGGACTGAATCCTTTGCAGGCGAAACCGATAGCACCCAATCCACCACCCAAAGTTCATCAAAAAGTAATAACATGGACGGAGCACCATCCAGTTGAGAAAGGTGAAATGTGTACTGCAAGCGCAGACGGGACGGTCAAGATTTGGCGCCAGGTAGATATTGAATAGACCAAAAATGTACAACTCGATTATCTTGCATTGCTATCTACCGTTTGGTAGTGGCCATTGACTCTGCAAGACTTGAGAAAACCCCATCATATAAAACCTAAGCTAAGCACTTACCTCGTCGGGTCGCGTCCTCCAACAGTTGCGTATCGACATGCTCCGAAGGTAGCTGAACGTAGCGGACTACTGATCCCCGAATAAAACAGTTCTTGACCGCCATCTACAGCAAATAAATTTCAGTCCAACGAAGGAAACGACGATCTTTGCACAAACCATATGCGGATGACGCGCTTCATCGAGCACTTTGATATTATCTAGCCGTATATTCAGGAATCTGAACGTAGACTTTAGGATGAGACGCGTTTCGCGGCATGAGCCAATGCAACACACTGGTCCACAGATTTCAGGACACCGGTAATGGAGAGGTCATTTTTCAGCTCGACAGTGACTTGTTGGTCCGTAAGTGTTTTGAATACAGAGAAAATAAGCTGTTGTTCACTTAGTTCGCAGACATGATCGTTTTGGAAAGGTGAGCACCATGAGGGTCCCAGTCAAGTTTGTCACAATCGGTCACAACGGTTGTGAAAGTTGATTTAGTGCATGGGCATGAATTGCAGAGAAAAACAGTCATGGGCATAATACAGCGGGAGTATCCTAGTTTTGCCACAACTACATGCAGAGAAGCTACTTTTATGCGTGACCAGCGTGCTTCTGTTTGCCAGTCCGAAGCTTCCTGAGGTAGAACTGCGTGCCTTATGAGAAAGAGCAAACAAGATCAAGCAGATGAAGTACCTCCAACTCCTTGCCCTCAAGAATGTAACCATCAGCACGACCAGACTGACCGGGTCGGCTAGAAATGGCAGCATAAAGACGGCCAGCGGCGAATTGAGACTCGAGCAGAGGGTCAATTTTGGCTTCTACACAAGTATGTCAATTGAGAATTGAAGCAAAGAAAAAAAAAGAAGGATATTTACCCTTTTTCTTCTCATCGAGGTTGCGTTGTGCGTGGTGAGAGAGCTTGACGGGTTCAGCGGCGGCGTCACCAGTTGGGGCCTGAGCCTTGCCCTTCTTGGTGACAGGCTGGCCGTACTATTTATCGAATGAGTCGAGCACGCACATAAAGTGCATCCAACGTACGTGAGTCTCATACCACTGACGGAAGGGAGTAGCATCGACTTGGATGATTGCACTCTTCACGAGAGTGTTCGTTCGGACAAGCTCGTTGTTGGAAGCATTATAAACCTTCAAGCAAGTCAAAAATCTCGCAGGCGTACAAGGGCTTAGTTACGCACGACACCGATGAGACGAGTTTTGCGGGTAACATGTTCAGAGCCCCAGGCAAAGTTTCCCGTCTCAAGGCGAAGAGCCCTATACTTGAGGTTTCCACCACGGACACGGACAGAGTGAATACGTTTGGGGCCAAGCTTGGTGTTAGCAGCTTGACGGCCGAGCTCGAATTTTCTTTTTTTGCGGTAGTGGGCGCGCTGAGCGCCGGTCTCGGAGCGCTTGTGCCGTGAGGAGCGGGAGATACCTGACGATCGTCAATGTAAGCCTCAGAAAGCGGATATCGACTCACCCATCGTGAGTCTTGAGGTGAAAGGCGCAAAAGCACTATTGATAACCCATCACATCAGGGACTGCACAATGTCACACTCGACGAGTTACGCGCCCACGTGCTCTGTCAACTTTCTCACGAACCATCATGAACACTGCAGGCTGCAGCGTGCTCAAGAGTATAAACATGCCCTGGGGGCGCAGTTAAGCCCATAATGCCTCTCTTCAAGTACCGCCGTCTTCCTCGAAGAAAGCTCTCCAGCAAACAGGGCAAGTCCATGCAAGATGAGCTTGCGCGCCTCGTCGAATCCGTGGCGGAAACTGCACCGCGGAAGGTTAGCGCATGAGTAGGACCCGCTTCATACTTATCTGTCTAGGCATTCGACGCGGAAATGCAATCTTTCTTTCAACTATTCACTCGCTACTTGGCAGACAAGTCTGGGGGTGAAAAATTGTGAGTGTTACTGAACAGTCATTGTTAACATCCTTACTGGACCCAGAGACTGGAATTGCATCAAGTCCGCAGAGAGGAACATCGTACCATACGATAGCATTTCCAGTGTTGTCGACCATGCATTACTCGAGAAGTTGGCCGTCCTCAAGGTAAACGGTGGACTGGGAACATCGATGGGTAAGCTTTGACCCATCTCTATAGCATACTTCTCAAGATTGCAAGGCATGATTGGTGCAAAGAGTGCTCTCGAAGTGAGGAATGAGATGTCCTTCCTTGATCTAACAGTTCAGCAAATCGAACACCTCAACAAGTCGTTGAATGTGGACGTTCCTCTCATCTTGATGACTTCTTTCAACACCCATTCAGACACGTTGCGTATCATCAAGAAGTACGCCAACAACCAGCTAAGAATAACGACCTTCAACCAGTCGCGGTATCCTCGTATCTCGAAAGACTCCTTGACGCCATGCCCCAAGAGTGCGGATGACGAACATTCCGCATGGTATCCACCAGGACATGGCGACCTCTACAACGCATTACTTCACTCAGGCGTACTCGATCAGCTTCTTGCCGATGGCAAGGATTACCTCTTTGTGTCCAATTCGGATAACCTTGGCGCAGTGTAGCTCTATTCTTCGTGTGTTGGAATGGAAAATTGACAGAGATGCAGCGTCGACCAAAGGATTCTGCAGCATATGGCAGACACCAATGCGGAATTTATAATGGAAGTGACGGACAAAACCAAGGCTGATGTTAAAGTGAGAAGGTTTTCGGATTGAGGGCTGAGATGTTTCTAAAAAAACAAGGGCGGCACATTGATTGATTACAACGGGTCCACGCGTCTCTTGGAAATTGCTCAGGTTCCGCCTGAGTATACCGACGAGTTTAAATCTGGTTTGTCTAATACAGTAACGCTCCTTCAAAAGCTGACAAACGATAGTTCGAAAATTCAAGATTTTCAACACGAATAACTTGTGGATCGACCTCAAAGGTTTCATCATCCCACCGTCTCCTTCATAGTCCAATCTCTTTCAAGCTCTCAAACGGAATATGTTGAACGGTGGCATGGACTTGGACATCATCGTCAACCACAAGATCACTGATAACGGTGATGCGGTTATTCAGGTCCTCTCGCAGCCTCTTGTGTCTTTCTCTTCGACTTATCTGTCCATTCATTAGCTTGAAACCGCTGCCGGGGCCGCTATAAGGCATTTCAACAACGCTCTAGGTATCAATGTCCCGCGCCGCCGTTTTTTGCCCGTGAAAAACTGCTCGGACCTACTTCTCGTCAGGAGCGACGTGTATTCGCTCGAGCACGGCCAGTTGGTCCCCAATCCCAGTCGAATGTTCTCCGCGACGCCCGTCATCCAACTCGGAGACCACTTCAAGAAGGTTGACTAGATTCTCAAGTATTTCTCGCCAATTTTTCAATACTTGTCAGGTACAGCAATTCTTGAAACGCTTTAAAGGCATTCCCTCGATCGTCGAGCTCGACCTCCTCACTATCGTGGGCGACGTTTACATTGGGAGGAATGTCACGCTGCGTGGAACTGTCATTAGTATGGTCAATTTCTCGTTCATGCAATCAGCCCTGATATATATATTTACTAGTTCTTGCTAACGAAGGGCAACGCATAACCATACCAGACGGCGCGGTTCTAGTAGACAGTATGCTTTTTGAATGTGCCCTTCCACTGAGCACTGACCCACCGTTAGGACTTGTGAACGGCAATCTTACCGTCATCGTAAGTGTAGTGTTCAACTTGCCAACGGTTCTCATCCCCCCTGCACAGGAGCTGTAATTTCGGTCCGACGCCGTCACGCTCTAGGATTTATCTAATTCGACTACTACAATTTCCTCGTTAATTGTCCAAGACTATTCGAAGGGGTATCGCGATTATTTTACAGTTCCTGTGAATGTAATGAGAATTGGGTGGAAACTTGGCTGGATATAGCATACAATCAGGTTCAAATTACCAGACACGAGACGGTTCTCCAAAACGCAACCATCCGGCAGATCAATACGCTGTCCCTCGTTGGCGACAACAATGACCGTGCCCCGCAGCGTAATGTTTTTGCCTAAGCACCAGTCAATTCAGCGTTATGCCCATACCAAGTGCGCTCACCGAAATAGACATCGCCAGTAACAGTCAGATGGTCGAGCTCGAGGATCTTGGGGATCTTTTTGAAGCGCTTTTGGAATTGTTGAATCTACCAAGATAATTTAAGCACTCGGTTTCCTTTTGTCGAATACTGCACACCTTCTTGAAATGGTCGCCGAGCTTGATGACTGGCGTGGTCTCGAACATACGAGCCTCGTTGATGACAAGCTGGCCATGCTCAAGCGAGTAGATGTCACTCTTAATCAAGAGGAGATCGGAGCAGCTCTTCACAGGAAGGAAACGTGAGCGAGGTACGTTGATTCCATGAGCGTTCTTGAAGTGCTTGATGGCAGCACCAGCAGCCGTTTCGAGCTATGGAAGGAGTCAACGAGGAAACAACTCAGATCACGGAAAATTACTTGAATGACGGACTGGCCGTCATCAGTGACCTTGGGGTTGATGATAATTTCGAGCTCCATGCCCTCAGTTTCCATGATACGCTTCAAAGCTATACGAGGTCAACATATGCAAAAAAAAGTTGTGGTTGTGCTTACCTTTCAGATTGATCCACAAGTTGTTGGTGTTGAAGATCTTGAACTTGCGAACTGTGCAGGCATCAGCCCACAATCAGCTAGACGAAATGCATAACATACCGGATTTGAAATCTTCGACATGCTCAGAAGGAACTTGAGCAATTTCGAGGAGTCGTATCGAGCCGTCGTAGTCGATGAGCGTTCCACCCTGAGACACATTATCAATTTGCTAGAAGAAGCCATATAACACACCTTGACATCAGCCTTGGTCTTGTCAGTGACCTCCATCAAAAATTCTGCACCTGAGTCGATCATGTGCTGGAGAATTCTCTCGTCCACACTATCAATCGTGTCAGTGGCGTCAATGAAGCAATGTCGCGAACATACACTGCTCCCAAATTGTCTGAATTGGAAACGAAGAGATACTCCTTTCCCTCCGAAAGCAGCTGATCAAGTACGCCTGAATGGAGAAGCGCGTTGTAGAGATCGCCGTGACCAGGAGGGTACCAATGCTTCTTGTCGTCATCTGCACGGCTTGGGCATGGCACGAGTGTTTCCTTATAAATTCGGGGGTATCGCGACTGGTTGAAAGTCGTGATGCGAAGCTGCTGGTTCGCATATTTTTTAATGATGCGGAGCGTGTCTTCGTGGGTGTTGAACGAGGTCATGAGGATGAGGGGGACATCCACGCGGTTGGTAGTGTTGAGATGCTCGATTTGACGGACGGTAAGATCCAAGAAGGTCATATCGTCCTTGACTTCCAGGGCACTCTTAGCACCGGTCATTCCTATAACCATGAGAAACATCCACATGCAACGACAAATTATACCAACCCATAGATGTTCCTAGACCACCATTGACTTTGAGAACTGCGAGCTTGTTGAGGTTCTTGGTGTCAGACGGTGAGGGAAGCTTTGCGTAGGGAATAATCTGGTCTTCAGCGGGTGACTTGATACGGTCCCAGTCGCTATGTCGAGTTAGAGGGTACAAGCGTTGTTCATAAGACGTACAGATCCTGGCTCTTAGCACGTTCTGAAAGATAACGCGTGAAGAGGTAGAAGAACGCTTGCATTTCGGTGTCGAAGGCCTATTGACGTCATTAGAGGAAGAGATGAACGTTCGAGGCGATTGAACGCGCCTTTTTTGTCTGGGGATCAGCAACGGTGGCGACAAGGTGGCTTATTTCGTTGCGCATAGTCTTCGCAGAGACACCGGTAGTTGCAGTCCGGAAGTCGATATGGCTCGTCCCGCGGACTCGAGCGTTGAAAGAGTCGGCCCTGGGCATCAAGTTTGCGTTGGCCATGCTGGGCGAGATGAGGGAAGAGGGAAAGAAGCGAGAATAAGGGCTTACTTGGAGTGGGTGTGGAAGGGCTGAGTTGTTGTTGTTGAAATGAGGTGAGGAGCAGATTGGGTGCGAACAAGTGGAGCCCTGGTACGATGGCGTTTATACTGTGGAGCTGTTGAGAGGTCTTCAGAGTCAGGTTCCTCTGATATAGGCTCAATCCAGTGGCTGACACTGGCTGGAGTCTTATACGTGCTGGTGGTAAGAGTGGAAGCACGAAACTGCTGTGACATCCACGGAACATTGGCCTTGCCAGCAAACAACCAGCAAGGACTTCTTCAGGGTAAAATCGGAGCCAGCGAACGTGCAAGACTTGCCACGATCGAAAGTTTATCTCCGGTTTTGCAGGCGCTTCGCTCAATCGGGAACCACATGTCCATCAGAGCACAAGTACGACAATGTGTCCGAATAGCTTGCTAATAATACACATATATCGGACGCGCGCCTCCCCATAAAACTCTTCCACCACCGAGCAAAGGAGACCCACTAGACACCACCTCTGCAAGAAAGAAATTCCTTCAAAAAGGGCCAGTTTTCATGCATATCGGGGGTAGGCCGGTAGCAGATAGAGCTTTGACAGAAAGGTACATGTCGCTTTCAGCGGTCTTCAGGGTGTGCCTCGTTGTCAGTCCATCCGTCCGTCACCAGTCGAATACTATGAGCGTGTTGAATGGGTAACAGCGGTGATGCTCGAACATTAGCGGGAGTCAGGGCCACAATGATGAAATCCTAGGTCAGATTGTCATTTTGCCGACCCTTGAGACGCTTAACGAACCTTGACCACCAGATGAGCGCAGTTAAAGCTGGCGCAAGTGATGTCTTTCTTGCATTGGACCTCTCCATCCCAATTCAACGATATTTCTGACGGGTCAGAGTCGCATTGTGCCTCAAGGAAAGAAGGAACGACCGCGCGGACATTTGCTTCTCCAATGGTGATGGTCCGCCATGACTGTCGTCCGTTTACAGCATCCAGATAAATCTGCCGAGCCAAAAACACACGGACGACGGCGGAATAAAACCGTTTACGAGGCTTCTTGCCCACCTGAAGCGATTCTGGAGTGATGGAGCCGTAAAACAGTCCAAGCGATGTCGGGGAGCCACATAGTTGGATGTGGAAGGGTATCGATTCAGCCAGGCAGAATGTCTGAACTGAGGGTATAACAAACTGTGTGGGCGTCGATGCAATAAGCAAGTGGTCCGTGCGCAAAGAAGAAACGGACATGACAAGTGATTGGCTTCACCGGCTCAATCGTTTCTCGCGGTCGTGTGGGTATAGTGATCAATGTCTGATGCCATTCGGCTGGCGCAACCTTTAATGAGGACATAAATGATGGCTCTGTAATGAGTGGGCGAGCAGGACGAGTCCCTAGAAACATTGGTCAATACTGGTCAATATAAAAAAGTCTGGACTCACGAGGCCGGAAGATAATTGGCGTAGTAAAACTGTGGATGCATTAGACGAGGGGGAATATACTGAAAGAGTTGACGTTAAGTACGTGTTGGTAGAGCTCTTTCTCAAGGACAATCGCCATGTAGCGACTCTCGTCACTTTGATCGAAAACCTATAAGTGCATTTGACGACGATGAGAGGACTACCGAGACAAATAGTCTTAGATGGAACCATCAACCGCCAGCCAGCACTTTAGATATGGCTCACTGACCTCGTAAGAGGGAGGTGTGCGATAGACGCGGCCCTGTTCCTTGTAGGTCATCGGAAGAGGAACCGCAAATCCCAAGACGCTGGGGCACGGTCGTCCACTGCTTTTCTCAGCATCGAAAAGAGTTCGTCGTTCGTCCACCACCCGTTGAGTGAACGAACCAGTGTCGGTGGATGATAAGTGAACTGCGTCACTAGTGAAGCACGTAGGATATCATTTCGAAGAGGACCCACCATTGCCCTCCAGCTTCGGAAGGTCAGAAAGTTGTAGTCAGCAGGAGCAGAAGTTGAGCACAAGACCACACACACCTTCATCGTGACCGTAATAACATTCTCTGGATTCTCGATACCAATCTCCCCACAGACGGTTGCGTTACGACCATATGAGGGCACCGAAATTGGGTCATCTTCATCTTCGTTCTGGTTCTTGAATATCACGGTCAACTCCCGCCACTTTTTTGTCAAAGTCCCAGTTGCAGCGTCAGGTCGGCCAGCGCGTGGGGTAAATTCAACGGTTGAGTGCCCAGAGCGCGGTAATGAGGCGTAGGAGGGGGCTGGAGATAGGCCGTAGACAGGCAAGGCGACAGACATTCATGAGAGTTGGCGGCATCAAGCTGTTGTGCAATTGGTTTAAAAGGCCGGGATCACATGTTCGCATCTGAACTCCTATTCTTATCTAAACGTCCACCAAGCCAACCAAAAGAATATAAACAAAGGAAACCAAGCCACGTCTCGTATATCGTATAGTACTCCTGCGACAAATCCACGGTTTTCATTGCTTCTGCCTAGCCATTGTTTGAAATATTTTGTGTTGAGCATTAGTCGGCGGCGTTGGCCCATGAGAATGAAAGTCCAAGAATAAACATCAGGGTCGGAACTTTTGTGAGCTGAAGTGGGTCGTGGCAGCGATGAGTTATTTGTAGCCCATTGGTCTCTTCTTCTAGACCGTGCATGTCCTCGACGGTGAAAAGCATTGGCGATGACGATGGCCAAGAGGGAAAGTATGAGGAATGGAATATATGTTGACAAGTAAATGCCCAGTTGATCAGGCATTAAGCACAAAGACTCGGAGTAAGAGATTTCTTGTGTTAGGTGGGGGTCGACGAGCGATAACAGTTGGAAGCCTGGTTTGCGGACGTTCATTACCATTGAAAGGCTCTTGACAGTGACTTCGCGAGCCTGTCTCGGTTGTCCGGCAATGGTGAATGAGTGGCTGACCTCACAGTAATCGTGGTCATCCCCGCTATAAAAAGGTTTGACGCCTCTCTTAAACCTCGGTGGGGTTGATTACCTGAAAATGAGCGATGGCTGGAGGGTTTGAAGAAGCAGGTCCGAGGAAGGTTTTCCGAGTGTGTTTTGATATCCGAAGCCAGAGCCTTGACGGATAGTGCCATGCTCGCGGTTCGGCCCACAGCTAGTTCCCTCCGAGCGCCATAATGGGATATGCGTGAAAAGCAACAGGGGATCTCGTTCGTGGACTGGAATCGAAAAGACCTTAGAACAACCCAGTGTAACGATAGCCAACATACGCTGTGTGTAGTAGCCCTTCACGAATTCGGTGGTACCACCGGGGCTGGGTCCGAAGACGGCTTCCTCTGCCAGACTTGGTGCATCGATGAAAAAGAAGGTGTGATTGGAAATGGTGACTTGACTGTTCAACGGCCCAAAATGCGAGATATAACGCCTTTTGGCTTTGGAAGAGAACTTGTTGGACTTGCCCAGACTAGGAGAAATTTAGACCATTGACAAGGAGTATTAATAACGTGGTGACTTTCCCCGTGTCGTGGTTTCCTGGAATAAAATATGCGGGGATGTGGGGGTCCAAAGAGAAGATGCTTTGGAAACGGGCGTAATATTGTTCATATCTAATATCCGTTATTGATATTTTGAGAAAAAAGTGCAAGACGTACTCCGCATTTGACATGGCATATCGCCCTCCGTCCATCATGTCTAATGCAGCTTGAGTTATGGTTATATTGCTGGAAAACTGACGTAGTATAGACCTCCCAGAAACACGACTATATCAGGACGAAGGCGCAAGGCAGAAAGCCAGCTTCTGCGCAAGTTGAGGTCGACGAGCAGCTGCGTAATGCAGGTCAAGACTGGCGCTCGGTCAGGATAAGACCGGTGGTCAATAATTTGAGGGTCGGCCACAATGAGCACATGGGTTACAGTGGCAGCCTGGATGAAGTCAACTAAGACTGACAAAGCCTGCAGACGACGGACCTTCGGGGTGTTGAGACCTGGATTTGGCCACACACAACGGCCGACACTCCGAACGAATATTTGGCGCTCATACCTGCCTAAACTCAGGGAACGCGTCGTGTAGTCTAATGAGGACGAGACTGACCAGAGAGTCAATATTGTCCAAGCGAATCTTAGTCCATTGACGACATGGCGCGGCGAGACCATGAAAGCTGGGGGACAAGTCAAGGACAAGTATGGAATCCGAGGGTGAGAGAGAGAGAGAGAAAATTACCTGTAACTTCAAGGTCACATCCACATCGTTCACACCTGCTCTTTACTGGCACCTTGATGTTGAACCATCGTATCCAAAGGCTGAGCCAAAGCACGGGTCAAGTTCAGCACCATCGTAGAACGCAACTCCAAAACTGGGCTATTACCCCAACTACAATGAGTCCGATGAGCTGAGCGACAACGAATATAATCCTTGGAGTTCCTTGGCAGCAGGTTGCCTCAAAGTTCAAACATCTCTCAGTGTTTATCTCAGTCATCTGGCATATACAGGCTTGAACTGTCGATGCAATGACAACATTGACTATCTGGTTACCCAGACTTTCTTTGAACAAGATTGAAGAAACGAAGAAACGAACATGAACCAGCTCAAGTCGGTCAACAAGCCAATTACATCGCCGCGGCAAGGAATACCGAAAGTGGTCACAACCCCAAAGACCCCAAAGCAAGTCACTCACATGGCCAACTGGAATGCGAGGTAGAGAAGTTCCAGCCAGCAGCTCCAGGCTATGATTCGAGCAAAGGCGTTCAGAGATCTTGAAGGAGAGGAGCCAGTGTCCCGACTGACGAGAGCCACCCTTCAGAAGACCAGCTACAGGAGACTGGGCAGTAATTCAAGGCAGCGATGGTAACGCAAAGCAAGCAGACCTCTTGTGAGATGCGGGTCTTGACGTCGACAGTGGATAAATCATCAAGCTGAATAGTCAAAACAGTTCGAAGATGACCACGGTCCGCAGCGCCTTCAGCTCGTAGGGTCAGATTAGGGAATGACTCCGTGGCACTAACATCGGTAGTGTTCTGCATGCATGCATATCTTTCGGCTGCGGCGTGCAGTTTTTGTTCCATAGCTTCACTCAAGTAATTGAATGTATTCAAACTCGTTGACTGGCAGTGGAAATCATGCCTGGATCTTACTCAGTATACTAGAACCAAGCGAATCCAGATTGCATTTTTCAACAGTTTCCTTTTGTAGGTCCGACTGCAGTGTTTAACGCCAGTGGACGGCATTGCTAGACAAGTTTCATAGACAAGTTTCAAGATCTTTTGCTCGAATATTAAATGGACATGGAGGCCACACACAACTTCCCACGCCCTTGGACTTCCTTTAGAGCAACCGGGCCATCCCGAACGCGTTGTCCGTTTGTTGCAGTCGCTGGGTCCAGATACCGAAGGCTCTAATGATGCGTTGCCTCGGTTGCGTGACCATGGTCGTCGCCGTTGTGGTTTAGGAATGGGTGCTGGCCCTAGAGTACAAGGATCGGTAAATATAGTGGCCAACATGTTTTATTTGAACGCACCAATAGTTTTCCGCCGTCTTGCCTAGGGGAAGCGAAATATGAGACCACATAGATTGCAGAACACAGGTATATGACGCACCGCAGTCGGTAGAAAATAAAGAACCACATCGTGGCGCCAATGCCTTTAGCAAGTAGTGTATAGCCGCGACCAGGAAGATGTGGGTGGAAGCCAGGGGCTGAAAGCAGATAAGCAGTGAGAGTTTGATTCCGCGAAAGCGAACAGACGATGGTGGCCGGCCATTTGAGAGAGTGGTGTCACATGTGTCACATAAACTGCTCTTGCTTTCGTTCAAATCGGCTGGGCGTTTATGGAGAAGCGCAAACGCGCTGCCGTCGATTCCGACGTGGTTACTTTGATATATGCCGCTCCAGGACACAAACGCTTCGCCAAATTGTTGACAGGTTCGTGGCCCGTCGCGCTTTAGCATTTGTTGATTCCAAAGCAGAGGCGTCGCTGGACGAAATCAAGGAGGTCGTAAGAAAACGCCTGAATTTCCCGTCTGCCTCGAGCTTTCTACTTTCGTATAATAACGACATCGCCTTGGAGAATGGTATCACCCGTCACTCAAGTTTAACTTCGGTTTGAGATATGTTCAGACGACGATTTCGACGCGTTTATTGTTTACACAAACAAATCCTCCTCACCTTCCATCGACGTTCTGATTGAGATCAAGGACTTGACTGTAAGTTTACATGGAACGCAACCTTTCTTGACCTAACTGTGATAGACGCTTCCTCACCTTCCTCAGCCAATCGACAATGCGATTTCCTTCATCATAGACCAGACAAAGACGACGACAACAGATACTGCTCCACCTCCTAAGAAGCGGAAGGTCGCCGATGATTCACTCCTCGTTCCCGCCCCAACAGAATCTGCATCTGCTGTCAAAAGTATTGCGACGACAACCAAACCAATTTCCACAGCTGCAAAAGCCAAGAAGCCCAAATTAGGTGAATTCGTTCAGGGGGGTTCCAATCCAGCAGCGGGCCAGAAGAAGGCAACGGAAAGCAACGATATTGTTGTCTTGGAAGGCCAAGATGACCCAAAGAGGAAATCGCAAATTGCAGGACTACCTGAGAGCACAGCAGCCGCACCCAAAGCAGCGTCGAGGAAAGACGCCAGCTCCAGATGCCCCTGCGGAGGTGAAGAAAACAAAAAAGAAAGCAGAGGGACGTGGAAAAACACCGGCTCCAGATACTCCTGTGGAAGGTATCAAGGACAAACTCAAGAGAACCAAACCGAAAGCTGTAGCACCTCGCAGAACGAAGAAGTCTGTGGAGGAAAATGATGATGATGGTACGAGTTCTTCGTTCCATGGTTTTCAGGATGACCTTGCCCACTTCATCACAGGGGAAGTGATGAATGTTCAATCAACAGCCCAATCGAAAGGTACTTGACTTCCCATCGAAGTGTATCTTAACGTCGACCTTTGTAGTGTCCACGCAGAACGAAGGTATCGAACCTGCTGCCAGTGGTGAGCTAATTGACGCGCTTCATTACTTACTAACATATTCCGTTTGCAGGGCCGGAAGCCTTCTTGAAAGGACTTGTTAACGCCATACCGGGTCCCATTGGGGTGGAACAACCCAAGCCAAAGGCCAAAGCAAAGAAAGACGCTGTGCCCATATCCAATGTGAATCTTTCTTCGGTCTCGGGCGCGGAGACTGCAGGGGTATCTGATGCATCTGTTGGCCACACAGATCCATTAAAACAAGCTGCTCGCAACGAAAAGGAAAGTTCAGATTCGGATTGCGATACTCCTCATCCCCCACCTAAATTAAGTCGGCCTTCCATCACCGACATGGACTTGGATTTAGAACTAGACGCCATCACGCGCAATCCCAACATGAGCGTGGCAGATCTCATTACAGAAGATGATGACGAGGGAGAAGGAGAAAAGCAGAATGTTGTGCTGGAGACGGACAATGAAGACGACCTTCACTTTCGTCGACGCTCTCGGCGGTTTTACAATGTTGAATCAAGCGACGACGAGGGAGTTGATGAGCGACGTTCGATTCCTCCTGTAGAAGTTCCTGAATCACGACGATCATCTCTTCGTTCTCAAACCGCGCCGCTCCTTCGAAACCCTCCAAGTTTTGACAAATACCCAACAACAACTCTTATAGATGCCCACCAAACTCAATCCACAGATATCGACTCGTCAGGTGACCGCGCTGTTGACCAGGTCATGGCTTCTGATGAAGCTATGTTTGGTCTCGCTATTCGTTCTGGCTCCGAGCGTGCTGCAGTCGAAGAAGATCCTATCCTCCCTGCCGACGAGTTTCCTCTTATACCGAATCCCGTCTGCGACGAATCTCCTTCACCTTCTCCCCAGGATGCAGTCTTGCGTCAAAAAGGTCACAAGCGGCTATCTCAAATCGAGCCACCCATCACAATCTCGCCTAAGCCTGAAGAAGTGGTCGAGAAAGCTCTTCCTCCGAAGCTTACACGCAAGAGGAGTGCAGCTGCCCTAGCCACGAATCCCGATGAACCACCTCCAAAACGTGCTCTTCGCGAAAAGACGGTTGAACCAGAAGCACCTGCCCAACGTAGAAAACGCGGTCCGAACAAAACTCCCGAGCAAAAGGCACTCGAAGCTGAAGCCAAAGCTACTCTGAAAGAGGCACTCGAGAAGGTCAAGAAGGAAAAAGGCTCCGCGAAAATAACGGCGGAGCTCAAGGCATTCGAGGCTCAAGCGAAGGCTGCTTATAAAGAGGCGATGCAGAAGTCGAAGAGAGATGGGGGTCTGAGGAAACCCCCAGAGCAAGAGGCATTTGAAGCTGCCGCCAAGGCTGCTTACAAAGAGGCGCAGGAGAAAGCCAGAAAAGAGAGAAATTTCAAGGCATTGGCGTTGAAGAAAATCGCTCAGAAAAACGTTGCTATTTCACCGGATGCAGAGCAAACAACACCCATGTCGACCGCTAGTTGGACAGTTTTGGCGCCAGCTTCATCTCTTGAAGACGCCAACTTGGCTGATGAATCCCAGCGCGATGAACTTCGTTCGAGCAGTCGAGAGCCCCATGTTGCGAACCAAAACTCGGACGACGAAGAGGAGGAAGAGATCAACATACAGCTGACTGCGCGTTCCCAATCGAGCAAGAATACGCCGTCTACTACTACGTATCGTCGACTAACCGACATAACAAGTCAACCGTTTGCCACGCCCACACTCAGTAACACCCCAAAGCTAACCTCGACTGTTCCGCGGGTACGGAAAGGACGGAAAGATATGTATGGAGACGATTCTTCAAGTGATTCGTCGGATGAGCAGGAGGTTCAGTCTCATATTCCAAAGTCGCGTCGAGCTGGTGCCAAAAAATAGCCTAGAAATCGCTTGTAAATAAATAGTGAACATCAGAGAGAAGACCGAATGAGTGACTCGTCGTGACGCTTGTCAATTTTTACCCTCACCAGGTTTATGCTTTACACCAAATCTACACGCGACGAGTGGGTCCTTTCGTCCGCTTGGAGCTCATATTCAATGATATTGACCTTTTTCAGCTACCTCAGCGACCAAGTCTTCACCCTCCTCAAATAAACTTGCAATACCATGTTCTTTCGAAACGCTCTATTTATTCCCCGTTTCTCTCGTGGGTTGGCGAGCCATAGCGGACCTTTGGCTGCTATCCCCGCTACCCTCCATCTCAAAACTGGCCAGTCATTCATTGGTCGCTCGTTCGGTGCTCCCAAAAGCATCTACGGCGAGACTGTGTTCTCCACCTCGATCACGTCATGTCTGTGAAAATTTTCATCCGCCTCATTTTCTGCGTCTCACATCGTTTGTACAGATACTGAGTCGATGACGGATCCTTCGTATCGTGGCCAAATCCTTGTTTTCACAACGCCTCTCATCGGAAATTACGGTGTTCCCCTCAACCAAGCTCCAATTGATTCCCAGGACGTTGGAGTGGTGCTGGAATCCCAACGAATTCAGTGTGCCGCTGTTATTGTTGCCGATGTCGCGGAGAAGTTCTCCCACCACACCGCTGTTGAGTCTCTTGCTGCTTGGTGTCGGCGTCACGATATTCCGGGCATTACTGGTGTCGATACACGAGCAATCACTCGCTTATTACGTGATCAGGGCACGACTCTTGGTCGCATTGCGGTCGGTGATGATGTCTTAGCTCCACCACCCCAAGCTGAAGAGTACTGGGACCCGTCGAAGGAAAACCTCGTTGACCAAATTTCGACGAAGGAGCCATATCAACTGAACTCTAATGGCTCTATCAAGATCGCCGTGCTCGATTTCGGTGCCAAGGCGAACATTTTGCGCTCACTCGTCCGCCGTGATGCTGCTGTTACCGTTTTACCTTGGAACTACGACTTCAATTCCATACGCGACCAATTCGATGGTCTTTTCCTTACGAATGGACCAGGTGATCCAGGACATTGCATGGAAGCTGCTCTCAAGCTCCGTAAGACGCTCGCAGAATGGGACAGGCCTGTTTTCGGTATCTGCATGGGTCACCAAATCATTGGAATGGCTGCCGGACTAGATGCGTATCGTATGACTTTTGGCAATCGTGGTCATAACCAGCCCGTTCTTGCGCTTGCTTCTGCTGGCTCAATTACTGCCGGCAGGGTGTATGTTACGAGGTTAGTGTTTCTCCACTTATTTTTTTGCCACTGGAGAAATCTAACTCACCACAGCCAAAACCACCAATATGCGCTGCAACTTCAAGACCCTTTCCCGCATGGATGGGAACCCTTCTTCATCAATTGCAACGATTCTTCGGTGGAAGGCATCAAGTCCACAATTGATTCAGGCAAGAAGGTGTGGGGCGTGCAGTTCCACCCAGAGAGTGCTGGAGGTCCGCTTGATACGATTGAGGTTGGTGTCTTTATCTGGATTGCGACCGGCCGCCAACTTTTTCTTAGATGTTTACTGACTTCATCTCGGAATGTCGGAGTCATAAAGAATCAATCTCTGGCAGGGTGTCTACGACGGTCGCGCCAACCCGACCACGGGTTGCTGTTGGCGCTGGCGCATAATTAGATTGGACTTGTGTGTGTTTGTGTAGTTTTTGGAACCCATCACGTCATTACCTTTGCCTTCACCCACGATGAATAGTTTCTTGGATCCGTACGACTTGACGTCGGGAACTCCGCCGCAACAGTCAGAGCAGAGTCTTAACGAGGAAGTATCGCAAGCCATTGGACAGGTTGGCCGTTTGTGGGGTGCTTTTCGCAAACAGGTGTGTTGAGCATCCACACAAAATGAACATCTCCCCACACTCTACTCAGAGCCAGAATGCTCTCGAGACAGCACGTAAAGATTTCAGTGGCGTTGTATCGCAAGCTCAACAAGAACTGAGTCGACTGACCATGGAGACTCCAAAGTCCCCTGAGCCAACTCAACCAGGCTCTGATTCTGGCGACGAATCAACGACTCCACGAACTGGCTCGCCTGCAGTACAAGACCCTTCGACAACTACTACTGCCGGCCTCTTCTCTCGTCTCCAATCCGCCTTACCTCCCAACATTGTCGCGACCGTGCAAAGTCATATTCCCGAATCGCTCAAGAATGCTTCAGAAAACATCGATTTCGCCCAGATGCGCTCAACCCTCACATCAGAATTCCAACGTGTGCAAGGTGTTACTCGGGCCCAAGCTGAAGAGTATGTCCACAAGAGTGAGGCTTTACTGCGTGATGCGATGAAGGAGGCTGGAGAGGTATTACGGGACGCAGTCAAAGTTGTCCCTCCCGATGCGCAGCAGTCTGGAGTGGGTTCGAATAGCGTTTCGTGGGACGGAACAGACCTTTGGATGATGCCATTCGATGGGCCAGAGTCAGGCGGAAAAGGAAGAGAGAGAGCCGCATCGCAGTCGGCAGCCGACAGTCAACTGGCTGTCGCAACTCGTGCAGAGGCATTGCTCAAACGTCTTCGCCACGACCCAGAAATTATCAAATTGGATCCAGAGGCAGATGCTGGTGTGAAGGAAATATATACGCAATGGCTCGCCTCGTCCATGAAGGATGGTTTGGAGAGCGACGAGTGGACTGCCAAGATCACGGCTCTCTTGAATGACTCTCCCGATGGTCAAGCATTACAAGCCAACCAAGACTCTTTGGGTATGATTAAACTTTCTCTCGAAGCTGGTTAATTTTCCAAAACCTCGTGTAGTACCGTCGCTGCTGACTCGTGAAGTGTTTTGGAAGCGCTACTTCTTCCGCGTCCACCAAATTGAACAAGAAGAAGAGAAGCGCAAGGCTTTGCTACAACGTCGGTGCTCTTCATGATCATCCACTCGATGCTCAACATCTCATTCTCGCAGGTTCGACTACTGAAAGCGAGGAAGATTTCAGCTGGGAGGACGATGACGACGCAACGCCTGGGGCTGCAACAGCCAAGTCTCCAACAGCAGCATCTGACGCCGCACATACAGTTATCTCTGTTCCGTCATCTGGAGCACCAACACCAGCAACTACCAGTCCACGAGAGAGTAGTGAAGAGAGCTATGATGTCGTGTCCTCTGATGGCGCAGGGAAAGACAAGGCTGACAAGAAGGCTGCAGAGTCCGATAATGACAGTGATTGGGAATGAATTCTAAATATGTACGACTATGTCGCTCGACTAAACAGCAATTCTGGACTTAGGCAATTAGGCTCATTACAATCGTTCTGGCTTAAATTCAAACTGCTGGGTGTAAGCATACCTTTTTTTTGAGTGTAGCTTGCATATTACAAACAAACAAACAAACAGACTCAAATCTATTTCAGAGTTGGAGTAGGAGCTCCGAGGCCGGGCCGATGGTCCGCGTACGGTCCGCAATGCAATCTGAGGTTCGTTCCAATTTGAGTCGACGACACAGCGATGCAACGGTTTGGCTGAGTAAAATTCAATTAATTGGCCCGGCACGAGCCGTAGTCCACTTTACAAGGCTCTTGTCGCATTTAGTCTGTCTTGAAAATAGCAGAGAGCCTGTCACATTGTGACCCCGTTTTCTGGCCGTTCCACGTCTTGCATCAATCTTGTCTTCGACGTCTTCTACTGCGGCTTCGCTTTAGAGGCTTGAACCGTTACTCTCGCGTCTAATCGGCGTGACCAAACTCTACTTTGGTGGCTCTGCAGCACGCGAATGGGCGTGAGTTCGCGCCGAAAAGCAGCCAGGGCGAATAGAATCTCCCGCACCCTCTCACGGACAGTCGTAATCAATTCTCTTCGCCTGGGATGGATCGTTGCGCTCGTCGCTGGCGAGTTGGTGAGTCAAACAACTACTCAATTTGGATATGATTTGTATTAATGCCGTCAGGGCGTCTACTTTTACTCTCTGTCTTCCTGTAAATGGCCTGAGCGGGTAAGGAGTTGTGTTATCTTGTCTACGTGTAGTTTAACACTCGGTCTCTAGAACGAATGGCGTCGTGGAAAGCCGACACATGTACTCTTGATATCAGACCCTCAAGTTCGCCATCCATCTGTCTCATGGAGGAGGCAAAGCCTTCGTCAAACTCTATATGAGGTCAGTGCAATTGTTTGCCAATATGTCTGGTGTTTGACTCGCTAGGCCCTTTACGAGCTCAACCTGAAACGCAGTTGGCATGTAACCCAACGATTGAATCCGCACGCCGTGTTTTTTCTTGGTGACATGCTCTCGAGCGGCAAGTTTGTGAGATCAGAAGCAGAGTATGCCAGCTATTGGCGCAAGTTCCAGCAGATTTTCCCCGGCGCCCCATCGTCCCCCCATTACTACATCCCAGGCAATAATGATGTTGGGTCAGTTAATACTGCCTGACTTCAATTTAGCTGAACGATGATGTAGAATGGGTCTTTCGCATTCCTCGCCGAAGAATGTTCGCTTATACTACTCGAATGTGGTTGGCCCATTCAACCGACAAGGTGAGCGGGAAAAAAAGTTAGAGTCGCCAGACTAACATACACTAGTTGTTATTCGGGACCATGTTTTTGTGTGCTTGGATGCGCCGGGACTAGTCGACGACGACTATCAACGATCGGGCACGCCATACGACCACTGGAGTCCAGCTCATGGAGGTAGCGTTGAATTTGTTAAATCATTCGTCCATGGTGTGTCTACCATGTTTTTACTCACCAAACCGAAGAGCTCATCTAACATGACCCAGACTCGCGACCTACAATTCTTCTCTCTCACATTCCCATGGCGCGACCAGATTCCGCATCTTGTGGCCCTCTTCGAGAAAAGGGTACAATTCGCAGAGGCGTCGGTCATGGGTATCAAAATACTCTCGGCAAGCACACTACTGCATTCCTCCTGAATGCAATCCAACCATCTGCTATATTCAGGTTTCTCGTTTTCTGCTCCCTTCAAACCACGCTAAATCGGCCCTCTCAGCGGTGACAATCGGGATTATTGCGAGTTCAATCACACTGTCGATTTGGAAGTTGCAGGAGGTTCAAAATCGGTCCGCGAGATCTCCATCAAGTCATTCTCAATGTCTGTGCACATTAAACGACCCGGATTTCAGCTTCTCTCGCTGGTAATTAGACTGAGATTTAAGTTGAGTGGATTTAACCCTAACCCTAGGTTGACCCAACGACGTCTGGAACGTCGATGGCCGACACCTTGTGTTTGCTTCCGGATACCGCCAAGATATATGGCTCTCTTTACACACCTTTTGCGCTCTTAACACTCATCTTCCTCTTCGTCTTCAACATCTATCGGTCCAAACGGTTGCGAAACGCCCCTCTTCCACCAATGTCGCTTTCCCCGTTGAGCAGCAATGACCACAGTCCTAATAATCTCGGCGCTGCCTCTCCCTGGTCTCCATTCACACCAGCGGTCCCATTGAGTCCACGAAACAAACTCCCACCATCACTGAGGACACCAAATGCGACTCCCGGACCCACAATGCGAGCCTCGCGACCTGCTACGCCATTAGGGTCACCTATGCTCACCCCTGCTATCATTTTTCAAGCAGACGAAGACGAAGATGATACACTTTATCCGGCGCAATATGCCATGCAAAGAAATGGACATATTGACGACGAGGAATGGCCTGCTCCGCGTGATGACCCTGCTCCTGCTTTTTTCCTGCCAGCGCCAGGAAACCCAAAACCTGTAGCTGTGTCACATGGCTGGAGTTGGACGTTTGTTTTTCGTGGTCGGAGACGACGAATGGCATTGTCTATCCCCACTTGGAGGTCCTTGCTTGATCTCGTTTCGCTGTTGGCCCCCGGTAGCGACTCAGACATGATTCTGCGTCGAAAAGGCTTGTTTTGGGCAACAATTGCGGACGTGTTGGGTGTTCTGTGGCCAACAGTCCTGTTATGGATCATTTTTGCATGGTGGATGCTGTAGTTTGTACTACCATTTATCATCCGTATATATAGTAGAGTGTACTAGAGTCACCGGCCTTGCCCTGTTATAATATTGCCCGGGATCTGAGCTAATGCAAAACAAGCGAGACCCAACACTTGGGAGGTGAAATCAGTGTGGACGTCTGTGGTAGAGGCTGAACAACTCACAATACCCACTGATTTTCTCTCCAGGCGAGTGGAAATACACACTCGTGGTCCCACATGCAAATAACCAAGTCAGTATCAGCCCGATATTGGTGTAGACGGCAATCGTGTGGGGTGTAGACCATCTTGTGAGGGAAAATGACGGACTGATTTGCTGAGCGAGGAGCAGTACGGAGAGTGTGAGAAGGAATATATGTCCGGAGACGTCGTGACCTTTGCGTAAGCGGGGAGTTGCGCGCCAGTCAGTGGGCAACGTGAGCGACTGGGACGTGAAGAATGACGCATGTGTTTCTGGGGAGATGGTTGTGCGGGTGTGGCAGTATTCTGCTGGCAACACCAGAGGTTGGCCGTCTGGAAGGGGAACCACGCATTCTCCACCAGAGACAAGAATAACGCGTTCGAGTAGTCCGGGCCCGAAAAACCAAGCAGTGAAAAGCAGCCATGTCCCCGTGGCCGTCAACCAACGACTCAGGCGACGAAGGCTACGTGTCGAAGGGGTCCCCGTGATCCAAGCAAGTATAAATGCAGCTGAAGTCCATCCCCAAGCCTTCTTTATGAAGTATACATTCAATGGGTTGCCCTTGCTCGCGAAGCGGTGGGTTTGGCTGAGCGGATGGGGCAGGTGGGTGAGGAGAGGATTGGAAGTGTCAAGGTATGTGCCGTATGCGACTGAGTAGATTGTCCCTACAAGCACTATCGTTGAGACGAGCGCGAATGTCAGACGCGTCGCGGTAGACATTGTGGGTGGAGAAGAAAAGACGATGACGACATCACAGCCGATCCAAGTTTCTATTTCCATAAATGGTGGTACAACAACATTTTCTTTCTCGTCTCTACAGCCACTCAAGGAAGTCGGGGGTGAAATAAGTCAAGATAAGAGTTGCTCCTGTGTGAGGGATTAATGTGAGGTAGCGTAAGGCACAAGAAAGATACTTACCGGCTCGAAGCATACCATCGACAGATTCAAAGGCCATGTCGCGGAGTGAGTAGACTCCCGCTTTGGCGCCAGCATGTATCATAGCAAACTCCCCGCTAACCTGATAGCAGGCTAGAGGGTGGTCTGGAGCGATTTGGGCTGCATCCGCAATGATGTCGAGATATGGCATGGCAGGTTTGACCATTAGAATATCTGCACCTTCAACAACATCGCGTTGCTAGAGCTATTCAGTACACCATTGAATAGAAATTAACATAGACATACAAGAGCACGACGAGCCAGTCCACGACCAGCGGGTGGAAGTTGATAGCATTTGCGGTTTCCAAAAGAAGGAGCACTACCAGCAGCATCTCGGAAAGGCCCATAGAGTGAAGAGGCAAATTTGGCGGAGTAGGACATAAGAGTGCACTTGTTTCCAAAACCGTTGTCGATGAGGGACCGTTTGATATACTTGATTCGACCGTCCATCATGTCGCTGGGGGCAACACAGTGGGCTCCCGCTCGAGCGTAGTTGAGAGCTACTTCTGCGATGCGTTCAACTGAAGGCTCAGTATTGATAGTCCCATCTTTGTGGAGAACACCACAGTGACCATGATCCGTGTATTCACAAAGACAGACGTCGCAGGCAATGTAAAGGTCAGGGAATAGCGAGCGAAGTTTCTTGATCGCAAGGATGACTGGGCCATTTTCGTCGTCTGCGGGTGTACCGCGAAAGTCCTAACCATCGTGAGAAGCTGCTCCAGGAGAGCCCGAAGTGACACGTATACCTTTTCGCAGGACATTGGGACGCCGAAGAGGATAACACTCTGTAGACCTTTTGCGACTAGCGGGCCAAGGAAGCCCTCCAACTTGTTAACGCCCCATCTAGACTGGCCGGGAAGAGTCGGAATGAGCTGAGAGGCGTCTGGATCGTCCGTAATAAAGATTGGGTACATCAGCATAGATTTTGTCAATTGCCGCTTGCTCTGCCATTGCCTGCTGAGTGGGTGCTGGTAGCCGCCTTGAAGAATTGACCTGGAAATCGTAAGATTGCTCATAGTCGTTGGTGTGAGATTACGAACGAGATATCCATGGTGGTGGGATGAAAGAGAGTGTCGGGGTCAGCGGTACTCGTCTAGCCGAGCGAAACTTAGTTTGATGGTGGACGCGTGACCGATTACAGCATGACTGTGACGTAGCGTGACCCACTTGTTTATTCCACCACGACGACTGCGCGCGACGCGATGTTGTCGCTGCACACCCCTCCACGAACGACAACCTACGAAAACTCGCCATTGCTTACGCCATCTCCGCTTAGACCACGCCAGAACTCTCCATTTAGACCACGTCCAATAACGCCAGAAGATTCAGATGCGGCCGTCTTTCTTGCTCCACAACAACCGTTGCTCACGCCAGCCAAGCCGGTGCTGAGTCGGACACCACTCTCGCTCAATACGAATACACAGGGCGTAAAGCGGAAATCATCCCAACAAACATCAACCACTACACCTCTTCGAATTGTGTCTCCCAACAACATCGCGTTCCATCGTCTTGCTCCCCCACAATTTACTACCCGTACTCCCCACTCGGTGGCAGAGACTGACGCTCATATTCGGAGTCATACTGCCACCCTCACCCGTCTTCGAATCTCAGAGCTCCAAGACGAGTTCGATGACGAGCTCCCTGTTATCTCCCGCCAAGAAGAGGTAGTCGAGGCGAGCTCGCCAGGTGGACACATAACTAAACGACGCGCTCGGTCGCGTCCAGTTTCCCAAGAATTGCTGGAAGGAACCCCATCACCCGTGAGTCAACAAACGCGGTGTGGTTTCTTTGACTCCTTCTGACTTGTATTAGGTCGAGTTTCCAGTCGCTCGCAAAAGAACCGGATCACAGTCGAGTGTTTCATCCTCCGAGGCAGGCTCGCCATTGCCTCGTCGTCGATTGGTGCCAACACGAGCCCCTCTTGAGCGGATTGAAAGTGCTGCCACTCTCTTTTTCGGCCCCGCAATCAACCCTCCACCTTCCACTCGTTCTCGTATCACATCTCCAGCCCTCCAGCCTACTACTTCCCGCTCCTCTGCTCGACACAGCTACGCCGGTCCAAGCAGCAATATTCCCCAGTCATGGAACGAGATGCAAAGTCGGACAGCGACTCCTTCTCCGGGCTCTTCTCCACCACGTGTTTCTATCATGGATGAAGACCACGACCAAGATATGTTTTTTGCTGCTTCTCTCCCGGAGCCATCCATCAGCGGTCCTTCTCCACGACCGCGGCCACCACCAGCCACCATTCCCAAAAAGTACAACATGCGGGACTCGGGGGTTGCATTGAGTGAAGACGATGACATGGACCATCCCATGCCCCAAGCTTCGACCAGCGTCAGCTCAATATATTCTGACGATGGTCTCGTTACCCCCGGTCTTGAACCAGAAGCAGGTTCTGGTTGGCCCACAGTTTTCACTGGGGACACCAACTCCGAAATGGATGTCGATGATTTTATTCAACGAACGTTGGCGGCAGGTGCCAAAACTACAGCGGCGACACAACCCAAAGAAGGCTCCCGGCACTCCGGTTAAAAGAGTCAAGACAAGCTACCTTGTGGGCGACCGGCCCTGGCAAAGCGCTGTCGCGCACAAAGTCGGACTTCCTGGATTTATGTTTGAACCGAAGAATGGCAAGCCACGAAAAAGTTTACCGGCAGCTTTTCCAGCATTGGGCCGCAATCCGAGTCAACCGACACAAGACATTGGGACTGACTCTGAAGGTGAAGATGAAAGCCCAAGCGGGCATCGGGATAAATATGTTGGTTTGGGTCTTGGTCGACCGATCGCTCGAACTCGATGGCTGTCGCGTCGGAGTAGCAGTGGCGCATTTTCGAGTGGCAGCGACACAAACTCACTCACGGGCACTCCCACGCGAGCAAAAGGACGTGGTATGTCATTTTGTTGAATGCTAATTGACTTTTTGTGTGCCTAATATGTCCGCTTTAGACTGGCACTTGCCCAAGACACATCGACCTATACAGTTTTCACCCTCGAACAATGCACTCAATTTATCTCCTGGCCGGTCTGCTTCCAGCTCTTCCTCTGCCTCCACTATTGGCTCGCCAACTGGAGCCAGATACACTCGTCATCATCCATTCACTCCACGACCCAGTTCGGTGCGTCGTCTGTCGGACCAGTCTGTCGAGCGGGTGGGGTACTTTGAGAGGGAATTTGAAGAGCTCGACGAACTTGGAAGTGGCGAATTTGGCAAGGTCATCAAAGTCAAGTCGAGAACACGACATGGAGAATATGCAGTCAAGAAATCGAAACGATTTGAGGGCGTGCGACATCGGTAAGTCCATTTTGTATCCGCACCCTCGGCGACAAGCTGATTGGATCTCGTTTATTAGACTGAGATTACGGGAAGAAGTCGAGATTTTGCAACATCTCACATGCGGTGGCGTACAACCAAATGTTTTGACATTTGTCGACAGCTGGGAGGAAGACGATGTGCTCTATATTCAAACGGAGCTGTGCGAATTAGGCAACTTGGCTCATTTTCTCTGGGAGTACGGCCGAGTCTTCCCGCGACTTGACCAAGCTCTCATCTGGAAAATCATGGTTGAGCTTAGTAACGTGAGTGGTTTTTCTAGTTGTCTGGTCGTCAGTTATTAAAGAAGAAACCAAGGGTTTGCGCTTTATCCATGGCTCGAATGTGATCCACCTCGACATCAAGCCGTCAAATATCTTTGTGACTGGGGACCGTCGCCTAAAAATTGGGGATTTTGGAATGGCATCGATATGGCCCCGAATTGTTGAAGCGGAATCTGTCGTCGGGTTTGAAAGAGAAGGCGATAAGATGTACTTGGCGCCAGAAGTCTTGCAAGGGCGGTACGGGAAGGCTGCTGATGTGTTCAGGTGGGTAGTCCTTGTCCGGTTTCAGCGGAATTTTCACACGTCGCAGCTTTGGCATGACAATGCTCGAGACAGCATCTAACATTGTAGTGCCCGACCAGTAAGTGTGGTCTTGCGGAAGCTTTGTTTTGTGGGCTAACAGAAAGAACAGAGGCGACTCATGGCTGCGTCTTCGCCGAGAAGACTTTTCACAAATCGAGATGGATGACATGCCGGAACTGTTTAGCTTGATTCGGGCAATGATGCGTACTGAACCCGACGAGCGTATAGACATTGAAGGAGTTTGGGGTCATGGAATTGTCTCAAGAGCACGAGAATCGATGCTTGCAACCGGAGGAGGAGGGGCACTAGAGGGAGGATCAGGGCGGCAGTTTTTATGTAGTATCTTGGCTGCTTGACGACGACAAGCCACACAATCTATCAACTTTGATGATGGGGAACGGCAGCTTTTCTTAACTTGTTTCTCTTTCCATCCCTCTCTCTTCCTACTTATAAGCGGCTGGCTTATGCTTCCTCATCCACACTTTCGTTCAGCCCCGACCTATCCTCCGAACTGGCATCCAATGGCCCCCGGTGTCGACCCAACTGACTACAGAGCCTTCTATCCATACACACCAAACGAAGTCAAACATCGCAAGAGGACAACGAGCGCCCAGCTCAAGGTCCTTGAAGGCATATTCAAACGCGATACCAAGCCAAATGCCGCCCTCAGAACAGAATTAGCCTCGCAGCTGAACATGACCGCCCGTGGTGTCCAGGTTAGTCCTCAGTAGTCTGTTTTTTTTTCGGTTCAAACACTGTTATTAGGTATGGTTTCAGAACCGACGGGCAAAGGAAAAGAACAAGGCTGCAAAGGCACTGAAGAAGGATGCCTCTTCGCCGTCTGAAGACGGTGAACCCTGCGATTCACCCTCTGAGGCTGTCCCTTCGCTTTCGTCCAGTTTGTCTCCTTCCCCAACCCAGACAAGTCCACCTCAGCTTCACGTGGTCACCGACTCTGCCAGCTCGTTCGGACTTGGGTCGCCAGTGATTGAAACGCCAGATGACGAGCTGCCTTCCTTGCATAGCATGCGCCGTGGATCGCTACCTGTCGTCGGCTCGCTTGTTGATCCTTTAGACCCTCTAGCCAGGCGTCGTTCAGTCGACGCTAGTCTAGCCCGTCTTCCTCACAATCCCTATGCGGCAATCGCTCGGGCAAAGAATAGTGCCCTCCTTGCCACTCAACGACTTTCTGCTGCCCGCCAACAGCCTCGTAGCGCCGCCTATATGCGGCCAGTAATGCCACATAGGACAACAGTTCCCATCCAACACACTCGTCATTCCTCTATGGACGCCAGAGGCTATCGAATTCCCCAATCCCCTTCACCTTCTCCCTTGTCACCTTTCCATGCTGTATCCATTCGTGACCACCATCTCTACCCAACCCGCAACATCTCAGCTCCACTTCCCGGGCCACTACCAGCGTCCGGCTACTCATTTGGACAGGCCAACACAACTTGCTCAACAGACACCAGCGAGCACAACTCGCCCGTCGACTTCAGCAACTTCGCATTCCCTCGACCCGATACTGACACCGAAGACGAAAGCTCTGTGTACCAAGTTTCGCGCTTTGGCTCAATTGCGAGCGAGTCGAGTGCAACGAGCGGGTTTTACTCGGACATTTCGAACGAGGCGCCCGACTTCCGAAGACGCGAATCTTGTCCAACTGGTTTTTTGAGCTTGATGTCTGGCTTGGATGTCAACGCACCGCGACGGGCGAGTGTGGCGGAGGGTCTGCTTGCTGGCTCGCCAGCAATAGTCGGCTATCCTTCGCCCGCATCAACTGTTTCTCCAGGGTCGAGTCCTCATCTTCCTGGCTCCAGCGAGCTCAACTACGCTCTGAAACACCATGAGCCAACCGTTCCGGAGACGGCTGAACCGACTACGCCTTTCTTCTATGATGCCAACAGCTACCCAACCCCCTCTGCAACTGCAGACTCGAGTGTTGAGTATTCACAGTACGATTATGGGATGGCGGGTTATGTCGAAGAGGAGTTCCAAACACCGACGGAGCGGTACTACGAGCCACAGCCGGTGGCTGAGACGGTATTTGCTTATTCATGAAGCAACAAGATCAGCAACGACTTTGTGGTTCACGATATCATATAGCCCAACTAACCTAACTCATACCCCGGTGGATTGTAATTAACCCTTCCTTCCCTCGCCGCAAATAACTCAGTGTTCTACCACCGGAGTCGCAACCAGCCCACACTCGCTTCTGCTTTCACACTTCTTCTGCTTCTGTGTTATGCTCGTGTAATTGTTCCTTCGTCATCCTGTGTTTATTCTAGTATCATATTCGTACAAGTAAGTAGTAACATTACAAACAAAGGTGTAATTTCAACAAGGACAAAGTTGAAACGGCTTCTAGAGTTTTGTGCCCGAGTAGTAGCGACCAGTTGGCAGCGCTGGCCAGGCACCATCGACCATCTCTGGATTGCGTCCTGTCACTTGGGCGTTCCTTTCGATCATGATGGTGTGCACCTACAACTCAGATGCTTACCAAAGCGAGCAACAACTCAACAACAACTCACCTGCATTCGTAACCCATGGATGTTGGCCCGCAAAGACATGACATCTTCGTTGAGCCGCATCGTTTCGTTGGCCAATGCAATGTCCGCCCGACGACCAAGAGAGTCTAGCGCGCTGTCCAATGTCACTACAGACTCACGAATACCGACCAAAGCGCCCTCAAGAGATGTGGATAAATTTAGCGGAGCTATCCGTTCAGTTCGCGACGCTTCCCAGCTGGATTGGGACGACGGAGAGGAGAATCCGGCTGCACGGTTGGAGGGCGTGTCTTCTGATGGGAAGTATGCGGCAAGGGCGTTGTAATCTTGGATTGGTGGCGTAGGATCAGACGTCGAAATAGACGACGACAGACCGCTGCTGGTTGACTGCCGGTCAGACGAATACCCAGAAACACCGTCAGCTCGATACCACGGGCCCAAAGCAGCCTTGGCCGATTGGAGCTCCCGTCTCAGTGTGTGTACTGTATCCTCAAGGGTCGCCATCTTATATCGTAAGATGTTGTTCTCTTGCTCAAGTTGAGTGTGTCTCGTGCTATTCAATGCAAAGAAGCCCGCGATGGCTTCGTATGGACAGGTCGATTTATGGGAGGATTCGAACAGAGATCGTGGCCCGTTCCAAGAACAGCCGTTGGGAGCTTGCACACAATCGACGATTGTCGCGGGACAGGTCTCCGAGTGTGAGGAAGCTTGGGCACGGGTTAAAGAAACAGAACAAGCTGTGCAAGAGGTTGTGTCTTCCTGGCATTCAGAGACATGCAACTAGATCAGTCAGATAAAATCGACGACAAGAATAAATTCACTTACTTCAAGATCGTCCAACGAAATTTCGGTGCCGCAGAGATCGCAGGGGACCAGTTTCGTTACGTTTGTGCAATCATGCTTTGCGAGGTCCTTGCGGTGCAGAGTTTCGTCACATTGACTGGTAGGGCAAGAGACTAGACTGAAGGGACAAGAGTCAAGGAGATGAGAAGTAAGCAGTTGTCTTTGTGTTGTTTGCGGGCATTCTGTATGGATGCATTCCACGATCAGTTCGTCCACTAACTTGAGTTGTGATCAGGAAAACCACGGAGACCGAAGAGCACGACGCCACTGACCGCGCGTATAATGGGATTGGTGGGAGTAAGATCTTCGAGCGAGAGCGGGGACCGATCAACAGGACACTGTTTTGCATGGTCGAGCGCTTGAACTAAACAAGTCCGACAGAAAGTATGTCCACAAGAGCGAGTGGTGACTGGGTCGAGAAACGGAGCACGACAAATGCAGCAGAGCTGTTAGCTGTTAGCTAATTCTAACACTCACCCAAAACGCAACAGACTAGATTCGGATTTGGTTCGCCGACGTAGTTGTACTGCATCGAAGTCAAAATGATGTGACAGGCGGGTCACACTCACCGATTCTTTCAAGTTTGATTGATAGTCCATGTCTGCTCTGAGCTCGTTCATCAAGCAACTCTACGTCTACGCGGAATCGAAAAATAAGCTAAGGAGGACCGGGTCTGCACCTCGTCCACCATTTACCACCCGTTGGTCTCAATGAAGAAAAAATCCTTTTCATTTCCGCTCATTACGGTTCAACCCTACTGGCAACAATTGTCTGGGTACACTTATGTGATCGATTCAACTCCACCACTGGCGGTACTCGATATGAAGGACCACTCCGCGTTACTGCTCGAAAACGGATTCGGTTTGTATCCATGGGGAAATGAGTTTGACAATGTACGATTATCACGACCAGGACTTGAGAGTTCTGATGGTAGCGTCACAAAAACCTCAAAAAGTCGATGCATTCGCTCATGAAGTAGCCTGACTTCGGAATGATTTTATTGGTTAATGTTTGCATTCAGGTGCGTATCTGGCCTCCTTTCACACTTATTAGTAACTGATATGGTGGGATGGCGACCAATTCCTCAGGTGCTGGCGCGTCTTTGTGGTTGACCTAAGGATAGAAGTAGGCGTGAATGAAATACGGTGGTCGGCGTCAATACTAATGGGAAGGGCCTCCAATATTGGATCCAGAGTGCTCGTTTTGTCGAGGAAGAGCTCGGTAATGTGTGTTGGCCAGGTTCCATCAGGTCTTGTAGACCTAAAACACATGTGGCATTAACAGCTCTGAATTGTGCTCATAACTCGGGCGTAATGGGTTGAATGCATTCTAAGCCAATGGTTATATGACCTTTTGAAGAATCCTAGTATTTTGCTCGTCTTTCCATATCTTATCTGATCGATCCGGCCTTATCAAGGATCAGAATCGCTGACTCATCAACCCCAGCTTGACCACAGGCTCTCAAGACGACCATGGCTGCTCTCACTCTCTCCTCCACTGTTCGACTCTCGACTGGCTATACCATGCCGCTCCTCGGCTTTGGTGTTTATCAGAACTATGATGCACGGCCAAGCTGTTTAGACGCTTTCAAGGCCGGTTACAGGCGAGTATAGTCGCAGGACAATGCTTTAGATACTTCTAAATTGGCCCATAGACATATAGACTCGGCTCAGATGTACCGAAACGAAGCTGCTGTTGGTGCGGCCGTGAGGGAAAGTGGGATCCCACGCGAGGATTTGTTCCTAAGTATGCAACGAAAGACTTTCCAGTTCTGAATCAGTTGTGATTAACCTTTGTTTTCAGCTACGAAGTGCGCTTCTAAAAGCCATGGTTATGAAAGCACCGTCAAGGGTGTGGACACATCTTTAGCGGCTTTTGGCTTCGGTATTTGCATCCTGCAACACTACAAATGCAGCCATCTTGATTCAAATTTCAGAGTACATCGACCTCTTCGTACGCCTCATTTTGACGCGTTTCTCGACTCCACCAACACACCATTCTGAAGCTGATTCACGATCCTCTCTCTGGAACTGAACGACGCTTGCAAACCTACAAAGCCCTCCTGGAGGCGAAGGCAGCGGGCAAAATTCGGACTGTGGGTGTGTCGAACTAGTGAGTGGTTTGTGGTCTCTTAACTGATGCTCTCACAAAAATTCTGCAGCAATGTCCACCACCTGGAAGAGATAAATAACGCCGGTTTTGAAGCACCCACCGTCAACCAGATTGAGGTATGCCAGGATTTGCTCCGCTCTTCTGTTGCAAAATTTCATCTTAGCTTCATCCTTTCTGCCAACAAAAGCCGATTGTCGAATATTGTCAGAAGAACGGGATCATAATTCAAGCTTACTGTCCTATTGTCCGCGGGCAAATGGACCACGAAGCCATTACTAAACTCGCGACCAAGGTATCACACTGAGACTCTTCAACCTCATGTTATTTTATATTCCTAGTTCAATCGTGATCCCGCGCACATTCTACTCCGCTGGTCATTACAGAAGGGGTAAGCAGATTTTCTGTTGTCACGGATAGTCTGATGCTGGCTTTAGATTTGTCCCTCTTCCTAAGAGTCAGACACCGTCCCGTATTGCCTCCAACGCCAATCTTTATGATTTCGAACTCGACGAGAGTGATATGGCTGCTCTCGATGCGCTTGATCGCGGGAAAGAGGGCGGTATTAGCTGGAACCCAGTCGACGCGCCTTAAAAAGTCAGCGCCAGTAGTGTATAGTAAGCCCAAATGTACAAACCAATATATCTATTCCCTACCACCAGTGGAGAATTTTCCTCTGTCGCATTTCAATACCACGCAACTGCAAGACAAAAATTGCTAAAACTGGATGTGAGAAGCCAAATATATGTTGAGATACGCGACCCTTAGATGAAGAAGGGCGAGTTCCTAGTTGTGCTGATCTGTGTCCTTGCACGTCAGCACGATTGGAGAGGAATTCGGCCTTGTGTTTTTGTATCTTTGGCGCACGTCCGAATACGAGTCTTGACTTGCTCAGAGCGAGAATTCTGATAGCGAGGTTCCAAAGCGCGTTGAGTTGATTGAGGTAGTACATGACAAATGCAATCCGTCTATTAGCTTACGACCGTGAGCTTGAATCTACTGAGCGTGCGGATCGCGTTTGAATAACACATTCAAGGAAATAAAAGAAATGCTTACATCTATCGAGGAGTTCTTGGACCTCTTTTACGGCGACTTTCCGTTCCTTACGCGCCTCCTCCCACTCTCCTGTAGAAATCGCATCTAGTCTGAGTAGTGCCTGCAACAAGAGCTCAGATAGCCTCAAGTGCTCTTTAGGTTGGGGTTGTGTCGAAAGAAGAAGCTTGTCAACAGCCGGAGAGAGATCTTGTCGGACAGTCGCAAGCTCAGATTGGATGGCAGAAATTACTGATTGTTCTGAACGGACAGCGGCCGGAGGAGGGGGGGTTGGCTTAAGCGCGGCTACCGGTGGTTGCCCGATTTCAATCACAGTTATCGTGGATGTCTCTCGAATGTGGTACGCGGATACTGGTTGCCTGATGAGAAGTAAGCGTCTCGGATGAGTGTAAGAACCCACTGGGTGTTTCTGGATCTTTCATTACCGCTCCCTTATGAATTAATTTGAAGTCGGTAAGATGAGTTATGTTGGCGATGGCTTCGCGAATGGCCTTCAGCGGAGTTTCAGGTGGAGGTAGAGGAAATGTATAGCGCTCTCTATTCCAGTGCACATTGACCATCGTTATTCCTTGTTTATACGCGTCAAGAGAGTTATTGAAAAGGTAAGGTCGTGAATCGTAATGCGTCGCACAGTTTGGAGGGGAGGGAAGTCGAAGGAGAATTCCCTGTCACTCTGCGTGTTACGCGTGACGTTATTCAGTCTCGCTCGTTCTACTTTGAAAGGCAAAGGCAGTTTTGCAATGTCGAAAAAGCAAAACCCTTTGACGAGCCTCCTTCAGCCCAAATCTCACAATGCAACACCGATCCCGCCGGGAATGCAAGAGAAAATGGCCGCTGTATGTTTTGATTCGATTCTTCTTATCTGTCTTTACCATGGTCTCAAGTTTGCTGCCGCAAAACGAGGCGCTACGCCGGGCATCGACGCGACAACAGCTGCCTTACAGCGTGCTACACTGAGCAATCCGGTCGATGCACCGAATCTCCGACCCGCCAACTCGTTTCCCGCATCACGCCCAAGAGGCGGTGGAATGATGGGTCGTCGAAAGCCGAATTTCACTCTCAAAGATATCGAGGGCGCTGGAGGTGCTGCTGGAGCCGGGCTTGGCGCTGGAAGACCCCCACTCCGCAATGATGCGGCCCCAGCCTTTTCCAACTTTTCTAAAATTGTGTATGTTTTTATTCCCTCCTTGTTGCCTTGCATCCAGCTCAGATCGAGCAGAGATCTCTCTGGTGCACTCAATTTCAACGGTAAAGCGGTCCTTCATGCAGATGGGGTGGATTTCTCCAACGGCGCATCGTTCCAAATTAATATGACGCAACTGCAACTTGATGAGGAGCTGGGCAAGGGTAACTACGGAACGGTGAAGAAGGTCCTCCATCGTCCAACCAATGTCTTCATGGCAATGAAAGTGCGTCTCTTATATGCTCCCTGCTCATCCGGTCGCCTCATTCACGGCAGGAAATACCGCTCGAACTCTCTCCCTCCAAGCTCGATGGCATCATTATGGAATTGGACATTTTACATCGAGCAGTAGCTCCCGAAATCGTAGAGTTCTACGGGGCCTTCACCATCGAATCGTGCGTCTACTATTGCATGGAGTATATGGATGCAGGTAGTCTAGACAAGGTTCTCGGCATCAAAACTATTCAGCAGGGTGGTGGCTGGGTGGGTGAGCTTGGCGAAGGAGCACCGGAGGATGTTCTAGGTCGCATTGCGTCAAATATGGTTAGAGGCTTGAAATTCTTGAAAGACAAGCTACAAATCATGCATCGCGGTGGGTGTGTCTACTTTGCTCTCCTCCCAAATTTAAATACTTCTAGATGTCAAACCGACAAATGTGCTCGTCAATCGCAAAGGACAGATAAAGTTGTGCGACTTTGGCGTCTCTGGACAACTGGACAACTCGATAGCGAAGACCAATATCGGATGCCAGACATATTTTGCGGTATGCCGTATCTCTTGAGCCCTTCGATCTATGTGACCCCAATCCACAGCCTGAACGGATTCAAGGAACAACAGCGGGAGCCGACGCCGAGGAAGCATTCAACACCTACACTGTTTCTTCGGACGTCTGGTCACTAGGGTTGTCCATGATTGAGATCGCGCTAGGCAAATATCCATATCCCCCAGAAACCTACAACAACGTCTTTGCCCAACTACAAGCCATCGTTCATGGAGAGCCTCCTCAGCTACCCGAGTCCAAGCCTCAATCAGACGTCGACCCACTCGAGGTGCACTTCAGTGAAAATGCGCGTGATTGGGTTCGGATATGCTTGATAAAAGACCCAGTTAAACGAGCGACATATGCTGATCTGTTGGACCATCCCTTCCTTGTCGAAGACTCCCAACGGGAGGTCAATATGACTGCTTGGGTTGCTGGTGCACTTGGACGACGAGAGCTGCAGGCTCGGCTCCGCCAAGATCTGCTGGACCCAGAAATTGCTAACGAGCCAGTTTCTGTGTAATCTGGACACAGTGAAGACGACGAATACCCATGACTTGTGTAGCATACAACAACTTTGGCCTGATACCCTAATCGCTTATTAGAAGGTCTTAACATTCCGTTCCTTGTGTATCCCAACAACAGTGTACTGATCATATCATACTTACTCTACGCGTTACCTTCAAACACGACGAGGCTCAACGCCTGAAATTAAAAATGTACTTCTATTTTTCGCTTCTCAGGTTATTTTTGCGCCTGTCAGAGTATATCAGTGACGCACTAACCCCACTCATTGCTCGCTCACCTTCTCTCTCGCTTCCATGCATCCTGGTCGTTTCATTCTCCTCGTCCTCCTCCCGCTGGTTGCTTCACAAACGATCACAACAACCGATGTGTAGGCCAACACTTTTTTTTTGCTTGTGACCGACAAAATGCTTTTATCAGCGCTGGCAACACAATTGTCGAAGTAGTAACTATCGACCCGGTGGCAGAGACTCCTACGACCTCAATACTGTACGGTCGACTTGTAAACTTTTCGCGCCTGCTGATATTGTTCCAAGAACAACGCTCCTTCCAACACCAGCGACGACTACTTTCACCACGACCCTACCGTGTGTTCCCAGTCTGACGAACCGAACACGTTGGCTTACTTATCCTAACCAGCGCTGGCCAAACTGTCGTTGAGGTTGTTGGAGTGGATGCTGATGGTAATACGCAGACAAACACAATGTCAGTTACACGCCGTTGATCTCGGCTTTGTTGACCAAAACAACATCTAGACAGACGATCCAGGCTGGTCCAAATGCGGCGACGACCACAACAGTCGTGGATGCGTGAGCAAAGATCTAGTTTCTGCTCTCGATTTCATATCTAAGCGACGTCATAGGGCCGGGGAGACCGTGGTCGAGGTCATTCAAAACGGAGCGACACAAACAATGTCAGAATATTTTGGAGATCTTGGATAGACTTTACTAAGTGAGACGGTAGACAAACTTTAGCTCCAGGCTCTGGGCCAGGACCTGTCGGTCAACCACCACAAGGCAATCCAGTCAACCCTGGCCAGCCGACGCCATTCACGTAGGCACTGTTTCTTGAAACCTTATGCTGAGATTGAACGAATTGAAGGTACACTACAACCAACGCAGCTGGCAACACGATTCAGGTCGTAGCCACCTTCACACCTTCGGTTGCGACAACCATTGCCCCGTCAGCTACTTTCAAAGCTACGGTCCTCAATTACTCGCAGTACCTGGCGAGTTACGCAACAAAAATTCAAACACAGGCGGCGAATGCGAATTCAAGGAATTCAGCTTCTTCGCTGAGTTGTAGTACGTGGATGGCCGGTGTAATGACTGGCTTGCTTGGTGTTATGTGGACGGCCTGAAGGGGTGGTTTTAACGATGGACTGACATTATTATATAATATACATACGGTACGATGCAGATAGAGTCATTATTCATTCATGAACCCTCTCCACGCTTTAGCCTGTTGAACTTGGGAAGCATTTCACGCAGGTATTCGGCATGTTTTCTGCGGAGATCGGCCTCTTGCAGTTTGCCCCGGCCACTCCAGGTCCTCCGTTCCGCAGCTGGGCCATAAATGACCGTATAGTCGTCCAGAAACTCGTCTTCTGTTGGTACGACCAGACAGCCAGCGCCAATGCTGCAGTATGACCCAATCCGGACGGTGTGGTGCACACGAGCACGCGTAGAAACAGTGTTGAAGTCGCCGACAGTCGGAGACTCAACCCGACTGCCTATTTCAAAGAGGTTGTCGTCGCCAATTCGCATGACTTCCTTTCTCCTGCGGTTCAAGGTCAGCTTTTGTCTGTGAGTGCCTCCCAGCCAATCACCTGTTCACAATTATAGCACCTTCCTCGATGATACACCCTGACCCGATGACTATAGGCCCCGCAATAGCAAATATGGTGGCTTTGGGGTGGACGATAGTGCCTAAGCAGAATTTGAGTGAACTGTATGAGCTAACGCGTGTGGTCCACCTGCGCCGACGGTTATGTCGCCTTTGAGTTCTACGTCCAGGCAAACAACTGCTCGAGAGTGGATCGTGAATTTGTCGCGTCTGGTAGATGCATTTGTAAAGACCGAGTGGTGGCTGAACAACCTTACATGGGGGCCATAATGGAAGAAGTCTGGGTGACAAGTCAAATCATATGAGTCAGGTAAGCGAAAGAAAGTTCTTGCTCTCTCCCCCCATCCCCCCCTCCACCATGTCGTTTTCCCCCCACGACAGTCAGTAAATTCAACCGGTTGACGATGACTGCCGCTGCTTATCTTTGAAATCAACAGTCTCCGCGCCTTTCGATTTTCCGAGGGAAGAGGAAAAGGTGCTCAAGTTCTGGGAGGAGATCGACGCGTTTCAGACAAGCTTGAAACTATCTGAAGGCAGGCCGGAGTACGCTTTTTACGATGGGCCTCCCTTTGCAACTGGATTACCCCACTATGGGCATCTCCTCGCTGGGACAGTGAAGGTACGGTTCATTGTTTACGAAAATTTCCCGCCGATTATTCAAGATCGCTACTTTTTCTAGGACATCGTTACCCGCCATGCTCATGCGAGTGGATTCCACGTCATAAGACGGTTTGGATGGGACACCCACGGACTCCCCGTCGAACATGAAATCGACAAGAAGCTCGGCATCACTGGAAAGGCCGATGTCATGAAGCTGGGGATCGATAAATACAACGCCGAATGCAGGAGCATCGTCATGCGCTATGCCTCCGAGTGGCGCAAAACGGTCGTTCGCATGGGCCGCTGGATTGACTTCGACAACGACTACAAAACGCTCAACATCACCTTCATGGAGTCCGTCTGGTGGGCATTTAGCGAACTTTTCAAAAAGGGCCTGGTATATCGTGGCCTGCGGGTACTGCCGTACTCAATGGGTCTCACAACACCAGTATCTAATTTTGAGGCCAACATGGACTTCAGAGATGTCAACGATCCAGCGGTCACTGTCGCTTTCCCTCTTGTTGACGACCCAAGTACCTCTCTCCTCGCATGGACGACGACTCCATGGACTCTACCTTCTAATCTTGCCCTCTGTGTGCATCCCGACTTCACCTACATCAAAATCCACGACCAGGAAAAAGACCAAAACTTCATCATTCACGAGCGCCTATTAACAACCCTCTACAAAGACCCGAAGAAGGCGAAATACAAAAAATTAGGGCAGTTCGTTGGCGTAGATATGAAGGGTTGGAGATACGTGCCGTTATTCGAATACTTTACGGAGAAGGTTCATGTCTTGCTCGCAAAGCATCCGTTACTAACGGTTTTATAGTATGAAGACCGGGCGTTTCGCGTTGTCGTCGACACCTACGTAACAGACAGCGATGGTACTGGAATTGTCCACCAAGCCCCTGCATTTGGTGAAGACGACTATCGTATCGCTCTTGCCAACGGAATCGTTCGTGACGATGAAATGCCACCCTGTCCTATCGATGACGCCGGCCGCTTTACAAGCGAAGTTCCTGACTTTGAGGGTCTGAACGTCAAGGCTGCAGATAGTCCCATCCAGAAAGTCATCAAGGGAAAGGGTCGCCTGATCGTACAGACGATGATGATGCACTCGTACCCTTTCTGCTGGCGGTCTAAAACTCCGTTGATCTATCGCGCTGTTCCCGGCTGGTTTGTCCGGGTGGCCACCATCACAGACGAACTCGTCGCCAACAACAAGGAAACACGATGGTATATTGGGCCTTGATTTTTTTGAGCAAAAACTTATGGGTGACAGGGTGCCGCAATTTGTTGGCGACAACCGTTTCGGTAATTGGCTCGCAAATGCCCGAGATTGGAATATTTCTCGTAATAGGTATTGGGGCACGCCCCTTCCTCTATGGGCTTCGGATGATTTCAAAGAGGTGCATCTCATCCATCGGCGTTGATTACGTTTGACATACCTTCACTAGCTCGTCTGTGTCGGCTCTGTTGAAGAGTTAGAACGGTTATCAGGCGTCAAGGGCATCAAAGACCTCCATCGAGAAAGCATCGACCATCTCACTATACCATCTTCGTCCGGCAATGGCAACCTTAAACGAGTCGATGAAGTTTTTGACTGCTGGTTCGAGTCCGGAAGGTTAGCATGAACTGTTCCGTTTTGCACCTTCTAACCCTTCTTTTCAGCATGCCATACGCGCAACTACACTATCCCTTCGAAAACAAAGAGCTCTTCCAAAACTCTTTCCCGGCCCAGTTCGTTTGCGAGGGTATCGACCAAACACGTGGCTGGTTCTACACATTACTAGTGCTTTCTACCCATCTTTTTGGGAAAGCGCCTTGGCAAAACCTCATTGTCACTGGACTTGTTCTGGCCGCGTATGTTTTCTTGCAATAGAGGCGGAAATCAGACTAATTCTGTGACAGGGACGGCAAGAAGATGAGCAAGAGTGCGAGGAATTATCCTGATCCTACGATCATCTTAGATAAGATGGGTGCTGATGCGACAAGGTAAGTTTGGTAAAATTGTGGATTTTCTGGTTGAAATTGGAGGCAGAATGTTCCTCGTCAACTCTCCCATTGTCCGCGGTGATAACTTGCGTTTCCGGGAAGAGGGTGTGCGAGAGGTCATCTCTCGAGTTCTTCTACCCTGGCTTAACTCCTTCCGCTTCTTCCTTGGACAAGCCACCCTTTTCAAGAAGACCCATGGAGAAGACTTTGTCTATAACCCGCATGCCCCAGTGCCAAACAATGTCATGGATCGATGGGTGCTCGCTCGGTGTCAGTCACTCATTCAGCTCGTCAAGGAAGAGATGGCAGCTTACCGACTCTATACCATCATCCCGCGTTTGCTCGACCTGGTCGACGAACTCACGAATTGGTACATTCGGTTTAACCGGAAACGACTGAAGGGCGAGGAGGGCAAAGAAGACACGCGTGTGGCGCTAAATACCCTTTTCGAGGCGCTTTTTACCCTCTGCAGGACAATGGTACGATTCTATTTCACTAGTTTCACTTAACACTCAACTTTTATAGTCCTCGTATACCCCTTTCATGACGGAGAACCTGTACCAGACTCTGAAAACTTTCATTCCTCAAGACCCCGTTGCTGGCGATGTCCGTTCGATCCACTTCCTGCCGTTCCCGGATGTGAAGGCGGAATATTTCGATTCTGATATCGAGCGTCAAGTCAAGAGGATGCAAGCTATCATCGACCTCAGCCGCAACATCCGTGAGACAAACAACCTCTCGCTCAAGGTGATCAACCCGTTCGGTTTGTAAGCCTTAACTGACTCGGCATAGACGCCGTTGAAAGAGCTCCTCGTCTTCAATGCGGACGAGCAGTACATCCGGGACGTGCAACCGCTGCAACGATACATCGAATCTGAACTCAACGTCCGCGATGTCGTCTTTAGCAGCGACGAAGCCGCGTCCAATATTCGCTATCGTGCTGTTGCTGATTGGACCGTCCTCGGTCGCAAGCTAAGGAAAGACATTAACCGGGTCAAGAAGGCATTGCCGGATGTGTCCAGCGATGCAGTCAAGGCCTTTATCGAAACGGGAAAAATCAGTGTGGACGGCATCGAACTTGTCACGGGCGACCTCACCGTCCAGCGCTACCTCGACATTCCTGCCGGGGCTCAAAAGCAGTTTGCGACAAACACGGACAACGATGTTGTCGTGCGCCTCGACATCCAGATCCACCCTGAGCTGATGGGCGAGTGGTTAGCGCGGGAGCTGACGAACCGTGTCCAGAAACTGCGCAAGAAAGCGGGGCTGCAGGCGACCGACGATGTCGATGTGTTTTTCCAATTCGAGGGTGGGGCCGGCGCAGACCTTTTGTCAGCGATTGCGGAGCACGCGGAGATGATCCGTCGCGTGCTTGGTGGCCTGCCTGTTGACGCGAAAGAGCGCAAGCCCGGGACAACGCTGGTGATTGAGGAGGAGCAGGAGGTCGCGGAGACCAAGTTCATGTTGTATCTCGTCAAATCTTAGATCGTATACTAATAGTCGGAGCCAAGGAGAAGAAGAACAATGTGTTGTGTAGGTAGAATAAAACGGCGTTAGTTGGTTTTTGAGAGTGAATGGCCTAAAAGTGCTATCATCCGGGAAATGATTGCAGGTAAAATTATTACAAAATAACTAACTATAAAGGTACATCAACGACAATTGCCGCATCTAGACTCTCGAATTCTTCGTGATCTATAGCCTGCTCGTCGTCGTTCTCTCCGACAAGCGCGATTCTGGTCTGAGCATCACCACAAGCGGAGACCTCAGGGTGCTGGGACATGTAGTCGAGTTTCAACTTCATAGTGCTCGATATGCCAGGATAATACCCGGCAAGGTCTTCACGTATTGCTGTAAAAGCACTCAGTAACTAAGGAAGCTTACCAGCTCGAATCTCACAAACTGGGCGCTTCTGGAGTTTTCTGTCTAGGGTTTCCATGATCGACAGGTCTTTGGCGGTGAATATCCACAGGTCGGGCTCGTCGCTCGAGCGGGGGCGGTATGCGTTGTAGAAGCTCTTCGCGTCCTCGGGGTCGTCAAATGACATTGTATGTGCTTCCAAAGACTCATCCTCCGAGGATTCACTGCCGCTAGCAACTTCATCCGCGTCCTCTTCGATTGTGGGTTCTCGGCAACCCTTCTTGCGCTTTTTAGTCGGGGAAGGTTTGAGCTTATCAGGAACAGGGATACTTACGAATGACATCCTCGAGTAGGTTCCGAAATATCGATTGCTGAGACTTCAAGATGCCCCAAGCAAACCGACTAAAAACGCAGTAGGGGTGGATCCGATTGGGTAATGAGATCACCTGAAGATGGTGCTCGTGGGCGAAGTCTGCAACTTCAGAGGTGAGACAAATGCACACAACATCGTGTCCAAGAGGAAAGAAGATAAAATGGCCTTGATCCATCAGAGGACCGTTGAGATCAGCTCGGAGAGTGAGGCAATTCTCCAACGAGTCGACGCTGGTAGACTTGGGTATGTATTGCGACATTTGATGAAAGTTCCACTGCCGTGCAACTTAGTCGAAACCAACCAAGTTCAACGACCACGCACCCATGTCCGACTGGTACTATCTCCCGGTATAAGATGACTGTTGTTTAATGCTGAAGTCGCCCCTGTGACTACACATTGGTGGCTATCGGCTGCTTTGACCAGCGCGCTGAGGGTTGACTTTGTTACCCCAGGCATTGTGGTGGTTGAAGACCCTATATTCGTCCAGCGGTCTGGGATTTTCGGTGGCGGCACCCACGCTAGAAAGGAGACGCAAATGGGATATGGCCTACAATCCATGTTTTAGTTGTGCGAAATGCAAACGACGCGCTAATATACTCGTCATTGTTAACGTGGTAGGTGTACTTCCCAGCGGGTAGAAGCAAATTCTCGTCAAGAGCAACATCATTGTGGGAGTGCCAGGGTCGAAGGATTCCTGGGCGATTATGTGCCAAAACGTAACAGGCGTCCATGATGAAAGCGTAGGGGAGGCCGTAGACGCCATGGGAGTTGGCATATGCGGCGAACGAAGCGATGCGCGGCCGAAAGGAATAGCCTGGGTGGTAGATGTCGAGAGGCTCCGAGGGCAAAGAGCTCGCCCGGCTGGCTTTGGCTCCAGTGATTATCGGGGTACCCATTCATACTTGGAGCAGCAGCGTGACATGTCACCTTGCAAAGGTCTACTCGTAGAGAAAGGAGACTAGTTGAGAAAGCGTCTTCGTGTTGGTTCCTTGAGCCTTGTGGTGTGCGAGAGTCACCGTGCAGGAGTCCACCGAAGGTTCGCCAGAAATCTGTATTTTTGAGGCCAATAATAATAAAACCTTGTGGGTTACTTGGGCAGTGGCCGATAACGCTAGTCTACGACCCAACCATGCGAATGATGTTCAAACACCGCTTCCCGTGGATTTTCAGGGCTCGATTCCAGCCAAAATATTTTTGGTGAACTCTAGCGGAGTGTCCTGAAGCCTGAGTGCAAGCGCCAGCTTGAATACTGAAGACAAAAGAGGAGCTGAACCACGAGTAAAGCAAGCCGATAGACAAGCCTCGGGCGAGCACAATGAATATCGAAGTAATAGTTACCTCCGAGGTTTGCTTCCGTGATCAAATGTGGCGATGACCTTCTTCCTTTACACCTACACAGAACAATGAACGCCCTACATACCTCTTGCTTCCGACGACCATGCAGCCTGGCTCTAGCGCAACGCCCAGCAAGAAGGTCAATGCGGCATACGACTTTGGGACAGCGTTCTTCTCGACGCTGACGCTGGCGGCGTCGATGGCGCCGCTGCCCTACCTGCAAGAGGCCGCCCAGTTGGCGGTGAACATCATCCAGATCCTCCAAGTTAGTCTTCCTTTTTTCTTAACAAGTTGTCTGACTGGGCCTCTAGAATGCGGACAACAACTTGGAAGAGTTCATGATCCTCGCAAACGACGCCTGCGAGCTCGTCGTCGCCATCTTGGCCGCGGTCGAAGTATTCCAGCGGGACGGCCTGGCGCTGTCGCCGCAGCTGGCGGGTAACATCGCCGATCTGAACGTGTGCGTTTCTCAAGGTTCTGTCCAGTCAACAGCATTGACCCCAGCCGGGATTAGGACACTGTCCAACATTTACAAGTTGGCCAAGAAGAACATCCGGAAAAGCAAGCTCTACCAGATCTTCCGGCATCGCACCCAGCTCCAGAAGATCGAGCGGTACCGGGCCCAGCTAAGAGTCGCTCTGGACAAGTTTGGGGTCAGTTCACACTCTTGATCTAGATTTTTCCACGCGGCTTATGGCTTTATGCAGCTTCAGTCCCAAATATCAATACACGAAAATGTGGTCCAGATTCTGAAGCAGGTCAAAGAGCGGGAGGAGAAGGAGGAGAACGATCGTCAGGCCAGACTAGCCGCTGCCGCCAAAGACAGCGTCGATGAACCCAAAAGCGCTCCAAACATACCCCCTCCAAAAAGCCCTCAGAAGAACGCATTCGGAAACGTCTTCGGCGGGAACATCGGAGGCAACGTCGACATCACGACTATAAACGGCAACTACACCAACCGACAGACGCTGAACCGGAATATCATCTCCAACTCATTCAACACGACTTACAGCTACCCCTCATGAACTTGTATTCGTATAATCAGGAAATAACCAACCGTTTTAATGATACCTAAACAACCACCAATGGTCATCGCTCTCAAAGTCCTCCCGAATGCAATACTTGACCGCCCATGGAGTCCACAGCTTAGGCTCCGGCTCCTCCATGTCCTCTTGATCGACAGAGAACAGCGAACGTTGTAAGCCAATCAGGCGCAACCGAGGTAAATCAGTCAGGAGGTCGGCAGGGTGGATGGGCACCGGGTCCTCACCTGAACTAAACAGCGACAAGAACGAGAGGTTTTCGAATTGTTGTAGCCTGTTAAGAATGGGGTACCACACCCTGACATGTGACTCGCTGAGCCATGGTATAGCCAGATGCAGCGCCTCGATGCGCGGCGAGAGCTGCTCTGCGAGGTGGACCGCGGCGGAGTCGTGGAGGTATTCATACCCGAGATGGAGTCCGAGAGCGCGTATGTTTGGCAGCTTCGCGATGACGTCTACAATCGCCAGGGCAAATTGTAACGCAAGCCCAGGCAGCCGAATATAAAGTCGTTCGAGACGGACTCGCCGCTCTAGAAAGTGGCGCAAGTAAGGGACAACGGTCAACCCAATGACTTCATCGTCCCACAGTTCACCGGATATTCTGAAGGTTGTGAGACGGGGAAGAACTCCGGGGTCGGCGGGCAGGCTGGCGAAAAATGAAGGGTCGACATGGCCCACGATAGAGAGGCCCTCTAATTGGCTTGCGTGGCGAAAGAGGAGCTCGGCGCCGACAAGCTCCCAGTCCGTAACACAAATGTCGAGTCGTGTCAGGTTGTTGCATAGACGGACCGAGAGGAGTGGCAAATGGGCCGAAAGAATGACTAGCTCTTGGATCGGATTCGATTCAACGACTGCCATAACGTCCCTCGGATCGCTTGCTGCGCCCGGCCACTCTGCGAAGATAGCGTCCACCTTTTGCTCCCGGACGTAGAAGAAAGGGATTGCTACTTGAAGAGCATTGAGTTGGCTGAGGTGGCTGATCAAGTCAGCATCTGGCAGTCTAACTGGGGTCAGAGGAGTATCAGGACACTTTACAATAAGTACCACTCACGACTGCAGGCGAAGATAACGGACGGACGGGGGAATGGAGAAGGCAACATGCAGAATCGAGGGGTTTTCTCCGTAGTAGTTCAAGTTGCGGAGATTCGGCATCGCGCTCAGCGCAAGGGCGAGTGTGCCTACCACCTAAGTCAATACTGTATGGGAAGGAAATGAGGCAAAAGAGCGCACGATATTCGAATATCTGGGGCCCGTCGGTAAACGCATGGACACTGAATGTCTTTATCACACGCGCAAAGGCGGGCGTGGTGATAATATGCAGCAGCATTTCCCAGGAGCGGTTGCTGCAGAACTCGGAGGTCTCAACCACGTATCGCTCGTTCTCGGTGTTGAGCATGTAGTACCCGTGCTCTCCGTGCATGAAATAGATTTTGACCGTGGAGAAGAGCAGGCGGAGCGCCACATCGTGAAGCAAGCGCGACACGCTCAGCAGCTTTTTGAGGTGATGGGCCGGGAGGGACTGCGCTATTTCCGCATAGAGTTCAACGGGTAGCATTTGTCTGCGTCTGAGCTGTTTAGGTGAGTCTGGTTGACCAAGCCATATTGTAAGGACAGTTTGCACTTTATCGAACGCAGTTGACGGTTGCAGACAGAAAGAAGAACGGCGTCACGCCGTGACCATTGACTATTCAACATACATATATCTTTCCTTCTCCATCAAAACGGATCGCCTCATTCGTGGCAGTTGCGAATCCGAGCAGCACCAAACTTGGGTCGAACGCCGCAAGAACAACCAGTCATGTCATTGGCCTCTTACACACAACTCAAACAGATTACAAATTATATCCCATTTACGCTTTGTCACGGTTTCTAGCGTGGACGCTGCCTTCAGAGGTCCTTGCTCGCTAGACTGTCATCAAACAGCAAGAGCTAGATTCGCTGTGTGCTACGACGGGCTATCTTCACCAACTTCATTCAACACTTTGCCTTCGCTCCTGTAGGAAACAATGCGTCTCAGGCTGAAGTTGCAGACCATCCATACCACTCTGTCACATCCACCAAGGGCATGCAGCGGATCGAAAGAATCAACAGAAAACCCGAGACCAAGGTACAAATCGACTGCGCTCCGCGAGACAGTTGCGGCTACCATTCCAGAATGGATGACGCTCTCGGGGTGAGAATGGGATATATATGGAAGAACCAAATCCAAGAATTGTATTCGTGAGAGAGAATGACTACGAGCGTGCGGTGGTGAAGAGGCCGGAGCCAAAAGCACGCAATAGCACAATTTGTTCAAAGAGGTTTAGTGTCTTGTTTGCAGGAGGGAGCAAATCGAGTCATGCGTCACATGACCGCGACAACCAACAACTTGACCTTGGTCGTGACTTTCATCCCAACCATTGAGTAGTCGATGTTACGCGTGCTCCACACACCTCCATGAAACTTTCCGCGACGAACCTCTCTAAGTACCACTTCAACTCCTGCGACCTCTACCTGCACAACACATATCATGGCAACGGACATGACTCGCCTGTCGGTCATTCAGAAAGCACTCAAGCACACTTTCAGCGAGGGATTGACTGGGAACGGGCGTGTCTAATGCCTTACTTGGGTGTGTTATACACCGCGTTTACTGTATCGTCATCATTTCTCTTGTAGATGCCCAAGATCTGTTGTTGACCATCCCCCCGCGCCCTATAGACGGCGGCATACTGGTGGAGCACATCAAGGCGGATAGTAGGGAGCATTTCTTCATGGCTGGAGTCGAGTTTTTACCTCCAATGGTCGACTTCCGAGGGCGCTTTTGGGAAGAAAAAAATGACCCTGTCACTTTTGGGCTTGCGAAGCCTGACCTGATTGAGATTATGCGGATAGGAGAACACATAGTCTGGCGTGTCGTTGACGCCAAAGCGGCCAAGGCAGTCAAGGTAAGTAGTGAATCACCGTTCAATCTCACCTGAACCGTTGCAGACGTCGCACCATGTGCAAGTTTACTTCTACCACCTCTGTTTAAGCTTTCTATTGCCGTCGCCGCTGTTCAAGCCGGCAGAGGACGCAGCTATATGGCTTCCTCCCGCAAATGGATTCGATGCTCAGACTCGCCCCTCTATGGCGGACCTGCATAGCATTAAAATCAGTCTCCTCGCGCAATCGCTGGACAAATTCCTTTTCCGAAATTTGCCTAAGATTGTCTTCAGGCCACGGGAAGAAATCCAGTGGCATTTTAATCCTTTATGTCGAGACTGCCCATTTGAAGCAAACTGCAAGCAGCTTACCATCGTTGAAGGACGTTTTGGTACCATACCAAATATCTCCCCAGACCAGGTCGAGGTTCTTCGGGGTATAGTGAGAAAGTCTCAAGTCGACAATCAGCACCGCACCACGGATATAGAAGATCTCCACCATCTCCTAAGTAACAATGAGATGAGACGATTGGATCCCATTGCGGCCAAGAAGGCGAAGCGCATTCTTGCCATGCGTAAATCATCGTTGACTAGCCCCATTCTGGAGGCAGCGAAAAGTCACACAGTGACGGTATGTCGGTGCTCTTATAAATATTAGTGTTTCATTGATTCATTGAGGTTAGGTTATACCGCGACGCAATGTTACCCTTCCTCGACACGAAGATGTCTCAGTGGTCATCTCTGTTGTCATCGACCCATCGACCTCCAAACAAACGATTGCTTTTTTCTGCATATCTGTCTTCTCCTCTATTCCGGCCATCGCGTGCAAGTCAGTCAGCGGGCTCGAATCCGCCTTCATTGAAAACCTTGCCTCCTTGCTCAAGGAAATTTTGGCTGTGGAGCCTGCGCCGCTCACGCAGATATATGTGTTCTCGAGCAGCGAGGAGGATGTGATCAGAGCCTATTTGATTAAAGCTGCGTTGACGGCCTCGTCAGTGTCTGAGAACAATTTACGGCTTTGCCTCGGGGCTATTGTCGAAGGAGCGGCGTTATTGGAAACCAACTTCCAGCCATCGATTATCTCTCAGGTTGCGAATATTCTGCGGTTCAATCAGAATCAATTCCCGCGGCCGATGCTCGAATCTCTTGCGAAACGCATGAACCTGCCTGGCACTGGTACTATGATGGAAATACGCTCACAAATTCAAGCCAAACTGAAAACCCAGACACCTGCGAGTGATATTGATGACAGACGCACGGAGATGGGCCAATTACCGTGTGTTGTGGTGCTCAAAAAGGAAATAGAGGGTCTTCTAGCATTGCCTGTTCCAGGCTATTGGGATCTATCCGACTGTGCGCAAGCACTCTTGCCTCCCGAGTCAGATGACCGCGTGTGTCCGACTGAGCAAGACATTTTTGCGACATACCGTCGTGATGCTAAACCAGATACGCTTCGCGAGCGCTTGGAGCAACGCAACGCAAGCATACATGCTGTTCTGCGGGAGACGAGGCGCCGTGTCAGTAACTCTCAGGGTGCAGCAACCTTTGTCAACCTGGCTAAACCTCTGAGGACAAACTTTCTCGATATTTGCTATGAGCCTAATCTACGCAAGCTCTTCTTCATGCAGCAAGTGAGTTCTTTACGTGTCATATCGTCATCACCGACTCATCGACATGTATAGTTTGAGGTCCTTGCCAAGCTCTCTGAAATGTGGAAATCACGCATCGATGGGTGTCCGGATGCACCAGTGCTTGAGTACAAGATTGAGGATAGCAACACTGAGAATCATGTGTTTTATCTCATCTCGGGCAATATTGACGCCAGTGGATCCAAGAATCAACTATTCGATTATGTGCTTGCCGAAGATGACAATGGATCAATTCCCCCTGAGACGTTCTTCGACGACCTGAGCCTCTTGGGATGTCGTTTCCCTATCGACAACTCAGACATTAAAGCTGAACAGTGGGACACACAGAACCCCATTGTAATCGAAAAGCTCTGTATCGCTGGTGTCCATGATATTCGGGTATTATTGGGACGGACGAGAGTGGTGTTAAAATTATGGGGCCAGTCCAATACTTTACTCAAGGGGGGGGCACACTATCGCCTGTCGCCACGACTAGTTGATTTCAACACAAAGAAAGTGTTGTCGACACTCTTGGAGCTAGATATCAAATTAACTATTAATCCTACTGACATTTCCTTCCTGCAGCTCATCGTGGACCCCAGGACATTTGCCAATGATGCCGAGTTTCACCAGCGCGGGCAGCAGCTGGCCCGGATAGAGGCGACCATCCAGAATAACCTGAGTATGTTAAGCAACTCACATGGACCAGAGCACCAGTCCAGCGCACTTGTACTCAAGGCAAGCCAGCATCGCGCGGTCCAGCGTATGCTCTCCAACCGTCGTAAGCCTTGATTTTCTTCCCTTTCAGTTTCATACACAACCATCCATAGTTTCCGTGCTGTGGGGACCACCAGGAACGGGCAAGACCCATACGATTGCGCTTGCGCTGCTGCGCCTGCTTCAGTCGTACCATCGCCTTGGAGATCGGCGCCAGCGCATTGTGTTCATTACGGCCATGACGCATGCTGCAATCAACGCTATCGACAAGAAGTTAAAGCATCTGTAGGCATTCTCTCAAGTTCGCTCACTTGCTGAATTAGCGGTAGTATGGCATGCTACAAGTCCATTGACGCATATCCTGTCGAGTGGCTTAATCATGTGCAACTCGAACGTGTTTCACGTGGTTACGACCATGCACCACCGCCTGCTAATAGCACTAGCATGTTTTACCTGGGGACCATCTACCAGGCACGTTCTCTTCCTGTCGCTTTCTACCACACTGACAGAATAAATTCAGCTGTATGCTTTCTCGACGCGATCATCATTTCAAGTCGATATGTGTGTGATCGATGAAGCTGGACAACTCGCCCTGAGCTCTGCTGCGCTCATCCTTCGCAACCTTGGGCCGCAGGGCAGAATCGTAGCTGCAGGAGACTCTCATCAACTTGCGCCCATTTTAAAAGGGGTATATCCGAACCATTTTTTATTCGGCTCGGTTCTCGACTGTTTGATGCAGTCCTCCGACCTTCTTGCAAACTCGTCATCCGACATGGGTGTTTCCGATTCGGCTCTGGAGTCAGACTCGGAGGGCCCCGTTGTGCAATTAACAGAAAATTTCCGTTTGAACCCAGATCTGGGAAGATTCATCGAGACGATCTATCCTCGCGCATTCAAGCCACAGAAACTTCAGTCTGCTCAACTAGGGGCACTCCTCAGCACACTCGAGAACGATATAGACGATGACACCAACCAGAGCAAGTTTGAAGTCATGCGCAATGTCCGCAAGTACCTCCTTGACTTGGCTCTTGTCATGAAGGGCGGCACTCCTCCTGCGACTTTGAAGGTGCCACGTGTACTGGATCCCGGCAACGCCACTGCTCGTGCGATTTCGCTTGCATTAATTCGCCTACAGGGGACAACTCGTTACGCAGCTGGGATTGGATATGAAGCACATGTGCGGGGCGAAGCCGTGTTGGCCGCGGCACTGGTCACCTCCCTGCAACGCTGTTGTCCTGACGAGGACATCTTCGTTGCTGTTCCCTATCGCATCCAACGACAATTAGTCATGAAAGCTTTAAAGGGCAGAGTAAAGAGTCACGGGGAACAAGTAGAAGGCGTCGTTGTCGACACCGTAGAGCGTCTGCAAGGTAACTCAGCCACCCCTGGTCCCAGCCAATGTTACCTCTTATTTCTTAGGCTCCGAAGCAGGCTTTGTGATTTGCCTTTTCTCACTTCCGTCTTCCGCAGCTTCCAAGCTACCTTTCTTGCTTGAGCGAAGGCGATTGAACGTCGCCATCAGTCGCGCGAAGACGCTCTGCATTTTCGTCTCGTCATCAACTGTTTTAGAACCGCCCGTTCATGTCCTTGCCAACGAGGGGACCGCGAAGGCATATGAGTTCTTGCAGTATGTTGTTCTTTCTTTTTCTTTTTTTTTGACATGGGCCCATGGCTTACTTGAATACAAGGGAATTTGAGCATCGCGCTTGGTCATCGACGATCAAGGTAAACGTGGACGGGCTACACTAGTATACATAATAGATCACTTCTTGTGTGGACGAGTTAATGTGGTACAAGCCTCTGAATTTACACAATATTATTCATCATGATTTTGTCGGCAGCTTAAGCAATCCGGCCCTGTCCTGCACCTCCTAGAAGGCGGCCAAAGTCGTTTTCCATCCACCACTTTGCCATGAGGCTTGTGAAACCAGCGCCGAATACCGACGCCAGCGGGACTGCGACGCCAAGCGCTGCCTGTAACGGAGGCCGGAGGCCGACGCCGGCTTACATAACTTAGACGCTGCGCCGTGGTCGCGCAGTACTGCGGTACTGCGCTACTCCTTTCACCAACAGTATATATAGTAGCTAGAATAATAGTAGTAGTTAGTTGACCTTGAATCGAAGACCTACCTACGCAACTCCGACTGATTACTCAGCCTAACCCAACACTCGATATCAAGACTGACTCTCGTGTTATCGCCGAACATCTTATCGCTATCGACAAGAAGCCGGCGACGTCACATTTTTTTGCGTACACACTTACTTGATTCAAACCACCACTCCGGCCTGATCAACCGAAGTGCGTAATAACTACCATTTTTTGCTAACAAATTTTTTCTATTAGACATGCATGCGAAGGAAGTAGCTACAGGAGCGTCAGCGGCTGGGGGACAGGAGCGTAGGATGTCACCAGCAGAGGGCGGCGCGGAACCCGTACTGGAGGCATCCAGCGGGAAACGACAGTTGGGAGCGGCGGCACAGAAATGGGAGTACCGTGCCGTCACGCCCCAGGACAAACGGTGGACGGAGGAGCACTTGGCGGACAAGTGGGGAGTCTTCCAGATACCCGAGATGGAGGGCGGGAGTAGAATGACGCGCGCAATGCGTCGGAGATCCACCATCTCAACGATGGAGCGTCCGGCTGGATGGGCTGGGGGAGCTGTGGCGGAGGAGCCAGCCCGAGCCTCGGTATCGGACCGAGGTGTGCCAAGTGAGTCACGACCGGCAGAGATTGCGAACAAGGCAGCTGCTATGCCCATTCACACAAGAACAAAGGGCCAGGATTCCGGAGGAACAAGCTCGCAAGGGACATCTGAGGAAGGGTCAGATGATGAGGAGGCGGAGACAACGGCGTCAGAGGTGCCTGAGGGTACGGAAGTCTTTCGGGCGCAAGGTGAGTTGCCTGAGGGTATGATGTCGCTGGATGACCAGCCAACTACTCATGCGCAAACTAGAGTATTAGAGTCCTCAATAATGGATTTCTTTGGCTGGGAAGGGAAGCGCGAATGGAGCGAACCATTCCCCGAGAAACTGGAGAGCACCTCCTCGCGTGGAGAGGAGGTCTGGGAGGAATGGGACGAGAGGAAGGGATGGACAAAGGTTCAAGGGAAGACCAGGACAGCGCGCGAGCATAGCACACCGTTACCAGTTGGCGGACAGCGCCGTTACTTCCCGGACAGTTTCGAGGGAGAGCGAAACAACAGTCCATTATTACCCGGGACAAACGACGTGGAAATAGTAACAACTCCGTCGCAACCACCCTCTATCCAAGTACCCTCACTACCAGAACATGAAGTAATAGATATGGACTTCATGGAATCTATCCGTCATGAACTAAGCGACAACGAGGAGATATTACAATTGCTTACTGAGGATGAGGATGGAGGACAAGAGTCCGAATCCGAACGAGTTCGCATACAGGATGCATTGATCGACTCCTGGAAATGGCGGCCAGAAGCGCGAGCCGAACCGAAAGGAATGGCGAACATATTTGCTGGGGCGACGATGGTTGAGACTAGGACTAGAACGAGACCGGGAACACCGAAGCCGAAAGGAAAGGGTGTGGATCCAGCGGAAAGGGGACCACGTTACACAGAATTGCATCAGGAAGGACCGAGTGGTTGGGGCCAAGACGCTAAAGAAAGGTTTAAACCAGCGACCAAATGGGGCGAGAAGGCACCTACGGAGCTGCCAGCGAGACAGTCTGGGCAACAGCAAGGAATTACAACACCGATAATAGACATACAGCGGGTGCCTACACCGGTTCCGATGGCGCGAGAACAACATTTTGGACCACGCCAATACCTGCGAGAACGATCGGCGATGCCGGATGGGGGGTATGCGGGTGGACATTTTGAGCCGGGAGACCAGAAGCGTGTTAAGTATAACATTGACACGCCGAACATGGAGGTACCAGTGCGCCGCCCACATAAACCAGCTCCGAATCCAGATGGTGGGGATGGAGGAGATGGTGATGACGAAAGCAGCGGGTCGGGCTCGGATGGGAGCCACCATTCCTCATCCTGGAAACGTCGTCAGCGTGTACCGAAGAAACGACGTCGAGACGAATCAGAGAGGAGTAGAAGAATAAAGAAAGTGCTGTCCTCGATAAAGATCAAGCCACCGTTGACCTATGACGGAAAGGCGGACTTGGACACCTTCGACCAGTGGGTCTATGAGTTGGACACTTGGGCAGAGCTGCATGACTTGGATGACGAGATGATCGTGAAGCTAATGGTCAACTTCATGAGCGGAAAAGCAGCGAAATTTTTTATGAAACACGTAGCTATGTGGAGGCGGAGCTGGACACTTGAGCAGGTTTATAATGCCCTGTTCGACGAGTGTTTTCCGCCAAACTATAAGCTGGAATTGCGCGAGAAATTGATGAGCGCGACGCAAGGCAGCAGCAAAGTGAGAGACTTTGTGCGTGACATTGAGGCGTTGGCGAATCGTTTCCGCGATATCACAGAACGACATCTACAACAAATCTTCTGGAGTGGATTGCGGCAACACTTGAGGCTGCATCTAATTGGCGAGGGTCTTGATCCCGAGAACTCGACGCTTGAGGAGATGGCCATCAAGGCAGCTCGTGAAGAGAAAAAGCGGGATGCCTATGCGCTTGAGCAACGGCTAGCGGGGAAGAAAGACAACTGGACTTACCGAGATGCATACTGGGAGTCACAGCGGATGAACCGCAGTACGGGTTGGCAGCCGAAGCCAGTCAGCAATCAACAGCGAGGGGGCCAAGGTTCAAACAGGAACACGAGCGCCAACACTGATGAGAAGCGACCGGCGAATAACCTGAAAAATGGTCAGACAGACAAGAACAAGAACCAAAAGAAGAAGGAACACACCAATTGGGTGAGCCAGGAGGAACGGCAGCGACTACGCGCGGAAGGGAGATGCTTCCGTTGCAAGGAAGTCGGCCATGATCAACGCAACTGCCCGGAAAGACAGACAGCGAAAGCACCTAAAGTCAAAGCAGCATCAGTAGGATATAAGGAAGTGGAGGCGCGAGCAACGGCGGCCAGGGCGGCGAATATGCGAGTAAGCGCTGCCCGCATCATGGTTCCGGGGTCTGAAATGGAGGGCGCGTCAGCCAAGGATATCAAGGGAAACGAGGAGAAGTACCTAGTAAGGCTATTTGAGGAGTTTTATGGCGTCGAAGAGTCTGAAAAGCGATTCACGACCCTGGATTATGGCGAGAGTGTAGAACTTACGGATTGGGAGGCGCCACATGTGCCCTATTTGATTAGGCGAAGCGACTTGACGAGAGTGTCGTTTGGTGTACCAGAGGTCCTGGACAATGCATTCTTGGGAGAAGCGGGCAACAAGTATGCACACTTGCTGCCGCGAGCCAGAGAGCCATGGAGGCAGAATCAAATTGCGGTTGGTCTCCGTGTAGCAAAGGCGGCGCCAGCGAAGGGTCCTCATCGGCGGAGACCTGCTGCGCGGAAGAAAGTTGTGTTGCCGGGTGAGATAGCCGCTGTGGAGAGGACGGCAATGAAGCTGCGTGACTTCAAGAGGCGTTTGCCGAAACCGATAGTGATCGAGGTGCTGGTCAATGGACAAGCTGTCCGCGCGCTGATGGATACGGGGTCGATGGCGGACTTTATATCGACGAAGTTAGTAGACCAGTTACGGTTAAAACGGGAGCTACTCGCCAAGCCATTAACAGTACAGTTGGCTGTACATGGTTCCCGCTCGAAGATCAATGCATCTGTGGTCGTAAACTTGAGGTATCAGACGATTAATGGCGAGCGGAGGCTGGATGTGGCTAACCTTGATGACTACGACTTGATACTGGGCACGCCGTTTATATACCAGCACCAGATATTGATCGGAATGAACCCGACACGGGTCGTGGTCGGGTCAGCGAAGCAGCTGGAGATGGAGGGTGCTGAAATAGCCACGATACAATCAGCTGCTGCGGATGTATTTGAGGAGGATCTTACAGTGTTGCGTGAAGCCCTGAGGAAGGAGGCAGCGGACTTGTGCCCCGATCCGGCAGAGACAGGGCTGCCGCCGTTCAGGGCGGTAAACCACACGATTCCACTAAAGGATGAGGCAAAGATTTATCATTGGCGACCATCTAAATGCCCGGAGGCGTTAAAAGACATCTGGCGTGAAAAGAAGAACACGTACATGAAGTCGGGGAGATGGAGAATGGCGACAGGCAGTAACGCGTCACCGATGCTGATATTACCTAAACCGGTGAAGGAGGACGGCGTGCAGAGGATACGCACCGTGTTCGACAAACGAGAACAAAATGACAACACGATTAAAATTGCGGCGCCGCTTCCGGACATACAGGGCATTCTGCGGAACGTGGCGAAACACCCTTATCGTACGCTGGTGGATGGAAAGGACTTCTATGAGCAAATAAGGGTAATACCGGAACATATATCGCGCACTCTGTTCAACACGCCGGATGGGACGATGGAGAGCTTGGTGCTCCAACAAGGCGATACAAACGGGCCAGCGACATGTCAGGCGCTGATGAACCACATATTCGCGCCATATATAGGCGTGTTTATGGACGTATACTTGGATGATATAATCATCTATTCGGATAGTGTTGAAGAGCATCTGAAACATGTAAGAACCGTGTTCGATGTGCTGAGAAAGGAGAGACTATACCTGAGTGCGGACAAGATGCAGTTTTTCGCCCAGAAGCTCAAGATCTTGGGCCATATTGTGGACGAGCACGGAATTCTAATGGATCCACATAAGGTGGAATCTGTTTTGAA